GGGGTGCTGGTTGTTAGTCCGCTTGGCATTGCGCACTTCGGCTGCGACTGTGGCTGGAACACTACAACCAGTCGAGGATGCCGCCGTGGAGCAAGCGGAGGCTTTGGACGCCTGCCGGTGGTTGTAGCTGTGGTGAGAGCTGCAAAGGAGGGAGGATGCGGGTTGGATCAGGTCCTCTGAAGTACAAGAAAACGCGTTGAAGTAGGACGCGGCAATACCACCTGTTGCTGTTGGCGGAGTTGGAGTTTTGCTGTTCTTCGGGTTGTGGTTCTTTTCATCAATATGTTGGTGTTGTTGTTGACTGTGGCCTACATGGTGTTGTAGATGATGGCCGGGGGGAACCTGTGCTCCTCCTGCAGACCCCTGAACACCAGTTCCTGCGGCAGTTCCTCCTGCTGCGCTTCCTGCTGCAAAACGGGGCTGCTGTTGAGACTGAAAATGTGCTTGTCCTCGGGGTAGGTCCGGCAAGTTCGGGTTGATGGGTGTTTGACCTGCTTGATGGGGCGGGTTGGTAGTACTTGCGCTTGGGAAAGACGAGGACCTCTGTAGAGATACTGCCGAGGCAATGGAGGTGAAGGACGATGAGAGCAATGCGAAAAGAAGCAGGGAACGGGAAGTACTACGCTGCATCATCTTCATGTGCGAAAGAAGTTGAAGAACGGCGCTAGAAGCGCGCCGCAGGAGAGTCGCGTCTATCTCCTTTGTGTAAACACTCTATCAACTTGAGCGAAATTTGTCATGCGAAGCAGCCTGATCATCTGCCAGCTTAAGGTGCTTTTGCATGACAAATTCATGTAACAGTTGAGAATGTAACGTTTGAGTGTCCCATATCACTTTCGGATTCGGTGTGCAGATGTTGTTTCAACTCCTCAGAGGTAATCGTCCCGTCGCTGACGTCGATTTTCAGATCCGCTGCCGCTTTCAGCAGAGCCTTGTCTTCGTCGAGGGTTTGCGCCGGTCCAAGGTGTAGTGCGTCTTTCTGCGCCCTGGTAAGACCATCGATGCCGATGTGCAACGCCTGGTTGGAGTCCAGGCCGTGCTGCTCCTCCTGCAAGGCGAGTAGTTCGTCCTGCACCTCCACCTCTATGGGAGTGTCAGGATTGAAATCGACAAAGGCAATGCATAATATCGATACCAGTCAGAAGCCCAATTACAATTTTCAAGCGGTGCATGACAAATTTGGGCAGAGCCGAAATCCAGTCTGTCATGCTGTTTCGGCAAAGAAGACTGCTCCTGTCATGCTATTTTAGCACCTCAGTTGCTACCCCTCAACAGGCTTACAATGTGCCTCACTTGCCTACTCTGCAAGACAGGCACTTTGTTTCTTTGTGGGCTGCATTATTTGCGTGACAAATCATTCCAACTTTGGCGATTTCAATCCTGACACATCCATACCATCGATCTCATTGTCTTGGTTCTTATCAGCCATAAAGAAATCACCCGCCTTCCAGCTTCTGGGATGGGCCTTTCGCCATTCGTCTTCCTCGATGGGCAGTTTGCCGTCTCCGATGTGGGCATACCCATACTCCGCGCTCTTGTAGGTGTCCGAGGGGTAGGGCGGGCCTTTCGAACCGTCAAATGCGCCACTATCGCCCGTGTTCTCGGCCAGCCAATGCTCTTGGAATTTGTCCGCCAACTCGCGCGCTGCGTCCCTGTCGTTCTCAACATCGAGTGCCTTTTGCAGCTCCTCGCCGGTGATGCCATCGGCGAGTGTTTTTTCCAACTCCTTGGCGTCTTCAGGTCCATATGGAAGTGTCAGAATCGAAATTGACAAAATCGCAAAATTTGTAATGCACAAAATCGATGTCAGTTGGAGCCTCAGTTTCCAAGTGGCGCATGACGAATTTCGGAAGCACCCAAATCCAGTCTGTCATGCTGTTTGGGCAAAGAAGACTCCCCCTGTCGTGCTACTCTGGCAGAACATTTTATACCCCTAAACAGGCTTGCAATCGGTCTCATTTGCCTGCTCCCCAATACAGGCCTTCAGTGACGTACATTTTATGCATTTTTTCGACTTTGTCGATTTCGATCCTGACACATCCATAATCCATCCAAATTCAGTATCTCGGCCACCGCATCATGCAACGCCTCTGTCTCGTCCGCCGTTGGGGCCGCGTCTGCGCCTGCGGGTAACATGTTCAGCGCTGCATCATAGTACGCCAGGTTGTCTACATTTAGCAACCCGCCCAGGAGGTCGTCGACACCACCGTCCTCTGCATGCAGAAGTGTAGTCTCCTTCTCGTTCTTTGTGACAACTTTTCGGGCAGTGGCGAAGCACGCGGCACCCGCGACACCGTGAACCAGAATTCTACCTAGCACAGCGCCCATGATCATTCGGTGGATAATTATTCGCTACACAATCATTAGGTACAGCCCGCCCTAAGTGGCGGTCGTCATTTTCTATCAACAGTAGAGACACTGTTTGATATGTTGCCGCCTATTTTGTTTTTTTGTTTTATCTCAGCATTTGTGACTGCACGATCCAGAAGCAAGTCGTACTTCAGGAGGATTTGGCTTGCAAGACGATTTCTCGCATTCTTCAACAAACCCCCACTTACAGTATCGCAACCCCTCGCCCTCCATAGCCCGTCCCATGCTATCTAAACGTAAACCTCGGTGCACGACATGGAGGATTGCATCTCATATTACTCATCTTCGCTGTATAATTTCATGATCGAGAGAACTGCGAGCGAAGTCACGACGAAAACAGTGTGTAGATCTAGATTTGTATGGGAGTGTCAGAATCGAAATCAACAAAATCGAAATAATTTGTGATGCATAAAATCGATACCACTTGGAGCCTCAGTTTCCAAGTGGCGCATGACAAATTTCGGGAGCACCAAAATCCAGTCTGTCATGCTGTTTGGGCAAAGAAGACTGCTCCTGGTGTGCTGCTCCGGCAGCACATCGCCTTCCCGTAATCAGGCTTGCAATCCGTCTCATTTGCCTACTCCCCAACACAGGCCTTACTTGCCCTACATTCTACGCATTACAAATTTTTCGACTTTGTCGATTTCGATCCTGACACATCCATAATTTGCATTTGCAGTGTACGAGTCCCACGACGTCGAGAAATAAACCGATTTTTTTACTAGTCTCCAGGATGTTGTCGAGTCTAGGTCTACCCATTTTTCGCACAAATCTCGCGCTCACGAACCCACACTGCGGAAGCGGGTACTACTACGTGGAACCTTGTATTCATCAACTTTGATGCGCAAGATACGTTTTATATCGATTTTGTGAAACTGTAACTGAAACATATTACGATACTAGACGACAATACGATCTCGACTATCGATTCAAATTCGTTGGTATGGCGAGCTGGAAACAACGATCGGAGCGCGAAACCAAAGCGAAATTCAAATCTCGCCACAACGACATTGGACACTCAAGAATGAATCCGCGAAAAAATAACTTCGCAGCTTCTGTCCGAACAAGCAAAATATACCCGTTACAAGTAAGTAAAGGCGGACGGGGAGAAACCAAGAGCTTAGTAAGTTCGTTGTATCCACTGCGCCCGCAGTGCTGGAATGGTTGCTTGTTTCAGAAGTACAAGTGGCGCCAATGCTGACAACTGTCTTCACTCATCATATATATCATGCGGATTCTAGTAGTTGTAGCTGTTTTCAAGTATTGCATCCTGTGCCTGTCCTGCTCGCAGATGTTGCAGCATTACCATTTAACATTTGGCCAGATATCAAACCACTGCCTTCAATTGGTCGGACATTTTGGCAGCAAGTCGTAAGTACGTTTTCGTTTTTGACTTGTTTATACTTGAAACTGAAACTGAAACGAATTCGTCAGGACCTACTTGTTTTGAAAAGTAGAATAGCTTGTCTCTTTTGGCATTTTCCCAAGAATCATAAAACTAAATTTTCTCAGACATTTTCAATCTCGATTTTTCGGTTTTTCCGCGTTTTTCTTTATTTGGACATTTCCTCCAGCAAAGCCTCTTTTCGGTGCAGAACATGCTCGAACTTTTCGGCCATGCTCGCGGACCAAGCGTCCTCTGGTTCCACCTCCACCTCCTCATGTCGCCTAGCATTCTGACTGCTCTGACGTTGTACCAAATCAGAATTCGCCCCCGTCACCCCGTCTGGGCTGAAACTTTTTGCAGCTCGGTGGTACAACTCCAACACACGACTGCTCGACGTTGCGGGTGCAGCAGGAGCGCCACTTGTAGAAGAAGTTCTTCCTGCCGCTGTCTTGGAAGTCTTAAGTTTGTCCTTTCTGGTGTTACTTCTGCTTTTCGAAGAAGCCGAAGATGATGTTTTCGAAGCTGTTTTCTCTTCTTCATCTCCGCGGGAGTAGAGTTTTCTGCTCTGATGTTGTAGTGCGTTTGAGAACTCGTCGCGACTGGTCACATCCACTGCTTCGTCGTAGCCGGGTGGGATCGTGCTGGCGGAACCCGGTTTGTTGGTCGCACTGGTCGTTGGTGTCAGGCTATGCAAGAAAAAAACTGTGTAAGTGTAACTTTGTCTTGCAGATGTTGCAATACAGTTACACGCCTTGTCACGCCGCATATGCATCAGAGGCTATTTTAGTACGTGTTTTAGCGTACTAGCTACGCATGACAAGTTTTCTGTCATGCAAAACAAATCTATGATGCTGCTCCTGCAAGAAAGTTACACTTACACAGTTTTTTTCTTCGATACAGTCGCTTTGGATGCTCGTACTTCCAGTCAGGAAGGGGCGCGGGCTGAACGAAAGACATATGATTAATCTTTGTTCTTTTTACCCACATCTTCATGGGAAAACGTAGTAAGCAGGCGTAAAACTATCGATGTCTCGGACCACCACAGCAGTTGCCACAACATGATGAAACAGGTTGCAGAAAAATCGTGTTACCAGTACGTATCTCTCGTACGACAATCCAATAAATGATGTAGCTAAAGTAGTAGGTACCTCTGTCGCCGACCCCAAAACCTCCGCCAAAGATGCGCTTGCACTGGAGCTGCTACCACTACTTGCAAGCGTCGCTCGCTCGAGGGGCCCCGACGATCACAAAAAAATACGCGCACAAAATGCGGACCGGATTGGACAAGGTGTCGGAAAAGACATCCCAGGTCCCTCGGTCGGCGCGAAGCCCCTCTGGCCCGGAGCCCATGGAACTCACGATGCCAGATCCCAAGAAGCAAATACGCAAGCAAGATGATGCAGCGAAACAGAGCCCCGGCAATCATTTTGCTCCCTTTTGATAGATGCGAAACGACCAAAAGCCTCGACAATGGCGTACTTGTTTTACAAGAACGCATTGGGCCGGGCGGACCAGATTCAGAATAAAATTGGGCGGCGGAGGGGATTTCAGAATTTAATAGGCGGCCAAGATAGATTTCAGAATTTAATTGGCGGCCGATAGGGAATTCAGAATTTAATTGGCGCCCTCAATCAATTTCAGAATTTAATTGGCGGCCCGGGACAATTTCAGAATTAAGTTGGAAACGAGTTTGGAAATAGTTGGAAAGCTTTCCCCCACTTGAAATCTCTGATCCAACTTTTTTCAACTCTTTTCCAACTTAATTTAGAAATTGGTGTCGGACCCTTCCGCAAGATGCTCGCTGGCCCGCCTTTTCTTCAATGACCTAGCTGGACGCCGGGCCGCTTCCCTCGAAAAAAACACAGGCCAGGGTGGTTCCTCGCTATGGCCTGCGGTCTTTCATGACCCGGGAATCAGGGCCCATTCGCCAGAGGCAAGTGCGCGGCTGGCGGCGTGCAAGGCCATGACGTTGGGGGCAGCAATGGCGTTGAATTGCTGCAGAATCTTGCCAGACCAAGAAAGTCCCTGTCTTTCGCGCATGAAGACGCTTATACAGTGGCGGCCCGAAGCAGGAAAGTCGAAGGGCCCCCACACGCCCTATTTCGTCTTGCAGAATAGTTGACGCATGAAAACCTCGCCACCAGCTGAGGGCTTGCTTTGTGTATATCTGTAGGAAGCCTCGGCGCGAATGGGTGCGCTACAAACCCAGGCGGCCTTCTGAAGCCGGCCCTGTGCTGCGATGCGCTGTATGAAGCCGCGGCGCGCTCGGCTACATTCTAGAGCAGTATCGTGGGCATGACGCATGTAGCAGGAAAAACGGCAGCAGCGGGGCTGTAACTGCCGCTGTGTCGTACGTGAGGCCGCCACCCTTGAGAAATCAAGCGCGTGACAGATCCCCAAATCGCTTTGAATAGCAACGACGAAGCCCGTTTTGTAGCCACCTAGGGGCACGTTGATGCTCCGTCGATCGATAACCAGGCGCGAGGACTCAGGCCCCTAAAACGTCGAGCCAAAGTGTAAAATTGCTGGAATTCTGAATTCATTCTGAATTCGTTAAGAAATGATTACTTTCTAAGGCGGTTTTGAGTTAAGTAGTAGGTACCTGTGTCGCCAAAACCTCCGCCAAAGATGCGCTTGCACTGGAGCTGCTACCACTACTGCTTATGGGAGTGTCAGAATCGAAATCGTCAGAGTTGAAATAATTTGTGATGCATAAAACGGATACCAGTTGGAAGCCCAATTTCCAAGCGGCGCATGACAAATTTGAGTAGAACCGAAATCCAGTCTGTCATGCTGTTTGAGTAAGGAAGACGCCTTTTGTCATGCTACTTTAGCAGCTCTATTTCTACTCCGCAACAGGCTTACAATCTGCCTCCCTTGCCTACTCTGCAAGACAGGCACTTTGTGGGTTGCATTTTATGCATCACAAACTATTTCAACTTTGACGATTTCAATCCTGACACTCCCATACTGCTCGTATCATGTTTGAAATTTGACGTCGTCGAGACACCCGGAGCTGCGGACCCCCTCGTCTTCGATCCCTCGCGACTTCTGTTCACCAGTTTCAGCTTCTTCTTCTGCATCGTCTTCCCGGTTGCAAAAGGCGCAGGAGCTTCTTCGTGATGTTCTACTTGTTTCCCAAACGCGATTTGATGCTGGTGGTCAAACAGGGCCGCTGCGTTTTGGTCAAACTCAAAGGGCGATGTTCTACTTGATGCAGTTGATGGCTGCTGGGCGTTATTATCTTCAACTCCTCGTTGTTGACCACTCCTGTTCAGAAGCTTGACAGAGGAGCTACTTGATGCAGCCGGGTAAAACACGAAGTTGTGCTGTTGTTCTTGTTCCTGGTATCCAGGAAAAAACACCCATCCCCATCAATTTTTTGCATGACAAATAGTGGACTTTATGCATGTTTTGCATGACAAATTGGATGGGGATGGGTGTTTTTTCCTGGATACCTGGTGCGCTCCCTCTACAAGCGGGACGGCGACGCTTTCGCTTGCCTCGTCTCCGGTCATCTGCGAAGCGGTCGCGTCTACGAGACCGTGTACTACGTTGTCCTCCGTACTAGGTGCTTTTTGTGCTGCCGTAGTACCTCCCGCGAGGAGTTGTGCAGCGGGCTCCGAAGGAGCGGACGAGGCCACGCCGCTATTGCTTTCTTGGGTCTCCACTAGTTGTACCTTGGTCACAGGGGTTTGCTGTTCGGCAGCAGCTGCAGAAGATCTTTCTTGTACCTGAAGTCCACCGTCTCCTTCTACCAAAGCCGCAGGATCGACTGCCGCTGCGTCATCGACAGGCTTAGTTAATATTTTCGACGTCCTGCTTGCCGACGCTGAGTTGTTTACAATTTCTCTACTGCTCTTTCGCCCCTCAGCAACAGGTGCCTCGCTTGTTCTAATTTCTTTCTGCGAGCCCGCCGAGGACCCCTGCCGCATCCCCTCTTTCAACATCTCGTCATCCCCGAGGACGTCGTTCGCAAGCGAAAAAGGGGCCACTTCCGAGGACGCCGGTGTGGCCTTGCTGCTCGACTCCTGCGGCTGTGAAAGAACAACATCATCGACGTTGTTTTTCAGCGTTGTTGCGCTACTTGTTCTAGCGGGCCCGGACTGACTTGTCTGCGTTTGCCGCCTGTCCATCATGATCCCCGCTAGTGTGGCCCGTGTCTGTGCAGCGGTTCTTGAAGCTGCTGCAGTTGATGTCCCTGCGACCACGTAATTGTTGTCCGGCGCGTTTTATCAAATGTAAAAATGTCTGGGTCTGCAAGGTTGGAACTTGTGACGCAGCTAACTTTGTACTCTAAAAACCTCTGTATTGCATGACCAGCAAGAGGAATCTAGTTTGTGCTACGCGGGGAGGGCATTTGTCATAAGGAGTAGGCATCAGGAAGCCCTCTAAAAATCTGTGATGCTAGGTCGTGCATCACAGACATCCTGGGTCGTGCAAAATATGCATGACAAACCCTGCAACATTCCAGACCCAGACACTTTTGCATTTGATACGTTTGAAGACAGTACATCACCGTCGACCGCACTGGAAGTCGGTGTGTGCTGCTCCTGCAGGCCTGTTTGGGGATCATGATTCTCCGCCACCTCTAGTAGAGCAGCTGCGTTGCTCACACTGGGTTCGAGACTTGGGGTGTTGGTACCACCACCGTCGTTGGACGAGGAGAGCGCCACGACCCGCGGTTCGTGCAGCTCGCTATCCTCTGGCTCCTCCTGCACCGGCGTAACTTCCGCACTGGAGGAAAAGATCTGGTTATTTTCGGGCTGTTCTATTACTTCCGTTGGAATGATTTCAGGTTTATCTTTCACACGGCGACTCCGACTCCCCTCCTCCGTCTTTATTTCCCTCTTCGGCGGGCCGAACCGGTAGACCTCGTCCATTACCTCGGGTTTCGTGATTGCCTCGATCTGCTCCTGCACCAGCTGTATGCATTGCAAGAGAAAGAGTATCGTACTAGTATATGTAAATTGCATTACAATTTGTAGTGCCGATTTGCCGAAGATGGGGAATTTGTCATGCGTGATTGCAATTACTACGAGTACGATACTTTTGCACAGGATAAGCTGGTCAAAGGCGGCAAGCTGCTTGGCTCTGGTTTCCACCGAGTTAGTCCCCTCGGTCGACAAGACCCGCAGCGTCAGCCCCGCGGCGCCGGGGAGGACGCCGGGGATCTTCATTTTCATCGTCGGGTCGATGCTCTCGTCCTCGTCCACGCCAGCGTTTAGATTGATTGCCGCGTCATACGCCCAGTGGTATTCTGCGTAAAAGAGAACCCGAAGTACTACTTACCCCATAGTCAAACTGATGATGCTCTTCACTCTGCTACACAAGTGCAGAAGGTTAGACAGAAACGCATGACAAACTTGGGTCCATGTTGTACTTGTAGTCGCCGTTGCATTCGCAGTGAAATATCCACATCAGAAATCGCCTGTCTTAGCTGATCCTGATCCTGATGAGTACGGCATCAGCAAAAACATTCCAAAAGAGCCTGCTTGGAAGATGCTCCTCAACCTCATGGGGCTGCGCATGAGACACATTCCATTGTAGAAAAGGAAAACTACATGCAAATCCGCATGACAACTCTGGGGTGAAAATTATGGGTACTAACTTCAACTTACGTTTTTCCACAGCATAACCGTTCCTGCTGCGCTTTCTCGAACACGGAATGCCGTTTGGACTATGAATTGCAAAAGTATCGTACTCGTATAAATGCATTACAAATTCCCTCAGCATGAGAAATGAGATCATTTGTAAATGCGGACTTACCTTAAGAAAAGGATTTGCAATGCAAGACTTGCATTTATACGAGTGCGATACTTTTGCACAGGATATGGACACCACGGCCTCCAGAATGTCCGCGGAGTCGGTGCGCCGCTGTATGGGAGCGTCAGGTTTGAAATCGTCAAAGTTGAAATAATTTGTAATGCATAAAATGCATGACCCGAGGTACGTGTGTTGCAGAGCAGGCAAGTGAGGCCGATTGTAAAGCCTGTTTGGGGTTACAGCTCGAGCTGCTAAAGTAGGATGAGAAAATCACTCTTCGTTGCCTAAACAGCATGACAAACTGGATTTCGGGGCCACCGAAATTTGTCATGCGCCACTTGAAAACTGGGCTCCAACTGGCATCCATTTTATGCATTACAAATTATTTCAACTTTGACGATTTCAAACCTGACGCTTCCATACGCTGGTGCCGTGTCGTAATCTTGAGCGCCGCTGCGCGCCGCTGCTCTTCGCTCTGTGTTCGCTGCTTGCTCTCCACAAAGCGACCCAGGGAGGCCTCCGGATCGTGGACAAACACCATGTTGTGGTGCTCCGGACCCGCCTCGTCGCGCAGGCTGCTCATCCACCCCATCAGGGTTTCTTGGTGGATTTTTCCTGCCGTCCCGTTTTACAGTGAAAAATGCCCCCACCCCCAAAGTTGCAATAATTTGTGATGCAAAGTTTCCAAGTGAAAACTTTTTGTCATGCATGAAAGGAGTGTGAATCTTTCTGATGCAGAGTCTGGGCGTATATCGCATCGCTTGCATGACAAGCGCCGCTTTTGCTAGGATCTTTTGCAATGCAAATTTTTGCTATTCACGATTGGAAATCTGTGATGCTGATAGATGCAAGAAGGCGAGTGTTTCCTTGTTTGGAAAGGTTTGCAATACAAATGCTCCCAAGTTCGGGGATCGTGGGGGCATTTTTCCTTGTAATATCCCGCCGATCTTCTTCCGGGCGCTGGTCCGCAGGGGGTTGTCGCCGAAGTACGTCTTCAACAACTGCTGCTGCTGGTTCTCCGTGATGCCCCGTTGCTTGCGCCGAAACATCTCGCGGACAAACGCCTGCCGTTGCGCCACGGACATGTTGCGGTACTTTTGCACGGTGCTCCCGTACCCCCGCGACGGGTCGCCGTTCTCATCGCCCTTGTGGATTGCAAATATGTCTGGGTCCTCTGGAAGTCTGTGATGCTGAATTGAGCCTGATTGAAGCGCTTGCAATGGCAGCCAGGCATGACAAGCTTCAGAGACGCCTGCTGATGGTGCCTACCACGCATCACAAATTGCGTTTTTGCATGCCCAAGCAAGCTCCTCTTTTGCTGCTCATGCAACACAGAATTTCCAGGAATGCAAGACACGCATCACAAGTTCCACTGTTCCAGACCCAGACACTTTTGCATTTGATAGCCGTCTTTCCCACGCAAGTGCTCCTCCAGCCGGTGGTTTTATCCTGTGCAAAAGTATCGCGCTCGCATTGCAATCATGCATTACAAATCTTTCTCTTGAGGTAAATCAGCATTACAAATTTGATTTCTCATGCCGAGGAAATTTGTAATGCATTTGTACGAGTACGATACTTTTGCAGTTCATAGGTTTTCCGCGTCCACAACCGGATCCGCGTGTCGCACCCGGTAGGGAGACTTGTCCTTTTCTCTACTCTTTGCACCACGACCGCCTTCTTGGGTATTACCCGCAAGAACCTTGTTCCGCTTCCTGGATCCGGGGCCGCCCGACCCGGCGCGGTACTGCATGGTTGGAAACGCACCGTACGCCGCGCCGCCGGGGCTGTTCCTGCTGGCGACCCCGACCGTCATGTCGTAGGCTGCCTCCGCGGGCACGCGGTAGGGCGACTGCCCGGCGGTGATATCAAATGCAAATATGTCTGGGTGTGGAAGAGTCATGCTGCTTTTGCATGACACAGAAGGTCTGGCATGGCAGCTCTAGCATCACAGGTTTCGAGAGGCTTTCGCTATTCCGAATCCGCATCACAAATGCCCCATTTTGGTGACAGAAAGTGGGCAACTTTTGCTGCCTGTGCATGAGAGATTTTTCTGCGTTGTGGAATGCGCATCACAAGTTTGCACTCTTCCAGACCCAGACATATTTGCAATGGATAGGTGAATTCGTACCGCAAATCGCCCCACCCCGAGTGGTCGCCGCTGCGGGCCGTGGTTTATCCTGTGCAAAAGTATCGCACTCGTACTAATTGCAAATATGCATGACAAATATTCTTCCTAAGGTAAAACAGCATTACAAATCCCATTTCTCTTCGTGCCAAAAGCAAAATTTCTAATGCAATTTATACTAGTACGATACTTTTGCAATGCATATGGTTTTGCCGACGCCTACGTGCTTGCCGAGATTCTCCAGATCGTGAAAAAAGGGGCGGCTCCACGTGTGGCGCACCGGGTCCTGGGCGGTTTGCACGAAGGCACGGTGCCGGAAGAGCTTGTGGTCGTCGATCCACAAAAGCCGCGGGCCGCAGTACTGTGTTTATGTTGAACTTTAATTTTTTTATCCGCTTCACATTTTACGTACTATGAGGAAAACTTCAAAAAAATCGAAAAAGCTGCTATATGTGAGTACAACTGCTGCAGCAAAGAAACAGATGAGCATGAGGCAATCACCTTCGTGTAAACTCTAAATACGTTTGCGATTTGGTTCCAGTAGTACGGCAGCGAGGTGATTTGCGGGTTGTTCTGGAGCAACAAGATCACCAAGTGGGTGTTATACGACAGCGGCCGCAATTGGCTGCAGCTCCTCAGCTTGTTGTTTCGCAAATCCAAGTACCGCAGCTCCACCAACGTCTCCAAATGCTCCACCTTTTCGATCTTGTTCGAATCCAGCCCCAGCTCCTCCAAGGCCTCACAGAGCAGCAGGTTTTTCGTGGTGGTCAAGAGGTTTTTCGACAAGTCCAGCTTTTGCAGGGAGGGCAGATCGAGCACCGGGAGGACGCGCAGCTGGTTCTCGGACAAATTCAAAGTTTTCACCTTTTGAAACTCAAACTGGTTCAGATTGTACAACCCCATCTTCGACAGGTCGACGTTCTCCAGCAGCAACACCCGCTTTCCCGCGGCCTCGGCCCCGACGGCCCGCTCCTGTAAAATCTTCTCCCGGGTTTTCTTGGCCTGGTGGATCTTCGCAATGTGCTGGAGGGAATCGTCCATCGCGTCGACTGCGTGTTCGTGCCGGAACTCCCGAAGCGCCTGCTGCCGGGAACGCGCCTGGTGGACGAGAGGCAGAACATGAGAATTGTTTTATTCAGCTATTGGATGCAGAAAATTTTGCGTGCTGGTGTTGCTGCGTCGAAGAAGATTCGATAAAATTCTTACCGTGGTGGAGCTAAGGATAAAGTAAGTTAGTATCTATGTACTCAATCTCGATATGACACTTCATCGTTGAAGGTATGGAAAAGATGAGAAATGAATCATGCATAAAGTACTTAGCCTTACCTCCGCGACAACATTAGTGCCGGTCTTTCCTCTGTCGCGACCGGTAGGCGACCCGCTCCGACTTGCCGCGTTCTTGCCAGCCTGGTGGGTCGTGTCCGTGTGATATGACAGAAATAAAGTTCGCTTCGCTGCTACTTTTTCTTTTCTTGGACGGGAGTGATGTTGTCATACATATTGCTGCTGATTACAGGTTGCTCCTCGCCTAAATATGAAGCCGCGTGACTCGTTAACTACTCCTTGAGCGAGCCCGAAAAAGCTGCGAAAAACAAAAGGGAGTACATTACCTGTTCATCACGGCCCGAAAGAGGTGGTTCTGACGGGGCGGAGAAGTTGTAATTTGGCTTGCCCAGTGGTGGCGGTTTGGGGATCCGGAGGGACAGCTTTTTCGACGCGATCTGTGGAAAGTGATCATGTCATGCAAGTGCTACTAAAAACGAGCTTGGAAAAACAAATGGAACTACGATATTGCTATGTTGATAGATGATCAACACAAAAATCTGCAGCAACGAAGACAAAGAACACTTTAGAATTAGACTCCGATCGCTCTATTAATTAATATACCTCTTTTCGAAAACCGCCAATATTGGTGACGTCGCGACCCCCGATCAGTGTGAAATCGGGCCCAGGCGGATTTTCTGGTGCATGGTGGTCCGGCTGGAGATTTTTTCCTGACATAAACCCCGCAGCTGGACCAGGAGATCCGTCTTCCGAGTCCACTCGCAGCGAAAACTTCCGGGTGAGACTCTTCACCGATCTGAGCTGCTTGCCAGACGAGCTGGACGCTGCGGCGCTGTCGCCCACTGCAGGTCCGCTCCCGAAGCTTGCAACTTGCTCACGCGACTCGTCCAACATTGATATTCCAAAAAAAAGTGAAGATCTTCAAGCAGAGTAAAGCAAGAGAGAGAGGTACTAGGCTCAAAGTTGTAGGTTCATTCTAATAAACTGCAAAAGTCTTTGCCAAACGCAAGGGTGGGAAGAAAGCCCAACATGCGTAGAAGAAGTTCACACGGACTGCATTTAGCGACACACCACGACACGAAAACGAAAACTTGCTTCATCTATCAATCCACATGATAGGAAGTAGTGCTCGAACGCTCAGTGCTGGTGTGTACTGGCATGTAGCTTTTCTACTGAACGACTAAGAAAGGCCAAGGTGACGAAAACCAATTCACTCCTTCGATCGACTATAAACACGAACACGAAGACCACGACGGACATACTAGTACTGCATGATAAAGGCAAAACGACTCAGACGCGCCAAACCAAATACCACGGCGGCCGCAAGCTGCAAAGTTCGGTAGAAACAAGATGATGCGACCACGATTTATTCCGTCGAACACCTCCGAATCGCCTCGAACCGCAGTGCACAGTGCGAGTACCGCAGTGGCAGAGGCAGCGCGGGCGATAGTATGCCGAATCGATGTGAGCGCTCTCGTCCGGTCGTAGTTTTGGTTGTGAGAAATCTGGATATTACAATGGACGAAATTTCCATCATTCAACATCGCGACGTTAATATCTAATAGTTGCAGGTGTGGCTTGTGTTAGTACCTCGACGAGAAATCAGTCCGTGTCAAAGAAGAAGATATTTCACTCGTCGACCTCCATTTTTGCTGGTTCTTGTTCCCCGCTCTTGTTGCCTCCCTTCTTCGGCTTTGATCGCACTTTTTTCTTCGTCATCGCAACGTCTGCTTGCTGCGTTTCTGCTGATACGTTTGTCGTTGGAGCAGGCGCCGATGTCAGATTTGCAGCAGCTGACGCAGGTGCGGCTGTTTGAGAAGTCAATTTTTGTCGATTGGACATTGTAGTTGTACTTTATATTCTCTCCTTCATTATCATTTCTCTACAGTAACGAAAAAGATAAAGATCCGCTCTTGCTGCGATGCAGTACCGCTCTTTGCTTAGGAACAATAAAGTAGCAAAACTTAAAACTCTGTCATACCAGCCGCAGCCTTTGCCTCCCCCTCCGCTTTCCTTCGCGCTTTTTTCTGGGCCCGGTAGGCTTCCCGCTTGGGTTGCTTTTTCGCTTTCCTTTCCGCGTTGATGACCTGCTGGGAATTCTCCTTCGTGCGAATAATATGCATTGCAAAAGTATCGTATTCGTATAAATGCATTACAAATTCCCTCAGCATGAGAAATAAAATTTGTCACGCGGATTTACCTTCGGAAAAAAATTTGTAATGCATGACTGAAATTACTACGAGTACGATGCTTTTGCACAGGATAAATAAACGCGGTCACCAACTCCTTGTTCTTCTTGCTGTTCAGCGCCAAGGCGCGCCCGTTGCGGTATGGATTGCAAAAATGTCTGGGTCTGGAAGATTGCGAGATTTGTCATGCTAGTCTGGCATAATTCTGCACTCTGTATTGCGTGGCCACCAAGAGGCCGTCTTGCCTGTCATGCAAAAGGAAAAGCGCAGTTTCTCATGCGAAATACGCAGGACAAGAGCACGAAGAGACTTGTCATGCTTGGTGGTTCATTACAGAACAGTTACTGTTCACGGGCTTGCATCACAAGTTTCCAGACCCAGACATTTTTGCATTTCATATGCGGCACTTCTTCACGATTTTCCTCGCCAGACTCTTCGTCTTCACCCGGTGCGGCTTCACCTTCAACAGCCCCCGTCTCTTACCGCGCGCGTGCAGGTTCGCCATTTTTCTGTATTTTTCGAAAGAGGCTTTCTTCTATTTTTAGTACTAAATACTTACAACAATTGGAGAAGTAGTGGATACTACAACTTTATGACCTTACAATCGAACAGACAATCCACGTTCTGTTGTTGACACTGAGATTTTTGTGGGCTTATATCGTCAAGTAGATCTACATGCGCGTTTTCTGCTGGTTCTTGTACTAACAAACTAGTAGGTTCTATGAGACACCAGCATTATTGCGCATTCCTTGAATGACGCGGGCAGATCCGCATTTCTGTTCTGTCGAGATCCGATCTTTTCTGTATAAAATTTTTGATCCTAACCATGAGGATCTTCTACGCGCATCATCATATTTTCTTCCATCTAGTCTTCTACTGGATCACGAAACTGGCTGACACATTTCATGATCAAGCTTGTGCCCTACAGGCTTGGGTGGGTGAAAATCTCATCGCATTTGAATCGCTAGTATGGTCAGTCTGATGATTTTCATCGAAAAAAAGAATCTACTGCATCTGGATCAATACAAACTCATATCCATCCGTGCGCCCGCACCCCGGCTTTTCGTAGGCGGAGTAAGTAGTCATACGGAATCCGAAAGTTTCCAACGCGATTTAGTGTCGCAGAAGATGAGGTCCTCTCTCCTCGTCTTGTTTGCAAGCTGGTGCTGTGGTCGACCTGCGCCACTCCACGACCTCGACCACGACCTCCGGGGAGCTGCATGTTCAGGTTGAAGAGCGTGTGAGTGTGCGGCTCCCAAAAAAACTCGAAAAGACGCAGCGGTAACGGTAAGCGGGTGCTCGCATTAAGTCGTGTATTTGACTTTGCTTCCAACGCATCGAGCAGACCGTCTAAGAACTCGTGCTCTAGAACGGGGTTATCCACATCCAGCTTGATTACACAGACTGGCAGTCGTACTTGCCGTAGGCCTGTTTTCCTGTTCTGACCCAGAATGGTGGTCCTCTGCCCGTGAAGATCTGCAGTGGCTGAGGCTTCGTCTGTCTCTACAACTTCGTCTGGTGGTCTGCGGTCGTTGAATCCAGTTCCAGAGGTTGTTTTTGCGCTTCCTTGGCACAAGTCCTTTACGTCCTCCAGCAACTCGGAAGCGCTTGTCACCGCATGGCGAACTGTAAGCACCACCGCATTATTTTCATCTCGATTTCTATCACTAGCGTGACTTTCCTCTTCATCAGAGTTGGTAAGCACCTGCCGTCGTCGTGTCCTTTCGAGCGAGAAAGCGAATTGGGTCCGCTGATCAATCGCGGCATGAATCTTTCGTACCTGAAATTCATTTTCTCGTGCTGAGCAACAACATGAACTGTCTCCGCTCTCCGCATGGTTTTCGACTGTCTGATGCGCAGTCGTGTCATTTAGTGACAAAAATTGACGATCTCCACAACAACACCCCGCTTGATGTTCCAAGTAGGCTAATGAATGCGCTTCCACTTGCCTTTGATACCTTTGCGGATCGAGTTTTTGCTTCTCGTAGACAATGATTTCGTCAAAACTGACCTTATTTCGCCTGTACATTTCCACGAGCCACTTGGTGCTAGAACCTGTGTCGCCTGTGTCGTAGTAGCCACCCCCGTATCCTGTGCAAAAGTATCGCACTCGTATTGCAGTCATGCATTACAAGTCTTTTCTTATAGGTAAATCCGCATTGCAAATTTTATTTCTCATGCTGAGGAAATTTGTAATGCATTTAAACGAGTACGATACTTTTGCAGTTCATACCCCGATATCGATCAGAACTACTTTTGGCGAAGGTGCTGAGGACAAACCTCCAGCAAAGTCGCTCATGCTGGTGTCCTCGTTTCCATGATTATGATCTGCAGGGTGTATGGCTAGGGGTCGTACTAGAGTAGATGATACCTCCGGCGCAGAAAACAGACTAGCAAAATAAAAATAAGCTACATCTTCTTGCCTCCCCAAAACTAAGTAGCTGCGGTCCGTCGCCGCTGCGTAAACGGCGCGCGCGAGGAGTAATCCAAGGCTCAGACTTTGTTTGATGTCCGCCTCTTCTAAGTCGATTCCCTTAGCCAGGCTGGAAAAGAGTTTTTGCGCACCGGCTTCCAAACTTTTGATCTGAGGGTCGTCCTTTTCCGCTGCAATTGCATCCTGGTCTGCAGGACCACCAACACCCGAAGGCAGCAAAAGAACCTCCTCGAGAAGAAAGGCGTTCAGTAGCTCACTTAGCAAATGACGCGATGGGTTGTCGTGCCGCCTCGCTGTGGGCAGTCGTGTGAGATCAGGCTGAGAAGTACTTCTAGACAAGGACCGGTCTCTACTTGTGCCGGACGCAGCCGAGCCGGCCAAATACTGCACCGCGTGCCGCAACATGGCGGAGAGGGTCGTCCTATCGTCGAAATCCAAGACATTTGTGGCGTCTGTCGTAGGTAGGGCCGCACTCACACGGCGAGGACCTGGATCAGCTTCAGCATCAGACGTACTATCTTCGTTTCCACTTCCAACCAGGTGAAACGCCGCAAACACATCCCGCGGCCAGGCCTCCAACAGTATCCGCCGTTCCGCTTCGGAAAGCCGCAGTCTCTCGCTGTAGTACTCCAGCAAATTTTATCCAGGAAAAAAACACCATCACAATCACACTTAGGAGGTTTTGCATCAGAAATTTGTCTCGTATGACAAATTTTTCTTGTATTGCAAAAACACAAAAGGAAACTTGGTTGGATACCTATAACACTTGACTGTGATGCATTTTTGCGCATGACAAAAATTTTTGTATTGCAAAAATGTGCAAAAGTGATTGTGATGGTGCTTTTTTCTTGAATAAATTTGTCGTCACGCACGGCCACAGTGCGTGTCGGAGCAAGAAGGCCAAGGGCTCCAGAGGGGTAGAAGAGGATGTAGTTGAATTCGTCCACTGTAGTAGAGACGGTGCTTTTTCTGATGTCGAGATTTGTGCACAACTTGTAGTTTTTTGTCGTCGTACATGATAGCTGTAGAACTCCTTGTCATGTCCAAAACTGGTGCCAACATCGTCTTTGCGACAACCCGATATGACGCAGCTCGTCGGAGGTCCAGCCAGAGGCTGTTGGTCGGTTTTTGTCTCCGTCTCGCGACCAGACACGCGGTTGTTCGTGTTCCTCGTGGTCGTGCCGCAACAAAGTGGGCCCAACGCATTAGAAGTTGTCCCCCAGTATGTACCTGTAGTTCGTGCGCTCCACTGTTTCAATAAGCGCGTGGCATTGCGGTTTCTGCATGGGGTTTCTGCCCAATCGGGGTTTGCCAGCCAAGCCCGCTCCAGTGCGCTGGACTGATACTGCAGTTCGGATTCTTGTCCAGGTTCAGCCTGTGCTGGCAGCGCGGTGCTCTTGCTTCTCGGCTTCGTTATGGTTTGCGCAACTACGCCGGATGCGATTCCAATGGTCTTGAGAAAGCGAACGACAAAGCGCTGGCATAGTTCTGCGAAAGAAAAACTACCTGCGTGGTACCTGCAGCGACCGCGAGTTCGGTTCCGCATAATCAAGAACGTGCTGACCAAAACAAGACGCATGTGTGTACGGGATGAGAAAAAATGTGACACACATCGATTGTTGTTGAGTTAGTACCACTATATCGAATTATAAAAACGGGGAAAACAACCTGGACAAACGAAGACAAAGAGGGTGACTTACTCCTTTATCGTGGACACCTGACTGCGTTCGTCCCAAATTCGCGAGGAACAAGAGGTCTTCCATTCGTGTGGCTTCGGGTGTGCTTTGAAATTTTCCTTTTCAACAGCACATAATCTTTTTACTGTTGTCACTCTGGCAGCGCAAATTCGCACTGACCACGTACTTCTACTGAGGTTTCATACATATTTTCAGAACCAACAACTGACTCGTCTCCGCACTGTAACTACTGTTAAAAACACTTGGTTCATCTGGTCGTGCGGAAATCAAAATTCGCAGCTCGCTTGATACTTCTGATACGACCCTGCTATTCATCCCGTCTGCGTTTCTAGTACGTGAAGGCTGTGAAGCTGAATTTTTGTTCCCGCTTCCCAGCGTCGTCCTCAGGGACTTGCAGTCCCGGTTGACCATGCTGCTGGTTGTTGTTCTCGGGGACTAGTACAACAGGGGCTTTACTAGAACCTTTTTCCTCGACATTTTCTTCGATCTCCACTTTCGCCTTTTTCAGTGCAGGTTCCCCTGACTGCAGCAGCCCGTCGTCGTTACTGCACTTTTCTTGTTCCCCATGACCTCTGTCAAATTCCACTGCTTCTTCCACTTCGCTGGCGCTGAAGGCGAAATTGGCCAAGTCATCGTCCGCAATGAAATCCTCCCCGGACCGATAGCCGGCAGCCGAACCAGCACCGGCTGCGGAACTACTCCGGGAGGACCGCACGGCGGGGCTGGGCGGCGGAGAAGTAGTATTTGTAGTTGTGTTTATTGGCGGGAAAGGTGGCGATTGTGGTTGTAGTTCATCTAGTCCCTCTTGTTTCTGATTTTCCCCTACTTCTTCGACGTCGTGCTTATAAAAGCCTTCTTCGATCAAGGCCGCGGGAGGTGGTTCTGACGTTTCGATTTTGGGTGATGTCGCCGCTTCTTGATGCCGTGCAAGCGGTGTTCGTCGTGTCTCTTCCTGTTCTGGTGAAATAGGTTGGACTTGTTCGATAGTATTGGTATTCATTTTATCGTGTCTTGTTTCAGCAGTGTCGGCGACGTCGCGGCTCAAAGAAGCAGCCACCGTTTCGGAAGGTGACCTCACGGAATCATTTTCCGCACGAGCTTGAGCAGCCAGTTTATTTTCCGTCGCGACGATACCGATAGCGGCGTCGCCTCGTTCTCCATTTCCATGCAGACACCTATCCTCCGGCGCCGAAAAACAAGGTTCGGCTACCTGTCGCTCTTCCCCCTGGTGATGCTCTACGCGAGAACTTCCCAAAGTACTAGATCCAGCGACCGCTTGTTGTTCCGTCGATGCTCTTTGCACTTGCTCCAGTCTCGATATCTTTTCTTGTTCATCTACAGGTACAATTTCGGGCGTGTCGTGTCCTCGCGGGCTTGGAAGAGCTACAGGACTTCCTTCTTTGCAGCCCAATATCGTACCATCCTCTCTTGCTTTTGAAGCACCGGTGGCAGTAGATTCTGGCGCAAAAGTATTTTCCTGCTCCAGTTCCTTGACCAACTCACTTGTTGTCCCTGGTTCTCGAAGTTGCCTTGCTTCTGGTTCGATATTGGCCGGCGCAGAGTTTTTACTTCCATCATCTACCTCGTCTTGAAGGTCAACAAAAAGGTCTTCCGCAGAGAGCGGATTTTGCTGCTCCAGCTCGGCATCCACTTCCTGTGGCTCCGTATAATTTTCAGCCTGCTCGCCAAGGAGCTTCGCCGGTGTAGGGCGTGCCTCGACGGAAGATTCATTTTTTGTGTCGTTTATTTTCGGTGCATCTTCCGCAACAGCTTCTTGTTCGGTGGAACAAGCGCGCAGTGGTACAACTCGTGGCGCACCTTCAGCAGCACTTTCATCTGTCGGTGCTCTCTTCGTTAGATCACCACTGCCAGCACCCGCAGCCACATCGGGAGGTTCTCCAGCTTCGACGCCCGGTGAGCACAGTGCCGTCGTTCTTGATTTGTCGTCGGAAGGTGTCGGAGGTAAAAACGTATTCAGAAGCAGGTTGTCGAGTGGGCTCGAAATCATTTCTTCCAGAACTGATGTTCCGGCGAGGACGTCTAGCGTTCTTGCACTTTCATCCCTATTTGACGTGGTTCCACACAATTTCGCTTGTAGTTCCGATCGCAGCACAAGTTTCGGAAAAACCACCTCCATGGCGAACCGGCGTAACCTCTGCACGCACCCTTCGAGCGCCTCGTCTTGGGAATTAAAATTATCGGCAGACGAACAAGAAAGAATACCCGCTTCGCTCGTCTCCGCGCGCATCCAAGGCAGCCAGGCTATGGCTTGCAACAGGAAGATCCGGAGGGTGGATATGGAATTGGAAGTCGAGGACGCGCAAGAAGATGACATATTTGATGTTCCCTGCAGCTTGGGAGGTGGAGCAGGAGAACCATCAACAAGGTCTCGACAGAGACTCAGGACATTGGTTTCCAGACTACTTCGCCACTTTTCCCGTTCCGCGAACAGTCGCAGGAAAGTGGTTGTCTTACCTCGATACAACCCGCGAGGTTGTGGTCCAGGTGAAGGTCGATTGTTCTTCCCAGGTGAAGCTGTTCTAGGATTTTTTTCGCTACTCTCCTGCCGTTTCCAAAAAGCACGTTCCAGGTCGTGGGGCTCGGCGAGGTTTGTTTTTTTCGATGGCAATATCATTCGGGAGGATGAACTTGAACTTGAGGTTGCCGAAGATGATGCGGTCATGATATTAACCCCAATATTTGTGCCGGGGCCACGCGAGGATCCGTTGTCCAGTGCAACTTCAGAAGTGGCTGGATCTACTTCTCCTGTTGTTCCTACCATGTTGTTCTTCACCGTCGTCATTTTTCCTTCCAGATGAAAGGAGCTGCTGTTACTTATTTCTAGTTTATATATGAATTTCTCAATTATGTTCTTGCGTAAAACAAATGTATGACACTGTGCTGTTTCTGTTTGGAAAGAATAAGAAAGTCACTTATAGCATTGAGAATGAAGAGCCTATTTTCTAGATCGTCGATATCTATGTATCCTGATTAGCAAACAACATAATTCCTTTCCGGGTCCAACCGGCCGTAAAGACAATTTTGAACGGGAACCAGATATTACGAACGTAGAAATTTCAATTTTTAGAGTTGAACTTTAGGGATCATATTACCGTGCAATAGACCGCTGGCACGATTTCAATGAATTTAACGGCAGAAGATCAAATGTTGTCGAGAGGGCATTCAAACTTACTAGGACGACTTTTTGATTGCTCGTGTATAAAGCACGAGTAAACAAATTTTATATGTCGGACCACCAACCTCGACTACGGAAAACTACGCAACTATTTAAACATTTGTTCGATTTCGCCGAACATCGCACATTTGGTCGTGCACTTGATCATGGTTTTTCCGGTCTTTTGTCTCTTCGGAAAGACCACACTTATTATGTAGTTCTCCTTCGCTTACGGAAACAGTCACAGCCTTTCGAAATTACCACGCACATCCATCGTACAGCAGCTTATCGTGAAGTGCCAATGCCAAAACACCCAGCACCTGTCTGAATTTTACAGAAAAAGAAATTTTAAATTCAAAAACGCTTTCCAATTTCTCATCTTCCTGTCCAACTCGTCACGTCGCTCCCAGCCTCTCGACGATTTGCTCCTTGAACATGGCAAATCCCAGCAGCATATCAAATGTAAAAGTGTCTGGGTCTGGAAAGTTCGAACTTGTGATGCTAACTTTGGACTCTAAAAAAATCTGTATTGCATGACCAGCAAGAGGAGCCACATTTGTGCTACGCGAGGAGGGCATTTGTCATGCGGAAATGGCACCAGGAATCTTTCCAAAAATCTGTGATGCTGGGTCATGCATTACAAGCATCATGGGTCATGCCAGACAAGCATGACAAGCCTTGCATTCTTCCAGACCCCGCCATTTTTACATTTGATACAGCAGACCAAAAAACAGGACCATGAGGCCGAAAATGAAGCTCCCATCGGACTTGTCGGAAACCACGAGCAGCACCCCGATGACGCAGAAACTGGCCGCCGCGGCTTTCCCAATGTATATCAAGTGCAAAAATGTCTGGGTCTGGAAGAATGCATGTTTGTCATGCTTGTCTGGCATGACTCTCGATTCCGTCAGGCACGTTACCCAAGAGCTCCATTTTTCTGTCATGCAGAAACGTAGTTTGTCATGGAGAATAGGCAACACCTAGAAGCTCAGAAACTTGTCATTCTGAGCCAGCACTTGTGGCCTCATCAGGATACGCCACCCAGCATTACAAGTTTCCAGACCCAGACATATTTATTAATTTGCAATGCATAATGTAGGAGCAGTTGCAATTGACGCTCATCATGGTTCCCTCGTCCGTTCGCTGGATCGAGACGCGCTTGCTACTGGAGAACAACGAACCTAAGGCGCCGCCGGCGCTACTTGCATTGGTGCCATTGGTGCCGCCACGGTCGCCGTCCTCCACCTCCACATCGACCTGGTTCGGGTCCGCCGCGCCAGCAGCCGCTGCAGTGCCGCGTCTACTGTTTGATGAAGCGTTAGAATTACCATTTCCGTTTCGCCCCCCAGTGCCGCTAGAAGCGCCGGCAGCAGTAGATGCAGATCCTGTCGCAGCAGCTCCTGCGCCGCGGTTATTTTGGTTCGTCCTTCCGTTGGTACCAGTTGCGGTTCCGCGATTTGTTGAGCCGGAGGAAGAGCTAGCGCCGACCACGGGGGCTCCGACGCCTCCATTGTTGTTGCTCCCCGAAGACCCGGCCGCGGCGCCGTTTTGCCGATTGGAATTGTTCCGACCGGCAGTGGTCCCCGCTCCGGAAACACCTCCTCCGGTTCCCCCGCGTCCGCTGCCCGCGGCCGACGCACTCTTCCCGACCACCGGGTTCGCCCGCCGCACGGGAATGTCCTTGTAGCCCTGCCCCGCGCACGCTTCGCACACAAACCAGCCCCCCTGTCCGCGGCCGCCGGAACGCAGGCGGCCCTCGCCCGCACACCGGGTGCACTCAACGCGCTTGTTCTCCATACCGATTCAGATGATACGAGTTGGACTTGCAGCTTGTGTCTGTGATTTGTCTGCGGATAAGTTCTCACATCAAGAAGAAAACGTCGTTGCTCGCATTTGGTTCGCAATCATGACATCCTCATCTCTTCTCGGACCACGCTCGCAATTCGCATAGCTTCCTCAGTGCAAACAGCTTCAGCTCCTTCTAGACGTCGCTTACTCTTTTTACACGACGGTCGCGGCAACTACCGCTTTTTTCAGAACCAAAAACAATCGGGAAAAGATGACGCTGCATTTGCAGTGTGGTGCGTATGCGCCGTTCGCAAGATTCCCATACAGGATCCACGTGGGAGCTCGAAGTACTTGGTTAGAGCAAAGCTTTGTTCGCTATCGTGTCGTATTTTAGACCACATTTGGGGTAGGGGCATCAGCGTCCAAGCCGCCTGATGTGAAGTAGTTGACGGGATGCCAATGCTACTAGACTAGGGTACAGAAGAAGGGGTAAGGGTGATGTCGCTAGGTCGTAGGTTGTACATGAGGAAGAGCGGGCTATACTTGCGTCGGGCAGAGGCCGAGTCGTGCTCTGCGATTTGTGTACAGAATCATTTGTGGAGATGCAAGGGCCGGACAACCGTCCCCCACATTTTTAGTAAGTACCCTGACGTGCCAATGCACCCACAACTAGGTCAGGTGCGCGCAATCGCTATCGCAAAGAAATGAATATGAAATTGTTGATTCGTAAATGATAGAAAAATTGGTTTGATGTCGCATAGATATAGCAGTTGTTCAAAAAAATTCTAAAATGGTATGCCAATATCGCACCTTACTAGACGTCGAAAAACGACTTTGCCAAAAACTACAGAATCTTGTGCTTGTCCCCATTCAGACACATTCGTGCCAATACACACCAAACAAACTTACATACAGGGTGAAGTCGAATCTGACCCGCTGCTGAGTCCAGCAGTACCTCGCGCAACTACTGCCCGAAGGGAATTGCGACGGGAATTGCGTTCATCACCGCGTGGTCACAACATCACCTGGTTCGCGTTGCGGCGCTTGCAGGAATGGAGACGCTGCAGGACAAATACTACAGTATTCGACCGTGCTCGTCGTGTGACAGGAGTGCTGCGTGCGGAGTCTTTTCTTTTTCCACCGCCCTGCTGGCGCAAGGAAACTAGTGGAACGTCGCTGTTTTCATCTTCCGCACCAGCCACGCATATTATCCTGCTCCTTAACTTCCTGTGGTAGAACAAGAAGTTCTACTGTGCTCAGCTCTACTTCCATTTGCTTGTTTTCCTTTCCCCTGGTGGTCCTCCTGCTTTGGTCGCCGGATACTAGGTAGAGTGCACATCAAATCGTCGACCGTCGGCAGTCCTCCTCTTACGTCTGACTGCGCTTCAAGAGTGCGTGAAAGTTCTCCGCCAGGTCGTAGAGTATTTTGTGGAAGCGCCGCTGGTCGACCTTCGCGATGGCCATGGTTTCGACGAGTTTGTGTGCCTCCATCGGCGACTTTTTCAGCGGCGGCGCCAGGTTCTGCAACCCCTCGCGCAAACACGTTTTGGCGTCGAACTCCATGGGACCCTGCAACATGGGGCGGATCACCTCCGCGACCCCACCGACCGTGGTGGCTTTCGGGTTCGACGCGCACATTGCCATCAGATTCAGCAGGGCGGACACCAGCTCCTGCACGCGGCCCTCCCGCTCCCAAAGCGGTTTCGCGAACTTCACCACGTCGGGACCCTCAGACGCCCAACGGAGGAAGGAACAGAAAAACCTGGTGTGGGTTTTGGAAAGTAAGTGCAAGCTCAAATCGTGTCGTTGTACTGGTGACGTTGGACTACAGCTGGAAAAAACACGGCAAATCAAGCGCATGCAGATGTTACAGTAGCAACGACAATGAATTGCCATTGAGCAGCTCGTGTTCATCGTGGTCAACCTCAACCACATCGAAGATCTTTATCGTACTATACCTCAACACCGCGGTCAGAGCCTGTTCGTGCGTTGCTATCTCGGCGGGAGACTTCAAAAACTGCAGTGCTGAGTCGAAGACGTCCGCGAGCCAGGGGGATTGCAGCGAGCCGTTCGCCAAATTGGACCACCGCAGGGCGTCCCCGAGCATCTCGAAGCACGCAGCCGCAATGTCGGGCTGGCACTGGTGCTCTTTGCACAGCCGGGCAACAGGCGTGGCGAAAACGCCCAGGAAACCTACCAGCTGATCGTCCACTTCTTTTATACCTGTAGTGGGTATCAGTTGTGTATCTTATGCATGTTGAATTTCATGCACGGAGTTCTGCAACAAAGCGTTCTAGTGGTAGTGTGAGTGTCCCCGATAGATACCATGGCAAAAACTTTTTATGAAACAAATGCTTTTTGTTGAAAATCATGACAAAGGCAAGCAATACCATGCGGCGCGAACAGGCCCATGACGGTTCTGACGAGGGTGTAGTAGGCTTATCCAAATGAAAATTTAAATTCTGCGAAGTTTGTTTTGGAAAGCGAGAACAAAACAGAGGCAAACAGCGTTTTTTTTCTTCCACATCCCTCCATATAAAAGGAGCGCCAGCTCACTCTCGACACAAGATACGCCTCTTCTTCTACGACCTGTATTACACCCCACCGTATCAACAACAATTATCACACTTGGCCATGCAATAACTACAAGCGGACGACGCACGTCATAAATGCGATCATCATGGACAAGAAAAGACATCAATTTATTGTCTCAATCTTCCCGATTCATCGCAGAATAATTTTTTTTCTTCCCATAAGTGTGTCGTTGGCTTCACCTCTGCCGCCTTCCCGAGCAGATTCAGGGCTTTCCCCAACAGTGGTGACATGATCGCATGGGCCTGCGCGCTCTGGAAAATGAAGTTCAGGGAGAGGCAGAACTGCTCCACATAATCCTCCCAATTTTTCGTCACGGCGTATTCGGTCATCCTTTCTATCTGCGGCCACTGATTCTCCCAGAAGCTCAAAACCGGGTGCTTTGCGTCCGAGTTCTCTGCTATCTGTTTATTTTTCATGATGTGTGTTGTGAATTCATACTTTTGTTTTTTGAAGATGAGGCTCGAATAGTGCAAAAAGAGGAGCAAGGGGAGGACATCGCAACGCCACAAATCAACTATCTGTATCTGCATTGTGTAAAGCGATGATGAAATTTTCAAAGCAGGCTCTTTTTTCATCCAGTGCACGACATTTCAAAGAAAATCCTTAGCTGTACCTTTATGTCGTAGCAACAGGATAAAGCTGCGAGATACAGCTTCAATTCCGGGGGTCCTTTCCCCTCCCGATTGTCCGGGTAATTCAACACGGACTGGGGCGGTTCGAGCCGCTGCACGAACTGCGCCAACGTCGATTCCAGCGTTTGGTAGTCGCGCATGGCTCCGATGATGTGCCCTACTGGAAAGACCAGCTGGGGCCGGACGTCAGGGTGAAAATTGCCGTTTAACACGAGCTCCACGATGGAGTTGATCACTTTCGGCCAAAACTGCCCGTTGTCAATCTCGATCAGCTTGTCCTTGGCCGCCTGCGTGGTGCTGCGCAGCGCGTCGGTGCAAATCGCCTGCGCGTACTGCTTCAGGTCTTTGTCCTGGCACTCAATTTTGGGCAGACTGGGCAGGAGTTGCTGCAACAAAAACATCAGCGTCGGGACCAGCGCCTCCTCCTTAAACGCTAAATACCCCGCGGTGTAGAGGATCAACCGTCCCGCGCTAATCCGGAGGAGCAGCGCGGGGAGGCCGGTTTCGGGGTAGGGAAAATTTGGTATCCTCTCGATCAAGCGCGGGATCACGTTGTCCTGGCCGGCACGGGCGCCTGGAATTGTTGAATTTGGGTTTGTTGTACTCGTCTAATATGTGTTTGGCATGACAAAAGCTCTTATACGCAAAGGTGTTCCGCATGACAAAAAAAAACTTTTACGTGGTGCGACGCCGGTCAGGATGAAAATTGCGGCGTCCAAGTCGTTCCACTCGTGTAGCTTGTTGATTTCGTCCCCCACGACGTGTATTACCCAGCTGACCGGCAGAACCTGGGCCACCGCCTCGGTTAAACACTGGTTGCACTGCTCCCGAAACCGCACAAAATGGTCCGTTTCGAAACCTGTGGAGAGTGATTTTCAATTATCTTCCCGGGCCTCGCGAAAGGAAACAACACAAAAGGACGGAAGTTGCCTTTGACACAGCTGCGGGGACCGCAACTGAACATGATCTCTTGTTTGCAGATCAAACCTAATAAATTAGACACTATACCTATGTGCGCATCCGGATTTGCTGGGTACCTGGTGCATTTCAAGCAGGCGTAGGTAAACTTTTCCAGCCAGGGGTGCAGCTGCTCCTTTTCGCAGGCGTTGACCGGATCGCTGTGGTGACTGACGATGGCGCCGTACCAAAATTCCAGCCCGCCGCGCGCCAAGTCGACCTGGCGTATCTGCAGCCAGTGCAGTGCCACCTCGGCGAATTGGTCGCACCAGTTGGCCTTGTGGAGCAGTGCGCGGCAGTAGTGCGGGCCCATCTCGGCGAGGATACGGGAAATAAGGTTCATCCGAACTATCGGCAGTTCCGCGTCGGGCGACGTGGGGCCGGACGGCAGCCAGGAGGCCGGATCGATGGGTGGGCTGAGCAGATTTGCGAGGTTTATGGTGGACCGGGCGACTAAGTCAAGCGCCGGTGAGGTGAGTTCCGAGTACTCGTTGGTGAGGCCTATGAGCGCAATCAAACAGGAACAAGCGGCATCGGCGATCTCCATGTCCTCTAACGCCAGGCACTGGGCGGCTTTTTGGAGCAAGGGATGCTCCCAACACTGGGGTTTTTTGGTTTGTTCTTGTTTTCGTGTCACGAATCCATCGACATAAAGTGGATCCGGTAAGAGCAGTAGATACAGATTGCATCTCCATCTTCAAAAATGTAGTATAATGCTGGCTCATTTTAAAGTATTCTTTCATTATACCCTTCTCCTGATAATCTCTGCGGTAAATTTAGCCCCGCTTTCCTTGCTCGCGATCACCTGGGGTGTGGGCAGGGAAAGCCACTCGGCGGCTGCCTGTAGCTTCAGGTGTGTATCTGTTTCCGCGCCGGCCAGCGCGTCAAAAACCTGTTCCTGTGTGAGCAGCAGCTTGTTTACGAGCTGCATGCGCTTCTCTGCGTCGACGGTCACCTGGGTTTGCAGAAACGGGTGTGCTGTCGCATACTTCGCACTCTACTTCACACGGAAACATGCGATGTTGCCTCGAGCGCATCGATAATTCCAAACAGGCCAAACCCAAATTATGCGGTTCATTTTACACCACAACTCCTAAACAAACAGAAATACATGAAAACTCGCTGATCGTGTACCTTTGGACTCTTTACTTCCTCGGGAAATATCTTCAACATCTCCAGCATGGTTTGGTAGTGGTTCACCTGCAGTGCCTGCACCGCTTTCTCCAACGAGGCGTGCCCGTACAGCGCCAGGTCGGCGTAGGCGACGCACAATTGTCGTTTCACGACCGTGATTTTTTTCGCGTTGGGGATTGGCTGGTTGCCGTTCTGCGCGTTTATCATCAAATTGCTCAATTCCACGATGAATTCCAAAATCCGATCCGCGATTTGCATGGTGGCCGATTTCCCGGTCTGGGCCTTCTGCGCGAGGAGGTTCGCTGCGAAAAAGAAGGTGAGCGGGTCGGTGGCGCCGGAGCTCTGCAGGAGCTGCAACAGCGCCTCCCAACTGCACCCCTGCTGCCAGGCCATCAGCCACTGCGTGGCCTCCTGCGCGCCGGTGGGCCCGGAGGGGGCGTGGAGCCGGTGGATCTGGTTGATCACATCCCCCATCGTGGTGTTTGCCGTGGGAAGGGATGAAGAGGAGCTCGCCGTCGCTTGTTGACCGAGCATGATCTGCCCGGGGAGATTTTGATTTCCTGCTAGAGGCGCAGAAGTTGTATTTGCACCTCCACCTGGTGCGCCTGCAGCTCCCGGAAGCATGTTGTTGATATTACCGCTGGTCGTGAAAGTAGTGTTGCCATTCGGAACTGCTCCACCTGTGCCGAAATTAGAGCCACTGACCATGGCCTGATGCGCGGGAGTGGCCAGGCTGGAGCTGCTGCTCATCCACGACTTTGTTTTTCCCGCCTCTTGCTCGTGTGCGTCTGCGTGGCCTGGAGGTTGGGAAAGATTTTATACTAAATTCCGACTTATGTCGTGGTGAGAAAAAGCCGCAAACAGCGGCCCGTACTTAATATTGGGCGATTAAATTTATTAGTGTAGTCGAATCGAAAAAGAAGACGAGAAATGAACCGCGCGCATAGAACCAAGTAGGTACGTGGCCAAAACTCGTCTAGTGAACATAAATCTGAAATAGAATTCGTAAGGTACTGTATTCTGACGACCTCAAATCAGGAGAAAATGTTGTTGAAAAAGTTGAGAAGTATACAACTTCAAATGAAATAAGCTACACTAGACTACAGACGACGAAAACAAAAAACGACGAAAAGCTACCCTGCGTCAAAAAAAATGTGCATCGAAAAGTGTTATAATTTCATTTCCTAGTAGTGTGCTAGCTCCGCTGCCCTCGTTGCAGCTCTACAGCAGAGCCACAAGAAAGCCGAAACGGGTCCTCACGCGTCCAGGAAAATAAACTGTTTTCGTCTGTATTTCCTATCAAAATCGAGGCGTCTGCTGCTGTTTTGTAGTCTGTTCTTCTTAAAAAAACCTCCGCCTCTGTACTATCATCGTCACGTGAACTACCCGTCATCGTGTTTAATATTAAAGGTTGTTTGGTCCTCTGCTGGATCAGGCGATGCGAAGATTTTGTGCCTCTGCTCTGCCGAAGATGTTGTGCTCCCTCCGCATGCGTCAGTGCAGCGGTCTGGACGTAAACATAGCATGGCGCTGTCGCCTGTCGCATTTCAAAAATAACCTAGCGACCTCCTTCGCTCATGGTGTTTTTCTTGTCGCTTTTCTTGCGACAGACTCTAGGACACTGTAAGCCGTAGCACTAGACGCAAGGAACTTGAGCTTCAATAAACTACACACAGACAGCACGACTACGGACTTAAAACCTCGTATGCCGCTCGGCACGACTGTAAAAATGATCCTACTTATGAGATGATGTTACTAGTTACTGGGTTGTTGGTAGGGTTAGACTTAAAAAGGTGGCCGGTACTTAAAAATATCATGTTCATTCTACTGATAGATTCGCTACTCGTGCGGAGAAAAGGCTGTGCTATAAGAATTCTGACCTGAAGAACATGGGATCGGAGGAAGAGGTACACTACTTGGTAGTAGATAAGCGAAACAAGCGTGAAAATTTTAAAAAGTAGTTTCGGGCGTTTAGTGTCAGTAATACCACCTCCATAAATGAGAAGAGAAAGAGAAACAATGAGATTTCTAGCAGGCCCTAGAAGTACATGCAGAAGCCCGGCCGAAGCAGGTGGTTGCGCTCGCGTTTTCGTTTTTTCTCGTACGATTTCCATTGTTATTTGATTTTTGCTCAGAAATCATGTTGCAATCAATCGAAAAAACGGATGAAGTGATTTTTGATCCGTGTACGGGAGCAAAATGAGTGTGCTTTTTGCTTTTGTTAGTCATCGTCGTTGCATTGAACACAGTTGTTGCGTAAAAGTGTCTACCTCTGACTCGCTTCTGCGTATCAATATCTTCTTGATTCCGGCATGCATCGATGCCAACGAGCTGAATGTGCTTTATTCTGCTCGTAGTTTCGGTCTTCAGCTTAACTACTTGCTCTTCTATCTGACATCAAAACTTCTTATGCACAGCACGTATTCAAAAAAGCCCTTCCATTTCCTTCACCCGGTCGCGTTTGTTGCGTTCCTTTTCCGAATAGTACTCCGGCCTGATGCTGTATTTCAGTTTCGACTTGCACAGCGTGGAAAAGGTCCCCTCCCGGGCCATCTGATTCATGGCCGCCACCCGGAGAAAACCCCGGCACTGCAACTGACTCTTCCGGTTGCGACACTGCTCGTGCCGGCTGCCATAGGGGTTTAGTAGTGTGGAGTCCGCGGCGGAATTATCCTTCAACCGCTCTGCTTTCAAATTCAGCGGCTCCTGCGGATTGTAGCACCCGTAGATGGGTTTCTTGTTTTTTCCCGCGTTGTAGTATTTACCTAAATTGTTGTTCCCCACGGCTTCGCGCATCGCGGTTTGGGCCAGCATGCACTCGTCGTACGGGCTGTATAACCCGCTCAGGTGTTACAATCTCAAACCTTACAATAGAATATGGAAATCTGTGATGCAAGAGTGCATGATCTAGCCAACTCTCATGGGATTGCGCATGACAAGTTCCGGAGCCCCAAACCCCACTACAATCTGGCGAAATTTGTATTGCAGAAAGTGGAACGCTCTGCGAGGTTGTCATGTTCAACATGCAAGACAAATCTCAGACTCTATTGTAACGTTTGAGATTGTAACGTCTGAGCGGGTTATAGTGTGGACTCCCCGTTTTTACCCGGCTTGGTCTTTCGGGCGAGGTCCAGGTAGGCGTGGCCTGGTTGGTATAGTATTTAGAATTAGAGGTGTTCGTGTGTAGTTACTTCAGGGTCCAGTATTGCAGTTTTGTTTATACGCCAACAAAAACTTTTTATTTCTATCCAGTTACAGACTCTTCGATTGTCATGCGTCTTCACAAGAAACTGAAATATCGAATTATACATGTTTCCACGCCCCGTTTTCTTGCCTCATTCATCTTTTCCATCGCCACCACCTTCGCCTGCTCCGCCTGCAGTGCCGCGTCGGTCATCTGTTCGAGGTTGCTCTGCGCCGAAGCATTTTCGTGGTTGATATGGATTATAAAAATGTCTGGGTCTGGAAGATTGCAACTTGTCATGCTAAATCTGCAGCATGCAAAAATCTGTGTTGCATGATTGCCAAAAGTCGCCCAGTTTTGACCAAGTCGGGAGGTAGTTTCTCATGCAGGATAGGCATTAGAAAGGTCTCGCAGAATCTGTCATGCTAGGTCCGGCATTCCAGACCTCATAGGTCATGCAAAAGCAGCATGACAAATCGCGCATTCTTCCAGACCCAGACAGTTTTACACTTGATAGTTGACCCACTCTTGCAAAATCCGTTCCTCGGAGGAATTGTAAAACCGAAAGAACGCGGTCTTCGGAGAAGATATCAAATTGGAAAACTTTGGAGAACTTTCCTGGTGATTTTTTGGCGTCTGTTCTTATCACAAATGTTGTAAGTATCTGCGTGAACATGAGAGTTCGTTGCGCTCAACGTTCGTTGGTGGTCTTGAAAAACCTTTGAGTTACTCTTGCGCGCTTACCAACTTGTTCGCATCATAGCGCGGGACACGATGCAAAGGCAAATCGATTATACATGTAGAAGACAGATGCACGCCACGCCAAAACACCACGACAAGCAATAGAGGGACATCAAGTCTCCAAATTGCTTAAGCTTCTTCAAGAAAGAGCCTAGATGAAGGAGGCCACCGTTTACGACGTAGTCGACGGTCAAGGTCATGTTTTGCCTTAAATTTTTGACCTGGTATCGAGGAAAGCATCCAGAATTTATACACTTAGTGTCGATGTGGAAGTTGTAAAGTATCTCAGCACCTATCTGGCAAGGAGAGTAAGTACTTACAAAAGAATCTACGGGTCTTGGTCCGAATGACTTTCAGCACCTACTCAACTTCAAATTTTTCCATACGACGACAACGACGACACTGGTGGTGCTTGGCGATGTTGTTTTATGATGTACAACTTTATGCGAAGGTGAAAACGACGTCGAAGCAGGCGATTCGATTTTCATTTCCTTTCACGATGCAGCCAAAACGCGGACGAACAGCGACGGGCAGAAGTTGTTTACGATTTTGGAACTCAAAGAGCAAGTTATGACACAAGGTGTGCCCAGTAGGCATCGCAGCTCTGCCTCCTAACTTTGGCGCAACTATGTATAGAGAAACAGAAACAGGAAATCTCTATTGTCCTACAGCGTTTCATATTTTCTTGCCCATCATGATAGATATGAATGTCAAAACCACTCATACTTCCCTTGGCTCGTATAGCCCATAATTTGATGTTCTTACAACATTACTCGTCATACATCAAAAGATGCTGTATTTGCCGAGTATTAGTATCCCTCATGAAAATGATGAACCTGCGAAGCACTTCGGGCACTGGAAAAACCAAATTCTTACGGGTCCTTTCGAGCCAACGCAATAGAATTTCTTCCAGGATAGCAGTGTTGACGAAGCGCATGAAACGATCCGCGGATAGGGAATAAGCGCCCAAGAACTTTGTGACATTCTCGTGGGGCGTCGTCGCTCCTAGTGCGCTATTGAGTTCGCGTTCAACTTCTTCTACAGACTGCAATGGTGGCCACCTCTGCCATTCGCTTTGGAGCTTTCGAGGTTGACTCGAAGCTGCTGTTGCTGCACGCCAGTTAAAACACGTGATTTGCCCCGTACGATCCTTGAAAATCTTCCACAATGCGACAAACTGCTTCGCAATCGGATCCAACTGATGTTCAAGAAGATGGCCGTGCAAGCTCTGCGCGAGATCTGTAAGTTCTCCAAAAGAACACTCCAAGCTTGCCTGGATTTCGAGAAAGAAGTGAAGGTCTTTTTCTAGCGGCGTTAATGGTTCTTGCTCGTGGGGATGCTCCGAGGACCATTGCTCGCTTCTGTCACTGCCCTCTTTGTGTTTGTCAAAAACCTTGTCGAGCGCCCCGCGAATGAGTGCCTTCGCCCCTTTATTTTCTGTCGGGAACCACGTGCACGTCGCTAACCATTTTTCCACCTGCTCTGCGATTTCCGCCATGCTCTGCCTTTTCCACCTGCTCTGCGATTTCTGCGGTTTCTCGCAGGGCACGTAACGTAGCAGTGGCACTAGAAAGCCAACGAAATCTGCATACAACTCCTTTCCCCCCTTCTGGACCTGCCTCGAGGAGGAGAGAGGTCCTTCGGAGTTCAAGCATTCTTCCTCCTCGCGAAGCTCCTCTGCATCAGACGCACAACGGCTCGGCGCCTTAGTCCCTTTTCCAGTAGGAAACGTGCACACTGAGTCTGACAGCGTCGACAATTCTTCGACCTGCTCTTCTATGTCGCTTATTTTTTCTATTAGGTCAGGGCAAACCTCCCGAATCATCAAGGCAATGAACACGGTGGCGTAGGCGCCGAGCGTCCGCTTGCTGACGGTCACGCGGCCTGCTTGCTGCTTTAGGTACTTCCTGATGGGCCGATATGTTTCCTCATCCGTTCCGAAGGCTCTATTCCCAAACAAGTGCTTGAAGAAAATGTTGTCGACAAAGCTCAGAAACCCACCGAAGTCGTCGTAGCATCTGTCGCCCAGAGGGTGCCACTTTTCGTCGACCCCCTGGCACATGTCCTGCACAAGTTTCGTCTCTTTCCACTTAAACTCACCCTCGAACGAGATTGCATAGCTGGTCCACGAAAAATCTGCGCGATTCCGTACCAGCTGCAGGCGGCTCAAAACTAGTCGCACCTCGGCCGCACGTTTCTCCGCACTCTCAGCGGGGAAAATTTCGCGGCAGATGTCTCGTATAAACTCTGTTGTCGCTGTAGGAAGGTCGCTTGTCTCGCCTTTTTGGAGCTGTTCCGTAGTTGTTGTCACCATTTTCGTCCGTCGAAGGTTCATCTTCGTGGTCACAAAGGATTGCTCAAAATCAAACGAAGATAGAGTACAGTAGCTCTTTACACCAGCGATAGGGATAACGGTAGGTACGATACAGATCGAACAAGGTACTAGGCTCTTGCTGGGTTCGAAATAAAAGATTATTTGAGAAAAACTTTACAATTTTTCCTTTCAAATACTAATCCTTAGGTCCGCACCGGACTTACGGACCACCCGGCCGGGTGGTCCTTAGGTCCGGTGCCCCAAAAATTACTTTACGTAACTGCACGAGCTGCAACAGCTCAGTCCCACTCTGACGGCAGAGCTCCTGCATGAGATTCCGCATGTATTCAAGGGCAGAGCCACACTAATTCTTGCGCGAGCTATACTGCTCAGAAGGCTTGCACTCGCGCGATGCAACTGAAATGCAATTTTGTTCAGTTCGCTATGCTACAGTGCTTATTTTCAAACTTCCCTTTGGGATTTTAGTTTTCAGTAATTTCTTGAAAGGGCGGCCCTTGGCGAGTTTGTTACTGGCGCAATGCCATAAGCAGTTCTAGATTGATGTAGTGCAAGAAGTTTGCTCTTTGATATGTATTTGCTGGACTTTCTATATTCGCTTTGCGCTCAAAACGTCACCCGTTGGCCGACGTCGATCGCGCAGGCACAGTCACAATCGTGTCGGGAGCGGCGCTGCAAGAAAACAGCCAGCACAGCGCCAGCAATTGCCCATCACTAGTTGTGTTCATCATCACCGCCATCACCTCTTCCTCCAATCAATCCGGAAACGCCCCCGCCCCGGCGACGGTTGCGACGGCGGCATCGGCGTTGGTTGTGACGACACTGAGGTCACCACCACCTCTTTTTCTTCCTCCAATCCGGCGACCGACGGTTGTGGGCAAGTCGCAACGCCGCGGGGGGCACCAAACCGTGCGTCATCCGTGTCGCAACCGTCGGTCGCCGGATTGGAGGAAGAAAAAGAGGTGGTGGAGGAGGAAGGAGTGGTGGTGGTGGAGACGCTGACGCTGCGCCGGCTGTTTTTCTTGCGGCGCCGTTCCCAGTACTGTTGTGGCTGTGCCTGCTGCGCGAACGACGTCGGTGCCTGCGCGAACGACGTCGGCCAAAGGGTGACGTTTTTAGCGGTAGGCGAATATAGAAAGTCCTATAAATGCATAGACTGCAACGCATAATCAAAAGCGAAGCTTTCTAAATAGCTTCAAAACCAAATAGAGAGCCCTTCCTAGTGCATGTAAAGAGCCTTCTTGTACTACGTCAGAACTGCCTGCTATGGCATAGGGCCGCCTCTTCGTGCAGAAATTGAATAACGTGCAGAATCTCGCGGAAGAGTTCTGCCGTCAGAGTGGGTCTCAGCTACTGCAGCTCGTGCAGTTACGTAAAAGTAACTTTTGGGGCACCGGACCTAAGGACCACCCGGCCGGGTGGTCCGTAAGTCCGGTGCGGACCTAAGGATTAGGTTTGTGACCCTCCTCTAATAGCTTCGTCAACATCGCTGTCAGCGAGTAAATATCCGCCTGAGAAGATCTTCAGCATCAAGGAAAAAACTGAAAGAACGGAAGTGCGAATGCTGGCAGGGTTGATCTAGTAGCAAACTACCCGCAAAGCGTCTGCTCGAGAGGACCGCTGAGGGGCAGTTACAAAGTGATGACCTGAAGGTTCTTTCTGCGGATCCACCTCCTACGTCTGGAATTGAGTACGCAAGAAAGCAACACAACATCTAGATTTTGGAGCAGGTGCTATGATATATCATGATCTTGAACATCAACGATGGAACCATAGGTCGTGCTGAACACCTTCAAATCACGCACGCTGTCCCGCGATTCAGTTCATTCAAAAATATGAGTAAAAATTATCCACCTGTCAAGTGGCTGTCTTACAACGCGTCACAACTTGTTCACACTCTATCTGTTGTTGCAGCCGGCACCACACAGGTTTTTTATCATTCAGGAATGTTGAAGTTGCTCAAATCCCACTGCAGAACTTTTCCGTCCAACCCACAGGTTGCGAACCTGTGCGGCGCCCGGAGAATCCGCAAATCCGACACGCGTTTGGTGTGGCGCAGCTTGTTCAGGGTTTCCGCCAGGGCCGGGTTCTTCGGCATCATCCAGCTCTTGGGCTGACCCGCTTGCCGCCGTAAACGCGGCAGGCGGTCGCGGATAGAAGTCGCGGGGGCTGCTGTGGGTTGACGTGGTTCGACTGGTCGGTGGTCTGCTGATGCACTTTGCAAGAATCGGTCACTGGCTGCAGGTCGTTGCGAATTTCCTCCTCCTCCAGTAGGATTCAGTATTTTTCCGCCAGAATTCATTTGACCACTACTGCTCGCTACAGCTTCGCCCGCCATTCTCTCATGGTCGGTGCGTAGGTGTTCGTGTGGCTGACCGGCGGCGGCAGAGGACGAGCCTCTTCTACTTCCTCCGCCGATGAGACTCCGGCGAATCGCTTGTTGCATTATACTGCCCCCATGGTCCTCGCCGGTCTCATCCCTAATGCCACCAACAGAATTGCTCTTATTTCTGGAATTCGTTATTCGCGTAAACCCACCATCATGGGCGGCTCCTTGTGCGGCGTCGTGCGGGCCACTTGTGGTCGTGGTTGTCCCTCCGCGGATCCAGCTTTTGTCGTCGAGTTGCAGGGAGACTCGCGGAGCGGCGGAAGTAGAGCTGGATTTGTTCTGCGCGACAGAACTGTTGGACGTGTTGTTCCCGTTATTCTTCTCCGGCGAGGCGGACAGACTCAGAAGGGCGGGATTGTCGTTGTTTTTCCGTTTGTTACTCTCGCTGTTCTTCTGTGGTACAAACCCCACCACCCCGTTTCGAATGTCCCCGACCGGTTTCTGGTAGATCCACTGCGCCGGGACAGCGAGGCTGTCTTTTGTAGTTCCCTGCTCCTCCATTGGCGTGGTGCACTTTCTTCTGTTCGCGAGTAGTAAGTCATTGTCATCTTCGTCCTCTCCGCGAGAATTTTTCAGTCCTCTGTTCATTCTTTCCACTTCACTTTCCTCCAACACTGCCGAGCCAAACAGACCCGGGAGCTTCAGCTTACTCGGCCCGGCCATGGGCTGCTGCGAAAGAACCTGTTCGGCGACCAAATAGCCGCCGCAGTACCAGGAGCCCGGCCCGGTTTCGTCGGCCTCGTCGAAGTAGAAGAAAACTGGCACGTAGTCGAAGCCACAGGCAATCAGGATGTTGGGCGCGAGAAAAGCGACGCAGGACAGCGGGTAGCCCGTGTAATTGATGATGTGCTCTTCCCGGGTAACCATGTTCGTAATGGTGATACTGCTGTCCTGGCGGCACACCGCGAGGAGCATGGCCTTCTGCTGGAAGGTGGCGCAGGTCACCCAGGAGTGCGCATTCCCCGCTTCCAGCACGCAGGTGCCGAACGGGGGAGCCAGTTGGGGTGGGGTTTCTGGCTGTGCAGGAGGAGGTGCAGCGGGGGTAGAACTGCTTGGGGTCGGGCCCACTTGTTCATTGCTTTGTTCTCGTTCCTGCCCCACCGCCTTCACGTTCTTCTGATTCTCGTGCTCCGTGCCACGACTCGATGTCGCCCCGCCACCCGCGCCGGTGGCCCACTCCTCGGGTGGGGAAAGACACCCGTCATCATCGACGTCCATCTTGTCTGCAGCTGCTGCCTCCAACTCCGGAAAGAGCACGTCGGCCTCGCCAGGATTCGCGGGACGGTTGTTTGTTGAGGTTGCTCCGCTATTTTTATTGCCGCCTTGGTTCTGATGTCCTGTCGCTCCACCTGCTTTAGTTTTGCTCTCTGAAGACGTGCCGGCCGAAGCGGAATGATTCTTCACCCCCACACTACTAGCATCCCGGCCCGCGAACGTACTGTACACTCGCGCGGATTTATCAGCCCCGCCTACACAGAGGAACAAATTGCCGCACCACGCCAGCGCCGTGATCGGGTGCGGGCCGTGGGCCCCCTGCTGCTGCTGTTGGGAAAACGAGAAGTAACTTGACATTGAGCCGCCACTGCGCAGCGGGACACTAGAGCTCGGCTGTTGCAGCGAGATGCGCCAGGCGGACCACACGTCGCCGCTCCGTTCCTGCCGCCGCGTGCACACCACGCACTCGCCCGCGACAGTCGCGACGGCGAACCGCGAGGCATCGGGCGACCATCGTGCGCACACGCACCCGTATAAACTGCAAAAGTATCGCACTCGTATAAATGCATTACAAATTTTAATTTCCTCAGCATGAGAAATAAAATTTGTAATGCTGATTTACCTTAAGGAAAACGAAAAGATTTGTGATGCATGATTGCAATACGAGTACGATACTTTTGCACAGCATAACCCGAATTCCACGTCCATTTGCACCAGCTCCGGCTGGTAAACATGCTCCTCGTTCGGAACCGGATAGTACAATTGGTGGTGGTCCCCTCTGCTGTCAATATTCCGCGGGTCGTGGTGGTCCTCTGATGTACTTCCGGCTTGTACCAGCGCCAGCTCGTCGCTATTTGCTGCACTGGAAGTGGAAGAACTATGTATGGTCGTGGTCATACCGCCTCCATACGGCGGCGCCCGGCGCCACACGTAGGCGCACCTGTCGTGGCCGCACGAAACCAGCCAGCCAAAGCGGTTGAACTGGTATCCAATGCAAACACGTCTGGGTCTGGAAGAAATTTGTGTTGCTAATATTGACTGCGCAGCAGAGTGGCCGCTTGTACGGCACAACAGCATGAAAAGTTTTTATTTCGCGGCTTCAAGCACATTAATTTTCATTCTAATTTAGCAGCACAAAATACGACTTAACATGAAGAAAGAGGTTGCAATAATTCCTATTCCAATCTACGCATCACAAATCTTGTTGTCCTGCGAAGCTCGCATCACAAACCCAAATCCACACATATTTGCACTGCATAACTCGAAGTCCGCGACGACGTCCGCGTGTTCCTTCAGCACCGCGAACCGATATCCATTGCAACTATGTCTAATTCTGGAAGCTTGCAAAACTTATCTATGCAGTTTTTCCACGCTCCACAGAGTCTGGAATGCAAGCCTGCGCATCACAGGTTCTGCACTTTCTTGGTCGTTGTACACGTAATGCCTATTCTCCATGCGAAATTCCCTCTCAACAGCATGGCGAGAAGTGCAAGTGGGCATTATTGTATTTACAAGTTGTCACGCATGCCAGATTTTTGTGTGACCCGCACCGCGCATCACAAGTTCGTTCTTTTTCGGAGGACCCAAGAAACATATTTGCAGTGCATACCCGGCTCCACTCGGCGAAGCGGTAGCGGTAGACCCAAATCTCGCTCGTGGACGGGGAAGTGAGGGCCATCGTGTCCTCCCCGTGAAAAGCCAGCCGGCTGACCCCGACGGTAGTCGCCTTGCTTGAGAACACGCGTAGTGGCTTATTGAAAGGAAAAATCCCCCCTCCCCATATCAAGACGAAGTTTCTCATGCTGGATTTCCGTACATAAATGCGCGCTGTCTTGCAGTAAGGCATCGCCGCCTGATCCTCAGCCTATGTAGGGGCGTTTGGGTCTACGTCTAGTTGTTTAGCATTAGAAACGGCTGTCCCCTAGGCCCAACAGCATGCCACATGGCTTCCATAATTAATGGCGCGGAGGCCTCTGCACTTGTCCTCTGGCAAGACAGAAGTTGTTTGTGGTCTCAAATCAGCAACACAAATTTTCGGAAGCATACCTTTTCGATGTGGGGAGGAGGGATTTTTGCTCTCAATACGGCTCTATGCATTGCAAAAGTATCGTACTCGTATAAATGCATTACAAATTTCCTCAGCATGAGAGATAAAATTTGTAATGCGGATTTACCTTAAGATAAAGATTTGTAATGCATGACTGCAATACGAGTACGATACTTTTGCACAGGATAGGCTCCACCGCACAGACCAGCTCTTCGAGTTCTCCGAGGTATCAAGTGTAAAAATGTCTGGGTCTGGAAGAATCCAACTTGTCATGCTGATTTTGGATTCTAAAAAAATCTGTATTGCATGAGCAGCAAAGGGAGTCCAAGTTTTGCTACACGGGAAGAGCATTTGTCATGCAGTACAGGCATCAGGAAGCCCTCACAAAATCTGTGATGCGAGGGCATGCGTCACAGTTATCAGGAGTCATGCAAAATGTGCATGACAAACCTGGCAATCTTCCAGACCCAGACATTTTTGCATTTGATACGAGGTGCTGCTGGCTCATCTTGTTTCATCTTCGCGATCAAAAAAAACGCGGCTCAAACAAAATTTGCGCTATCAGGTTCTGAAACTATCACTGTGAATGTACTATCACACCGCGCGTGCATGCGCATGCCGTACAAGCAAAATAAACTGCAGAAACTGGTGCATAGAAGAATAAAAGCAGTGGCCCCTGTATCTTCATCACTCTTAATACCGGATTACAAAATTACAACTTACAACTTCGGGTTCTTCGTTGTTTGTGTCAGGTACAACTACGTGCTTTAGGACTAAATTTTGCGTTGTACTGAAGTAGAAGTTTGAAGATCCGTAGAAGGCAAGAAACGCTCTTTGTGAAGAAAAGCTGCGGCTTTGCTTTCGGGTTGAGAGCACGGAGGACTGTGTGGAATGACGCTTGGTGAACACAAGTGCTGCTGGCGTTACGTCGTTTTTCAGCATCTCTTTCTTCTTCGTCTGTGACTGCAGTTCTTGAAATCGCTGCGCGTCTTTCTGGTGCTGTTTGCGCACTAGTAAAGCGAACTCACTTGCCACTGCTGCAGAGGCCTCACCTTCTGGACACGCCTATTAGTATTTGCAACGCCAGTATGTTTTTGTCTCTGACGGACTAGTAGGATGGTTTTGTTCCTAATTTGCGACGTCAGTCGTGTTTTTATAAACATTTTTGCTTCAAGCTTGATTTCCACAAGGTTTAGCCGAAGCCGGGCATACTTGGCACTTCCTGCTTGTTGCCTAGCGCACTTTGAAGGAGGAAGTCTTCGTTTCATCATCTTCGGCTGCTGGTCTTCCTCGCATCAATTGCAAAAGCGGGCGCCGTCTAGTTTCAACACAAAAATGCGCTCGTCCTCGTGCTTATGTATGATCAGGCGCAGTAGTACTTACCCATACGGACGCCATCGTCGTGTGAACGAAAGGAGGCCCTCGTTACCCTACTTCTAGTTGTATATCGCCACTGTATTTATTCCCTGGTCCAAAGCCGCCCTGGCCCGTAGCGCAGCCTGCCGATTTCGTCTCCTCCACCTCCTCGCCCGCACGTCCTGCAGCACAACCTTCCGGTAGCCGCCCTGGAACGCCGGTAGCGCTACGTACTGCTCGGTATGCATTGCAAAAGGATCGCTATTGCTATTGCACTCGTTCTCGTACAAATTGCATAAACGATTTTGCCAGAAAGAAAATTCAAGTTTGTATATGCTGATTTACCTAAGAGAGAGGATTTGTCAATGTCATGCATCACCGCAAAAATTACTACGATGCTTTTGCAGTTGCTACTTAGCGTGCGGCGACAGTTCGTCCACACGGTGGACGTGCTCGTGGCCGGACAAAATCCCTACAACCGGACCCTTCGGCGAGAGGTAGTCGGCCAAAATCTCGCGCGCAAACCGCTCGGTGGACGGGAGGTTGCCGCTTTTCGGCCACCGCTCCCGCTTCTCCACGTTGTAGCCCGTGTCGTGGGCCCAACCGAATTTCCGGTCCCCACAGAGGATGAACTGCGTCCGCTGCTGCGCGCCGCTAGGGTTCTGGACCAGGTCAGGATTCGCCTGGTGAATTTGAGTTTTTTCAATCATGAATAGATGTATCTAAATTAATCTGAGAGTCGCCGTGGCCGACGTGTCACTTCATCCTTGACACCGATGCACGTGGTACCTACCGGTAATAAAGAACAACGAATAGGTATAGGTATAAATACATGCAATCCGTAGTGCATGAGCAACAGGGTCGGCCGGTTTCGCTGCAACTGTGCCACCACCGCCTGTCTCGCCTCCTCCCGCACTTGCAGATCCGAGTTGTCGATCGCGACAATCTATCCTGTGCAAAAGTATCGCACTCGTATTGCAAGTCTTGCATTACAAATCTTTTGTTACAAGGTAAATCCGCATTACAAATTTTTTTTCTCACGCTGAGAAATATGTATTTCTCATGCATTCAATGCATTTATACGAGTACGATAGTATTGCAATTCATACAATCAGAAAGGGACCCAGCTCGGCAACGGACACTGGGGACTCCGTTTCCACTGTCGTTATTGGGAAGCTGTACAGGTGGTTATCCGGTGGTGGGTAGGTGGAAGCATAAGCATTATCGTCCGGAGATGAAGATACAAGAACCATATCGCCCTGCTGTGCCTGCGCTGATGCACTGCTAGTTGCACCAAGATCGTCGACTACACCTCCCTCAGTGTGCAAGTAGATGTCGGCTTGTTGTTGTTCCCCCGGTCGTTGTATCCTATCAACAGAAACAAGCTGCTGTCCGTCTTCTTCAGCCTCTGGGGAATTTCGTGTACTACCGGTAGTTGTACTCCCAATCATGCCTCTCCGAAAGTATCCTCTGTTCATTCGCAGTGATTCTGCAGTCGCGTTTCTGTTTCGGTGGTGGTGATACAGCATCAGATTTTTCACCAGTTGCGCAGGAGGAGCCCGTCCTGCCCCACTGAACGAGCCACTTTGATCTAGCATTTCATCTGCATCTCCTGCTCCACCAGCGGCAATAGCTTCGCCGTTTTTAGAAGGACTGCTTGATGCCATAGCTGCTCCTCCTCCTCCAGGCAGCGTCGCGAGAGGATCATTTTTTCGTGATGTGTCCGAATTATGCGTATGCACTGCATTGCTCCCGCCCCGACCTCCAAATGCAGCAACCACAACCGGCTGTCCAAAGCTGGCAAACAGAAGCGGTTTCAACACGTTTTCGTAAGCAGTCTGCTTCTGCAACAACAGCGGCTCCTGGGGCTTTCCCTCGGTCATAAAGTCGTGATTGCCGCCCGTGTAGAGAAACCGAATATCGTGTTTCCGCAACTCTTCTAGCACCCATTCCACCGCGTTTGGTTGGGGAAAGTTGAACAGGTCGCCGCCGAGCAGCAGCAGGTCTGCGTTTTCTCGTTTGTACAAATCCAGCAACTTCTGAAACGTCTCGCGGGGGTTACTGGTCCGCGCTCGCGAGCTGCTAGCTGGAGCAGCTGTGTCAGTGTCTACACGACCTGTTGGTTCCGTCAAATACACGTTCTGCGCGTTCCGAAATGCGTTGTCCATCCGCTGGTTAAACGGCCGGTCGCTATCGGTTAAAGGCATGTTCAAATGTACGTCGGTTACGTGCAGGACGGTCCACTCCCGGTTCTGCCTGGAGGTTTTGTCGTTATCCTCCAAAGAAGATGAACTGCGCCCAGACGAAATGTCGTACACACTGGACATCGTCGTAGATGCTGCACTTGTAGTTTTGCCAGCCCCCGACGTCGTGCCTGCACCGACGATCAGTTGTGAAGCAGACGCTGCGTTCTCACTTTTTCCTCGTTGCGCTGCTTCAAATCTATCGTGTTGATGCACCAGCTGCGCCGCAGTTGTTCCTGGTGCATCGAAAACCACGATTCGCGCGTTGAGCTGGTCGGTGTTTGTGTGGTTGGCGCGAAAGTGGAGCTCGGGGTGCGGTTTTTGGTCGAGTTGTACTTGGTCCGCCTTCACGAAAAATATGTTCGTCGCCGGTCCACCTCCACAGAAGAGTAACACGACGAACGAAAACAGCAAAAGCTTCATTTTGGAAAGAGCCCGCTCCGGTAGTAAACTCTACATATTCAGAATCTTCAAACGGCGCTTCTATTTGTTCTTTTTTCAAAACTTACACAAGGGCGCAGCCGCAGGCTATCTCGCGCAGGACAATATAGTCCCTGTCGCTAGCAGACCGCGCATATTATCTGAGATGAGGTTGGAAGAAAAGAACGGGACAACACTACAGAGAAAGATGTTTTGCGCTGCACCTGCGCGAAACAGCAACAAAGTACGCAGGCCCAGTGCGCCGGAACAATAAACCGCTTCTTCATAGAGGATCAACTCATTGCCGCTCTTGTTCAACGATCCAGAAGAGCCAGAACACCGGCGATTTCCTCGCACAAGGAATTCTTGTATGGCGACGCGGCTAATATTTCGGCGCGATGTGAAACTTCTCCTTCATTCATCCGCGCTAGGGAATGATGAAATTGTACTTTTACAATTTTCTCGATGGCATCAAAAAACTCTACAAGAACGCATTCCTCCACATCGTACAAAAGTACAGCTCAATAATTGGATTCAAGAATGATGTTGTTCGACCATGCCAAAGCGAAGCTCGGCCTGATGTGAGCATGAGTCTTTCACTTCTCCAGCATCTTCGTCCATATGACAAGAAACCATTTTTTTTTTGCCTGCGCGAGGGGATTTTAGCCTCTATACACGGCTACCCACATGCAAAAAATAAATCTACTTTCTCGCGATGACAAGAAACCATTTATATATTTTGTACATTCAATTTCAGCAGCACTCCTCAAGATCATTGTCCGCAGACAACACAAAAAAAAAACACTGTACATTTGAAAGTGGACGTCGAGAGTGGAAAGTGGACGTCGAGACGTTTTATTCAAGTGGAAAGTGGACGTCGAGACGTTTATATTCAAAAAGCAATTGGAGGGGAAACAAGTGCAGGGAAAACTGGTGCTGAAGCTGATCTTGTGCTTCCTGTCTGTCGGAGTTTTGTTTTGCCAGTCCCAAAAAAGGAAAATTTGTAATTGTATCCATCCCTCCTTCCAATAATTTCTTGCAGATGAGCAGTTGTATGCTAATGTACTCTTAGCCTTACAAAAACGCAATCTGGAAACTACAGCAAGCCTTAGCTTTAATTATATCACGCTTGTTTCTGGCTTGCCGCGTGCCTCATCCAATTTTCCTGAGTGCAGGATTTCCCGTTGATGTAGTACGCGGACTTCTCCACGTCGCGCACGGTCACTTTGCCCACACCGTGCGGAACGCCCTGCGCCCACTGTCCCGAGTACTGCTTGTTTTCGCGGGTCCTGTTGGATTCTCATTTCAGTTTCATCCTATTGATGTACTTCTACTTCCTCTACTTCCTAGATTTTCATTTCAATCCTGCAGCATAGAGATAGGCCAAGCTGAGAGTTGTATTTAAGTAACAATCGTTAAGTATTTCTTCAGCACTTGGAGGCTCCATCAAAACTACAAATTTTACCACGAGAGCGTCCCTTCACCGTGGCGCAGCGAGTCCACAAACTGCCCGACGTAGAAGTTATCCAGGAAAAAAACTGTGTAAGTGTAACTGTGTAGCGAGAATAGCATCACAAATTCGCTTTGCATTGCAGGGAAGACCTGACATGCGCAGCTAGTACGTGGAAACACGTGTGAGTGTAGCCTATGAAGCAGACCCAGCATGACAAGTGTAACAGTTTCGCACTTTCTGCATCACAGACTTACACTCACATAGTTTTTTTCTTGCATAGAAGTCCCCGTTGGAATACTGCCACTTCCCCTGCCCGTGCTGGGTATGAATTGCAAAAGTATCGTAGTCGTATAAATGCATTACGAATTTCATCTCCAGCATGAGAAATAAAATTTGTAATGCGGATTTACCTTTAGAAAAAGATTTGTAATGCATGATTGCAATTACTACGAGTACGATGCTTTTGCACAGGATACTGGGCGTTGTCCAGGAATTCCCCCACATACACGCCCTCATCGTCCGTGAGCCGGCCGTGGCCGCAAATCACGTTGTCCCGCAGCTGGCCCTCGTAACTGCTATCCAAGTAGAAAGAAGGGATGTAAGTGCATAGACACTTTATTTTTCGACCAACATTCCAGCTCTGAGTGCAAAAACCTCTCATGCTCAGACAGTATGTGAGAACGCCTTTGAATCATGGGTTTATATACTTATTGGGGCCTACAAAAATGCATGACCAGCATGAGAGACCTCCAGACGAAGCCATCTTGCATTTTGATTTTGCTGCGCATCTTGAAGTTACAGTAACAATCTTTTTCCTTGGATAACTGCTATCCAAGAAAAAAACATTGTAGGTGCAACTTTTTTGGAGGAACAGCATTACAAATTCGTCTGGCATGACAGCAAAAACCTGTCATGCGCAGATAGCACGCGAAAACGCCCTTTAGTGGACGCTGCGATGCATGCTAAGCATGACAGACGCAATCATCTTGCATGTTGCGCATCACAAATTTACACCAACAATCTTCTTCCTTGGATAACTGCTCCCATCCGACCACTGGTACACGCCGTCGCCCTGCTTCATATGGAACTGTCAGGATTGGAATCGCTAAAGTTGAAATAATTTGTGATGCCTAAAATGCAAGGCGCAGAGTGACTGTCTTGCAGGGATTGCAAGTGAGGCCGATTGTGAGCAGCGTGTTTCGGGTTTGGGATAGAGCTGCTAAAGTAGCATGACAAAGGACGCCTTCTTTCGCTAAACAGCATGACAAACTGGAGTTCCATGACGTCAAAATTTGTCATGCGCCGCTGGAAAATTGGGCTTCCAACTGGTATCGTTTTATAGATATACAAATTTTTCAACTTTGTCAATTTCAATCCTGAAAGTTCCATACTTCACCCCCTTGACATAGTTACCCTTGAAAACGGTCTCGTCGTCGAACCATGTTTCGCAACCTGTCGTGCAGCAGTTTTTCAACATGCTCAATAGAAGTTGTACGAAGAACCATGCACTCCCTCACAAATTAAATGCAATCTACTCTCTCAACATGTCATCATAGATTGATACATGTTCGTTGTGTTCGTCGCCGTCCTCATGCCCTTGGGCGTAAATTATGATTAAAAAAATTATGACAAAAAAATATAGCGATACGAATGAGAACTTGTTCTACCGAGCCCGTGCTTCTCGCCCGCCAGCCAGTTTCCCTTGTACTCCCCCGCCGTGTCCTTGAACCAACCGAGACCGTGCGCTCGGTTTTCCTCCCACTCTCCCTCGTAAAAGCCTGCGGGGTCCACGTACGTGTACTTGCCCCATCCGCTTTTGAAGTTCCCGCTCATCTGCCTGATCGTTGGTTTTCATTCACGATGGCAGTGCTCTGTTTTTTCTATTTGCATAGTTCTTATCATGTCATGCATTTATTTACTCAGCAACTACAGAACCGTCAGGAGTACTTCTATACTCATTACTCAAGCACGAATATCAGGATCATGTGAATGACGACCGCACTAGTACCCTTCATAAGAGGTCCCGTTCGGATTGGCCCGGGCCACATGGTTGTTGACCTGTTTGGCCTTGACCCTGTCGCCGTACTGTGCTCGTTTTGTGTCGTAATCCTCTTGGAGCTGCTTGACCTTGACCGCAATTTGGTCGACCCGATCGAGGCTGTCTTCCAGCGCGCGCTCGTCGTTCAAGATCTCATTGCTTTTGTCGCACACCGCCTGGCAGCACGCCGAGTTTCCCATCCTGATTGGGTCAAGAACAGCTACCGACAGAGATGGAAGGAAGCGGAACGAACGACGTCGTGGGTGGAAAAAAATAGGCCCGCAGCTGTTTTGTCGTGTCGTACTTTATTTCCGATTTCACCCGGGGTCTTCAACAACGAACTGCCCTATTTATTCCAATCAGCAAGAACTGAGAGGACCATTTTCACCCTGAAAAATCAGCTCTTTCGGTTTCGTGTTTACCCGACCTACAACCAGGCCCGTGATGCCGTCGCCGTCGGTGATTACAAATTTACAAAAAATACAGTTTTGAAAAAAACGATGTTGAAATGGGAACCTACAACATTTATGTCCACGTCGAAGTCAGTGTGTATGCGAGGTCAAGAGCCGAAACATAGGAAGGTATTTGTATTATTAACCAAGAACCACTGCTATATTTTTAGCAAAAACTTCTGTCAGCATTGCATCCTTTATTTCTTTCCGCCTGAACCCACCAAATAACCCCGAGCACCAAATAATCCCCAGAAGTTGTATAGATCTGCACGAACAAATAGCCCAATGGTATTTTTTGAAGAAGCGACCTAGTTCTTTAGTTACTCCACATCAAAAAAACGCGAATTTCTATCCCACACGCCGATCCACAGGTCTTCTTCTTCAAATCATCGGAATATTGCACGACAGAGTTGAATAATTAATACGAAAAATATGCTGTTGACCACAAGCTGGGTCCCTCACATGATCATAGACATGGTGACGATGACGACGGCCAAATATGAACTGCGTATACCGAAAAAACTCGAAGAAGCCGTACTATTCCTCACTATCTCGTGCAGCCCTAGGTAGAAATCGTGCTCCAGCGACGACGAATGGTTTTTTGTACGCTAATGATTTTATGAACGAAAACAGACCCTCGGACACTCGGACAGCAGAACAAATTTTCGCAGAATGCAAGCCGATGTTGTCGAGCCCCTTGGCCTGACAGATGGAAGTGAAACTCAATCGAAAATGTGAATGTTCTTTTTCACATCAAGATCAACTCCTTGGAAATACTTCTACTAACTTTTTTGCGTATTAATATTTGTAGTTTTTATCCTTGGCATGATCACCACGAGCCCTTCCTCGGAGTAACTAACTAGACAAATTTATTCGCAACGACCCAGCGACCGACTTTGGGAATAGTCCCCCCACAAAACCGACGTCCACCTCTCAAACTTCATGCCTGCAGGTCGGACACACTTTGTTTACCCGAAGCCACTGGTCCACGCAGTGCGTGTGGAAAAAGTGCAAACAGGGCAACGTCCGCACCTCCACGCACTCCGGCGCTTCGCCCGTCTCCAAGTCTGGCTCGAAGTATATGCACTGCAAAACCAAAAGCATCGTACTCGTATTGCAATCATGCATTACAATCCCTTTTCTTAGGGTAAATCCGCATTAGAAATCTCAGCTCTCATGCTGAGGAAATTTGTAATGCATATTTATACGAGTGCGATACTTTTGCAGTGCATAAAGTAGCCCTCCAGGCAAATCCGACACGTCCTATCGTCTTCGGCGAGGTTGTCGTATCAACTGCAAAAATGTCTGGGTCTGGGAGATTGCGAGATTTGTCATGCTAGTCTGGCATGATTCGAGAATCTGTATTGCACAAGCACGAAAGAGCCCTCTTAACTGTCATGCGAAAAAACAGTTTGCCATGCGGAATACATAAGACATGGCAGCCACAAAATTTGTCATGCGTAACTGCGTATTGCGCCGCGTCTATCATTCACTTGTAGCATTACAAGTCTCCCGACCCAGACATATTTGCAATGCATATGTCGGTTGCGCGAACCATTCTCCGCGGCAACGCCGTGATCTCCTCGTGCGTGGCTTCCTTCGCCTTCGTCTCCTCGTGCTCCTGGATTGCAGAAAGGAGCGCGTATCCTTTGTAAAAACGTCCCCACCCCAGAGATGTCATGCAGATTTGCAATGACAGGAACGCTTGTAATGCGCATCGCCACGAGGGGCATTTCTAGTCGTGTTTTGGCATTTGTAATGCTGTAAATAGGATAAGCAGATGGATTCCTGATGCCGCTGGCCTTGCTAACCTGCACAACGGTACGGACTGCAACTTGTCATGCGTGGCTCCCAAAACTTCTGGATTTGTGTTGCTAAGTTCCCAACTTGACTCTGGTGTGGGGACGTTTTTACTCAGGATAGCGCGTGTAAGGGGATCAGGCGGGGCTGGCCGCGGGACGAGGTAGAAGTACTACTAGAGGCTGATGATGACCACGCGCCACCACGAGCACCGGGATCATGATCGGCATGACCAGTGGAGCCACTACTGCTACCGGCACCACCAGTGGACGACGTCGTGTCGACATGACCTCCCGACGAAGTCGATGACGCACCGTCCATCCCCGGAATCGAGCGCAGCTCCACCATGGGGCCCCGGATCTTCTGCATTTCCCGAGGGTCGATCGGCTCCCCGGCCTCGGGGATAGAGTGGATCACGTGTCGCCGCTCATAGGGGTTGGTCGGGACCATCTGCCCACAGACGCACAGAACCAGCTCCGTTTCCGCCTTTTTGTAGCGCAGGGTCTGCTTGCAGGCGAAACACGTGACAAACCGGGAGTTCTTTTTGTTCATCAATGCTATCATGTCTGCCTGCGAAAAATCATCTATCCCAGGAAAAAACTGTTACAGTTACACATTTGTAGTCAGTTCAGCAACACAAATTTCTCTGCATGAGAGAGAAAACTTGTAATGCAGAAATCCTACGGGAAAACACCTATGAAACGAGGCCTCTATGCGTATCCGGCATGACAGAGTTGGTCTGTCTTGCTTTGGCCTGCAACACAATGTGTTACTGTAACACTTTTTTCTTGCGATATCATCGTCGTCGTGCCGACTGAGGTACTCCACCATGTCATCCTGAGGAAACACTTAGTACCCACCCCAAAGCTGTGATGCGAATTTGCATGCTAATGTATGATGTTTCTGTATGCGGCTCCTCATGGGAGGCGTAGTTTTCTATCAAGCTCGTGGCGTTCTTTGGGAATCTGTCAACATGCTCAACCTCAATCATCATTCGCCTTTGTTCCTACAAAGGCGTCGACTGGACTTGCAAGCTGTTTTTCTAACAGCTGTCCGCGCTTGTTTGCCTGCTTTCCACCAACGCACCCCGTTGGCGGTGCTTGTGCGTGCTTGTTGCAGTTCCCCGCTAGCTTACGCTACTACCTGATTGGAATTTGTGAAGCGCCCCAAGGAGCAGACTCAATGTCTGTGCTACAGCGAGTTGTTGGTCACTAGCTTCTTATCATGAGGAGCCTTAATGCCGATCGTGGGGAACGAGGAGGAGCGTGCAGGTGTGTGAACATGTCACCTGGTGATGATCCTAACCAGCCGAGATCTTTCCGGCCGCCATGTTGAACTTCGAGTGGAGACCTGCGGCAATGATCTCGCGTGAGAACCTAAGACCTTGTGATCAGAGATTGATCTTCTGCTGGTTGTAACAACCAATCCAAGACCCGGCAAGCAGAACTAGAGCGGCGGATCTGGGAGCTTTTCCCTTGATCTATCGTGATCTCGTCAGATCATCTTCAAAGCAAAGCAAGTGGAAATCTAAGCGATTTCTACAAACAGAAACAGCCATACGTGACCCGTTTGACAAAGTTGCCCCGACCCAACTTCTGCCAGCTTCTGCTGCAGCCTAAGCTCTGGCTGCAACTTGTGCTGCGTTTTCCGGAGTTGCGTGCAGCTACCGCTGCAGCAACATCTGCCGACTGCAACACCCTGGAGGTCGCTGCTGCGCCACCATATTTGTGTTGCTACTTCTACTTTCATGTCTCGCACTCGCTACAACATACGTCATCGACGAATGTTGTGCGAGGGGACTTTTGCCCTTTCCAGCGCCATGCGCTGTTCTGGCACTCCAAGTGCGGCATAGCCACACAGGGAGGCGACTACAGCCCTGAGTATGGGTGGCTCGTCCGCTGCTCTAGTGCAAAGACATATACGGGGGGAAGGGGGCTAGTAGTTCTTACCTTTCCCGCTGGGGGAATGGTTGGGCTCATAACTCTGTGGACGTCTCAAGCGTCAGGGACTGGGCATGCTCACTAGCATGCTGTCCGAAGATAGAGAACAGAGTTACTATCTAGGCACCTACCTAGTAGGTACTACGGAGAGAAAGGGCTCTTGATTCATTCCAGCTACTGGCCCGTAGACCAGAAGCCATTCTGGCACTGTTGTGTGTACGTTGTTACCATTGGTATGATTATCATCATCACCATCCTAGTGGTGTACTGTCCTGTGTGACCCATGTGGTCCTAGTGATCCTACTCGTGTGACCCCTCTAGGCTATTGCTAGATCTTCTACCTATCGGTGTACTTTGATCCTACATCTCTGATCTCATTGATCTCAGGAGCATGCTGGCAACTGCTCTAGTCCGAGACAGGTTGCTGCGCAATAAACCTACTGGCGTTCTTTGGGAATCTGTCAACATGCGCGAATCACCACAACAGCGCAGATTGGAGGTGATGCGTCCGGACAACTAGCAGGGCCCGACTACTTACACTGCACAGCGAAATTTGTCATGCGTGAATCGTCACTTGTCTTGCAGTTCTCTTCCCATCTCGACTTTGGGGTAGTGGGAAGGACGTAGTAGTTTTTACACAGGATACATCGCCTGCGTTTGCTGTTCCTTGTACTTGTTCGACCGTAGATTGCGCAAGGCCTGCAGCTGTTCTTTCGCTTTGTCTCCGGATGAGGTCGCACCTGGTGCGCCATTTATAGAGGTGGTCGGACTGTTGTTTCCATTCAAAATCTCTGCCAACACCTGGTCTTGCTTCTTTTTCAGCAAGGTGCCCTCAAAAAACGTGCATGATGCAGAACCGAGATAATTCCTATCTGGCTGCTGCTTCGTCAAGCACCTTTGCAGGTACTGGAGGTCCTTTTCTGCCTCCGCTTTCCCCCGCAGCCAGACGCAGGTGTCATTTTCCTTCAGCGTGAACCCCAGCAGGTGGAGCAGGGCTTCCAATTTTTTCGATCTTCTCGTCATCATATCGCTGGAGTTCTCGTCCGAAGGAGAAGCAGCGGGAGCAAGATCTCTATTTGATGTTTGGCGCTCCTGGCGGTCGTGCAACATGATCTGCAACGCGCTAGAATCTTCATTTTTCTGCTCCTCGTAGATCTCCTCCTGTAAAAACAACAGCGGCTCCAACTTCTGCTGCAGAGTGGCGTTGCCTGGCCGCAGCCGGCGAAACTTGTCGTTGTTGGGGTCACGCACCACGTTGGAGAGCAGTTTCTGTACCGTTTCTAAGGCGATGAGCGCTGCGATGAGAGGAGTAGAGGTTGTACTTACAGGGGATGAATTTCTTTTGCTTATGTCCTGTTCAGCAAGGACACAACTTCGGGCCAACCGGTCCACCAATGCCTGCATGATGTAATGATGGAACAAGTGGTACTTGCTGAAACGAACCAAGATCGGCTACTTATCAGATGCTCTTCTTTCTTCTTTCTTCGCGGATCGAGCATCAAGTCCATGCACGTTTTGTTTTTATCGCAAACTAAATCGAGAAGAAGCAAATGGCACTTATCAGTCGTGCATTTTGCAGTTTTTTTTGCGGAGACAATTCCAGCATTTTAATTTTTGTGTGTGAGAAACAATAAAAGCGTAAGCGATGCGCTCCGGCTCCTTGACGATCACGCTGGGGTGCGCAAAGATTAATTTGCTTGACTGGTAAAAAAATCTAAAACTAAATCGGGTTCGCCGGGGTTATCTCAAAAAAGAAGAATTCCTAGCATGGGGAAATATCAAGTCAGATGTGATGAACTGCGGGGATTTTTTCTTGTAAGTGATTACAATGTGCGCTGATGAAGGAGACATTAGCGCGACGCCTCACGATATCGGAAGCGCCAAGAATCACAACGATACTGCTGGTGCTGTGGTAAAAACTCTTTTGATAATCCAAATTATTTCAGGACGCCTCGCGCCCGTTTTCAAGAATGCCCGCGTTTTATTCTTTTTTGCGATCGCTCGTCGACGATCAAGGTGATGGCATCTTTCTCCTTTCCAATCTCCTCGATTTTCTTTGTGAATCACTTTCATACTTGATACTACGAAAAAAAAACTTCAACCGAGTGAAATCTTAGCAACCTAGTCACGATTTGGCGTTTTTGTTCGCAAATTGACCACTCCCCGTTGTTTCCTAGGCATACGTTTTTGGCTCGAACAGAATGGTCCTTACTCTGCTCGAGAGCAGACACAGATTGAAGTACAGCTAGAACACTTTGGTTTTGTTGCCCTCCACAAAAAGCTAGTACTTATCGGTGACACATATTAACCCGCCGCCTGAGGCGGCTACCGAACAAAAGTTGTGATGCGGTCTCCTGGTGAGTAGAAGTAAACGACTACGCGCGCCACCTACTTTCGCAGACGAGTTTTCATGACAGGAGTACTGGTCGTGAATAGAACAATGGGTTGCTGTTGTTCATCTTCTTCTTCACTTCGCCCCGGTCTGAATGATTTGACACAGCTCGCCGATATTGTTTGCCTTGATCGCCTGGCGACAGGCCTGCACGTATCAAAATGAAAAATCCCCCTCCCCATATCAAAACGAAATTTCCGATGCTGGATTTGTGTACACGACAAATGCGTTTTGTATTGCAGGAAGGCATTGCGGCCAGATACTCAGCCTAGGTAGAGGCGTCTCGGTCTAGCTGTTCAGAATGGCAAACGGCAACGGCTCCCCTTTAGGCCCAACAGCATGACAAATCGCTTCCATCATGGGGCGGAAGCTTCTGCCCTTGTCATCTTGCAAAAAAAATGTGATTTCTGACCTCAAATCAGCAGCACAAACTTTCGGAAACATCCCTTTTCAATATGGGGAGGGGGAGATTTTCCTTTCCATAGCACGGTGCGGGACTTGGCGGAGCCGCACCGAAGCCGCCCGGCGTTCTGCAGTGCTTGATTCACCTTTTTCAAATGGGACAGAAGCTCTTGGTAGTTCCCCGCGCGCTTTGTGTGTTCCGCAATCATGTCCCCATTGGTGTTCTGCAGCACCTGGTACGCCCGTCGCAGGTTCTTCATGTCCGCCAGAATGCGGTAGTCCTCCGCCTTCACTACCAACGCCTTTACCAGGTTCTATGGAATGCAAATATCCCTGGATGTCTGGAAGGTTGCAACTTGTGAAGCTGTCCTTGGAAGCTAAAAAAATCTGTATTGCTTGACCAGCAAGAGGAGTTCAGTTTGTGCTAAGCGGAGTGGGCATTTCTCATGCGGAGTACGCATCAGAAGGCCCCTTAAAAATCTGTGATGCTAGGGCATGCATCACAGGCATCAGGAGTCATGCAAAATATGCACGACAAACCTGGCAATCCCAATCTTCCAGACCCAGATATAGGTATTTGCAATCCATAGGTTCGAAGAGTCCGCAATTTCCGCCGTCAGTTTCAGCCGCGTGGCGTTGTATCAAGAGGAAGAATCCGCCCTCCCCATATTGAAACGGAAATTTCTGTTGCTGCATTTGTGTACACAAATCAGCTCTGTATTGCAGTGAGGCACTGCAGGCAAAGCCTAAGCCTGCTTAGAGGTGTTTTGGTGTAGGTGCTTAGCATTGCAGAGGCCTGCCATGTAGGCGCAGCAGCATTACAAATCGCCTGCATAGAAAGGCGGATTCTTTGGATTTGCCCCCCTGCAAGAGAGACAGGATTTGTGGTCTCAAATCAGCATCACAATTTTTTAGATAAAGCATACTCTTTCAGTATGGGGAGGAGGGATTTTTCCTCACAATACGTTGTGGCCCTCGACTTGCTTCAAAATCCTGGTGTATCCTGTGCAAAAGTATCGTACTCGTATTGCAATCATGCATTACAAATCCTTCTGTTTAGGTAAATCCGCATTACAAATTTTATTTCTCATGCTGAGGAAATTTGTAATGCATTTATACGAGTACGATACTTTTGCAGTTCATATGGTGAGCTCCTCCAGTTCCGAGGGAAAGTGCGCCGCAGCATCCAGCTCCTTCACCTGATTTAGTTTTAGATTTTCATTTTGAACATATTCATAATAATCTGCGACGCATAAAGTGCCAGGTGCAAAGTGCCTGTCTTCCTTGCAGAGCAGGTCAGTGAGGGCGATTATATATACGCCTGTTCGGGGTTAGAGATATTAGAGCTGCTACAGTAGCATGACAAAAGATGTGCTCTTTGCAAAACAGCATGACATCAAACTGGATCGATGGAGGCGCCACTAAAATTCGTCATGCTCCAGTTAGGAATTGGCCTACCACCTGGATCTTGGCGTCGATTTTCTGCATCACAAATTATTTTAAGTATGTCGATTCTGACACTGACGCTTCCATATCATAACGATAGCCATAGCCTGTAGTACCTGTAAATGCTGCGTGAGGTCCTCTATAATCTCGGCCGCCAATATCCCACGAAAAAGTGTTACAGTTACACATGTGTTGTCAATTCAGCAACACAAATCTTCTCTGCATGAGAGGGAGAACTTGCAATGCACAGACCATAAGGCAAAACACAGATGAAATGAAGCTCGGATGCAGTTCTGGCATGCCAGAGGTTGTCTATCATGCTGGGCTTGCAACGCAATGTGTAACTGTAACACTTTTTTCTCGTGATAGCCAACTCCAGGTCGTCGGTGCAGGCGACGAACTGGAGCTCGTGTCCTTAGTAAAAAAGTCCCCACCCCACAGTCAAGTTGCAAACTCTGCAACACAAATCCGGGAGTTTTGGCAGCCATGCATGACAAGTTCGTCTTTGTAGTGTAGTGCAGGTATTACGAATTCCAAAACAGGATTGGAAATCTTCAATGCTTCTCATGTAGATGCGCATTTAGAAATGTTCCTGTCATTGCAAATCTGCATGACAACTCTGGTGTGGGGACGTTTTTGCTCAGGATAGCTCGTTGCGGTTGTTCGGGCTGTCGGAGGTTTCCAGCAAGAGCGCCGTTTGCTTCCGTAGGGAAACAAACTGGCACTGCAGGTGCGCGTTGGAGTTGCTCGGGTTCGGGTTCTATCCTGTGCAGAAGTACTATCGTACTCGTAGTAATTGCAGTTATGCATTACAAATCTTTTTCCTAAGGTCAATCAGCATTACCAATTCCATTTCTCATGCTGAGGAAATTTGTATTGCGATTTATACTAGTACGATACTTTTGCAGTTCATAGGTTCTTTGCGTTGATAAAATTCTTTGCGAGCCATTGCCAGATGCGGCTCGCGGTTATCCAGGAAAAAAACTGCGTGAGTGTAAGTTTCTTGGAGGAATAGCATCACAAGCTTGCTCTGCATGACACAGAAAACCTGTCATGCGCAGCTAGAACGTGAAAACACGTACGAAAGTTGCTTCTGATGCATGTCCAGCATGACAGGTGTAACAGTTTTGCATTTTCTGCAACACAAAGTTACACTAACACAGTTTTTTTCTTGGATAGCAGTGACGGGAAGAACAATCTTCACGTTGCCGGCGGGCCGGCGTAGCTTCCCCTCGGTGACGAAGTGAAACATGGAGAACTATCCTGTGCAAAAACGAGTGGTCCTCACCAAACTGCTAATAGCTGTCATGCAAAATAATTTTATCTGCATGCTTGAAATGTCTCTCTTCATGCGGAGCCCGATGTTGTTGACGCGCAATTTCTAGTGCTGTTTTGAAATTCGCGATGCTCGAATCTTCAGCATGAGAAGCTAGTAGATCTGTGACGCTGCTGCACTAGCTCAACGCGATTGAGTACAACATTCCGAACCCAAACTTGATGTCAGGCGCAAGAGCAGCCAAAGCTCCCTGTTGATTTGATTTGCAGATAATTTCCAACTTGACACCTATGGGGTGGGCAAGTAGTTTTTGCACAGGATAAGAACTTGGGCAGCATCACCGTCTGCTCAAAGGTGTGGTACTGCTCTGACGTGGCGGACACGCCACAGTAGCAGTGGATCTTCATGTGGATTTCCGCGTTCTTGGTCGCACTGATGGAAACGGAGTTTTCGTTTTTCGCGGGCGCGAAGTGCGTCAACTGCGCCTCCTGGTCCTCAAAGAGGTGTTCCGCGTAGATCACGCACCCGCGGATCACGCTGTAGTTGTTCGTGGCTAAGCGAAGCCGCATATCGTATGTAAAAACGTTCCCACCCCAGAGTCACGATGGTGATTTTATTGCTACACAAATCAACAAGTTTTGGCTGTTTCGCATGACAAGTTTAGACTCGTAGCGTAGTGCTGTTTGAGGTAGTGCAGCCGCATGACAAATGGACTACCTTATCCTGATTCCAGCATCACAAACTTCCAGATTGATAGCATGAGAAAATGTCTCTCATGGGGCTGCGCATAAGAAAAATTTTAGTAGGTAAGTATGCCATTTTGCAATACAACTCTGGGGTGGGGACGTTTTTACACAGGATACCGCAGCCCGTCGGGGCTGGTTTCCAAACTGACCTGCAGCTTGGTGTCCGTGGGGATCAGACCCGCGCGCCCCCCGGACTCCTTCATCTGACGGATCTGCTCCTGAGATATGCAATACAAATTTCCCGTACATGTACAAGATGCATCACACCACTTTGGGGTGTAAAACTTGTCATGCTAAACTAGGAAAGAAGACAAGTTCTGCCAAGCAGAGACCGCATTTGTACGTGAACGGGAAATTTACTGTGGATATGAGAATCGAGAATACAATTTGTAGAGTTAAAGCTTTTGGTATCACTAAGAATGATCTTGCAGGATCATAAGAAAAACAAATTCAGAATAGATTTTGCAGCGATGTAGACCACGAGAGTTGACGAGAGAAGCGAAATCAAAAACAAACCACAGAAGAGCAAAAAAGAAACAGATACGTCGAAGCTTTTCAGCTCGTTCTGCAGGTCTTGTCTTTCCGCGAGCATCGCACGATACGCCTCGTTGTCCTCCTCGGTTTTCGTGTCTGCCGTCACGAGACCCATGTTTTTCTCCGCTTTTTTCTTTTTTTCCATCGATTTGGCCGCCGCGGACGAGGCACTGGCCCCGCTGGCCGCGGCCTGCTGCTGCTCCGCTAGAAACCCGTGCACCTCGCCGGTATTCGTGATCGCGATGATGTTTGGCATGCCGTCGTTTCGGTACCTGCCGATCACCAGTGAGGACATGTTGTTCGCCGCCAGCGTCTCCTTGAACAGGATTTCGCCCGTCATCTGGTTTCGGACCTCCACCTTCCCGGTCGACCACCCTATCACAACGTGCCGAATCCCGCCCGAGGCGCCCTCCAGCAGCTTCAGCCCCCGGACCTCGTTCTTCGCCGCCACCCGCCAGAGCCTCTGCGCCCAGTTCCCGCCCGCCTGAGACATGGCCAGACTGGAGCTGGAGGCCGAGGATCCGCCCTGGACCATTTTGTAGACGCCGACAGTGCCGTTTTTCAAGGCATAGGCGAACATGGTGGAGGAGATGCACTCGAGGTGGGTGACAATGTCCACCTCGGTTAGGGGGCTGCCCACGGAGGAGCAGGAACCTGGTTTAGAAGTTGATGTATCAATCTTGAAGGATCTTGTTTTACGCAGATTGAGAATCCTTTGCAAGTCTACACTAAACTCGGCAATCTATGATCGCTCATTTGTGAATCGAATCTCGTCCTCCGGGAGCTGTGCAGTGCTGAAGAAGCTAATGCTCATCTACATCAACATCTTGTAATCCGATGCATGACAACGATTTTCATGTAGTTCTCTGTACCTCCCCGTAGCGAAAACGCTGCGAGCTCGTTGTCCTCCGTGGCGACGAGCGTATGAGAAGGAACAACTCCGCCTGATACTCCCTAGAGGCATCTAGTTTCACAAGAAGCGAATCAAAGAAAAAAGCGCATACGCGTTCGCGTCGGGTCACTGCATAGCTCGACATCCGATCTACATAATTTGCACTTGCACTTCCTTGTGCCATAATGAGAAACGCGAATGAGGATCAGTACATCTAGTTGTACAACTAGATCACACTCATAAAGAAAATCCGCGATGCAATCCGGTCCTTCTGCGAAGGCCACCGCCGACACCGTGTCGCCGACCACGGACCAGAACAGCTCTGACCCCTCCTGATCGAACCCCTGGACGCTGCAGTGCCCGCCGACGAGGCACACGGGGCCAAACGGCTCGCGCCGCCCGAACCGGAGACGGGTGCAACCATCGTATCCTGTGCAAAAGTATCGCACTCGTAGTAATCGCAATTACGCATGACAAATCGCCTTCCTAAGCTAAAACAGCATGACACATTCCGTTTGTCATGCTAAGGATCTTTGTAATGCAATTTCTACTAGTACGATACTTTTGCATTTCATACGTCGGTAACTTCCTTCATGAACAGCTCAGAATTGTCCTCGATGTCGTACCTGGTGTTGAAAAGCGAGCGAGAGAATGTTTGTCATGCAAAAATGAAATGGCACGCCCAAGCTCTCATGCATGACAACCAACATCAAATCGTTTTGGGCTAGAAACAATAAAACAAGCCTTAGTAAACTAGTATACGCCATGACATTCGCGGGGGTCCCGACGAGGATGACATCTCGGTCCGGATTTTTCTCCGCCAAAGGCCCAACCGCGATGTCCGTATATGCAGTGCAAAAGTATCGTATTCGTAATCGTATAAATGCATTACAGATTTCCTCAGCATGAGAAATAAAATTTGTAATGCTGATTTACCTTCAGAAAAAGATTTGTAATGCATGGCTGCAATACGAGGACGATGCTTTCGCACAGCATACCGTAATCTTCTTGTTGATGTTCAGGTACTGCTGGTTGGCTGGGCTATCAAGTGCAAAGATGTCTGAATCTGGAAGAGTGCATGTTTGTGATGCTTGTCTGGCATGACTCTTAAATCTGTCATGCACATTACCCAAGAGCTCCATTTTTCTGCCATGCAGAAACGTACTTTGTCAACATGCAGAATAGGCAACACCTAGAAGCGCAGAAACATGTCATGCTGAGCCACCACTTGTGGCCTCATCATGATACACCGCCCACCATCACAAGTTTCCAGACCCAGACATCTTTGCAACGCATATGGGCTGTGGATCAGCACTTTCCCGGCCGAGGTCGCGGCGGCCAGGTAGGTAGTGTCGCTGTTGGACTTCCCGAGGACGCAGAGCCCATCGAACACCTGGTTCTTCAGCGAGAACTGAAAGGTGGAAGTTAACATCCTGTTCGTCGCAAGGCGGGGTCGGTGTAAGTCTAAGAAGTACTTGTTCTTCTACCTAGAAGGCTTCAGGCTCCTCGTGTAGGTACTTAGTTCTCCTCGGACCACTGGTATGGTAGCTTTTGTGTGCTCCTGCTTGAGCACAGGAGACCACACGCTCCAGTTTTTCTCCACTCGTCGTTCTGTGCGGTAAAAGGAGCTGTCTGTGGTACGTCTAAGTAGTTCTTGAAAAGCTATTGAAAACTGCGAAGCCGGAACGCCAACGCGCGATTCGGTCTTATTTCCCACAGAATCGCCACGGAGCAACACGTTGTCAACCGGGTACGTGTAAAATACGTTGTGGTTGTCGTGGCCGACTTACTTACTACATCACGTTCGAAATACTTCAACTTCTTCACGACGGCATGAAGGTGCTGTTTGCTGCGGTCTCTCTCGGTCCTTTCATCCGACAGGCTTGTTCCGTGGTATCTTCAACTCCCGCCCTTTTTCGCGATAATTGTACGCCAGCTGGTGAGTCCGTGCCATTGGCGCGTGTTTCAGTTTGGTGTTTGATAAGTGCTCCATCTCAAAACGAAAACACCGAAGATAAAGATTCATGTATTTTCCGCGCATACAATAGTTCTCAGAAACTCCTCCTTTTATCTCCCGCTCCGTACACCCTTGCCGCAGGTCCAGATGCACTCTGGTGTTGTAAAAACCAGTTCACTAGTAGTAACTCGCGTTGTGGCTTGCTGAGCCAGCGGCCGAAGTGATTCTTGGCTTTCCTAAGCTCATTCTATCTTCCTTGGTTGCTGCTCCGAAAAGTCAAAAAAGCACCGAAGTCATTTGCGGCAAGGAAGAGCAACCTTCCTGCCCGTCTTCACTTATACGAATGCAGTAAAAACACCATTCATAGAAGAACAGGTGCTACCAGCTTTGTTCGTTCATCTCCCGAAGCTTTGATACGGATTGGAGCGATTCTGCACCTCCTGGATAGGAGAAGCGGAAGCAGAAGCCCACCAGTCGTGTCCGCAAGTGTGAACTTTGAATTTTTTGCTTTATTGTTCCATAGTAGATACATTGCATTTTTTTTCCAAAAGCACCTTATCCACAACAATTTTTCATCGCACCGCCGCGGAGAAAATGGATATAATTCGATTACGTCGGACAGTCATCTTCATGATTGTGATTCACCATCGCAGTGACCACAGTCAGAGCACCCTCCAAACGCTCCACTAACATGGCTCTAGTAGTAATTTGTGTGGCATCTGTGCTCCTGTCTCCCCGCAAACTTGTTCCCCCTCGAATTTTTCCATCCCCCCAACGGCGCGGATGTGTCAAATTATGTCAACAACGATTTCAAACTAAGAATCTTCACGGAAGATAATCTACTCTTCCCAGTTCTGTTGAATGTAATAAGCAATAAACTTCAGTTTTTTTCGGTCTATCCACTTTGCTAGGTTAGTTGAATGTAATAAGCAATAAAGTAGTGTTTTTTCGAGGAATCGAGCATCCTGTAATAGGGTAAGTACAACCAGGCCTATTGCAGCAGGAATCATCAAGCATGGAATCTAGTGATATAATAGCTGCTATCGCCTAGTCATCCTCCTCCTCTTCCGCACCGTCCCCGATGCTGAGGAAGAAGTTCAGCTCCACGTTTTGGGCCTCATATGCATTGCAAATATGTCTGGGTCTGGAAGCGTTGGAACTTGTGATGCAAACTCTGGAACACAAAAAAATTTGTGTTGCATGAGCGGCAAAAGCTGCCCACTTCTTGGCACGCAAGTAGGAAGTTTCTCATGCGGGACAGGCATCATGAGGCGTGCTCAAAACCGGTGGTGCTTTTGCCTGCATCAGACACCATTTGCGTGATCCGAAATATGCATGACAAGTCTCGCAATCTTCAAGACCCAGACATTTTTGCATTTCATACCTCAGTCTGCTGCTTGATTTCCAGTACGCGTGTGCGGTTCCGCTGGATCAGCTGTTTCTGCTTGGCGTCAAAGAAACTGGTCATCCACCCACTCATTTGGGCCTGCATCTGATCGTCCTTGGTTTGCACCGCAAGCAGCTGCGAGTCGCTAAAGTTCGCCAGCGCCTGCGTCATGCCCTCGCGGTCGCTCAGAAGCTGCTGTCGTCGCGCGTCGTCGCCATGCTGTTGAATTCGGTAGGGACATCGAGTTGGTGTTGGAGCTTGAAAATAAATGCGCAGAAGCATGACAAACTTTGTCTATCAAGCGAATGAAGTTGCCTACTATGCAATACAAATTTCGATTTCCATGTGGTTTAAGTTTCACCTCACATTCAGATTTATATTTATACCTCTAATATCTCCGGTTGCGATGCAACGGCCTCGATTTCCGTGGAGGCGCCCAGTAGCAGGTCGTTTTTGAACGTGGTCGTGCACTCTTCGATATGCATTGCAAATATCGATCTGCTAGGTTTAGTAGGAAGGCAGTAGTTTGTGATGCAGCATAATCTAGTCAACACCGGGCATAGCGCAAGGACTTGTCATGCTTGGCTGTCAAAACGGATTTCTAAATCATCGTTGTTCTGTATCTGTTCTCCAACCAGCATGACAAAATTCCTTTCAGACATGTTGCAGGAAATATATTTGCAGAGGATATTCCAGGAATTGGTAGAATTCCTTTCCGGCGTTGGCCATGATCTTGATCAGCTCACCCATTTGCGACTGTTTTGGTATTCAACGGTGTGCGTTAGTTTGCCATGCACGAAGCGATTCCGAATTCACAACAGATTGTTCGGTAATCTTCATCTACTTTTAACTACAAAGTAGGTGGGCGCTAATTTGGATTCTGAAGCATTTCAAACGAAATTCAAAAAGTCGGAAACTTCAAAATTTCAGACGCGGGTCGTCGCGTTGTCGCCTCACCACACACGAAAAAATGACAGCCAGAGAGCGCCCGTACACGAACCGGAACCCAACAGCGCCTCGTGGGCTGGATACCCCGATCGGGGGTTGCGCTTTCTTCGCTGGTGCCGTTTCAATAGGCGACGAGCAAACTCCTAAAGCGCGCGGCCCCCTGTGGCTGCGCGCTGCTCTCAGATCTTTTTCCCGGGTCATAAAAAAGCACCGAGACGCCCGGCAATGACACATCCCAAGAGCAGAACTTGCCGGGCGTTCAATCTTTGAGCACCCACATCGGGGGAGGGCACGACCACCGCCAACCAATGATGGCGCGCGCCGCATTGCTGCGATGCTGCTCCCCGATTCCCCCATTTTCGTTTGCCATCGCCAAAACTAACGGGCCCGAGTTCTAAATCGAAAAAGGCTGGCATGCGCAATCACTTTCAAAGAATCTGAGTGCTACCAGAAAAAGCGGGTCGAGAAAGCCGCGGCGCACTGCTAAGCATACATAGTGTTGGCCGGCGGCTTTCCACCCAATTCACACCGTATTGGCTACATACAAACCCCGATCCGAACCAAATTCTACAGACAACCCAACCCAAACCCATTTTCCAATGAGAATCAACCACCGACCCTGATTTCAAACGGAAATCAAAGATCTGGGCCAATTTCAAATGGAAATCAAGGATCTCTCTCAATTTCAAACGGAAATCAAGGGTCTCGGACGAATTCAAACGGAAATCAAGAATCTTGAACGAATTCAAACGGAAATCAAGAATCGGTCGGAATTTGGTCCGATTTGGTCACTATCTTAGAAATTTGCCCTGACCTTTTTGTGACCTATCTTGACCGATTTTGATCGGGTCCGGACCGATTTTGATCGGACCCCGAAAGTTCCCCGTGTGTCTTCCTCCGTTGGACGAAACCTGCTCCCGATTGCAGTGAGTTCCGTCACCCCGTTTGAATTTGATTTTTTTGGGCAGGCATCGGCGCGCCCGGTCGTGCGTTCTGTGCGCCTCATAGCGGTCGGACAAAGTAGGAGAGTGTCTCCGACCACACTGCGCTACTTAGTTACTCCTGCCGCCGGTGGCGATGGAAAGGCGCCACGCCTCCTCTGTCCTGCTTGGCCTCACGGCCTGCCCTGGCTTCTCCTCTTCGCCAGGCATCGAGCGCAGGAACGCGCGCACTAGATTCCGCTGCGTCTAGGGCATTTCAGCCGTTTTTTGATATTCGTGTCCCAATGCTATGAGGCGCGAACCCAACAACCAGGGGCCGCGACTGGACCTGCGGCGCTATCAACGCGCAAGCACATCATGCCGCTACAGGCAGAGAGAATGTCACCAAAGGCCGCGAACGAGGGTGGACACGAGACATGATAGGACTCGGGGACAGAAACGGGTGTAGAGTAGGGAAGCACCACAAGAACCCATGAGAAAGGGCATCAAAGAAAAGGGGCGGGGGCTAAAGAACGACTTGGAAATGGTGCCGGGGGCGTGAAGATAACCTCCACAGGGAGACGGAAAACCGACAAACAGAAGGCTACTACGCTAAGTGTCGAAGTGCTAGAAGAGAGACGGGAGGGGCGCGCTCTCTCAAAATACAAGCCGCAGATCGAGCTCTTCACCACACCAAAAAGTTAAAACTTCAGAACTTTTGAAATTCGTTTGAAATACTTTTTGATTGCATTTAGCGCCGCGTGCTTCTGCGTTAAATCTACTTCAATAGCATCTAAAACAAGTAAATGACTTCTACCTCAAACGCCAGCACGTGGTCGTCGACGGTGGTCAAAAGTTCTATTTCCACGTCCATCAGGTCGTGATCGACCTTTTCCAAATTGGCTTGTAGATTTCTCAAAATCTCCGCCGCCTCGTCTGTGAGAATCCCGCCGACGGTTTGCTCTTTGACGACCAGAATTTGTTTTTTCTTGTCGGACAGAAACTTTTTGAACAGGCCCGCGCTTTCCGCCTCGGAATTCAGATATGTCTGCTCGATTTGCTTGTTGAATACCTGCAGATCATTTGGTCACCAAATTTCTTGCCTGAAGATCCGCAATTAATATGAATGTGCGTCCCTAAACCCTCCTGTTCCTTGACGTAGAAGACATCAAAATGAACGTGGAACTTTGGGGCTTTTCTTTTTTATAGCATCAGAAACTACAAAATTAAAGCAAAAACCGCAACATCTTTTCTTATACATCCACTCGCTTCAGCCTGTCCTCGTTTTTTTCCTGCATATCAAATGTAAAAATGTCTGGGTCTGGAAGAATGCAAGTTTGTCATGCGTGTCTGGCATGACTCTTGAATCTGTCATGCACATTACCAAAGAGCCCCACTTTTCTGTCATGCAGAAATGTAGTTTGTCATGCAGAATAGGCAACACCTAGAAGCTCAGAAACTTGTCATGCTGAGCCAGCAATTGTCGCCTCCTCATGATACGCCACACAGCATCACAAGTTTCCAGACCCAGACATTTTTACATTTGATACTGCACCTGGGCGTACAACGTTTTCAGCAGTTCGCCGAGCTTTTCTCTGTACTCCTCTTTGAGTCCGGCGTATCCAGGAAAAAAACTGCGTAAGTGTAACTGTGTAGGAAGAGCAGCATCACAAACTCGCTTTGCATTAGAGGAAAAACCTCCTGTCGTGCGCAGCTAGCACGTGGAAACACGTATGAAAGTAGCCTATGACGCAGATCCAGCATGACAAGTGTATACAGTTTTGCACTTTCTGCATCACAGATTTACTCCCACATAGTTATAGTTTTTTTCTTGCATACGGCGAGGCAGTTCAAGGCCTGCACGTGCTCCGGGATTTCGCCAAATAAATCGTCGTAAATGTTGTTGGTCTATGCGCTGCAAATATGTCTGGGTCTGGAAGGATGCGAACTTGTCATGCGCGTTTCGTATGAGCCATGATGTCTGTGATGTACGCCCGAGCATCACAGAGTTTTTGAGGCCGTCTTGATCATGCCTATCCCGCATTACAAATGCCCTCTTCGTGTAGCAAGAGGTGGAGGTGGACTCCTTTTGGTGCTCATGCAATACAGATTTTTTTAGAATCTAAACACAGCATCACAAGTTGCACTCTTCCAGACCCAGACATATTTGCACTTGATATCGTCGTATCCAGAAAAGAGTGCCGGAGCTTGTCCTCCTGGACTTTCTTTTCCGCAAGCGCCTTCTCGCGAATCCCCTCCTCGACCTCCTGCTCCTTTAACTCGGTCAGTTCGTCCAGTTGGTACGATTCCTGTTTTGTAAATTTTTTGTGATGCTAAAATTCATGAAAGTGCTAGAACAGGTATGGCATTTGTCATGATCGATGCAAAAGGAGAGCTGATTTAAACGAAACACAAACAAGGAGAAACAACGATGAAAAAAGAAGATACACATACCTGTATCTGTGCGACTTGTTTTTTGTCGATGAGCATGTAGTCGAGATAAACCAGATGCTGCAAATAGGCCAGCACGTGCTGTTGGTAACTGTCGCTTTGGCACATCTTGTTCCCCTCAAAGCAGACACAGCGGAGGTTCGGAAAACGCCGTAGGTAGTTTACCTGTGAGAACGGCAAGCAATAGGTCGCGTGAATAACTGAAACTATTGTACCGTGGCGCGTTAATACAGGTCTCGAAAATTATAATGTCAACATGCGAACTTTGCAACGAACGAATCCACAAAGAGACACAAATTGAAATAAGTAATCTGAATCTACCTGTTTGAAGTCTGCTATTTTATTTCTCCCGAGCGACAGCACGTTCAGCTTCTTGCAGTTGTCGAGGCCGGTGATCTCCTCTATGTGGTTGTTGTATAGGGAAAGCCTTATGCGAGCGAAAGAAAGAAATCTCCTCGTCTCTACTACTAGTACTAGAAGTCGTGTGCGAAGCTACATGACAAACAAACTTCGACCACATGCGTTCTTTCAACATGCCAACCTCTTTAGCGTCAAGATCCACGAAAAAACTACAAGAAAGAGGGTCCTCGTGTGGTTCTTTCACCGCATAAGATCCTCCAGGTTGACCAGATTCTCGAGCCCTTGTATTTCCCGAATGTTGTTGAAGGACAGGTCTGTTTATTTGGTGTGTGTAGTTTCTTTCATCACTGCGCGAGTGTCATACACGACATCGACACCAGTAAAAACTTTCATTAGGATGACATGGGTTACAGGTTAGATATCGTGCACCACGAAATAAAAACATTAAGCAAGAAAACAAAGCAACCACCCACCAATACCAAGCCAGGTCAAATTGACCAGGTGATCCAGGTTGTCTATCCGGTCGATGATGTTGTTGTCCAACCTGAGCGTTTTCAACGAGTCAAAATTGTTCAAGTTCGCAATCTCGGCAATATTTCGGTAGCTCAACCGCAGAGATTCGCACTTCGGAAACTGGAGCGGGTCGGGCTCCGAGCCGTCGATCGGCTTGGGTTCCACCCCATCCTTCAGCGCTTGCAGGTCGATGACCGCCGGTTCAACGACCAGGTCCTTCTTACTCTTCGGTGCCACCATCGCTACAGTTGTGAGTGCTGCGCGGTGTGGTCGTCGTCGTGTTTGATTCAGTTATAGTTTTACAATTTTGGAAAATGTACTTTACTATTCTACAACGAGCTGTCCCCTTTCAGCTCGCGCGCAGCCGCAGCGCGCGAGCAATCGGAACGGGTTCCGCCAATCCCCCTATCTTGCGGTAAAGTAGTCTACTTCAAAAAAAAAGAAAGAAGTTTTCTTTTTGCTATTGTATACAGGTGACGGGAAGTAGTAAATACAGTCGTGAAAAAGCACGAAAGAAGCAGAAAAAATTCGAGTTGTACGCAGAAAGGACATTGTCACCACGACATGTCAGACGATCTATCTCGAACTCGATAGTTAGAGCGAAGGAGTACTTCTTTCGGTCCTTATTTCTCTGCTCTCCCAAGGCCTGCTCTCCGCTCCGATGGTGCTCTGCCGCACTTCATTTCGAATTGGCGACAAAGGCTGCTCTCAACTAAAAACTCCGAAGTGAAAAATCTTTTCAACGAAGGCATAATGATCATCTAGAGTCACATTTCTATCTTCTCCTCGGTAACATTTCCATTTGTGTGTCAGCACACACAAAAAAAAACGAAGCTTTCGCCTTCTATTTGTTTTGGTTTTGCTCACTTTCTGCTCCAAATTTAGACTATGTACAGTTTGTTGTGGTCGTTCTTGACGCAAACTATGCCAAATGTGATAATTACAGTGGTGAGATGATAGATACACGCACACGCTTTGCTAGCGCTCCAAAACTTTTTCCCCATGAAATTTCCAAATTTGTTAAGATGATGAATAAAAAAGCTTAAATGATTCGCACGAAAGAGTTATTTCTATTTGTATTCCAGTTTCACTTACTAGGTAAATAAACCAAAGACAACTCGAAGTCGAAAAAAGAAAGATGATTTTTCGGTATAGCGCACTATGCGTACACTCTATCTTACATGGTCAAAAACAAATATACTGACACGACATTAGATTTTTAAGGTGCATTTCTTCTACGCAATGACAAAGTCCTTTCTCAATCCAGCGTGTATTCCATCCTCGGGCTGGTGATGGGTTTCGGGTTGACCTCCTGCCGTTGCTTCCGCAGTAAAATCGCTGACGTCCGCGCATGGGGCTTGGGGTTCGGGCAATCGTCGGCATCCCGGGTGGGCGACAAAAAACGTCCTCGTTGCTTCGACTCCGCAATGTTCGCGCGGGAGGCAGGGAGCGGTGTTTTACTCGCTAGGAGCTCTTGCTTACCAAGTTGCACCAACTTGTGCGCGGGCAATTGGTCGCTCGTTTTCGTGGCCGAGCACCCGATATGAAGTGCAAATATGTCTGGTGTTGTTCACTGGAACATTGCAAACTTGTCATGCGTCGTCCCGTAGATCACACGAAAAATTGTGTTGCGAAGATAGCAAAAAAAATCCATTCTTTGAAAAATAACCGTGTGAAGATGCAGCTAAGAAGACCGTGCATAATTGCAGACTCCGTGGGCCATAGCCAAAGCCATTCAAATCATGCATGCCAAACTTCGCCATTCTTCCAGACCCGGATCGCTAAATTTGCATTTGATACCGCACGTGGAAGCCGTGTTTCGAGCCCTTCGCGCTGACCCGCTCCTTGACCTTCTGCATGTCCGCGCCTGCGGCGGGGCCGTGGAAAGTAGGTGTTGTATTTGTAGCTCGTAAATGATCTACCTCTTCAAAGTGCTTTCTGCCGTGCACGTCCGCTTTCTGCTCCGAAAGCCGCGGCGGATCCCCATTTGCCTGCTGCTGCAAGTGGTCCACGACGTGGAAATGGGTTCTTCCGTGGACAGCCATGGCGTATTGCTCGTCCTTGTGCATCGGCAGGCCGTGCTCCTGTTCGTTTACGTGATCTACGACGGCGAAGTGCTGTTTGCCCCCGGCCGGGGTGGTCGCCGTTGTCCTGTTTGTTGAAGCGGTTGCGGCAGCTCCCCCAGTTGCTGCTCCTACTTCCAACGCGTGATAGGGCAGAGTATCCCGGTCAAGCGGCTTGTGTCCGGCCGTGGGCCGTCCTCTTTGCAGATTTTTATTCTTGATGCTGTCACTGTGCTCGCTTCCGCCGCTGTAAAAGCCGCCACCGAGCACGCGGTTGCCGTCGCGGTTCATCCGGTTTTTAGAAGAAGTAGTCTGAAAGCTCGGATCCGTCTTTCGCATGCACCTTGTGACGCCGCGGGACTCGAGAAAACTCGAGGTCTGCTGGACGCGGTCCACGTGGTCCTTGCTTTTCCGTCGCTCGTCCTTCGCCACCTCGAAGTACCGCGGGGCGGGGCTCTGCAAATTGATGGAATCGAAGGTCGCCGGTGCATTTTTCAGTCGCTCGTCGGACTGGACCAGTCTGGACGCGGGCTGGAAGTGACGCTTCTGCTGGCTGCCAATCCCCTCCTTCTCGAGCAGCAGCTGTATTGATTTATTTTTTGTGTGTAACCCTAACAACTTACTAATATGTTGGTGCACGCACATCAACAAAATAACAACGAATTTAAAGAAGCTGCACAACCATTCTTAGATATGTGAAGTACCTCCTTCTCTTCCCAGCTTGGTTTGGCGGGTCTGGCCCACTTTTTTTCCGTGGTTGGTTCGTATCGGGTCTCTTCGTGAAACCGACGCAGACCGGCCTCCACCGTGGCCGCGGGTCGCAGCGTCTCGTGCGAGATCTTCCGGCCACCAACCATATCGTGCTCGTGCCGCTTTGCACGCAGCTCCCGACGGCCCTCTTCCTCGGCCGGGGCGGGGCCTGTGGACGGCACCACCAATTCCGCATCGTGGTTGACTGTCCTGTGGAAAACCGGCAGCATTACCATCTATATCTATTTGTTTATGCGAAACAGAATTGCGCTGCGTTTTGGCATGTTGCTCAGTCACTCATAAAAGTACAAAAAGCGTGCAAAATAGAAATGGAAGAACGTGAACGTGTAGTACAGCCTGCACAGTAGCTGCACAAGCACAAGCGTCGTGCACGACAGCATGAAATAAAAAGTTCCAAGTGATTGTGATGGTAATATTGATGTTGATTTTACGCCTCTTATCCACGTGAGTGTTGTAGGAAAAATTTTTGCTGTGAAAGGTCTTCTGGTGGTGTTCCGAGTAATTCCTTTTCCCCTGCTTGTCCTTTTTCAGCACGTTATCAAAGAAAAAAACATTGCAGGTGTAACTTTTTTGGAGGAACAGCATTACAAATTTGTCTGGCATGACAGCAAAAACCTGTCATGCGCAGATAGTACGTGAAAACGCCCTTTAATGGACCTTAATACGATGCATACCAAGCATGACAGACGCAATCATCTTGCATGTTGCGCATCACAAATTTACACTAACAACGTTTTTTTCCTCGATACACGTGAGTCACCGGGTAGTACTGGTCCGCCACAATTTTCTATCCAAGAAAAAAACTGTGTTAGTGTAACTATCTTTGGCTGACAGCATCACAAATTTGCTCTACATGACAAAGAAAACCTGTCATGCGTGGCTTGTAAGGGAAAACACACAGGAAAAGAGAACTTCATGGCGGTCTGGCATGACAGGTGTAACTCTGTTGCGTGTTTTGCATTACAGATTTGCACCTACACAGTTTTTGTCTTGCATATTTTCTCCCGGATAACCGCCGGATTCGTCGACCGAACGGTTGTATTGGTTTCTTTAGCATTTCCGCCTCCATGTTCCGCCTCCGCCTCGGCCCAGGATCTTGGCGACCCGACCTTGGCAGTCACCGGAGACCGGCTGCGCTTCCTATGGATGTGTCAGGTTTGAAATCGTCAAAGTTGAAATAGTTTGTCATGCATAAAACAGATACCAGTCGGAAGCCCACTTAACAAGCGGCGCATGACAGATTTTACGAGCACCGGAATCCAATTTGTCATGCTGTTTGGGCACAGAAGAGTGCTTTTGTCATGCGAGTTTGGTAGCTCTATTTCAAACCCTAAGCAGGCTCACAATCGGCCTCACTTGCTATCCCGGCAAGACAGGCACTTCATGCCTTGCATTTTATGCATGGCAAATCATTTCAACTTTGTCGATTTCAAACCTGACGCTTCCATACTTCCGCTGAGGGAAATACGCGGCGCGAGACGATGGCTCTTGTGCTGAGGACGCTGTGGCAGAAGCGGGCGCTGCAGCGGCGTCGTTGTGCACGTCTTTCAGAACCGAGTGGCTGGCATAATACCGGGCCCAATCCCGAGGGACGGCGGTGATAGGCGGTCTGGGCCGGGTTTTCGATGAAAAAAAATCTCGATGGATATATTTATTTTCAGCCAGCACTCAGTTACTTGTCCAAGACCTTCTTTCATCTGCTGTGTGTACAACGCCTTCGCGGCTCTAGTACAAGGACACCTTTATCGAACCAACGACCTAGCTAGGTAGTAGAAAAAGAAATACCCTGCTATGTAGTCTGAAAAAGTACCTCAACGACGCATCCTCCCCTTCCATTTGCCTTCCTGTCGGCTGCTCCAGCGTGATTAAGCGTTTCGCTCCGTCGCCCGACTGGCGCTGCTGCCACGCCGCCTCATGCCGGCGACCGACGGGCCGGGGCGGCGCGCTCTCGCAGTGCGTTCCTTTCCCGGGAACGGAGTTCAGAACGCGGTGCGGAAACACCTCGGTGCTCTTCTTGCGGCGAAAACTCGTTTCCTCCGCATTGCGTGGCGAAAACTCTCCCGTCGCCGCACGCGGAGACCACAGCAGCGACATACTGTCGTTTTAATATTTTGTCGGTTCAATACTAGTCTTCTAGTTGTATCTGTATGCACATCGATTATAATTCTCACCGTTCAGGACGAGATTTACATTTACTCTACTGTCGATACAAGGAAAATCAAAATTATTACGTACTTTGCAGAGTCCGCGACGTGCTGGCCGCGCAGGCCGATTCCCTTTCCCCGAAACACGTCATCTACCGCCTCCGCTGCTTTCGCGACCCTCAGAAACAAATTCTCGTCGCGTTCCCCCGCATTCCTGCCCGAAAGCGATATGTTTTTCGTCCGGGGGGCCGAAATCTCGGTGGTGGTCACCGCGGCCACCACCAGATCCGCACCGGACGGCGCCTCCCACCGAAAGCAGCCTGGCGTGGGCTTGGACCGGGTTTGGACCTGTTCGGTCTGGTAGGCCTGCGGGAGCGGCGAGGGGGACCGCTTCCCCCGGATCTCTACCTCTTGCACCCGCTCACTCTCACCGAGGTACGACCGGGTGACACCCGGCATTTTTGACTCGATATGGAAAAAGTCAAAGTGAGAATGAAATTATAATTTGCTGTACCGGTTGTATTTCAACAGCTAATTAGAGACGAGCTACGGCAACCCCAACCTCACACGACAAATATCGTAAAAATAATCCCCAAGATGATCCTTTGAAAAAAAACGACAGGCTGCTCATTTGCAGCAAAGTTTATTTCAAAGAGGACTTCAAAACGAAGAATGTATCACGATGCGTACTACGGAGTCTATGCGTACGGAGTACACGTAAGGCGGACTCTCGGCCCTGTGCCTTGCTTCCCGTCGGCCGGTAACGAAACGTAAGCACTAACGACCCACGATTTGACGACTTCAGGAAGCTTGTTTTCACGACGCACTGCAAAGCAAATAAGAGTCCACGAATCATTTTGTCTCTGGTGCAGCCACGAGATGACGAGACAGATCTGGTATAGAAGTCACGTTTGGATGCTTTTCATTCATTACACATCCTTTGGTCTTACTTCTAGCCCTGCCTTCGCTTATGACTCGTCCAAGCGTCTACTTCCCAATTACCACGATGTTTTTTTCCCTGTACAGAAACTGCAGCACGAGAAGAACTCTTTGTCGTACTAGCAACGAACCAAAACACTCTTCATAACTTTGGCACATCGCGCTAGCGACGATGTTGGCCGTGATCACGGTACATTGATTTTGTCGCAAGACCGACTGTTTTTCGCAAACAGCCATTACGAAAAGAAAAGTAAAACAAAAGCTGAAGACTGAAACTGAAACTGTGTGGATTGTCTTTCTGGATGTTCCTGGGTTTTACAGCAGGGTGTCAGCGATGCGACGTTTTCAAATTATTAAGTACTTATCCCTCGTCTATTCAAGACATAACATAAAAAAGCGCCGACACCTTCCAAGAAATCCTACTCAATTTTTTCACATCATCCGCGCCAGCGCCTTGTTGATGAGGTGCAACTGGATCTCGTCGGCGTCTTTCTGTCGCCTCACGTCTGTAACGGGACGATAACCGCGCTCGTCCTGGATTTCTTGCTGTGTCAGTCGCAACGCTTCTGATGTTCTTGTGTCAGCAGATGATAGCACTTTGTTCACCATTTTCCTCTTCTTGTTCGACATTTTCACCTCACGACCGACCCGAGCAACCAAGCCGAAAAAGCCACGCATCACGAAACTCCGAAAACCGGCGGTGAAGTCAGAAAAAAATCCCGCAGTAGAAGTTCTTGACGGAGAAGTTTTCCGTGTTGTAGTACCTCGGGTAGAAGCTGCAGTAGTGCCACCGTTCAACCTGTTGTACAGGAATAAAACTCGGCCACCGAACAGATATCAAAATGAAAAATCCCCCCTTCTCATATCAAAACGGAAATCTGTGATGCGGAATTTCTGTACACAAATCAAATTTGTCTTGCAGTAGAGCAATGCACGCAGATCGCAAGCCTAGCCAGGGGCCTCTTGCTGTAGGCGCCTAGCATGGCAGACGTCTGCCCTGTAGGCCTTACAGCATTACAAATCGCCTATGTAACGCGGCGGACACCCCAAGTTTGCCTTCTTGCATGACATACCGGATTTGTGGTCACAAATCTGCAACACAAATTTTCAGGAGGATGCGTCTTTAATATGGGAATGGGGAGGGGGGATTTTTTGTTACGATAACAGAACAACCGGCTTCGCGGTCTGGAGGCCGCGACAGGCGGGCGGCTGGCGGAGCGTCGGATCCCAGATGCAGGAGCCGGTTGAGGTTTCAAAGATGTAGGAATGTAAAGGACAAATCACGAAGGCTTCGACGGCCAGCTGTGTGTCTGTGTGATGTAGTAGCCGACGATCAGGTTGATCTGGTCTCTGTAGGAAAGTACAACTTTCAGCTGGATTTTTTCGGGTTCTTGTCGATCTTGTGTGAAGATGGTTGGATGTGTCCGGCAACTTGGCGACTTCTTTTTGTAGGAAATTTTCTTCCGCGGGTGTAAGTGGCACTGGCACGCCAGCCGCGGCTGCGGCGGTCGTCCCCTCGTCGTCCTTGGGAGCCGCGGCGGTAGAAGATGCGGTTTCTAGGTGCAGGTGGGCCGCGGCTGAGTGGAAGGCTACAATCCGGCCGTTCTCAGCGCCCAGACCAGTAGCTCCGGATCCGCCCTCGCAATCTACAACAATCGGCAGAGGTTTCTTTGTCTTCAAAAAGTCCAGTTCCGCGAGAAATGTCGGTGTTGGAAGATTAGCAGAACTTGCTTCATTTAACGTGACGCTCGACCTTGCTGTGCACGATGTGCTGTGTGGCGTAGAAGGTGCAGTTGTGGCTTCAGCTCCGGGTGCAGCAGGTGCTGGTGGTGCTTGATCTACTTGTCCAGGTTGTGCTGTACTTCTTGTTCCATCTTCCCCTAGTGTTGACGAACTACTAGCACGATCATTCTTGGGAAAATCGCTAGTGCTTCCTCCAGGACTACACGCTGTTCTTGCCGCTGGCATCAAAACAAGCTCTTCGGCAGTCTCGGCGCAGGACACGAAGCCGGAAGGCGTTTGCTCTTCGGTCTCAAGCTCGGAATCAACCGGGTGAAAAAGATGACAAGAGGAAGAGTCATCTTCTCCATGCTGTGCAGTAGCAGTGGTCACCAGATGACTTCTCTGGTGTTGACCCGCAAGTTCTTTTATCCCACCTTCCACTTCTTCGGACGTTGTTTCATCGGCGCTACTGGAAGATGAGGAGAGCAGCGACGCAGAACTCGGCAAAGCTTGCTGGTGCCCATGTGTCTTGAGCAGGTCGTTTAACGCAGTTGTAGTTCCCGCGGTCTTGCTGTTTTCGACAGTACAACTCTCGGTTTGTTCTTGATCTTCCGACGCTCGTTCTTTCCGAGGTGGAGAGCTGCCACCTCGCACAGCAACCCGGACTAACAACTCCTCGATGTCACCCTCACTCAAATCCGCGGCCGCGTGGGGGCACCACCGCTGCACGACTTTCAGGTTTTGGTTCGCGACATCCAGTCTGTGCTTCCAGATCGTGAAGTCGACTTTACTGGAAAAACACCCGCTCGCGTTCAGCACCAGCCAGTCGCTGTTCTTTTTGGACACCTGGAACTGCAGCCCGTTTAGAAGAAGTCCTCTACAACCGATGAAGGAGAACCGGGTAGTGTACCACCGGTAGAGGAAATAGGTGCAGCAATACCCGACAAGAGCTCGTGGGTTGAAAACCTTGTTCAGGACCCTCGCTAGAGGCTTGTGCTTCTCCAGAAAATCCAGCGCCTGCTTCAGAAACGCAACGTCGTTTAGTTTCGCGGTGGCGGTTTCGAGATAGGTGGCGTAAATCGAGAAAACCGGGGTTAGAACTTGTTCTGTGATTCTTCCTTCTACCGCGGCTAATGTCCGTCGCGCGGTCTCGGGAACTACCGAGTAGAGCTGTTCTTGCCAGTAACTGGCTGTAGAAGTAGTTGTACCTATCGAAGCCGCTGTCAGGCGGGACAGGCTGTGTGTGGCCAGCTCGGTGGAAGGGATCATGAAGTAGTGGTCTTCAGATGATTTTTTTTGGTCATGCGATTTCGTAGTCAGTATGGACGAATCTACTTCAAGAAGATGGCTTAGGTAGGATTCGAATGAAACATCTATATTTCCAACCTGACAGGCGGAGCGGCGCTTCAAACGGTTCGCCAGGGGAACAGGAAGCAGGGGAACAAGAGATGCTTAACTTTTACCTCGATTGTAGTTGTCTCCCTCGAAAAAGTCATACTTGCGTACTAGAGTCTTCACTCGTTCCTCTGCAATGTTTCCTTTGCAGAAAAAGAGGTTGAACACGAACCAACCCCCCTGCGAATCCGTATGTCCTAGTTGTAATGTGTCAAAATCAATGAAAATGAATCACGAATAGTAATGCCAGTCGAACATTATGTTGAAGACACCAGAACAAATCATGCGTGATCGTCGTGCTGGCGTGCTCTGAAAAGAATCTTATATGTTTCTCATGTCGCGTTGGTACTGAAGCTTCTCTCCTGTCAAAGTCAATAGCGTGCTGTTACAACTGGTCCTGTAGTGAGCCTGATCATTCAGAAGCTTGACCACTACATTGCTGTCATCTTCAAGGTGGAGGAAGATCGCGAACCCTGCCACTTCTTGCTTTCTGTGGTTTTTTCGCGGCCTCGCCCGCTACTGTGAACCACGTCGAAGCCAGGCGCGCCAAAAATAAGCCTAGCTACTGACACTGACTTAGTAGTGCGCATGAAGAGATCTGTTCTACTGCCAAAAGCGTGACTGTGTTGTGTTCTCGGAGGCGGCCTAGAAGGCGTAGGCCTGCTTTGCGGAAAGGAGTCCAGAACAGGCAGCAGATCTTCAGAGTGTACGCTTCACGCAGAATTCTTCTTGATGTCCAGTCGTACAGCGAACTCCTCGTCACCTGTCTCTACAGTCGTGTTCTTCGTTCTGCGCACCTCCGCATGAGCTCCTAGCTGTTGGCTACTCCCAACATTCATCTTCGTTTCCTACTTTCTGTTCTGCTTTCGGATTCGGCTCATGTGGTTGAAAAAATCAAAATGCTTTCAAAAACTGTTCGCGACTAATACTTATATGGCGCGCCGTGGACGAGTTGCTTGGTTGTTGAAAGAAGAAGATGAAATGAAGAGGTTTAAACGAAAGCAAGACGGTCGCACGCCGTCATATTCGAGGGAGCAGAAGATGCGGAAGATGTGGCCACCTCCGAGAAGGATGGTTTATTTGATGTTCCTCCCGAGGTACACGACTTTCGTCCTGTTAGCCAGCCTCAGATCATGACTACACCAGCATACTAGCAGCTCCTTCTACAGCTTCTGAAAGTCGGCCAGCAGGTAGATTTCGCACTCGCCGACCGTGCGCCCCATCTCGCGGTCGTGCTCCTCTGCGGCCTCCTGAATCAAGATGTCTTCGGGGGAAAGCTCGATGGAAGATGAAGTTGGTGCTCCTGCTGTATAATTGTTTTTGTTCCCGTTATTTGCAGGTAGACTTGAATTTGGCTCTGTTGTCCCAGTCCCACCGCCCGTAGTGGTCGTGGTGTCCGTAACTAGTGCGTCGATCAGCTTGTCGACCGATGCCCTCAGCTGTTGCAGATCGTAGTTCTGTTGGTCGGCGGACGAAGGGGGTAGTGGTCCTCGTTGTAGTTGCGTCGTTTCTTCCTCTGCAGCTGTAAAACCACTTGGAGTTGAACTTTTCTCGTTGAACAGCAGCTCCATTTTTGGCCGGTACCCGTCCTCCTTCTGGATTTTGTATTTGAACCCTGCTTATCAAATGGAAAAATGTCTGGGTCTGGGAGATTGCGAGATTTGTCATGCTTGTCTGGCATGACTCTGAACTCTGTGTTGCATGGCCGCGCAGAGCTCCTCCTCCGAGTCATGCAAAAACGCAGTTTCTCATGCGAAGTACGCAACTCAGAACCATGGAAAAAACTTGTCATGTGTGGCAGCGCATTAGAGTGAGTTCACTACTCCCTTTCTTGCATCACAAGTTTCCAGACCCAGACATTTTTGCATTTGATACTGCTCTTCGGCGGAACCGCGGCAGAATCTTCTTCTCCAGGTATTCCCGGTCCGCGTCGGACCGCTCGCGGTAGGCCAGCACAAAGACCGGACACCGCGGCCTACTCTGCTTGTTCTCCAAAGCAGACAGCCACTTGTTCCCCGATTTGGTCGACGCAGTCCCGTATCAAATGCAAAAGTGTCTGGGTGTGGAAGAGTCATGCTGTTTTTGCATGACACAGAAAGTCTGGCATGGAAGCTCTAGCATCACAGGTTTCGAGAAGCTTCCGCAATGCCGAATCCGCATGACAACTCCCCCATTTTGGTGACAGAATTTGGGCAGCTTTTGCTACCTATGCATGAGAGATTATTCTGTGTTCTGAAATGCGCACCACAAGTTTGTATTCTTCAAGACCCAGACATATTTGCAATCCATATCCCGCCCTCGGACTGCAGCTGCTCGTAGTTGCTGTTGTTGGTCAACATCTATCAACTGCAAAAGTGTCTGGGTCTGGAAACTTGTAATGCTGCGTTGGGAATAGTGAATGCTCTGTAATGCACAGGCAAGCATGAGAATTATCTGCGCTCCTTCGTGTTGCGTTTTTCGCATGACAAACTGCGTTTTTGCATGACAGGCAAAAGGGTCTCTTCTTGGACACGCATCACAAGCTTTTTGGTCATGCCAGACAAGCATGACAAATCTCGCAATCTTCCAGACCCAAACATTTTTGCATTTGATAACATCGCAGCCGCCGAACTACTACTCGAGGACATCAAAAGCGCCTTGGAAAAGGGATTGGGTATCTTCTGCGTCGCGAACAGTTTCTGGGCCACCGCCTGCGGCCCGGCCTTCATCTTCAGCAGCGCAGCTTCGGATGAAAAAGGCCGCTGTGGGTCTACTTCTGTAGCTGCTGCAGACGACGGAGCTCCTCCGGCTCCTGTCGTGCTGTTTTCTGGTTTGGGTGGGCTGTTGAGAAAAAAAGCTTCCAGCACGGAAATCAGGGGGTCCTGCTCTATCAAAGAAAAAAAGTGTGTAAGTGTAACTTTTTTGGAGGAGCAGATTCACAGATTTGCTCTGTAGGACAGAGAAAACCTGTCATGCGTAGCTAGTACGTGAAAACACGTACGAAAATAGCCTCTAATGCATATCCAGCATGACAAGTGTAACTGTCTTGCAACACCTGCAAGACAAAGCTACACTTACACAGTTTTTTTCTTGCATATGCTCCTCCACGTAGATAATGTCCGCGCCGAGGAGAAAGTCGTAGCCGCTCGTAAAACCCGACGGATACGTATCCTGAGCAAAAATGTACCCACCCCAGAGTTCTCATGCAGATTTGCAGCTACAGGAAGATTTGTAATGCGCATCCACATGAGAAACATTTCCAATCGCGTTTTGCGCTTTGTAATGCTGTCGACAGGATGAGTAGATGGATTTGTGTTGCGGCTGTGCTTGCTAAACTGCACTACAATACAGAGACGAACTTGTCATGCTGGACCCCCAAAACTTCTCGATTTGTGTTGCGAGATCCCCAGCTTGACTCTGGTGTGGGGACGTTTTTACATAGGATAATACGCCTTTTCCGTCGTACTGCCCCAGTCCAGCGCTTTTGCCTCGATGAAGGGAGCATCTGAGCACGCGCTGCTGGACACCGCGGCATTCGGAACATCGTCGTTTGGAAAGTGTTCTTGTTCGTCCGCTCCCGTTGGCGTCTTTAATGTTATTCCCTCTACTCTTGCGCCGCCACCCCGAGGAGCGCCGTCGGCCTCTTCAAGCGGAACGGGCTTTTCCTCTTCACCTTCTCCTGCCTGATCTGTGATTTTCAAGCTTTGGGTTCTCGTACTAGTTGCGAGCGTGGTTGTCGTATGATCTACCTGCTGGTGTTCCGCCCCACTTGTTTATGGATTGCAAAAATGTCTGGGTCTGGAAGAATGCAAACTTGTGATGCTGCATTTGGATTCCAAAAAAATCTGTATTGCATAAGCAGCAAAGGGAATGCAATTTTGGCTACGCGGAGAGGGCAGTTGTCATGGGGAATAGGCATCGCAGAGCCCTCAAAAAGTCTGTGATGCTAGGACGTGCATCACAGACATCATGGCCCATGCAAAACGCGCATGACAAGTCTCAGAAATTTCCAGACCCAGACATTTTTACATTTGATATTGTTGCTCCCAAGCTGATTTTTTTGTTCAACGACGTGCTGGCTCCGGACGAAGCAGAGTGAAGAACTTTCGCTTGCTCCTGCTGCGCTGTTGCAAATGCCGCTGTTTCTTCGTCGCAGAAGTTTAGCTCCAAATTTCGCTGGATCAAGGGCACCAAGTCCGCGTAGTCCGTCACGGTTACGATCCCCGGGCGCAGGTGCTTCGCCACCACCAGACTGGGCAGTCCGACCCCGGTATCGCACGAAAAAAGTGTTACAGTTACACATTTGTAGTCAATTCAGCAACGCAAATTTCTCTGCATGAGAGAGAAAACCTGTAATGCAGAAATCCTACGGGAAAACACCCATGAAACGAGGCTCCTATGCATATCCGGCATGACAGAGCTTGTCTGTCTTGCTTGGCCTGCAACACAATGTGCAACTGTCACACTTTTTTCTTGCGATACCCGGCGCCGAGCTCGAGGTAGTCCGCGCCCTCGGGGAAAAGATGCTGCTTCTCCTTCAGCCACTGCCCCAGGAGCGCGCCGCTCGGCCACAGCGAACCCCCGATGCGGAACTGCGGCCAGGCTTCGAGTTCGAACCCGAGCACTTTCTGCCGATCGACCATGCCGCAGTAGCCGGGAAGGGCGCCGTGGGTACCTGTTTTTAGTGAAGTAAGTAGGTTTTGCAATTTCGATACGGCACATCAATTCCAATCACGTCAAGTCGTACTTACGAGGAGGTTAAGTTGCAACTACAACACACACTTAGACTTAATAGTAAAAGTAATACACCCCACGATATAATGCAACCAGAAAAGAACGATGAAGAACCAACGAGAAGGCGAAAGTAGACGAGTCTTTTCGGATCGATGCCCTAGACTTTCCGTATTTTTACCCAACTGTCACCGAGAAATGGCGTTGTCTTGTGCACTAGCGGCACATGCTTTGAATGAGGGAGAGGTGAGGGAAGCTACTGGAACTATGTATCTATACAATATATAAATTCAAAACCTTCTAAAAGGATTATTTAAGGACAATACTGCTACTGTCCGGTAGGTACTGTTGACCTACTCGCAGCTGTTTTATAAAGAAGTAGAAGTACTCGTCCTCGAGTACATATTATTGGCCATGCCTTTTCGTCGACAAGTTGATCAAACACAGAGCAACAAGAAGTGTGAAAACACTACTATCGCAAGAAACATCTTCCCGTCTAGATGAAACGCACATAACCAAGTGCGACCTGAAAGATGAGGCGAACGCGCGTCGCCAGCACTTTCCCGCTCGTCGGTGTTTTTTGACACCGATCCGCGCCGCCGCTTTCGCTGCCGCACGATATGCATTGCAAATATCTTCTTCCCTGGGAGTAGTCTGGAAGAATGGAAAGTCTTCTGTCATGCTCGGCCAGTATCACTCTCAAGTCACTGTCGTGCACGCTAGTAGTACCCAAGCAAATTATCCCAGTTTCTTGTCATGCAGAAATGCAGCTTGCCATGCAGAAGAGGCAACACGTAGCAGCTCAAAATCGTGTCGTGCGTGGCAATGGCCGCCCATTGGGACGACGTCCTCATGATTTTTGTCCAGCTCGTATCACAAGTATAATTCACAGACATCCAGGGGTATCTTCGATATTTGCATTTGATACGCGAAGGTCGGATACAGGGCGGCCGCGAGCGAGAAAATGATGCCCGAGAGAAACAAGACCAGCCACCACGCCTCCTCGAATCGCTTCCATTCCTGCCAGTAGAATTGCCCCAGCGCGACCTGGAAGAGCAGGGAAAAGGCGATGTTCATAGCCACGGTGATGGTGGCGTCGCCATACCTGCATCAGGATTTTTTTAGGGTATAACTTTATTCATCTGTGAGCTCCTTTCTACGGAGGTCATGTGACAGGTCCGATAGTGCAACTTCCTACCGAAAGGACGTATTTCTTAAACTTGGGAGAAGTAATTGTAGCTGCATCATACTTCCCTCCGGTTGCTTGTTCCTGCGTCGATTTTTTAACTTTCAGGAGAAGATGAAGCTAGAACTTCTACCTTCAAAAACTACTTATATATACTTGAGCGCGCGATTGATTTCCCGCATCATGAGCACGCCGGTCAGAACGGCGAGCGCCGCAAAGAGGTAGAAGGGGTAGTTGGCCAAAATCCGTGGTCGGTTGTTGGAGATCACGTCGGTCAGCAGCAAGCTTGTGCAGCGAAAAAACGTGACGGTCAACCCGGAGAACACCCCGGACAGCATCGCGTATCAAATGCAAAAATGTCTGGGTCTGGAAGAATGCAAGTTTGTCATGCTTGTCTGGCATGACTCGAGAATCTGTGTTGCGTAGGCACGAAAGAGCCCTCGTAACTGTCATGCGAAAAGGCAGTTTGCCATGCGGAATACGTAAGACATGGCAGCCACAAAATTTGTCATGCATAGCTGCGTATTGCGGCGCGTCTATCATTCACTTTTGGCATTACAAGTTTCCAGACCCAGACATTTTTGCATTTCATATCGTGTGCCCCAGCACCACGGACTCCACGTGTAGCTGTTTGTCGGAAACAATTATCAAATGTAAAAATGTCTGGGTCTGGAAGAATGCAACTTGTAATGCTGCATTTGGATTCCAAAAAAATCGGTATTGCATGAGTACCAAAGGGAATGCAATTTTTGCTACGCTGAGAAGGCATTTGTCATGCGGAGTAGGCATCAAGAAGCCCTCAAGAAATCTGTATTGCTAGGGTATGCATCACCGACATCATGGCTCATGCAAAACGTGCATGACTAGTGTCAGAATCTTCCAGACCCAGACATTTTTACATTTGATAACAATCTCAGGCGTCTCGCGCAGCTCCTGCTTCCGCCGACTCACCAGGGCGAGCGTGGAGAACGAGAAGAGGCCGATCAGACTGCCGCACACGAGAAAAACCGGCTCGATAAAGTAGTCGATGAAAACAGCGTCCAGGTGCTCGTGCTCGTCCCCAGAAGGAGGGTCCACCACTGGGTATGGATTGCAAAAAATATGGTGCCTCGGTCAGGAAGGATGCGAACTTGTGATGCGGCAAATGGAAAAGGCAATCTTAATTTTTACAACTTCTCTGTGCTGCATAGCCAGAAAAAGATGCGCGCGTTGATTTCTCTGTAGGGAAGGGGATTTCTCTTGCAGACTGTAGGCATCAAGAGGCGTCTGCAGGAGCAATTATCATGCTGTCTGTGCGGCGCATACTACCTTCTTGCAGATGGAAAAACAGGACGACAAATGTCTGTGTTCCTTTCCTCCAGATCCTAAGACGTATTCGCATTTGATACCGGCGCGCCGGAAACTACCAGGCCCGCGCCGATGGCAATCAAAACCATGCCCCGAATGTCGTACTTTGTTATCTGTGCATGGATTGTTTTTTGTCATGGGAATAAAACAAAAACACATCAAGCAGATATAATTGATAGACATGATGCGAAACGCTCCACGGCATTTACGAAACGTCGAGACAGGCACGAGATGAAACCGCTGAAAAAATAACAAGTACCTTCTCGTTTAACAGACTGCGAGCGAAGAAGCTGTTCGCCACCAGGGTCGAGGGCAACAGCGGCGCCAACGCCGATTGCGCGGCGAACATGAAGGCCAGGGCGGTGAGAATTTGGGAGGACAGGTACACAATCAAACCGGTCAGCCAGCGCTTGGACTTGTAGTATGGCTGCGCGAGGTCGTCCGCATTGCCGTCTCCGCGGAGCTTATCCCACGAAAAAACTGTTTCACAACTGATATGATCATTTGACAAGATCTGCATCACAATCACTAGTTTGCTATAGTAAAAGATAAGAAAAAACAAGTACACATGACACTGAAATAAATCTGCCGTGCGCTGCTCTTCCCAAGGGCAGGACAAAACACGCTTAAAGAAACATCCCATGTCTTATATGCAGGAGGAGGTGAAGCAAGGCAAACACTTCATCTTTCTTCTGCATCTTCACAACTTCTACTTCACAGTGAAACAGTTTCTTCTACTTGCGATAGAGCTTCTCTGCCTGCTCTTGGCAGTCTAGGTGCCCGCGCTTCTGCAGACAAAGGCCCAAGGCGGTGCCGATGTTGCCGCCCATGTGGCAGAGAATGCCAATGATGAACAGCCCCACCGTGCGACCCTCATCCGGACGGTTCGTCATGATGTTCTTTGTTCTTGCTGGCGGATGAAAAATCTTACTTTCTGTTCTGAAGATTTTTCTGTGCCGGAGCCGGTGAAGTACAAGACTCGTCGCTGCTCTCTTGATTTTTTGTTGATGTTCTTGCTGTTCCACCTCCACTGGTAAGTAGTTGTCCTGTTGTCCGAAGTAGACTAGAGGTCTCCGAAGTATGTAGTTCTCCCGTTTATCATGACGGAACGCGCAAGTTGTGGGAATCGACTGGTTTGAATGATCCCATGTGGTAGTACAACTCGTGGTCCTTTGCTACGCAGCACTATGACCCCCGTAGTAAGAAGTACACACCGGCCTGAAAGTCCTGCGCTGCGACAAGTGTTCCCCAAGTAGAGATCACATCCGAAACGGGAAACTTGCAGCTACCGCAACCGTGGGCACCGCAACCAAGACCAACGGTGCTAGTACTCCGGCAAAATCAAAAACATTCTGCACTAAGCAAAATAAAATTGCCGGGAAGAAATAAAAGCAGCAGCTGGTCGGTGCAGCTCCCGTTCTTGCCCACGGTAAGACAGTGAGACCTGCGGCTGGTCCTCGTTTTCGGATGCGGACTCCTATCCCGGAGCCAAGGTGAGAGACAGTTGACGTTGATGTGTAGTGGGAGCAAAAATATACTGTACTACTGTCATTGTCGTGAAACTAACAAGCAATGACGTTGTAAAAAACAAATCTTCATAGATAACGCAGCTTTATCAGCATAAAACAATTTTACTTATAGCGTATCTTTACAAGAAAAATGTCCGAAAAATGCCTCCCGAGTTTGAGGGATTATAGCGGGTGGAAGAAGTAGAAGATAAATTATTAGCTCACTAGTAGTAGTACGTACTAGTAAAAGTAATGGTAGTCGGTGCAATTTTTTAATGAGGCAGTTTAGTTGTACTTGTTGTTAGCTGTAGCTTGTCGCAGGGTGGGATTCATCACAAAAAAAACAATGCTCCTGTCTCGTTGATCCGCTCGGAATGCGACTCTGCGAAAGTAAAGGCAATAAAGAAATGGCTCAAAAAGTACTCCTATTTTCTTCTCCATCTTGTTAGCAAGAACATACCTTTAGCTCTACTACCCTCATGAGCCTCTTCTACCCTCTCCCTCTTGACGACATCAGCCATGGATTAGTGCACCACATTCTCTTCTAGTGTCGTGTGGGTTCTTTGTGCGGTTCAGTCTTAGAGACGACTCCTCTATTTGAATGTTCTTGCCGCACTGCATGTATGGGTCGGTGCTTCGTCATGGGTAGCGCGCTAGCAACATCAAGATCGTACTTCGTCCACCCAGCATCTGCAAGCCCCTCCTTTGGTTCTCCTTCTCCAGGCGATTACAGGTCATCGTGTGTTCTTGCATGCGCAACATGTGCCAACATTTTTCAAAACAAAAGCAGGCAAAGACTCGTCTCGATGAGACCGATAGATACATAATGTCTCGAGTCACCATGATGGGGGGAGCTCCATCACGGAAACTCCGGACAGAAGAAGGGCAGGAATTGTAGAAGAGCAAAAATTTATCTGAATCCCGCCTGCATTCACTGGAAAAATGCGAATGCCGCCTGCATTCATCTACTACGAAGATACGACTCCATGTACATTTTGCTATGCTTATGTATTGCCTTCAAAATTACTAGGCTCAATTTAAACTTACCCCCTTCTATCATACAGCACGAAAGAAACCACAGCTGCGTGGGGAGGCAAGGCCTGCCTACTTCCTCCACCACAGCGATATCTCTGTAAGAACCCCGTAAACATCGATATTTTTGTTTTGCGCCTCTACACGCCGAAGCGGCCGAACTATATTTACTATCAGACGAAAGAAAACAAGGACAAACCGTCGAAATTCTGCCGGGACGTTGAGTGAGAGTTGTAGGCGAAACCATAACCAAAACCATCTTCACGATACTTTTTATGGACGAGTACAACGATTTCCGTTGTATGTAGTACTAACAATAGTATGTAAAACAGCGCACCTAGTCCACTTCCTTCATCGTTGATGTCGTACAGCATGGGCAGGCCACCATGATAACGCACGGCGTAAATCGGAGTTTTGCTTGTCGTTTGCCCCCGCGTGGTTGCTCCACTTGCGGTCCCTGTAGCTCCGATGCAGCATAAAGACGCAGGACCTGCAGTCGCGAGAAAGGAGAGACACGTGGTCACGGAGGACGACAAAGCAACATGATCGAGGCAAGTTGTGCTACCGATGGTGGTGGCGGCGGGAGGGGCAGAAGTCATGATGATTTTATATATTGTCCAAGAGCAGAGTTGTGCTGGGAGGTTGCTATTGATAGATAGTCGTGCGTTTTTCGGTTCTCTTTTTCTCCGGTCCTCTTTGCTATTATTTGCGACACAGTGCAGTATATGTGCGCAGTCTTCTGCATTCGGGCCTCTTGACTTCTTGTTCATATCGAAGAGATAATCAAAGCGATTTTTGACAGACGCTTTTTTAAGCCAAACAACAAACAAAAAAGCACGACAAGGCAGACGAGACCACGTTAATATCAAGACGCATTGCTAGGACCAGCAACTGCGAAAACGAACGCATCGCGCCACGCATTTCAGAACACGTTCTATGGCCATCACGGTACCGCACGACTAACCTCCTAGTCATCGTATTAGTTTGGACAGCGCACTACGGACATTGTATGGAAAGGTTTCTAAGCCACGCGGCTTGTGCCTGTGATGGGGCACTTGCGCCCCGCTGCTTTGTAGTGCTAGAAAAGAACGATTTCTAGGCTGGAAGCAATGCCGCTACCTGTGTGCAGTTGTTGTTGTGCCCCTTGGGTTTCACTCCCTGGCAGGGCAACCGCGTTAACCCGGACCTCCTGCCGCGGCTTGCTTCGTTGCCAGCTAATACATAGATTGCAGGAAAGTTCTTTTCATGTCTTTAATATAGCCGATCTTCACAACTTAATCACTATGGTCAGGCGAGAATCGTTTGGGTTTGCTTGCTTCCGCCCGATGAATAAGACTACCGTATGTAGTTGTTAATGCTTTTAGATTGCTTTCGATCACAATGAATTCCGGTGAAAATAGTCCTCTTTTTGCGATTCTACATGTCCTGCAGCCTCCTAGCAGGATCATGAATGAATGATGACTTTACCCCAAGCTGACGGAGTTCTTAGAAAAGTCGGCTTTTCTACCTTATGAAAGAGCTAACTAATTAGCAATGCACACGCAGTGTGTTTTGCCTTCTCTTGTTCCTTCGTTGTACAAAGAAAAAAACTGTACCGGTTAAAAGGGAGGACGAGCGCATGGATTTATTCTAAAACTTGGGCAGCGCGAAATCGGCGCCATAAGGTCTTTTATTAACGAAAACTAGTATGTCAGCGCCACAAGGTCTTTCATCATACAAAACAACGGGGCAGAATGAGGGGGAGTTCCTACCTCTTCCTTGACTACCCGCTTTCTCGGTCCTCCTACTTCCTTGTCCTCGTCGATATAGAAGATCTTTGAGTTAACTTGCGCATCAAGATCAATCGCCTGAAAGCATCCCCGTCATAATGCCTTAGTCAGTACGAGGCCACTCTCAAGTCAGTGTAAGGTTATGATCCACTACAAGCTTTTCATTTGAACTTTTCAAGAAGAAGGTATTTCAAATAGGCCTTTTTGCCACTTTCCCGCGCCTTTTCAATCACGATTTCGTGCATCTTTTCAATCACGATTCGTCGCTTCTCGTTTTCCGAGAGGGGCGAGTAAGCATTTGGCTCTTCAATGTTCTTTAAAAGAGAAGACACCTTCTCGTCCTCGAACGGGTTCAAAGACAGCTCAGGGTCGCTCGCCACAAAGGGTTCAAATACCTCGGACGCTCTTGCCTTCAAATTCTTCGTCGCTATCTCTTGCCACTCCTCACGGGTGAAACCAACGTCCCTGGCGGCCGCTTTGTTCACGGCCGCGACTCTCCCCGTGTCCCGCGGACCCAAGAAACCACGGCCATTCGTGTGGGCGTTGCGACCCGCCGTGGTGTCCAGGTCCAGCTCCGCGTTCCCGTTCGGCTCCACTGCAGCTAAGACGTAGAAGCAAGTATAGGATGGCTCCACGACCGAAACGACCGTGAGCAAAGAACAAAGCAACATCTTCCCGAAGACACGCTCGGCGCTGCTCGCGGAGACTTTGCGTCCGTCCATTTTGATGCTTCTTGCGTTAGTATTAGTAAGTAAATCAGGAAGCACTGAGTCAAATTTTAGGAACAAAACGAAAAGAAAGGAAAAGGAAGGACGGCCCGATATAAATCGGTCTGCACTTCGAATCGATAATAGTACTTCTATAATAGAGGGAACAACCGAGGACGTCTTAATGCTTAAAACCGGAACTAAGTTCTGAACGTCAAAAGTATAAGAAAGTTGTGCGGTTCGTTATGGAGGAGAGGTTTGTTGGTGCTTTAGGTTGTGGTTGGTACTTCAAGAGTTGGATATTTGCTCAAGGCTATCAGGGACCTGTTGCTCGTGTATGTTTCGTGTAACCATTCCTCCGCGCGCACGTCAATTATTATCGCATTGCTTTTCAGATCCGGATTGCCCTGATCAGCACCATCGCCAACGTCTGATGCTCACTTCATAATGTAGTACATCGAAGAGCCGTGCGCTCTCTTGACCGATGGGCCTAACAATTCATCGACATTGATCCAGCTGCAGTTGTACATTTTGATAGATCATAATGTTGCACAAGATCAACCCTTTGCTCGCCTCTTATTGCCTGCGAGTAACTGTCTGTTGCACAAGGACAAGATCAAGATAAACACTGCTGCGAATTAATATAGTGGATCTTCTTGAAGACAGCGGAGCTGCGTGGAAAAACACGCGAACTTCGGCGATCTTTCGTTTTTTGAATTTCATCTTTGAAACGCTGTTGAGCACAGAGCTGTGCTGGTCAAAATTTTGCAAAGCCTATTCATTCTCAAGCTGTTGCGTCCGTGGTGCGCGGATATTGATGGCCGCCGCTCGCCATCGTAGTGCTGATAGTGCTGGATCAGTCGTAAGTAGTTCTTACTTGTGTTTGTGTACAACTACAGATGTTAGAGATACCGCTTTCTGGTTCCACGTACTACGACGCCCCGCGACAGGCCCCCGGAAGTGGCCAGGGGGGGCGAAGGCAGTTGTGAAAATCAGGGGGGGCGCCGAAGGCGATCAAGCCGGCGCAACAATTGGCGGACAACGGCGAGCAGGTGGGGTGCGATTTGGGGCACGGGGCGGCCCCGGTTGTGGAAGCCCACGCGGGGGCAGCTTGCGGGGGCCCGGGCGCCCGCTTTTTTTCTTCTGCTTTGCGCGAAGGCGGCCGGGGCACAAGAATGCAGGGCGCCCGCGCGCTTACGGGGGAGCTTCGCCAAGATGGGCATCTCGTCGGGCCAGGTTATTTGCAAAAGGCCGGGGCCCCGGACCTTCCGGGCGGGCCTCTGCGGGGGGGTCCTGAAGGGGGGTCCCAACGAAAAATAGGGGGGGGGGTCCCGCAATAGTCTTCGAGGCAGGCAAATCACGGCGCCCCCCAATCACCCGCCCGCGCATCATTCTAACGCACGACATTGACCGGCCGGGCCGTCCTTCCCCCGAATTGATGCCGCTCCGTCGCGCCTCTTCTCGCTAGCTAGTTGCCCTGCATACTTTTGAGGCTTTCTTCCTGCGTTGCTTTTCAATATGGTAAGCGCAGGTACCCCAAGACCCATCGACGAAAATTTTATTGTTTTCAAAAATATCACTTTGCTCCCGCCATATGTTAGAGATGCCGCTTTCTGGTTCCACTGCTGTAAGCCTGTCGCGTAGGATTATGCTGCGCAGTTCTTCTGACCTTCTAACTCTTGGATGTGCGCTCACATGTGAGGAGTTCTCGGATGTGAGCTCGCATCTGAGGAATTCTCGGATTTGAGTTCGATATCAAGAAATCTTAGGAGCACACTTCTGCAGGCCAGGGCACGAGAGTGCTATCCGAGTTTGTGCTCTGACCTTGAAACACAGAAAAACCCGCACAGCATCATCTTAGGCGGGGGCTTTGCAGAACTATGATCCCAGGTCTCGACGCGGCGAAAATCCTAGGGGCGCACTTCTTTATCTCCCCGACGTCGGATGATTTTGCGCGAGGTCTTCAGACCTGTCGCCGGCCAGAGCACAAATCCGACGTGGGGGCCTTGCCGAAATGTGCTCCCACACAACAACAAGATGAAACCGATGCAAAAATGCTTGGTGAATATTTGCAACCGAAGATCGCGGTCTTTCTGCATCTGCTGAGCCTCCACCAATTAAAGGCGTTTCGAACCCAGTGCAGCGGCGATTGGCAATTTATCATTTTGGATAAAATGTTAATTGTTACTACTAACATACCGACCTTTGCACGAACAATATGGAATTACGCAAAACCGATACTCGAATTTGAAGTTGAAAGGGACAGGGAGTTTAGTTTCTGGCGTCTTTCGCGACGGGGTACCCATCATCGCCACCGACTCAGACTGGCGGAAGACCTGAGCGGCCCGTGTATTCTTTCGAGACAGTGCGGCAACGNTGCAAGCTAAACCCCCCTCGCGGTTTGTTTCCATTTTTTTCAAACCTAAGCTTTCGGGAACAAGGGTAGGAACTAATTTCTGTAAGCCTTAAATACCGCTTTCTGGTTCCACGTACTACGACGCCGGTTCTGCCTTGCGCCTGGTGGAGCGGCGTTTTTTCATATCAACTTCAGGTACTATGTTGAAAAAGGAGATAGGCGCGTCGAGGAAGAACTTTTGAGTTCTTGTAAGAGAGGAGCAACAAAATTGTCGTCTTCGACGTTCTTATCTTCCGCTCATGTAGACGAAAAGATGAACAGGACTGAGACCACTCTGGGTCTGGCTCGGTTGATGTTCCCATTAGTTTTTATCCGATACCAGTAGCAGTAGAATGATCCTTGGATAATTTTTATTTCCACGAATCTAGCGAAACGAATGTGCAAAGAAATAGAATCGAAACGTAAAATAAAATGAACACGAGTTACAGTTAGATATGCTGAACATAGCTTCTCGTCTCTAGTACAGCGTGTTCTTGTTGTACAACTACCAGGGTGTACAACGAAGAACAACGCCTAAAAATTATAGCAACTGCTATACATAGAAATCACATCGGGCGGTAGTTAGGATCCATTCCTTTTTCCGGCCATCCCTTATCCAAGAAAAAAACTGTGTTAGTGTAACTTCCTTGAAAGAATAGCATCACAAATTTGCTCTGCATGACCGATAGAGCTCTTCATGCGCGGCTGGTACGTGAAAACACGTACGAAAAGAGCGTCTGATGCATGTCCAGCATGACTACAGGTGTAATTGTCTTGCATCGTCTGCAATACAAAGTTACAATTACACAGCCTTTTTGTTGGATATCCGTCCTTGCGCTTGCACACGGACCCGCTGAGCCCCACCCCCGCGCCGAGATACGGAAGGCCCTGACCGTTCCGCAGGGTGCGCATGCATTGCCCGGCGATTAGGGAAAACCCCCCACTCTGCACGTATAGCACTTTCGGGATGAGCACCATGTCGCTGATATCGTTGTCCGCGGCCTCCGCCCGGTCCGCCAAGGTGGTTTGGCTCTGCTTGGGCGGAACCTGGTACTCGATCCGGCCGGGTATCCTGAGTCAAAACATCCCCACCCCATAGTTGTCATGCAGATTTGCGACTGCAGGATGATCTGTAATGCGAATCTCCATGAGAGGCATTTCCAATCGCGTTCTGGAATTTCTAATGCTGTAAGCAGGATAAGCAGATGGATTTGTGATGCGGTTGTCCTTGCTAACATGCACTACACTACGGACTGCAACTTGTCATGCGTGGCTCCCAAAACTTCTGGACTTGTGTTGCTAACTTCCCAACTTGACTGTGGGGTGGGGACGTTTTTACATGTGATACCGGGCGCGCCCCAGTCTACCGCCGGCAACGCGGCACTCCAGGTGTCCCGCAACGCGGCCTTCACATCCTCCAGATAGTCCAAGGACGGCTGCGCCGGCGCGTCCCTGTTGCCGTGGTAGGGATTGGAAAAAATTTTCACAAACTTCACGGAGGAATCTGTTCCATGCGTATCGTGCGAAAAAAGTTCTTGTCGTGCTACAGTTGGTTCTTACACGCCGACGACACTTCAAATTAGATACTTTGGCTGATTCATTCTTTTTTGGCAAAACGTCGGAAATCATAAAGCAAAAAGTAGTAAAAAACCCAGCGTCTGCGTCTGGACGAGATTGATATAATGGGTTCCTAAGAACATAGGCTCTTCCTAAGCTGCAGAAGTTGCTCGGGCAGGCTGACATCAGATGAGGGTGAGCTTGTCTGTGACCTTAGCCTGTTTAAGTATTTGCCGCAAGAAGAACGCCGTATTTTTCGGTTGTAAGTATCTGTGTCTGGTGTGACAAAACTGACGGCACGTTTGTTTTCATCGCATAATGTTCCGCGGGGGGCTTCCAGTAGTCCCGGTACTCGGAGAGAGGGTAGACGTAGCAGTAACGCGTTGCATCAATCAAGCTCGCGTGAAACTCCTTCTCAAAGTCGTCGAGTGTGCTGGTGCCTTGCTGAATTGGGATATTTATGACAATGCACAACTCCCCCTCTCCCTCATTTGCATAGCATGAACGGCAATACAAGCATCAGTAAGAATGCCGGCTCTGCATGACAAATTTCCACTGGAGTGTAGTGCTATTTGGGCTACCAGAACTTGTCATGCAAACAGTGCCAAGAGGCACAGCCTGGATTTGCGATTTTGCATGGCAAATGAGGAGGAGGGGGAGTTGTGCACTCTCATAATATTGATCACATCCCCACTGCGCACGTGCATGTTCGCCTCCGCCGCGTCGCCCTGAAAGGGAAAACTGACAACATCCCCCAACACCGGCTTGCCCGCTTGATCGAACCCGGTGATCTTTTGTGCGCTAACAAACCCGCCCGGCTGCGCCAGCGCCGCCCGCCACCGGCCCAGTAATTTCCATTCCGAGTCCGTGAATACCCTGGCCGCCAGGCGCTCCTTGCCCGGAGCCGGCACGTGCAGGTCCGAGGCGTCGACCTGCTCCGTATCACGGTCGTCCTCCGTGGCGGTAAAGTTACCGGACCAGAGAAACTGCCGCGCCAAGATACAGTTCGACATGGCGTCCTATGCGCTGCAAAAACGTCTGGTGGGTCTGGAAGTATGCACTAGATTTCTTCTCAACATGCTCGGCTAGCATGACGCATGATCGGCTGTATGCAGTCAGTCAACATACTTTCCCCTTCACCAAAAGGAGGTAGAAGTACAGTCATACACTGTCATGCAGAGCAACTCCTGCAGTGTGTCATACTTACAGGATAGACAAAAACACCCAGCATCGCAAAAACTTGTCATCTTTAGCCGTCAATTTTGCAGCAGCCGTGCTCGTGACTTTTTCCCAACCAGCATCACAAGCTTCCAGACGCAGATCGATGTTTGCATTTTTGATACGTCCCAGTCGTTTCCAATTTGCGTGTTCAACGAGTAACAGGCCGCCAGGCTGTACGGGGCAGTATGCAAGAAAAAAGCTGTGGGTTTGTGATGCAAAAAAAGCAAAACCGTTACGCTTGTGTGTCATACTGGAAGTGCGTCATAGGCATAGCCATGCTTCATACGTGTTTTCACATAGTACCACTACCAGCTGCTGCGCATGACAGGTTTTTTTCTGTAAAGGCAAAACGAACTTGTGATGCTGCTCTTCCTACACAGTTACACGACCCACACGACACTTTTTTCTTGAATAGGCATTCCGCCGATGGCAGTGGCCGCGGCCGGCGGCGAAGGTCTTATAGGCCTTGACGAAGTCCCCGAGGGAGTAGTAGTAGTAGGTTTCAGATTCACAGTTCAGGTCTTGCAGCCACAGCACCGCCCCCAGTCCGCCGGCGAAGAGCGCGAGCGCAAAGCCCCGGTGCATCCACTGCAGGCACCCGGATTTGTCCGAGGCGGGCTGGAGATCGATGAAGCTACCCTGGTAGTAGACGTCGCCGTCCTCGTTTTCGCGCCACTGCACCTCGTCGCTGGGGTATTTCTCCCGGAGCACCTGGCTCGCCGCGTTGTAACTGTCGAGGTTGCTCCTCCTTTATGATCCAGTAAAGAATTATATAAGGTGTCTGACTGCGAGGAATTCTTTTTTTGTAGGGAGGAGTAAATCTAAATCTAAATCTTCTGATGTGTCGTCAAAAATATCATATAACATGATGACAGTGAAGATCTGCCCTGCGCGCTCCCTCAGGGAAGCCAACGAACCACGTTAACGGAAATACTTTTCCGTCTGTAGAAGTAGTACCGAACGATGCGGCTACTAGTTTCTTGTTGCGTATAAATATGCATGTTGCAAGGCGATCGCGTCTGTGGAGATCATGTTGCCATGCCCGTGCCTTCTTGTCTAAAACCCAGAAATAAATCACAACAAGTTCGACGCAGCGAGACACTTTATTTCGAGATCTCCTTCCGTATCCTGGCGCCCCCGCCTAAAAACGCTTGACCTTCCTCAGCGTCGTCGCTGCTGTCGACAGAACTAGGCCGTCGCTTTATCCTGAGTAAAAACGTACCCACACCATAGTCAAGCTGGGGATCTTGCAACACAAATCGAGAAGTTTTGGGGGTCCAGCATGACAAGTTCGTCTCTGTATTGTAGTGCAGTTTAGCAAGCACAGCCGCAACACAAATCCATCTACTCATCCTGTCGACAGCATTACGAAGCGCCAAACGCGATTGGAAATGCCTCTCATGTGGATGCGCATTACAAATCTTCCTGTAGCTGCAAATCTGCATGACAACTCTGGGGTGGGTACATTTTTGCTCAGGATACGCTTCTGGTTCAGAAAAGCCGCCAACATGACGAAGGTGTAGAACAAAACCAGAAAGAAACTGTTGTATCAAATGCCAATATGTCTCGGTCTGGAAGATTGCCAGGCTTGTCATGCATATTTGGCACGACCCATGACGCCTGTAATGCATGACCTAGCATCACAGATTTTTAGAGGTCTTTCTGATTCCTATTCTGCATGAGAAATGCCCTCTCCGCGTAGCAGACTGGACTCCTCTTGCCTGCCATGCAATACAGATTTTTTTTGAGTCCAAAGATAGCATCACAAGTCGCATCCTTCCAGACCCAGACATAATTGCAATGCATATGTTGATCACCTGTCCCATGTACCCCGCCGGAAGGTAAATTGCGACCGCGTCGTATCCTGAGTAAATTCAGTGCGTCCCCAGCACACGCCCACTGTTGTTAATTTTATCATGCGGATTTTCCTCTCAAGGAGCATAATTCATGTGTGATGCGCATCTTCGTCTACTTCCCCATGTTGAGACGAGGCATTTATTCTAGTGTTGCATGTAATGCTGTGAAGTAACTCCGCGTCTTTGTGATGCAGCTGTTCGTGAAGGTAGATACCGGCACTTCTACGCTGCAGAACAAGAATTGCTATGCGTGAGCATTATAATTCCCAACTAAGGTGGTCGTGCTTGGGGCTATCCAGGAAAAAAAGCGTGTAAGTGTAACTTTCTTTGAGAAACAGCATCACAAATTTGCTCTACATGACAGAGAAAACCTGTCATGCGTGGCTTGTAAGGAAAAACACACATGAAAAGAGGACTTCATGGCTGTCTGGCATGGCAGGCGCAACTCTGTTGCATGTCCTGCAACACAAATTGACACTTACACAGTTTTTCTCTTGCATATGGGGCGGGCCACGTTTTATTTACTCCGCATACGCCGCTGTCCTGGATCAGGAGCATGTGTAGCGGGAGCTGCAATATAACCCGCTCAGGTGTTACAAACTCAAATCGGTTTACCATAGAATATGGAAATCTGTGATGCAAGAAGTGCATGATCTACCCTACTCCCATAGGACTATGCATGACAAGGCCTGGAGTTGATGTCCCAATCCGCACTACAAAAATCTAGCGACATTTGTACTGCAGAAAGTGGAAAAGTGCTGTCCGAGTCTGTCATGTTCATCATGCAAGACAAATCTCAGATTCTATGGTAACCGATTTGAGATTGTAACGCTTGAGCAGGTCATATGCAACGCAAACAGTATGTGGCGGTGGACGTCAAACCCCGCCATACGGCGGTCCTGTTCCTATCCTGAGTAAAAATATCCCTACCTCAGAGCTGTCATGCAAATCTGCACGCCAAAAAAGTTTCTCATGCGGAGCCCCATGAGAGCCATTTTCTACTCCTGTTCTGGAACTTGCGATGCTAAAATCAGCATGATGCGCTACATCTGTGATGTTTCGGAACTAGCTAAACAGGACTACACTACGAGGATAATTAAATTTGTCATGCGAAACAACCAGAGGTGGCTGATTTGTCTAGCGGATTTCCCATCTTGACTCTGGTGTGGGGACATTTTTACTTAGGATAGTTCCGCGCGCGTCTTCAGGCAGGCCAACGCCGAAAAGTCCCCGGCCGCTTATTACAGTGAAAAATGCCCCCACCCCCAAAGTTGCAGCAACAACTTGTGATGCATAAGGTTTTCAAGAAATGAAGAACTTTTTTATCTATGCGTGAAAGTAGGAGTATGAACCTTTCTGCTGCAAAATCTAGGTGTGTATCCGACATCGCTTGCATGACAAGCGCCGCTCCTGTTGGGGTCTTTTGCAATACGAATTTTTGCTATTCACGATTGAAAACCTGTGATGCTGATAGGTGCATGAGGGCGAATGTTTCATTTGGAAAGGTTTGCAATACAAATGCCCCCAAGTTCGGGGGGTGGGGGCATTTTTCATTGTAATACCGCTTGGGCTAGGTACATCAGGAAGACGATGTGGGAGAGAATCAGGTAGTAGGTCATATACACCCCCTCGCCGTAGATCTGATACGTATGTATTGTTTGAGTTTCGTTGTTACTATCATGGAGCGGCTCGATCGTGACAATAAACGTGCGGCGGCGATGAACTGCGCTGAGCATTGAGGACTCTAAGAGCTTTTATACAATAGCGGCCACAACCTGAAGCTTGTTCAGACGACACCTCTATTCAAGACCTTCAAGAGGACACGACCAAGAACACCATCTTTAGTACTTTGTTCAGCAACTCACTTATTAAAAGTTCATGGTGTTCATGCAGAAAATAATTTTTTAGCATCTCATTTATACATCCCCTTCGTTTTCCAGGGTCGCGCCGTCGTCTGTCCGCGTATACACCGCAAACACCTTGAGAAGGAACTGATTGTAGGCAAGAGGGTAGACAGAGGGTAAACAAGAGGTGGCCGAGAGGTCAAAAAGAGGCCAAAAGAGGTAAAACAGAGGTCGACAGAGGTGGAGAGGTGGGGCGGGACCCTCCCCACTCGAGAGGGTCGGCGAGAGGGTGCGCGAGTACAGCCCGCCGAAGCGCTCACCCTAAAGCGCCGCCTAAGTGCCTGAGAGGGTGCAGGGAGGTCAAAGAAAAAGAGGGGGCGCGAGAGGTCGACAGAGGTGGGGAGAGGTGGCGCGAATAAGGGGCGGCCTCTCGCGGACCCTCTTGGCCACCTCTCGGCCACCTCTGTCGACCTCTACCCGCGAGAGCGAGTATAGCCGGATTATTAGCGGGGACCCCCAAAAGAGGTCAAAAAGAGGGTCTGCGGGAGGTCTGCGAGAGGGTAAAAGCGCACCCAAGCGGGCGCGAATCCGCATGGCGCTACCAATATTTCGCACTGCAGGCCATTCGCGGGCCTCTTTTGTTCGGCGTCTTTCCGTGCCACCCTCTCGCGCGACTCTCTCGCAACCCTCTCGCGCCACCCTCTCGCGCCACCCTCCCGCGCTACCCTCTCGCGCCAGGCGGCTTCTGTTCGCCCCCGGTGTTCTTTGCAGCTGCTCCCTGCACAGAGCGCCTCCGGGCGCGGGAAGCGCGCAAGCGGTCCTGCGGGTTGGCGCGACGCAAACAGGATGCAGGACTCCAGTGCGTTTCAATGTGCATAGACCCGTGGCGTTGTGGTCCAATCGGCAGACATTCTTGCCCCGGCCCAACAGCCTTGCGCTCCGGCGGCAGCCGGAGCATGGCTGGTAGATAGTAATGTATAAGTAATATAGTAATACATCCCCCTCGTTTTCCAGGGTCGCGCCGTCGTCTGTCCGCGTAAACACCGCAAACATCTTGAGAAGGAACTGATTGTAGGCGTAGGTTGGGTTGCTTCCATGATGCCTCGTGCACCGGTACGCGATCAGCAGACTCCACGAAGTCGCGTACAATACGCAGGCCAGCATTTCGAAGCGGTAAAAGTTCCGGTTGCTGCGATTCAGCACCCTTGTGCTGCCGATCACCACAATAGACAACATCCAGTAGGCTGCGCCCGCACACACCACGCTCCACTGGAAGGTCGAGCGGAAGTATCGGACAAAAAAAGGGTTACAGTTCTTACACCTTTGTTGCAACTTCAGCAACACAAACTCTGCACTACAGAGAAAACTTGCAATGCGTTGATCCTAAGGGATGAAAACACGTATCAAACGATGCTCGCATGCCTCTCCGGCACGAGAGAGCTTGTCTGTCATGATGCGCGTTCTGCAACACAATGTGTGAAACCGTATACACTTTTTTCATTGCATAAACAGTCCCCGTTCTCCATGGACACGGTGATGGATTCCATCACGAAAATATCAACTGCAAAAGTGTCTGGGTCTGGAAACTTGTGACGCAAGGAAGGGAGTAGTGAGCTCACTGTAATGCGCTGCCACGCATGACAAGCTTTTTTCATGGTTCTGAGTTGCGTATTCCGCATAAGAAGCTGCGTTTTTGCATGACAGGGAGAAGGAGCTCTTCGCGGCTACGCAATACAGAGTTCAGAGTCATGCCAGGCTAGCATGACAAGTCTCGCAATCTCCCAGACCCAGACATATTTGCTGTGGATAGAAAAATAAGAGCCCGAAGGTCATGGCATAGATGTACATCGACCACCGGCAGGTCGGCCCGCAGCACGGGCAACATTGTTGTTCCCGCTGTTCAAACTTGTTCATTCCGCCACTGTTCATGATGTTGCTGCTTTTTCTTCTACTTCTAGGAGAGTTCTGGATCCGGCTTCGGATCTACTGTTCAATCTCAATGTCAGTATGTAAAAACCAAAAACTACAGCGGTGAACGAAATTAATACGATGAAAAAGAATTTCAATTTTCTTTTTCTACACTAATATCATTGGCAAAATAAAAGGTAACTTCAATGGGCGATAGCAATTATCGCACGAATTTTTGAAGACAGGAGCACTTCCACTTTTGTGTACTTACCAACAAACGATCGCAAATAGAAAGCACTACAGCTTCCTGAGTGCCTGCTGTTGACAAGGAGGAGTAATTATAAATTTAGAGGCGCAAGATAGTAAATAAGTAAGTGCAAAGTGCTTTTGGTGCATGTCTTCTGGTTCATCTTTCTTTCGTTGTATGAGACACAAGCACCGAGTGGAGTCAGAACAGAGAAATATGCAAAATAAATGCTTTAGCCGTTCTTCAGCAGTACACCACCGATAGAAACCTACACCGTACTTGCGGAGCGCGCTTCCACCGAAAAAGATGACCTGGGGATCGAGTACTACCGGAACCACCGAAAAAATGCCTCGTCTCGGTCGGGAGGAAAAGGAATGACAAGTTGTTTTTGGACCTAAATAATGTCGATGTTGATAGGCAGCTACATCGAGTGTTGTAAATGGAACGAGATGATGATCTCGGTCTCGCCAATTGCCATAATTATACTTCGGAACCGATCACAGCTTTCCAAAACAAAACCGATGGTCATATTGAGGCCCGTTGTACCGAAATTTTTGAAAGTTCCTCATATTGAGGACCGTTGTCAATTTTCGACCGACCCGGACAGAACAGGCTATGAGCCCTGACTGTCTACATGAGGCGTCCTGACCGGGTGCGTGAACCCTGCGTCAGCGTTAGCTACTTCAAAAGCTCATCCAAGATGAAAAACCTCGAGACAGAATTGTCTTGCACCGATCACGACTGCACCATGTGGAGTCTACTTCTCTACTTTTGTCCAAAGTGCAAAACCCAAGCCCTATCGGCTCTACAGCACTAAACAAACACAAAATCCCTATACGCAACCCGTGTGTGGAAGTTGATTCGACTCAACTTCTTGCAACTGTCACTGCAGCTGCTCCCTGGCTGCAGCTTGTGCTGCGTCCTGGATAGAGATCCTGAGCGGATCTCCTTCTTCTTGCGTTCCGGGGAACTCCCCGGACTTGGTGTTTGAGCTGTGCTGTGTGCTGTGGTAGCGGCTGCTACTTGCACCGGTACTGACTGCTCGAGTTGCGCGCAACTACCGATAGTTGCGGCAACATTTACGCACTGCAACACCCTGGACGTCGCTGCTGCGCCGCCATGTGTGTGTTGCTACTTTTACTTTTGCCTTCCACACTCGTAGCAGCGTATGTCATCGACAGACGCTACTCGAGTGGGCTTTTGCCCTTTCCAGCGCTTTGCGCTTTGATGGCTCTCCAGGTGCGGACTAGCCACACAAGGAGGCGACTACAGCCACGGGCTTGGGGAGCTCATTCCCTACTCTTATGCAGGGATAGGTGGGGGCGGCTAGTAGTTCTTACCCGTTCCCAATAGGGGAACTCCTTGGGCTCATAACTCTGTGGACGTGTCAAGCGTCAGGGACTAGGCATGCTCACCAGCATGCTGTCCTAAGATAGAGAACAGAGTCACTATCTTCTACGAAGCAACCTAATATCTAGGTGCTAACACGGAGTTCAGGGCAATTGATTCATAGGCAACCGGCACTACGACCAGGAGCCATTCTGGCACTGTGTACGTTGTTCACATTGTCTCTATTGGTGTCATCACCACCATCCTAGTGGTGTCCTGTGTGGGTGATCCTCATGATCCTACTGGTGTGACCCCTGTATTTACATCCTACACCTATGGGTGTGCCTTGACCTATTCATGGATCTCATTGATCTAGGGAGCATGCTAGCAACTGCTCTAGTCCGAGACAGGTTGCTGCGCAATAGATGGTCATACTGAGGCCCGTTGTACCGAAATTTTTGAAAGTGAAACCATCAGTAGCTGCTGCAAATCAAGAGCCGCAGCTCAAGGTCCGCCGCCGGGGGGGGGCAATGCCTAGAGATGAACCACGTCAGTCAATCAAGAATGGAACAAATGCCAGCGAAGCAACACCATATCAGGTTCTTTGGTACAGATCGCTTTTGTCATCTTTCTAAGCGAAGAGGATGAACCATCCTGCGTTTGTTGACCGATTGCGATGGACTTTATACTTTTGAACAGACGTCACAAAGATTCTGCAGAATTCTCGTAAGCTGGTTCCGAACTTCCTGTCGTCGTTTGAATCCAATCCCCTATTGTACCAAAACGCTGCTGAAGGAAGATTTTTGTACTTAAGTCCACCTGATGCTCAAATGCAGAAACTACAAAATGAATCAAAATTAGGCTACGTAAAGAACGCCCAATAGTCCCGAGCAGATCTACTTCCGTCGCTCGTCACATTCCCGCTAGCAGCTCCGCTTTTTTGCTTTCAAACTCCGCGGGTGACACGAGTCCCATCTGGTACATTTCCGTGAGCTCTTTGAGCTTTTCCTTGGTGCCGACAGCTGGCCCACCACCTCCGGGCGCGCCCTGCATCATCATCTGCGGCGGCGCTTGTGGTCCTCTCAATTGCTGCGCATTCTCCATAGCAGTGTTAATTAGACCCGCCGCATAGTCCGGGTTGTCCACATACATGATGAAGCTGGGCGGTCCTCCACCGGTATAGTCGGACAAGAACTATTACGTGAAAAAGTATCGCGCTCAAGTTTTGGAAAGTGGAATTACTGTATTTTTCTTCTTGCATACCCATCCATATGTTAATCAAGTTCGATTTGCATTTTCTTTTCCAGCATGTAATGTAACGACTCAATTGCGTTTTTTTTTTTTACAGCTGCATGATCGTGGTGCCTTTGTTCAATTATACTTAGCACCTATATATAGGATAAATATTTTTTTTACTAAACGCAATGTGAATACGTACGTCGAGAGCGAGGACATCTTTGCAATGCATAAGGGCGAAACAAAGGGGACAGCGATCTGAACGCCATGTGATTCGAGGCAAGCGCAAGGGGCGGCCTGATTGTGGACTCCGACGGAGGTGATGGAGGACAGCTTTTCGAAGCCCGAATCGTTTCCCGTCGTGCAGCAAACGCCACCCTATGGATTGCAAATATGTCTGGGTCTGGAAGATCATTCCGAGACTTGTTGTCATGCAGTTTTTCCAAGCTCCGCCAAGGCTGGAATGCAGGGCATAGATTCACACCCTCTGCAGCCCCTTGGTGATGCCTATCCTGCATGGGACATGCCATGCCCTCTCAGCATGGCCAGAAACGGGGACCTTTTGCAAGTCATCCGACACAGATTTTTGTATGATGATCCGAAACACGCATGACAAGTTCGCATCCTTCAAGACACAGACATTTTTGCAGTTGATAAACCCACCTCCGCTTCCACGATCCGGTAAAGATTCTTTTTTCCCAAAATGTAAGTCGTACCTTGCAAAGCGTCGTTTGTGGCCTTGTTCGCGAAATACAAACATATGCATTGCAAATAAATATGTCTGGGTCTGCAAGGATGCGAACTTGTGATGCACATTTCATAAACACGCACTAATTTCTCCTGCATAGGCAGCATCAGAAGGTCGTGCCCATTTCCAGTCACCAAAATGAAGGATTTGTCATGCGGATTAGGCATTGCGAAGCGTAGTTCTCGAAACCTGTGATGCCAGGGGTTCCATGCCAGCCCAGACCTTCTCCGTCATGCGAAAATACTAGCGCGACAAAAATCTGCGTTCTTCCAGACCACCCAGACCACTACATATTTGCATTTGATATCACACGGGCTGCACAGAATCGCGTGCGGCCATAAGCAGGGCAGGATGAAGTAAAAGCGGACCTTCTTGCAGCAAAGGTTGTCATATTACAATGAAAAATGCCCCCTCCCCATACCAAAACGGAAATCTGTGATGCAGATCATTTGTGGCCACAAATAAGTTTTGTGATGCTAGAAGGCTAAAGATGCAGACTGTAGCTCTGGCGAGCGTGGGGAAGCCTTGCATTTCCAGCATGACAGGAGGCGACTGGAAGTGGTAAACAGCGTGACAACTTGCCTGCAATTCAGGCCACAGCTGCGTCTCTTGGCCTTCTAGCAATACAAGTCGATTTGTGTACTCAAATACAGCATCACAAATTTCGTTTCCCATATGGGGAGGGGGCTTTTTTCGTTTTGATACATAATTTTCCGGATTCACGCGCCAAACGGCGACAGGCTCGTCGTTGTAGGTTTGGCAATGCGCCCAGGCTTTGTCCGCATCCTGCTGGGTGGCGCCGGAAAGCAGCTGCACAGAAGAGTTGGAAGAGCTCCCCCCAGCACCCCCCTGGGCCTGGCCGTACTCATCGTCATTGTAAGCCGCAGAGTGTTCACCCTCGACCTCAGCTGTGTCAGCCCGCATTTCGACGTCTGCAACTCCCTCTTTCGATTGCGTTTCAACTTTGGTTGCCATTGTTCTGTTTTGGTAGGGTGAAGGTCGAGGTACGACGAGAAAGCGAATCAATGAGAAATACAATCAATCCAAATCTAGAAAAATACTCGAAAACTACACGAGTAAGTCCCAGACACTGACCAGCCAAGTGCAGCCAATGATGAGGTTGATAATAAGTGAGGGGTATTAGTTTTTTTCGATAAACGTCGGAAACGCCGATCCCACGAGAAGGATGGAGTCGAAGAATCAACAGCAGAGTTGTTCACAGCAGGAGGCGCCTGCCCGTGTACTGTGCGAATGAGGGCGGAGAAAGCGTGCTTTATTGCAATGAAACAGATGAAGCAGCAGCCTTAAAAACAGAAAACCTTTCTTGGTTCAAGGCTGCACACGACTGGCAGTACGATGTATATAAAGTCAATTTGATGCTCAAAGCACATGTTGCAACTCCACCGACCGAGTTCGCTTCGCGCAGCTTTTTGCGCTGTTGCAGCACGGATACCGAGAAATGTATTCGTTGCACATCTCGCATTTGACTTTGAACCTGTTCGTGGGCCAAACCGAAAGAGGAATCCTAATCCTCCAAGCAGGAGAACCGAAAGTGATTATCTCATTGAAAAATATTCAAATTGAGAGCACCACACGCTTAACTTTCATGAAGAACCAATTGGCACATCCATGGCAAAGCTGTGCTTCCGGATCATCATCATCATCATCAACATCATCATGCCACAAGATGATATTAGGAAATAAAGTCGCACACAATTCTCTACAACAAGAAATGAAAATCGTTCTGTTCTACTGGAAAGGAAAACCAATATTCTACCAAAACGCTGCTGAAGGATTTTTGTACTTAAGTCCACCTGATGCTCAAATCGAAATGCAGAAACTACAAGATGAATCAAAATTAGGCGACGTATTAAATGCCCAATAGTCTTCCCGAGCAGATCTTCCGTCGCTCACATTCCCGCTAGCAGCTGCGCTTTTTTGCTTTCAAACTCCGCGGGGGACACGAGTCCCATCTGGTACATTTCCGTGAGCTCTTTGAGCTTTTCCTTGGTGCCGACAGCTGGCCCACCACCTCCGGGCGGGCCCTGCATCATCATCTGCGGCGGCGCTTGTGGTCCTCTCCATTGCTGCGCATTCTCCATAGCAGTGTTGATCAGACCCGCCGCATAGTCCGGGTTGTCCACATACATGATGAAGCGAGGCGGTGTGAAATTTCTATCGTTTCCACCGGCATGGTCGGACAAAAGCTATTATGTGAAAAAGTTTCGCGCTCAAGTTTTAGGAAGTGGAATTGAGTAAACTGGTATTTTTAGTTTACATACCCATACACATGTTAATCAAGTTCGATTTGCATTTTCTTTTCCAGCATGTTGTAACGACTCAAAAATTGCCTTTTTTTTACAGCATGATCATTGTGTACTCTGCACCTATATATCAAATATCAAACGCAATGTGATGAACACGTACGTCGAGAGCTGCGACATCTTTGTCGAATGCATAAGGGCGAACCAAAGGGGACAGCGATCTGAACGCCAGATTCTTGGAGGCAAGGGGCGGCCCCCTGATTGTTGACTCCGACGGAGGTGATGGACGCCAACTTTTCGAAGCCCGAATCCTTTCCCGTCGTGCAGTAAGTGCAACCGCCCACGTCCGCTTCCACGATCCGGTACACATTTTTTTTTCCCAAAATGGAAGTCGTACCTTGCAAAGTGTCGTTGGTGGCCTTGTTCATGCAGAACAAACATATGCATGTGCCAAGATGTCTGGGTCTGGAAGGATCCGGATGCGAACTTGATGTGATGCGCATTTCCTAAGCATAACACGCACAAATTTCTCATGCATAGGCAGCAAAAGGCCGCGCCCATTTCCTGTCACCAAAGTGGGGGATTTGTCATGCGGATTTGGCATTGCGGAACGTAGTTCTCGAGACCTGTGATGCCAGGGGTTCCATGCCAGCCCAGACCTTCTCGTGCTCCGCCATGCGAAAATAGCACGACAGAAATCTGCATTCTTTTTCTTCCAGACCCAACATACAAGCACTTGATAAAACACGGGCTGAGACAAATCGCGTGCGGCCAAAAGCAGGGGCAGATGAAGAGAAAGCCGACCGTCTTGCAAAAAAGGTTGTAATTTTCCGGACTCACGCGCCAAACGGCGACAGGCTCGTCGTTGTAGGTTGGGCAATGCGCCCAGGCTTTGTCCGCATCCTGCTGGGTGGCGCCGGAAAGCAGCTGCACAGAAGAGTTGGCAGAGCGCGACCCCCAAGCCCCTCCCCCCTGGCCATAGTACCCATCGTCATTGTAGTAACCCGCACTGTGCTCGCCCTCGACCTCAGCCGCGTCAGCCCGCATTTCGATGTCTGCAACTCCCTCTTTCGATTGCGTTTCAACTTTGGTTGCCATTGTTCTGTTTTGGTAGGGTGAAGGTCGAGGTACGACGAGAAAGCGAATCAATGAGAAATACAATCAATCCAACTCTAGAAAAATACTCGAAAACTACACGAGTAAGTCCCAGACACTGACCAGCCAAGTGCAGCCAATGATGAGGTTGATAATAAGTGAGGGGTATTAGTTTTTTTCGATAAACGTCGGAAACGCCGATCCCACGCGAATGATGAAGTCGAAGAATCAACAGAAGAGTTGTTCACAGCAGGAGGCGCCTGCTCGTGTACTGCGCGAATAATGAGGGCGGAGAAAGCGTCCTTTATCGCAATAAAACAGATGAAGCAGCAACCTTCGAAGCAGAAAAGATTCCTTGGTTCAAGGCTGCACACGACTGGCAGTACGATGTATATAATTCAATTTGATGCTCAAAGCACATGTTGCAACTCCACCGACCGAATTCGCTTGTTCCCGCAGCTTTCTGCGCTTTTGCGGCACGGATACCGAGAAATGTGTTCGTTGCACATCTCGCATTTGACTTTGAACCTGTTCGTGCTGGGCCACACCGAAAGAAGAATCCTTCAAGCAGAACCGAAAATGATTAATATCTGATTGAAAAATATTCAAATTGAGAGCACCACACGCTTGATCTTCATCATGAAGAACCGATCAGCACATGGCAAAGCTGTGCTTCCGGATCATCATCATCATCATGCTACGTCAAGATGATATTAGGAAATAAAGTCGATTCTCCACAACAAGAAATGATCTTGATCATCAGCGCAGAGTTCAAAATAAGTAGGTGCGACAAGCTCAGCTGTTTTTTTTCGCAGCTCAGCTGAGACTTCTACTTCCTTTAGGCGCGGCGTATCAAGTTCCGCCGGGAGGCAATGCCCTCTAGCTCTAGCAGGGGCCTCTGCTTATTCCTCGGAGATTGATGTTTCCTCGGAGGTAGAGCCAAGTTTAATATTGCCAAAAGTGTAGTGTGCAATTTTTATCGCAGAGTTCATTGCTCCTTCCGGGTTCGATAATTGTTGAACTTGAAACACATCATATTCTACATGGACAGCTCAATTCTTTTGAAAATCAGACCCGATAGCTTTTTGTTATTTCATCTTCACGTAGCTGCTAGCTGTAAAATTTTTTAGGCGCTGTAGTTTCTCAATTTAAGCCGAGTCGGTTACTTGTTTCTACCTGCATTTTTTACAAACGGATTGTACTCGAGTAGAGCATTATGCTTTTGATATTAACTGATGGCAGATGACAGCTCACTTGTTTTTCGCTTCGTATTATATGCGTGCTTGTTTGTTGTTCTCTTGATCCACTACAAACAACTTTTTGCTTTAGTACCTTCTACTAAAAAATTCATAAGTACTATGCTCTCGCTTCCGTGTACCTACTGAAGTGTACCTTCGGCGATCTTCATGCAACAGGAGACCTGTAGTAGTCCCTGCTATTCCTCTCCTTACTTTCCATTGCTAGTACTCCTACCTGCGGATAGGGATCATACACAAGTCTAACTGGGACGTGCTGGTCGTACCATTATTTAACCTTGTCCTTGCCCCCCGAGCATTGTCATGCCCCTGCTCTTTCCCCCAGCACCGGCCATTCTTCCGTCGTTGACGTAGAAAATTTCTCAAATGCAAACATATCTGGGTCTGGAAGATGACAACTCCGAGGTTTGTCATGCTCGGCCACGATGATTAGTGACGAGTCTGTCCTGCATGTTACGACCCCAACGCTCCTTTTTTCTGTCACGCAGAAAAGCAGTTCTCCATGCAGAATCAGCAACAACGTAGCAACTCAAAAATTTGTTATGATTGGCCGTCGATTGAGATGTCCTCCTATTCATCCAACCCCCCGCATTACAAGTTTATTCCAGACGCAGAGGACATAATGTTTGCAAAAATGCATAAATGTTTGTGTTCGTGCCGATGCTCGTGTCTGCCGTAGAGCTCTTTTTCAGCGGACGCCCAATTTTCCAGATCCCCATACTCTTCCTGCTGCAACAGCTCGCGAGCTGTGGGAAAGAATTTGGACGAGTCATAGTCGTCCCCAAAAACTTTCCGGAACTGCAATTTCAACCTTTCCTCGAACCTCCTTCGGCGCACCACCTGCTCGCGGTACCGCTTTGTCAGTTGCTTTTGCCGGTGCTTGGTCGTGGGCGTGGTGAGGAAGTCCTGGAACTTTTTCAACTTGAAATACCCCTTCTTGGGAATTTTCAGATCCGGCGGCAGGTGCACGGAATCGACGACCAGTCTGTTCTTCCCCATCGGCGGACTTGAGCGCGGCCGGCTGGAGTAGTTCAGGGTCGTCCCCGCGCCGGGGTGGAGGTCGTCGTGTGCTTGTGTGTCATTTTTGGTGAAGGAGCAGTTCTTGCCTGCGTGGTTATGGTTTGGTCGCGTTCTTCGCGCAGTGGTGGTCCCCCGGTTTTGATGAAAGTTGTTCAATATCTTGTTGTACTGCGCGCTCGTAGTAGAACGGGAGGCAGAAGTGCAAGGAAACTTCTTGTTCCCGAAATCAACATAATTCTCATGATCACTGCAGGCAGGCGGGGAAGAGGAGGACCCACTGTCCATTCGTGTTTTCGGCCCAGGAGATACAGCGGCCGGTGGTCCAGCTCTCTCTTCTCCTTCGCTTGGTTGGTCAGCAGCAGCTGTGCCCCCATTTCTCCAGGAGGAACCCGACACAGCTGTAGAGGACGCTATCTTCACTGGCGCCGGCGCTTTGTTCATCAAATTCATCCCATAATTTCCGGTACAATTGTGCTGCTGACGCAACTTTTGGCCGTGCAGGATCTGAGCGGTGGACTTCAGCTCCTTAGTGGCCGTTGAGGTAACAGCGACTACTCCTGTATTCATCTCAGCCGAGCGACCACGCCCTCCCCCCTGCTTGTTCCTGGCAGAGGACGATGCAGCTGTACTATTTGGTTTCGGAGTTCCACGACCTGTCATGATTTCCTCCTCGCTTGATGTTCTTCCCAGAAGGGATCCAGCAGGTGGGTCCTCTCCGTGGGCCAGAATGCTATCGTAATTTTCCTCACGACTTTCTGCAGGTTCATCCCCTGTCAAATTTTCAATTGCTCGCAAAGCCTCGTCCCGGGACGAGGAGGACTTCTCCTGCTCTTGGAACACAAGAAACTTCGTGTGTTCGAAAATGGGTGAGAGTTGGTGCTCCATCATCCGCTTCACGCGCCGCTTGTTCTCCTGTAACTCCAGTTGAGCTGCGTCGTATGATGTGTTCTCTCCGTAATAATTTTTCGAACTTCTGCTGTTTGATGAACAAGAAAAGTTTTTATTTTCGGTTTGCTCGACATGATGGACGTGGTAGTGGTGGTGAAAATGCCGGTAGCGAACCTCTACCTCGACAATCTCGTCTTCGTCGTCGCCCTCTTGATCATGATGTTCTTCACCGCCGTTCTTGTCCTCTCCGGTTGTTCTCGCCGTGGGAACGAATTTATTTTCTGCATCACCCCCTGGCTGCTGGTAGTGCCCCCCTGCATGCTGCTCTTCTTCGTCGGGGTCTGCTCCTCGTCCCGGCTTAAACGGACGACTGCTGCTAATACTATCCTCGACAACACCAGAACTCGTCCACGATCTGTAGTCTTTACTTCTGTTCTCGTCCCGTAGTTCTGCTGGGTGGTCTGGTGCCTTCTTGTACGGCTGGATGTTGCTGCTTGTAGTCGTAGATGTTTTAGTGGCTCTAGAAATATTCTTGCCAGTAGAACTACAACTCCTGCTGGACGATGAATTACGAGTGCAAGGATCTTCTACCACTGGTTTGCTCGTCGACACGTGTTCGGACGCGCCGTTCATTCGCTTACTTTTCTTCCACTGCCGTTCCTGGTCTAGTAGCCAGGCAATTTGGTTCTGCAAAATCTGCTGCCGCGCTTCCTCCAATTCTTTCGGCTTATGCGTTGCAAAAGTACTATCGCACTCCATAGCCATAATACCCAGCAATCGCAGTCATGCATTACTAATCTACTTAAATCTTGTACATAGGCAAATCCCCATGTTTTCGCTGAGGATGCAATTTGTCATGCGATTTCTACTAGCACGATTTACATTTACTCTTGCAATGCATACCGCTGCTGTTTCAGCGATTCTTCCACCTCCAGCCGCTGGCGAGCGACCTCTTCCGTAACAAAGAGCGTCAGCAGGGGCTGGCTACTTCTTCTAGAGGATGATTTATGTTGTTTTGAAAATGCGCGGTCTGCAAGTTGCAGCTGGTATTGTTCCTCTTGCGGTTTCTTTTCAAGCTGCTGGAGGTGCTGTTGACTTGTTGATGCAGTTTGATCATGATGTGCATCATTCATTGCGAGATGAATTCGATTCGTTGTTGTCGAAGAAATGATGCCTTCCTGCAGGAGCGCATCAGCAGGGACAGGAGCAGTAGATGCGGGCTGTACTACGTCACCAGCATGAGCTCCTTCTACGGAGGTGTTATGCTTCTTTTGTTCTTCTCCGGTTACAATAATCTTCTTCTTGTGCAGGAGCTTAGTACCGTTCGAAGAGCCACCAGTCTCGTCGTCGTGGTCGGTCACATCTTCTAGCAACGTCCTCTTGGGCCGCGGTGAAACAAGAACTCCTGCTTTCTTGTTTTCTTCTTCCCTCGAGCTGTTGTTTCCTTTTGTTTTTGTTCTCATTGTCGGGGACTCGTTATCTTCCTCGGCCGACGAGAACTCCGCGACTTCTACAGCACGACCCTTTGAAGTAGAAGCACTTGCGGCAGCGCCCTGCGGTTGTGTATTTTTGATTGCGGTCTTATGCTGGCGTGAAGATGATCCATTTCCGCTACTATCCGGATCTGATGCCCCCAGTTCTCCGAAGCAGACAATTTTTCCTTCTTTAATACCAGTACTCGTCGCGCCGGAACAGCTAGTTGTATCATGATCCGATATCAGAAGGAAAAATCCCCCCTCCCCATATCGAGACGAAGTCTCTGATGCTGGATTTCCGGACACAAATGCGCGCTGCCTTGCAATACGGCATCGCAGCCAGACCCTCAGCCTAGGTAGGGGCGTCTGGATCTAGTAGCTTAGCATTAAAAACGGCCGCCCCCTAGGCCCAACAGCATGCTAAATCGCTTCCATCATGGCGCGAAAGCCTCTGCGCTTATCTTCTTGCAAGACAGACGTTATTTGTGGTTTCAAATCAGCAACACAAATTTTCGGAAACGTACCTTTTCGATATGGGGCAAGGGGATTTTTCCTCTCAATATCCGACGCCGTTTCATCATCCTCCTTCACAAACTCCGCTGCCGCGCGTGCGGACAAAAAACCCGTTTGTTTACGCCGTAAAACTGACCCGGATTTCTTGACCGGCTATGACGTGCAAATATGTCTGGGTCTGGAAGATTCTGAGACCTGTCATGCACGTTTTGCGTGAGCCATGATGTCTGTGATGCATGCCCCAGCATCACAGGCTTTCTGAGGGGGGCTTCTTGATGCCTATTCCGCATGACAAACGCCCTCCCCGCGTAGCACAAACTAGGCTCCTCTTGCTGGTCATGCAATACAAATGTTTTCCTTTTCAGAGTCCAAAGTTAGCATCACAAGTTCCAAATTTCCAGACCCAGATAATTTTGCATTTGATACCGGCTGTTGAGCAGGTATTTCATCTTTGTTCTCCTCGTCGCCACTCGTTGTTCCAGGAAGATCATCGTTTTTGTCTTCCTCCAAAAAGCGTGCACTTTTCGTACTTTTTTGCAGCTTTTGTTCCGGACAAATATGCTGCACCTCCCGCTTCGAAGGAGGAGATTGCGCTTTTGCCGCCGCGGCGGGGTGAAAATTTTCTCGTCCACGTCCACCCTGGTGCGACGCTTCTGACGAATCTACTTCTGCATCCACGAACCGCGGCGTTTGTTGAAAACGGATTTTAGAGGAGGGTGGTGAAGGAAAGCCGGCTTTTTCTCCTGCAGTAGAACTTGTTGCCGTCCCACTTGGTTTTGTTGTAGATTTGCTCTTTGTTATTTTGCTACAACCAGCTTTACTTGTTGTCGTTTCACCACCTGTCGCAGCAATTTTTCTTCCGCTCTTGTTTTTACTATTGTTCTCAGATGTAGTCGACAGGGAAGGAGAGGAACATCCCAGCACTGCTTTTGATGAACACATGTTTTCACTTTTGTTCTTTTCTGCCGACTCTCTTGACCAATTATCAGATGTTTGTTTGGACGTCGCAATCCTTTCCGCTACATCTGCGCGACCACCAGCAAGAGGGGGTCCCGAGCAAGAGTCATGATCTGGCCGACCTTCGTCATCTTCTTCGTCACTAATGTCCGTGCTGGGTGCTCGATGTATGGCGAACGCGGTCCCCTTCCGTTGCAGCGACCCCTTTTTCGCGACAGTGTTCTGCGCTCGAAGCTTTTCTGAGGAGATCACATGTGTGACCGAGTCGTTCGAATTGTCTTCACTGTCGCCTTCGTCGTCCCCACTGCTACCCCTGTTCGTGCTGCCATCCTGCTTTTTATCCCCCTTGTTCATCTTCCCCGGCGTAAAGCGCGCGAACGCCGTGCCTTGCCTTTGCAGCGTCACCCGCGGCTTGCGGGACGATAACGTCGTGGCATTTTTTTCTCCGTTTTTGCCGTTTTTTCCGTCGCCGCTCGTGTCTGCATCTGAGGTGTAGGTCGTGATAGTGAAGATAGTGACTTTTACTTTTTATTATTGTAGTTCACAAGACATCATTGTAGTTCATCTGACAGAAAAACTTCTACACGGCGTCACAAGACCTCCGAGGGTCCTCTTTATCTGAACAAGCCCTTCTTCAGTACCTTTTGTCACCTCTACTTCGTCGTCCTTCTCATCCTGAAAATGCACCATTGCATCCATGGCCGGCAAATCCTGCTTGTGCACAAACTGTGTCCCCTTCCGGACGAAACTGCGCTTCCCAGAGGAGCTGCCCTGCGAGCCGGAAACAGTAGGCCGCCGAATCTGTACCTGCTTCCGGATCTCCGCCACGCGGGCGCGCGCGGCGGCCCGGGCTGTTGGATGCGAATTTGGAAACATTAAGGGTGTGTCTTCAGAAACAGGATCTGTTCATGTTGAAAGGCCTAGAAAGAGATACTGATCAATGTTGAATCAAATTGTTAATCATCGATTTTTCCTTTTTCATCTTTACGACGAAAGCTATTCATAGGCTTTCAAGAATGAGCAGTATTTTAATCGATGATACAGCTGGTCGGTGAGGTTGCGCCCGAGCTCCCCGCCTCTTCGAACGTCGCACGCTTCGAGCTCATCCTGTACTTTGTGCTTGTCGTCCCCGCGCTTGTTCTACTTCTAGATGCCCTGTGTGGCAATGGCTCAGAATCAGATCCCGATCCTGAATATCGCCGGCCTAGCGCCGCTCTCCTGCGCGGAGGATGAATGACCGCCACTTCCACTTACACCAGCACATCTTCGTTTTCTTTTGTGATTTCATCTACAGGAGAGGATCATGCCTGCTCACCATCGTCCTCGCTCTGCCTGTATCACTGCTTTCCGATTGGTCAACACGATAACGGACACAGTCAGGGGCCCCTAAGCTGAAGCACTGAGCCAAACACGCTTTCGCGCAACTGCCGGCTTCGTCCCTCCGACCACAGGCTAGTAAGTCACTGCACACAACGCGCTCTCATCCGAACACCAGCTTGAACGAAAAAGACGCACGGATTCGGGCCCTTTGATAGGTAGCAGGCGCCACACACAACAACGACAAAAGGCGTGAAAACAGCCGTGCACACACGGTCAGGGCGGGCCGCCGTCAGCGCCAACCCACGAAGGGCCCGGGCCGCCGGGCTGCGCAGACCGCGGCCGCGCGGAGGGGGGCGCGCAACCTTTTGGGCGGGCGGGCGGCTCCTTCACCACCGCAAAACACACGGACTGACAGACAGCGGCGGGCCCGCCGGCGACGGCCCCGGTAGCCTGCGCGTGCCCGCCCTGGCTTGCGTTGGCCCTGTTCGGTCCCCACAGTGTAAAAGCCGCGCCCCGGCCGCAGCGCCTTGCCCCCAAGGTAGGGGGGGGCCGACAGGCGGCCGTGGCGCGCGGCAACGTAGCCCAACCAGATAGCCCGGAGGCCACCGAACACGCAAGCCCCCCAGCACCACACCACGCCGCCACGCCTTGGCCCCACGCCACGAATAGACGTAGCCGGTCCTTCCGCCTTTTGTGCTCGTGGGCGTTCTTTGGCCGTGCGTTTCCTGCGGCCTTGAAAACGGAGGAAGACGGGTCACGTTGCGCGGGGCCACGGCGTGGCACCGTGGTGCGCTGCTGATGGGCTGCAATGGCGGCGGGGTGCGCCACGCAATCCACCCCCCCCCCAAACCCCTCCACCAATGGCCCGGCTTCGCCCCCCCGAGCACTCCGAGAAGGCCCGGCCGGGCCCGGGGAACCAACGAAGTGGGCCGACGGCCCAAGGCCTCGCACCGCGCCGCGAGTTCTTTCGCCTTATTCGCCGCATGCCCTGCGGGGCTGTTGAGGGCGAGCCCGCTAGCTTCATGGGCGCGGCAGTCAAAGAGGTGGGCGCCGCATCCGCCCCGCGCGCGCGGAATCCGCCAAGAGCGCCCACGCTGATAGTTAGCCTGCTGAAGGTTCGTTTTTAATTCCCGTGGCTTTTCGGTCGATGTAGCTCGCGCAATGCTTCTCGAGTTGTGTTGCGACTGCACGGCGCCCGCGCTTGCGGCCACCGCGCCACAACCCCCCGCGGCGCGTGCATGGCCAGGGCCCGACTGCTGCCCAGTGCGCTCGCACTCGTTGAGTTGTAGCAATGCGCCGCGGCGCCACAGGGCTCATCGAATTCAGCGGCGGCCGGCGGGGCCCCCGTGCCATAAAATCTTCCCGGGGGGTGGCAGAACCGCCCACGCCTTCGGTTCCCGGAAAGCGCGGGCAGTCTTTGTTTGGCTCCAATCCCGCGGCGCCGAGGAATAGCGCCGCCGCCTTTAGCGGTCTCCAACAAGACCCGGCCAATCGGACTGCGGTTCGGCGGGGGGCTCGCCCGGATCGACATAACAGCCCGCCACCCGCGTCGTGTCCAGCAACCCCCGGGAAGTGCTCCGCTTTGAGCCATTTCCGACTGCAAGCCCACGCGGGACGCTGGCCGCTTCGTTTGTTTATGGCGCGTGGCCCTATTAAGTATCACTAGCGGTTCACCCCGTGCGTCGCCACTTCACTGATCAGAAGAAGGAGAAGCATGATCTGCTGAACACAGAGCGAGAGCAAAGCAAGACCGTTGCTAGTGCCGTGTAGACAATGACAGCTGTTGGCGATCATCTATTTCCATTACTACACTGTCGCATTGTGAGTTGTCGTAGAAATCCTCCGTCTGTTCTACGTAAACATAGTCAAGTGAGACCGTGTTTCCATTACAAAATTTTTCACTCCTCATCTCCGCAGCCACTGCTTGTCGGAACTGACGAGTCATTCGATTTTTCCTAAGAATAACTGTTCCCGATGAAAAACGAGAGCAAATCGAGAAAAAGTAACTTCAGATGTCCCTGATGGCGAGTCGTGGTGTCCTCACTACTTTACTGGAGCAGTACAGATGGTGGACCTCCTCATCTGTGCTCTGTCTGCCAGTGCCATCTGAGGAACCCTACAAAAATAGCCTGTAAATAAAAACGCCAGCAGATTATGAAAAGCATCTGACAAAACGTCGCTCGTGTTAGAAGGTCAGATCGGCAAAAATTTCTGTGAAGCGAGAACTTACGATAAATCAGTGTGTAATTGTGGTGATAGCAACTCCTCTGTTTTGCGTCGGTGTCGACGTCGACTATGCAAATGTATGAAAATTATCCTACAACAAGCCTCGTGATGTGTCGAAGTACTTAGCTATAAAAGTATGTAGCATGAATGAGTTACCGTTAACGTGGAATGTTCAAACTAAAATGTTGAGTGCGCTGTCATCGCGAAGGCGTCGCTTGGAGCCGAAGCGCAACCCGTGCGCCTTTGCTTTTTGAATGAATATGAATATAAAAGAAAAAGTTGTCAACATCTGGCTGCAGGTGCAGATATACGAGAAATCTTTTGACGATGAATGTTGAAAATCTAAATCAATAGCTTAAACACAAAAAACAAGTGGTTCCTGGCTGTCTGTACTAAAGAACAACATCGACCTCCTTTCCCTCCGTTCACAACTCCGGGAAGGGCATCCCAGTCATTTTGATGTGTTCCTGCTGGATCTGTTGCGTCCAGTAGTCGCTGCGGTCCTTCGGCTTCACCTGACACTCTTCCCGGACGTGTTCCGCCCCCGGGTAGCCCGTGGGGTACAACGACAGCTGTGCGTAGCTGCCCTCGATCATGTCGGGCACGTCGGTGCCCGCACCACCCCCGCCGCCGGCCAGCTTGATAAAGTACCGCGGCATTCCCTCGGGCCCCGGCTGCTGGCGGAAGAAAATGTTCGAGGCCTCGTTGTATCAAATGCAAATATGTCTGGGTCTGGAAGGATGCAAGGTTTGTCATGCTTGTCTGGCATGACTGAAGAGTTTGTCATGCGCGTCCAAGGAGAGACCCTTTTGCTTGTCATTTCATTTCATTGAGACTGCAAAACGCAGTTTGTCATGCGGAAAGCGCAACACTAAGCCGCGCAAATATTTCTCATGCTTGGCTGTGCATTACAGAGAATTCACTACTCACCACTCAGCATTACAAGTTTCCAGACCCAGACATATTTGCATTTGATACGTTGGGTTTCCCCAGGGCGTTGAACTTTTCGTGGATCCAGAAGGGGCCGTTGTTATGGATTGTAAAAATGTCTGGGTCTGGGACTGGGAGATTGCGAGATTTGTGATGCTAGTCTGGCATGACTCTGGGATCTGTATTGCGTGGCAACCAAGAGCTCCTCTGGCCTGTCATGCAAACACGCAGTTTCTCATGCGGAATACGCAACACAGAAGCATGGAAAAACTTGTCATGCTTGGCGGCGCATTACAGTGTCCTTATTATTCAGTGACCTGCATCACAACTTTCCAGACCCAGACATTTTTGCATTTGATAGTTGTAGGCCGAGTCCCACTGCACGAAAAACCGGTCCGACATGCGGAGCGCCGGCGCGTCGTCGATCGGCACCACAGGACCCTGCGCCGGCTGGAACCCCTTGGGCGCGATGGGTTCGTTCAGGTACCGGTATTTTTGCATCAAAAACTGGTGCGCCACGTGGATGGAGAAGTACCGCGGCTCGTTCATGTTCTGAATCGTCCCCCGCCCCCCGAGCGGCCCCTTGGGGGACCAAAGTTTCCGCAGCTGGGCCTTCGTGCCCAGGATTCCCACTTCCTGAAACTCCTGCTTCCAGAGGCAGGTAAACTCCGCGGCCACCGGGCTGGCGATAAACCAGGACTCCAACATGGGCAAGTTGGTCACGCCGTCTTCCATCTGGGGAATGTTGAAGGCAAACACCTGCGCATTCACATCCACCGGGCTCTGGTATTTTCCGTCGCCCGGACTCTCCGCGGGGACGTGCGGGGTCCCCGGCAGCGCGCCCTTCTGCCAGGGCTGGAACCGGGCGTTGAGCCAGTCCAGGTTCTCTGTCGGGAAGGAGGTGGCGTCGATGTAAGCGCCCCCAAACCGGTGGAGCACGGTGAGCCTTACCAGGTCGGAAAACCGGGGCGGGCTCAGGTAAATGCCGACGGATTCCATCACCCGCTGCGACACGTACCGCTTGTAATTGCTGGTGTATCAACTGCAAATATGTCTGGGTCTGGAAGGGTGCAAGTTTGTCATGCTTGTCTGGCATGACTCGAGAATCTGTGTTGCATGGGCACGAAGCGGTCCTCTTATCTGTCATGCGAAAACGCAGTTTGCCATGCGGAACACGCTACACATGGGAGCCCAAAAAATTTGTCATGCTTGGCTCCGTATTGCAGTGCCAGTGGAAGTCTCATTCACTTTTAGCATTACAAGTTTCCAGACCCAGACACATTTGCAATCCATATGGTGCTCAGAAAGACGATGGTCCACTTGCGCCCGCTGGGGTATCAAAAGGAAAAATCCCCCCTCCCTATATCGAAAAAGTATGTTTCCGAAAATTTGTGTTGCTGATTTGTGAGCACAAATCTGGTCCGTCTTGCAAGAAGGCAAACTCAGGCTGTCCGCCATGTTATGCAGGCGATTTGTAATGCTGTAAGGCCTACAGGGTAGCCGTCTACCGTGCTAGGCGCCCACACCAAAAGGCCGCCGCTTAGGCTCAGGATCTGCGTGCATTCCTCTACTGCAACACAAATTTGATTTGTGTATCCAAATCCAGCATCAGAAGTTTCGTTTTGATATGGGGAGGGGGGATTTTTGCTTTTGATATGGGGTGCCAACTGTTCTGCAAAGCCCGGACCCAAGCCAGGTACCCGCGCCGGACGGAGCAGGGCGCCCCCGCAATGCCCTTGTCCCAGAACATCCATAAAATCGGGGTCAGGCTGCCGTCCTGTGGCACGTTCACGTACCCCACCCGCTCCATGTCGGTTTGATTCAAGGGGATGAAGCTATATCCTGTGTAAAAACGAGCCCACCCCAGAGTTGTCATGCAGATTTGCCATGACAGGAGCATTTGTGATGCGCATCCCCATGACAGGCGTTTTCGATCGTGTTTGGGAATTTGTAATGCTGTAAAAAGGATAAGCAGATCGATTTGTAATGCGGCTGTCCTTGCTATCATCTTGCACTACCTTACGGACTGCAACTTGTCATGCGTCACTTCCAAAACTCCTAGGTTTGTGTTGCAAAATCCCCATCTTGACTCTGGGGTGGGGACGTTTTTACCTAGGATAAGCTACTCGACGTGTTCAGGAAGCGCTCGGGCACCTCCTCGCCGGTCGCGTTGTACAGCGGAATGTTGACGCCGGTGAGGTCCTATCAAATGCAAAAATGTCTGGGTCGTCTGGGAGATTCCGACATTTGTCATGCCGTTTTTTCAAGCTCCCCCACGTCTGGAATGCAGGGCCTAGCATCACAGGTTCTGCAGCTCCGTGGTGATGCGTACTTATTCTGCATGAGAAATGCCCTCTCAGCATGGCCAGAAGTTGGCACCTTTTGCACGTTCTGCATGACAGATCTTTGTGGGATCCGAAACACGCATCACAAGTTCGGATCCGTCCAGACCCAAATGACATATTTGCATTTGATAGGTCCGGCCCGGGGAGGTACTGCGAAATCGGGCAGTGAGTGCGGTTCAGGTCTACGGTCACCATCTGGATCTTGTTTTGGTCGTCATGGTCTTCCAGAATCAGGGACAGCAACATCGGCACCACGGCGCAGGTGAAAAACAGAAAAATGCTGACCAGGTAGATCGACGTGCAGCTGCCACTGAAGATGATCTCCTTCATGCACAAACAACAGCAGTTGTCGCAGCAAAATTGCTCCTCTATTTCGTCCATATCCGACGTGTAGTCTCCTTTTAGCGGATCTCCTCTCGCCTCGGAAGGATATTGGCTACCTGCCGCAAGTCCACCACCTCCAGGAGCTGTTGCAGTAAATTGTGCAAAGGGAACGGCGGGCCGCCCCCCCGAAGATGCCGTCGCGGCCGACGCCCTTGAAGATGTCGTCGCGACCGAGTTGCGCGCCCGAAGCAAGATCTCCTGGGAACCGAGTTCTAGATCAATCGCCTCGCGCATGAGCGTCGCGTCCTCTGCATTCATCTCCTGCAGTTCATCTTCTTGTGTAGGCCCCAGCACCGGCGCGCCAACCACACTTGCTCCTGCAAGCCCGATCGTCGAGCCCTCGCTGTCGATGTTGTCCACCTTTAGTTTCGCAGCACGACCTGATCTTCGTCTGCAGCACTCGCAGCAAACGAACGCACTCTCGCGCAAGCCCAGCGCGTAGGGGTTGAGCACCGTCAGAATGTAAACACACATCAAAGCGGGCACGAAAAACGGAATTTGGTACTTGACTCCGACGTCGGTCACGTATCCACTGGACGGGTTGAGTTCCATGGTGGTCTTGTATCCCAGAGAAAAAAGCAGGCAGGGCATACTGATATTTGTAAAAATGCAGAAACAAAATAGCAGAAAAATCTGCCATGGGTCAAGACCCCATAGCGTGCTGTTTAGGACCTGCAACGCATATCTTTTTTTTTTTGCATATACAAATACCAAAACCAATATGACCTGCGTGTCCTCTTTTTCTGGGAGATATTTGTGCGGCCTGGTACAAAAGTCCGAGCCCCAGGTGCGTGAAGAAGCTGGCCCCAAGCAGGGCCACGGCGACCCGGATCCAGATCACGGTCGCGAATTTATCGTACGAAAAAGTGTGTCACTGTAAGGATTGGATTTTGCAAGTTTTCTTGCATAACAAGTTGAAGTTTGCAGCTCTACATAACAACGCAAATTTGCCGCGCGAGGGTCCTAAGAGAAAACAACACGTCGAAACATCAACATGCACTGTCTTGCAGGAAAAATAGCAAGAAAAACACTGCTGTGTTCTTGATGCGTCTTCTGCATTACAGGTGTATTACAACAGTGAAGCAGTTTTTTCTTACGATAGAATTGCGCGCTCTTGTATTGGCGGACCAGAAAGTGCTCGCTCTGCTGCTCACTTGTGCGAGCGGCCTGAGGACCTCCACCTCCTCCGGATAATAAAATGCTGGAAAATTGCAAGGAGCTTTCCTCCTGCTGCAGCATCTTGCGCTCCTCGGCACTCACGGTGGTTATCAAAAGGAAAAATCCCCCCTCCCCATATTGACAAGGTACGTTTTCGAAAATTTGTCTTGCTGATTTGTGACCACAAATCATCTCTATGTTGCACGAAGGCAACTCCACAGGCTCCGCAGTATTCTACAGGCGGTTTGTCATGCTCATGCTCCTAAAGCGTAGACGTCTGTCATGCTAAGCGCCGAGGCCAAAGCCTGTCTTTTCAGGCTTGATATCGGCCTGCAGTCCTCGCCAGCATGACAAATCTGATTTGTGTACGCAAATCCAGCATCAGAAACTTCGTTTTGATATGGGGAGGGGGGATGTTTCATTCTGATAGTGGTTGTAGCATCGTCGCGGAGGTGCGTCGGGGTCGTGGTGGCGTTTGTCGTATGGCGTTCTCAAACGTTACATTCTCAAGAACTGTATACATTATTTGTCATGCAAAATGAGCGTCAACGTTCACACAGTGAAGCTACCCCGCATGACAAATTTTGGAAGGGCTAAACAGCGTGGGAATCTGTGCCGAATTTGTAATGCAAGAGTTGCAAGATCCGGCCTTTCCCTGTTACCATTCTTGCATCACAAATTCATGCAACAGTTGAGAATGTAACAGTTGAGAACGCCATATGTCGAAAGCGACGCGTTTACCACGTGCTTCGTCGACAGCGCGAAGTCGCCCGCGCCGTCCCGCACCCGGGCCGTCAATTGCCGTGCGAACCGTTTCGCCAGCTGGTCGGAGTCCCTGTTGCCGGCGAGTTGTAGCATAGTGGTGGTTATGCATTGCAAATATGTCTGGGTCTGGAAGAATGCAAGTTTCTTGTCATGCTTGCCTGGCATGACTCATAAATCTGCAATGCATGAGCAGGAAAAGGGCCTCTTGCCTGTCATGCAAAAACGCAGTTTGCCATGCGGAAAACGATACACAGTAGCAGATGAAAAATTTGTCATGCTTGGCTGCGTATTGCAGCCCGCCCACAATTCACATTTTAGCATCACAAGTTTCCAGAACCAGACATATTTGCATTTGATAGTGGTCGTGTCTCCTCCTGGTTGTTGTCCTTCGTCTGCTAGTAGTGCCCGCCTTTCTAAACTGCTTTGCGCAGCATTATAGTTGCCGCTTGCACCCGGACCCGCTGCAGCGGCCGAAACTAAACCTCGGTCCTCTTCTTCCTCTAAGATAGCCTGCTTGGTTTGCTCGACTGCCTCGGTGAACGACAAATTTCGGGTGCGGCAGTGCACGACCCACAGCACTATCAAATGCAAAAATGTCTGGGTCTGGAAACTTGTGATGCTAAAATGTGGATGATGGAAACAGTTCCGGACGCAACCCAGCATGACAACTTTCCAGAACGCTTTCTCATAGGCAATTCGCATGAGAAGCTGCGTTTTCGCATGTACAAAAGAGGCTGCGACTTTTGTTGGTTACGCAACACAGATTTTCTAGGTTTGGAAAGCTAGCATATTACAAGTTCCAACCATCCAGACCCAGACATATTTGGATTTGATAAGCACGACAGCGAGACATATCAGCTCGCACATAGCGACGATCCACCCGGGGCGATGCTGGTACACGGTATCCACGGAAAAAACTGTGTTAGTCTAACTTTCTTGGAGGAATAGCATCACAAGTTTGCTCTGCATGACAGAGAGAGCCTGTCATGCGCGGCTAGTACGTGAAAACACGTATGGAATACAGAGCCTCTGATGCATGTCCAGCATGACAAGTGTAAACTGTTTTGCATTTTCTGCATCACAGACTTACACTTACACAGTTTTTTTCTTGCATACACAGTGTTGGTCATGTAATACATCAGGTACGTGGTCCGCGACAGGCTGGTCGACGGGTTGTCATCGTCAATGTTGCGCCGCGAAAGCTTCACCAAGTCGGAAAACGAGAACACCTCGCTGAATATTATCGCAAGAAAAAACTGTAGTTTCACTGTAAACTTGTAATGCAGAAACTGTATCTCAGAATTGTTTGTCTTGCTACACATGCAAGACAGGCGATTTTTAGCTGTGTTTTCCCTTAGGAACCTCGCATGACAAGTTTTCCCTGTCATGTAGAGCAAACTTGTGTTGCAAAACTTGCAAAATCCTTACAGTGAAACACTTTTTTCGTACGATAAATATGTCACTCGAAACAAACAGCAAAGCCGTGACCAGGTATCCTGAGTAAAAACGTACCCACACCAGAGCCAGGATGGGGATTTTGCAACACAAACATAGGAGTTTTGTGAGTCACGCATGACAAGTTGCACTCTGCAGTGTAGTGCAGGTTAGCAAGTGCAGCCGCATCACAAATCCAGCTGCTCATCCTGTTCACAGCATCACAAATTCCAAAACACGACTGGAAATGGCTCTCATGGGGATGCGCATTACAAGTCTTCCTGTCTTTGCAAATCTGCATTACAACTCTGGTGTGGGTACGTTTTTACTCAGGATACCAGGAGTGCCAGAATCACGTAGCAGGCTGTGCAACAACCGATGCAGCAGTGCGCCGTGCAGGAAAACTGGTTCGGAGCGAGGCAAACATCTTCAATTGAGCTACGCCCTCCCGACGACGATGAGGCTTTAGAAGTACCGGCAGAGTACCTTATTTTGCTTTGCATCGTGGAAGCCGCGTGCTGCGACAGCGTGCGTCGACTCGTCAACGCCTCCGTAGTACCTGCAAACTGGGCAGTTGCCCGGAAACTGTTGTTGCCCGTCGAGGCCATCTTCGGCTGCCTTCTTCAAGTAGAAATAAAACCGAGCTTCAACTAAAAGTGACAGCGAAAGGTCCTTGTTCTATCATTTTCTAAACCTCCTCGGACGGCGGGCACAGGGCAGCCGAGAAAATGTAGATAAAGAGCTCAGAAAAAAATCTCAATCTTCATGCGTAACGTTGCTATTCATCTATAATATCTTTTCTGCTTCACAAAAACATTTCGCCAAATTGAAATTCTGTGCGTATCTGCAAAATCATACAGGGATGGTTAACGTAGTGCGCTCCTGAGTCGTCCACAAATACCTTTCGCAATAAATCCGCGCTGCTGATTATATTGTGTGAGTGTACAATTACAAACTCGCCGGTTAATGATGCATTTTTCAGAAGTACAGAAGGAACCGCATCAAGACCGAAAGCTCAATTGCGAGCATTTCCGTGAGTCGTGTACAGTGACTCGCTGTACAATGTTGAGACTCGCAACTTCCTAATTCTCATATTTCTTGACACCGACACAATAGTCTGCTGAGAAAAATTATACCACGACCAAATATCGTAGCAGAAGATCAACATCTCGGACAGACGTCCGAATTGTTTGGTGGGGAACCGGGGGCGCCGGCTTGCATCTTTCGGGGAGCTCGGATCCTGAGGTCGCTGTTAAGACTTTGAGACCTCCTGGCTCCGGATTGAATCCGGGAAGTTAAGGTTTTGAGACCTTACCTTAAGGTTTCAAAACCTTACGTTAAGGTTTTGAAACCTTAAGGTAAGGTCTCAAAACCTTAACTTCCCGGATTCAATCCGGGAAAGAGACTTTGGACTCCACCAAATACCTCAAAGTCTTTCCTTTCCGGAGTCACCGCGAAGGCCGCAGAACAGAGCGATCCGGGAGACCAAAAAGACATGCCAACCCGCCACCCTTGCCCCCCGCCGCCGGGCGCGCGGCCCCTACCGACGCGAAAGACCCCGGCGCCAGAACCAAACACCAAGTCTCTTCACGCGGGCCAGCCTGCCCCGCGTGAAGAGGCTGTTTGGCCCTTCGAACTGTTTGGCGCCATGGCCAGGCGGAAGAAACTCCGGTGGCCTCTTCCCCGAAGCGCCCCAGGATATGTCTGGGATTTCAAAAAGCCCCCGGCCCCGGGCCTTCTAAATCAAGTGGCGCCCCCCCTTCCCCCGAATCGCAGAACGAAAAATCGCCCCCGCACCAAGCATGCAACGAACGAAGGGCCCGGCGGCAGCGAACGCGCCGAGCATCACAATTACCAACCTCAGGCGCCCTGAGTTGCGCAACCAGTCCCACCACCGCCACGCCCCTGAAGCTGCGACACGCGACAGCCTCGGGCGCCCAAGCCCGTCCCGCAAGACACTCTGCCCCGCAGCGCTTACCAAAGGAAGGGCCCGAGCTCTGGCCTCCGCACGAAAATTAGTCCGCGGGCTGCGCAGGCAGTGCCGGGCAGCACGAAAATTAGACGAAGCGGCGCCCGGCAGGGCCTGCCACATCGAGCAGCCGGAGCTTTAACTTGCAAGCCCGGAAGAAGTAGTGGAATTGGAAAACAAATCCGGCCGGAATGCCGAGGCCCGGAAGTGCAGTCGCCAGAGAGTTGCCCTGCCCCAACTGCGAAGCGGGCGCGTGCCGCCGAAGAGGCCGGCTATAGGGGCAGAAGCAGCACCGGCCGCCCCCGCCCCAAATATGAGGCCGCAGCCTGGTTCCGCCGTCTGGCAGCACATTTACAGCCCCAGCCGCTGCTCGACTGGCGCGGGCCAGTTGCTTCGCAACTCTCGCCGCCTCATCATCCTGCCGACGAACACACGCGGCCCCGCCGATTGCTGATGGCGCGGGCGGCATGAAAACGAGACACATTGCCCCACATCGTTCGTTCTGAACAGCGGGCGGAGACGTGCTTTCCGGGTGCATTTTTTGATGCTTTTTGCCGCAGAACGGAAGGCACAGAGGTCGGCACCGCAACACTCAATCCCGAAAAGTTAAGGTTTCAATACCTTAACTTAAGGTTAATGATTCCACGTTCGTTCCCTCCAAGATTATATTGCGTGAGTATACGGATAATAAATGCATTTTTCAGAAGTACAGAAGGAACCGCATCAAGACCGAAAGCTCAATGAATTACGAGCATGTCCGTGAGTGTACAGTGCATGTTGAGACTCGCTACTTCATAATTTTCATTCTTCTTGAGACCGACACAATATTCTGCTATTTTACCACGAACAAGTATCGTAGCAGAAGATCAACATCTCGGACATACGTTGTGGCTCTCTTCGGATAGCCGATCGTTCACGTTCTGGCTCTCGTTGCTCCGCACTAGGAAAATAAGAAATCCTCGCCTCCGCGCGGAGGCGTGGCCCACGACTTGTTTCCGAGGCCAGTAGATGCAACAACAAAAAAATTATTCTTCGGCGCGCTGCGCGCGCCGTTCCGAAAATAAGAAATCGACCCCTCCGCGCGGAGGGATCGATTTCTTATTTTTCGCTTTCTTCTTGCGCCGCTGGCGGGCCAGAAAGAAACCGGCCCCTCCGCACGGAGGGGGCAGTTTCTTTGCTAGCCGAAAAGCAATCTTTCCCCCAGAAAACAACGGAAGTCGGGGTTTTTGGAAAAAGAATTGATTTCCGGGTCCCAAAGAAACCGCCCCCTCCGGCCGGAGGGGCCGGTTTCTTTCTGGGCCGCCAGCGACGCAAGAAGCAGCCGAAATTTCCTGTCCAACGAAGCGCGACAACCTCCCTCCACCTTCCACACGGAGGGCCCAACTTCTTGGCTTTCAGAATTGCGCGAACTGCGCGCGGAACATTTGTTCGCTTTTGGTGTTGTCGCGAAGTGGCGCCGCAGCTCGTGCAGTAGCTCCGCACCGCGGCCAGCTGTTTTTTTTATTCCCGGCCACCCTATGAAACGCGCAACACCTCCCCTGCCTGCGCCGCCACCTCTGGCGCGCGCGAGTAAAAACGTCGCGGCGGGCTGCCTTGCTTCCGAGTGGCCGCGTGTGCCTCTACGAATATGCCGCGAAGAGTGAAAATGCGCCACATCGTACAGCAAGGGCAAGTCAACGCAGGCGCACGAGGTGAGGCTGCATAGCGAAAAATGAAGCTGGAGTGCCATAAAAATGGCGACGCTAAAAAATGCGCCTGCTCCAACAAAAATACTAGAAGCAGGCCAGAGGGTAACCGGGGTAGCAATACCGGGCGGACAGAAATTTTGTTGGCTGCAGGGGCCGACCGCACTTCTCAGTCGCCCTCTCTATCCCGGTCGGCCCAAGCGAGTGCATAACCCCCGCGCAAGCGGATTCAGCGGTAAGCTTCTCCAGCATGCAGCCAGATGGCTGTCATGGGGAGCGCCGCCTGGACATGCTACCTGTACCTTGACCTTCGTCCTCGCAGTGCCAAGAAAATAAAAAGCGGCAACTTTTGGATCTGCTTAAATTCGCGAAGTATCTGCTACAATTTCCTTCTGGTGAGTATCGTAGCAGAAGATCAACATCTCGGACAGACGTCTGAACTTGTTCACTGTGCGTGACAATCACTTGCACCTACCGATCTTTTGGCCACCTGACCGTCGTCACAGAAGCAGGCATGTGATTACACACGGGGCATATCAAGACCGATTCTGTGGTAGTATCGAGAACCGAATGACGGATGGTCTGAAAACCGAAGCGCCATAGATAGAAGATCTATCATGAGCCTATTACATATACTAATCTCTCATGCTGAAGATAGATTCGGCTTCCGAAGTCAGTGAAATATTTTTAACATCAGGCCACTTACATGGTATTTTTCACAGAAAAAACATCGTCCGCAAGAAAAAACTTGATTCTTATCTAAATATTTTCATTCAGATTCCAATACCGATGCAGCACTCAACGGAGATGTTGAACACCGCCTGAATTACTGTCCGAGCTTGTGAAAAGCAGAGCCAGAGGTAGAACAAGAGCAGCTCAAAAAAAAAAAGCTCGACTTCTTCTTTGATAGGTCACCGCTCCTATGATTTTTGCAACCTGCTTATTCGTCTTCTTGTGTGGACACTCGTTTGCTTCCTCCGGCGAAACGTTTCAATTTGGTCCTCCCCTAGTACCATCTAGTAACAGAACTGGAACTGGAAGTTTGTTGCAATACATTTTGTCCACAAAATCGTATTACCAGATGAGTTTATCTTCATTCTACTTGCAGTTGTTACCATGGTGGTCCTCGTCTACTTGCAGGCATCTTCACGCCTCCAATGGTATCCACTGCCGATCTTTCCGGTTCAGCTTGATTTCGCCTGATGTAATAGTCATACGTACTTATCGTCTACGGAGTCCTCGTGGAGACAGTCATCGAATGGAGGATGAATCGTCTGGATTTCGATTTTCAAAACAAAAAACATGCTGAAGAAGTAGAATCGAGTGACAGTGCGAAAAAACAAATTCTTATTATTCTCTACTGGAACAATACCTCCCACTTTGCTGAGTTCGGCAATGTTGCTCAGCTTCCCTTCTCCGGGTCGGAGCTCCCGATACACTTTCGTTTTCTCCATAAGGAGTGGGTTTTGTCGCGGGGGGCTGGATTTTTTTTCATATCTTACGATCGTGGTGTGATTAGTTTTTTGCAGTCTGAAGTCCTCAAGAGCCACATCCAAAGCTTTGATATCGTGCTACTCGTCTGCACAACTAGCTCGCGCCACAAGAAGAGAAATAAAGGGCTTCTACTTGTTCCCACAACAGGCAGGAAACAAAGCAAGGGATCCTTTTCTGTAGTTCTTGCGCATATTTATTTGTGAAGCCCATATTAATTCCTATACCTGTTTGCCCGGAGTTTTTCGCTCGGCCCGCGGCCCCTCTGCATATACATGTCGTGATTTCCGAGCACCTTTCGCTTGCAGCAGGCTGGTATGCAGTGCAAATAGCAAAAATCTTCTGGCGGGTCATCTGCAAAGGCTTGTGACGATGCTCGTCACGACACTGCAGATGTAGTACTGAAACGTCGTGCGCAGCAACTTGTCATGCTTTTGGCTGCATGTAGATATAGATGCGCCGTCTCAATAGTCCGCAACTATCAGCATGACAGGCTTGTTGTACCAGACGACCCAAAAGACCACATATTATTTGCTGGTGATAGATGGGTCTAACCTGTCTTGCTCGATCTGCTCTATGCTATTCAGCTCTTGGACGTGTCGGGCCTGCGATAAGAATTGAATCATCACACCAAACGAAATTCAGATATTTCATCTTATAAGTAAGTAGAGCGGCGCTCCTGGTGCAGCTGCTTGTGCATGTAATCGTCTCGGAGTGTAAAATTGTGCTTGCAAGTTTTAGCAATGAAAATACCTTCATCAGGTTTGCATCTTGCCCGAATGCCCTGGTTCCAAAAAGCGCCTGGTCTCTTTTGATTGACTTCCGGAACTCCAGCCCCTCGCGTTTACCTTTTTGTGTAGTGGATGTCATACTTACTTCTACGTGCACCAGCACTTGTGAGTTTGAATTTTTTATGGTATCTTCGCATCCACTCTCACCACCAAATTGTGCACAAATTATCGCAAACTAGAAGTGCCAGGATGTTGTTGAGACCAAATAGAAGACGAGTACGGAAGTGTTCTTCTACTGATGCATACCAACAACCCCAACGCACGACCACGAGCAGCACACCGTATGAGTAAAAAATAGAAACGAAAAAGGAAAACTTTACTTGGCAGTGTGCTTTTCACGGCCCTTTCCGGATCGAACTCGCGATTCCACTTGTCTACGGACGCGACCACCGTTGGCTTATCGCACGAAAAAAATGTTTCACTGCAACGCATTTGTATTGCAAACAGGTTTGCATCACAAGAAGTTGTGCTCTTGTTTCTACACAACAACAGAAAAAATGCCACGCGTGCTTCCGAAGAGAATAGCATGCCACGCGTGTCTAGCATGGCGTGTTGCATAGGACAGGCACGTCTGTGTCAGTGGCTGTTGCTGATGCAACATGAAAATATCCTGTCTGTGCGTCGCGAGTTTACAACTTTACATCAACATCGGCGCAGTGAAGAGACATTTTTTTTTCTTGCGATATGGGTTGTTTTCGTCATAGTAATTGTACAGCGTGCTCATGGGCTTCCGGTTTGTCTGCCGCGAGAAATTGGGCACCAGCTTCGGGCCGGGCATCGTCTGCAGGCTGAACTCCGAAGTGAGATTCGCCATTGTCTTGATGCAATTTATTATCTTCGTGCAGGTCTTGTCGTCTTCGACTTTTCGGACGAGAAGTGCTCGATGTAGCCGTTTGTAGCAAGAAGTTCCGCCGGGGATGTAGTAGTAGTTCTTGTTTTTCGTGCTTTACTGTGCTTGGTTGTTGCGATCGTCCCTTTACTACTTCACTCCAAGTGGTTCACTGGTGGATGATAATGTGGGTGCACTATTCGAGTCGGAGGAGTAGAAGTTCTTGGTGAACAAGTTCCACCGATAATATTATCGGGCGGAAGCAGATGGAGTAGATGCGTGCATGCAGTTCAACAAAAAACCGAGTTGAGGTAGCCGAAGGTCGTATTTCTTTTAACGTTTAAGCAAGTGACCACCTTTCCCTGCTGCACGAGGACGTACTAGTATTGGACGCAAAGTTGTACAAGTCGCCAAGGACAGTACTACTGCTCGAAAGTACAACTTCTAGTGAAGTAATACCGCCGGAAAGGACGTACGAGCAGCAGGCAGCTCTCACAAGGTTGATGTAGTTGCACAATTTATTTTATGGGGTATCTAGATCTGCCACTCTGATGGAATACAGCTACTGTGCGCTCTATTGCCTGTGCTCTTCTTTGTAAAAAAATCACCACCCTATTTCTTCTGGTCATCTCGCGATTGACTCAACCACAGATGAAACAGACTGTCAAAAGAATCCTAGTCCTGCTGATGTAGTTTCGTCCACAATGATGAATGTATAGCGGGACGACAAGAGGACCACGACTTTGTTCTGCAGCGAAGAAAATTTTTGCACGTAGGAACGAGCACGAGAGTCTTCGTTCAGGTCGCAGGAAAAACCCCTCTCGACGTCCCACGAGAACTACTCCCAATACAGTAGACATAGGAACGAACGACCCAAATTTTTTACAGATATCGACCTGGGTAGCAGGTACTAATCGGAACGAAAAACAAAAAAATCTTCGGTACGGAGAAGTAAAGAAGCAGGTTAATGTTGCTGATTGGACGAGTGTCGTGTGTAGTTCTTTCACGAATTCACAACTCTCAAGTTTTGTTTCAGGACGAGGAATTCATCGCTCTCGAGTAGTTGTACATGAACTACTTACCTGCGGCAATGTCGTGGAATAATTTTACGAATGGACCCAAAGAATGAAGTTGATTCTGGCCCCCGAGCACCATTTCTATCAACTTCGACTAGTCTTCGAAGAACCCATTTTCTAGCTGTCGAAGTTCATGTCGCCCTGTATCCGATCAACTAAACGAACGTAACATTAAGACGATATAATCAAAAACACCTCCACGTCGAACAAGCAATTGTTATTCAAAACGCTCGTGACTGACACGAAACAGGACAATTCTCGATGCAGATGTCACCTGCATCGAGAGTTATCCTCAAGGACCGAACCGGAGGTTGCGTGCACTGCAGAAACTGCGGCCACACAGTGATTCTTTTCTTGCATTTGTTCCCAGCATTCACAAAAAAATGGCAACTGCTTACATTGAATTTCAGTATCTTACTTCATGCTGGCTCATTAAAAATCATTCAATTCATTGTACAGTGATTCATTCGCTTTTCCTCGCACTAGAGTTGTAGCAGTTCCTGATGTTCTTGGGAGAGTTATACATTTAGATTTAAAGAAACTTTTACTTTCTTTGAAACAAAAACGGAATTTCATAACAGGGCCTCCTAGGAACCACGACCACGCTGCAATTATCTATTTTTGTCCCCAGAGGACCTCGCCGTGTGACGAGTTCCTTTCTGTCGTTGCTTTGGCATTTCAAAATTTTGACTTTTGGTAAAAAAACTCATTTAATCCATACCAATTCGTTCGGGCATATAATTTTTTACTATATCGGAGGTGGGGAAAAGCGAAACTTGATTCGTCGCCCCGTTTCCTCCCCATACAGGTTCTGCAGCAACTTCCGCAAAGCTCTGCTGTCTTGTTCCTGCGCGGGGAAATAGTGGTACCCGAAGTCATCGCCCGAGTGGTCCTTCTGCAGCAAAGCGGTCGACGATTTTTGGTAATTGATTTTGTTCTCCAGGTCCCCGTCGCTGTAGTCGGCTTGCGCGTTCGGACTGCCATACGAGACGGCGTCATCTGCGACGCCCGGCTGCACCGCGTACCGTGTGCGGTATTTCGGACCGGACAGGTAGGGATCGGCGCTGTAGTCCTGATTGTAATACTTGCCTTGCTCGTAATCCTTCAACCCCGACCGGTATTCCACGTCCACCCGCTGGTCTTGCACCGTGGATCTGGCACCCGAAGCAAGCTCCGTTTCCACCACCTGTTCGTCCAGCGTCAAAAGCTCGAACTGCTCAGGCGGTAACACGTTGTTCTGTCGCAACGCGGATTCCAGCCCTTCCTTGGTGTTCGCGTCATAATTCACAGCGAGCTGATAGAAGTTTTTGTCAGGTTTTTAATCTGAGCACGCGCCGGAGTATACTGAAGGTGACATGAAGTTGAAGACGATGAAAATCGCAAGATGAAAGAACCATAGTACCCCTAGTAAGTTAGTATACTGAAATACCGCAGACAACCTCCGGCCGAACATCTGCGAAATTTCTTCTTCCGGTGCAGCGATCGCGAAGGAGATCCGCAAGCACCGGTCCGGATTGGCGGTGCAGAAATTTGGCGGCTTGCCCCGCTGGTGCTGCAGGAGAATGGTCGCCGGGGTTTGGTCCAGAGCCTTCCCACCACGCACGATGCCCTGCTCGAAGGGGATTGTTGCTAGTGCCCGCTCGTGCAGCTGTTGCTCCGACGCATCAACTGGCGAGGACCGCGGGTTATTTTTTTCACCCGAGCGACTGCTTGATGCTGACACAGCAAGAACATGATCTTCTTCTGCTCGGTCGTAGTTCAAACGACCGTCAATAGCCCTTTTCGCACTACCCTCGTCGACCTTGGCGTTTTGCAAATCGACTTCTTCGGTCCCTTTGCGGTGCTGGTCTTCATCCGTCGTCGGCGACGTCATCTTCTTCCGGTGATACTTGTATTCGTACACCGCTGGTCCTCGATCGCGTTGCTGCTGCACTCTCCTCATCTTCGGCTGAGACGTTCTTGACGACGGGGTGACACTTCTACTACGCTGCTGCAGAGCAGTTCTTGATCCTGTAGCACCTCCACGACCCATAAAAAACCTCCCCCTACTCGTCGCGGCTGCACCTGCACCCGCGGTGTTCATCATTCGTGATGCTTTCGATCTTCCTCCCGTGCGGCGCATCCGCATCTGCAGCGCCGCAAAAGTACTAGAGGGGGCCGCTCCTCCGGACCTTTTCTGTCCTCGACCAGCCTCCCGCGCCACCGCCACCCGTTCGTGGTCCTCCCACTGCACAAACGTTGGCACCACGACGGGTTTGTTTCGTGGCCGCTTGTGGTCTTCACTGCCCGACGGCCTTGCAAGCATTTTCTGTACCGAGTTGAACTGGAGACTGTTCGTGGAGGAGCGGAGCTGCGAAACCTCTGCCTCGTCTTGCTTCGAGGCAGAAGAAGGCACGACGTGATCGCCGTTCTGGCTCTTCGTAGAAGATTGCTGTTCTTGTGCATCTACTCCCGCCGGGCCTCCTGATCTGTTTTCACGCAGACCTTTTTTCCTCCCAGAGGACAGCGCTAAGAGCATCAGGTTGTTGCCTCCAAAAGTCAGCTTCTGGGCGACACTAGGCTGTTTGTCCGGTCCAAACGCGGATCTGCCTCGCTCGCCCTCCAACTTCGTGCTTTCCTTCGTGTTGTACTCGTTCACGTCCGTTTTGGGAAGTTTCCTTCCCCAGTCCTCGCTGTTTAACAATCGGTCCACCACCACGTCCATCCGCAGCCGCTCCGGACTCCAGAGCCCCGCATCTTTCGGGGTGAGGTCAAATCGTTCCGCCATGATGGAGCGCACGAGAAAGGCCTTCACCGCCGTTTGCATATCAAATGCAAAAGTGTCTGGGTCTGAAAACTTGTAATTACACAAAATAGAACACACTTCAATCCCAAAATAAATCTCCTTTCTTCCTTTTTTCCTTGTTTCCTTTTTCTTTCCAATTCGCACGCAATAATTATCGCTACGGGCCTTGAGCGCTAGCCTAAACCGGAACCGAAGTCCCAGCCTATCGATATGCGACCCGATTGCCTGTCAGCGTCCAGAAAAGGTGAATGATAGACGTACTGCAGTACGCAGCTATGCATAACAAATTTTTTGGCTGCAATGTCTTACGTATTCCGCATGGCAAACTGCGTTTTTGCATGACAGGTAAGAGGGCCTTTTCGTGCCTATGCAACACAGATTCTCGAATCGTGCCAGACATAAGCATGACAAACTTGCACTCTTCCAGACCCAGACATTTTTGCATTTGATATTGCACCTGCTGGGACATCTCCGGGTCTTGCAGGATTCGTTCCTTGTCGGGGCAGGTCAGAATCACGTTGCCAAACAGCATGTGCGTCGGAACGCTCAGGGGCATCACCGTCTGGTCGAGCAAAGCGGTATCAACTGCAAAAACTATGTCTGGGTCTGCAAGATTGCAGGAGTTTGCCATGCTGATTTGCCATGGCGCAGGAGGTCTCGAATGCCGAACTTAGCATGACAAACTCTGTGCCTCTCCTGCATGAGAAACTTTAACTTCCCCTACACTTGCACAACTCCTGGTAATCATGCAACACAAATTTCTTTGCATCGGATTCGGATCATGTCATCATCATCCAGACATAGCATGACAAGTTGCATCAACCTTTCAGACCCAGACATATTTGCGATGCTTAAGCGGAGACTTTCGACAACGACCGCGTCTTGCAGATGGAAGAAACCTTTTTTGGTTCTCAATTGAAAAAGTCAAGATGTTGCAGAAAAAACCGAAACGCCCACTCCCGCTCGCCCTTGCACTTACAAAGTTACAAAATATGCAAGTAAAAGACCTACACTGAAAATTGTGTGTGGAGCAAAACCAACAGCAAGTACATAAGTCGTTGCAACAGAAAAAGTACGTACATCAGGATTCGCGCTGTCGACTTTGCCGTCCTTGTTGAAGAACATGCGTTGGCTATGGAGAGAGAAAACTTCGTCGATAGTATAGGCCGTGGTCTTCTGCATGTTATTGTTAATGTTTCTCCGAAAGTCACAGGCTTTTCTCGTATTAAAATTGCAAAAAACACGAAGAGAAACTCCGCATCAGATTTGATTGTGTGTGATGCAGCAAGATTCTAGCTGATGAGGGATTGTGACGAACTTTTCTTGTTGGATATTGGTGACCCTTGTGGTAGATGCAACCTTATCCGGGTACAAAGTGCACTACCGCTGGAAGTGGCAAAAATTTAGTTTCTGATGCAAAGTTTTTGTGTTGCATGAAAGGAGCATGAGTCTTCCTGATTCAGAGCGTCGGCCTAGGAAGTATCTCTCACAAGCGACAAATTTTGCAGTTGCTAGGCCTTTGCGAAACACAGATTTTTGCTATTCCCTACTGAAAATTTCTCATGCTGGAAGATGCAAGATAGCAGGAAGAAGGCTGAACTTAGAAATACAAACACTTTCCCTTTCCAGAGGTAGGGGCACGACTTTTCACTTCGATACACCTTGGGGCAAAATTTCCGGCAATTTGATCTGGTCAACCTGTACGCTGCCTATCAAAGAACAAAACAGTGTAAGTGTAAGTCTGTCGTGCAAAGCAAGCATTTGCAACATAGTTACACTTGTCATGCTGGCCAGACATGAAGTCCTCTTTTCATAGAAAGATATATGTTGTTATGTGCTAGCTGCGCAGCACACGCTTTTATTCTCTGAAGTCATGCAGAACGTATTATTTGTCAGACTTCGACACTAACACAGCTTTTTTCGTGGAATACTGCCTGCATCCCGGTTAATGCCCAGCCGTTTCGCAGCAAAATCGCACTCCTCTACACTCTGCAACTTTCCCTTGGCCGGGCAAACCTCGCCGTAATCTGGTTTTTGATTTTGGAAAATTATAAACGCACTATTGTAAACCTAATACGCGTTTTTTCAATAGCGGCGTAGGATCAAAATTTTCTGTACAACTGTAAATGCTGACAGCATGATCACAGCGATGATCCTATCGCGACATCCATGATCGCCATTTGATTTTCACTTTTCATTTCCTGCTTTTACATCACAAAAAGCTCAGTTGTAGTAAGTACCCAGCTTGAAGTAGGTCGGCGGCAAAATCGACACGCCCGTCTCGCTTTCAACTGTAAAAATGTCTGGCTCTGGAAGGTCCTGACAGTTCTTGTCATGCACGTTTTACATGAGCCACGATGTCTGTGATGCATACCCTAGCAATACAGAGGGCTTCTTGATGGCTATTCCGCATGGCAAATGCCTTCTCAGCGTAGCAAAAACTGCATTCCCTTTGCTACTCATGCAATACAGATTTTTTTGGAATCCAAATGCAGCATCACAAATTGCATTCTTCCAGACCTAGACATTTTTGCACTTGGTACTCGCGGAAGGGACCGGCAAGGGGCGGTCCTTGCTCGCCCGCGAGAGAGATCCCGAGGGCCTCCGAGCCTGTAGATTGGGCTGTGTACTTGTTTCTACTCAAAGCGGCTGCAAACTTAGAGCGCTCCTGCAGAAGCCCACTGCGCACGCTTTCCTGCAGAAAGGACGCCGCACCCTTTATTTTCCCTCCTGTGGTCGATGCCGTGCCGGGAAGGAAATTCGGATTCGTAGGATCGCTGTAGCCAGTCACACTGGATGCGGAGGCCGCCGCGTGCTCTGTGTAACAGATTCTTCGGAGATTGAAACTGTAACTGGTGAAAGAACAAAGAAGTTCTCTGCATAGTACTTACATGAGTCGTGTGAGAGAAATGGAAATCAAAGAGGAACGAAAAATACCCGTGGATGTAATTTTTCAACTGACTAAAAAAAGCACTTTGAATTTGATACTACACAGACATACACAACTTTTGAAAACAAGCCGTAGAAGTACCACTTTCCAGGCGTGCCGCGGAGCTTCGCATTACGGAGGCGAAAGCGTTCGCAAAACGTGACCTAGTGTTCGAAGGGTTCATAACCTCCTGATCGAGTCGATTATTTTCAAGGAACCCTGGACGAGGAGGATTACTATTCCCGCCGCCGGAATACGCGGCCACTGCACCCGTCAATACCACCATGTGCTCTGCCGCAAAGCGCAACTGAAAGGCGATCCAGGAACTGATCGGGAGCCAAAACGCCCCGGAACCTTGACCTCGATGCAGTTCCCTCATTCTCATCGCAGAGGACCCTTTCATCTCTTCGGCGGTAGTACCAGCGGTGTTCCTCCCTGTGACCTCGCGCCGCCGGGGGTGCTCCTCCGTGTCACCTCGCGCCGCGGCCCCCGCAGTTTGTTCTTACACAACTTCAACTTCGTTGCTTCGTACTTCTAAAATTCTATCGCCCGCCACACGAGAGCAACTGTTTCGCTTCAGGCCCGGAAGGCCGCAGCGGCGGACCCAATGGCACGGCCCCATGATATTCGAACGCTGATGTTGTCCGTTTCTATAGCTGCGCGCGTGGAAAAATGTGAAAGAAATAAACAAAGGAGCGGAAGGTGATTTGGCCCAGATAATCTTTCTAGCATACAACTACAGGCGTGATTAAGTGCAACCTAACTTTTTGAAGTTGATGCAGAGAGCAGAGAGTTTTTAAAAGTCTTCAACTCGTCGTGTTTATACCCGTCCCTCAAGTAGTAGACAGTCGCGCGTGGCCGGTCTTACTAGCCACACAAATGATCTCGACTATGTATAATACAGAAAGCAAAAACAACTCAACAACCTATACTGAAATGATGTTGAACAGTGTCCGTGTGTGCAAGGGCGGCCAGAAGTTGTGCGAGCTCTAGTAGTCGGATGGAGTTGTTTTGTGCTTTTCGTTTCTCTTTCTGGATAAAAATTCATATCTGAGTACCACCCCATGCTCTCTTCCTCCCAAATTTGGCATCGCAACCGACGCAACTAGTGCAAATCGCGAAAATGTTCTACTAGCCTTGACGCCAAGATGGACCAACTTGCTCTTGGTCATCAAGAAACGGAGAAGCATGACAAAGTAAAGATGAGTCGGTCTGTATTCTCGGTACTACAGAAAAAAAATGTATACTCTGCGTCGCAAAAAGAGCTAGAGCACCCAAAAAAATAAAAATAACTCTGCGGCCCCCCATTCAACATCCAGAAGCAGGTGGAGAACTTGCAAAATATTCAACCGATGTTGTAACAAGCAGGTTGGTTGCCAAAGGAAGGAGTTTTCATCTTCATCGCCTGACTTGACAAAAACATAGAAAAACAAAATCACTGTGAAATGAAAGAATAAAGCAAGCTGAAGCTTTTTCACAAGAAACTTCCCTCCGGCACAATTCTGGTTGCTACGTCCGGCGACACCACGCGCAGCGCCTGCGCGTTCAGCTTCCCACTTGGGGGCGGCAGAAGTTTGATCGCAAAGGACGGCAGGTCGTCCCAGGTCGCGAACGGGCCTTCCGCGAGGACGGATACCCGTATCGGGGCTACGTGCTGCTTTTTCCGCGGCCCCTGCAGCATGAACGGAATTTCGTACATGTCCCAAAATTTCGTCATCCGCGCAACGTTGTCCGCAATGCTGCCCCACATCTCGTTCCCGTTTCCCTGGTAGGTCCCGAGCACGTTGGGGTTGTTCCATACTATTCTGTGGAAAAACGTCCGCACCTCCCCAGTGTCAAATTCTTTAGTAATTTTGCTTGTACACAAATCAAAAAATGATCTTGGCTGTTACGCATCAAGAGTCCCAGCTCGCAGTGTAGTTAGAAATCGTGTGTAGGAGCTAGTCCTAGTATGTAAAGGTGCATCACAAAAAATCGATCATCTTTATCTTGATTCTAGCATGCAATAAGCTGCCTGATCCAGACAACACTCCTCGAAGACAAAATGCTCTTTATGGAGCTCGAGCTACAACGCATGTGCAGAGATATAATTTGAGGTTCGTTGTAGATTCGCTCCACAAGCCGGGAGTGAGGACGTTTCTAAGTACACAGGATACACACCAGAATCTCTTCTTCCGGCACATACCGATGGATAGGGAGGTCCCGCCCAATGCCAAACTCAAACCGCCCCCGCGTCATCATTTGGGGGTTTCCCGCCTTTTGCCCGCCCCACGCCTGGTTCTGCAGTTTCTGGGCGCGCTTCTCGTAGAACCGGTCATTGTAGTCCGCCCACTATGCACTTTGCATACATGTCTAGAGAACATGAAACGCATGACGAATAATCGAACCGTGACAAAAAAGAACTGGCGTTGCATCGTGAGCGTGACACGCATGTAGCTGACTGGTTTTTGATAAATAAGAACTGAATATAATGCCAGCCAAGCATGACAAAGAACCCTGCTGCATGTAGTTGTACTATTCTGGACCAAGACATACTTGCATTTCGTACCCTCTCCGCCACCATGCCCTGCTTCCAGGGGTAGTACACCCCGCTCGCCACTAACTGCGCGTCGTAGTCTTCGGGAATGGCGCCGTCGGCCTCCGTTTGCTTCTTGAATTGCTTCACCGCCTGCGACGCTTCCGGCCCGAATTCCGCGATCTCCACGTCCCCAGTGGTGGGATTCATCTTTTTCGCATACTTGCTATCCAGGACAAAAACTGTGCTAGTGCATAGAAAGATACTCTCTTGTTGGATGAGCTGCAGCAGGAGCGCCAATTTGTTTCCCATGATGACGGAAAAAACTTACTTGTCGGGCGCCAGTAGCGCCTGAATAGTCAATCGCTCATGAAGTACTTATGGTGGATGTAGTAACTGAGCATCATCATGAAGGCAAGTGTGAAAAGGAAAACCGTGCTGCATTTGGATTTTGATATTCATCAGCTTCTGCATCAGAGACAACTACACACTCAAATCGACAGTTTTGTTTCTGCATACTCGCCGTCGAAGTTGTAGCCGTGCTATCCTGAGTAAAAACGTACCCACACCAGAGTTGTAATGCAAATCTGCATCCTGAAAATGTTTCTCATGCGGAGCCCCATGAGAAGCATTTTCTAGTCGTGTTTTGCAATTTGTCATGCTCCAATCAGCATGGTGTGCTAGATCTGTGATGCTGCTGAGCTAGCTCAAACAGCACTGCACTACGAATCCAAATTTGTCATGCAAAACATCCAAAACTTGTGGATTTGTCTAGCCGATTCCCCATCTTGACTATGGTGTGGGTACGTTTTTACTCAGGATACGTGCTCATTCCACCCCATGTAGTAGGCACCGAGCAGGCCCGCGACCGGCTATCCTGAGTAAAAACGTACCCACCCCATAGTTGTCATGCAGATTTGCCATGACAGGAACAGTTGTGATGCGCAACCCCATGACACGCATTTTCAATCGTGTTATGGGAACTTGTAATGCTGTAAACAGGATCAGAAGGTCGATTTGTGATGCGGCTTTCCTTGCGAACCTGCACTACACTACGGACTGCAACTTGTCACGCGTGACTCACAAAGCTACTAGGTTTGTGTTGCAAAATCCCCATCCTGACTCTGGTGTGGGTACGTTTTTACTGAGGATACCGGCGACGCCATGTTTCCCAGCGAATTCAGAAAGCCCTTCCACATGGCCGGCTGCGTGTTTAAAAGTTGGTCGTAGGCCGGGAACCCGCGAAAGTAGTTGTCGTCCATCTGTTTGAGCTGCGGATTAGGCGGGTACTTCACCTCACCGACCGTGGCGTCGCCATGCACCTCGATGTGGTCCGCCGGGCCGCCGTAATAGTATCCCGTGTAAAAACGTCCCAAAGAGCCCTAGACTTATTGTCATGCAAATCTGCATGCCTAGAATGTTTGTTCTCATGCGCAACAGCTGCCCCACCTGTTGATTATAGATTTGTATACTGCAAAATTATTAACCCATGATCTTGACAACAATGCGGTCTTGTTGCGGAAGATCAGACGTTTCGGACGTTTTTACTCCGGATCATAACCTGGGCCGCATAATCTCGATCTCCACTGGTAAAGAGGTGTCCCCCATGCGGTACAGGTGGTGTATGGGGGTGTCAGGATCGAAATCGACAAAATCGAAATAATTTGCGATGCATAAAATCGATACCAGTTGGACCCACAGTTTCTAGTCAGCTCATGACAAATTTTGTCCGTACAACCGGAAGCCAGTTTGTCATGCTGTTTAGGGCATCAAAGGGGCTCGCCCCCTCTGTGATGCTAATCAGCAGCCCAAAGCTCGACCCTTGCCAGCGCTACAATCTGCCTTCCTTGCGTCCTCTGCAATAGAGGCAATTTCAGCGCTGCATTTCATGCATGGCAAACTATTTCAACTTTGACGATTTCGATCCTGGCACTCCCATATGGTGGTCGCCCAGCTTCGTCCCGTGCTCCCGACCGCGCTCCGGGTCCAGCTGGTGGGCGCCGAGGCACTTGCGCAGCTCCGCCGTCATCTTCCCCCCGTTCTCCATGGCCGTCTTGACGTCGGCCAAACAGGCCGGGCTCGCGCCCTCGACTAGCTTCAGAGCCATGGCAACTTCTAGGTTGCTCTTCTAGTAGTTCTACAGGCAAAGGGTGGCGCTGTGGTCTTTTCTGTTTACTTCAAGAATTACATCTAACGCTACTTATTACTTTTCATTTCATCGCGTCGACATTCTACTAAGAAAAGGATCCTCCGTGGTAAGAATCAATGTGATAGATTTGTTCCGCGCAAATGCCACAGGCGGCTCCTGCGGTAGAAAGATAACTCTCAAACTCTCTTACGTCACGACCTTTATTCTCATTCTTTCTTCCAAAATAACGTGCGTCACCTTCCACCAACTCCTCTCATTCTCGCGAGACGACGTCCGACGTGTGTTCCAGACGCCGAAAATTTCTAAGAGGTCCTTACACCTACGATACTCAAAACTGTTCCGAATAATCGGGAGCGATAAGACGGCTTCACAATTATCGATAAGAACTCTTGGCATTTATCCGACCAGTCCACAAGGTCACAACGGCACAAAGAACTGCACAAGCAGTAGTTCGCTATCGCAGGTAGTTTGATGCTATTGTACAAAATCTTAATTGGCTTTTCGCAGATGCATGCAGGCAGAAGTTCCTGACAAAAACAAAAACTCCTTCAGAAACAGAAGGTGTGCTCTACATTGTCTTTTGCATTTTTGCATTTTTGCAGATATCAAATTTATCAAAATTGGAGTAGGCGTGTGCCTGTAGGCGTTAATTCGGGGTGGGTTGGTTGGTCGGTTGGTTGGTTATGCAAATGCTGAAGACGGCGGGCCGTCGCGGGTTATAGAAAAACATTCTTCCGGAGTCGCAGTGCGTGGCGAGGTCGACGTGCGTCTGGTTTGCGTTTGGTGGTGGACGTATTGTGGCGGAGACATATTCGGCGTCGCGGTGTCGCTATTTCGCTTATCCTGATGTACGTGAGTCTGTCGACGACGTTCTGCTTCCCACAATCGAAGCTGGAGAAAGTTGTGCTTTGATATCGGGAATGAGATGCACGCTACCCACCTACCTCCCTACCTACCTACCTCGTGATACTGACGCTCCTCTCGTCCATTCATAATCAACCGAAACAAAAAAGATCACGCCCTCCTTCGTGGCTGAGCAGTGGGTAGGTGGGTTGGTTGGTCGTCATTGGACAATGATGCGTCCGCGTGTCCTCCAGGTGTGGGCGATTTTCACTTGCGGGGCGCAACGGAGGCGCGTCTACACCTACCTTCCCACCCACCTACTTCTTGATGCGTGTGACAACGAAAATGCGGGAGCTGGGGCAGCGCCCAGTTAGAGTGAAGTGATGAAGAACTACAACTGCTCAGAGACAGTCTTGGCTGCAGGCCGGCGACGCCTGGCCCGTGTGTGGTGGCCCGCAAAGGCTCCCGCGTAAACGGTTTGCTATCGCGGGCACCGAAATGGGTGAAATGATGCCCATCCTGATGAAAAGCGCCCCGCCCGTAAAGGGCGGTCTTTGATCTAGCAGCCTGTGGCGCTTTTAGTTGCCCGGGGCCCATCGGCGCGGCACGGCCACAACGCCGACCGCATCCGCGGGGCGCCACTTGAAGTCTAGAACCCCACTGCTATGGCAGCTTTTAGATTTCCCCTCGCAAGTGATCGGGGTTTTAGTTGCGATAGAGTGAACTACATACACTGAGGTAGGCGATACGTCTATGCGCGGCGCTTCTCCACCCTCGCCACAAAGCGCACTGCGTGCGCAGGCCAGGGCCAGAGAGAACGAGCTGCGACATTTTTCTTCCTCCCGCCGAAGGAGCTCGGCTTCATCTTGTGAGAATGAAACGAACCAAGCCAGCGCACCAATGAAGGCCTGACCCTGAGGCAGAGGATTTGTTTTTCTTTTCTCGTTGTGATTGTGCCACTCACAACAAAGTCACTGAGGATCAGAATCAATTTGAGAACCAAGAACAAACTTAAGTGCCTGGGATCGCATTGGGTGCAAGTATGTCTGTGTCTGGTCGAAGCGTTGAACCTTTAGGGCGCGCCCTCACCCCTGCCAGGGAAGGTGGGTGGGTGGGTCGGCATGTGTGGTCAGCAGGCAGCGCATGCTTGCTCACCCGTGCCAAGGCAGGTGGGTCGGTAGGTCGGTAGGCGTGGCCAGCAGGCAGCGCATGCTCACCCGTGCCAAGGTAGGTGGGCCGGGAGGTCGGTAGGCGTGGCCAATAGGCAAGGCACACTCGCCCCACCCCCCCACCAGGCAGGTGGGTGGGTAGGTCGGTAGGCCTGGCCACTAGGCAACGCACGCTCGCCCCACCCCCCCACCAGGCAGGTGGGTGGGTAGGTCGGTAGGCGTGGCCAATAGGCAGCACACGCCTGCCCCCCCCCAACCCGGCAGGTGGTTGGGTAGGTCGGTGGGCGTGGCCAATAGGCAACGCACGCGCGCCCCACCCCTCCCACCAGGCAGGCAGGGGGGTGGGTAGGTCGGTAGGCGTGGCCAATAGACAACGCACGCTCACCCCACCCGCCCACCAGGCAAGTGGTTGGGTAGGCCGGTAGGTGTGGCCAATGAATGCATAGGCCGCGCACCCTTGCCCCCCGCACCAGGCAGGTGGGTGGGTAGGTCGGTAGGCGTGGCCAATAGGCAACGCAAGCTCGGCCCACCCACCCACCCGGCAGGTGGGTGGGTGGGTCGGTAGGCGTGGTCACCGATCTCCTCTGGGTGGAAAGGGGTAGGTAGGTAGTTGGGTCGGCGCGATCACGGTAGTACGATCGTAAAGAGAGGCGGTAGGTGGGTAGGTAGGCAGCTTCAACGGTGATAGTAGTTAGATGAATCTCAGAAAAACACAAGATACAGCGCAGCGGGTTTGGTTCCACGGGAAATTTGCATAACCAACCAACCGACCAACCAACCCACCCCGAATTAACGCCTACAGGCCCACGCCTATTGCAAAATTGGTTCGTTTTCGCAGAAATTCTCCTCCTAAACGAGTTGCATCCAGGCTCGTCGTCCTTGTTCTATCGCGGCATCGTATTCGTGGTTCGTAAGTGCCATCTGACCCCTTCGCCTTTCGGCTCCAGACTGCTTGTCCCTTCTCGTCGCGACATGCTACAGTTGTTCACATGGTCAGCAGGCGGCGAGTCACACCACCGAGTTGCCTCCAGCCTCGCTGTGCAAGAGAGTCGACAACTGTAGTGATGCAACAGCGCAGGTGCTGTGTTGCTCTTCCTTTTTTCGGTGGTGCTTCTGTACCTGATCCGAGTGGCCCACTGCCCCGCCCCGCACGCCTAAAAAAACTAAGCCTAAAGGTCGGGAAATCTCGAATCACATCTGCGTGAGTTTTGAAGAAGCAACTTTTGGGATCCTGTGTTGCCATGACATGCATGGCTTGGCGCAGCGCGATGTTGATGGTCCTACTGAGCTCTTTTTGGAAGTATTGCTACAGGAGGAAGGCAGAGAAGGGGATAGTTGCTGACTTGTATTTTCACTTCGAGTCCGACTCGACAAAATAAACGCATGATGAGAATATTCAGAAACTACCCCCAAGCAAGCCCTCTGAGATGCACGGCTGCGCTTTTTACGTAGCAGCAAGCCTTTCCCCTTCCCCCTGCAGTATGCTTCTTTGTGGCTTTTTAATTCTTGTCAAAAATGCTCTTTGGTATAATTGTCGGCGTGGGTTTGGAGACAGTGTGGCAGCGTGATTCCTGAGACCTTAGAGGGGTAAGGCAAAAACCCTCCCGCGCAGTCGAGCATAGGCGTAAACTTCAACACCGCAGCAACTCAAGGAAGGGAATAGAAGCTGGGTCAAGAAATTCACACCCGAACCTTAGGTCTCCTATTTTGGGTCCATTTGCAAAGAAATAAGTCACTACGTAAAAAGGCCTTCTTGAACATTAGGAATCACGCCCTAGCGACATCTTTATCTTTGCCCTTCTTTTTTAACCCCGCCAAAAAACAAGCAAGCTAGTAACAGATAAAGAATGTCGTTGAGTCTGTTGGGGCATCAGGCGTAGTGGACATCTAAGCTACCTACTCCACTACCCCATCCTTTGCCCCAACTGTGGAATCTGTTTGGTATTGTGTGTTGCTTTAGCCAATCGAACAACGAGCGCTAACGCTGTGAAACCTCGATACGCAAACAGATATCGAAATCGAGATTCTCTATCCTACTCAGCTAGCCCTCCCCATACGAACCTCTACGCGATACGAAACTTTTTGTTTTTCTTATGCATTTATACGACAGTACTATACAACTTTTGCAGTTCATAGCAAAATCGGTTCGTTTTCGCAAAAATTCCTCCTAAACGACCTCCTAAACGAGTTGTTCAGGGTTCTTGTAAGGCAACCTCGAAAACTGAAGAGATGAACAACAGAAACAGATGAGAAAGAGATAATACTGTACTTCAGCTGGAGCGTCTACAGCGAAAATCAAAATCAAACACAACACCACCAGAAACTGCAAGTTTCCTCTATCGCTCAAAAAAATCCCCCGGACACGAAGCCGCCTTTGCGCGAGAAGCAGCAGGGGCAGGGGTTGTCGTCCGCGAGGTCGCTGGAGTAGTCTGCTTTTCCCCCGATATTGTCTGGAAATTCCATTACCAGTATCCAATATTGGAAAAAGTTCGTCACGATCACGATTCCTGCTCAGGTGCGCTTTTGCAAAAAAATGTCTGTCGTGCGTGTGTAAAAATGCATCGCAGCCAAGCTTTTTCATCCTACAGGACAAATTGCATCTACAAAGTCAGTGCAGTTTCTGCAACCCACGGGAAAATTTTGTGTGCCAAAAAAGTTTCTAAGTACTCATTGCAAAACCTGCAAGGACATGACTTAGTGCCTGTGACAAAGCTTTTTCTCTTCCTAAACGGTGTGCTGTTGCTGTTGTATCCCCGACCGTGTCTCACGGAAGAGGAGACAGGAAAGACCTGCTGCGAGCGGCGCGACGAGCCCGCGGTCCTGCTTGTCTCAGCCATGGAAGCCGCACTAGAGACCTATGCCCTGCTCAGCCCTGGAACAATCTCAACCTATTAAGTATGTTTGTAGCTGGAACTCAATGCAATAATAAAGCTGGGAAAATCTTCACAACTCTTGTACTATACACGGAAAGAGCAGTAGAGCGTATTTCCTGCCACTTCTACATGACAAATTTTGTGCGAATTGCAATGCGATTGGGTGGACGAGGAGTGTTCACGCTAGACTCCATTTGCATCACCTTTCTTGTTCTTCCGGTTGTATAATTGAGTTTGAGATTGTTCCAGGTGGTCCGAGGAGGCCATAAAACCGTCCGACAGGATGCGCTCGACCCCGGTGCCGCAACCACCGCCGTCCGCGCCGAGGGTGCGAGGGAGGCGGCGGAGTTCGGGCCGCTTCGGCTTGTCGGCGTGGTGCCCCACCGTATGGAAGCGTCAGGTTTGAAATCGTCAAAGTTGAAATAATTTGTAATGCATAAAATGCATGACCCGAGGCACGTGCGTTGCAGAGCAGGCAAGTGAGGCCGAGTGTAAGCGTGTTTGGGGTTACAGCTCGAGCTGCTAAAGTAGCATGAGAAAATCACTCTTCTTTGCCTAAACAGCATGACAAACTGGATTTAGGCACCACCGAAATTTGTCATGCGCCACTTGGAAACTGGGTTCCAACTGGCATTCATTTTATGCATTACAAATCATTTCAACTTTGATGATTTCAAACCTGACGCTTCCATACACCGGCTCGTGGGCGTAGCCTGCGACCGGGATGTCGGTTCGTAAGTCGGGGACGAGAGGTATCAAAAGGAAAAATCCCCCCACCCCATATCAAAACGGAAATCTGTGATGCAGATTTGTTGTCACAAATCAGCTTTGTCATGCTACACGGGAAAAGATGCGGACTGTAGTGCTGGGTGGCGTGGGGGAGCCTTGCATCTTCAGCATGATTGGAGGCAGCTGAGAGTGGGAAACAGCATGACAAATTGCCTGCAAACAAGACCACGACTGCGGCTCTTGGCCTTCTAGCATGACAAGTCGACTTGGTGCCTCAAATCCTGCATCACAGATTTCCATTTCGATATGGGGAGGGGGGATTTTTCCGTTTGATAAGAGGTAGCGACTGTTCTCCGACCCAGACGTCGTTGCCCCGCCGGTGAACACCGGCGCACGGCCTGCAGCGTAACCATCACCAGTTTCCCCGCCACTCATATCATATGTAAAAACGTCCCCAACCCATAGTTGTCGTGCAAATCCGCAAGTTGAAAGCGTCTCTCATGCGGCGCAGCCCCATGAGAGCCATTTTCTATCTAATGCTATCTGGGAGCTTGTCATGCTAGAATCAGGATAAGATAGTCAATTTGTCATGCGGCTGCACGAGCTAAACAGGATTACACTACGGGCCAGAACTTGTCATGCTAAACCGAAGTGCGACACACTTTGCCTCCCCCTGTGCAAACGGCCGCAGATGGCTGTCACGCAGGGAAGGTGGGTCAGGCGGACATCGAAATGCCATCACCATCATCTCCCGGCCACGATACCTACTCACTTTACGCCAACTTATCCCACTTAGCCAAACTTCGCCAACAAGTGCCAACCAATCCAACTTTCGCTACATATAGAAAGCCAAACCAAGGAACCTGGATTTTGTCATGCACAGAAGCAACCATCAAACACCTACGAAATCATTCTATACCGGTTTCTCCTGATAATACGGTGACTCATCAACCTCCTTCCGGTTAACATCCCCTTCCTCTCTTATCCCCTCGTTTACGCTCTCCGTGAAAGCGCCTTCCTTTACCAACTTCACGTCCTTTTGTTTTTCGTTTTTGGACTGCAGTTTCCGCTCTTTCTTTGCTGCTTTCTTTTCGGAAGAAGTTTCAAAAAACTTGTCATGCTCGACAGCCAAAACTTGTGGATTTGTGTAGCAGATTCCCCATCTTGACTATGGGGTGGGGACCCGACGTTTTTACAAATGATAACTCATCGTCTGGTCCTCGTTCAACGGTGGTAAGAACTCCTGGGGAGACGGGTGGTTCACCCCGGGAACGTTCCAGCGTATCAAATGCAAATGTGCTGTCTGGGTCTGGAAGAGTCGTGCTACTTTTGCACGACACAGAAGGTCTGGCATGGAAGCTCTAGCATCACAGGTTTCGAGAAACTTCTGCAATGCCGAATTCGCATGACACATGCCCCATTTTGGTGACAGAAAGTGGGCAAGTTTTGCTGCCTATACATGAGAGATTTTTATGTGTTGTGAAATGCGCATCACAAGTTTGCACTCTTCCAGACCCAGACATATTTGCAATGCATACAGCCACGATAATTGCTATTCGCGGTTGCAACTGTTCCGGAAGATGCGGCGGTGGCGAAAGGGTTGTTTTCCGCCACGGAGCCGATCGTGCCCGGGCTGTGTGGACTGGTACCCACTCTGGTGCCTCCGAAGTTTTGATGCGCGGTCCCGGACGCTGCAGTGGTGGCGTCCTCTAACGCGGGCGATAAGATTGTCCCCGGCAACGCAACGGAGCTCGCCGTCGTTCCCGGTGGTGGTGGCAGGATCGTATTCTGCAGAAAAGTACAACACGAGGCAAACAAATTTACAACATCAACAACTACAAACAACAACAACAAAACTCCTTTGGCTGTTGAGCAGGGCCAACTTTTTTGGTACGCGCTGGTACTGGAGCAGCAGCAGGAGGAGCTCTGTCATTCCTAATACGTACGCATGACAGCAAACTGCACTCTGCGTGCCAGAACGTTGTCTGTGGTCTTGTGGTTTTCGCATTTTTGCAAAGTTTATTTTTCATTTTTCCGGGACGCGACTATCACTATAGCAACACAAATTCTCGCTCCTTTTTCTGGCAATCTGGGTGTGCTTTTCTGTGGGATAGATCGTGGAGGGCGCACTGTGCGGCACCCGCGTTGTTGGCGCTCCCGTTGTCGTTCCGGGCAGAGAATTTTCTCCTTGCAAGCTCGGCGCCGTTGCTTTCATTTTCCCGAATCGGTGTGCCTGCAGCTGTGTCGGGAAAAGTTGCAGTAAAACGCAAAGATTCGGAAGAACAGGAAGAAGCACGTGCTTCATCTTGGAAACGACACTGCTCTTGCGCAACGGCGACATCTTTTCTTCTCCGGTCGTGCCACCAGCAACACCAGCTTCTTCGGTTTTCAATGTTGACACAGCTAGTGTCGTCTCTAAGAGTTGTTCCGTCGTGATGAAGTTTTCGTACTATCGTTCTTAACAGTAGGAAAGCTCGTGGCAAAACGAAAAAAGCAGCCCGAAACTACAGTGTACGGTCACGAAATAAGAGGGAAAGACTGATATACTTACTAACTCACCACCTCCTGCAGGCACGAAACACGAGATCATGCGTAGTACATTCGAACAAGACCTTTGGCCTCTTCAAATCGATTCGTGGAAGAGCCACTATTTCGCACCGATTCTGTCTCTTTTGCCTCGAAGGGCTGACAAGCAGTTTAGCTTTAGTTTTTCTTGCGCACGGCATAGCATTAATAAAATCCATAGCTAATCTAATTTTACAGTGAAGGCAGCCATCTGAATAGTATCTTTTTCGGTGCAGAGTGAACAAGCATCTTGAACCTCAAAATTTCCGCACACCTACTCGAATTCAATCAATTTTGATCTTGACAAAAATTGTACATCTTGAAAATAATGGAATAGGAAATCTAATACAGGCTGCTCCAGCAGTATTGGGTGCTGTCTTGTTCCTGCAGACCCCTTTCTCCTGCTGCTGCTCCGCAACTACGTCACCCTCATACGATATCCTATGCATCGCAAGTATGTCCGGGTCTGGATGGATGCAATAAACTTGTGCTGCGCGTTTGGAGGACCAGACACGCATCTGTCACGCATGGACAGCGAATGCGGCCATTTTTGCGCCTTGAAAGTCACGGAGTCCTCATGCCAGATAGGCATTGGGAAACGTTCTCGCTGAAACTTGTGATGCTATTGCTGGAATGCCAGAGCATGATCTGGGTCAGGGTCATGCAAATGCCGCATGACAAACGTCTCCACTTTATGTTCAAATAACCCAAACATACTTGCATTTGGTATGACCGGCTGTCCGACCATGATTTTCCGTGGCGGCTATCCCAGGAAAATGAAGCTATTTAGGTTCAGGCTTCGTGTGAGTATGTTTCTCTTGCTAGTAGTTTAAACGCTTTTATTCACGCATGTACATAAACCTCCAGATGATGCAAAAGCAAAACTCACTTCTACAAGAAAATAAACCTGTCAATCGGAACTACCGCACAAAACGCTTTTGCTTGATTGCAGACACAGCACACAATAAACACCAAAAGCTTTTTTCCTAAAGCATAGCGTGCCGGGCCTCGATGTTTGCTGCCACAATTTCGGCCTCCACACTTGCAAATGATACAGCGACACGGCATCACGGAAAAATAAACCTCCCAACTTGCAGGCACATCGTAGAGTACAATTCACGTTCTATCTTCTGCTTTGCAGGAGTTCAAGTGCACATTATAACAACCGTCGGACACTACAGCCGCCCCTAACTTTTCTATTCGGTAAAACGTGGCATCGAGCAGCACGACACACTTTCACATCTGTGCTGATGTCCCGTTCGGACAACGTACACGACGGTATAGGTAAAAAGCAAAGTGAAGAGCTTTTGCAAATGAAAAACAAAAAGAGGAATGATGTGCTTGCACGACGAAGTGAAGATGATTTCTCGTTCAGATACAGCAACGCAAATACCAGGTACGCCATAAGGAACAAGCCCAGGAAAATGCAAAAAAAGGTATTCACCCCGGGTCCCCTTCCGTAAACATTATGCACGACGGGGAAACAGCATGCGTCGCAAGGGTCTCCTACGGTACCATACGTGCCCGTGACCGCGTAGCAGGAGCAGAGGCACAGGATGAGAATCAAGAAAAAACTGGCGAAGAGCCCCAAGTATGCAGTGCAAAAGCATTGTGGATGGAGGTGAGAAGATCTCGCTGCTCCACATGGAGTACATGTAAGTACTTATCCCGAGTTGTAGTAAAAACGAGCCCACGGCGGAAATTTTTCATGCTGGAACCAATCACCAGTTGATGCTGCGGTATTAAACGCCGACTAAGTAGATGCTTACTGACAGCAGCGTCATTTGCCATGCCCAGATGCCGCAGCTTTTGCACATGATACAAAGATGTAGAGGGCGATTTGCGCCTTGCAGGATGGGCCTGCAATTATATATTTGCAGCGATAAAGGTACTTTTTTTCACTTGTCGTAAAGTTTCGGTTTCCATCAAATCATAATTTATGAACCAGCACTTTCGATAGAAGCAAAAGCCGTAGTACTTACGACACACACCTGCTATAGACGATAACGCTTGCGCTCAAAACGTATAATATCTCATGAAAAAAATAGCAGCAGTATATATTTAACTACTTCCGATTCCGTCCCAGTTCCCTGTGACGCAGGCCCCGACGAAGAAGCAGTGAAAAACCCCTCCAAGCACCCTGAGCCAGGTATCACAGAGAAAAAAGCAGGCAGGTCACATTTGTAATGCAAAAATAAATACACAACGAAATCTTCTGTATTGCATATTCTAAACAGCATGCTATTGGGCCGCCCATGACAGACTTTTCTGTGTATCTATTTTTGCATTACAACAGAGATGACCTGCCTGCTTTTTTCTGTGTGATACCACGGGCTTGGCTCCAACCGACGATCGCAGCCATATCCGGTGCAAAAGTATCGCAGTCGTACAAATGCAAGCTCAGCATTACAAATCTTGTTTCCAAGGCAAATCTGCATTACAAACTTTATTTCTCATGCTGAGGAAATTTGTAATGCATTTATACGAGTACGATACTTTTGCAATGCATAAGCCACAGCACCCGACCACTTCGCGGTCCCGGGTGCTTTCGTCGCTAAAAAGCGTGTATCGTGCGTCGCAAATATCATCGATCTGGGTGTGGGAACTTCAGCTTGTGATAGTCAACTATGCAGCATGACCCCGCCATCTTCAGGCGCCGAGAAGCCAAGCACACGACGACGCTTCCGCAGGACCAAAGAAACTGCGCTTTTACCGTAGTAGGTCACGCAAAAATACAGATTTGTGTTGTTTTTCAGGAAAAAATTTCATTTTTGCCACATACATTTTCCACTTTTCAAGACCACCCAGACCGATACTTGCGATGGATAGGGTCTCGAGGCAGAACCGCTGGTAAGAGGATGACGGTGTTTTTCCTTTTCCGGCGCGTGGGGAGTTGATAGGCGTGGCATTTGTCCCCGCCGACCTCGCGTAGTAGTTCCGCTCCGCGCTTTCGGGCGAGCGGACAGGAGACGCCATCGCCATAGGGGTCGTCGCTTAGGGAGCGTAAGGAGAAAATGATCAAGTGTTAGTGTAGTATAGCAGGTACCTTGTCGTTCCAAAAAAAAAACGCTCAACAATCAGTTCTTGCAGTAGCAAACAAACGCAGATCTGTCTCGTCCGAGTCCGATAGCCAGAAACTTTTTCATCTATACTTCGATTACTTAGCGCCCTCGCCGTCGCCGTTTACGACACCGCCGCGAAACAATAAGCACGACAGATGATTTTAGGATTCGCATATATATTGAAAACTAAAATCCCAAAGGGATTGCCCAACGAGTTCCTCTGATCCGATTGCAGGAAGCATGTATGCATCACGACGAGAGGGACAGCAGCGGCCAAGAGGACCGATAATTTGAATTTCCGACGGCCCAGGTTTCTTTCGCATTACATGCTTCTTGTTCTTTTTCGGATCATCAGAAAGACAGTGCACTAGTCACTCGAAAGAGAAGATGAAGATCTTTCCATGGTCCACGAACCGAACAGTAGCCCGCCTAGTAGAACTGTTTTATTGCTCCGAGAAAGTACCAGTACCGAATGAAGAGACGAGTACTACCTTTGTCGAAACAAGTACGCCCGTCGCAACGATGTGGCCAAGCGACGTCCTCTTCTTCGTCCGATGTAGTTGCCAACAAGCTGGAACATTTTTACGAAGACGATTTACGCAAAAGAACTCACCGTCTGGACGAGTCGATCAAACGATCATAGCGGAACCATGTACAACTGTGGAAGAGTAGTAAACTTCTGAAGCCCAACTCCTCCACGCTGGGGATGCGTCATTGCATGCCGGAACAGTAAAGCTGGCACATAGATTTGGTGTACAATCAGCACAGCGTCGTCCACAAGACACCGTCATGCTTTCCTACGCTAGTCCATGACTCAGCTTCAGAAAATTATTTGTTTTTGCCACCCCCTGCTGCTTCGTCGGCCGAGACGTCGAAAGGAAAAATTTAAGGAGTACTTGTTTCTTGCATCGGTTTAATATATAAACCGAAATAGAGCCGCGGCACAGCTCGTCTTCATCGTACAGCTTTAGTCTGTGCACGTCCATGGGAATGTATCTAGTAAGTGCTTAATAGTCGTAGCCGATGTGTAGAAGTGCCCTCCTTGCCTACTGCTCGGACTGCGAATCAAGCGGAGATATGTATGTATTGTACACGTGGATGTAGTTTACAACCGGGAGTATATCTTGAAAATGCACCAGCTTCAGCGCCAACCTGTAAGCGCTATCGTATTGTTCCACGACTTCGCTCGCTTTAGATGAGTAACACTTACTCTACGATTTAGAGATGAAGATCTTTCCATGGTCTACGAACCGAACGGTAGTCCGCCTAGTAGAACTGTTTTATTACTCCGAGAAAGTACTAGTACCGAATGAAAAGAGAAAGACGAGTACTACCTTTGTCGAAATAAGTGTGCCCGGTGCAACGATGTGGCCAAGCGATGTGCCCTCACACACTACTGAGTGTGAGGCAATCGTGATTTGGGCGAACAACTCAAGAGGTGAACAAGGATCCTGGAGGTGCCTGGGCCGCCCGCCGACTTAGAGCGCACCGGCGGGCTCTAATTCCAATGTTCCTGATGGCAGCGCCAGTGCGTCTTCGCTAGTACAAGCGTCGCGCTGATTGATTTCACCACGGTCTTTCAATGGCGGCGGCGGGCTACAAGCCTTGTGCCGCGTTCATTGTGCATCCTGCACCCTAGCGGATGCTGCTGCCTCCTTGCAGGAGCAATATTCAAAATCAACACGCGAGAGCAGTGCAGTTGAGTGCGAAAACTCTGCTCTATGCGCGTTTCGCAACAAGAATCATGCTTCCCCTACGTGCTAGCAAAACTCTGCACAAGTGCGGTTTTGGGATGCTTGCTAAAGGATTTCATGCGTTCTGGACCATATCAATGGACCAGAAGGGTCTCATCCTCACTTGTCGCCGTCAACCCGCCACCGGAGACTGACAGACAACACACAAACCTTCACTAGCATCCCAGGATTTACGCTGAAAAACGTACTGCCGCTACTCCTCGGCGCACACATTGCAGAAAAATACGTAGGAATAAAGGTGGGAACGCGGTTACTCACCTTTTTGTTCTAGCGCTACTATCTATCCATCTATCTATAGTGCGCGCGTGCTTTTTTTTAGAACTTCAGGTGGTACGCCACGGCCCTCGCAGTTCGCACTTCTGATGGTAAGACACCACAAAGGGCGGCCAGTGGTGAGGAAAGATTCAAAACTTGGGTAGTACTAAGACACCACACAGGGCGGCCAGTGGTGAGGAAAGATTCAAAACTTGGGTAGTACTAAGACACCACAAAGGGCGGCCAGTGGTGAGGAAAGATTCAAAACTAGGCAAGTGCCACAGCGCTACGTTCTGATTTCGATTTTTTACACACTACTTCAACAAAAACCCTTTGTTGCGAGATGAAAACGCTGAAAAAAGGGACTAACGCTGAAAAAAGTTCTCATCAAAAGTTGATTTTGTAATTCAGAAGTTCTCGTAAAAGTAATTTTTCTTCTCCTTCTCGTGGGGAGTGGCTGAGCTATCTCGTGCTGTACCGTCTATCAGACTCTTTTACGAACCACACTTCACCCACGCTCAATTCCTCCTTGCACGAATTTGCGAACAAAATAAAGGTGTCCGAAATTTCGCATACGACGTCTGGATTGTCTTGCAGTTGCCAACGCCGTCGCCCGTGTGCCGATGGTGTCCTCGTCCACCCAAGTCAAGTCAAGTCAACGCGTGGGCTAGTCTCTGGTTAGTAATCCTCGCTCAGAGATTTGTCGAAATTATCGTAGCCGTGCGTGTATTGTTATCAAGTTCTTCTTTCAGTGGGGGCTGTGGCCATGCTATCTGACTGTCGTCCGCACTACGCCCACCCGTTTCTATTTCGTTGACAAGGGTCGGGCCATCGTAAACCTCCCCAAGGCATGCGCCTACAGCTTCTGCGGCTTCCTCGGTTCGGATCCACGCCCCGGCCCCCTTTTTCGCGATCTTCTTCTTGGTGATAGAAAGGGATATTTCTGCCTCCACCAGTCTGTGGTCACTCTTGTGATACGTCTGTCCCCGCACCTGGAACGCACGCACGTACCCCCGGTGCTTCCACGAGACAAAAGTGTGGTCGTACTCGCGCCGTGGCCTCGCCCCCTTCCAAGCTCCCTCGAAAGTGTACCGCCGCACCCACGGTTTTTTGAACAAGGACGAAACGTCGACCATCTCCGCTGCGGCTGCCAGTGCCTGGAGCCTGTCAGCGTTGTCGGTCCGGCGCGCGAAACCAGCGGAGAGGCCACAAGGACCTACTGTAAACGGAAGCCCGGCCTCCTGTAGTTCCCGCTGCGGGCCTCCCGCCATCTCAGCATTAAAATCTCCTACCGCAATCACGATGTCCCTGCCACTGTGATTGGCGATTTTTCTCGTTGCTTTTTCCCAGAAGCTGTCTTTATCCCCGATGTCTGCCGCGTTCGTTGGAGCGTAGCAGCCGTGAAGATGGACTTTTTGTCCATACGGGGTCCGGAGGGAAATTCGGCCATGTCGCCCGCACTGCTCGTTGTCAAAGTCAACAACTTCGATGCTGTGGTGGACGACAAACAATACCCCCCCGACCGGCGTTCCGGAACTATTTAGCCACGCCCCGCCTCCATACAGAAGATACTCGTCAACACGCTCACCAGTGATCCACTCAGTCACTCTGCTCTCCTGTGTCACCACAACATCGAGTTTTCTGGATCTAGCGTCCTTGATCAAGCATTCCATTTCCACCGTTCGTGTCCCGCTGTCCTCCCTCTTGCCGAGGGTAAGCACGTTCCATGTGCCCAGCCTCAGCTTCTTTTTTGCGGAAGCGTGCGCGCCGCGTCGGCCTCGGGAGGGATCCTCCCTCCCGGCAGGCTTCGTCCTGCTGCCGCCTACAGCAGGGCTCCTCCCTGCTGTGGTGTCGTAAGTCGCGGCGCCTTCAGCTGCGGCTTGGTTAATTTGGGATCTCGCTTGCATCTTCAGTTCGTACTACTCTGTCCAGATTCCAACAACCTCCACTCCACCTCGTATCGTACGTTGAACACAAGTCGATCGCGTTTCTTCCGCGAAGGATAGAGCCCCGGGATTATGTCTTTTCACTGAGCGCAAGGTAGCAGGTGCACAACAGTCCAGCTCTTCTCTTCTTCTCTTCGATAACAATACTAATGCCTTCAATACAGCAACGCGGTTGGCGGCCACGAGCTAGGTCAGGTCCATCAACTAATCTCTCAGATCTTCTTTCCAATCAGCCCGACCCGGTCAGTCTGCTACCAGGACGTTGCAGCTCGTGTAGATACAGCTGAGCAGACTCGAAGATCAGACCCACACTCGACTTTCTAAATACCCTGCACAGAGTCCACTTTCGCCCCGTTTGTTGGTTTTCCAAACGTGTTCTGCTTCCCACCTCCTCCTTCGGTAACTACCGCAGCAGTTAGTGTGGCGCAAAAACCAGTCTCTCAGTAGATCGAATTCCGAGCGAACTGCTCCAGTTTCTCCTCGTCACCGTCAAAAAAGTACTATCTTACACGTGGCGCTCGAGGTACTGCAACTCACTCTTCGTAGTTCACGTTCTTGTTCAAAGTTTATCTTCCAAATTCAGACTGCAATAAACAACTTCATTCATTTTACATTCGCCATCATTTTACATTCGCCATCATTTTACATTCGCCATCATTTTACATTCGCCAATCATTTTACATTCGCCAACTATCATATAAATATACATATGTCCACTATCATATAAATATACATATGTCCACTTCATGTCCTCGTCCACTATCATATAAATATACATATGTTTCTCTTCGTTCCCTAGTACAACTTAGTAGTACGGGTTCAAGAGCCGATTTTTACTGAAAAACGGAGCTCCAGATTGTACTTCAGGCCGTCGATCCCGGGATTCGTAGAATATTTTTTCGTAACCCCTAGATGAGCATGTGCCACCCACCCCCACTCCATCAGCAGGCACCATTCTGATGGTAATTTGCCACAGAAATCGAACGAGACCGAGACCTGCTCCGTGTACTCAGAGTGGTTGGCGCGGGTGTTAATTTGGCGAAAGAGCGCTTCTCCTTGTGTCCTGTCGACATCTGTGGCGCTTATAATCACTAACCTGCTCCCTGGGGGCGAGTTCACTCTGGCTTCGAAAAACGTGCACGGACCGCGTCTCTCGTCGTATGTGCGTGTGTGCGTGCCGCTGCAAGTTGCCGACGGTCCGTACGTAAGCGTCAATGTTTCCGAGGAACCTCGACGATCCACCTCGAAATCGAGGTCCCCGTTCGGCCCGTAGCTTTTTGCCCCGGGCCGCTCCAGCGCGCTGACCAAAGCGTCGACAAATGCAGCAACGAGGGCACGCGTTTCAGCGTCGACATGATGATGATGATGTACCCAACTGCCGGCTCCATACGGTAACGCATCAAATACTAGCGTGTCAGCGTCGTGCAGCAAGGGGGGAAAGAGCTCACCCATCAAGAACGACGCCAAGGCAGCGTAACTCCGGTCCGCCGGGCTCCTTTCCACTACTGTCGTAGCTTCGCGAAAGGCCGTGCTCACTGCAGCAAGGGGTGGATGATCGCGCCACGGGTGGAAAAAAAGCTTCCACCAGATCGCGGCCTCCTCAACCCTCGTGAATACTGGCGCTGCGGGTGCCGCTTCTACCAGGTCGCGGACTTCGGCACGTTGACCCATGCGGGGGTCGCACCGCATCTCGGTGACCGGGGGCCCCTGCGTCTTGCCGGAAAACAACAGCCGGAATAGGCTCCGCAAGTAGTGACCTGGGTCTTCATTGCTCACATAAGACTGGATCGCCCCCCAAGGAATCCCCCCATGTTCGGCAAGTTCGGCGAGTTCGCGCTTTTTGCGCTGAGTTTCCCTCGCGTGCCGGCGATCGGGCCGGGTGGTCACCCACCCAGCGAGGCCTGCTCGCAGGGGCTGCGCTGAGGCTGATGTTGGAGGTAGACGCACCATTTCCATTCCTTCCCGCGCGCGACTTGATCCTCTGTGCTGACCCGAAGAAGGATCTCTTCCCTGTCGCGGCTGGCCAGCCTGAACAGCGGGCAGAAACAGGTGTTGCAAGTAGATAAAGGGCACAAGCAGCAGCAAGGGCAAAACGCCGGAACTAGCGGAAGAACGGGCCGCCCCGAAGATATTTTTATTTTTACAACGCGCCATGTTTACTTTCCAGTCCTCTCGCAAGAACAAGAAGGTGCACAGCAATCGGCTGAATAAACCAGATGAAAATAAAGCAGAGAAGACTTTTGTCTAGACAAATCGTTGAAGTTGTGGTGGTAGAGTTCTTCGTAAGCAAGATATAGCACGGAGACGGAAGGTCAAGTTGCAGCTGTTGCCAAACATTAGGCTTTTTTTTTTTGCAAAGCTTATCACTTTTTGATTTTCCTGGCGATTTGCCGCGATTTGCCTACCCTTTGATTTACAATGATCATGACGACTACCAGTACGACATACAGTAAATAAATTTGAACTTCAGCAACAAAATAAGTAAATAAGCCGACGACTTTCATACGGTACGGAGCACCCCCACGGGATCCATTCTGCCATGGGCTTTCGACGACCCCGATGAAATTTATTAAATTTGTTGATTTTTCTTATTGCAGTTGATCTTTTGCTGTCCGACGTTGATCGGTGCTGTATGGGTTCTATCTTGTCCTCGACGTGTGAACTTGTTGAACATTAGATCTTATTTAACATTTGATGATCTCGGGTCGTGCAACATGATCTTTCCGTTCTTTTGTGCTGCTGTCCTATGATCTACTACTTCGCAACCGGTGTGGGAAAAATCATTGTGTTCCTTTGGAAAGAGTCATGCGCTCGACAGGACGACCACGGTAGTCAAATTTGGTCTATAAGAAAACCCGAGGAAGTTCTACTTGACGGTCTTGTTCAGAAATTGTTGCTCCAACGGCACTTCATGTCCATTTCATTTTTCTCTATTCTTTCGGCGGCCGGGATGCTTCGAATTTTCTTTTTCATTGCAGGGCCCACTTTACTGCATTTGGTTGATTTGATTCGTCTTTGATCATTTCTATTTGTCATTCTATCTTGCTTCAAAAAATTCCAAATCCTCTCCCCCTGCCCAATATCTACTCAGGTCCTCACCAAGTTGTACGCACTATTGCTCTATGGAATGCAAATACGTCTGGGTCTGGAAGGTTGCAACTTGTGATGCTGTCTCTGGAAGGTAAAAAAAATCTGTATTGCATGACCAGCAAGAGGAGTGCAGTTTGTGCTACGCGGAGGGGGCGTTTCTCATGCGGAATACGCATCAGAAGGCCCTTCAAAAATCTGTAACGCTAGGTCATGCTTTACAGGCATCATGGGTTACGCAAACTATGCATGACAAACCTGGCAATCTTCCAGACCCAGACATTTTTGCACTTGATATGCTCAGTTCTACCTGCTCCAAAAATTCGTACCAGGCGAGCTTTTATCAACTGTAAAAATGTCTGGGTCTGGAAGATTCTAAACTTGTAATGCTGTCTCTGGATTCTAAAAAAAAATGTATTGCATGACCAGCAAAAGGACTCCACTTTGTGCTACGTGGAGAGGGCATTTCTCATACGGTAGAGGCATCACAAAGTCCTCTAAAAGTCTGTGATTCTAGGGCATGCATCACAGACATCATGGGTCATTCAAAATATGCATGACAAACCTGGCAATCTTCCAGACCCAGACATTTTTACATTTGATAGCTTTCGCTTCCGCGCCTCGAGCTCTTCCTCCGCCTCTCTTATTAGCTTCTCCTGTTTTATACGAGTGCACAACACAACAATTCCCCTTGGTCGTGCTCCTCTCGCGTATAAAAATTTCTTGTCATGCAATAAACTACCAAGTCCACATCTTTGTCTTTCCTTTCATCAGCACCACGTAATGCATCAACTGCACACACAGTACAATCATCCGCGCTGCGGGGAAAGTTATTTGTCATGCGGAAATTAGATTTGCTGCAGTGCCTCTATTGCTGCTTATGCTGTTCACAGGAGGGGCAGGAGGGCAAATCGAAATTATAGTTGTGCACTCTCATATTTTCCTCTTCCTGTTTCTCCGAGGGAACCAGTATCCCAGAGAAAAAACCTAGCATATCAGAATGAGATTGATTATACAGACTATTTGTATAAAAATGCAAACCTACCTACACCCAGAGATGATGAATCTTCTCCTGCCTATTCTTACATTCTGCTTCTACGCTAGCTTTTTTCTGTGTGATAACCAGATGCAGTCCGGTGGCCGCGAGGATCTCGTCTTCGAGCGCAGATGAAGTATTCGTTTCTTTCTTGTTGATCTTCTTGACGCTTTTACTGCTCGGAGGCTCCTTACTGAAGTGTTTTGAAGACGGGGCCCCCAGTGGTTCTTGTTCCTCTTCTGCTTCTTCAATCTGTGAAGTGGAAGTAGGTCGTGTGCAGCTATCTTCAACATTCTTTCCTCTCGTGGTGATGTTTCCAACGTGGTCGTGGTTCTGTACGACTTCTTCTTCTTCTTGTTTTGCGGTACTCAAGCTGCCGGGTGTAGCTGCACTTTTTTTCTTTCTTCGTTCCCCCTGCTCCTGGTCGAACGCGTTTTTGCATGTAAAAGAGCAAAACACCCGCTCTTGGCCGAGAAACTGCGCGACGAACTCCGGCGTCGCGGAAAGTTCCAGCTGGAACTTATCGCAAGAAAAAAGTGTCACGGCTACACATTGTGTTGCAGGCCAAGCAAGACAGACAAGCTCTGTCATGCCGGATATGCATGGGAGCCTCGTTTCATAGGTGTTTTCCCGTAGGATTTCTGCATTACGAGTCTCTCATGCAGAGAAATTTGCGTTGCTGAATTGACTACAAATGTGTAACTGTAACACGACTTTTTTCGTGGGATAGAACTGCTTGTAACAGTAGTAGCAAACCTGTCGCTATCAACTGTAAAAATGTCTGGGTCTGGAAGAATCCAACTTGTCATGCTGATTTTGGATTCTAAAAAAATCTGTATTGCATGAGCAGCAAAGAGTGTCCAAGTTTTGCTACACGGAAAGAGCATTTGTCATGCGGTATAGGCATCAGGAAGCCCTCACAAAATCTGTGATGCTAGGGCATGCATCACAGACATCAGGAGTCATGCAAAATGTGCATGACAAACCTGGCAATCTTCCAGACCCAGACATTTTTACATTTGATAGTCGCTGCTTCGTTATCAGCTGGTTCCAGTCGACCGCCGTTTCTTGTGACTGGCTTGTGCTTATGGATTGCAAAATTGTCTGCGTCTGGATTGTGGCCGGGTTTGTCATGCATATTTTGCATGACCCAGGATGTCTGTGATGCATGACCTAGCAACACCGATTTTTAGGGGACTTCCTGGTGCCTAATCCGCATGACAAATGCCCTCCCCGCCTAGCACAAAGTAGACTCCTCTTGCTGGTCATGCAATACAGATTTTCTTCGAGTCCAGAGTGAGCATCACAAACTCCAACCTTCCAGACCCAGACACTTTTGCATTTGATAGTGCTGGACTTGTACTCGATCACTTCCACACAATTTTCCTGTATGGAAACCTCCCTCGCCTTGTTTGATATTTTGCCGCGGTTCTCAATCCTCGACCAGTTTTTCGGCAAAGCGAGGGGCGCGGTACTTGGACGCGGTGGAAGAGTCCTGTTCGTTTGCGACGTTGTGGAATAAACAGAAGCTTCCCCGGTCCCCGTGCTGGAAGTTATCCTCTCTCCCTGAACACCTTTGTCGTCATGCCTGCCGATTGTAGTGCCGCTGCTGGACTGCGGGCGCGCGGCAGGCTTGGAAAAATTTGCTGTCTGGCCGAGGTGAACTTCTGCGGTTGTAGTTTCAATAGCTGCCAAGGCCTCGTCCTCGTCGCTGGGGAGCTCCTCCAGGAGGTTCTCTTGCTGCTGCTCCTCTTCTTCAAAAATGTTGCTCCGGGAATTGAAGTTGTTCGAGCTGCGCCTCTCTACTTCCTCTTCCTCTTCCAAGAACTGCACGGGGCTCCCAACATCCGCAGCAGCAGCTCCTCCTTCTGGAAGCATGCAGCCCGGATTTTTTACATTTAGTATTTCTACTCCGCCTGGTGTTGTTGAAAAATTCTTGTGCAGCTGCTCGTTTTGCTCTTGCTCGTGGTCCTCGTCCTGCTCAACATCTCTACAACTTCCTAGTGCAGCTGTCTCGGCTGTTTTGATTTTCCCCAAACCGCCGCCGAGTGTCTTGCACGCTCGGAGCAGGAGGGTCGCGGCGGCTTTGGGCAGGTTCAGTTCGTCCGCGAGGTCAGTTTCATTCTCCTCGGAGCTGCTTATTGCAGTGAAAAGTGCCCCCCACCCCTGATATTGCAAAAATTTGTGATGCATAAGGTTTTCAAATGAAGAACTTTTTATCTATGCATGAAAGGAGGATGAATTTTTCTGCTGCAGAACCTACGCGTGTATCTTCGCATCGCTTGCATGACAAGCGCCGCTCTACTTGCTGGGGTCTTTTGCAATACAAATTTTTGCTTTATTCACGGATGGAAATAACTTGTGATGCTGATAGATGCAAGCGGGCGAATGTTTCATTTGGAAAGGTTTGCAATACAAATGCTCCCAAGTAGTTCGGGGGTGGGGGCATTTTTCATTGTAATACTGCGGCCCAACTCTTGCAACAGCGACAGCTCGTCAAACCCATGCTCCTCGATGACTGTACTCGCGTATCTCGTATCAAATGCAAAAGCATCGTATTCGTATTGCAGTCATGCATTACAAATCTTTTTGTTGAGTCAAATCCGCATTATTTCTCATGGTGAGGAAATTTGTAATGCATTTATACGAGTGCGATACTTTTGCAGTCCATATTTCGCCAGACCCCAAGTCGTGAGGAACTTTTCGACCGAAGTCTTCCCCAACTTGCTGTCATCTTGCTCCGTGTTTGCTGCAAGAACGCTGTCACCTTGGTTTCCGCCCGAGGCTCGGTCCACGTCGAGCAAGGCCTTAAACAAGGCACTGGGCTCATCCGGCTGCTCCAATAAGGGCGCGTCCGCGAACTTCTTCGGCTGCTTGTACGACTGCTTCCGCCCCGTTTTCACATCGATCAGAGGGGGAACGGAGAGGTCTGGATTTTGGTTGTTTTCATCGTTGACAAGAACAACTTACCCTAAAAAAAGCGAAACAAATCTTCGGATATAAAACTTCTCTCATCTCTACGTCTACTATAATTCCTATGCAAATAAGTGACCTCGGGGTTTGTAGATAGAACCAGCACAGCACAGCAACTGCTTGTTTATGAAAACTCGGTAAAACAAATAATGTATTTTACCAGTTTTGCCCTGGGTCGGGCGCACGAGTATCTTTGCCTTGGGATACGCACTTTTCCGAACCCCGGTGGTGCCGGCGGTCGGCAGGGCGCTAGGGATGGGCTATCAAATGCAGATATGTCTGGTGTTTTGTCTGGAAACAAGACCTTGGTACAGCACGGGGAAGAGAACGACTTGAACTTTTTGAAGAAAGAAAAGAAAAGAGAACTACGTGGATGCACTATGTAGAGAGAGATTAAAACATGCTATTATGTCCACCGGTGGAACTAACTACTGCTACTTATACTATCGCTTGCGCAACATACAAATTGGGTGCAATGAACTTCTGCCCACGGGGTCCCGCAGGCTCTACCAAGGTGCTACGCTGGCCAAAGCGCTAGGCACCTGGGAGCCTGTGGGTGCTCGACTGGGTCTGGGTCTGGAAACTTGTGATGCTGAACTGTGCACGACTGAACTACTTCGTAAGGCAGCCAAGCATGACAAGTTTGCCGAACACTTTGTCATGCGCAGTCGGCATGACAAGCTGCGCTTTTATATGACAAAAGAGCGCGTTTCTACAACTTTGTTGGTCATGCAGTACAGTCCTTACAGGAACGTAGGACTAGCACTACAAGTTCCATGTTTCCAGACTCAGACACTTTTGCAATGCATATGGGCGGAAGCTTGTCGATCTCCTTCTGCAGCTTCTTCCGCTCCACCGCCTGGCGATTGCTGTAGTGAAAATCCAGCGTGGACCACTTCGACATTCTGTTAGTTGTTCTATTGAAAACCTAAATAAATTCTACCGGGTACGTAGTTGTACCCGAAACCAAGCTTGTAGTTGCACGACTAACAAAATTGTAGTAGTACACACAAGTCATGCAACATGACTATCAAATTATACCGAGACTGGCTAAGAACTGATGTACCAACTGAATCCTTCTTACACGAAAATTTTGCACTCAAGATGTTGAAAGACCAAAAGCTGCCACAAGTTGTGACCTCAAGAAGCGACAGTGATACAATAATTTGGAAGCGACTCACACTTTTGCACTTTCGCGTTTCTTCCCTTTGAAACTATTGTTACAACTTCGGTCGTCACTTTGCGGACTGTATTAGGGACAACACTCGCGGCATGGTACTAGACGTCCCCTACTTCGAACCCGAGGCCGAGCCCCCTGGTGCTCGCCACATTCAATAAAACCTCCTGCTCTAACGCTCACGTAAGAAGTAGTATAACACTCGTCAGATCTCGCGTCTTTCCGCCGGCGCCCAGTGATGTTGTGGGATGACGGAATTAAGGTAAGGAACAGAACTACACTCTCATCTCCGTTCGGCGGAAGGTGTCGTCGTGAGAATTCTTTAAAGAAAGAACGCTGAGATCATCAGCAACATATTACATCATGGTGAGAAGTATAGAGGTTCATCAAAATCTTAAATGTCTCATCGCCACAGATCCCACAAGTCCCAGGCAGCGAATTTTCGATGATTCCCATTGCTGTTAGTGGTCCAATCGTAGCGGTTATATTCGATTTTCACAGAGCATTCTTGTTCCTGTAACAACCTCACCAGCTTCTCTCGTTTTTCCCCCCGCGTGTGCCTGGTCAGTAGGGAGACGAGTCGCTGCTGGTCGGAAAAATTATCATTATTATATGGGGTTTCAAGAACGTCCTGATCTTGTCCCACCTCCCCTGCGCTGGAAGTTGTATCCATCCTGCTTGGTGTACCAACATCCTCGTGCTGTGAGTTGTATCGGTAGTTCCTGGAGGTTGTGGTCGTGAAGTCCCTGCTGTACCAGTGAAAAATCTTGCTCAAGTACAAAACCGCGGACTTCGTTTATCAAAAGGAAAAATCCCCCCACCCCATATCGAAATGGAAATCTGTGATGCGGGATTTGTGTACACAAATCGGCTTTGTCTTGCAATAGAGGACTGCAGACAGATACGCAGCCGGATTAAGGACGTTTTGGTGTAGGCGCCTAGCAAGGTATGGACATTCTCTGTAGGCCAGACAGCATCACAAATTGCCTGCATAACGCGGCGGGGTTTTTTTATTTGTCTTCTTGCAATACAGAGACGATTTGTGACCTCAAATCAGCATGACAAATTTTGAGAAGTATCCCGTTCTGGTATGGGGAGGGGGGATTTTTCCTCTCAATATCGTTCCCTCGTTCTCCGAAACTGCCAAATTTTCCTCTTGCTCCAGAAACGCCATCGACACAATCCGGAGCTCCTCGTCATATATGCATCACAAACTTGATGTCTGGGTTCTTCTGGAAGAAGTTGTAAAAATGTGCGGAATAAACTTGTAATGCTTAGCTAGCAAGTGTATCGATGCTGTCATGTTGTATCGATTGCGCTGGAGAAGCCTAGGGGTTTCTTTGTGACGCAAAAGAACTGTAAACTATTTTGAAGATGCGTATGTTGTATAGGCAAAGCGTAGGAGCGGGAACTTTTTTTGTCATAAAGATGCGGAAGTGTGGTCTATGCATTGCTTGCCAACATCCGCATGTTGCTACTAGCATGACAACTTTCATCCAGAGGACCCGCGACACATATTTGCCGTTGCTACCGCACGCTTCTGCAGAGAACCACTTGATCGGTGGGCAGCTGCGGGCACTATAAGAGTGCAAAACTTAAACTTCTCTTTCTGTTTCTCATCCTCCCAGTTATTTAGAAAAGTTGTGATGCTGCAGGAGCAGCAACGGAAGCAGTGCCACGAATGAAGCTTCCGCACTACGAATCTTCCATATTGTACGCATTGCAATAGCATTTGGCCCGCTACTTCCGGAACTTGTCATGCAAACAGTGGCAGTGTCAAAGCCAAGACTTCTAGTTCTAAGAGCATCTGGAAAAATTTTGCATGAAAAAAGGAGACAAATACTTCCACCAGGAGAAAGACCGTCAAATGCTGTTGTGCACTCTGATAGGCGCCGCAGTTTAGCGCAAAGTGCAGCCGGTACTCGCCGCGAGGAAGGATGAACTTTTCGTTTTTCATATCAAGAAGAAAAATCCCCCCTCCCCATATCAAAACGGAAATCTGTGATGCAGATTTGTGGCCACAAATGAGGTTTGTCATGCTACAAGGGAAAAGATGCGGACTGTAGTGCTGGGCGGCGTGGGAAGGCCTTGCATCTGCAGCATGACAGGGGCCAGCTGGAAATGGGAAACAGCATGACAAATTGCCTGCACACGAGGCCACACCACGGCTCTTGGCCTTCTTGCAATACACGTCGGTTTGTGTACTCAAATACAGCATCACAAATTTCGTTTCCGACATGGGGAGGGGAGATTTTTCCCCTTGATATTTCAAGCGGTCGGGCGAAAAGGGCGGCTTCATCTGGATCGCCCCCGGCAGGTTTCCCCGAAGAATCCCGTTCTCGATTTCGTGCAGGGAAAAGGGCTATAAAGTGCAAATATGTCTGGGTCTGGAAAGCTGTAATGCTAAAAGTGAATGATAGACGCACTGCAATACGCAGCTACGCATGACAAATTTTTTGGCTGCCATGTCTTACGTATTCCGCATGGCAAAGAAAGGCAAGCTGCGTTTTTGCATGACAGGTAAGAGGGCCTTTTCGTGCCTATGCAACACAGATTCTCGAGTATGACAAACCTGCATTCTTCCAGACCCAGACATTTTTGCATTTGATAAGGGCAGTAGCGGTTTGATAGCATAATTATCTTGCTGGGTTGTAGTTGTACTATGACTGCTAAAAATATTCTCCTCTGATGTTGTCCCAGAAATAAATGCTCCGGCTGAGAAGGAGAACTGGTACTTTACAGCGGCGAAAAAATGCAACCGCCCGAGATCTATCAAATGTAAAAATGTCTGGATCTGGAAGAATGCAAGATTTGTCATGCATATTTCTCATGACCCATGATTGTCTGTGATGTATGCCCTACCATCACAGGTTTTTAGAGCTCTTCCTGATGCACCTTCCGCATGAAAAATGCCCTGTCCGTGTAGCACAAATTGTACCCCTCTTGCTGGTCATGCAATACAAATTTTTTTAGAGTCCAAAAACAGCATGACAATTTGCAATCTTCCAGACACAGACATTTTTGTAGTTGATAAGATCGAACTCGGCTATCCCAGCCTCGGCGAACGCGTGGAGGGTGAAACGGAAAAGTGCCCTTCTACCCCCGGTAAGACAGAGAGTTTGCGTTGAAAAGTTTCATCTACACGGAAACTTTTTGCATTGCGCGCGGAACGTGCGCTGCATCTTGCTGAAGAATCAAAGCGAGTGAAGTAGATCGATACGTCTTTAGCATGAGACATTATACTGCTTAATACATTGCGCCGCTTCTTGACAACACAGATAATTGTCGCTAGAATGGAGATTCTGGGTCGAAAATTATCTGTGATGCTGCTCTGCGCGGCATGGCAAATGTTCATATCCCACGACCGGGCAGCACATTTTTTGCAATGACACAAATACTCTACTTCCGTTGTAAGGTAGGGGCACTTTATTTCATGCTGATATGGAGCACGAGCAGATTATAGCAGTTGATCCAGAACGCCTTGGCCACGTTTTCCCCGAACGCCTCGTTCCTCTTTTTCAGGTGTACGTTCAAGTCAAGCAGCTGTAAGTAGCTGATCGCGACCCGAAACTGGTCAAATTCGGGACTCGCAGCCATCCGTCCGTAATCCACAAGTCCGGTTTCACTGTCCGTGTTCGCGGAAACCACCTTGTCAAAAAATCGCCGGGTATGCATTGCAAATAGCGCTCTGGGGGTAAGGTTGTAATGCGAAATTCGTATGACAGAGAGTTCTGTCCTGCAGGAAGAGGAAATTGGGTTAGCTTTTTTGTCGTGCCATGGGAAAGCGTTATTTATTTTTGTCATGCGATTTATTGCGAATGAATCTGCAAGAGGCAGGCTTCATCGCAAAACTACATTTAGTCATTAACATCAAGCCGCAAAAATTACTTATGCCGTATAAGTAAGCAAACCCCGCTGCGTCTGTCATGCACGACTCAGCAACACGAATTTGCTGCATCTTTCCAGACCTCCCGAACATTTTTGCAGTGGATACCGCGCGCGTTTCAGCACCGCGAGGGGGTACGTCGGAAAGGTAGTGTGGTCCTCACCAGGCGCCGTTTCAACAGGAGCCCCCTGTTGATCTCTTTCTGTAGTGTGCAGGTTGTTGCTGTTCTTTTCATCTGGTATCAAGAGGTTTCTGGGCACAAAGCTATTCAGCACGAAGTTGTCTTTCGAGCCGGATAACACGCCAGAAAACGTATCAAATGCGAATACGTCTGGGTCTGAATGAGGCCGGGCGCTTGTTGGCATGCAGATTTTAGATGGATGCCCCGCCAGGTCTGAAACGTAGGGCATTGCATCACGACAGCTTCATTTGCAAGGGATTTCCGCATGAGAAATAGCGTTTCAGCATGGTCAAAGAAAATGGGCATCTTGGTTGTGCTATCCGCGCGGGACAAAGTTTCAAAAATTTTCTCCGATCTACTACAGGATGCTGCAACATCACAGTGCGCAACCTTCCAGACCCAGACTACGTGTTTGCAGTGCATAGTACGCGGTTAACGCATACTTCTTCTTCGGCTGGAAATAAAATCCGTTTGCCGCATTAGAGCTGCTGCTGCTGCTGCACGATTGTAGCTGTGGTCCATTTTTCCGAGGGTAAATCACGTTCTGCTGTAGCAGTGCGGCGCACGCAGACAGTGCGTCGTCCGGTTGTAGTACCAAACCTTCGTGCGCCTCCTCTGCGTCACCAGCTGCAGAAAGCTCCAACAAAATTTCCGTGACAGCCGCCACTAGGTCGCTGCCCCTGAAAAATTGTCGCTTCCTCCCCGATTTGGCTGTGCCGGACGTCGAAGAAGTAGTCGAAGCAGCACCAGCACTAGACGAAAAAAACAGCCTGGAAAAGAAACCCTCACGACCCTGCTCCTGGTCGTAGGGATTGGTCAACAGATTCAGTTTTTCTGTCAACGAGCGGACCAGTGTCACGTACCCGAGTTCCACTTTATGATTCCCGCCGCTTTTCTGGCTTTCGGGCTCCTCAGAAGAAGATGAAGATGTTGGTACAAAAATTTTTTTCAGGACAACCTATCAAATGCAAACAGGTCGTCTGGGTCTTGGAAAGGGCAGACACTTCACGTTGCCATGCAGTTTTTGCATCTAGAAGTAGTAGAGCAAGAAGATTTAGAAGGCAGGCAAAACAAATTCTACTGCAGAGACTTGTTCTGCATGCCTACTATGTAAAAATGAACAACGCCCTGTCCGGGACACAAAAATCTGACGTCCTCTGCTGACTATGCAACACAGATTTAATTCGCATGTTCCAGAATCATGAGACTAATCCGCATCACAAGTTTGCATCTCTCGCCGTCCAGTTCTAGACGCAGACCCCCTATTGATACAATGCATACGACCTTCGGTTCCGCAATTTCGGTGGCCATGGCGATCTTTGCGTACTCTCCCGAAGCAACCGGGGGCGGGTAGGACGGCGGCAGCATGCGCGGGTCGGCAGGGAGATCCAGCGCGAACCTCTCCAACACGGAAAAGAATTCACTGGAAATCATATTTCTATTTTCATCCTGAAGTGCAGTTTCTGCAGTGTTACGTTCACTTGGCTGTCCTCCGATCAGACGCTGCAGCTCTTCCCGACCGCCAATGTGTTTTTTTCCCAGAAAAAGCTTATGCAGTGCAAAAGTGCGTAGAAGAAACATCCGTCGTGCTCTTCATCCGCAGCATTTATATGTAGCAGGACACATTTCTATTTCAGAAGGAAAGTGCTGAAGCCACCAATCATGCTATAGTCCGTTTAGTGAAGAAGTCTGTCCTGTGATAATTTATTGCGCTTCGACCTAAGTTTAAAAAGTAGATTCTACCATATTACTTTTGCAGAGGATAGATCTGGGGCACGGTTAATTTGTCCGCGAGCTGCAGCATGTCAAGCCGTTTCTCCGGGTAGTCCGTCAGCGAGATTTCGATCAGATTCAGCTTCTCGGCGGGGATTTCCTGTCGCAAAAAGGCCTTTGCCCGGATGCAGTGCGGGCAGGTCTTCAGGGTGAATACGGTCACGTTGTACATTTTTTTCCTTCGTGTTTTCGAAAAATATAGGAATTAGGAAAAATTATTTATTCTGTCACAAGGGCAAAGAACGAACGGCTAGAGAAAAATAAAGCAAAGTAAGTTACAGGGCAAAGAAAAACTTTATACTTTCGTGATTTTCCGAAACGTATGCAAAGCAGCGGGTTCTTCTTGCGCGCCGACGTGGTTCTTCTTGCCCCAACTGTACTAAAGGCAGCTAGAAAGCGAAGAATGTCGTGCGAATATTTTTACACGAGGGGGAGACACTGGTGTCGAAGACTCACGTTCCATGCGTTCGACAAGATTCCGTAAATAAAACTCATACAGATAGAGTGCTTAATCCTGACTATTATAGCTGAGACGAGCTCATCATCAACGCGACTAGGTATTTTCATGTAGTTTTACATCCCTGTAGTAGCCCACCTGTTTCGACATATTTGACCGATTGGAAGTGGTTCGTGGCAAAAGAAATCCAGAGCGCCGAGGACATCCATGAGCCGCATCGAAATTGTTTCATCACGGGCAAATTGAACGAAAATTGACCGACTACATGGTGGAAAGAGATTCTGCAACCAACCCAATAGGGTCCCCAAGGTAGATGGTAACATATACTTTTCCCTTTTTCCACCCAGAGCTGCCCCTTGTGACTCGACAATCCAAATGTCGAGACCCCGCTCGAGAAAAGCCATGCGCGACATTTTTCTGTTTCATCTTTACATGATATCACTATCTTCATCAAGGGCATCATTCAGCGGCAATTCTTATCGTAATATTCTACAAATAACATGTCTCGGCAACGAGCACACGCTCGGGCTTGACGAGCTTCTTTTGCTTTTGGCATTGTTCAAAATAATATATAAGGTGGTCAGGCTCAGGCGTACAACTGAAAGTATTCATGAGAGGATGATGGTGATCCTAAAAAATCTTACAAAACAGGGTACTATCCTTATAGAAGATAAATCTTTATTCAACAAAAAACTGCCCCTTATTTATCCGAGACATTCGACGGAACAGCGCGTCTACTTCAACCCAGGTGGTCGCGCCCATTATTGCCGCTCCGGGAAGATACGTTTTCTCCCGTTCCTCTCCGCAGCGGTGCACAACATGGTAAATGCAGTAGCGATCTTGATCTCCGGTATACATGATAAAATGTTGTCACCTACTTGCGCAGTTCTACTTCCACCTCTCGTCGAAGAATTAGTGGCAATGGTGCCGGGGGTTGCTCATGATGGTGTCGCTCCCGATAGCATCAGCTACCTACCGGCTCATCTTCTATCTTCTTCACCAGCCCCCCGATGACCACGACCTCCACGTGGTCCCCGAATTATCATAAATGCTTTTCCTCTTGTTCACTTACGTCCATGAAAAACTTTTTCTTCTCGTCGTCCTTCTTGATCCACAACCCGGCTACCTTCAGCCCCTTCTCGCGCGTGACGATCGGTCGTGCGTGATCGCACTTGAAGGGGTTTTTCTTTTCACTGCTGCTCCACGGTTTCAACATACTCCCGCCACTCGACGCGGCGGCCACAACGGCCGGCAGTCGGCAGCCCCGGCAAAAATGCGGCGCCCTGGGGTGGTCGCGTAGTGAGTGTGGGTTTGGTGTTCCTTCATCCCTGCTTTCCTCCAGATTTTCCGACGCAGTACTATGGTTTTGTTCTCCATATGGATGATGTTGAAGAACAGAGGACGCGCCACTCATGACGTGGGGGCTTCTCGTTTCGCCTCGTTCAGCACCCCCGGAGGTCGCGGTGCTTCTACTACTTTCATCCATTTCTGCTATTCCCCCCGCTCTTTTTCTAAAACTCTGGTGTGGTGCACCAGCCCCCGTAGAAGAAGTGCCAGAATTTTTGAAGGCGATGAGCCGTAGCTCCGTGCACTTTTCCGAGGGGCTTTCGCACAGGCAGTGGCAGTCGGACCAGTTGAGACGGCCCCGCAGGAACTTTTTCCCGTCGTAAAAGTTCAACAGCTTCTCCGCGTCAAACCTCCCGTCGCTATCGGAGAACCCCTTCGAAGATGATGTTCGGTATTCCTCATCCTCTTCTTGGCCCTCCTGTTTCATCTCCGCCTCGAAAGGCGTGTTGCAGCCTGGGCAATTCAGGCCGTGACAAAACTCGGCGTCCGGGTCTTCGCGCTTGGCCATCCACTGTTTCAGGCAGTTCTCATGGCAGAGCGTGGCGCAACAGGTTTGCAGTGTGAGCGAATCACCCGTTTCGATGTCGCACTTACAAATCGGGCACTCCTTCAGATCCTGCGTGGCCTGCAGCTGCGGAGTCGTGGGTTGTCCGTCGTGCCGGTGCTGTTGAGCGGAAGCTGGTGACTGGGCGCGTAGTACTGGCTGCTCGTCATTGCAGCTCCCCCGCTGTGAAAAGTCTTTACCTGCAGCCCCGGTTTCATTTTCGCACGGTGCGGAGTCGGAGACGGTCAAGTCTACGTCCCGCAAGTCAATCTGTTCCCCGCTAAATAACGCCTGCAGTGTATCCAATAGAAAAGTTGTGCCTCAACCCCGAAATAGGAAATTGTTTGCAGTGCCAAAGCTCCTCCTGATGGAAGCATTTACCAGCTTGCATCGAATCAGGATCATCGCAAATTTACAACCCAGAGTAGCGGATGCGGAAGTCTGCGTTGCATAGCACCGTTGTGGAAGCGACACCTGCAACGTCGGCACGACATGACTGGCGACTTAGATTCTCAATAACAGAACGCGTCGCATGACTTTTCTCTTCATCATTCATGTAATACGAAAAATAGCAGGCATCCGTGACCGTGTTGTGAACGTGAAGTATAAGTATGCACTACAGAGTCCTCGGTCTTCTGGGGCGAGAGCAAAATTTTTCATTTTGATAGAGTTGCAGCACGCGCCGGTCCAGCTCCACGTCTTCGACCAGAAAGTGTTCCGACTTGTTGGGCACGAACGAAGGCGACGTCGTAGTTGCAGTGCGGTCTACGTCCTGCTCTCGCGCCCCCGTATCCACCTGCACTGGACCGGGCCACAATCCATTTGGATCTCCCCACCTGTGGTCACCGCCTTGCACGTTGGCGCAAAAACTCTGGAAAGCGGCGGCGACGGTTTGTGCCTTGGTGCGGAAAAAATCACTGGCCGGGGTGGTGAACGTGAAAGGAAGGCAACAGGAGCGGGAAGACAAACTAGATGCGCGGCCCTGCACATCTGCTGGACGTAGTAACCCTAACCTTTCTCGGGCTAACATCTGCTCGTGTGCTGCTGTGGCGAACCCAAAAGGGCGATCCTGCGCCCATGGACAGCGGCTGCCAAGGGAGCCGAAGTGCCGCTCCTCCGGACCGCTCCAGGATGCGGGTTGTTCTTCTTGCAGCAGGTGACGACAAGTATTGTCATCTTCCCGTTGATGTAGTAGTTGCAGGCCTCCTTCTACAACTCTCCCAGGAGTCATACTGTTTTTCCAGTGCATGTGGTTCCCGACGACCAACTGAGAGGGGGTTTTATCCGTCTTCGCCCATTTCGTGATCACCGGCTGAAAAAACCGCATGTTCGTCCTGTTGTTTCCTGTACTTCTGCTCGAAGATGAAGGCGCCTCCTGTTCAAAAACTTCTCGCGCAAACAGCAGGTGCCCGCCGGAAACCCACACGTCAAACCGCAAATCCACGGTTTTTTGCAAAGTTGTCATGCGCCTCCGCATTTTTTCAGGCTCTGACACTGAGTCCACCTGCTGCACGTCGTACTGGTCTGATGTGGAATTAAAATCAATATGATTCTCCTTCTCGCTCCGATGCTGTTTCCCGATCCTGGGCGGCCGGACACCGAGGACGACAGGCAACCTTCTCAGAACGCTATCAACTGCAAAAGTGTCTGGGTCTGGATGTCATGCTGTTTTTGGACTCTAAAAAAATTTGTATTGCATGACCAGCACGAGGGGTACAGTTTTTGCTACACGGACAGGACATCTCTCATGCGGAAGGTGCATCAAAGAACCGTCTAAAAGTCTGAGATGCTGGGTCAAGCATTACAGGCGTCATGGGTCATGAGAAATATGCATGACAAATCTTGCGCTCTCCCAGACCCGGACATTTTTGCATTTGATAAACGCCTTCGCGCGACGATTTCCACACTGCGCGAGTCCGCGACTTGAGCGCGTCAACGTGAGTGCGGAGTTTTGTTGACGAAAGGAGGGGATGAGTGCTTAACATTTCTGCGGTTTTTTTCTTGCTTTTCTCGTCCAGGAAATTATGGCGAAATTTCGTCCCGTGTGACAAGAACTGTGAATTTGTTTCTGCTCTTTCACGGTCGTCGTTCTTGGATACAACTTCTTCTTTCTCCAGAACTGCTGCCAGGGTTGTCTGCAGTTCCCGGCTAAGCTCTCTCTGGAACATTTTGTCAAACACCAGCGCAGTACTAGAGCCGGCTCTCGGCTGCGATCCTCGCGGTGGATCTTTTTCGTTTGCACGGGCGACGCCTGCTTCAACATTTCGCCGGTGCCGATTGTCCTCACCGTAGTTTACCATTTTCCTGCAGCTGTTGCGGCCAGTGACGGGGCAGGACGAGCCGCGCGTCCAATTTTTATTACTCTCCTCCCGAACTTCTTGCCCGTCGAGATGATGATGATCTACCTTCGATAGACTACTAGTACTCTCTTTCCGCTTGATCTGCGCCGAGCAAGAGCGGAGAGTTGTAGTGGTTGTGGGACTGCTTACCGTGCTCGCAATTCTTGTTCCATAGTACCAATCCCCCCATCGCTGCGGCAACGTCGTCGAGACTGCCTTGTCCCACGACCGCTGGACCGAACGGAAGCGAGATGAAAGCGCGCGCCCAGCGAGAGTCCAGAAAGGATTTTCGTCTGGTTCTTGCCCTCCTGCTGCGGGGAATAAAGCAGGAGAGCCTTTGCCTTTCTGCTTCGCTTCTCCTTCTGTATCCTTCTTGGGAGCTCCTCGTCCTTTCGATCCATTTTCCTTCCCAAGAACGACGTCCTCGTGGAGGTGTACAAGGACTCATCAACTCCAAATATGTCTGGGTCTGGAACAATGCAAGTTTGTCATGCTTGTCTGGCATGACTCGAGAATCTGTGTTGCATAGGCACGAAGAGGCACTCTTACCTGTCATGCAAAAAACGCACTATGCCCTGCGGAATACGTAGCACATGGCAGCCAAAAAAATTGTCATGCATAGCTGCGTTTTGCAGTGCGTCTATCATTCACTTTTAGCATTACAAGTTTCCAGACCCAGACTACATATGTGCAATTCATAGGACTTCGCACTCCACAACCAGTTCCAGCTGCGAGAGCCGCAACAGGTTTGCTTTTCGCCCGCCGAGCTTGTACAACGATTGTCGAGAAGATTTTGCTTCGTGTGTTCTCCCTCGCTGTCGCTCCGTCGTGGAAGTAGTACTAGTAGGAGTGGATGCCGATACGTCCTCCTTGCGCTTGAATAAATCATCGTCCTCGACGTTCTTGCCAGGAGGGACTGCTCGTCGTGAAGATGATTGGACCAATTTTTCCGAAGACAGCGCGTCACGGTCCACTGCAGTCGTCGTAGTAGTAGTAGTAGTATTACCCAACAAAACGGGGTAAAACGATACGACTTGACTCCTCGTCCCAGATCTTCCTGCTTCTGCGTTCCCTGTTGCGGGGTTCTGCTGCTTCTCCTGGTGAAGATGACCATGTAAAAGAAGTTTATTCCCACCTACAACAACTTTCTCCGCTGCAAGCTGACGCTGAACGTTGTATTTTCCCCACTTTTCCGCGGCAAACTTCGCCGCATTCGTGTTGGAATTCAGTGTGACCCCCTCCACCTGGTAGTTCCATCGAAGCTGCAGCTTTTCCTCGATATCACGTGACAAAAAGCTGGACGACGTTACTGTCGTTCGTTCCAACATCTTCATCCGAGTTGCTACTTCACTTTCAGCAGTAGTTCCTGGAACATCAGCTGCACATCGATCACTCCTCTTGCCTGGTCCACCTCTCCCTCTAATCATTGCTCTAGTCAGCTGCTCCAGAACCGACGCGTCCGTTACGTCGGGAAAAAGGAGCGGGACCACTTGTTCCTGTTCCTTTCTTGATCCACCTTTAAAAATAGTTTCATCCCGCCCACGAGGAAGATCTAGATCATCCGGTGCTGACGCGACAGGAATTCTCGCAGCGTAATTCTCGTCCTCAGCTTTCTTCGGGGCCAAAGGTTCTACTTGCACTGGCCCCCGAGCTCCGGGCAGCTTCACGTCGCCGCGACCGGCATCAAACCTCACGGCTCGCACCGCGGCTAAGCCGCTTGTTCTTCTTGCCGCGGCGAGCGAGAAAGTGGCGCAGAGAATTTTCAACATTTTTTTTGGCACCATGTAGTCTTGCTGTTCGGCCGAAATAAAAGAACGATCGTGAAAAATAAATTACAGTATCCCGGCTATAAAAAACTAAAAGTAATTAAAATTTATACACATGGCATTTCATCTTTATCTACTCCTCGGTCAACAAAATGAAGGAGATGATGCACATGATGATCCTACAAGAAAAGACATTTTTCTTTTTGCTTGACAAAAACGGTGTTCTTGGGAAGGGCTTTTTTCTAGAAACGTCAGAGGTGTGCGCGTGTCGTGTAGCGTGTGTCTACTATGGCTGGCACACAGTGTGATTGTGTGCAGCAGAAGCTTTTCCACACACTGATCCGTCGATTCACAGAAATCGCTGGAGGAATCGCTGTATTGAAGCAAACGCACGACAAAAATAAAATTGTACTTGATAGATGCTCTTGCTTTTCCAATGGCGCTCCGACTAAACTAACTTGTTGATCGCACAGGAAGGAGCCAGATGAGCGAGTTCGTTGCAGTATGTCGAATAGGAGAGAACTACAAATGCGCACAATAAATAAGTACCTTCTTACCAGGATCTCTTCCCTTTTAGGCGTTGCTTTTACAGATAGATCTTCTACTTCTGGATACCAGAACTTCAACTTGGACCTTGGCGAGATATATTACGATAGAGGACCGCTCCAGCCTAACCTTTGAACTGTTTTGTTGCTTCGACTACTTAGCCCTGCTACAGCAGATCCTTTCAATCATCCAGATCAGAGCGAGCACGAACTAAGGGCACCTGCAAACAAGAAACAGCAACAAACGTCGTATATGGTGCGTCAAGGTGGAGGCAGCAACACCGACTTCGAAACGTTTCATCGTCGTGGTCCACCTTCATGTGTAATACCACCTGCCGACACGAGGCAAGACGTGCAACAGTTTCGTTTCAAAAAAATTGTTGTTTCAAAAAAAAGTTCGTATGGTTGACTTTCGCAACTGGAAATATTTGTGTAGGGTCCGGCGCTTCCACTAGTTGTAGTTGTGCGAAGCATCATTTTCAATAGTAGCTATTGTCATGCTTCTGCTGTAGTAGTTCGTTATCGTTTGTCACATGTTTTTTTGAAACTGACGTAATTGTGGCACCATTTTTTTTTTTTTTCTAATACCAATCGGCGACGCCGATGATAAGTTTGGTCCTCGTCGCTTCGCGAACAAGAGGATTTATCTCGGATCATGGGAGTTTCAGTATATTTAAAAACCGCCGGCGATGAATAAGCTCAAGTAAATGAAAAATATCGTATAAACTGAAGTCTGAGTCAGTAGATCACTGCAGCCGGTCTGAGTGTGAACAGTATATTAAAAAAAATGAGAAAGACCAACCAGACCCTCGCAACTTATGGTGGTGAAGTCGCAGCTGTAGGTGTCGATTTTCCCGAGCGTCGCGGATGTACTTCTTACGATGAGCGGAACCACCTCCTCCTGCTCTCGCTGGACGACGACGACAGCGACGAGGATGGCGCCTCCGACGACGACGACGACGTGGATGATACGTCACTCGGTTGGTGCCCGACGGCGGAGTTCTGGCAGAAGCAGGTTGTAGGCAAGATACGTGAAAACAACTGTGGCTGCGACTGTGGCTGCGATTTGTCATTCTCGGGCTGATCCTGCTGCGACAGTGGGCGACTGAGTCTGCGGATCCTGTTGCGATACTCCAGCCACTCCACCCAGCCCATCCGGTTTATCTCCTTCTGTTCCCACGTTTCGGCGTCATCGATGTGATGGTCGTCGTCGAGGAGGGGTGCGTTCTCCATCATCTCGTGGGACCACCCGCCAGTGTATCCCGGGAAGAAATAAGCTAGCTGCATGGCATATAATTTCTAATGAAAAAACAAATACCTAAGTACTAAATTTATCATGAGCAGGCCCGAGGCATGAAGTGGAGTGAGGTCACTATTTAAGTATCTATTTTTGCATTACATAAAATACCAAATATAGCCGCCGGGGCGGAGGTAGTGAGGTCGTGGGCGTTTTTTTGCCGGCCGCAGCCTTGGCCGCGGCTTTGCTTTTTATGGGCTCGCCATACCGCCGTGCGTAACGTTATGCCGCACGGTATGGCGGCCACTTGGGAAACGTCGCAAATTTTGGCGAATTCCCGAAATTCCTCTCCGAAAGCCAGCCCCCATGCTATGGGGCCGATCCGGGTGCCACGGGGGGCGCCCAAAAAGCGAAGCAAAATCGGGCCCATAGCATGCGGATTGGCTTTGCGCGTCTGGCGCGCTTTTTCTTTTTCGCGTTTTTATTTTTCACGCCGGCGCTTTTTGCAAAGCTTCCCAGGCTCTGAAACCGGCGAAAAGGCGGCCGCTTTCGCGGCCGCCGAAAATGCTCCGAAATCGCGGCCGTGCCATGCTGTTTCGCTGTTCTGATTTTGGACGCGTTTTTTGCGCGCCCCTTTTTGGGCGCCCCAAATCGCCAGAAACTAAGGCGGTGGCCGCCTCGGAAGGGCGCCCCTTTTGCCGGCTCCCCTGCGTCGTTTTATCCAGTGCGAATCGATAGTTTTCGACCGGGCTTGTTTGATGGCAAAGCCCCGACCGCTTGATAAATAAAAAATTTTTATGAAAAAAAACGCCTCCGGCCGCTTGAAAACTGCCGGTCGTTTTTCAGGGTAGGTGTCAAAAAAACTCCCTGGTTAGAACCGTTCGGTGACCTCACTACATATAAAAATGCTGTGATATGCTAGCTTCTTTCTCTGGCATACAGTAACTGTGACGCCCACTTCGAGAAACGTGTTCACCGAACTATCCCCGCCGGGGCCGGGCCGGGTACCGTCCAGCTTTCCGGGCACCAACGCAAACAAAACGTCGCCTAGGGCCATGGAGGCATCCTACAGAAAAGCGCACCAGTACCATAATATTGGAAAATATTTCTGATGCATGAGCATGTTTTTGCCGGACATAAAAGCGTCAAACATCTTTTCGATTTCGGTCTGACTCTGACACCTTTTCCGGATTACAATCTCCATTTTTCATTACAGGCGTTCGCCCCTCTTCTAAATTGTCTTGTGCCACAAAAACAGCAACACAAATATTATTCTTCTGCTAGGGCTGTGCTTTTCTTCAGCATAGGAGTCGCGAGCACCCGCAAAATCCTTCAGACAGGGACACTCGCGTGTATCCAGTGCGTCGTCCTTGTTCAAGTCCAGGCGGATGACGGCGTGGACGTGTCCCCCTTTGTACAGCTGCTTCACGTACGCGACATCTCCGCCGGTCAGCTCCATGATCTTCCCCATCACATGCAATTCGGTACTGTTGAACCCGCGACGATACAAACCTGCGCACGATTTGTAGTTGTGAAAATATCTCAAACAGTATAGCGCACAGCGACGACAAAAATGCACAAAGATTCTCGGAAAACAAACAATAACAACTTCAGAAGTAAAGTACTCATTCTCCGTTCATAAATTTCCCCCAATGCAGCCGCCTCCTCGTCCGTCATCAAAAATTCCTTCACCGGGCGAGTGGGCGGGGGCGCAGCTGCACCCCCCCCCCCACGCACGCAGATTCTGTTCTTGGGCAACTGGGTCGCTCGTGCCACGCAGGTTATTCTCCTGGACCAAGGCGTTGACCAGGTAAGGGATTGCAAGCCACGCGGCCACGACGACGAGGCCCTTCAAGAGCATTACGGCGGCTTTAACGTTGGGCTTCATGCTGCCTTATGTGACAAGTGTAGAAGAAGTCTTCTTGTTGGGGGCTGCGGTCTGCTGCTGGCACTCGGCCTTTCGCACCACAATGGTGCACCAGACGAGACTGGGAGTGGGACCCGCGGGGGAGTATCAAATGTAAAAATGTCTGGGTCTGGAAGAAGGCAACTTGTGATGCTGAACTTGGATTCTAAAAAAATCTGTATTGCATGAGCAGCAAAGGGAACGCAATTTTTGCTACGCGGAGAGGGCATTTGTCATGCGGAATAGGCATCGCGAAGCCCTCAAAAAATCTGTGATGCTAGGGCATGCATCGCAGACATCATGGCCAATGCAAAACATGCATGACAAGTCTCAGAATCTTCCAGACCCAGACATTTTTACATTTGATAGGGACGAGGACGATACAATCTTTATTACAGCTGCGGGATTACGTCGCGTTATTCTTGTGAAGTGGTGTAAAACCTTCGGGAACGCCTACACTTGCATCACGATCATCAAAGTCGACAAGTATAGCGTACAGGAAAGAACTTAAGTAAAAATATCTCCCTCTGATCCACTACCTCTCTCATCACGAACTCCTTTTACAACAACGACTCACACGGGCCAAGACGCGTTACGCTCACTCTGCTCTCCTCCCAACGTGCGTCGTGTTTCTTCACGCACAGTCGCGAAACATCAAACTACAGGCTATTCCCAAGTAGAAAAGCTGCATTTACGCAGCACCAAACGGTGGCTGCTGGCAGTCCACTCGATCTTCGATTTTTTAGCGGTTCTTATGATATAAAAACTATGTACTTTCGAAGTAAGTTCGACGCGTCTTCGTGCGGCCAGCAACTGCGCCTTCTACAGGGTGCATTGAGCCGGATCTTTTTGACATCATCTCAACCGGGGTTTTTGTTCTTAAATAGGGCTGAAATCTGAAAAGCCTCTCTACGTGTTGAGCCGTGAATACTATACTGATCAGGCTTCTGACGAGGACCATCGATTATACCGCACATAGTGATTCTGCAGCCGCACGACGAGAATCTTCCTCACATCATGACCTTTTCCCGCAATCAAAGTGATCATCCAGCTCTGCATGTGGACCTAAGTGCGCAGCCGTCTGTCCTAAGTCCCCCGGGTCGCGCCGTGACCGTAAATGTTTCTGCCCTGCAATTTTAAAGCGTTGATAACTTCGGCCGGGCGCACGGTGGTGCGGCCCTGAAATTTGGTCAGGATCCACAGCTGTTCGACGGTTTTTTCCAACCAGGACTGGAACATGAGCCGAAGTTTTGTGAGGAAAAATTTCCCCTCCCCATACCGACCAGGACATTTGTGATGCCGGATTTGCGTAGACAAATCGACTTGTATTGCCAGAAGGCCAAAAGACGCAGCTGTGGCCTGAATTGTAGGCAAGTTGTGATGCTGTTTCCCTGTTCCAGTTGCCTCCTGTCATGCTGAAGATGCAAGGCTTTGTTCCCACGCCAGCCAGCATTACAGTCCGCATTCTTTGCCCTCTAGCATGACAACATGATTTGTGGCCACAAATCAGCACCACAAATTTTCGTTTTGATATGGGGAGGATGGATTTTTCCTTACGATACGAATCGGATGGTACACTCCGGAGCCGATCCGCTTCACGCCGCCCCGCCGCGCGAGCCGCCGGATCGCGCTCTTGCACAGGTTGTTCTCGATCACCTCTTGGAGGACGGGGCTTTTCTTCATATTTTGTCCACTCCGCTGGTCCAGCTCCTGCATCGCGTTCAGGTCTTTGCCGCTCAGAAGCGCCTTTTGCAAGGGATGAAATCCGGCACGGTAGGCATCGTTTTCGTTCCTCCATTTCTTCAGGTAGAGCTTCACTTCCTTCCATTTTTCTTTATCTAATTCTTCCCCGGTGCAGTCGCACATTTCCTGCTCGAACTTCATTTTGCTCCCCTTTCCCCACGGAGTTTCGGTGGGGCCGTCCTTGTTCTGCTTCACCCGGATCTCCTCCTGGGCCGCAAACTGCAGCTGGTAGGTGTTTTTGTACATGTACTGCAGCATCTTGCCGAAGGTGGCCAGGTACCACATGCGGTAGCTGAAGTACTGCACGCTTGTCGTGCATTGAGCCCCGCCGGTCGCCTTCTCGAACTTCCCCGACGTGTAGAACTCGAGCGCCCCGAACGCCGTCGTGCGCAGAACGGGCACCGGGGTGGTCTGGATGCGCGTACAAAACTGCTCTTGCTCCTTGGACCGGTTCTCCGGCTCTGTGACGTAGCCCAGCATCAGACTACTTCGAAAAGGTAGGTCGACTGTGTCGTGGCCCACGGGCTGCAAACTCGTGACCGCGTTGAGAAATCCGGGGTTCGGGTAGCGGTCCGGCACCACGATTTCCCCCGAAGCAGCATTCTGCATGTTCTTGTAATAGCCACCCTGGTAGGAGGAAGTGTCGTGAAACAGTCCGTAATCCGGCTGGTGCACGACTCCGCCGAGCAACTGCAGGCCGGCGTGCGGTCCGAGTGGTCCTGCGGCACCGAAGAGCGAGTCACTGCTCTTCCCGCCCATGGCACCCAGCTTGGTGCCCTGCGCAAAGGCCTTTTTGGACTGAAAGTTGCCACCCAGCGTGGAGGACGCAGCTGCACCTTTTTTCTTGGACGCAAAAGGGCGCGAGCCGCGGCCGAAGGGGTCCGCGAAGAGAGAGGACTGTTCCGTACCCGGCGTGCTCTCGGTGCCGCAAATGTGGAACGACTCGGAGTCACAGGACCCCGCGCTGGCGCCGCTGCTCGCAAGGTAGCTCGAGGCCGGCGCGCGGCGGGGAACTCCGCTGGTGACGCTGCTGCCTCCTGGGTTGCCAACGCCGCTCGTCGCGAGACCATCGTTAGGAAGCTGGTCGTGTCGACGCCCGCCGTTCTCGTAGTACATGGGCTCGCTTATGAGACAGAGAAAAGAAGACAGGGCATAAGTATCTGTAATGCGAAGCATGAGTAGCAGGAAAATCTGTCATGGGCGCGACCCCATAGCACGCTGCTTGGAGGGATATGGATATGCAGTGCAGAAGCAGATCTTTTAATTCATTTCTACTATATACAAATGTGCCCTGCCCGCTTTTTTCTGTGGGATATCGGCGGACGACGAGACCGCCGACGGTGTGGCCGCGTTAATATCTCCGTGACTTCTGCCGCCGAACCGCTGCTCCTCCTCTTCCTCTATCAAGTGCAAATATGTCTGGGTCTGGGAGAGTGTAAACTTGTCACGCAGCTTTTCCATGGCCCATGAGGCCTGGAATGCGGGACTTAGCATGACAGACCCTGCGAGGTCTCTGCCATGCCTATCCTGCATGGGAAACTCCTTCCCAACTTGGTCGAAAGTGGACAGCTTTTGGCACTCATGCAACACAGATTTTTGTATGCTTCAGATTTACCATGACAAGTTACCATCTTCCAGACCCAGACACTTTTGCATTTGATATCCTCATCCGTGCAGCACTGTTCCCGCCCGCTGTCCGGATCCTCCAATCCTGGCGCGAGGATGAAACCGCGGCCGGCGCTATTTTATCGCAAGAAAAAACTGTTTCACTGTAAACTTGTAATGCAGAAACTGCAGCTGAGAAGTGTTTGTCTTGCTACACATGCAAGACACTAGATTTTTAACTGTGTTTTCCTTTAAAAGTCTCGCATGCCAAGTTTTCTTTGTCATGTGTAACAAACTTGTGATGCAAAACTTGCAAAATCCTTACAGTGAAACACTACTTTTTTCGTACGATATACTGGGTCGTTTTTTCGCTCGCTTAGACGAACACAACGCCTCCTCGTCATCATCATCGCCATCCTGAAGTAGAGAGCAGCGCCAGCGGCCCGATCTTCTACTACTCGGCCTCTTTCCAGCACCACGACCAAGCTCGCGACGAACAGAAATAGAGTTCTTCGATCCCACTAGACTGGCCTCCGCGACCTGTGAGGCCGCTGCTCTACTTGCGGAGGTAGACGCTCGTCCTTTGTTGATCTTCAGATTTTTGAAGGCAGTAGCAGTACCACTGTGGAGGTCCAGCCCCGGAGCAGCAGGGACACGACCCCGGGAAGAAGAAGAAGAGGCAGAAGCACGACTCCCCCGCCCGGTCACCATCTTGAACTCTCCGCGGCTCCTTCTGGAAAAGCTATCCTCTCGCGAGGCGCCGCCGCCCCCGCCCCCGCAATTCGAGACCGGCGTCCCGTCACTGTCTGCGCCGCCGCTGGTATCAAAATGAAAAGCCCCCCCCCCGCCGCACAATCAAGTGGAAGCCTGTGCAGGAGCAGCGCGACCTGTGTACACAGATGAGGTTTATTGTCCTGCCGAGAGGGACCAGTGCGCGAAGTGGAGGTCCTAAGCGTAGTACGCAGAGATGTTTTTGTGCTAGCTTAGCATAGCAGAGGCTGCGGCCTGCCCCAGCATTAGAAGTACAAATCGCCTGCAAAATACAATCATGCAGCGGGCTCTCTGGATTTGCCCGCCTGCAAAAAACTTCGTGGCAGTTCAGTATCACGAAGCTTTCGGAGCGTAAATAGTACTTTAACTTTTTCATCACAATGGGGACGAGCAAGGGGGGGTCCACATATTTTCCCCTCAATAACTGGCGAGGAAACCGCCCGGCGGGTTGCCGCCTATCCTGAGTAAAAACGTACCCACACCAGAGTTGTAATGCAGATTTGCAAAGACAGGAAGACTTGTAACGCGCATCCCCATGAGAGCCATTTCCAGTCGTGTTTTGGAATTTGTGATGCCGTGAACAGGATGAGCAGATGAATCTGTGATGCGGCTGCACTTGCTAACCTGCACTACACTGCATAGCGCACCTTGTCATGCGTGACTCACAAAACTCCTAGGTTTGTGTTGCAAAATCTCCATCCTGACTTTGGTGTGGGTACGTTTTTACTCAGGATACCGCCGAGCATGTGTTCGCGCCGGTAGGACCCGTCGCTCGCGAAATCGTCCGTCGGATCGTTGCCCAGGCCCAAGTGCCGCGCACTGTCCGAGGAATATTCCCCCTCGGAATTATCGTAGCTGTTTTCGCTGTGCAGCTCTGGACGAACTGCATTTTTCATTCGTCCCAGGCTGCTCTTGTTTCCCATTTGTAGTCCCGATTGCAATTCATCGCCACAGCGAAGATCTCGTTGTAGGGACGATGACACGTTATTTGCTGTTGTTCCTATAGTCCCTCGTCCTAGTGAACAACTACTACCATGGCGCCCTTGATGCTCGCAGTTCTCTGCGCCAGGGCTGGGTCTCATGGTCTCTGAAGCCCCTGCTCGTGCTGGCTCGGGTACAGCTCCCCCTTTGCTGGCCGCCTTCCGTATCACACAGAAAAAAGCAGGCATTTGTAATGCAAAAACAAATACACAAAAAAATCTGCAGCGCATATCCTAAACAGCATGCTATGGGGCCACCCATGACAAGTTTTTCTGTGTATTTCGTTTTGCATTACAAATATGACCTGCCTGCTTTTTTCTCTGGGATATTCCGCTCCAGTTTGCCCTGCAGGTCCGACTCATCCGAGTAATTGGCCTGCGCGTGGAAATGTGCAGTGCAAATATGTCTCCTGGGTTTGGAATAAAACAAAGCGGAAACCTGTCACGCTGCAAGGTGTAAAGTCTATTCTAAAAATATCAATTCGTATTGCTACGTGCAGAGGACCACATTCTTTATGCGCGATAAGCATCTTCAAGAAGCCCTCACAAAACCTGTGATCATGCGAAGGCACACGTCACAGATGACGATGTGGCGCATGCAAAATCTGGGTGGCAAACTACTTACGTGGCACTCTTTCTTCCAGACGACCCAGTGACTACACATTTGCAAATGGTAGGAATGGGTCCAGCATGACGGGAACGCCATCTTCACCATTCTCCTCCTCGGGCAGCAGTACCCCCGCACCGGATATCGCGACAAAAAACTGTTTTTCTGTCCCTAAACTTGTATTGATGCAGAAAACGTACTATCGCAGACGCGTTTGTCACATGCTACCCTGGCAAGACAATCGACTTTTAGGCGTGTCTCCCCCGTTTGCGAAGCTCGCACGGGATGAACTCTTGTTATTTCTAAAATGTAAGTAGAGCTGCAAACTTGTATGTGATGCAAAACTTGCAAAATCTTCCTTCCAGTAAACCACTTTTTTCGTGCGATACCAGCAGGAGCCACTGGTCTACTACAACTTGAGGGGCCCGGGCCAAGCAGAACCACGTCATGGCTAAAATTGTTTAAAACACGGTTTTTTCCATCGCCAATAGAAGAAGTTGCTGCACTACTTCCGGCGCCGCTCGAAGACGCTTCTTGTGGGGAAACTGCGACCACGACTGTTCCCTTGCCTGTCGCCGTATCGCCGCCGGTCGTGCGCTCCGGCCGACTGCGAGTGCCAGAGGAAGAGGCCGCGGAAGCGTGCATAGTGTTCATTTCTGAGGTGAAAAGATAATACAAATTTTCAAACACGGCCTACTTCGAAAACATTCACTCTTTCCCGGGTGGCAGAGACAGAGAGCACGGAATCATAAATGAAAATTGCTTTACATCATGTTGCAACGCCGAAACAAAAATGCATGTTAGAAGGACCAAGATAGTTCATCTGATTGAGTTTTTTCTAAAAGCAAAAAGTTGAGGATCTATTCACGGAGTCGTCGACGTCGCTCCTCACAATACTAAAAGATGAAACAGAATAAAACCTTTCAACGTTGTGTATCACCTCCCGCCTGTGCATGGATCTTTAGATGCACTACAACCGGACTCAGACAGTGGTGAGACTTGATGCTCAGCAGGGACACATCATGATAATCTTGGATCGTTTTTCCGGCCTAAGAAAGTAATAATATTAAACGTATGTCAGTAGTAATGAAGACTGTATCACCACGAGAGGAGAAAAACATGCGATATTGATCGTGGGGATCAGGATCAGGGAACTAGAGTCCAGCTCCCGTTTTTTCCTGCTCATCTCCGAAAACCGCGACGAGGCCGCGGTGGAGCAGCGTCCTTCAAAAAAAGAAAAGCTCTGGATGAAAGAAAAAGTCCAAGGTCGTCATGGGACAACAAACTACTCTGAGTCTGTGCTATCCGAGTCAAAATCTTATTGCAATTTCATATGGCCTGCACAGAAGTTAGAAACCGCCCGGAGGTTCTTGTGAAAGCCACAGCATGTCCGTTGTGAAGTCGCCACAATTCTTGTCCGTATCAAAGTAATTATCAAATGTAAAAATGTCTGGGTCTGGAAACTTGTGATGCAAAAAGTGGATGATAGCCGGACTGCAATACGCAGCTATGCATCACAAACTTTTTGGCTGCCATGTCTTACGTATTCCGCATGGCAAGCTGCGTTTTTGCATGACAGGTAAGAGGGTCTTTTCGTGCCTATGCAACACAGATTCGCGAATCATGCCAGACAAGCATGACAAACATGAATTCTTCCAGACCCAGACATTTTTGCATTTCATAGTAATGCCCGCATTGCGATTGATTCGCCCGCCACGACAAGTGCCGAAACGTATCAACTGCAAAAATGTCTGGGTCTGGAAGGATGTAACCTGTGATGCGCATTTCAGAACACACGAAAATCTCTCATGCATAGGTAGCAAAAGCTACTCACTTTCTGTCACCAAAATGGGGGATTTGTCATGCGGGTTCGGCATTGCGAAAGCTTCTCGAGACCTGTGATGCTAGAGCTTCCATGCCAGACCTTCTGTGTCATGCAGAAACAGCATGACTCTTCCAGACCCAGACACTTTTACAGTTGCTAAAACGACACTCTAAGCAAAACGTCGAGGGGTGTCAGCGGCGGGTTCCATGACGCACCTTGCCCATGCCGGGCTACCTTCAGAAGAACGGGCCAGAAGGGTAGCGCTTGCACAGTGAGCATGGCAAGAATTTCGGCCGAAAACACGAGCCGCGGAAGAATCAGGCTCGCCGATTGCGGAACCAAACGAACGTCTTCGAGATAGGCCGAAGCGTGCGGACGGTCTTCGGCTGAACGGTCCTCAGCGTGTCGATATTGCAATTTGCACGCAATGCTTAGGGCAAGGAATAGTAGCGAAAAGGCCCACCCGAGAAAGATCCCTATCACTCGGCCCAAGTAATAGCCACGATAGGCCTGCGCCCAGGCACTCCGATGAAACTCGCTTTTGCATCGGACCGAGGCTTATCAAATGTAAAAATGTCTGGGTCTGGAAGATTGTCATGCACGGTTTGCATCACGTGTGAGGTCTGTGATGCATGCCCCAGCATCACAGATTCTGTGAGATCTTTACCATGCCTTTTCCGCATGAGAAACTGCCTCTCGGCCTTCTCAAAAGTGAACAGCTTTATTGGTAATCATTCGTTCGTTCGTATGGATCGGCTCTGCCGACCGGGTGACCCATCGCCTTGCATATAAATGACCGACATAGGCGATCCCCGTTACGGGACATACATATGGCCGTACGGAAGGGCCCTAAGCGCTACATACATAGTTCATCCTAGCGCCTACCACTTCGGTCGGGACTGAGTCAGCCTGGTCCTGGGGGTTCACAGCGCACTAGCCCTCTGCTAGCATAAACAGACTGGGTTCTACAAACTGATCTAACTTCTCATAACAGTGAGGCCATCAATCATGCAACACAGATTTTTGTATGATTCAGATTTAGCATGACAAGTTGTACTCTTCCAGACCCAGACATTTTTGCATTTGATAAGACTCGCTGATCGGAAACATTCACGAAAAAAAGGTCCGTCGGCTCGTCCAACGGATCCGAGGACACCCCAAACAGTACGCCGGAAATGTCGAGAGGCTCGTGGAACAACTGCCGCGTTTCAAAAATTAACCGCAGCAAGACTGCGGCCGCAACAGTTTGATGCAGCGCCTGCGACCATATCCGAGTATCGTCCTCGTGGATCGTCGTTACACGATTTCGGGTGGCGCTGTTTCCTGAACCTGCTGCTTTTGTTCCTGCCGTCGTCGTCGGAGCTGCGTTCGGGGCCTTCGCCCTGAAAGTGTTCTGCGGCACCGCAGCCGTGATGATCATGATGACAGGCGGAAGGATCAGCCAAACGACACGAAGTGCCAGATCGATAGATCGCTCGGTGTTTATGCTGTCCAGGTCATTATCCGCTACGGTTGTAAAGCCCGAACAGGTGCGATCGTACAAGATCAGTGTGTAGTGCGAGAGCAGTGCACAAATTTCGGCTATCACCAGACCTGTGGTGAAAATCTTGCCCTCCGTGCTGTCCCCTCGCTGACATACACTTGACAAAGTTCCTCTCCTGGCGAAATCCCAGGGAAGCAGCCAGTACTTTTCCGGCTTCGCCGGCGGTGGATTCGGGCGGTCGGCCGAAAGAGTGTCTGCTTGGTCACCACCTGCCACGACGGTTGCCCCCTGCTGTGGTTCCGGAGTGACATGATCCCCGCCGCCCTCCGGCTCTACTACCTCCTCCTGGCTGTATTCCCTGGGAAAAAAGACCAAGCGAACCGGCAGCGCGACGACAATGAGCGAAGCCGCGAACCCGGAAAGGAGGTACACCACAGCGCGAACGTAATCCACCCACCACACAGCAAACCTCTGCGCCAAAAGCAGTCCACTAGCCTCCTCCACGACCGCCCCGGCGTGGCGAATGTCTGTGGTCGCGTTCACAAGGTCGGTCACGTTGTTGGTGCAGGCGGTGGCGTTCGTCTCGAGCATTGCAATCTTCTGCTGCATCTCCGCCCGGAGCGTTGAAATCTTCTGCTGTGTCTCCGCCTCGCGCATTGCCATCTCCTGCTGCATCTGGAAAATTTGCTGCTCCATCGGAAGTTGTCGCAAGTCCTCCTTCTGCCCTCCCATGGCAGTGGCATCTTCCGCGGGCCTGCTTCTCTTTTTTGCTGCGGCATATCCTCCAATCTGAAGCCACTCCTGCTGCTTGTGGTCCACAAATTCTCTACCCAGATCTTCGATGTCGTTTTCGCCGGTGGGGGAGATAGAGGGAGTTCTCGTCTGTTGGCGTTCCTGTCGCTCCTCGTTCGTCCCGACCCGCGTAGCCGACAACCCTCCAAACGCATACTGTACTGCAGCATTGCTCTGCAGAAACTCTTCCGCTGTATCAAACTGCGCGCCCTCGAGCAGCGGCGGTCGCAGTGTTTGGTCCTCCAAATATGCTGGCGTCACGACATCATCTTCCGTCCGCCCCTCGTTCTGCTCCCCGCTACTACCTTTCTTGGAGAGCGCAGGAACGCGGTCGGAAAGCAGCTGCGAAGACTGTTCGCCTCCGGGCCGTTGCGCCGCCACTGGACTGTGATCTTCATCTGCCAGTGTATGCCCTCTCGACGTACTACCTTGGTGGAACGCGAGCGCATGCTCCTCGTTGGCCTTCACTTCCGACACTATTTCTCCCCCGCAAACGAAGAGTAACGCCGCAAGCGTCGTTCCCACTGTCCAGACCATGAGATGTGCGGGCAGGGAGCGCAGCCGCGGTCACTTCAAGAGTTGTAGTGGCAAAAAATATGACATCAATTCTGCCACAAATGCCCGCGATGACGACAGAGGCTTGCTGTTCGTGGCTCTACATATAGAAAAGGAATAAAGCACGACAAAAGTACACTGATATCCTCGACTGTGAAAGTAGTTCGCGACCGAGCGACTTGTCATCAAAGTTACATCTGTACAACTTGAGAATACGGTATGGAGATCAAGATCCAGACCGCCTCAAAAATGGCAAATGATAATGAAGCAGTAGATCGCGAGAGGAAATAAAACTCGCTTCTGGACGCCTAGATCTTCATGTTCGACCTCGCAAGTTCGGGATGAAAGCATCCTTCAAAAAAAAGAAAAGCTCTGGATGAAAGAAAAAGTCCCACATCGTCATGGCACAACAGTATGTGCTATCAGAATCAAAATCTTGTATATCTGTTCCTCGAACATCAAGTGGTCTATAATTGGTATTTGTGACGAGTAACACGCAGCTGTATCATATGAGCGCAGACCGGAGGCATGGTGTTGTTCATGCACGAAACTCCAGTTCAAACACAGTCACAGATCAATAAAAAAAGCACCCCGATATGAAAAGATCAGGAAATGCGTCATCTCAAGATGCGGAAAATTGCTCGCAAGTTGTGGTCGTTCTCACTTTTGAAACAAATCCGTGTCGCGAAATCGTTGCTTTTTCATCTTCCTCTCGACTTCTCAACAACAATAGTCACTGACCCGCCAGACGTCGAGCCAGCCATAAAATTGATGCTGATTTTTCTTTGTGCTCCGAAAGGACATTGCTTGGTTTTTGCCTCTATCAAACCACCTGCATGAAGCTTCGCCCGCCGGCATTCCCGCCCCCGGCAGCTCCCTGTCCCGCAACGAACTATTACAATGCAAAATGCCCCCACCCCCGAACTTGGGAGCATTTGTATTGCAAACCTTTCCAAATGAAACACTCGCCCTCTTGCATCTATCAGCATCACAGGTTTTCAATCGTGAATAGCAAAAATTTGCATTGCAAAAGACCCCAGCAAGAGCGGCACTTGCCATGCAAGCTATGCGATACACGCCTACACTCTGCATCAGAAAGATTCATACTCCTTTCCTGCATGACAAAAAGTTTTCATTTGGAAACTTCGCATCACAAATTTTTGCAATTTAGGGATGGGGGGCACTTTTCACTGTAATACGAACTGCGCATGCTTCCGAGGTTTTCGCCGCAAAATTGCCGCGTCCTCCATTATATCAAGTGCAAAAATGTCTGGGTCTGGAAATTTGTGATGCTAAAATGTGCAGGATGAAAACACTTCCTCACGCAGGAAAGCATGACAAGTCTGCGCAACGCTTTATCATACGAACTCCGCATGAGAAACTGCGTTTTTGTATCATGACGTGAGAGGCTGCCACTTTTGTTGGTCATGCAATACAGATTTCACAGGAATGCAAGACCAGCATTACAAGTTCCAACCATCCGGACCCAGACATTTTTGCATTTGATACCACATCTCCACCTGGTAGGGCGGGTCGCGGTACTCCCTCCCGGTTCCCTTATGGAAGCGTCAGGATTGAAATCGTCAAAGTTGAAATAATTTCTCATGCAGGAATTGCAAGGCATGCAGTGCCTCTCTTGCAGGGATGGCAAGTGAGGCCGCCTGTCAGCCTGTTTGGGGTCTGCGAGAGAGCTGCTAAAGTAGCACGACAAAAGACGCCTTCTGTCTCTAAACAGCATGACAAACTGGATTTAGACGGTCCCGAAATTTGTCATGCGCCGCTTGGAAATTGGGCTTCTAACTGGTATCGATTTTATGCATTACAAATGATTTCAACTTTGTCGATTTCGATCCTGACACTCCCATATCCCTCGAGAGGATCGTATATCGTGCGAAAAAACTGTTTCACTGCAAGGTAAGCACACTTTCGACGCAAGGGTTTGCATCACAAATATGTTTCTTCAGCATGACAAAGGAGATCCGCCATGCGTACTTTGTATTAAGGTACTACCGACTACACAGCTAGAAACCCAAACCCAACAATGTCTCGCATGATGTGTGACACGGAAATAAACACTTCTGCGTAGTTGTTGCACTTTCTGCATCACAAGCTACAGTTTACAGGCAAACAGCTTTTTCTCGCGGTATCGTACCGTCGCGGTTCAATATTCGAAGACCAGCCCGCGAGTCATATCCTGTGTAAAAATGTCCCCATCCACCTCTATTTGTCACGCAAATCTGCACGCCCAAAAAAAAAAGTTTCTCACGCGCAGCCACAACATGCGAGGCGGTTTCTCCTAATGCTTGTTTCTGGGTGGAGTTCTTTCTAATGCTACAATCAGGTGGCTGAGCTCCTCGATTTCTACTCATGCGCCCGCACAACTAGCTAAACACGATTAATAACGCACACAGTGCGAGCCCAGAGAACTTCTCATGCGCAACAGCCAACACTTCTTGACTTGTGTACGTGGAATTGCCATCTTGTCTATGAGTAGTTGGGGACGTTATTTTTACTCAGGAGGATAAACGAGTAGGGAATCGTGGCCAATCGTCGGTCGGCAACGATTTCGACCAACTGCGGAAGTTTCTGCTTCGTATGCATTGCAAATATGTCTGGCTCTGGATTAATTTGCGATGCGAAGCCTCCCTGCTGACCAAAAAAATCTGTATATGCAAGAGGCGGATTGGCGAGTCTTTTTGGCGTGCTAGAAGGCAGTTCCTCGTCATGCGAGTTTTCATGAACGAATCTGCAAAATCGAGGCTTGCAAATTTTCGTTGTCATGCGACGTTCATCAGTCTGTACACCCGGCCCCCGCTCGCATGCAGGGCTCTGCAGCACAATTTCGGACCATCTTTCCAGACCCAGATCGATATTTGCATTTGATACTTTACCCGGCCAGACCATCGTACGGAAAACCTTCACCCATGTCATATCAAATGTAAAAATGTCTGGGTCTGGAAGAATGCAAGTCTGTCATGCTTGTCTGGCATGACTGGAGAATCTGTGTTGCATAGGCACGCAAGAGTCCTCTTACCTGTCATGCAAAAACGCAGTTTGCCATGCGGAATACGTAAGACATGGCAGCCGAATAATTTCTCATGCATAGCTGCGTATTGCAGTGCGTCTATCATGCACTTTTAGCATTACAAGTTTCCAGACCCAGACATTTTTGCAATCCATATGTCACTGCAAATGCTTAGTTGGTAAGTACTACCAGAGTTTCTACCGTAGTAGTGCCTACCAAGCGCCGTAAGCGAAGCGCATTGAATGCAACCAAAAACAACTAAATATTGCGGCGTGCGGAACTACTTCCTTAGCCCATGCCCGACGTCCGCAGCATTTCGTCTTGTTTCTGGATCTTGTTCTATGTCAATAAAACTTTGCTAGCTGCTTGCAGTTATTTTCAGTACGATAGAGAAACTTCTTCGATCAACAGCGGCGACCCGATGGAGTAAAACCTTTGTGATTTCAGAAGTTTTTTGGCTACAGCTTCACCTCGTTCGTGTTCGTTGGGAGTTCCACGCGCCATTCGTATCAGGTTTAGCAAGGCCCTAGTACTCGCAAGAAATTTAGTAGACATGGCCAAAAAGTGAAACGAATATCACACAGCTCCTGTTACGGCGGAGGCTTGCTGCAGCTGCGGTAACAACGAAACAACTTTTTTTTTACGGTGTGCTGAGGTAGAAAATTCTGATAGACATCGTCCTCGAAACATTCGCTAAATGACAACTATACCTTGCCACGAGTCGAAAGGCGGGCGTGTCGCCGCAGACTGCAGCGGAGAGGTACAAAATGGTTGTGTCGGGCGTGGTATCAAATGTAAAAGTGTCTGGGTCTGGAAGAGGAGAAGTTTGTCATGCACATTTTCCATGCTCCATGATGTCTGTGACGTATGCCATAGCATCACAGATTTTTTGAGAGCCTATCGATGCACATCCTGCAAGACAAATGCCCTCTACGCGTAGCCAAATTTGACTCCTCTTGCTGCTCATGCAATACAGATCTTTTTAGCATCCAAATGCAGCATCACAAGTTTGGCTCATCCAGACCCAGACATTTTTCCATTTGATACGTGGTCTCGTCGGGTTTCACCTTCACCGCTAGCGCCGCGTCCCGGGTGTTATCCTGTGCAAAAGTATCGCATTCGTATAAATGCAAGTCAAATCAGGATTACAAATTATTTCTCAAGCTGAGGAAATTTGTAATGCATTTATGCGAGTACGATACTTTAACTTTTGCAGTTCATAGGTGTGCCCCCAGTTTGACACCGTGACCAGGGACACGTCCACACTGCTTCCGTTGGCGGACGAGGCGGAGTGCAGGTTCAGCCCCATCTTATCCTAAGGCAAAACGTCCTCACCCCATAGTTGTCATGCGAATCGGCATGCTTAAAATGTTTCTCATGCGGAGCCCGATGAAAAGCGCTTTCTCGTCGTGTTTGTAATGCTCGAAGTAGCATAAGACGCTCTATCTGCAATGCTATACGCGCTAGCTTCTGAACAGGACAACACTATGAGCCCAAATCTGTCACGCGCCACAGCCAAAACTCGTTGATTTGTCTATAGCAGATTTCTCATTTTGACTCGAGTGTGCGGACGTTTTTCCACACAATACATCTCCTCATACAGCTTCAGAAAAATCGGGGAGTGGCAGTCCTTATCAAATGCAACTATGTCTGGGTCTGGAAGATTCAAGGAGTTTGTCATGCATCTTCTGGATCACGCAACTGGTCTCTAATGCACACAAAAGCATTACAGGTTTTGCGCAGGCCTCCTGATGTCTATCCCCCATGAGAAATTCCCTATTTGCGTAGCAAAACATGAGAAGCTTTTGGAGGTGCTTATGCAATACAAATTTTGCCTATTCCAGAAATCGCATGACAAGTTCCAATTCTTCCAGACCCAGACATTTTTGCATTTGATAGTCCTCGCTGCTCAGGTAGCCGCCTAGCCGATTTATCAGAATGAAAAATCCCCCCTCCCCATATCCAAAACGAAATTTGTGATGCTGTATTTGAGTACACAAATCGACTTGTAATGCTAGAAGGCCAAGAGACGCAGCTGTGGCCTCATTTGCAGGCAACTTGTCATGCTGTTTCCCCCTTCCAGCTGCCCCGTGTCATGCTGAAGATGCAAGGCTTTCCCACGCCAACCAGCACTACAGTCCGCATCTTTTCCCTTCTAGCATGACAAGGCTGATTTGTGGCCACAAATCCGCATCACATATTTCAAGTTTGAGTATGGGATGGGGGGATTTTTCATTTTGATACGCTTATCGCTCTGGCCCACCCCGATGAAGATCTCGCACTCCTGCCGGGGCTTAGTGACCTCGATCTTGAACACCGGCCAGTTCTCGCTCGTGACGAAGCTCGGGAAACACCAAATCTGTTCTTCCAGCTGCCTGGGCGGCGGGGAGGCCCCGTACGTTCTTGGAACGAGGGTCGGCGCCTTGCAAAAAATAATTTTACCGGAAAATTAAAATAAAAATTATTGAAAGCAAATGCGAAAAAATAACTTTTACCTTGCTCTCCGCTCTCCGCATTAGTTTTAGTACGAAGGTAGAGTAGCGGCCGGACCAGAATTCAAGTGGAACAATAAACGCACTGAGTAAGTACCAGGTCAGAGCCTAACGCCTTCCAAGCGGGGATCCAGGTGCTCTTCTATCCTGTGTCAAGAAAACGTCCCCGCCAGCCAAGAGTTGTCATGCAAATTACCTGCAAGCCTAATCACTAAAACGTTCATCAAGCGCAATCCCACCACGAGTAGCGTTTTCTGATGCTATCTGAGGGCTCTCTGTCGTGCTGGAAAAATCAGGACAAGATCATCGATCAGCGATGCGGCCTCCGCACCAGCCTGAACGCTGTCCGAAAACTCCTCGATACGATTGTGTTGCGAAATTCATCCTATCTCGACTCTGGGGCGGGGTCGTTTTTCCGCAGGATACCTCCTATCCTGTGTAAAAACGTCCCCACCCCAGAGCTCTCATGCAATTCTGCACGCCAAAAAAGTTTCTCACGCGGGGCCCTATGAAAAGCGTTTTCTAGTCGTGTTTTGGAATTTGTAATGGTAGGACCAGCATGCTACGATAGATCTGTGATGCTGCTGACCTAGCTAAAACAGGATTACACTACGAGGACAAACTTGTCATGCCAAACAACCACAGCGGGTTGATTTGTCTAGCAGATTTCCCATCTCGGCTCTGGGGGTGGTGTCGTTTTTCCTTACGATATCTCCAGGTCGGAGGTGTTTACCAGTCTACATTCGTGAATGGACCTAAACACCTGGTGGAACACCAAAATCTCCATATCATTTGTAAAAACGTCCCCACCTCCCCAGAGTCTGTCAAGATGGGGATCTCGCAACACGAGTACAAAAGCTGTAGGAGTCAGCACGCATGACGAGTTTTTGCAGTCCGTACTGTACTAGTGCAGTTTAGCAATGACAGCCAGCGCCACAAAGTCATCTACTTATCCTGGTTGCAGCATTACAAATTCCAAAACGCGATGCCTCTGATGCGCGACATGCGCATTACAAATCTTCCTGCCACTGCAAATCCGCATGACAACTCTGGGGTGGAGACGTTTTTGCTCACAATACTCCATCCACAGGTACCCATCCTTCGCCTGGTATGTGGTATCCTCTGCAAAAGTCTCGCACTCGTATTGCATTTATGCAATACAAATGCAAATCTCCTTCTTAAGGTTGAGCAGGCAAAAGCGCATTTAGAGCGGGGTAACAAAATAAAAAAAGAGGTCCTCGGGGGACCTCTTGTCCCCCCGGCCGGGCGGACAAGAGGTCCCCCCGTTTTGCTGCCGGAGCGTCCGGCACGCGGAGTTCCCCCCCGTGTCGCCGCGTCGGATATTTCGGGCGAATCGGGGCAGGGACCTCTTGCCCCCCCCGTTGCGCAGAGAAATTGGCTATGTATTTGCTATACAGGACAAGAGGTCCCCACCGTTCGACCCGAAATGGCCGGCGCGGCGACCCGGGAGGGAGGGAACTCTACGAGCCGGCTGCTCTGGCAACAGAAGGGGGGGACCTCTTGTCTGTCCGGCCGGAGGGACAAGAGGTCCCCCGAGGACCTCTTTTTTTATTTTGTTACCCCGCTCTTACAAATTTTACTCTTTAATGCTGAGCCAATTCGTATTGCAATCTATACCAGCGCGATACTTTTGCAATCCGTATCTGGGATGGTCGGGCAACGCGGTGATTTCGTGCAGCACCTCGTTGAAGGGGCAGTTGACAAAGAGGCACACGAGAAAATCCGTGGGCTTCGACCGCATCGGGGGTCGGGCGGTGGTTCTTCCGACGACGCCGGCCGCCGCCTGCTTCGTCTATCCTGTGTAAAAACGTCCCCACCTCCCCAGAGTTGTCATGCAAATGCGCAATGACAGGAACACTTGTAATGCGCATCTCCTTGAGAGGCATTTCCAGTCGTGTTTTGGAATTTGTAATTCTGTAAACAGGATGAGCAAATGGCTTTGTCCTGCGGCCTTCCTTGCTAACCAGCACTACACTGCAGATGGAAACTTGTCATACAGAACTCCCAAAACTTGGAGATTTGTGTTGCAGATTTCCCATCTTGACTATGGTGTGGGGACGTTTTTACGTAGGATATCGACGACGAGATCTTGAGCGTGTCCACCACGACATACGCCCACTCTGGGTCCAGCTTGAGACGCAAACTGCCCGCCTTCTCCTGGTCTAGCTTGGCGACAAAGAGGCGCCTATCCTAAGTAAAAACGTCCCCGCCCCAGAGTTGTTATGCAAATGCGCAATGTTGACAGGAACATTTGTAATGCGCATCTCCATGAAAGGCATTTCCAATTGTGTTTTGGACTTTGTCATGCTGTAAACAGGATATGAGGCTGGCTTTCTCATGCTGCTGCCCTTGCTAAACAGCCGTACACTACAGATGGAAACTTGTCATGCAAAACTCCCAAAACTTGAAGATTTGCGTTGCAGATTTTCCAACTTGACTATGGGGTGGGGACGTTTTTACACAGAATAGCACTGGCGCAAGGAAAACTCCAGGTACGCGAACAGGCGGTCGGCGGCCACGTCGTGCACGTAGAAGCGGGACCCGAGACCCCCCGTCAAATCCTCCAGCGCCTCCTCGATGTTCCCGCCCTTGCCCATCGCTAAGAAGGAGTTGTGGAGTTTCGCGTACGCCTTCTCTATCAAGGAGCTCCACTATGGGAGTGCACGACTCCCCCTGCTGCTCTCCCTCATACTCATGTGTATTAATGCAGAATACCAAGTACACTAGAACTAGATCCTGCACTTGGGCACCAGTATCTGCATGCCAAATTTTGAAACCTCAAACAGCACGTACAATTATCCGTTTGCAGATTTTTTGCCGTGCGGAAGTAGCCACATAGCTGTCGTTGCTTGTGTTGCTGCTCTTGCCATAGTACAAATGAGGTGGACGAGAGGGGAGTTGTGAACTGTCATATCCAGGCGAACTGGGGAAAGTGCTCGCTGCGGCAGCCGAGTGGGATAAAGCCCGATTCGTGCTGGGGCAGGTAGTCGTCGACGATGACGGACACCCAGTTGGCGTGCTTGTAGAGGCGAAACTGGTAAAAGCCCTTCGCGACACACGATAGCAGCCCCTGCTGCCCGTCCTGCATAAAAACGTCGTACACCAGGTGGGGTCGGGTGCTCAGCGCGTTCAAGGCGTCGATGAAGTAGCCGTTGGTAATGTTGCCCTGAAACACCTTCCCGAGATTCAGGTACAATATCCTAAGTAAAAACGTCCCCACCCCAGAGTTGTAATGCAAATGCGCAATGACAGGAACACTTGTAACGCGCATCCCCATGAGAGGCATTTCCAATCGTGATTTGGCATTTGTAATGCTGTAAACAGGATGAGAAACTGGCTTTCTTATGCGGCTCTCCTTGCTAAGCACCACTATACTACAGACGGACACTTGTCATGCACAACTCCCAAAGCTTGGCGACTTGTGTTGCAGATTTACCAACTTGACTATGGGGTGGGGACGTTTTTGCTAAGGATATACAAGGCCGAGACCTTTTCCCGGTCCGGCACCTTCGGCGGGGCGATCAGGGCGCCCTTTTGTCAAGTGCAAAAGTGTCTGGATCTGGAAGGGTGTAAACTTGTCATGCAGATTTTCCATGACCCATGAGGTCTGGAATGCGGGACTTAGCATGACAGAGTCTGCAAAGTTTCTGCCATGCGTATCCTGCATGAGAAACTCCCTCCCAACTTGCTCGAAAGTGGACAGCTTTTGGCACTCATGCAACACAGATTTTTGTATGCTTCAGATTTACCATGACAAGTTACCACCTTCCAGACCCAGACATATTTGCAATGCATACCTTTGCCTGGGCCGCGAAGGCCTGGGTAGCGGCCGGAACGCTGGCCTGGTTCGGCCCGCCGAACTGGTCCTGCTGCTGCTGCGTATCCCTTAGAAAAAGACAGGCAAACCAACTTTGTAATGCGCAAATAAACACACAAAAAGCTCTGCACGGCATATCCTAAACAGCACGCGACGGGCCCCCGCATGACAGACTGCTCTGTTAGTTTATTTTTGCATTACAAGTATGCCCTGCCTGTCTTTTTCTATGGGATAGTGTAGCTGCGCCGCGTAGAAAGCGGTAAGCGTGTTCATGTTCTGGCCCAGCGCCGGGAGGACCTCCATCGGCAGGAACGCGCCCTATCAAAAGGAAAAAAAATCGCCGCTCCCCATATCGAAATGGAAATCTGTGATGCAGGATTGGTGTGCACACATCGGATTTGTCTTGCAGTAGAGGACTGCAGACAGATACAAAGACGGAGCAGGGGCGTTTCGGTGTAGGCGCCTAGCAAGGCAGACACATCCTCCGTAGGCCATACAGCATCACAAATTGCCCGCAGAGCGCGGCGGGGTTTTTGGATTTGCCTCCTTACGAATACAGAGGCGCTTTGTGGTCTCAAATCAGCATCACAAATTTTTCAAAGTATCCCGCTTTGGTATAGGGAGGGGGACTTTTTCCTCACAATACGCCCTCCCCGTTAACCTCGCCGTTCCTATTACAATGAAAAACGCCCCCACCCCGGAATTTGCAGAAGTTTGTCATGCAAAGTTTCCAAATGAAAGCTTTTTGTCTTGCCTGAAAGGATTGCGAGCCCTTCTGATGCAGAATCTAGGTGCGCAAGGTGCCTTGCGCATAACAGATCCGGCTGCTGTTGGGCCCCTTCGCAACACAACTTCGAGCTATTCAGCAGGGAAAATTTGTGATGCTGAGATATGCAAGACGGGAAATGTTTCTATTGGAAAGGTTTGCAATACAAATGCTGCCAAGTGTGGGGTGGGGGCATTTTTCATTGTAATAGTTCCAGCGGGAAAGCCGCAGCCACCCAGCCGGCCCCTTCGTGATGGCGTCCAGCTCCTCAGCGCTCACGCCGCCCTCCATCACCGACATCAGGTCCTCGGGCTCGCCCCTATGCATTGCAAATATGTCTGGGTCTGGAAGGTTGCAACTTGTGATGCTGCATTTGGATACTACAAAAATCTGTATTGCGTGAACAGCAAAAGAGGCCCAGTTTGTTGCTACACGGCGAGAGGGCATTTTTCATGCGGTATAGGCATAAGGAAACCACCCTCACAAAATCTGTGATGCTACGGCATGCATCACAGACGTCAGGAGTCACGCAAACTGTGCATGACAAACCTTGCATCCTTCCAGACCCAGACATATTTGCATTTGATAGCCGCCCACCCACCACGATACCGAGTGCGCCGGGAACTATGCAAGCGCACAACCCTTTTCTCGCCCTCGTCCTTTGCACAATTTATAATTAGCCTCGCCTGACGGGTCATGCAGCTTCCACATGATAGACCCACGCCCGGACAATTGTACGTGTGGTTTCTTTGAGCCGCATCCGGAACTTGTCATGCAAACGCGGCAAAAAAGTCTACCTCTACGCAGGACTTCGCATTTTGCATCACAAATGAACGGGACGAAGAGTTGTGCAGTCTCGTAGGAACTCGCCGGGCGACACGAAGGTGCCGTCGTCGCGGTACATCTTCTGGTCGATGTATTCAAGAAAAAAACACCATCACAATCTTCACTTTTGCACATTTTTGCAATACAAAGATTTTTGTCATGCGCAAAAATGCATCACAATCAAGATTTATAGGCGATTTCCCTTTGTGTTTTTGCAATACAAGAAAAATTTGTAATGCAAGACAAATTTCTGACGCAAAGCCTCCTAAATGTGATTGTGATGGTGATTTTTTCTTGGATACGATGGCGCCAAGCGCCAGCGCCTATGCACTGCAAATATCTCTGGGTCTGGAAGACACGACCTCCGAGTTTGTGGTGCGACGATTCCGAGACGAGGACACAAAAATCTGTACTGACTAAGCGGCAAACAAATCAACCTGCGTTTGACCAAGCGAAGACGGTATTTCTCATGCAAGGTAGGCAATGAAGACCCTTGCTCTCAAAACTTGTGATGCTAGTACCGCCCGCATATTTATCTTCTGGGTCGACGTGCCAAAGAACCTGGATAGGCAAACTTTGCATTCTTCCAGACCCAGACATATTTCAGCATTTGATAGCGCCCCGGGCTGGTCCATGATGTCCGCGGCACCGGGGTCCAGCGCCGTGTCCGGGGTGAGCAAGGTCTTCATCAAGTTGCGGCACATATCCCAGAGAAGAAAGCTGGCACCGGGGGTAAATACACAGAAAAATTTGTCATGGGTGGCTCCATAGCATGCTATTTCGGATATGCTTGCGTATCTATTTTTGCATTACAAGTAAGTATGACCTGCCTGCTTTTTTCTGTGTGATAGTACAGCTCTCCCGCCGACTCCCGCTCGTCGTAAAAGTCATTCTCGCCCTCGTACCACTTCTGCGCCTCCTCTTCGCCCGCAATGCTGCCGCGGAACCCGCTCGGACGCGGTTCGCGGGAGGACATGATGTGAGTTGTCCTGAGAGTACTGCACACGAGGTCGTGGCTGTCGACGTTGATCTTCGAGTCGTGAACGTGATCGTGATGTTCACCGGAACATATACACTCGTCCTCCTCCTCCACGGGGATTGCTTCCCGCCCTGAACGCCTTCTCAAAAACGCGTCAATACCGCAACACGACCCGGTCGTTCGCGCGAATGAAGACTACATTCTTTGTCCGCTCGTTCTATGAACAATAGTAGTAAGACCTTCGCAAATAGAGTGGCAAATGCTGGGCATGGTAGTAAACTCCTGTGGCGGGATCATGTGAGGAGAAACTTCCCGGTGCCAGCAGAGTTCGCATTCATCCTCTGTCCTTGCGACGACCTACTTCTGGATTCATCTTGACCAGCCTGTACAGAACTTCCGGTTCCAGCGGCGAGAGAGGCGCACATAAGAACGACCAAGTGCGCTATATATAATCCTTTCGCAGCTTTCACGCAAAGGATGGCGGTTAGCTGCTATGGCTTGCACACCCAGATCTGCTTCGTCTCTCGATACAAGTTAACTTGCTCTACTTCTAGGCCGCACCTTTACAACTGCAGGGGGGCCGCTTCGATCTGCTGCCTCAATTCGAATTAATTATACTTTACACTCGCTCGAACCCACTCGCAACATCTACTCTTGTTTACCAAAGCAAAAGAACTGAAACTGATTAAGTACCGTGGATCAGCAGTGTACGGCACTCCCTGCACCGAAACCTCCACACAATGATGGGACTGTCTCGCTGAAACGTGTCCACGTAGCAGCTCCAGCTTTTTATGTACTCATCATTTGCGAGCGGTTTTAAACAGTGCTGCCCTTCGGCCGCCGACTATGATACAATAGTGGCGCCGCAAGTCTTGCACTACAGAAGTGAATCTGGTACTGGACGTCCAATATGATAAGAAATTTGGTGGCACTATCATGAGGTACTTTCTTACTTACAGTTGCTGCACGACTGCGCCGCACATTCACAAACTACATTTCGTCCAAAAAAAATTTCACAACCGCAAGGGCATCGATGAAGTCCTTGGGCTGCACAACCCGCGCGGCAATTTCCTCGTCCGGCAGTATTTCATGACAGTGCAAAACCCCCCCTCGTCCCCCTCACTTGTATTTTTGCATGGGCAGCAATACAAACGCCCGCACCTGTGAGGCGTGTGCATGACAAGTTCATGCGCGTAATGTAGTACTGTTGCGGCTCCCAAAATCTGTCATGCAAGCAGTATCATCAGGCAGCTCTTCGATTTGGAATTTTGCGTGACAAATGAGGAGGACTGCGTTCTGTGCAGTCTCGTACGCTTGGTCGTGAATGCCGAAGGGTTCCTTGCCTCCCCACGTCTGCAGCACGCAGTAGTGCACGCCTTGCACCCCCGCATCAGTTTGCTGGTCCGCCTGTTGCTGGCTCCTCCTCCGCGCCCCAGCATGTGCCGCAGCTGCAGCACTACCTCCGCCGCCCGTGGTGCTATTAGTAGCCGCCGGCTGCTGCGCCGCACCTCCCCGCGGTTTGCTCTGCTTCTTGAGCAACTCGTTTGTGGCGTGCTTCAAAAACGCCCGGATCTCGGTGCAGCGCTGCTGCCGAATCTTTTCCACCGCGACTTCTTGGTCGTACAACATGGTTGATTTGTTTTTCCGGGAGATTTTGCTGACAAACTCCATGTTGGACAGTTCCACGCGCGGGCAGGTGCAGTGAATCTTGATCCCGTTAGTCATCAGCAGTCGCAGACGCTTTTCCAACAGAAAAATAGCACGGCACACGCAGTTTTTACATTCTACTGACGATTCGACACTATGTCTGATCGACGTGGTGGTCCCTAGTACCTGGCATGACAGTCTGCGTTTTGCATGACGGCGAAGTCGTGCCTTCAGTGATGATGTTTTGTCTTGTGAATAATTTGCAAAGGCATCATGGCAAATAATTTCGAATGTGATATGGGCGAGCCAGCACTTTTTCACCCTGGATAATACCGCTTTTCCTCCGTCGGATCCAGGCGGACAGCTTTTTGGTAAAGTGGTGATGTGCACTTCTCAAAATCATCCTTCAAACCAATTCGACCATGCGACGAAGAAACGCCTAATTACTGGTTTTTCTGGCAGCCGCAGGCAAAAAAACACCGTAGTCCAGTGAATCTATTCAACAGATAAGGACTGCAAACACTACGACATCACGCTCCCTGTTCCTAATAGGAAGGACTGATGAAACATTATACCTTCTCCTAGACAAAGCACAAACTGCGCGGACTGTCCCATTGCGTCCTGCAACCGCTTCAGCTGGATAAGGTTCGAGGACCCGATATCACAATTAAAACTACCTCCCACCCGGAACTTGCAAAAGTTATTCATGCAAAGTTTCCAAATGAAAGCCTTTTGTCTTGCATGAAAGGACTGCGAGCCTTTCTGATGCAGGATCTAGCTTCGCGGCTACTGCTGGGCTTCTTTGCAACACAGATTTGAGTATTCAGCATGGCAAATTTGTGATGCTGATGTACGCAAGAGGTCTCTATTGGAAATAAGGTTTGCAATACAAATGCTGCCAAGTTCTGGGGCGCGGGGGGCATTTTTCATTGTGATACCCGAAGCCAGCAAGCTGGGTGCCGTCCTGGATGATCAGCCCCTCCGGATCGAAAAACACGATCCGCTGGAAGCACTGCGGCAGTGTCGGGAGCGGCGTGGTGTCGGGGGGCCCGCTGCTCGGCTGCACCGCACTGCTCGGCTGCACCGCACTGCTCGGCAGGGAGGGGTGGGGGCGGGAACCTGCATGGCCTCCCGAACCGCAGGATCCGGGGAGTGGAGCATTACTTCTCGCGTTCACGTACCGGATCTTCCCCGCGTGACCTGTAATATCATGATTTTCATTTTCAGGTGAAAGGTATAATGATTTTTGTGCATAATTTTACCAAAGCAAAGATAGAGCTTTTTACATCTGATTTCCGAAGAGAATTAGGATCCCGCACCGACAACCGGAAATAATTCGCAGCCAAAATTACCTGCGAAGTGCTCGTTTTGCTGCAGCAGCTTGGAGTGCGCGTCGTCCTGGAAATGAATTTCCAGCGTGCCGTATCCAAGTGGAAAAAAGATTGCTGGTGTAGCTTTGTGATGTTGTAGAACATGCATCATTCAAGATGGCTCCGTCTGTCATGCTGTTGCTGGTCTCTCTTGCAATGATCCAAGGCCCATTCAACATGCACTATCTTCTGCGCATGACAGGGTTTTGTTGTCGCGCCCGAGGCCAGATTTGTGATGCTATAATTCGTCCTGAAACAAAGTTACTACGCCTACACACTTTTTTTCTTGGATATGCCATCCGCGTTGACCCCGAGCCCGCACCAGAAGGGAATGGTGTGCGTGTATCCACCCGTTGAAAGGTGCCCCTTCCCCAGAAGTGGGCACTTACTGTTTCATCTGATGCAAAGTTGTTTTCTATTGAAACAAACTTTTTGACTTGCATGAAAGAAGCAGCACTACGGGTCTTCCTGATCGAGACTCTAGGCGCGCAAAGCAGCAGCTTGCACACGACAAATCTCGCCCTTGCTACTTACGCATTTTTGCAACACACGCTCGTCTCACTACCCTGCATCGACAACCCGCGTTGCGGTTGCTTATATTTGCAAGGCAAATGCTTCCGAGGCCTGGGGTCGGGGCGGCACTTTTCAGTATGATAACGTAGCGCTGCTCTCGTCGTCCGCGCCGGCCTCACATCCACTGCAAATGCGTCTGGATCTGGAAAGCAGTCTCTCATGCGTGCTGGTACAGCGCAGTGCAAATGCCGCATTTTTCCTGCACGACAAACACGCCCAAGGTCGTTTGAAGGAAATGTTGTTGGTCATCAACATGCAATACAGATTCAACACAGAGGAATGCAAAACACACAACACGCGTCGTACTATTCTGGCTTCATCTCTTTTCCCGCCACAGACACGTTTGGAGTCCGTACCTCTTCCCGCTTCACAACAGGCACGTAGCTTCGCGATTGCTCGTCCAGCGCAAAAGTCAAAGTACCGCACTATTCTTAAGGTCAATCCGGATAACAAGAAATCTCATTGGCATTTGTCATGCTAAGGCCAATTTGTATGATGTAATGCAATTCATATTAGTAGAAGTAGAAGCGTAGCGATACTTACTTTTACAATCCATATTGCTGTGGTTGCTGCAACTGCGCAAAGCTCGTAAACGTCGCGCCTGTATTTCTATCGAGTTGAAAAGTGCCCCAGCCCCAGAATATGGAATTGTTTTCGTTGCAAAATTTCCCAACGGAAACCTGATTTGCCGCCTTGCATGTGCTGTCAGCAGCGTAACAAGAACAACTTTCCCAGTCAGAATAGCAATAAAGAAAAGCCCAGCACACGGGGGGGGGCCTGTCATGTAGGGACTGCTTTGCGCACCTGCAACCTGCATCACGGAAAACCTTCGCCCAAGCATGCAATCCCTTTGGAAACCTTGCAACACAAATATTTGAAACTTCTGGAACGGGGGCACTTTTCAATATGTTATTGTTTTGTGCTTTTCAACAAGGTACCGGTAGAGGAAAGCGCAGGGAAAAAATCAAAAAGACGCGTAACATACTTACATACCCCACGTCGTCCTCCTTGGAGCTGTTTTCATGTAGGTGCAGCACGGGATGATACTTACATAGATACGTGAAAAAAAACCCGTTTGAAACAAAAAAAACTACGGCCTGGTCCGGCGTTTCCCTGCGGCATCAGCCCCGCGGCGGGTCGGGTCTGCGGAGGCGGTACGAAACTCAGCGTCTGCCGTGCTATCAACTGTAAAAATGTCTGGGTCTGGAAGAATTCATGTTTGTCATGCTTGTCTGGCATGACTCTTAAATCTGTCATGCACGTTACCCAAACGCTCCGTTTCTCTGTGATGCAGAAGCGCAGTTTGTCACGCAGACAAGGCAACACCTAGGAGCTCAGAAACTTGTCATGCTGAGCCAGCATTTGTAGCCGCATCATGAGACGCCACCCAGCATCACAAGTTTCCAGACCCAGACATTTTTACTTTTGATACGTGCGGGCTGCGGCATAAACCGCATCGGCTGCATCATGGTGAGAGCCATACTGGTACTTACTATCCACGGGAGATACCGAGCCCGGTCTGGAACAGTGCAATAACCACTTTTCGGTAAAAACACGTTCCGGTGACAAGTCCACGCGCTCTAGCAGACGCTCTAGCAGACGCAGGGACTGCGGCGCGCATCATGTGTAAACCCGTCCCCATCGAAGTGGCATGTCGAAAAGGTTTCTCATGCGCAATCGCAAACCCAGGAGCAGCATTCTATAAATTCATCTGAAAAGTTGCAGTGCTCTAAGGAGGATAAAGAGCATGGTGAATTTGTTCTGTGCCTGCTCTAGCTAAACACAACTGCACTGGGTGCCCAGACTTGTCATGCGTTGCCCAAAGTAGACCCTCGTTGGTTTGTGTAGAAAAGAAGTCGCCATCTTGACTCTGCGGCGGGAACGGTTTTACACAGGATATTTACCGCGGATTTTCCATGACGCTTCTTTCAGTTACTGGCACCGACGAAAAGCTATACTTGTGTTGTTGAATATTCAGAAACGCACACAAATTCTGCAACGACACTCTGTAGTTCAAGCAGCCACCCACAACTACATGCTAGTGTCTCCTCAAGTTCTTGTGCTGGCTTCTTATTACAGCACTTTTGCGGTTCGCATCTTAAATTTTCACACAAAAAACAAAGACGGACGAAAGCAACCACCCTTGGAAAAAGTACGTACAAATATGGCAGCGTATACTTTCACCATAGACGCTAGCACGACACAGCTACACTCCTGACACACATTCTACCCTTCTTTTTCTGCACTTCTTCCCTTTCCGCAAGACAAGAAGCACCAGGATGAACACGTAGGAGCGACAAGCAAAAACCCTTGTTCATCTGCATGACCACACTTCCTTGTGCTCCTGGTCCTGCATCGCACGTGCGATACTTCAACGCTATTATTTTTTCGGGATTTATTGCAATCTGCGCAGAAGTGGATCTGCTCTGGCACTTCTCTAGAAGTTTTGTTCTTGGGCATCGAAGAACAGTGGATTTCGATTTCCTCGTTTGCGCGTTATGAAGGCGATAGCACTTTGCTGGTGCTGGTGAAAAGGAGGTCCTTTATTCTCTTCATTTTGATGTGCAGCAGGAACATGGAGGTTCTATTTCAGTACCAGTAGTGAACTAAAATCTAGTGACCACATCATATATTCAACTCCAGCAGCGCAAGAATGGTAGTAAGAATAATTGTTCCCACTGACTAGTACTTACTTTCCCTTCCCCTTGCCCCAGCCTTTCTTCTTGCCTTTCCCGCCGCCCCCGCCGCCGCCCTTGCTGTTTGGAACGCGATTCCGCTTACCGCCTTTCTTGCCGACGCCGCCCTGGCCGTTGGGCAGGTTGACCTCCGCGGGACCCTCGGGGGGGTTGAACGGCACGGGGATCTTCACCGTGGTCTGCGGGAAGGGCATTAGGTCGAAACCCAGGTGCTCGAACGTCTTGCGCAGCCGGTGCTTGTCCTGGATCTCCAGGTCGTTTATGGAAGCGTCAGGACCGAAATCGTCAAAGTTGAAATGATTTGTCATGCATAAAATGCGACTCAGAAACTGCCTGTCTTGCCGAGTAGGTACGTGGGGCAGATTGTAAGCCCGTTGAGGGGTAAGCACTGAGCTGCTAAAGTAGCACGACAAGAGGCGTCTTCCTTACCCAAACAGCGCTACAAACTGGATTTCAGCTCTACCCAAATTTGTCATGCGCCACTTGAAAACTAGATGCCGAGTGGTATCCGTTTTATGCATAGCAAATTATTGCAACTCTGACGATTTCGATCCTGACACTCCCATATCGTTTTCCAGCGACATGTACTGAAACCCGGCGGCCGGGTTGTGCTGCATACAGAACAGGGAGAGAAACAAAACCAGCTATCCTATGTAAAAACGTCCCCTACCCATAGTCAAGATGGAGAATCGGCTAGACAAGTCCACAAGTTTTGGTTGTTTCGCATGACAAATTTGAACTCGTAGCGTTGTGCTGTTTGAGCTAGTTCAGCAGCATCACAGATCTAGTATATCATGCTGATTGAAGCATGACAAATTCCAAAACACAAATAGAAAATGCTTCTCATCGGGCTCTGCATGATAGACATTTTCAGCATGCAGACTTGCATTACAACTATGGGGTGGGGACGTTTTTAAATACGATACCAGCTTCTGTTTGTTCAGCGCGCACTGCTCCACGTTCTGGCTCTCCTCGAACTCGTCCACGAACGTGTCCAGGCTAATCTTGTCGTAGAAGGTGTCGATCAGGTGACTTTTCAGCGCGTCGTCAATGTGGAACCGGTGGGCGTCGATCAGGTCGTCGATCTTCTTCTGCAGCTTCAACGCCTTCTGCTTCGCGAGCGCGGCCTTCTTCTCCTTCATTTTCCCCGCCGAGTCGCCCTCGTCGCTGCTGTTCATCCCGGCCTCCGAATTATCTTCCTCGTCGCTCACGATGTTGTTGTCGTCATTTAGCTATCCTGTGCAAAAGTATCGCACTCGTAGTAATTGCAGTCATGCATTACAAATCTGGCTCCCAAGGCAATAAATCAGCATGACAAATTCCATTTGTCATGCTGAGCGAATTTGTATTGCAATTACTACTAGTACGATACTTTTGCAATTCATATTAGCTTGAGCATCTTGGTTTTCCCATTCAGCTCCCCTTCCAGCTTTTCCTGCAGTTCCTCATTCAGCCGTTTCTCCTTTAGCAGTTTCTGCTTTCTCGCATATGCCGTAGAACTGGTGTAGGCCTCGTCAAAGATTTTGAATTTCATCTTGCACTCCCGTTTCGATCCCGCGAACGAGAACTGCTTGTCCGTGTACATGGCGACGAGGATCCGGATCAGCGCGCCCATGCAGGCCACATTCGCGGCGTCCTCCTCGGTTTTTACCTGGTACTTTTCGTGGTGCCGCCGCGCGGAGATCATCTCGTAGGCTGCGTTATGCATGGCAAATATGTCTGGGTCTGGAAGGATGCGAACTTGTGATGCGCATTTCACAACACACATAAATCTCTCATGCAGAGGCAGCAAGGGAGGCGCGTCTCCTGTCACCAAAATGGGGGATTTGTCATGCGAATTAGGCAATGCGAAAGATTCTCGAAATCTGTGATGCTAGGGCTTCCATGACAGACCTTCTGTGTCATGCAAAAACAGCATGACAAAAATCTGCACTGTTCCAGACCCAGACATATTTGCATTTGATACGCGTGCGACCCGCAGGCGTCCCGCAGCTTGCTGTCGTCGAGTCGCTGGGTGAGGCACCGGACCAGCGTGTTCTTCTTCTCCAGCTTATCAAAAGGAAAAATCCCCCCACCCCATATCAAAACGAAGTTTCAGATGCTGGATTTGCGTGCACAAATTAGATTTGTCTTGCTGGCGAGGACTACAGGCCCATATGAAGCCTGAGTAGGCAGGTTTTGGCCTAGGCGCTTAGCATGGCAGACGTCTACGCTGTAGCTAAAACAGCATGACAAACCGCCTGTAGAATGCGGCGGAGCTTGTGGAGTTGCCTTCATGCAACACAGAGACGATTTGTGACCTCAAATCAGCAACACAAATTTTCGGCAATATACCTTTTCAATATGGGGAGGGGGGATTTTTCCTGTTAATACAGCTTGATGCGCGCACGGAGCAGCTTCAGCGGGAAGACCTGCGGGAATGGGTGGCAGTAGTGTTTAAGTTTTGGTAAAATCAATGCATTTATTTTATCAACATCGATTTGGCTCTGGAAATACCAAATATGCGCATAAGAACCTGTGACGCAGGTACTTTTTATGCCGGAGCTTCGCTACTAGCGTACCATACCTCTACAAGCGCCGTGGACGTCTGCCCGACAGCATCGGCAGCGACGCCTAACGACCCTCGCCGTGTCAGAACATACGAGGAGGGTGGTAAAAATAAAGCGGTGTGATGCTAATGCTGGAGGTGGGGACAAGCACCAGGAACAGTGATTTTGCAGCATGAGGATCAAAAAAATTATAGTTGCCCATAATTTGATGTTCTACTACTACGACCAGAAAGAGCTTTTTGCTGTGGGAGAAGCGGTCCTGCTTGAGACGCAGTTTCATATACCTTTTCCAGTCCCTTTTTGAAGACGTCGTGGCGCTTCTCGCAGCTGTTGTCCCACTCGGGCAGGTATGCATTGCAAAAGTATTGTACTTAGTAAAACAAAAAATTTTTGCATAATGCTCAGCAAGAGGGGGTCATGGTGAATCCCCTAAAGAAAGAAACCCGGTTTTTCATGCAGATGAAGAACTGCAAAAATTTATTATCAAACGAGTACGATACTTTCGCAATGATGCATAGCAGGTATTTCTTTACGTTGTGCACGAAGGGGTTTTTGTCTTCCACCTTCGTGCCCAGTTGCTGCTCCTCCCGCTTGGCGACCTTTTCCAAGTGCTTCGTCATTTCCTCGATGTCGCCCTCCATCCGGGCGTCGGAGACTTCTTTGCCCTTGGCATCTGTCGTGTGGTGGATCGGTAATTACAAAAATAACTAACTACACACTGAGTACGAAAACGCAGGAGCGGCTCGCCAACATCAAAAAATAAACACAGAATTTTTCTTCTCTACGGCATATGTAATATACCAGATCCAAGACAAAACTAAACCACAGCGAGCAGGTCGTGGCAGACGTGATAGAGATAGGCAAGAGCAAGACCAAAAGCTAGAAATATAAAATCAATGTACTCTTCAGCTTCCTTAAACGTTTGGCCGCCGCAAACATGCCGTGGAACTCGTTCATGCGGTCCAGCCGGTCCTCGGCGGTCAAATCCTTCAAATTCGTGGCGTATTCCAGCATGTTCTCCTCGTAATCCTTCCCCTTGTGGTCCTTGATGGTGGCCCGCACGTTGTGGGCTTCGGTCGGGAAGAGAAACAGAGGGTATGCAATTGCAAATATCAATCTGGGTCGGAAGAAAAAATTCTGTAGCGATAAACAATTTGTGTTGCTGTAGTTTCTTGCATGTTGTTGACAGAGTGACGCTTTGCACACACACGGTCATATGAACGGATCACAAATCATATTTTTCGGCTGGTAATATTCTTGCAGTTTCATCGGGTTCGAGGACCGTGCTTGTTTGCATGAGACAAATATAATTATGAGTTCTTTTACAGCATGCATGTGACGAAAACACTCGCCCTCACACTCAGTCGTATTCATGCCTTAAATAAATACAGATTTTGCATGTACAGATTTCCAGACCCAGACATGATATTTGCAATGCATAGTGCCGTCGTCATTTCGATCTTCGTCCCGCACCGGTCTACTTCCGGAGCGGGAACTTCAACCGCCGTACTGGTGTTCAACGTCTTTTGCTGGTCTTTATCTTTCTTGCGCTTCTTCGCGCTCGGGCCTGCTCCTCCGTCTACTTGGGCGGAGGACTCCGCCGCAGCTCCTTTCTTGTTTCTTGCCTCCAGGTCGTTCATGTACCTATCCTCGGTTTCCGAATCGAAAATGCCCCAGTCCAGCTTACTCGTGGGCAGTTCGACCAGAGCGCCGACGAAGAGCCGGCTAGCGTGGCTCTCGGTCAATTTGGAGTCGCAGTCCGAGACGTTATTGGTGGGCCGTTTCGGGAGTTTTCGCATTTCCCGCAGATTCTGCACCTTATCGGAGAAAGATTTTAAATTTTCGGCCTTCGATACTGGCAGCGTGTTCTTGTTTACCGCGGACGTGTAGACAATCTTCTTTCTCCCGTTGGGACTGTCCTCAAAAGGAGAGCTGCCATCCTCCGCGTCATTGTCCACCCATTTGCCGACCAACTTCAGATCTTGCGTGCCCTGCAGCATCCGCTGAAACCGGGTGTTGTGCGCGAAATCCGCGGTGTTTACCTCCAGCGGGCACTGCATCTGCGCCAAGGGAAGCACGTTCTCCCTGGACATGCCCGCAGGGAGCACGTAGATCGGAATCTTCCGGTTTTCAAATTTCTTTCTCTCCGCTTTGTGGGCGGCAATCTGATCGGGGAAAAAGGAAGGCGCGGCTCCGGTTGTCGAACTACAGGGGGTCGTCTTGAAGGATTTTTTCTTGTTCAAAACTGCACCAGACGAGCTGCTATTACCCTCGCCGCCCGCTGCGGCTCCTGCGGCCGAGTCCGTGTTTTCATCATCAAATAACCTATCGTAGTATTCCAGCGCGGCCGGCTTCGTCTTCGCGTTCAGAACCGCGCCACTGTCGCCGAAGACGCGCAGATTCTCGCGCATCTCCCCGCCGGCGACCGCTCCCCAGTTGTGCGAGGGACAGAGTCCCTTCTGCGCAAAGTCAACCACCCCCTGAATTTGCGTCGGGCAAAGAACTATGCATTGCAAACATGGACCTGGCGGGTCTGAAACAATAAGAGTGGAAATGGAGGTAGGCACTAAATCGGTCATGTCTTGCCTGCTGCCTAGAAATAATCTGTATTGCATGAGCAGCGAAGTCGCGCTGGACCTCCAGCTTTCAATAAATATGCAAATAATTCCAGAATAAACTTGTGATCCTCGGCTGCCCTTGATGCAAGGAAGCGTTGCAATCGAGAGCAACATTGTTCATCATGATCACAGCTGGTTTATTTTTCCACACGTGAACTACCCAGACGAGATCTACGTGTTTGCACAATGCGTAAGAAGGTTCGCGCGCTCGCTACTGCCGTCCGGGACGGCGGGAAGCAATAGGACGTAGCTGTTCGCTTCCAGATTTTTGTTGTTCCCCGAACAATTTCTCTTCGCAGCTGCTTCACCCTGCCCGCTTGTAGAGGATGTACTGCCAGTAGCAGAACTATTATTTCGCACCGCGGCGGTGAACTGCAGTTCGTTTTTCACCACCTCGCCCGCCTTCCGCGACTTTTCCTCCAGCTTTTTCACGATCTTCTCCGCCTTTTCGTGGATCTTCGTCTCACCACTCAGCTGCTCGCCCTCGGCAATTTCGGCCTGCAACTTTTCGGACAGGTTCTCCAAATACTCCCCCTCGTGGGGAAACTGCGTGTGCAGAAAGAGCGCCGGCCGCTGCTCCTTGGCGAGCTGCTGCAGGTCGTGCGTGTTGGTGTTCATCGTCGTGTTGTTCCTGCTAGTAGGTTTGCTGCTGGAGGAGGTCGAGGCCGGATTTTTGTTTTTCGATGGTTTATTTGTACCAATTTTATTCCCCAGCACGTCCTCGTCGCTTGGGAAAAGGTCAACATCCTCGTCGTCCAAGAGCTCCGCGCTATTATTCATCTCGCCCGCTTCTTCCACCTTCGTGCGCCACTCTAAGCAGGCCTCCCCGCTGCGGTTGAGCAGGAGCTCCGGGGCCTGGGCCGCGTTCAGGCGGAACACGTAATAGGAATGGACCTTTGTCCGCGTGGACCGCAGCAGCGGGGGCAGCTGGTTGGACTCCAAAATCTCGCGGCTGGTTCCCTTTCCTGCGCCGCCGCCCAGCCGCATCTTGAACACGTCCGCCACACTGTCGCTGTTCAGAGCCAACATGATATTTTTCGAGGTGATATAGTACTAGTAAGTAGCCTGGGTAAAATAAATGGAGAACAAGTGATCCTCTGCTTACTTTCTATTGCTTCCTTTCAATAACACGACGTGGTAAAAACTTACATGGGCTTGGCTTCGAATCAGACCTCATCTTTCACTGTCAGAAAAGATAGCAAATGGAATGATCAGGAGGGCTTATCTTTTGGATCAAGGCGCTTCTTCGACTAAGTCAGATCGACGGCTGAAGATCGGCGGCTGAAGGGTCTTGATCTCAACATTAACGTCGCAAGGTCTTGATCACCATTCTTTTGTGACACGATCATCTCATTAAAAGGCAGCGTCTTACAACTTCTCTGCATGGAAGTACAACTTTCCACACCTCCAACACTTTTTTTTCTTCGGATCACACTACTTACCAAAAAAACCCCATGTCACGATTCAACACCATCACGATTCAAGCTTGGATCACGAACTGTATCTCCTCTTGTTTTTTGGGGCATTTCGAGGATCTTCACGGCCCTCACCGCAGCCACTTTTTCTGATCTTGCTCAGGTGACTGGTCCTCAATTTATCTACTTCCGGGAGGTCATCACGCGCTTGGTCTGGTGCGTTTGATCCACCTCTTCCATACACTAATGGTGATCGTAGGTTAGGAGAGTGCAAGAAGATCTTCGTGAGCGATAAAAAACTACGGTAGCAAAACAATAACAAAGATCGGTCGTCCTGGATCATCCTCATAATTTCTGATCCTGACACGTCGTCCGGAGAGCAACTAGATCGTTGTCGCTTTCGAAGCTGACTTCTTGGTCTTCAACAAGGACGTTCAGAAAAGCAGAAGCAGGAATGAACAGCCTGCGAACCTTTGGCCCTCCAAGTTTGTGATCACGCTGCGGGGCAGGCTTCGTCAGAACTTTTCTATGACGAGCCATGGCAAGAATCTCGCATGCCACCTTTTTATGCTTATGGGTTCAGGGGGGCTTTTCCTGCTATTTGAGGGTACTTAAAAACAGGGGAAAATAAAATCTTTCACCGCGATGTCGCTACGTCGTCTTACTGTGCTGGAAACAAGCAAGGATCTACTTCGGGTACTGTAGTCGGGTCGGAATCAGCTTTATTTCGCATAGACATGTTGTAGCTCCTGTAGTGGCAACAGAAACTCGTCGCCGGCACGGGTGGTCAGCACAGCAAAGCAAGGCACCCTTTTTGTGAGTAGAGCCCGTGTCCTCGCACGGCGGACTTTAGAAGGAGCTGCGTTTGCTTAAGACTTTTTGTACTACGGCTCGCAATTATATGCTATTCATTTTTTTAACATTATCTCCTGCTGTCAGACTAGATAAACTCACGATACTGCGTACCGCTCCGTCCTTTTCTGGACGAAGATTTTGGTGACTTACAAAGACTATAAAAACTGTGAATGTGTTGAATTTGCTATAAAACTGAGATAATACCAAAGAAGACTTGTGAAAGAAAGAGACTAGTATTTTCAAACTATTCAGAGGTGTTTCGCGTCGCATCCATGGCTGCTCGTCTAGTACTGTCGCTAAATTGCGATCTTCGCTAGAAGATGCGGTTGTCGCTGTTTCGCCTTCGATCCGCGAGAAAAGAGTCTCTTCATGTTGAAACTCTTTTATACTCGCTTCCTACTGCAGCATGAGTTCGGTTAGCTCGCTATCCAAGCAAAAAAAGATGCGTACGTGTAACTTTTTGGAAGGAACAGCATGACACATCTGCCTGGAATGACCGCAAAAACCTCGCCCTGTCATGCGCGGATAGTAAGCACGCGAAAAATAAGTCCAGGAATGGGCCCTGCAAGAATGCATGACAAGCATGACAGGCACCGGTACTACTAGTGTGTTGCGCATCGTCACAAAGCTACACTAGCACGAGTCTTTTTTTTCTTCCATATTCGGTTTCCCATTTTTGATCAGCTCGTCAACTGCGTCCTTGGCAAGGAAAGCAGCCTGCTGCACTTCCAGATGCGCCTCAGGGTATCAGAAAGAAAAATGATCCCCTTCTTCCCCACATTAAAAGAGCAGTTTCTGATGCTGTTGAACTTGCGTACAGGAATCAGTCTTGCAGTGAGAGACCGCAAGATGGATCCTCAGTCTGGGAACTACGGCGCTTACGTCAAGTCGCTGCGCATCGCAGACGCCTGCCCTGTAGGTTAGCTGTACGTCATGCGGCCGACTAGCTGCATGTGGGGGGTTGCTTTCTCGCAAGACAGGGCTGATTTGTGTACTACACAATAAATCAGCATTACAAACTATGGTGGGGAAGGGGGATTTTTCCTCCTGATACGGAGGTGAGTTTCTCCAGGACCGGCCGGACTTCCTTGGTGACGTAGTCCAGTGTTACGGTCGTGTCCTTGCAAAAGGAAGGGGCGAGCTTGCCTGTTGTTGTTTTTAAAGTTTTGATATTGATGTATCTTTTCAGTACTACCTTAAGAATAAGAATTAATTCGGTTCGTGGTGATGAATTTCAGAGAAAAGGCACTAAATGTGAAAAAACTATTAACAAACATCAATACAAGCTCGGTATTTCACGTTGGGCACGACGTCGTTCAGCGCCTTTATGAGCAGGGGTCCCAGCATCGATTCCGTTTGTGCGGCTGACAGCACTTCACCCAGGGGTACCACGGTCTGCAGAACCGTGAGCCGGATGCAGTGTCCGGACTTCTGGGAAAACCTGATAGATAAGGGCCACGCTTGTTGAAGGAATGTAAATCTCCAACAGTTCTTGTCTCGACCTTTTTTTCTTCTCCCGCACAACAGAATGAATTCTTCATACTGGTTTTCGACTGTAGCCTCATACCGGTGATCTACTACTTCCAGGGTCGTCGTGAGACTAGTATCTAATATCATCAAAGTGGTAGTAAGTAAGTTGCTGTAGGTACTACTATTGGTCACGAGACCATTATACCATGAAAATAACTAGCAACAAAACTACAGTCCACTATACTCGTTGAGCAGAGTTGGTATGAAGGTGCCCGTCGCCCACTCGTTGCCAAAGTGCTTGCAGAAGTGCGCGCACTGGTCCACGGCGGCCATGCGGACGGCGTGCACCGAATCCTTCAGCGCTTTCGTGTATGATTTGCAAATATCTCTGGACTTCTTCTATCTAATGCTGTCTAAAGCCGGTTTTTTGTAATGCCAAACACGACTAAACTCGCGCGATGAAGCATCGGAGATGAACTTCCCATGCTTCTCGGTCATGCAGGCCTCCGGCAACCTGCAAAGATCACCATGACAATGTGTCTGCATCTTTTCAGAACCAGACATATTATGTGCTGTTGATATCATGAAGATAGACTCGATTCGCTGGAAGTTTTCCAGCCCGAAATTCTTCGCCAGCGCGGGCAGCATCTCGACCACTGTGCGCCGGATCCGCCAGTGCTTGTCCATAATTACCCCGTTGATTCCATTCAGCAAGCTGTGCGCCGCGGCGTCCTGGGGCCCAAGCAGCGTGCACACGTCGGTCGCGAAAATCACCATATGCAGCCGCATGTGAATTGCAAAAATGTCTGGCTCTGGAAGGTTGGAACTTGTGATGCTAAATTTGGACTCTAAAAAAATATGTATTGCATGACCAGCAAGAGAAGTCTAGTCTGTGCTACGCGGGGAGGGCGTTTTTCATGCGCAGTAGGCATCAGGAAGCCCTCTAAAAATCTGCGAGGCTAGGTCGTGCAGTACAGACATCCTTGGTCATGCAAAACATGCATGACAAGTCTCAGAACCTGCCAGACCCAGACACTTTTGCGATCCATACCGCACGTCGTGGCACTCATCCTTGATCAGGTCCGAGACGAAATTCAGGAGCAGTTTCTGTAGTTGGGATTTGGGATGCTGGTTAAAAGGACTATGCATCTCTGTGGCTATTTGTTCTCCAAATAAGCTAGGGCTTGCATCCTAGAATTTTTATTTTAGTCTTAGTCATGCAAAAACAGCATAAGAGACATCTGCCTTCCTGGGGTATTTACAAAGCAAACATGTTCGATTTTTATACCTGTGTCATGTCTCGGCCGAGCTTCTTCCCGGTCGGCCCGATGATTTTTGCTACCGCAGCACAACTATGGACACTACAAAAGCTTGGGCTACCCGGTAAACGAGTCGGAGTCGTGCGTGATGCAAAAACGGATACATTTGGTCACTGCAAGAGGCAACTCTGACCCAGTGTGAAGGTGCTGAAGTACTAGAGCTCCACAGCAGCAGCTGATGACAAGAACGACGTCACTTTGGAATCGTAACTATCGGTCGTAGTGAAAGCCAATCAGTCGGTGTATCAATGTCAAGAAGCCCTTCGAAACTCACTCCCGCAGCAGGCTGCGAGAGATATTAAAGCAACAATAGATGATTGGAGCATGCAAATAAATCCACAGCAGACTTCCGCGTCGCACGACTACTTTTCACCTTCCCCAAGCTTGTTGATTTTCCAATCCCATACCGCACGTGCTGACTGTTGTCAAGCGCCAGAATTTGGAAGTAGTTGACCACGTAGCTCTGAATCTGGTTATGCATTGCAAATAGGTCTGCGCCTGGAATAAAATACTAGCAAATAACCTGTGACGACGCTATTTAACTCGCGAGGACCACTTCTACACAAAAATTTGTATTGCATCAGCTCCAGCAAAAGAAAGTGGTCCGCTTCTTGTTACGAGAAGAGTGAATTTCGATTTCCTATGCGAGGAGCTAGGCATCGAGAAGTACTTAGCCTGCCAAAACCTGTACTTAAAAATGCTTCTGTGTGCATTTCAGATCATCGGCTTGATGCAAAAAAACTGCATGACAAGAAAGCAAGCGTGTGCATCAATTTTATTCCTAGCCTGGACATATTTTCATCTCATACTGGTCTTGCGTCAACAGGTCCGCCTCAAGCAAGTCGCCGATCGCTTTTGTGGCCGCGGTCCGCATATCCTGTGCAAAAGTATCGCACTCGTAGTACTATTGCATTGATGCATTGCAAATCTCCTTCTCAAGGTAAATCAGCATTACAAACTTAATTTGTAAAAATGCTGGGCCAATTTGTAATGCAAATATACTAGTGCGATGCTTTTGCAATTCATATCGCACCTCCTGCTCGATGTCCTTCAGCATGTTGGAAAAGGTATGGATTGCAAAAATGTCTGGGTCTGGAAGATTGCGAGATTTGTCATGCTGATCTGGCATGGCCCTTAAATCTGTATTGCGTGGCCACAAACAGCCTCTCTCGCCTGTCATGCAAAAACGCAGTTTCTCATGCGGAATACGCAGCACAGAAGCACGATGCAGCTTTTCATGCGTGGCGGCGCATTACAGTGCATTTGTTGTTGACTGAAATGCATCACAAATTTCCAGACCCAGACATTTTTACATTTGATAAAAGGGGGCGAGCAAAAATTGGGTCATCGCGTCCTGGCCAAGGCCCCTGGAACGTGATCGTGTAATACAATTACATCACTTTCACTCGATAAACATTCAACATAATGCTGCAAGTTACTGCCTTCTGCAATGATCTTCGTCCTACTTACTACCTAAGAACAATTTTCGTACAAACTCGAAGACAAGGAGCAGGCACTTATGTGATGAATCAGGTGTAACTATACTCGCACAAAACCGCGAATCGCTCCGCGACTTTGAGTCGGACGCGCCATGACCTGTCTTCCAAGTATCCGAGAGAAAAAAGCTGACAGGGCACATTTGTAATGCAAAAATGAATACAACACAGAAAAATTTGCCATGGGGGGGCCCATAGCATGCTATTTCAGATATGCAATGCAGATTTTTTTCCGTATTTATCTTTGCATTACCAATATGCCCTGCCTGCTTTTTCTGTGGGATACCAAGGCAGCGGTGATGATGGGCAGGATGTGCTGCTTGCTTCCCTCTGGATCGCCCTTGAATTGCAGCTGCACCAAGTTTATCAACTGTAAAAATGTCTGGGTCTGGAAGAATGCAACTTGTGATGCTGCATTTGGATGTCTAAAAAATTTGTGTTGCATGAGCAGCAAAAGGAATCTAATTTTTGCTACGCGGGGAGGGCATTTGTCATGCGGAATAGGTATCAAGAATCCCTGAAAAAACCTGTGATACTAGAGCATGCATCACAGACGTCATAGCTCATGCAAACCGTGCGTGACAAGTCTCAGAATCTTGCAGACCCAGACACTTTTACATTTGATAAAGTTTGCGGACGTCTCGATGCAAGAGGTCCGTATGACGTCCTGGGTATCGTCGGCGGCCAGATTTCGGTAGACCGGGATCATGTCTGCGACGCAGTATCCCACAGAAAAAGACCGACAGGTCATATTTGTAATGCAAAAATAAATACACAGGAAAATCTGTCATGGGCGAGGCCATAACATCCTGTTTAGGGCATGCAATACAGATTTTTTTGTCTATTTATTTTTGCATTACAAATATGACCTGTCGGTCTTTTTCTGGGGGATACGCAGTTCTGCTTGTCCACAACTTTGACGAATTCTGTTTATACATGATTCATCTCTGTTCATACTTCTAGCTTTCGACATAGTACAACCGATACCGAACGACGAAGAAGTCCAATACTTTTGTCATGGACAGCACTACTGCATTTACTAAACAAAAAACTTACTACAAGCAAGAAACAGTACTTTTCCTGAATCGACGTAAATAAAAACGAACTCTTTAGTATTTATACCTGCCAGGTGGTGCGCCGCACTTCTTCGCACCATCGGGGTCTCATCCGCCGCGAGATTGTTGTAAAGCTTCCTCAATTCGGTCTTCTGCGTTTCCGACACCCGTGCGTAGACCGCGGCAAACAGGCCGCACACGCTCAAGCGCGCCGTGAACCATTTATGCATTGCAAATATCCCTGGATGTCTGGGAGATTAAATTAAAACTTGTCATGCTAAATCTGAACGATGCAAAAATCTGTGCTGCGTGAGTACCAAAAGCTGTCCGCTCTTGACCAAGTTGAGAGGGAGTCTCTCATGCAGGAAAGGCACGATGGAGACCTCAGAGAATCTGTCATGCTGGATCTCGCACTCCAGACCTCGTGGGTCATGGAAAACCTGCATGACAAGTCTTGCAACGTTCCAGACGACCCAGACATATTTGCATTTGATACCATTCCGCCTGGGACAACTTCACCAGCGTTGGCAGGACGTCCTGCTGCACATTCACGCGTATGAAATGCACAAAATGTCTGGGTCTGGAAACTTGTGATGCAAGGAAGGGAATTTTGAGCACACTGTAATGCCCTCCCCAGCATGACAAGTTTTTCCGTGGTTCAGAGTTGCGCACTCCGCATGAGAAACTGCGTTTTTGCATGACAGACAAGAGGACCTCTTCGCGGGCACGCAATACAGAGTTTAGAGTCATGCCAGACTAGCATGACAAATCTCACAATCTCCCAGGCCCAGACATATTTGCAGTTCATAACGCGACCGCGTATACATATCTCCTTTATCCCTGAAGATGCATCGAAGATTTGGTTCCGTTTTTGTTTTTTTTTCACAAGAACGAACATTGTAGATGATAAAAAAAAGTCATCGCAGAATAAGGGCCTCACTTGCAGATGATGAATAAGATGTATTTATCTAATTTTGGTAGCGCTAGAACTAGTACACTTATTGACGCCGAATCAGAGTTTCTTTTGTACCTTCAATCGCCTTTTCTCTTATCACGGTCTCTTCCTGCAGCGCGAGCCATTGCACCGCTTCCAGGAGTATGCATTGCAAATCTGTCCGGATCTGGATTTTTTGTGAGGTTCTAAAATCTGTATTTGGTGGACCCGGTGGGCCAGTTTTTTTCTCATGCAGTTGTGATGCTAAACACGAAGGAAAAAGAATGCCCAAGAATTGGGCTCACAATAATTGTAATGCGTAGTTGTCATGCCGTACAAATGTATAGCGGCCGCTTTCTCATGCACGGGCTTCAGCATGACAGATTGTCTGCTGTCCGGTCTTCAGACCCAGATGTTGACATATTTGCAGTTGATAAGGAGGCAGAGGTGGTTCCCGCCAACGAAGTCGAGCAGAAGTATGTACTGCTCCCCCGTCCGGAAGAGAAATTCGTCGTCATTAAAGTAGTCTTGTTTTTCGTGGTAAAGAAAATCGTCCCCAGCGACACTGAATACCAAAATCCTAAACTGTTTTCTCGTTTGCCAAAATCCTAAATCACAGCCAGCATGTTGCTGTGGAAGTGTGTGTGTGTGTGTGGCGATTGATGTCTCTGTCAAAAACCTGTACACCACAGTGGAGCTAATGTAAAAACTACCTATGTCAACAGTTACGCGTAAAAGTGTGTATGCTCCTTCGACGGTGCCCAATTTTATTCAGTATGCGTATGCTTCGCGAATATGTCTAGGTCTGGAAGATTGCAAGTTTGTCAAGCTTGTCTGGCATTACGCTTACTTCTCTGATGCATCAACACAAGGGCCTCGTGTTTGTCATGCAAAACGCAGTTCGCAATGCAGAAAAGCAAAAGGAAACACGTAGCAGCTCATCTTCAATAACTTGTCATGCTGGGCTGCGTATCGCAGTGCGCTGACAATTCACAGATTTGCATATCACAACCTTCCAGACCCCGCCATATTTGCTGCATTTGATAATGCTGTATGGGACGCAATTTTGCACTTGATATTTTTTCGACGACTCGTAGAGGAAGGGAATCAGCTTATCCTGTGTAAAAACGTCCCTACCCCAGAGTTGTCATGCGAATGCGCAATGGCATAACCATTTGCAATGCGCATCTCCATGCGACGCGTTTCCAAACGTGTTTTGGCATTTGTAGTGCTGTAAACAGGATGAGAAAGCGGCTTTCTCATGCGGCTTCCCTTGCGAACCACCACTACGCTGTAGCTGGAAACTTGTGATGCACAACTCCCAAAACTTGGAGATTTGTGTTGCAGATTTACCAACTTGACCTTGGGGTGGGGACGTTTTTGCTCAAGATACAGCTCGTCCACAGTTCGCCGCGTGCCAATCGCGTACGCGATTTGGTGGGCCCGGGAGACTGCTTGCAGCCGTATGCGCTGCGAGTCATTCTTGATCTCTTCTTTGAAGAAATGAAGCCATATCCAGCAGAAAAAAACAGGCATAGGGCATAAATAATTGTAATGCAAAACCCCTTGAGAGTTCTTTCTGTTGATTCATTCTACGCATTACAAATCTGCCCTATCCCTGTCTCTTTCTGTGGGATATGCCAGTCGACGGAGGCCATGGTATCACGGTTGGATCAAGTCCGTAAAGTAAAGGTCCGCTCTTCTTTGATGTCGTTTGGGTAGTAGTTCTCGGTGCAGCTCGAGGTGCCGTCGTGTAGAAGGAAAACAACTGAAAACCGATTTAGGGAGAAGTACTGAGGCTGGAACGACTTCAGGGTCGGACGGAACTTACTTCTCCCGTTCGTCTGCACCGGCCTATGATCCGACGATCGGCTTCGCTTCGGCGGGTGTAGTCCGCTTTAGTAATTTTCGGGGCTTGATGTAGTTTAACCAATCGGTGCTTACACCTATCGGTCTTTCCTCTACCCGTGTCGCCGATATTCTTAGACTGGTCGTCTGTATTGAGGAACCGGCGTCGACTTCTGCTGCCAGCCGTAGTAAGTACTTCTCGTGGACTACAGCCTCGCTGGGGTCGCTTAGTTCCTGGTCCGGGTAGTTGTATTTCTAGCTGTAATGTGTACTGCTCCTACCGGTACTACACTAGTGGTCCTCCTCGTCGTGTCCTCTTCTAGAGCACCAAAGCAGCTCGGCACAGCAGCTCTTTGCCGCCACCGCCGGTGGTAGTTCCGGCCCGGGCAGACTGTTCACAAAATGGTCCTGTGCAGCGGCGGGGGGAAGAAGTGGACAGGGGTTTGTCCTGCACAGACGCCAGTTGTTTATTTCGGGTGAAAATAAAGTTTGCAGTTTCAATATTATCGCCCCCCGCTCCGACGACCGCGCATCCATTATCATACGCTGCAGCTCTCATAATTGATTATCTTCTTCATGCGCGTCTACTAAATTGTGTCTCGATAGAAGTCTTCGACAGGAAGTTCGTTGTTTGGTACTTGTATCAAAAGGCAAAAACTCCTTCCTCTACACTCTGGTCCGACCTCGCTGCACAAAGGAAAAAGCCAACCACTGATAGGAGCACAGCGCGCCGCGACCGGAGTCGCTAGGTACTACTGAAAAAAAATGGATATTAAACACAGCGCGCGGCGATCTCAGTCTATCATTTTGCTCAGCTTTAACATTGTTACCGACAAGAAGGAAAAAAAGGTATAACTATCGTGGCCTACTTGCTCACACTGACAGAATCATTTACACATCGTCTGGTAATAAATTGCGTTGGTTGGTCAGTTCGTGGCTGCAAGTTGTGCCACTGAACTGCCACTCTGCGTCACGGAAGGGACATCAAATTGTAATTGGTTGAACTGCAGATTACTATTTTGCTATGTGATAAAAGATCTTTTCCATGGCCTCGACGTCGACATGCCAAAAATGTTTATTATGCATAGCACAGCACCAAGTCGTGAGAAGGCCGCTGGTGGAAGTTCGTACATTTCTGTGAATTTGTCTGCTAAGTACTTGACATTTCAGCCCTAATACTACTGCATAGTTGCAGAGCTTGCGGTATTAACACTGCAAATCAAAGTTTTTCGCGTTCTAGAGCACAGATTTCATTTGTTACTTTCAGTTTTCTCTTTAAGTATCGTGTTTTGCTTGTCCTCCATCTCCCGCTACTGGAAAAGCGGTTCTTACATACAAGGACACCAACAACGGCACGTGCTTACAGCGCGTTTTCAACTACATCCTGGCCCCGAACTTGCATGTAGTGGAAAACTCAATAGAGCAGCAAACACGGCGCTCACTCCGCTTCAGCTGCTACACGGCTCTGAAGAAAAACGCTCCGAAAAATACGAACAAGCCGGCGCAGTGCCTTCTGACTCTTCAACCCAGCCAAAACCATAGTTTTGGTGTCGCCCCCCGCGGACCTTGAAGTAGCGGGAGGAGCTTCTTTGCTGTCGGTTTTACTTGACTGCGCAGAAGGACATTAGGTCTCAGTATCTATGCCTCGCCCCGGCGCGGACGCGCAGTGGCAAGAAGAGGGCACGGTGCAAAAACTTTTGCGAATAACTATGTAGTTGTGGGACGACAAGAATCTTTCTCCTGCGGACTAAGCCGACAATCAATCTACTTAAAAAGCAGTCGTGCGGCCACGTGTTCACAGCGAACTCTCATTTGCTGTTAGTTCACCACCCGTAGCAGCATGCAACTTTACTAGGAGACCGTCGCGTTATCATTTCTATCTAGTAATTCTCACACCCGCAGGCTCTGCTCCGGGCGCATGGTGGCTGAGACCGAGCTCTGCGTCTGCCGAAAAACGCGGTCGTCGCCGTCAAGGGAGCAGGTCCAGTAGTTGTAAACGCTGGAGACGGCGGAACAGTATGACAGTGCACAACTCCCCCTCCCCTTCACTTGTCTAACATGAACGGCAATACAAGCATCAGCAAGAGTGCCGGCTTTGCATGACAGATTTGCACTGGAGTATAGTGCTATTTGAGCTGCCAGAACTTGTCACGCACACAGTGCCAAGAGGCAAAGGGTGGATTGGGTATTTTGCATGACAAATGAGGGGGAGGGGAAGTTGTGCACTGTCATAAACAGGGGGTCAAGTCCTGAAACAGAAAACACATCCCCTTCACGTTTCCGCTGTACAACGGCAAAAGTCGTACAGTAGCAGGAGGAGTACTCCTCGTAGTAATTACATCAATCTTGCATCATGACAAATGTCCTTTTGGACCTTGCTCAGCATTACAACTTGCCTTTTCTACATTCATTCACAATCACCACTAGCACGAGACTTTTGCAATGCGTACCCACTGTACCGCTGCACCACGTGGGGGTTCCGCTCCGGATTCAGGTACTCGAAGGCCGGTATGGAGTTGTCAACCGTTTTGACGCTGTCAGCTGTTGCACGAAAGCGTGATGCACGAATAGCAAATGCGAAAGGAGGGAGTTTGCGCGTCTTGCATTACAGGTTTCTTGTCGTCGAATCTACGCTGTTTTTTTGGCGCGTCGAGAACTTCTTGTGACGCGAAGCAGCTCGATCGCGTGGAGAGTCAGGGTGGTAGTGATTCTGCATGACAGATCATGTGACAGCTCCTGAGAAGGTAACGGTTGAGAACAACTCCATAGCCGTCAGATCCGCCTTTCATTTTGGAGATTGCGTACTTTTCAAAAAATTCTACGATATTGATCTAGAAATCCGCAGTCACGATCAGGGTGGAATCGCAAGCAAAAGGACACAGCAGCAAGACGATGAAAAAAGTTTAAGTTTATATCACAGTAATATTTTTTACCAGCATGAGCGCCACGTGTCTCCCGAGCAGCAATGCGACGAAGCCCAGCAGTCCCAGGTTGCACTATGCACTGCAAACATGTCTGGGTCTTGAAGAACGCAATATCTGTCATGCACATTTGGCATAACCCATCATGTCTGTGATGTATGCTCTAGCATCACAGATTTTTTGATCATGCCTGTCCCGCATCAGAAATGCCCTCTCCGCGCTGCAACGAGTGAACTCCTCTTGCTGATCATGCAATACAGATTGTCTTAGAATCCAGAGGCACCGTCACAAGCTCTTGCACTCTTCCAGACATCCAGGGATTATATGTGCAATGCATATGCACACTGCGCTTGCGAGTAAGCAGATCTTTCCCACAACGCCGGTTTCGAAGAAGAACGCCACGTCGCCGCTGGTGTTTTCGATTTCAGTCAGCAGGTAATCGAAGAACAAGGAAAACCACCACAATGTCAGCGTGAACGCAGACAGGAGGAAGAGAAAAAAACTGCGCTGGTTGCCGAGCCCGATCGCGTTGTCGACCCAGGGACAATGGTGGTCAAACCGTTCGACGACGCGGCACTTCTCTTTCCAGAACTTCGATCTCTGCGTCAGGAGGCAGCGACAGGTGACGTTCAGGTTCTGAAAGTTCCCCGACAACACTTTCTGCAGGTACAGTGTGCCGTTTAACGCTGCGGCGGGCGAAGATACGCGGGCTGTTGTAGTGGCGGGAACAACATCTTCCGGCGCACTGCTGAGACTGCTTATTTCTTTTCCACTCCGGGTTTCATGATCTCCCGCCGGCGTCGTCAATTCGAGCACGCTGTCAACACGAAAAAGACTGCTGTGTCCGGCAACAGGGGTTGCAGTGGAGGGGAAAACATTTTTGCCACTGCTAGATGATGGCGCTTCTTCAAAAAGGTGGACACACAAGCGCACGACTTAGCGCAGCAGTGCACGACTTAAGCAGCGCACTACCTAACAAACGTCGCACTACCTAACAAAGTGCGCAGCAGCGCACTATCTAACAAAAGCGCACTACCTAACAAAAGCGCACTACCTAACAAAAGCGCACTACCTAACAAAAGCGCACTACCTAACAAAAGCGCGCTACCTAACAAATGTCGGTGCACTACTTATAGCGAACGTTTAGCGGTTGCTTCTGCGCTAACGACTGCTTAAGTCGTGCGCACTACTTAACGCAGCAAAGTCGCGCACGGCATCTCGAGCGTAGCGCACGACTTACCGCAACGGAAAGGCTGGGCGTGGCCGCAGGGCACCCGTAAGGGTGTCGCGCATGATGACTTTAGAAGTGGAGACACGCACAACTTCAGCAAAAATCCTGGTCGCAAAGCGCTCCCGCAGCGAGGTACCTACGTCGTTGCAGCACGTGCACGAAGAGCGCTGGCGCTGAGACATGACAAACTCTACTTCCGTCTCTGTTTATTGAGAAGTTCCTGTTAACAATACCGAAGCCGAACACAAAGCTGCTTTTCGCTTCGGTACAGCAGCCGACGCAACTTCCCCACGTCCGCCGAAATCGCGAAAATCCGGTCGTTCAGCGTTTCCAGGTCCTTCGCAAAGACCGTATGTGCAATTTCACTGTCGCTGTAGTTCGTTTCTTGCGTCAGGGTTCTCTGCTCCTGGCGCACGTGCGCGGGCAAATAAACGTGGGACACGTCCTTCGGCAAGAGAAGCTGTCGCTGGAAGTTGAACTGGTGCAGGTCCCGCTCGAGCTCGTACAAATCCTCCAACGCACCGAGGACATCATCCACGGTGATTTTCCGTCGCCGTTCGTCCGGGAAGTTATGCAATACAAATTTCCCGTACATGTACAAGATGCATCACAAATTCTACCAATTTGGAGCGTAAAACTTGTCATGCTAAACCAGGAGCGAAGCCAAGCTTTGTCATGTTGGGAAACTAAGGGCAGGGCGTCCCTTTTGTAAATCGAAACTACAAACTTTAAACCACCTACCCGGTAAACTCTAAAGCAGAAAAATTGAACAGCGCGATTTCTACCGAGAGACAGCAACAGAAACTCCTGGGACGGCTGCGACGTGAGTTCTGTTGTTATCTGAGTAGAAATAGCACTGTGCAACAGTCGTGCCTTAGCACCGAGGGAACCGAAAAAATAAAAAGGTGTGAAGAAGCTAACTATGACACAGTCCCACCTACCCAAAGAACCATCCTAGAGGTGGTATCTCGAATTTCTAGCATGAAGGAACTGATTGGTTTGGGAAATGGGGTTGCGATCGTGGCGCCAACATCCAAATCCAGACCAACATGCAAATGGCCCGATGAGCCACGAGGTTGGTGTGTCCAGCATGACAAACACGACGTCAAAGATAAATAGTGCCACGAGACCGGAGTAGTTCATGACCAAACCGAGGAATTGCATGACAAATTTTGGCCGAGCTGTAACAAATTCGAGAACCAGGATGGAAATAGTGTACTTAACCTGCGTAGTGGTCGCGTACTAAGAACCCCTAGGAAGAAAGTAAATATCAATGAAGGTTAGGTATTATAGTAATGCAGAGACCGCATTTGTATGCAGAGACCAAGCTTTGTCATGCAGAGACCGCATTTGTACGTGTACAGGAAATTATTTACTGTGGATAGAAATGAAGCAGATCGTACAGCTGCTGCTGCTTCAATCGCTTGATACTCCAGTTTTTGCTGCTCGATGCCGCCGCGCTGGGCGCGGTCCCGCGCACGTCGCAGGTCACCCGGTGCTCCACGCTCTCGATCAGAATGCTCTGCTGCCGCTTCGAAGGCGTTTTCTTGTTCGCCACCGTGTGATCACTCGAATCGATCGGTGCCGAGTCCTATGCATTGCAAAAGCATATGTAATAGTGCAACAATTCTTGCATGATACAAATGGATTCCAAAGCAAAATCATACTTCTCATGCAGAGTTAGGTCGTGAAGTAGCAGATCTGTCATGCAAGACTTCTGCAATTAGGAAAAGTTACTTCCTACACATATTGCTTTTGCACAGGATATATTCTTGCTATTGTTCGCCGATGAAACGTTGCCTGGGGTGTCGTTTGCCGCGGTGGTAGACGCCATTTCCATCAGATCCAAATCGATCAAGTCGGGCCGCTCGTATCCACAGTAAATTTTCCGTACACCTACAGGTGCGGTCTCTGCATGACAAGACTTGGCTTCGATTCTAGTTTAGCATGACAAGTTTTACGCTCCAAATTTGTGAAATTTGTGGTGCATGTTGTCCATGTACGGGAAATTTGTATTGCATAGCTCGTTCTCGTCTGCAACGAAGATGCTCGTCGCGGCGGTCGGGTACAGGGCGTACAGGTCCTCGCGATACTTTGCAATCTCGCTGTTAAGCCTCCTTGGTTGTACTGTCGGTGACGACGTCGAGTTTACACCTTGTTGTAGCTCCACCGTTGGACGATTATCGACTCCAGCAAGATGAGCAGCGCCGTCGATTATATCGCCCCCGCTACTGTCGATCAGCGGTGTGTAAAAGAACTTTTGCTCGCGCGCGTTGGTAATACCCCCCGCAGTAGAAGTAGACCCACTGGCACTACCTCCATGCAACGGCCCCAGACCGCAACTGCTGTCCTGCAGGGCGCGGAGACAGTTCCGCGTGGCGTTTGGCCGCCGCTTCTTGCTCGCGGGCCTGCGCTTGCGAAAGGCGGCCACGTGGGTCATCTGGGACCCGATCACCTGGTCCGCGTCAAACGTTTCGGCGTGGTCAAAAATCCGCTGCGCCTGGCTCAGAATGGTGTTGGGCGCGAGACACCCCGGGTCCGTTTGCCAGCACAGCAGCCAGAGTTTCACCGTGAGGGCGTAGTAAACCAGCCAGAGCACTACGTTGGTGATGCCAAAAGAATCTTCGAAAAGACTATAACTCGTGAAGAAAGCTCCACTTCCGTTGCCCACCGGGTTTTCAATATCGCCAGGCGAGGAAGACGAGGGTGGTGCTCCACCTGTGCTCTCCGGAGGTAGGTGTGCTGTCCCGGTTGTAGTGCCGACCGCCACGGCGATCCTACTGGGCAGTATAACCCCGAGAACGACCACCAAATTGACGAAGAACACCGCGGCGACGCGCCACGCGAAGTCGTCCTGGAAGATGTGGGGGTGGCCGCAGACACGGTAAAAGCATTTTGCGACGAAAAAGTTCCAGCACAGGGACCAATTACTACTGCGGTACGCGATCTGCATCGGCGTGTCACCGCACCCGTCGGGCTCGTCGATGAGAAAGTGGCCTGTGCTGTTCGGTGGAAAAACGCACCCAGGACAACGTATACGTAGCTAACGGCGGCGGGAGTGGTTGTGCTATGAAATAACTAGAGATTCACTTTTAAAAACTCTATTCCGAATGCCAAGGCTCGACACGTTGTTATATGCAGAGTTGTGCGCGGATGGCGCAGTCGCATCACAAACCCGGTTTGATATCCTGATTTTGTTCGGGCATGTTGACCACCACAAATCTACTTCCTCAGAAACCGATCCACCGTGCGTGCATGGGCGAGAAATAACCGGCGCTCGTACGTGAGACCATAACGAACTACTTCTCGGCATGCATCGAATCGAAACGCGCACAAAGCCAGCTCTGAAAGCGATGGGTACGTTTTTCCACTTAGGATATCCGACTGCCAGGAGCCAGTCCACCACGGGCCTTGCCGCCATCCAGACCTCGGTGGCGTCCTTCCTCGCCGCCCAGTGCAGCGCCGTGAGGCCCTCGTGGTCGCGGTGAGCCACCGAGGCGGCCCGGGACAGCAGATACGTCACCGTTTTGCAGTGTCCGCGCGCACAGGCGTACTGCAGGGCGGTGCGGCCCAGGTTGTCCTGCTCCTCCACCGAAGCACCGGTCTGCAGGTACAAGTACTCCAAAAGTTCCACGGCGTCCTCCTGCGCCGCGACCAAGAACACCGACATGCCCTCCTTGTCGCGCATGGTGAAATATCCTGTGCAAAAGTATCTCTCGTACTAATTGCAATTACGCATTACAAATTTCCTCTCCAAGGTAAAATAGCATGACAAATTTTTCATGCTGAGAGAACTTGTATATACCAGTACGATGCTTTTGCAATTCATATAAAAACCCCGGGGTCTCGCCGGTACAGGAGGCGTAGCGCGGTCACGTTTTTGCTCTTCGCCGCCCAGTGGGCGCAGGTTTCCTGCAGCCCCGCGGTCCCGTGCCGCACCTGCTCGACCGTGGAATTTTGTAACATATCAACAGCAAAAATGTCTGGGTCTGGAAACTTGTAATGCTGCGTTGGGAGTAGTGAATGCCCTGTAATGCACAGGCAAGCATGAAAAATATTCGCGCTTCTTTGTGTTGCGTTTTTCGCATGACAGGCTGCGTTTTTGCATGACAGACAAAAGGGTCTCTTCTTGGACACGCATCGGAAACTTTTCGGCCATGCCAGACACGCATGACAAATCTCAAAATCTTCCAGACCCATACATTTTTGCATTTGATACAACAGCAGGCTGAGCAACTCGAAATAGCTGACGCACTTCTGCCGCCGGACCTCCTGGTTCAGGGCCAGAAAGCGGGGACCGCTGTACCAGCACGCCCAGTGGAAGGCCGTGGAGCCGTCCGGCAACGGCGTTACTGGGTAGTTCCCGCGCCGAAAAAGGTCGCAGGCCACCTCCGGCTGGTCCCATGCCGCCGCCTCCGTCACGGTTTCTGGTACGCGTAGCGCGGCCCCATTATGATCCACCCCGCGCTGCATCGTGCCAACGTGCTGGGATTTATCGGTTGCGTGTCGCTACTAGCGAAGGTGGCGGCCGCCCGGCGCAACAAGCGGATTTATTTTCTTAGGTGCGCAAAGATCGACGCATGCGCGCTGCCGTGGTGCTCCGCTGTAGCTGCCTCGTGCGTTGTTGCAAAAACACGTTCAAAACATACACAGGAAACAAGTTCCTATCTGCACGGTCACAAGAAGATTCGACATACGATGTTGCACGAGGAGAGAAGCGACCAAATTGTACGGAGAAAGCTGTGAAGTAAGTACTTGTTGTCGACGTTTTATTCTGGGGTACATTTTACGACGGGGAACAACACGACACGTGGACAACAACGTCCTTCCGCCGCGCGCGGATTCACGAGTACCAGAGTGAAGAAGATTGCAACCAACTTCTTACCCTGAAATTATATCACAGCACTTGTACTTGGAAACCGCGAACACAGCTGCTACGTCTACAGCAATCGAGCGCATCAACATGTTAGCATCAGCACGTGAGAGCAAGCTCAAGCACAGCACAGCACGGCACCGCTGACTTCAAAGTCGTTTGTTTCTTTTCGTCTCCAACATGGGCTCAAGAGAAGTCAAAGTTCTGTGCATCCGCATTTTACACCAGTACCCTGGCGAACTACCAAAACACTTGCGTCGTCAACAGAGGGCTAGTATACCACATAGAGGTACTGCCATCGACCTATGAGTTCTTCACGAAAAATTTTCGCACCGTCGAGTGAACAAAAATATCGCCATGAAAATTTTTGTTCAGAAAGAAATTTCGCTTTACATCTCCATATAGACAAATCATCATTATACATCAAGCGCCGCCCTTGCGTTAAAGTACATCAGCTACACGGTTCCCAATGACGGTTGTCGGCGCCTCGCACCGCGTTCGGGTCCGGTTCGGCGGAAGGCATCGCGGGGGAAAAGTAGTTCGCCGCGGGCCACTTGCACTCGCCCGTGTACCGATTGAAAAAGTAGTACACCCCGGGTCGGGATCGGCTTTCTACCTTTGTCCAGTATTTCTCGGGGTCCACCCGGTTCTGGCTTTTCAGTTCTTTCACGATCTTCACCTTGGGGCACTCCGCCTGGCGAATAGCCGCCCAGATGTAAGCATTCTTATCCTGCTCCAGGGTCACCAGCGCGTAGGAGTTCGGGTCCCCCCCGGTGGGCGACGCAGGATCGACGCTGAGCTCGTTGCTGGTGGACATCGTTCTGAACGGCTCCACGGGTGGACAAGTTCAAATTTGGTTTTGGCTAGTGCAAGTTTCATGTACGAGCATCATCCTCGAACGATATTAGGTCGTAGCCGTACTCAGGTGCGGCACTTTGAGTTTGAACAAAAAATGCATTGCATCCGGACAGTAGCACTTGATTCCGAGGCCGGCGAGTTTATTCGAGATGTGCGAAAAAGGAAGGTCTAAACGTTCGCAAGCGTGGGCCCTGGGGAAGTAATTTTCCTCTATCGCGTTGCAAAACAAGGACCGTGTTTTTTTTTCAAAAGCTAAACCGATGATAGAGCCGGGCAAGGCCGCGGTGCGCGATCGATGCAGAAGACCGATTTTTGTTGTTTCTGTCGACCGAGTGGCTGTGCATCAGAGCACCTTCTACCGATAGTGGTCCGATGTGTGCGGCAGGGGCACTTCAATGAATTTCGGAAGGCGACATAGGAAATTCCCAGCGGTAGGGTCTCCAGTTTCAATTTTATTCGCTTCACTTCGCTGGGTGGTGGTTGGCGGTGGCCTCTTCGCATGTGGCCCACTAGACCGGGGATGGGAACGACGCCACGCCATGCACCTCAGGCACGCGACTACCAAATGGCCGCGCGGGCGCCGAACCCGGGTTATCTGCGGTCGAGCGCAAGGCCCCCCCCGCGACCTTGCGCTGGGACCCGCGCGCGCGCAGCTTGGCGACTTCCCCCCCCCCCCACGGACGGGGAGCAGGCCGAACGCAGGGACCGGGGCGCCCGAGCGTGCCACGCCGTGCGCGGGCGACGTTGCGCCCTCCCGTACAAGATCGGCACAGCGAAGGCCTACGCGGCGCAGGCTCGGACAAGGTCCTCCTGCCCCGCGATTGCGACGCATCTTCGGAGTCTCCGCGTTGTATTTTCCCGCGTAGCGCACCGCGTCCCACCGGTACAAGGAGCGCGCGACGACCTAAGAAGGGCGCCATGTCATTCAAGGACCCCCGCAGTGGGCCACTATTGTATGCGCGGAGGATATGAGGTACTTTTTTCCTGTAATTTGTGCAAAAAGAGAAATAAAGCGCCTGGGCTGTGGTCATCGACTCAGGCGGATCAGCTATTAGGCACCCATTACAAGATAGCTAATGCCTACACTGATCATCATCACCACTCCTGGCCAGTTTTTCCTATGCTTTCCTAAAGACCAACTATTCAGAAAATTACCACACTGCTAAAAAAGTGTCAAAACTACCCTAGAAATGTCAGCGAGACTTAGGGCGCCTTTTTTATAAGAGTTTTGCTTTATTTGCAACATCAAAATCAAGCCACGTTAGCAATTTCTTAGGGTTGTGAAAAATAGTGAAAAAATTAAAAATTTTTCCCGTCGAAAAAAATCAGCAACGTGCAATTTGAAATGCTACCCCTGTGACATAGTTTTGGGAGTCGCTCCCATTAGTCCATTTATAAAAGCGACAGGCAGTGAAATTCTTCGATTTTTTCCGGCGAACAAAAGTTGGAAAATTTTGAAAAATTTCGAAAATGGAAGCAATGTCCTTCCAACCTGTTAAAAGTAAGCAAAAAGATAAAAGTATTGCGATATTAATTATCATAGATCTTTCTTCCCATCTAAATCACATTCAGCGCATTGGCTTTTGCAAAAATTCACCCTAGTCAAAATTTTGAAAAAAAATGAAAAAAATAACAAAACAAAGACGATGCCTACGCGTCATGCAATTTCACAACCGACTCGGTCAGGAATGTAGTGCGGTGACGCTTTCTGATGCATATAATGTAAAAGAATCTGCCATGGCGGATTTTTTGCAATTTTTAAAAATTTAAAAATTTTGAAACTGTCCCCATGAGATAAATGACCTTCGTAATCTGGCAAGGTATATAGGCAAGAGATGAAACTGGTGTGCCTTCTGGTGGTAAGATTACCTACTAAATTGGAAAACGTTGGCAGATTTACAATATGCAGAATTTCTTAAAATCGCCAAAAAAGCAAGGCGGGTCTGAACATGTGACCCATCTTATCTCCTAGGGTAGCCCTTTGTATTTGGTGACTAAGAGGGAGCGCGCACCCCAAGACGTTGCCTTTTTCCTAGTACAATTCCCGGCGGGATCAATAGGTCTGACCAGCATACTACATATCAACCCGCTGCGGAAATTCTTACCCCCCCTATCTCTTGCAAGGACGGGGCTGGGCCTCCTCCGTCGATGGAGAGGGGGCGCAAATCCATAGACGCGGCGCCCTGTCGTCGCGCTTCATCGACTACACCGCGGCCGCTTCTTGGCTGCGGTACTCGCATGCGGGGCGGGGCCCGGGCCCCCATCGATGCCGCCCGCCGCCCCCGGGCGGTCGGGCTAGTCTGTTGCGCCCCTTCTGCATCAGCGGGGGCCGATTAATGCACGGGGCCACGGCCAAAGTCGATGACGGCGCTGCGCGACGTCCCGCGCCGGTGCGGCGCGGCGCCTCCTGGCGCGGGCGCTTCCTGATTCCCCGTTGTGGGGGGGGGGGGGGGGTGCTGCGAGCGCGGGGGCCCGCGATGCGACCCTTCAAGAGCCGGGGCATCGATTACCGAGGCCCGTGCCGCGACCGCCTGCGATTCAACACTACACTTCTTGGGCGCCGTGCCGCGGGCTGTTGGCCTCCTTTCAATTGGCTTTGGCCGATCGCGGCTCCCCGGGTGCGTCGGAAAATGCCGCAAATTGGGGGCGGCGGCGTGCGCGGCCCGGCATACCTTCGCGGAGCGTGTGATTTATGGCCTTTCGCCCTCCGCCAGTCGCCTTGGGCCGGGGAGCTCCGCCCCCGCTTTTTCCTACTTTTCGGCCAGATAGCGACGTCAATAGTTTGTGGCTTGAAGAAGTGTCACGCAAGTACTTATCTCATCCGTCATCCTCTCTACTGTGCCGGGAGCGGTCCTTTGTTTCAGCCATTTCTGCCTCAGAGTCATGCTGCTCTCATTCAGGCATTAAAGCCATCTAGTGCAGTGGATTTGTTTACAAGACGTCATAGCGAGCAACATATATAATTTGGAGTTCTGTGATGTTCCTATTCTGTTATATCGTCGTGCTTTAAACGGGTCATTTGAGCGTGTCAAATTTGTCTTACTTGGTGAAGTCTGTGAGTCGCACGGTCTATGTAGTAGTGCCATAACTGGTCCTGTCTGTGTGTCCTCATTTGCTCCTGCTGTGAGATGTGCTTCACTGCTTTATTGTCCACCGCATCGTGCAACTCATCAGCACGAGATCGTGGACCGCCACGCTTTCTGCATTTAGCTCACGTGAGTAAATATGTCGAGCCCCACCCCCAGTGAGCCCGCAGTACGTAGTTGGTCTTCCTCGTCAGTACTCCCCGTGGTTCTGCTTTTGATGTTGTAGCAACTGATTTGATTTCTAGGAGACCAGAACAATGTTGTCCCTTCCCCATTCCACCAGTTCACCTTCCGCATGACCACCAGCAGCAGTTCCTCGTCCAGCCCGTGGCCGAGCCGGTTGGCCGACTACGGTCCGCTGGAGGTGGAGCTCGGGCGCGGACAACAATGCGTGGTGTACCGCGGCCGCTGGCAGGACCGGTGGGTTGCCCTGAAGGTGGTGCAGAAAGCGAACCTGCGGCGGGCGGAGGCGGAGAAGCTGCAGAACGAGATTGTGGTGCACAGCCAGCTGCAGCATTTGCACGTCTTGGACATCTACCATGCGTTCGAGGACGCGGAGCAGGTGGTACTCGTGCTAGATATGCATTGCAAAAGTATCGTACTAAGTACAAATTGCATTACAAATTTTATCAGAAAGAAAAATGGAATTTGTAATGCTAATTCATCAGGTAAAAAGGTAGGCTTGTCATGCAAGATTGCAATTAGCACGAGTGCGATACTTTTGCACAGGATACTAGAGCACGCAACACCGGTTTATTGTCACAACCGGAAGGACTCTCCTGTAGGTTGTCTCCGGACTGACGCGGGCCCGCCGGACCACCGCCGACCTGGTCGTCCCACCGCCGCGCCCGCGCCGAGTAGGGGGCGCTTCACCGAGGCGCGGCTCCGCGTGCTTTTGTCCGAGGTGCTCAAGGCGCTCCAGTACCTCCACGGGCTGCGGTACCATCACGGCGCGGTGCGGACGGAAAACTTGTTACACGTGGAGGGGTATCGAATGCAAATGATATGTCTGGCTGTGGAAGACGACTGCGCTTGGTTGTCGTGCATGTGCCGGGACAGATGGGTGATCTGGAATACACGCTAAGTGTTAGAGGTCGTAAGAAGGGTGCTTAATGGGTACGCTGCATAAAAGAAACTCGCTTGTTTTTTGCGTACCAAAGTGTAAGGAACTTGTTCTGGTATCCATGCAATACAGATTTTGTTTTCTGCTCCAGATTTAGTGCCAGAAATTTAAACGCTTCCTGACGCAGACGTTGACGTACTTTTGCAATGCATAAGAGTGTGGGAACGAAGTTGTCGGATTTCAGCAGTGTGGCGCGTTTCCAGGACCCGCGGGACCTTCGGGAGGAGAGAGGCAACTTTCGGGGAGGGAGTACCGGGGGAGACATCTTTGCTTCGCCACGAACTAGTACCGATAGACCGTCGTCGTCGTGCACAAAGCCTCCCAAGTCTTCTTCTTTTCGCGGCGAGGCGCAGGATTTGTTCGACCTAGGCACGTGCGCGGTACAGCTGCTGCTGGACTCCGAGAGCACCGTCGACCCCTGGGTGCGGAACAACGCCTTCCCGGCCACCGTCTCAAAGCGGTGCATCGCCTGCCTGGAGCAGTTCCAGAAGCCCAACGCCACCGCGGAAGGGCTTCTGCGGCAGCCGTTCTTCCTGTCTTCGCTTGCGATTGTATCCGGAGTGAAAACTCCGTCGCCACCCGCTCAGAGTTGTAGTTATGTAAGATTGCAAACAGTTATGTACGGGAACACGTGTAATTATGTGCGTTCTTATGTGCGCAATTCCCAATCATGTTTTGGCATTCGCAAAATGCGGTGAACTACCAGAATAGATCGATGGCTTTGTGATGCGGCTGTCCTTGCTAACCTGCGCTACACTACAGAGAAAAGCATGCGCGAGACTTGTCATGCGTGACATCCAAACCTTCCGGATTTGTGTTGCACAGTTTCCAACTTGACCCGTGGGTGGGCACAGTATTTTCACACAGGATAAGTTCCACGGATCGTCTACGACCCGCGAAACGAGGACCCGGGGTCGGCGCGAGGCGGTTTGCTGCTCGGGAGTTCTTGTAGGAACAACCTGCACAAAAAGGCCAACTCGGCACCCGGCGCGCACAGCGTGGTGGCGCCCTCCTCCAGCGGCAGCCTAGCCCTTCCCGCGGGGAGTACAGCGAAACACGGCGGGATGGTGCATCTCCGGGACGTGCGCGGCCGGAGCGGACAAACACGGGCCGTGCCGCACCGTGGCGCGGGCAGCGACTACGGTGCGGCAAACTCGAAACCAAGAATCGTCCGGCCGGTTATGCCCTACGACCCACATAATTACACGGACAGCGAAGGCAGTGTGCAGTATGGAAGAAAAGTTCGTTGAAAAGCATTCATTTTATTGCGGTGGTTGGTTATTTGCTTTCGCTGAAGCCTACTTTTGCACCCTTGGAAACCACGACGAGTGAAAACGTATTTCACAATTATGCACGGCAGCTTGGCAAATAGTAGTAAACCGAAGTGGTCAACATAAAACAGGCCACGGAAGATGTCTCCCCCCATCGCATTGAAGACGAATGGCCCTTTTCATCTCCCTTTGCATACAGCACGCCGGAGAGACAAAGATGCGGACGGAGTGTCAGGGCAGCGCAATAGCAAGGCGCGACGCGAGGAGCCGCCAGGAGCTGCTCCGAGGATGGTACTGTCGACCAAGGCAGCGCTGCTGCACCAACAAAAGACCCGAAACCGGATTTCCTCCAGTCACCATCTGCCGTCGGGAAAGGTGAGAAGCAGAAGAAGATTTGTTTATACACAGACAATCTGATATCTGCAAGCGTATTTCATCTAACTGTTCTTCAGCGCTTCACTTAACTTCGCTGAACAAAAAATCAAAAGCGAAACCCATCTTTGATGTCTGATCATACCTGCAGGTGAACCCGCTCGCAGCCGCCGGAGTTGCACCACGGGAAGGCCACGCGACCTCGCAGCGGTCGTCCCGGGACGTGCCTCTCGTCCGACCCTCTGCGCCGCCCGCAATAGGAATCACTGCGGCGTCCTCGCACAACAGCGACAGCGACCTCGCACATTCGTCCTCGAACGAGAGTGGGGAGGAGATTGGTTTGCAGGAGGTCCTGCCCGTCTTGCTTGGCGATGAAACGCACAGCACTATGCAAATCGGCAGCTGCCAGCTACACACGTCCACGGGGCAGTTTGACTTCGAGGACCAACATGATCCACTTCCTTCGTGGCAGCAAATGATGCAGCGCAACAGCACGGGCACGGAGCACAACACGCGGCTGGTCTCGCACCCTTTCTCAGACGCCCGCCAACTGCGATCGGTGATCAGCAACGACGAGGAAGTAGTAGATGAAGACGGAGGTAGTTTTTGTACTACAAATGGCGGCGGAAGACAAGTAAAAGAGCATCCACCTCCGGTAGAAGTAGACCTGGATCCAGACGCTATGCCGGAGAAGAGAAGACCTACGTCAACATCTCTTCACCATCGCCGCCGCGACATCGCCGCAAGAAACTACGGCCCGAGAACAGTCGAGGCGGCCGGGAAAAACGAAGTTGGTACAACTATGTTCGGAGGCGCTGCTGGATCGCCTGCACGAACGCCTCCTTCCGGAAAAAAGTCGCCTGCGTCTACTTCCCGTGGTGTTCTGCCTCACGGTGGTCAGAAATTTCGCAGCTGCATCGAGGACCAGAGCTTTATCGACGAGGGCGCGCTGCTGTTTGACAAACGCGGCACGGAGCTGTTGCCGGAGTTCCCCCGACAGACCGCGGGCAAATCCCCGACCACTGAGCTCGTGTTCGATAAACACCGCGAGTTGCTAGCGGCCAACCGCCGGTCTTGCGACAAACTGTTGCAAGAGAATAAATGTTTGGAGCAACAGGGCGAGGGGCCCAACAACACGAAAAATGGGGTTCGTAGTAATGCTGGTCCATCTAGTTCTTCTTCAAAAGTTTCAACTTCGGAACAGCAACATCAAAATGCCGCCAAAAGAGCACCTCGAGCCCGTGAAGATGTTTTTTCGGCACAGCAGCCGCTTCTACTGTCCGATGAACCTGAAAGTTGTTTCGAACAGACAGAGGAGGATCTTCGCCTCCACGGAGACAAGGATAATTGTCATGATTGCAATATGGACGAGGTGGACGTCGAGCATGGTACTACTAGCATCAAAAGCCCATTACTACAAGAACCGGGAGGACATGAACATCAAGATCCCTCGCTGGTATCCTCGTCCGCAGCCAACATTCTCGACGCGGAGCAGCTTTCGCCGGTGACCAACCGGCACGAGGACATGCAGACCAGCGGCTTTCTCCTGTCCAACCACGTGGGCGACATCAGTCTGACGCACTATTTGCCGGGCGACGTCGGCGCCGCGGCAGCCATGCCCATGTCTCGAAGCAGCAGCTCCAGCCGGAATGTAGCAGTAGGTGTGAACAAGAACGAAGAAGACCACCATGATAACCCTGCTGCAGGCGCCGGGTCTCGAGCCGAGACGCAACTGGATCATCAGGAGCTGTTAAATGATCCGCGCCGGCGCACCGGCGGGGCAACGCCGTCGTCGTCGAGTCGCGCGAAGTTCGACCCGGATGGACAGCAGAGCAACTTTGCTCAAGAGGTAGATCATGCAACTTCGAGAAAGCATGGCGCGGGCCGAGTCTCTTTAATTCCGCCGACGACGAGGAACAGAACGCGGCTAGCCGTGCAACATGACCCTAGTACAGACCACGAGGACCGCGGCACCTGCGGCAGGGCAAACGATTCCGCGATGGACGCGTTGGTGCGGGGGCTGCCGTCCCCAGCGCGGCGTGGATCGTCTCGGCAGCGCTTTTTCGGCGATCGGCCAGCCGGAGTAGAGGAGCAGCAGGCTCGTGGTACAGTATCAAACGGCACTGCTGGAGGTGCTGCACATCGACCGCCTTCAGGAACTACTTCCCGTGGTCGGGAGAACACGTATAAAGACGATCGCAAAAATTATGCTAGAAATGTTGCAGCACCTCCATCTGCCAGCAACGCAGACCACGAGGACCAGTCCGTCGTGGATATGGAAGTGGAAGGTCTGCCGAGTAGTAATCCACACGACCCGCACGGCGGTTCCTTACCGGCGGAAGCACTATCACCGCCGGTTCCCGCGATGCACACAAGTAACCTGCTGGTGGACACGAAGCGGATTAAGAAGCCCGTGGACCTGACGCAGAAAAACGGGTATCGCTTCCAGGTGACGCAGCGGGGAGAGGTGCGAATCGGCGGCCCGGAGGGCGTGTTCGTGATCGATCCCGGCGGCGTCAGCTGCCGCTTGGAGCAAAGGTATAAGGTAGAGTCCTTTACGAAAGAAGCGGGCGGATTTAGGGTTTTAGGATTTAGGGTTTTTGTCCGCTTTACGAGACAGGCGGCGATGACTATGTGTTTCACAACATACGTACGATCAAACCAGTTTTTGATGGCTCGGTCTGCGTCCACGATGCGAAACCAAACCTCCGCACTGCTGGTTGTTTGTTCTACTTACAACTGCATTTCTCTTGTACAAGTCTCGTCAAAGCTGACAAATTGCGCCAAAGTACTCGGCCTCTGCTGTATGATTGGCAGTTGTGCTGTAGATTTTATCCTTGTCTTTCCAAATAACTTCATTCAGGTCTTCCAGCACGGCGAGCAGCAGTGAGCATAACAAATCCTCCGCAGCTGCTTTGGGTCTATGTCCCGACCTCAATAAGCGCATCCAGGCCGGGGAGAAGAGCCGGCAGGCGCTGATCCGGAAGTACGCGAGCTACCAACACCTGCCGGCCTTCTTGAAGCACTGGTACCAGTTTGCGTTCACCGTCGTGAACCAGCTCCGGGCGCGGACGCCGAAGGTGATTCTGCACTACGAGCGGTGTCGCTGCGAGCTGATGGACAACGTGCCCTTACCGGACTTCGTGGTGCACTTCCACGACACCATGAGTACCCAGCTGATCCGCTACTGCCGCGTACGGGAGGGGCTTTTGACCTTGTCCACACGGACTGGTGGGTCCACGTTCTCGACGTCCAGAAAGCCGGTCGGAACTAGAAGTACCGGCTTGGATCAACATGAGCCGCACATGCATGAAGATCATGATTCCTTTTTCACCCAGCAGAAGAGGGGAGGACTACTATCGTCTTCCGCTTCTGAAGTCGTAGCCGACCTCCAGCCCGCGTCTTCCTTCGAAATTCCGCTCGAGTTGGTCTTGCAAGCGGAGGACGGTGCCGCGAAACAGAGCCTGGACGAACTGCTGGTGTTATCCACTGCAATAAAGAACATGGTTGAGTCTGGAAAAAGGCCGTGGATAAGATTAGTAAACGGAGATGTCTACTTTCGGGACCGCATGAGAAACGCACAGACTGCTTGCTTGTGTACAGACAGATTTTTGTCCTCTATTCCAGACTCAAATCGACGATATTTCCAACGCATAAGTGCCGTATCAGTGGGAGCTGGGCGATGTGAAGCCCGTGCTGGAGAAGGTAGTTGCCGCTTGGGAGATACGCATCGCAAAAATATCGTACACTGAATCTGCGAAGAACTGCATCACGAAAGGAAAAAAGGAAGCTCTTATGCATCCTTATTAGTTATTCTTGAAATAAGTTTGTCATGCAAAACCAAAAGTGCAGTTACAATTCGGGTATACGGTTGTACTTTTGCAGAGGACAGAAGGCCGCGCGGCGGGAAGAAAAAATCGCGTTCGACAAGAGCGCAGAGCTCTTACACAACCTGCACGCAAAGACGGGGAGCGCGGGATTTCCAGCGTTGGAGTTTCAGGCGGAATTTGAGAGATACCAGCGCGAGCTCGCCAACTTGTACCCGGTCGTGAAGCGGTTTGACGTATGGTGAAGAAAATTGGTTTCCTGGGGTCGCCCTCGGCATGCCACGAGTGTTCAAGTTTTTACTTCTGCTGGGTACTTACTTCCGTGCGAATTTAATAGACCTCGTGTGGGCAATCTTATACAATTAGATGCGTAGTGGAGAACTACGTCTCCTGCTGGCAACTTGTACGTCGTGCATGCATGTCATGGGCATGGGTTTCAGGTGTAGAGCTCGAACCTGCGGCGCATCAGAGCCACAAACGAGCAGGGAAAATCCGGGGAACTGAAGAACACTCGTGGCCAGTCAGGGGGACAATTTTCTGCTTTGTACACCTACCCATAAGAGGCCCGCCAGCTGACTACGCGAAGATGCGTCGAGCAGTTTCTTGAATTCTCCGATGGGCACTGCTGTGTGTGTCTAGTTTACTGTACGAGGTAAAGAAGCACAACTACAAGGTAAAGAAGCACCACCAAAGGAAAGAAACAAGCTTCTGCGCAGTCACCGTCCGACGCGAGAACAAAGTCCAAAACGCGCAGCGTCTGGTCCGAGCAGGGCTGTTGGACGAATCTGGCTGGCTAGCCAAGGGTGCTCCAGAAAAGCCCAAATCCGCGAACACTTTCCGATACGGACTTCGTCTGCTGATTACGTAAAGTTACTCGATGCGAATAGTTCCTCTGATGAACACGTTACGCTGGACCTGGTACAGAGAAAGGAAAGAATTCATTATCTGCGCAGAAGTCTACACGTGAAAATGCAGCGAAGTGGAGTAGCTGTAACGTGGGCATGTCAAGGCCAACATGATCCTCGCTCATCTAGGGATGAATGTGATATCACTCACGTGACACGCTGTTCTTTCTGTTCGACGTGGCTGCTAGAATGGTCGAAGACGATTGTTTCTGCCGATTGGTATATATTCCCGTGTATTTGCTGATTGGATAAAAAAGTGCGTACACACTTTTCTCCTCCTATATGTCGCGGTATTAAGACATAAGGTCGATGTCGTGTGATAAAAATCGATCTGGCTGGTACCAGTCCACAATTGTTTGTCGAAGCTCGTGCCGTTGAGAAGGAAATTTCTGCCGAGTTCGTTGAGAAGAAAAATCACCGCTGCATGAATGTCCTTGGAACTATACGCCAAAGTGGTGTTAGTTGAAAGTCTCCCACTTCGTTTTTTCGTGGACGCGGTTTATTTTGCGAGGATGCTGCTTTATTGTCTAGAAAAGTACCTCGCGCTCGAAACACCTTTTCTTCCGGAATAGGACGGCTGTAGCATAATTTTTGGTCGCCTGATTTGTTGTTTCTGCTGTCTTCCGTATCTCTAATTTCTCCTTGTTGTGCAGACCTACTAGGTTCTTCTTCTACCCCCATAAAAATATTCCTGATAAACTAAAGTAGAAACGATCGCAAAGGAATAAAATGTCTTCGTCGCGGCCTCCCTTTTGGGAGGTCACTGACGTGGAGATCGTTCGGAAGGAGGGTAGTTCCACGAAGGTTGCAGAGGCGGTTATCGAAGCTAGGCCGACCTCGAAATACCCGAATCTATGGGTGTGCTGCAGTTCCCGCGCGGAAGGCAGCAGCAAATTTGACGACGTGGAGTTGACCCGGACCATCTTTTTGCTGAAAGACGGGTGTCGGGCTAGTGGGCGCAGTGTGGTACTTCAGTTCAAGCCCACCGGGAAAAAGTTGGTCAGTTTGAAGGCCACGTTCCTGACGGAGGCCGACGTCAAAGGGTTTTGCACGGTGTGTGGGCTACCGTTCGGGGAGGTTCCGCAGCCAGCAGTGGCGAGCAACAAACGAGAAGAGCCAATAAGCAGTGCACCGGCGTGGGCCACGGACCCGATGGAGCGGGCGAAGCGGGCGCGCCTGGAGAAGCCGGTGGTGAAAAGACCACCCGATCAGCACGAGTAAGCTGAATGATAAGAAAGCAGCGAATTGCAGCTTCTATACAGACGCGATTATTTTGATGTCGGACACGACGTTAGCTGATATCAAACAACTTTGTTCTGTAGAGAGTTTATCACGCATCAAAGCATGTGAGAAGTCATACAAGAGGTTTATCTCACACAACAACAACTACCTAACTCCGCAGCCCCAGCGTCGTGATGGGTACGAACGCACTGAAAACGAAATCCCTGCCCCAACACCTCGCAATACTCGTGACGCACCCGAACAAGAAGAATTTCGGGCTGCAGCAGAGCGACAAACCCTACATGCCCCCGACTGACACCGCGTGGCGCACCAAGCGGGACCTCACCACCGCACGCTGGGAGCAACAGATGGCGAAGGTCCCGGCCCCCAGCTCCCAGTACAAGCGGGACACCCCGGCGCCGAGCTTCACGAATGGCTTGATGAGTCTTTCGAACGCGCCACCGCTCCCCAACGGCACGGGAACCACGTCTGCCTCGTCGAGCAGCAGCGGTGGCGGTGGCGGCCTCGTGAACCTCGGCAACACCTGCTTCTTCAACGCGGTGTTGCAGTACATCCGCAGCATCCCTCTGTTCGAGGAGATTTTGCTCCGTGCGAGGACCGTTGCGAACGGCATAGAAAAAGAACCGGGACTGGAGGGGAAGGGAAAGACAGAAATGAAAGAGCCTGCCGCTACCACTGCTTCTGCCGATGGCGCCCTTGTTGCTGCGCAAGGAAATAAACATCAAGGCGAAGAAGGTGTTCTTCTTGAGCCGGCAGCGTCATCAACCAGCACCATATCCGCAGCTTCACCACCAGAGCACCCGGACGCCTTTCTCTCCCCCGCGAAAGAACCCACGACGAGCAAAACTGCCTGCGACTTGCGGGCGTTGCCAACGCCGCAACGGACACGGAAGGAGGATGATGAAAATAAAAACGAAGATCACGTCGTGGCAAATAAAGTAAACCTGAATAAACCATCGGAGACGAGCAGGCTGAATTCCATCGAGATTTACGCACTGTCGGTGAAGGTGTTGGAGGGGTTGAAGAGCAACAGCACGGCGGTGAACCCGGGGGAGCTGCTGCGGTGCATCAGCAAGAAGAACCCGATGTTTGGGAACCACATGCAGCACGACGCGCACGAGTTTTTCTTGGAATACATCAACCACCTTCACGACGCGCTGCTAGACCAGGTCCAGGAACTCCCAACGGTGCTTTTCGACAGCGAGGTGTCCCTGCAGCTGGACTGCCGCAGGTGCCACAACTGGCAGAGCGACAACGTGGAGAAGTTTCGCGACTACAGTCTCGATTTCCTCCCGGCAGGTAGGGCACAGAAGCTGGAGGAATTGCTGGAAGCGTATTTTCAGGACGAGGAGCGCGATATTGCAAGGAAAAATCCCCCCTCCCCATATTAAAAACGTATCTGAAAATTTGTGATGCAGATCTGCGGCCACAAATCCTGTCTGTCTTGCTAGAAGGCAAATCCAGGCTCTCTGCCACGCTATGCAGGCGATTTGTGATGCTGTAAGGACTACAGGGCAGCCGTCTACCATGCTAGCCGCCTACACCAAAAGGCGCCTATCCAGGCTTGCAATCTGCGCGCAGTCCTATACTGCAAGACAAATCTGATTTATGTACGCAAATCCAGCACTACAGATTTCCTTTTCGATATGGGGAGGGGGGATTTTTCCTTTTGATACGCGAGTACCGCTGTCCGCAGTGCGAGAAGCAGCCAGGCGCACCGGGGCAGGGCAGCAGTTCTTGTGAGGGGGCGAAGGGCGCGACGACTACATTTGCTGCGCCCCCCCAAACGGTGATCGCCACCAAGAAAATCCGGCACCCCGCCAAGGCACTGGCGCTGCACCTAAAGCGGTTCAAGGCGGATCCCGTCGCGCGGCGATACCTCAAGCGGCGCGAGGAAGTGGAGTTTCCGGAGCGGCTGGACCTGCCGCCGGAGTTTCTGCACCCGGAGCTCCTCAGCGAACTCTACGAGGAGCGGGAAAACTATCCACAGGAAAAAGAAATCTAGTTTTATTACCGTAGACGTAATGCATGACAAGTGTCCTCCTCTTCGTGCGCCTGCCCTATCCAGCATTTTACCTTATACGAGGTAGCGAAAATAATTTTTGGCTGTAGTTCTAGTACGCGTGCGTGAACATCAAATTAAGTGGATTTCTATTGCATAAAAGCTACGAGAAGGGGCAACGGCGCAGCAGTGGTGCCGTGTTGACGGCTGCGGAGCTCGACCAAATGTCGGAGGAAGACCAGTTGAAATGGGCGATGGAGCAGAGCGAGCGGGCCAACGAGAGCAGTGTACTACTAGACACCAGCAAGGACGAAGCTGCAACATCCTTGTTGGACACCACGGTGCACCTGGACGACCGCCCGGTGACCATCAGCTACCGACTCGCCAGCGTCGTCGTACACACGGGCGACACGCCACACTCGGGGCACTACATCACCTGGAACAGGCGGTGGGAAACCAAGACCTGGACCTGCTACAACGACAGCCGCGCGAGCGAGTTCGACCATTTACCCCCTTCGGTGCGCTCCCAGGCGTATCTGCTGCTGTACGAACAGAGCGATCCGCTGGACAGCTCCTGTGGGAAGTAAAGAAGGGACCACGTCGGCTACCTGAAGCCACGTCGGCCTGAGGGCGCGGGCGAGAAGCTCTTGTGATGTGGAGAAACAAAGTATGGATGTTGGCAAAACGATGTTCATCCAGCGCGAGAAATAAAGTGGCTGCAAAGAGTCCTCTTGCAGCGATGAACGTTATTGCCTCCGCGTGGAGTTCCTCTGTGCGTTTATTTTCGCAGGAGCGGAAGGGACAAACTGAAACTTCTACTTACTTCGGGTCACGAATTCTACAAGGGACGCAGCATTCCAGTTGTGATTGTGTACAGGGAGGTTTTCTTGTCTGCTGAATTTCTAACAAACCGCAGAAAGGTCGTCAAAGACTCACTCGCCGTGTTCAAGTTGTCATGGCCGAAAAGCAAGAAATCTTGCGGTTGTTCCCATTTTCTCCAAAGGAAAGAACTCAGATCTCATCTCTAGTGCACTACACTCAACGTACTTATTATGATTGTCTCTCCAAAAGATCCGCAATCTGAAAAGATCACGGTATGATGAAAGCACGACCGGAAAACAAGCCGCAAAGGTTTTGCATGGCGATATATTTCACGCAACATATTTTTCCAGCATTTTGTGATAATATCAAAGCAAATATCGGATGCATGATTTATTCCCAGGCAAAAGCATCGCAGTGGTGCTTTGTGTAGTGGTCTTGAGGTGCGCTACTAAATTTTTGTACCGCAAAAATATATGAAGATGATAGTACACGACAGCAACACTACCGCTTAAGTTTCTAAGGCGAACGCGAACAACAACATTTTGAGTAAATTTTTAGGCTTTGAAGTAGTAAAAGTATAAGTTTATTTTCTAGCGACAAGACTTTATCTTGTCGCAGTAGGCACGACTATAGTAGAGTTTTGAAGAAGGTTGTGTATATCTCAAAAAAAAATATAGGCCGTTCGTGTCAACATCCTTCACACAAAAATCCTCACATCAGCAACATAGCTCCTTTCGGGAGAATAAAATCAGTACCACAAACAACGCAAAGTAGCATTGAGCGTAATTCCCATCATTATAGCGCAAGAAGCGCAATTATTATGCAGCAACCGTCATGAGAAGTACTAGAACGGCCCTGACTGTCGGTTTGATGATTATATCGTCCGGTCCATTACTTCGCTGCTAGTCCCTGCATCAAGACAACCGTTGATTGTTCCTTGCTTTAACATTTAAAGGAAAAAAGCAGTCAATGATGCAGGCACAACCGTTGTACATCCAAGCCGGCTGCAAGCTGGGCGACCAGGGCATTGGTGCCTCGGCTCTCTCCTTTGCCAACCTGCAGATGCAAAGCGACAAGTACCTCTGCGTGAAAGATGCGGAGAAGGGGCAGGTTATCCTGAGTAAAAACGTCCCCACCCCATAGTCACGATGGGAAATCTGCTAGCCAAATCAACAAGCTTAGGCTGTTACGCATGACAAGCTTGGGTCCGTGATGTAATCCTGTTTAGCTCGTTCAGTAGCATCACAGAGCTAGCCTACTATGCTGCTTGGAGCATTACAAAACTTCAAAACACGACTAGGAATCGCCTCTCATGGGGCTTCGCATGAGAAACGTTTTGAGGTTGCGTCTTTTGCATGATAAGTATGGGGTGGGGACGTTTTTACATAGGATACAGGTTGTGGTGTTTGATATCCAAAACAACTACGCCAAGGACACAAAACCCATGAAGGCCGATACGGCACTGATGAACCCCTCCAAAAACTGGATCGCACTCAAGGGTACTTTACTTAATATTGCAGTTTATGCAATACAAATCTTTTTCGTAAGGTCAATCAGCATTACAAATTCCTTTTCTCATGCTGAGGAAATTTGTAATGCATTTATACGAGTGATGTAGTTAATTGTAATTCGGATCACACAACGAACTGCAGGTAAAAGTGACCAGGGGGGTGATTTCGTCCAGGTTTACAACCTATCAAATGCAAAAATGTCTGGGTCTGGAACTACAAAGCAACTTGTAATGCTAAATCTGAATCATGTAACAATCTGTGTTGCGTGATTACCAAAAGCTGTCAACTTTTGACCTAATCGAGAGGCAGTTTCTCATGCAGGGTAGGCATGATAAAACTCTCACAGAATTTGTCATGCTCTGTCCTACATACCAGACCTGACGGGTCATGGAAAACCGGCACGACAAATCTTGCATCCTTCCAGACCCAGACATATTTGCAATCCATACAACCTCGATACCAAAGCGAAGCTGGGGGTGTGGAACTGCCCGGAGGACCTGGTGCTCATGTCCTGGCTGAACGACGACGTTCTGGGTCTGGTCCTGTCAAGAACGACCTACCACTGGAAGGTCGAGGGGTCCGCAGAAGCGGAAAAAATCATGGACCGCACAGGTAGAAGAAGTTGTCTTCGAAGGTTTTTTTTCTTTTTGATGGAACTGACTATGTGGAACGTCGACCATGGCACCTCCACCTGCGTGAAGAAAAAACACGTTCATTGCCTTCACGTTAATAAAGTAGCGCTCCATCTTGAAACAAGATCTACTATTAATAACTATCTGAAAAAAAAACAGACAAGCTTGCGGAGCCTGCCACACAAGTGGTGTCTTACTCGATGGACCCCAACGGGTATCCAGGAAAAAAAGTGTGTAAGTGTAACTTTCTTTGAGAAACAGCATCACAACTTTGCTCTACATTAGAGAGAAAACCTGGCATGCGTGGCTTGTAAGGAAAAACACACATGAAAAGAGGACTTCATGGCTGTCTGGCATGACAGGCGCAACTCTGTTGCAGCATGTCCTGCAACACAAATTTACACTTACACAGTTTTTCTCTTGCATAACGGGGCCTGGTGTCTGCTGTGCGGAATCGCGAGCGACGACAAGAAAACCATTGACGGCTACATGCAGCTCTACTCCATCGAAAGGAAGCAGCAGCAGCTCATTCAGGGACATGGCGGTACATAATATGTATTTTGCGTAGCTGTGGGTGTAGCTATCCAGGTGAAACAGTACTGCATGTTTATGACTTGTTTTTTGCATGAGAAGTTGTGCTTTTTGTTTTTCTCTTGCGCATGACAAGTTTGTGACTTTTTGAAAATCTATCATCCTAGGTGCTTTCGGCAAAACTCTAGTGGACGACAGCAACGTGCCGGCAACGCTTGTCACATTCGCCAAGAGGGATAAGGGATCTTTCGCGACAACGTACAACTTATTTATTTTTGTGTCGACAAGGATGAATGGACTGTCATGTTGCTGGTGTGCGAAATCCAAATCTTTGACTCTCGCTCTCCCAGAGCAGATGACATGCTGCGCTTCGAGAAGCAAACCGCTTCTCTTTCTATTGATTCTGATTCCTTGTGCCATTAACAAGTACTTCCTCTAGTGGGGTTGTCAAATACAGGCGATCATCCCAGTTGTGATCTGCTTGGAGTCGACGCGCCAGTCTATGCACGAAATAAGTACTTCTGAAACTACCCCAGGCTGCAAATCAACGAGGTCGGGCAGGATTTCAACACTGCGGGGCGAAAAAAACACATGGTGCAAAAGGAGATCCTATCAAATGCAAAAATGTCTGGGTCTGGAAGACAGTAACTTGTGATGCTAAATCTGAATCATGCTAAAATCTGTGTTGCATGAGTGCCAAAAGCTGTCCACTTTCGACCAAGTTGGGAGGGGATTTCTCATGCAGGATAGGCATGACAGAGACCTGGCAGAGTTTGTCATGCTAGGTCCCGCATTCCAGACCTCATGGGTCATGGAAAATCTGCATGACAAGTTGCATCCTTCTAGACCCAGACATATTTGCAATGCATAGATCCCGATGCCGCCGGAGAGCCCGAACGACTTCGCCCTGTCGATGCACATATCAAATGTAAAAATGTCTGGGTCTGGAAGAATGCAACAAACTTGTCATGCTAAATCTGAAGCGTGCAAAAATCTGTATTGCATGATTACCAAAAGTCGTCCAGTTTTGACCAAGTCGGGAGGGAGTTTCTCATGCAGGATAGGCATGAGAGAGATCGCGCAGAATCTGTCATGCTAGGTCCTGCATTCCAGACCTCATGGGTCAGGGAAAAGCTGCATGACAAATCGCGCACTTTTCCAGCAGACCCAGACATTTTTGCATTTGATAGCACATCAGCGAAAAATTGGGAGTAATATACATGCTGATGAAGTCCGGAAACTTGTTTATGTTCGACGTAGCAACAGGGGAGATGTTGTACCGGAACCCGGTCTCGAAGCAACCCATCCTGAAAGCCTGCAACGCACCGAAGACCGGTATAGTGTTAAAGACGAAGGCGTTGCGACAAATTTTTACGTCGAGCAACATATATGTAGTCAATGAGTCCTTTCTTGGCGGCACAGTAGTACCTTGACCTGCAGCTTGACTTCGTAGTTCCTACACGTTTCACTGTATCGTCGCGCCGGTGCGATTTTTGCTCTGTGATGTGAAGATTTATTTGTGCGTAATATGTTTTGTAGTTCCCTCCGTGTTGTGTATGAAAAATCTTATCCGTTCTTCATCCTTCTTGTTCTCCCCCCCAGGCGGCATCCTGTTTATCAACAAGGACGGGCACGTGTGCAGTGCCGGCGCCAGCGAGCAAGGCCTGGTGCCCTACATCTTCACCTCCGCCATTCCCAACAAGCAGGAGATCGGCATCAACCTCGCCAGGCGGTTCGGTTTCGCCGGCGCGGAGGAGATTCTCAACACGGCGTTCCAGAGGGACTTTGCCATGCAGAACTACAAGGAAGCCGCTACCACGGTCGCAAAAGCGAAAGCCCTACGGACCAGCGAAACCATTGAGAAATTCAGGGTATAGTTGTGTTTTTAAAGCTAGTTGTAGAGAATCACCGTCGAAGACTTTGGACGCACGTGAGGAGCAGAAAAGTTCTTTGCATTCGATAAAAATCATACCGCGAAAAAAACATTTTATCGTTCTCGTTTTCGTGCAAAAATCACAGAACGCGCCGCAGCCCGCGGGGCAGCCGCTGCCGCTGCTGACGTATTTTTCTACCCTGCTCGACAAGGCGGGGAAGTTGAACAAATACGAGTCCGTGCAGCTGTGCCAGCTGGTCGTCCAGCAGGGGAGGCACGACCTCATCGAGAAGTGGCTTAACGCCGACCAGTTGGACTGCAGCGAGGAGTTGGGCGACGTCATCAAGCAACTCCCCGCGCTGAGTCAGCACGCGCTCAAAGTCTATTACAAGGGCGAGGCGCACCAGAAAGTGATCAACAGCTTTATGGAAATGGGGCAGGTGGACAAAATCATCGAGTACGCGAAAAAGGTACGGAATTCCCTATAATTTTCATCGTTCTGCCATTCGACAGTTGGTAGAAGTGGTGGTGTCTATCGGATAGTTAACGCGAAAAATGATTCTACAACTTTTTTCTCATATGATCTTCCTGATGCAGCAGCAGGAGGCTAAGTAGCCTGTAGGTGTAGCTAAATGGCACAGTTTTTATGCAATGAAAACCATCGCAAAAAATAAACATGGTAGTATTTGAACACTCGTCTCTCAACAACAGGCCAACGCCAAGGCGGACTACTCCGGGCTGATGCGAAACTTGGTGGCGGTGAACCCCCAGCAGGCGGTTGAGTTTGCGAAGAGTCTGATGAACAACGTGCCGCCGCTGACGGACATCCGGCAAATCATCGACACGTTTATGAGCCAGAACCGGCTGCAGGAAACCACGTCGGTGCTGATCGATTATTTGAAGGAAAACAAGCCGGAGCACGCGGCGCTGCAGACGGAGCTGTTCCGCATGAACTTGCTCCAGGCGCCCCAGGCGGCGGAGTTGATCTTCCAGTTGGACACCTTCACCCACTACGACAAGCAGGTGGTCGCGCAGCTGTGCGAGAAGGCCGGATTGTGGAATCGGGCCCTGCTATCAAACGCAAAAATGTGTCGGCCCGGAAGGAGGCAAGGTTTGCCATGCACATTTTGCATGACTCATGATTTCTGTGATGCATGCCCCAGCATCACAGATTTTTTAAGAGCTTCTTGATGCTAATTACGCATGAGAAGTTATGCCCTCTCCGCGTGCCAAGAACTGACGCCTCTGGCTGCTCATGCAACACAGATACTTTTGGAATTCGCAAACAGCATTACAAATTGCATTCTTCCAGACCTAGACATATTTGCATTTGATACCTGCAGGACTACACGGACATCTCCGACGTGCGCCGCGTGTTGGCGTACGCGCCGACCATGAACGCGGAATTTCTCGTGAATTACTGCACGAAACTTCCCCCGCAGACGTGCCTGGAGGTGATGGGGGACCTTATGCATTGCAAAAGTATCGTACTAGTATAAATCGCAATACAAATTTCCTTAGCTGCATTAGAAATGGAATTTGTAATGCGGATTTGCCTTAAGAAAAAGATTTGTAATGCATGACTGCGATTACTACGAGTGCGATACTTTTGCACAGGATAGACCTGATGAAAAACCGACACCAGAACTTGAACGTGGTCGTGCAAGTGGCCATCAAGTTATAACAGTGCACAACTCCCCGTGTCCCTCATTTGTCATGCAAAATACCCAATCCGCCCTTTGCTTGTTGGCACAATTTGCATGACAAGTTCTGATAGCCCAAATAGCGCTATACTCCAGTGCAAGTCTGTCATGCAAAACCGGCATTCTTGCTGATGCTTGTATGGCCGTTCGTGCTATACAAATGAGGGGGAGGGGGAGTTGTGCGCTGTGATACAAGTGCCACCAGCAGATCGGCGCGGAGAAGCTCATCGAGATGTTTGAGTCGTATTACAATGAAAAATGCCCCCACCCCACACTTGGCAGCATTTGTAATTGTATTGCAAACCTTTCCAATAGAAACATTTCCCGTCTTGCATATCTCAGCATCACAAATTTTCCATGCTGAATAGCTCGAATTTGTGTTGCGAAGGGGCCCAACAGCAGCTGGATATGTTATGCACAAGGTACCTTGCGCACCTAGATTCTGCATCAGAAAGGCTCGCAATCCTTTCATGCAAGACAAAAAGCTTTCATTTGGAAACTTTGCATGACAATTCGGGGGTGGGGGCATTCTTCATTGTAATAAGTCGTTCTCCAGTTTCGAGGGCGTATTCTACTTTGTGGGCGCGATCTCCAGCCAGATGGGCGAGGGCCACCCGGAAGTGATCTTCAAGTACATTCAGGCGGCCTCCCGGTTGGGCAACGTGCAGGAGGTGGAGCGCGTGCTGAAGGAAAACCCCAAAAGTTACGACCCCGTGAAAGTAAAAGACTTCCTGAAAGGCGAAAAACTCCCCGACCCCCGACCCTTGATCTACGTCTGCGACCTACACGGCTTCATTGAGGAGCTGGCGACATACCTGTATAGTTTGTTTTTGATGTCCGAGTTTTTTTTATTTCCTGGACACAGCATAAAGGGTAAAAGATGAAGGACCACTTCTTGGGTTTTCAATATTTTCTCACGCGAGATCATGAACTTGTATGGTTATCAACCCAATATTAAACTACAGGTACAACAACCAATTACTGAAGTACATTGAAGTGTACGTGACGAAGGTAAACCCGTTGAACACCCCGAAGTTCGTCGGTACCCTGATCGACCTCGACTGCAGCGAAGATTTTATCAAGCAGTTGCTCCAGGCGGTTCGTTCCGCCTGTCCGGTGGAGCCGCTGGTGACGGAGTGCGAGAAGCGCAACCGGCTGCGGCTGTTGCAGCCCTGGCTGGAGGCTCGCGTCTCCGAGGGGAACCAGGAGGGCCCGTTGCACAACGCGCTGGCCATGATCTGCATCGAAACCGGGCGAGACCCGGAAACGTTCCTGAAGAACAACCACTTCTACGACAGCAAGGTCGTCGGGAAGTTCTGCGAGGAACGGGACCCCCACCTCGCCTACACATGTTACAAGCGCGCCTTCGGGCAGTGCGACGAGGAGCTGGTGGCGGTCACGAACAAGTATCCTGAGCAAAAACGTCCCCACCCCATAGTCAAGTTGGTAAATCTGCAACACAAATCGCCAAGTTTTGGGAGTTGTGCATGACAAGTTTCCATCTGCAGCGTTGTACTGGTTAACAAGGGAAGCCGCATGAGAAAGCCATTTTGTCATGGTGTTTACAGCATTACAACAGATTTCAAAACACGATTGGAAATGCCTCTCATGGAGATGCGCATTACAGATGCTCCTGTCGTTGCGCATTTGCATGACAACTCTGGGGTAGAGGGGGGGGGCAAAGTGTGCTGCAATTCCTTTAGCATGACAACTCTGGGGTGGGGACGTTTTTACATAGGATAACAAAAACGGCCTGTTCAAGCTCCAGGCGAAATACCTGGTGGAGCGGAAATCCCCCGAGCTGTGGGCCACGGTGCTCGGGGAGGAGGCGAACCAAGAATTTCGGAGGAAAACCATCGACCAGACGATCAGCTCCGCGCTCCCGGAGTGCATATCAAATGTAAAAATGTCTGGGTCTGGAAGAATTCATGTTTGTCATGCTTGTCTTGCATGACTCTTAAATCTGTCATGCACGGTTCCCAAGAGCTCTGATTTTCTGTGATGCAGAAGCGCAGTTTGTCATGCAGAATAGGCAAAACCTAGGAGCTCAGAAACTTGTCATGCTGAGCCAGCATCTGTAGCCTCGTCATGAGACGCCACCCAGCATCACAAGTTTCCAGACCCAGACATTTTTGCAATCCATAGTGCACCAACCCGGACGAAGTGTCCGTCACCGTGAAGGCCTTCATCGCGGCGGAACTGTATCAACTGTAAAAATGTCTGGGTCTGGAAGGTTGGAACTTGTAATGCTAGCTCTACATTCCTGGGAAATCTGTATAGCATAACGAACAAAAGTCGCAGCCTCTTTTGTCATGCAAAAACGCAGTTTCTTATGCGGATTGCCTACGAGAAAGCGTTTTGGGAAGTTGTCATGCCGGACTGCATTCGGAAGTGTTTTCATCATGCACATGTTAGCATCACAAGTTTCCAGACCCAGACATTTTTGCATTGGATAAACTGCACTCGGAGTTGATTGAGCTGCTGGAGAAGATCGTGCTCCACCGGTCCGAGTTCGCCAACGCACGAAACCTGCAGAATCTGCTGATCCTCACCGCGATCCGCGCCGACCCCACAAGGGTGATGGACTACATCAACCGGCTGACCAGTTACAACGGCCCGGAGATCGCGAAAGTGGCGCTGGGTCCAGAGTACAAGCTGTACGAGGAGGCGTTTGTGATCTACAAGAAGGGCGAAATGCACCCGGAGGCCATGGACGTTTTGCTGTTGAACATTGACAGCATAGAACGGGCCGCGGAGTACGCCGCACGGGTGAACGAGCCGGTCGTGTGGAGCAAATTGGGAAAGGCGTACTTGGAGTCAGGTAGAGTGACTTGCATAATTTTCAAAGTGAGCTCAGCATGACAAAAATGATTTGTCATGCTGATTGATCTACTGTGCGAAGCCGATGATTTATACGCAAAATGAAATTATCAGGTGCCGTGGCCGAGGCCATCGACAGTTACATTAAGGCGAACGACGCTTCGGACTACATGGAGGTGATATCCGTGGCGGAGAGGCAGAACAAATTCGAGGAGCTGGTGACGTTTCTGAAAATGGCCCGGAAATCGCAGAAGGACCAGCACCTGGATTCGGAGCTGGTGTACAGCTACGCGAAGATCGACAATTTGGCGGACTTGGAGGAGTTCGTGTCCGGCACCAACACCGCCAACTGCCAGATGATCGGCGACCGGTTGTACGACGAGGGCAACTACAAGGCGGCCAAGCTGCTCTTCCAGTCGATTGGCAACAACGCGAAGCTCGCGTCCTGCTACGTCAAGCTGGAGGAATACAACGCCGCGGTTGAAGCGGCCAAGAAGGCGAACAATCCGAAGGTGTGGAAGGAGGTCTCCGTCGCCTGCGTCGCCGCGCAGGAGTTCCGATGCGCCAGTATCGCCGGCATGAGCATCATTGTGCACCCCGACCATTTGGAGGAATTAATCGCCCAGTACGAGAAGCACGGGTATTTCGAGGAGCTGATCCAGCTGCTGGACCAGGGGCTCTCCGCGGAGCGGGCGCACGTCGGGATGTACACGGAGTTGGCGATTCTGTACAGCAAGTACAAGCCGGAGAGGCTGATGGACTTCATCAAGATGAACACGCAGAAGTGCAACATCCCGAAGGTGATCCGGGCCTGCGAGCGCCACTGCCACTGGGAGGAGGCGGTGCATTTATACACGCACTACGACGAGTACGACAGCGCGGCCAACTGCATGATGCAGCACTCCCCCGTGGCCTTTTCCCACGACCAGTTTCTCTTCGTCATGCAGAAAGTCGCGAACACGGAACTCCTGTACCGGGCCATCAGCTTTTACATCGAGGAGCAACCCCTGCTATTGGACGCGTTGCTGAAAACCATTGAGAGCAAGGTGATATTATAATTGCAATACTGCATGACAATAAACGTCGCGTGTCCATTATACACTACAAAATTCCTTTCAGCTTGCCGCAATCTGCGGAAAAATGCGACTCATCGACTCGGGCCGCGCTATGAGAAGTACAAGAACTCTTGTACACTACTGCATAACCACCTAAAACTCAACTCAACTCTCAGGTCGACCACGCGCGCGTGGTGCAGCAGATGCGGGACATGGGACACCTTCCCCTGATCCTGCCCTACCTGAAGCAGGTCCAGGTGCACAACATTCAGGCGGTAAACGAGGCCTTGAACGAGCTTTACCTGGAAGCCGAAGACCACAGCAACCTGCGAAAATCGATCGAGGAATACGTATCCTGTGCAAAAGTATCGTACTCGTGGCAATTGCAGTCATGCATTACTAATCTCCTTTCCAAGGTAAAACAGCATGACAAATTCAATTTTTCATGCTGAGAAAATTTGTAATGCAATATATACTAGTGCGATGCTTTTGCAATGCATAATACGAAAACATTGACCAACTCTCGCTCGCGGGAAAGCTGGAAAAGCACGAGCTGCTGGAGATGCGCCGAATCGCCTCCTTGGTGTACATATGGATTGCAAAAATGTCTGGGTCTGGGAGATTGCAACTTGTCATGCTAAATCCGAATAATGCGGAAATCTGTGTTGCATGAGGGCCAAATAAAGCTGTCCACTTTCGACCAAGTTGGGAGGGAGTTTCTCATGCAGGATAACATAGCAGAGACCTCAGAGCCTCTGTCATGCTAGGTCCCGCATTCCAGACCTCATGGGTCATGAAAAACCTGCATGACAAGTTTAACACTCTTCCAGACCCAGACATTTTTGCATTTGATAGGACAAGAAAAACAAGAGGTACGGGAAGGCCATCGAACTGTCGAAAAACGACAAGATTTTCCAGGACGCTATCCTAAGCAAAAACGTCCCCACCCCATCGTCAAGTTGGGAATCTAGCAACACAAATTTCCAAGTTTTGGGAGCCGTGCATGACAACTTTCCCTCTGCAGTGTAGTGCTGATTGGCAAGAGAGGCCGCATAAGAAAGTTATTTTCACTTCGTGTTTACAGCATTACAAATTCCAAAACACGATTGGAATTTCCTCTCATGGTGCTGCGCATGACAAATGTTTCTCTCATTTCACATTTGCATGACAACTCTGGTGGGGGGACGTTTTTACTTAGGATAGACGCCATGGAAACCGCGCGGGACAGCGGGAGCAGCGACCTCGCGCTGGAGCTGCTGCAGTACTTCATTCAGGAGCAAGACAAGGAGTGCTTCACGGCGTGCTTGTTCACCTGTTACGCCTTGTTGAAGCCAGATGTGGTGATGGAGCTCGCGTGGCGCAACAACATGATGAACTCCGCCATGCCGTACCTGATTCAGTCCGTGAAGCAGTACACGGCGAGAATAGACGGGCTGGACAAAAAAGTGGAGAAGGAGGAAAAGGAGAAGGAACAGCAAAAATCCGCGAACAACGACTACGTGGCGGATTACGGTATGATATGTGGAGACTTGTTTTTTTTTCAAGCTTGGTTGATATCAAAGTCAAAAAGTATAAAACACTATTGATACTACCAAGACCTATAATGGTTTAGTACCTGTTCCTTCTCTATCGCAGGTATGGGTCCTGCTGGGATGATGCCCGGGTTCGGCCACTTGGCAATCGGAAACGCACCCTTCCAGCCCGCAGCCAATGGCATGATGGGCATGGGCGGCCCACCGATGGGAGGTCCCGGGAGTATGGGCGGCTTTTGATAAGGAACCACTTATCATGATCTCTTCCGTTGATTCACAATAAGAATATATTGAGACACAGCTGTACTACCCGAAATCCTTTCTGTTCCCAAAAAAGACAACGCTAAGGCCGTTGTCCTACTTTCCCATTTCATCTACCGATGCAAGTATTCAGGTTTTGCAAGCATCGAAATCGATGATCATAAAAACGCACTGACAGCTACACATCGAATTCTGTGAAGGATATTTTTTAAAGTTTCTACCACACTGTTTGCTTTCACTGAAGAAGCAAGCACGCATGTTGTTTTGGTTTTCCTTTGACCGCCTAAAAAGTTTTATAACTTTTACTTTTCAAAAAAAAATATCCAGCGACAACTAGCAAATAAAACGTCCGCACGTAATCTACTCTGCTCAATCTTTATTACGATACTCGCAAGAGCTTCTACGACCAACCTAGAAGCTCCTCTTCAGTTGTGGTTTAGAAACTTTGCTCGTTCACTTCATCAGTCTCGTGTTTGGCACTTATCGGAGAAGGGAGGACAAAAAAACTCGCACTCTTTCTGCTGCTGCTGTCTCGCCCCCGATCGGAATATTAAATGCTAAGAACAACAAGCATTAGCATAGTAGTGTCTGGCAGCTTTTCTGCAGCCTTTCGAGGCAGTAGCGAGAAACCTCCCACACTTCATGTTGCTACGGTTTCTGCTTAGCGATGTTGGGCTGTACTTTTCTACTTCTGCTTAGAAGGGGATGTTGAAATAATGTCTTGTATCTGTTAAATTCTTGGGTCACTTGTTGTTGTAAAAAAGCTTTCAAAAATCATCTTCTACCGCTCTACTTCGGATCATCTATTTTTCGAACAGTGTAAATGCGATGAAATTGGTTTGCGGTTTCATTCTGTCGTTGTGCACAACAAGCATCGAGGTGACGATTATTCACAACACATGCTTCTGCGTTCTTTTTATCTGAAGTTCATTTTCGCCCGGTCTGCAGTTCTATTCGACAGGCTGTATCGATATGGCGTTGCGTGGTCGGACCTTCCAATTCGTCGCATTTTCTGTAGGCGTATTCGTCGTCGTTGACATGCCGGAAATTTAAAAGGTCTTGAACAAGAGAGGTGGAGTGGAGGAAAGAAATTGCTGACAAGTGACCGTGTCGTGAGCGAATTACTGAAGTACTACAAAAAAGACATGATTGCTCCTGGGTGACGCGCTCCTCGCAAGTCGGCGGGGTCCTCCGATTTGCTCCTCCTATATCATTTTCGCGGCACTCCAGTAGCAGTTCGGGAAGAGTAAAAGTCCTTGTAAATGTCCTCAATTTATTTTATTTTTGGACCCTGTTGATTTGCGTTGATCTTGATCTAACATAAAAAATCCACCGCTCTTACGCCACTCCGGGTCCCGACGTCGGAACGAGATTTTGTTTCTCCCGTAGTTGCTCCCGACCTAACAAATCGGACAACCATACTAGACTTTCGCACGCTGACGGTACCGCTCGTCTGCGACCTGAACGATTCGACGAAGAGTCCTCTCAGGGACCCCTGTACTAGCTCTGTATGCCAGAAACTACGGAGGAGCAGGAGCGGCTGCTGTCGCCGATGGAGCCAGCTACAACTCAGGCGAGGGGTGGTTTTTCACCCACACAGAACATCATGAAAGAAAACACCACAACCAGTACAGCGACATCTTCTTTTGCTGGACTACAGACGACTTCCAGTACAACGAATAGCACGGCTTCTTATTATAACACTGCAACGTCGAAGCTCCGGATGTTGAATAATGGCTCAACCAAGATGCAGATCCTCGGGGTGGAACCTCTCCTGATTCAGAACCCGGACGGCAGCATCGCCCGCAGCGTTCCGCCCGGATACAAGGAGAAATCGCCGAAAAAGAGCCCTTATCCTTGATGCAAAAGAATCTTCGCACTCGACCTGGTCTAAATTGCAGAAGACCTTCACTGCCTTCGGTTAAGTTGTACCTGATTTTTCCGCATGACAAAAGTTTTGCATGTTTGCTTCTGGACAAAAATTTGTCATTTGATTCATGGTAGTGTGATCATGTTTTTGTAGTGTTGCACAGTCCGCGGATCGGCTTCGCCAGCAACGGGCTGCTCTGGGGGGAGCTGGAGGAGGGAAATTTGTCGGCCGAGCTGGAGCTGCTGTATCAGCGGCACGAGAAAATGTTCACAGCCCTCGTGGGGTTCGAACTTGTGGTGGAGATGGGCTTATCAACTGCAAAAATGTCTGGGTCTGCAACAAAGCAACTTGTCATTCTAAACCTGAATCATGTAAAAATCTGTGTTGCATGATTACCAAAAGCTGTCCACTTTCGACCTAACCGAGAGGCAGTTTCTCATGCAGGATAGGCATGATAGAAGTCTCACAGAATCTGTCATGCTATGTCCTACATACCAGACATCATGGGTCATGGAAAACCTGCATGACAAACCTGGCAATCTTCCAGACCCAGACACTTTTGCACTTAATAGGGCTTCTTGGCGCTTTTTTGGTTCACGTGGGGGAGGACCGTGGAGGAGCTGGAAACGGTAGTTAATCGGTTTAAAATTGCAGTTGTGCATGACAGATCTGGTTTCTGCTCAAATGATTCAGCATTACAAATTCCATACTCGTCGTCCCTTCATAAACAGGTATACGGCCGGTCCCGTCGTTCCGGCGTAGAAACCGCCTTGGCGGTTGCGTTCACCTTATTGAGAGGAAAAATCCCCTCTCCCCATATCAAAGCGAAACTTCTGATGCTGGATTTGTGTACACAAATCCGAGCTGTCGTGCTGGAGAGCACTGCAGGCCCATACCAAGTGTGAGTAGAGACAGAGGTCTTGGCCTAGGCACTTAGCATGAAAAACGTCAGCACGGTAGGCCCAACACCATGACAAACCGCCTGCACAATGCGGCGGAGCCTGCGGAGTTGCCTTCTTGCAAGACAGACACGATTTGCGGCCACAAATCAGCATCACAAACTTGCAAAAAATACCTTTTCAGTATGGAGAGGGGGGATTTTTCCTTTTGATACACCTGCCGCACTGTTTACGCATCAATCTACTACCTGCTCGCGGTCCACGCGTTAAAAGTGCGAAAAAGCGACGCGTTCAAACTGTTCGCGACGTTCAGCCTGTTGGGCGTGGTGTGCGAACTGTTTCTCACGTACATCAACAAATTCAACATGGTGGTCTTTTTCTTACGGCTGTTGGCGTATTTGTACTCGAAGTTTTTGCGTTCTGTGTCCCAACACCAGCGACTGCTTCGGGGAGACGACAGCGAGAGCAACGGGAGCAGTGGCGGGGAAGAGAGCGACGGGGCAGACGTTGTGTGACGAGCGAAGGCTCATGATGTGGGGACCGAAGGAGTGTAATAGAGGTTTTAAATTGATGATGGCTAAATTTGTACAATTTAGAAATACTTTTTGCAGAGGTTCACCTGGATTTGTATTCGTTTTTTTGCCCCTAAGTTTGTAGTAGCGATTCATTGTCCTTCATGTATGTAAAAATTTTCTCAGCTATATTATCCTGTATCAACAAGACAAGCACTATATAGTTTTCTGTACCGAACAAACCACACAGTACAGTCACGCCCTTGATGACGTAACCTTGTTGTACGTACAAATGTAAAATTGCAGTGCGCGGCGGCACGAGTTCGCAATTGTATCTTGTTTCGGTTAAGCAAAAATCGGAGGCGAGAGCTCGATTGGTGGCACTGGTCTCCCCTGCGGAAACAAAAACCACTGTAGCTAGAAATTCGCTGTTCATCAGAAACAAGAAAACTTCGTGACATTAAATGCTCAGCCAGATGCAGAGAATGGCTACCAACTTATTCTTGCTGATATATCGGTCTTTTCATGCAGAAACTTTCCCCATTCGGTGCTATCGTGAGTATCTTGAGTAGGTATATAAGTACTTACACCTGCTTCTCGTTGACGGTAGTCGATACAGACAAGATACCAAAAAGACCTATCGGTTTGTGATCGTGCTGATAGCTTGTATCGTGTATATCGGTTTTATTTTTCCAATATTCATTCGTAAATTTCGGTTGGACTTGCGATCTGTAGACAAGGATAAAAATCGTCGGGTCGTCGTACATCACGGCTTTCGTGCAAAATGAAGCCATCGTCTCGTCCTAGCGAACTTTCATCCGTACAACTGAAGAACAACTACCGGTTTGAAAATTAAGAACAACTCTCGGCCGTACATCAACTAACTATACTCGTCTGTAGTACTCCATGTGGTCTAAAGCAAAGCCTAATGTATTCTTCGTGTTAAATTTTGATTTTCTTTTTCGCAATCCAAATTCCTCAAGGGCCACGCGCTACTTCACCCCTGACTGAGAAGATTGTGGCTCTAAGTATTGCACCACGCTCTATAATTTCTTTACTCATTTGCATTTTTAATTTGTTTCTGACCTCCACACATTTGTAACTTATTGTTGTTTTTTGTTCATCCCTAATATCCTATTTTCAAACTATTGTGCATATGTTGAATTCGCCGACTACTATTACTTGTTTTTCAGTCAAAAAAAGTTGATGGATTGCGGAGCGGGGGGCGGCGGAGCCCCGACGGGGGGAGTGGATAATATCATCGAAGGGGACAACACCTCGACTGCCGCCTTCACCACCGACACCAATTCCGAGGGGGACAGGGTATAATGCGTTTAATTTCTGGTTTTTCATCGATTCTCGTCCGATGCTCCGTACTCTGGAATTATAGGATCTAGTTTTTTTGCTATGCTGCTCCCTCGTCAGGAGGTCCCCTTCGCATTCTGTCCAGTTCTGTCCCGGACGTATTTTTTTGATGTTCCGCTGCAAGACTTATGCTTTCAAAGGTGAAGAGTTGTGAAACTAACAAAGCAACTAATATACTGCTCTACCATCACAGCGGCCGCCGAAGTCTTTTTCCAAGTCCCGCAAGACGTCTTCAACAACCCATGGCACCAGTGCAGCCGGCAGTTCGAGCCGCAGCACGCACGGCGGGCACCGCGGAAGCAGCAGCAGTTCCAGCAGCAGCTCGGCGGCGGGAACGGAGGACGAGTTCGAAATACTAACGTACGGTGCGGTCACCTACGTCAAGGACCCGAAGGACAACCGGAGCACGAAAGAGTTGAAGGAGGTAATCGCGAACAACCTCGCGTGCAACGAGCCGTTGGTTTCGGACAACGAGAAGTCGGCACGCGGTGGGTCGAAGGACAGAAATGGAAACAAGGTCGAGGCGGAAGATGGTACTTCTATAAAGATTTGTGAATTATTGGGTGCTTGATGCGATATCTGGAACTGGAAGTGAATTGGAGGTCAGAAAATAGAGCTTTAGTTAGAGCTTTACTTCTTTTAGCATGGGTTCGAGCAAGAGAAATTGTTCGTACTGAAGCGTACTACACAACACTAGAATTATCGCATCACAACTTTCATCATTCCTCAGGCCCCTCCCTTCTCGACACGGCTGCGGAGTACATTTCTGGCATGGTCTCCTCCTCCCCGGCCAAGAAGAAGAGCCGCGCGCTACGAATCAACGACGGACGTTCGAACAGCCGAGATCATGTTGGAAACAATAACGACACAACCACCGCTGGTTCGCACATCGTGGACATGCTGGGCATTAGCGGCACAACTAATAACGCCGCGGGGACCTCCCATAACGACAACAACGACGCTTCTTTTCTGTCCACCTCTTCGTTGTCAAATACCAGCCACAAATCCGCGAGTTCGCCGGAGCAAGAGAACCCGAAATCTTTGGTAATCGACGAAACAAAACTCCTCGGCGTGCAGGCCCCGGACGGATCCTCTTTTCTCGCGTATTTTGGCGGCTACCGGAAGGAGTTCGACCGGATCAGCAGCCGCATTTTGAAGAAGCGCGAGAACATCGAGCGGCGGCGACTGAACCCCAGCACGTTTTTCGGCATGGAGCACCAGACCGACGGGGTATCAAATGTAAAAATGTCTGGGTCTGGAAGGTTGGAGCTTGTGATGCTAACTTTGGACGCTAAAAAAATCTGTATTGCATGACCAGCAAAAGGAGTCTAGTTTGTGCCATGCGCGGAGGGCATTTGTCATGCGGAATACGCACCAGAAAGCCAAAAAAGAAAATCTGTGATGCTACGCCATGCATTACAGGCATCATGTGTCATGCAAATATGCATGACAAACCTCGCGCCTTATTTTTAAAAAAATCTACTTTAGCTTTTACTTGGGCTGTGGGAACGAGACCAAGGAGACGAACAAGACCAACATTTATTTTTCCACCCTGGTGCCACCTTTAGTATCATTATGGCCTTTCCTTGTCATGATCTGTTCCGGCTTCCGGTGTTTGTCATGCATTTTCCGCCCAGGCCCACCCTGGTGCTGTTGTTCGGACTGTCCCCACGTCCGGTTTCGTTGGCCTTTTGCATGCTAGTCCTAGGGTATTGTCTTCACCCGCACACTCTCGTGTTCAGGACACCTTTACTGATACTACTGGTGCTACCACCTTTTAGGGTGATTTTTTCGACGTAGGTGGGACTGTGTCTTAGTTGCTGTTTTTCATCGTTTTTTTACTTTTCTTTTAATCCCTCGGTGCTAGGAAAAGTTTTTGCACAGGGCAATTTCTATCCAGATATCCACACAGCTGTCGTCGCGGCCGTCCCAGATGCTGTTGTGCTTGTCTTTCGATAGAAATCGCGTTGTCCAATAATTTCTTCTAGAGTTTACCGGGTATGAGGCTACCGTTTGTCGAATTAATTTACGAGGGGACGCCCAGCCCTTAGCCTTCCAACATGACAAACCTCGCACTCTTCCAGACCCAGACATTTTTGCATTTGATACAGGGTTTTGATTGACCAAATGTCCGACTTGGAAGTCTTGTACTCGCGGCACCAGGTTTTGTTCCTGTGTTTATTGTTCCTAGACTTCTTCGTGATGACGCAATACCTCTGGATCAGCTACCACACCGGCATGGAATTGTGGGGCCTGAAGGGGAACAAGAAAGGTACTACAGTGCAACTACTAGCTTAGTGCAGCGGACTGCTTGTGTAGAATATTTCTGGGACGACCACTTCTGGAACGATTTATTTTCGGTGATGTAGTACTGCTTTTCAGGCTAAATCCTCGCAGCCAACGAGGACCTGTGGATGAACGTGGTTGCACAGAAGAAACATGTTAGTTCAGGACCGAAAAAAACTAAAATCTAACAATCACCCCACATCACGACACAGGTATGCACGACATTTACTGGATCCTTTTTCTGATCCAATGCGGGTTTTGCCTCTTCTACTACGGGTTCGGGCTCCGGGCGTGCATGGGCCGGCCGATCGAGAAGCACGAGTACATGGGACGATTTTGCGTCGCGTCCATTGTCGGCTTGGTGTTGATGATCTTCGCGGAATACGTGCGGAAGTTCAACCTGTTCATCTTTTTCATGCGGCTGGTGATGCACTTGTACAGCAAGTTTCTGATCACCCTGAACCAGCACTTTTTCCTGTCCAATTCCGGGTCGGACGTGTACCAATTACTCGCTACCCAAGCGGCGGAGGAGGACGAGTCCGCAGGGGAGGAGGACGACTACGCGGAGACCAGGCAAGCCTTGCTGGAAATCCACCGTCGGGAGGCCGCGGAGCAGGCGGCGTGAGACGGAGGATAGAAATTGCAATTGGTGCTTTCATTTTCCGCTCCTCGAAACCGAAAAATCAAAAATCTATCACAATGACTGGGACAAAGATACGTACGAGCTATAAGTTTGCAACTATTTACAACTCTCCAGGATGCTGGTGGTGCGTGGTGCAACGAGTCCTATTCGAGCAGCCGGTTTTTTTATTTTTGAAACGCGGCATTGTACTTACTACGCCGGTCGTGCACAACGTGAATTAAATACGTGAATGTACAAAATGTCACTTGATGCTGAAGCAGCACTACACAACATGTACAACTACTCAAGACCACACAGCATGATTTTTGCCTAACGCATGAAAATTATAACCCTTGTAATAGATTGTAGTTGTTTTTGATTGTACACACACAACATGTAAAATGCGACGGAACCTCCACACGGAGATGTAAATGCAGCTTGTATACGATACGCCAATATCAAGTAGTATTGATTTCAAACTATGCACAGAGCACTGCATTTTTGTACTTTGTCCTATCACATCAATCTGTACACCTCTACTAATACCTCCAGTTTGTGTTTGACAGTGTGCGGTGTCGACTCACTTTCTTACACTTACATTTTCCTTCATACATCGAGATCATTTCCTATACCAGCGTTTTAGTATTTTCTTCTTGTTACACTCAAGTTACTCATTTGAAAAGGGTGAAAGGCTGTTTAGTTCCGCCATAACAAGTTTTTTCATCCGGTGCGGTTTGAAGATATTTTTCCACTGCAAGAAATTGGTTGTTACGTGGTCCATTGGATACTTAAACTCAAAGGGAGGTCGAGAGGTTGGATACTGTTTTTTTTTCTTTCCCGCCTCGAGACCTCTGAACAGCACGACATGGTGGACCGGGCAACAGGATCGCCTCTAAATTCTTCTTGTACCAATATGTGTAACTTCTACTTCACCTAGCGAAAAAATAAATACAAGTTCAAGTAAGAACATGGGTGGTGAGGATTTGCTTTCCATCGCATACTCTTTAGGTTTTTTTCGGGACGACCATTTTGGGAAGAAGACGAGATCTATGTTCTGGTCGAAGGCGACTCGGTAGAACGCAAGAAAAACATGAGTCGGGTACGAATTCATTTGTACGTTTGTTTGCGGCGTGTGCGTGAAGATGTTGCGTCCCTGTCGGTCTAAATCGGTGAGTACTACTAGCACGGCCTTAATATTGATTCTTCGCCGGGAAGCAAATGCAAATGGCAAGGGCGTGCAAGTTTTTTGGTTCCTCAAAGTTGGATCAAAGTCAAAGTAGGAGCTTCTTTTTGCAGGCGATGAAACTACGAATCGGGCAGGTTTTATATAGAAGTGATACTCATTCTCATGTAGTTGCGTATGCGTAGTTGACGGAGGTTTCTGTTCCTCCTTCGGCGTACTGTTTTTACTTCCGGTTCTTGGTCCTAATTCTAACTCCTGCTGAAAATTTTGTACTTCGCTCCTCTATCGTATGCTAGGTCGTGCAGTCTCGTCCTCAGAAGAACATCATCAGTTCATTTTGCAGCAACCAGAATTATTTTTAGGGGAAAATAACGATCATGTTGATCCCAACTACAACATCGGGGGTCCGAGGAGACTCCACCCCCGACGGCTCGGCCGACGTGGTGACGCGTGCTTTCGCGCGGCTTCAGAATTCGCAGCGGCAATTTGAGGCGGTAGTGCACGACCTTGCGCAGCAGGGGCAGATGAGACGAGGCGGAACTAGTACTTCTACGTCGGTGAGGCAGCACAGTGCTTTCCCCTCGCACCACCCACATCGGCGGGAAACGGACGTAATGTTGTACTCGCGCAGCAGGAGTAGACCAGGGTCTTCGTCCGCGAATGTTGGTGTTCCTACAGCAAGAACTTCTTCCGCTCGGAGTGGAAACAATACATCAGCTAATAAGATGAACGACAGACCGGGCAGTTCCTCCACTTCCACCTCACGGGCGGACTTCGTTTCCTCATCGTCAGCTGCTCAGGAGGGGAAGAACTACGGGAAGCAAATGGGAGGTGTGCGAGGTGGACAAGAGCCCCGCGCAGGTGGTGTCTTCAGCACCGGAGATATAATTAACCGCAGTCAAACGTCGCACCAGCAGCGAGAGGACTGCTCGAGGCCTGGTTGTACCATTACTTCAAATCGACACTACGTCACGGAGCTGGTGCGCATGGCTCCGGAAGGAGTTGTGCTGAAAAAGCAGAGTGGTTGTATAGCCTCTACTACCTCCGCAAATCATAATCCGGGGAACATCAAAGGGCACGGTAGTACTAGCCGCACCAGCGCTGTCGTGCGGCCGTACGAAGGAGATTACGAACAAGTGCACGATCAGCAGAGAACTACTACGGCGCCTAGTCCTTCTGGCGGTCGTGCCCCCTACTTCCATCCAACAAAGCGGGTGGAGCGAAACGGAGACCAAAACCAGGACAAGAAACAAGCATTTCAGGAACAAGACAAAGCTAAAGCAGCAGCCGCGATGGTTGTTGTCCCGCCGCTGGTGAAGATTTCGGTTCCGAGGCTGCCTCTGCCGGTGAAAATAAACAGGCCACAGAGCGCGACAACTACGGGTTCATCTGCAGGGTCTGGTTCAGTTGCGTCAGGAAAGAACATCAATAAAACCACTGTGAAGGTGGAAGAAGTCGATTTGCGAAATTTCTCCGCGTTCGAGTATCTCGCGGGCTCCTGTCCCTGGTTGTACGAAAATGAGGAAATAAGGGACGAAAGAACGACTGGAAGAAAAAGTGATGGTGTAGTTCACAACTCGAAAAGTACTGGTACAACGCCAGAAATTATCCAGTTCGTCACGAAAAACGAGGTGGTGTGCAGCACGTTTCTGGACATCAACGAGGAGGAAAACGACGACCAATTGCTGAGCCCCAATAGTATGATCCAGTCCCCGATCGCCACAGCCTGGCCCGCGGACCGGCAGCTGGCCGAAGTGGAGGGTTCTTTGGGCCCGATGTTGCTGGTCGATGATGAGGACGAAGATGTTGACAAGATAAGGCAGGGACGAGGGGGTAAAGCAGCTGAGGTCAAGAAGTGTTGTACCACGACGACGAAAAACTGCAATGCTAAAGCCACAAATAACTACAGCTCGTTTATTGGCAACAAGTCCTCTGCTCAAGGTGGTGCAACATCCGAAGCCGCGGCATCCTACTTGTCGCAGGAGGTCAACGAGCAAGACACCACCGCGACGAGCACAAAGGTTGTACTCGGGACCATTTACGCCTCGGCGATCCAGAATTTCGTCCGGGAAGAGGAGGAGGAGGAATTTGTGCGCGAGAATCTGAAAATGCACACAATTGGGCAGGAGGAAGAGGAGCGGCGGGAAGGGGGAGATCACGATCGGGAACAGCAACAGGGACATTTGCAACTACTCGCAGAAGTAGACGCGGAGAGCAACCAGGCGGACTACTGCGGATCTTCTGATCAAAATCTTGGAGATGTTGAAAACCTTCTCCACGGCAGTACTCGCTCCTCGTTCGACGTCAACGACTTTCGCGGGCAGGGCAGCAAGTCGAACGTTGTGACCCGGGAGAACAGCAAGGAGGTGCTTCTTACTGGGCGGCCAGTAGAACCGGTGGACCATCTGTCACGGAAATGTGCGAACATCAAGGCATCTTCTGCAGGAAAGAACACTTCTGATGAGGAAGCGAGTAACCAGAACTACACGCACAACGCATGTAGCAAGACCAACGCGGCCCGCACTGAGAAAGTAACAAAAACAGCATACACGACAGCAAAACCTACAGCAGCAGCTGCATCTTCCTCTGCCTGGTACCAAAGTAAGGTGCTACTGCCCAACCGGGGGCGACGAAACAAGTACGCCATGCGGCCGAAGTTTCAGTACTACAACCCGGCATCGAGGGAGACCAAAAAAAGAGGCGATCACGGGGGGCCAACGAAAGATGTATCTGCTGCAACGACGTCTACGTCTACCGCAGCTCCTTGCCCGAAGAAGCTACTTCTCGAGGAGTTGCTCGGGGGAAGCAGGCCGCAGAGCCGGAGTGGAGGAGCGAAGATTTGTTCTGCCCGAGGAGATTCTAGTTCTACACAACAAGTCGGATCTTCCGTGGGTGCTACTTGCCAAGGACCCTTCCAATTGCAGGTGACGGGCGCGTCCGCGTTGCCGCCCGCATCGGCTTGCGGAAGTTTATCTTCGCAGTACTCTAAAGATATCTCCCGGCCCGGAACTGCGGGGGCCGCGGTGACACCGAGCAGGGTCAGTACTGCTACAAATAGACCACCATCCGCTCCAGGGAAGATAACGAGCCATCATGATACAAGAACTCATAGCAACCAAACTGCAGGAGAAGCAGCTCACGATTCTGCTGCTGAAACCAACATCAACCCGGCACGACAAGGAGTTGCTTTGTCCAAGCCCGATCACTCGAAGCACTTTCCCGCGCGCCCGACACCTCGGCGGATGCACCTCAGACCCTCGAGTCGCGGCGGAGTTGAGTTGAGAAGTGGTCACAACGTCGCGAAGAACGAGGATTTGTTTTTGCGAAGCAAGGAAGGATTTTTCCACAATCAATCAGCGGCGGTTCCAGGACGAGAAGTAGCAGATTCTACTTGTTTCGACGCTTTGCGCATCGATTCGAAGACTTGCGGACAGCGCGGTTATTTCTATGATCAGTTCAGCGGAGGTTATGGTGGACTAGTACAGGATGTTTCTGGAGGAACTGCAGCTGGTTCTTGCAGCTCTAGTGTCGTGCGGCCGGGTTTCAGCGGGGCCTACTTTATGTCTCACCAATCGTATAGTACTTCTTCGCGGCCGCAGTCGGCGGATTGTGGTGCGGCTCACAAGAGGAACTTCTGTAGCGGGTTACCATGCAAGCTTATCGCCGTCGAAGTGTATGACAGTGTGTACCAGTCCTCCTATTTTTCATTTGTCACGCAAAAGCCCTTGAGCACTATTTTGCATGACAATTTGCAGCAGCCCAAATCGCACCACCGTCATGCAGACGCTACATTTCTGGCCCTTTTGTGATGCTGCTCATGCCGTGCAAATGAGGGGAAAAGGGAGAGTTGTGCACTCTCATAAAGTGCCAAGCTGTGCTACTACGACGCCGGGGTTTTATTGCAATACTACGCGGACTACTGGACCAGGTGGTTGCGATGATGCAGCAGTAGAGATACACTCTGTAGTTGATGTGGACCCGGCCGCGGGGCACTACCAGAGAAAGAAGGAGCACGTAGAAAATTGCAGCGACGTTCCACAAGAACTGCTACGTCCCCAATCCGCTGCCGCAAAATTGATCAACAACATTCGTGAAAAATCGGTCGGTTCTGCGTTGGACGGGGAAAATGAAAATTCTACCTCGCGGCCTTCCTCACCGACGTTCTCCAACTTCGTCATTTCACAGCAGATGATGGCGGGATTAGCTACAACAAACAGGGATGATTTTTATCCTGCGGATAAAAATTCCCATACAGCATCTTCAGCAGGCGACGATAGAAGTTCTTGTCCAGCAGCTCCATTGAAAACACAACAACAACACGACCATCCCCTCTGGACCGACCTGCAACCCGTGTTGCTGAAAGGGCAGATTTGCTGTTCCACCCCGCGGTTCGCAGGAAGTCCAGCTTCGACCAGCGAGAAACAAGAGTCCAAAAATGGGACGACGAACAACAGTAGCGCAATGACGCCGAATTTTGAGAGCGCAAGCGACGCTCTTGTTCTTTCTCGGTCGACCACGCCATTGTCGTCCGTGAACGGGGGGCTTTCTTCCCAGGTAGACGCGGTTTTTCACGCTGGAAGCGGAATAAATCAGGTTGAGGAAAGAACGGATGGGCACTACCAGGAGAAAAGGTCTACGGGAATAATTTTGGGGAACGACGTGAGTACGAAGTTGAACGACTCGGAGCCTTTGCAACAAGAAGACAACGACGGTGCTAGTGTGAAGCAGGAACAAGATTGCACGAACAAGGCTTTCTGGAAGGTGAATCCGCCGCGCGGCGGCCAGGTGCTGAGCCGTCCGAGTACAGCGACTGGCTCAACATCCTCTGTTGTGGTTCGAAGCGGAAATAGGAAAATCAATGCGTCGAAAATATCTTCAAATAGGGATAATAATAGAGACCACTACAACTCGCTGCTGCTAGCGGCAACAGTCCAGCGGATCATTCCAATGCCGCGGGTGGTGGAACAACCGCGGAATCATGGCGGAGGTTCGAGTACTACTGTTTCAGTTTCTGACGAGCAGGCAAAGTCAAATTCAAAACGATATCAGGGAAAGCAAGCTCAGTCTTTTGCAACCGAAGACAGTAGAAATGCAATGACGATCGGAAGCTGTGTTGGGACTTCTACAGTGCTTTTCGAGCATAAGAACCACGATTGTAAAAAGAAACAGCCCCTTGTCAACAGCACGGGTTGTAGCAGTGGTAGCAGTGGCGCTCCTGTTTCATCAAGTTCAACGCCGACGCGTAATCCGGTTGTGACACCGCCCCCGGGTTGTAAGAAGATGAACAGTACTAGTCGTACGAAAACCTCTACAGCTGCACCAGCGCACAATAAACGCGTATACCAGACCGCGATGCAGGGCCAGAAGGTGGATATTTCGTTTCTCGTGCAGAGGAACGCGCAACAGCAGGAAGTAGTGCGGGACCACATGCGCGGAGCGGGTGGTGCTGTTGGTGTTCTCTCAGGGCCGTCTGTAGCGGATGACAGAGTTGATGAACAACAACCCGGGTCGCCAGCGCAAGGGGACTGTCGAGAAGACGACGACCTGGCCTTTACGTTTCAAGAAATTTGAGTAGTATTTACGATAATGTGAGAGTATCGATCATTTGATTTTTGCTTTGCGTTTCACTTTTATAATCACGGCATATTTCAGATTCATTTCCAGTATCTGTTTTTGTCATTTGAAAAATTTATGATTAAAGATTTCCGATTCGCTCAACAATTACAAATCACTTATATGGAAATTCTGATTTTCGACCTCTTTTCGTTTCATTATTTGATAGCTGGACGGCTTCTTGCACACCATTTTGTCGAAATAGTGATCGACTGTACACCATTGGAGACACAGTTTTACCTTGAAAATGCATTTTCTGAAAGGCGGCGCCGGTGGTCTGTATAATCCAGCCCAAGTACTAACTTCTTTCATTTTTCAGATTTTTTGTTGTTGCGCGTTTTCGTTTTTTTTCTAGCGAGCGCATACTCGAGTTTGGAACTGAGTTGCTGCGGATACGAGCAAAGCCGCTCCTTCTGCTGGAAAGATTTTTTTCCTGAGAGAAACCACAAAGAGGCACAAAGGGTTGGATAGTTAGCAACACATTTTTTTGTTACATGCTTGGTTCGGAAGTGAACGGGGCGGTGTACGAGTATCATAAGCAGGCGCAGGACCCTTGAGAAGCAGTACTGCTCACCTCCCTCGATAGATATTATCACTCATTTTGAGCATTTTACGTGATTTTTTGTAAATTGACCGAGGTGGACGGAGAATCCTTTTCGTTTTCACTGTTTAAGTAATTTCTTCGCGCCATCTTGTAAATACGGAAAAAAGCACTAGCACACAACGAGAGAAGAGCCATGCTGTCGCTGAACCGATTCCGATTAGCGATGTCCGTCTTCCTCGTCGTGCTTTCCGTCTTCGGGACAGTTTCAACGGCTGCTTCACCACGCTCCCGTTCCGGTGACTTTTTCGATCTTCATTTCATCGACGGAGCGCAATACCCGCTCGCCCGTTGTCTGGACGGGTCTTTGCCGTATTTTTACATCTCCAGACCAGCGGTGGATGAAAAATCATTGGCACCAGCAGCATCTGCGGGAGCAGCTCCTGCAAGACCAGTCGCTGATACAACAACCGACAAGAAGAGAAATTTCATTTTCTACCTCGAGGGCGGCGCGTGGTGCGAGTCGGTGGAAGATTGCGTCGCGCGGTCGGAAACGTACCTGGGCTCCGGAAAATTTCTTCCGGAAAAACACGAGAACGTGTTCTTCCCCGCCAGAACTTCGGGCATCATCCCCTACCTGGACAGCGACTGCGAGGAAGTAAATCCGGAGTTTTGCGAGTTCACAAAAGTGATCATTCACTACTGCGACGGAAACAGCTTCACCGGCCAGCGGAAAGATGTGGTGGAAATCGCCGAAGATGGTGAAGATGCAGGAGAAGTTATGATGACATCAAAATTATCGTCCACTTCTGCTGATGTGAAAAGGAAAACTACAAAAGTGCTAGTAGATCAGCACAAACTAGCCTCCGCTCGGGCGATTTACAAAAACCTGCAGCAAGAGTACAGAGGGTACGCGAAGGCACTTATTAAGAGGAAAAATCCCCCCTCCCCATATCGAAAAGGTATCTTTCCGGAAATTTGTGTTGCTGATTTGCGACCTCAAATCACGTCTGTCTTGCAAGAAGGCAACTCCACAAGCTCCGAAGCATTGTGCAGGCGGTTTGTGATGCTGATGGGCCTACAGCGCGGACGTTTCTCATACTAGACGCCTAGGCCAGAGCCTCTCTACTTTGGCTTAGTATGGGGCTGCATTCGTCTCCAGCAAGACAAATCTTATTTGTGTACGCAAATCCTGCGTCAGAAGCTTCGTTTTGATATGGGGAGGGGGGATTTTTCCTTTTGATAGCACTCGGCGGCTTAGTGAAGCTGAATCCTTCCGTCGACGGCGAGAGTGATGTTATTGGGGAAGCAGAACAGACACAGAATCGTGAAAGAAAAGGAAAAATAAAGCTCTACTTCCGCGGTCGCTACATCCTGGACGCTGTGATTGAATCGGTGCTCACGACACTGTCCGCTCCTCCGTCGGCCCCGAAAGGAATGAGCAGCGAAGTTGTTTTGCCTCCCGTCCAACCGCCAAATAGTACAACAAATGCTAATATCGGCAGCGTCCTCCTTGCCGGTTGTTCTGCCGGGGGTTTAGCAGTTTTGTTGCATGCGGATCGAGTGAAGGAGAAGTTTTTTAATAACTTGGAAATCAAGTTCCGGGCAGCGAGTTTTTCCGGGTGGTTTATGGACGTGCAGACTGTGTTTCCGAAGCAATTGGAAGATCCAGATTCTTCGGAAAACAAGAACAAGCCTCCAACTACCCCGCTCGTCCAGAAACAAGCGACCGCTGCGGTTTTGTTACACGACTCGTTTCTCCCGGGGAATTGTGTGGAAGCGCAGAGGAGGAAGGGAAGAGATCCAAATCGGTGCATTTTCGCCGCAATAGCCTATCCGGAAACGGAGAGTACGATCTTCGTTCAAAATTCCGCCGTCGATGCGTACCAGATCGAGGACATCTTGACGCAGACCGACACGCTCTTCGGAGTGTATGCGATTGCAAATACGTCCAGGTCTGGAATAAACAAGTTGTGATGCTATGAAACGAATGAAAAACCGACTCCAGTTGTACGCGGCCACGTATAGGAAATTTCTGGGCGGTAGTTCTGTGGTCGTAACTCGCAAGAGAAGTCATGTTTTAGTTTTTGCATGAGAAATCATGCCTGCTGCACTCTTCCATAATTAAAAAATCATACATTTTCGGGTACCAGGCGGGTTCAGCATGACAAGTTTTCCAGACCCAGACATTTATTTGCAATTGATAGACTGTCAAGCCCTACGACGGAGACGAAAACAACTACTTCCGTCTTCACCTCCTGGGCCCTCTGCACGAAAGATTTGGAGTACTGCGATGCGGCAAAGATGACGGTCCTCCGGGAGTTCGAGACTGCTCTGGTGAAAAGTGTGGTGCATGCGTTTGGCCTGAAGGAAAAAAGACTGAAAAATAGAGACAAAGCTGATAAAAGCACTACATTCATTTTCTCCGACGTCTTTTTCCTCGACAGCTGCCTGCGCCACTGCGAAAGTGAGACGCTGCCTCTTTGGATGAACGTGAAACTTGGCGCGGAACAAGAACATCAAATGCAGGATGACTCCAGTTCAACACCTTCTGTGCAACAAAACAAAAACACCGCAAATTATTATTTTTCCCTGCAACAGAGCATGAGCAATTGGTGGAGAGGACAGGGAGTCGGAACTTTTGAAACTATCGGGACCACAACATTTTCGGTGAGCCAAAACAGTCAATATCCATTCCACGTGCTGCCCTGCCTTGTGAGCAACACGACGCGACCGCGGCAGTGCGACAGACAGTGCTACGACGGTGTCTCAACAGGAAACGGGAGGGAAATCTTCTCCGATGACGCACCACAAGTGTTGGATGTTTTGCGCTGGTTATTTTTTGGTGGACACGACTTTTTCTGGGGGTGATTTGAAACTCTACGTAATTTGTACGCGGCAAGCACAGAGGCCAAATGCCGAGGAACGAAGTAAAGACGGGAAGTTCTCATAAGCAATAGCACTTCGTGCAACGAGAAGTTGGCCATTGTTATCCACCTGCGTGTGGGTGGTCTCCGAGCACAGGGATTCGTGTTCGACTCTTTTCGTGACCCAAGCATTCAAGAGAATTGCACGAACTAAAACTTGGCACGAGAACATTCAAAACTGAGCACAAGAATTGATATCTAGAAACTGGCTCCTCCGCATCATCTGGACTACAAAATGCAATGTGGGCGTCGAAAAGTAGCACTAGTTCTTTCCGATCCACAAAATAAGCATTTCATCTCCGTGAAGATCATCGCGTTTGCGACATAAGCGGCGCTTTTCCACTAGCAATCGAGCCTCTAAGTCTAATCGACACAACGTATGAAGAAAAAGATTTAGCATTTCGAAGAACTAGTTGTACCGACGGAGGAGGTGGCCTTGTTCTTCTCCCCCTGTAAGCCGGTTCTTTCGTGGACGTCTGATGTTCGTCTTCAGTTTCAGTTGTTGCGCAATTTCGCTACTTCTAATAATGATGAAAGAAAGTCGTGCGCACTTGTGGACAGGATGAAGAAAGTCCTCGTGTGGAGTTATTTTGCTTCTCTAAATATCGTTTTTTTTTTTTTAACCGCCGCCTTTTAATATTTTCCGCTCTGTGTGCTGTCCTCAGACACAATTCGCTTCGACCTGATGGTGTTACTTGGGAAGGCTTTGTGCCGTTTTTTGCTTTGCTCTAGGCGGGGGAAGCCGAGCGCCGTCGTGCCGGGCCCTTCTTTGAGCGTGTACGACTTCTCGGCGAAACCTTTGGGAAGCGAGGAGGAAAAGTCTCTGGCGGACTATCGTGGCAGAGTTCTGCTCATCGTGAATGTTGCGTCCATCTGAGATGTGACTGACCGCGACTACGCGGAGCTGAATACGTTGCACGACAAGCACGCTGAGCTTGGGCTGTCGATCCTGGGATTTCCCTGTAACCAGTTCGGGAACCAGGAGCCCGGGGATGACGGACAAATCAAACAGTTTGTGCAGGGAAAAAACGTACAGTGGGACATGTTTTCGAAAGTGGATGTGAACGGTCCGCGGGCGTTGCCACTGTTCGACTTCTTGAAGGCGGACCGAGCTGCTCCCGGCGACGCCGCGGCGAATCCAATCAAGTGGAACTTTACCAAGTTTCTGGTTGGTCGCGACGGGCTGCCCATCGAACGTTTTGCCACCGAGGTCAGCCCCTTACAAGTAGAGCAGCACATCGTCGCGGCGTTGCAGCAGCAACAGCCGCACACGGCACCTACGGCCGAAGTAGGAGCAGACACGGACGTAGACGTTACGTCTCCCCGTTTCAGTATCATTCACCCGACGTCCCCTGGATAGGGCTTGTGTGCTATCTTCTTCTGTCGTGTGCTAGCATTATGCCGAAGTGCAAGTCGCGATCGTTTTTTCGTAGTGAAGTGACTACGCATCGTCCGCATGGTGGTGGATTTTCTCCGGATTTGAAACCCTTACGAGTAGTTGCTGATTTGTTTGAAATTATGTCTATGTCTTGGCGCGGCGCAAAAACAGGGGAGCTGGATGTGGTGGCACAAAGTAGATTTGCTCTGTAGTATGTTCATGCTGGTGGTGCAGCTCATAGGACGCTTTGTTATCCATCTGTCAAAAGAATGCGACGTAAATTTTTCAAGGTTTGCACAGGATTGTTTGGTGTTCGTTGTCTGATTTCTGTGGTCAGTTTCAGATACGAGAATCGTAAATCGCGTTCCTATTTGTCAGACCCGAAAGTAAAAACGCATGTATTTTCTGTTAATCAGCCCGCAGCAGGGACGAGAAGGATCTGGAAATATCAAAAAAGATACCTAGAAAAATATTATTCCTGCGCCAGTCCCAGTGATAAAGACCTGTTGGTAATTGATAAATTTGCGACAACGTGGTCGCATAATTTCAATTTCCTGTCCCGACCAAGAAGATGTCAAGCAGCAGCAGTAGCAGCGCGGCGCCCGCAGGTCGTGTATCATCTTCTCCCCCGCCGCCACCAAAGAAGAAGTCCGCCTTCCTCTCGGGTCTTGCGGGCGGCCTGGCGGGGGTCTGCGAGATTTCCGTCACTATGCCGCTTGATACGGTGAAGACCCAGATGCAGTTGGGCGGGAAGCATGCGAGTTTCGGGCAAGTCGTGCGAGACCTTGCAAACACGCCGCAGCAGCCTCTCGCAAGCTTTTACCGCGGATTCACTCCCATGGTCACCCAGGTATCCTGCAAAGCGGCGATACGGTTCGCGGCATTTCAGCAGTTGAAACTGCTCCTGGACAACAATTTTGTCGCCGGAGTAGGTGCCGGAATCGTGGAGGCCGCGGTCTGGGTCACGCCCACCGAGCGGCTCAAGGTGTTGCGACAGGCACAAGGTACACCTACTTCTACTGGTAGTCCACCACCGCCCTCGTCGATGACCACGCTGGTTCGAGAGCTGCACAAAGCTCAGGGCCTTCCAGGGTTTTTTGTCGGGTTCGTTCCTACCGCGGCGAGGCAGGGCGTCGCGATGGGCATCCGCTTTGCGCTGTACGATAAGGTGAAGAAAATGCTGGCGGAAAACAAAAGTGTGCAAGAAATTTGCAGCAAGCCCACCCAGTTGCTCCTCGCCGGGATGGCGACGGGGGTGGTGTCGGCACTGGCAAACCAGCCGATCGACACCGCGAAGTCCAGAATTCAAGCGAGTATGGGTGGTGGCCAAGGAAAAAACCTCTCGACGACGAAGCAGTACACTGGCACAGTAGACTGCTTGCGGAAGATGGCGTTGCAGGAAGGCTTTTTATCCTGGTACGCAGGGTGCGGACCGAGGACGATGCGGTTAATGATCGGCCAAGGGATCATCTTCAGCTGCCAAGAAACCATTTCCGAATTCCTACATGCGAATTTTGCTACTTGAAGGGGGATGCTGGCGTTTGATTTAAGTGTTTGTGTTTCATCCAAGTTGTGCTGCTGTCGTTGAAAAGATATAAGAAAAAAATGATCTCGCAGCAACCGAAGTAGTATATTTATTTTCTAAATGCGATCATGCAGGTTGTAAGTGCACAGAATCTGGATCATGGTGAGTGCGTCAAGTGTAGAGAAATCAAATGGAAGAAAGACAGCACAGCAGCTGCAACTGCAACTGCAATCGAAGATCTTTTGAAGTGTCGCTGACCATGGAAGATGCTCCTGAAAAAATCATGGTGCGAACTCTTCTCTGAAAACTTGAAAATGATTGCTCCGCGAGGCCTCAGCGGCTTTGTCTGTCGTTCGATCAGATATGGTTCTTGCGTACGACCGTGTTTACAAACTTCTTATCTTGGAAATTCTTCAGGAAGGGCCGTTTGGAGATGAGAGCGAGGTGATGTAAGTCCGCGCCAGAATTGTCTTCGCCCGAGGGTGCTGTCGATTCGTATCAAGAGTGGTATAATATTAGGCTTTTGAGTGTAAAAAGAAAAAGTGGTTTTTTTATGGTATCACGACTTGATTGTGAAGATTTCGATTTGTGTTTGCCACATTCAAGAATCCCATTGAGAAAAAATAATGGTCCGGTTGAAGCTGTGGTTCGATATTGGGTATGATGGCACCAACTTCAGCGGGTGGCAGGCGCAGGAGGCGGCTCACGGCACGAAAATTATATCAAAACCGGCGAGGACCACAGAGCAGGCGAAAATATTAAATGCTTCTAGCGGTGGGCACCAGCCAGTATATGACGGGCGAGAACAAGCTGTAGTTCTTGCGTCTGAAAAGAGCACCAAAGGTGGATCATCGCCGCCCATATTTTGTCGTACTCCTACTGGAGGCAAAAGCGCAGCCGAAAGCGAGGCAGAAACCACATGTCCTCCTCGCAGTGAGGAACCGGAAACGGAAAGAAGTGTAGTTTTTACGCCACAGCAACCCGAGCTTCCTTCTACCGAGGACTCGCTTTTATCCAAAAATTCCCTCGATGTTCACCGTGTGTGCCTTCCGCACAACCGTCGCAAGGGCTGCTGGCGGGGGGAAAAGTGCCTTCGCGTCCACGAGTGTAGCCGATGTGGCAGCCGGGAGCACGCGGCGTGGGAGCAGGTTTGCAGTGGTAGAGCTGGCTTTTTAGAGGGTGAAAATTGCGCAGGAGCTGCTGTTCCAGCAGCTGCGTTCGCCGGAGTTGGCATCAAGAGCGACACGACTTGTCTTTCCGTTGCGGAGCTACCAGCGGTGCAACCGGTGGTGGACAAATGGATCCGGGATGCGGTGTTGCGAGTTTTTGCTGCTACTAATGAAGTAGACGAGGATCATGATCCACCTCGACGCACTGGTGACAACAACCACAGTACTAGAGCCGAACAAGAGATGAAGATGACAGGCGGGGTGGAGGTCACCATGATGACCGGAAGTTCTTGTACTTCTACAACTAGATCGTCCACGATGAAAACTTCTCCACTGCGTTCTTTGTCCGGCGTATGCGGCACCTCGCGGACCGATAAGGGCGTGCACGCGCGGTCGCACTATCAAATGTAAAAGTGTCTGGGTCTGGAAGGGTGGAATTTGTAATGCTGTCTGCGGATGATAAAAATATCTGTGTTGCATGAGCAGCAAGACCAGTCAGTTCTTGGCACGCGAAGAGGGCATTTGTCATGCGTAATTAGCATCCAGAAGCTCTCAAAAAATCTGTGATGCTAGCACCAGCATCACAGACCTCACGGGTCATGCAAAATCTGCATGACAAGCCCCGATCCTTCCAGACCCAGACATATTTGCAGTTCATACGCGCTGGTGCTACGCAAACATTCACGGGGGCTTTTCCGCCAGTTGCCCCAAGGACCTCGATTTGGAAGACGAGAGGAAATTGCTTTTTCTCTACGCCGAGTTGCGACGCACAGCGAAACACCAGCCCCACTGGATCAACCGCGTGCCGTTCATTGGCGGGTGCAAAAGCACGGCGGCGGAGGCCCTCGCGTTTGGTTTGAATACGGACGATCGAGGGGAAGAAGTTTTGGGAGCTTCAAGAGGAGCCCCAGGAACATCTCCAGGACGAGAGTGCTTGTTGCCTTTAGTACCCGTCGCGAAGGATTTATTGGATTCAAATTTATTATCTCCATCAGAGACCACGACCACTTCTGCACAGGAAATATATACCCCAGCGGATTTTGGGGCCAAGGAATACCGCTACTTCATCCAGAGGAAACGACCTGGTGCGCCCGGAATTTGCAGCGGTACTGCAGGTAGGAGTTCTACTCCGAGTTTTACTTGTCCCATCAACCTCGAAGAAGAGGTGGAGCTCCTGCAAACGGACTTTACTAAACAACTACATCGAGGCTGTTGGCAAATGCACGAGAAGGACTTCGACCGGATAAGTTTAGACAAAATCAACCAAGAGATTGCCACCAACTTGCTCGGAAAACGCGACTGGACGCTTTTTTCCTCTCGGTGCGAGAAGAAAAACTGTGTCCGAAACATGGTTTCGATCACAGTCCTCGAGTTGAGGAAGGATTCGAAAAATGAGAACTCTGGCGGAGCAGCAGCAGCATACGAAGTTGTGCACGACGGCCAGAGATATGAAGATCCGTATCTGATGATATCAAATAAACCCGGGGAAGTAGAAGTGGAAGAAAGAGAGGACGTAGAAGGTCCTGCTCCTAGGAAGGAACCTTGTGGAGGCCATTTTCGTCGCGAAGTGGAAAATGCTAGCGCTTTCCTTGAGTTCCGGTTTGTGGCCGACGGGTTTTTGCGCCACATGGTCCGCCGCCTGGTGGGGCACTTGGTGGCGGTGGGCATGCAAGTTGGTGAGGACAAAGAGGGAAATAATAAACCTGCAGACCTTTGTTCTTCACCTCCTGCGAACGACGACCCCGCGACTCTGTGTGCAGCAACGTGCAGCACCCATAGCCAACAAGCCATGCACAGCACACCTCCTTCAACTGAGCAAGAGCAGCCGGGAAAATCGTCTTCAAGTGTCGAAACCGGCAAAAGACGCAACACAGAAGACGGTGGTCCTGGTTTCATCCACAAAGCACGCCGAGCGCCTCCCCAAGGACTGTGGTTGTGGGGACTCGCGGAGATTTAGGCTGGTGGAACGAAGAAAATTTTTTTCTTCGCACTGAATCTAATGTACTAGTAGTAACTACACGACATCATGGAAAATGTGGTGGAAGGAGATTTTTCGGACATCATAAGTTCCTCCAGATCATTCCAGCGACACGACATTCACGCGCTGAGGAACTTGTTCCAGCACACAAACAAGTTCACAGGCAAGGCGACCGCACAGCGACATATCAATCTCAAGTAAACGCTCCGTTTGTCCTCGAAGCTTGAGACTACCCTTAGTGGAGTCTCCATGCAATGTGGGACTGCTCGCTCGCTTATGTGTGGTCTTGTTACTCTCATCTCGGATGGCGGTGCCTCGTGTTCATCAGTTATTTCTGTCAGCGCAGCTTAGAGTCAACTCCAACTCGGAGTAGATGATGATCATCGGTAGTACTTACTACAGACGTTTAGCACAGCCTCCAAGAAGCTCAAGCTTCTGTTTTATCCAACTGAAATATTCTGTTTCTGATTCTTGCAAGAAGTTGTAGTGAAGATATCATTTTTCCTGTTCATCATTTCTCACAAGACAGCTCGGTATGCAAAATACTGTCGGTGGTCCAACCGCTTCCTGAAAAAGCATCGGTCACCATCGTGCAAACCAATCGTGCAAGTACTTCTACACTCGTTCACATGACAGACGTACTTCCCATTACCGTAATTTTTCAACACGATTTCTCGTCTCTATTGTTCCGAAACGTTTCTAATTTGCGAAAAACTTCTTCCAGGACCTCCTAGACATGCTGTCACTCCTTGAAATGACTTTTAGCCTCCTCTTCTCCCACCTCTACTAAATGCTTACCCATGATGAAGATGTGTACAATTGCCCAAATAGAGTACTTCCATTCATACCGGCCCTTTAGCGCACCAGCGAAGACCCTGACCTGTTGTAGCTCTGAATCTCCACGACGACCCCAGACACGACGACCCAATTTCTACTACTCAGTGGCCACCTCCTGCTAGATTGGACAATTCTCGGCTGTTCATCTCAGACAATATTATTAAAGCATGGAAGTTCTGAAGAAGTGTTGCGGGGGAAAGAAGGCGAAAAAAGCGGTGATCAAGGCCGCGAAAGGCGGGTATGTGAAGGACCCAAACGATTTCCGCAATCAGGTGCAGGGGGTGCGGCGGTTTTTCCCGGAGTTCACGGACCCGGGAAAATTGAAAAAAGTGAAATTCCACGTCGACGAGGAGACGGGGAAGAAGAAATACTTTATCGAGGACCCGCAGGAGGGCCGACTGTTTATCACGCGGGACAACGACGGCCGACGCGTGTACTACATCGACACCTTCCTCGAGGTGCTCACGCACGCACACGACCGAGTGTACGTCACCTGGGACGCGGACGGGCAAAAGTTGCACTACGTAGAGGATCACGACCACGGGAAGGTGTACATAGAGCAGGACGTGTTCGGGCACCCTCTGCTGTGGGTGCACGACATCCACGACGACCTCGCGGAGCTGGTGTTCCTCCACCTCCCGGAGGGGGAGGATCTCCCGCACTACTTTTGCCACCCGATCGCGGTGTCCGACGAGGTGTATTTCAACAGCGGGTTCCAGCGGGTGGGCCACTTCCAGATCTTTTGGGGGCTGAAGGGGGACAAGCAGTTTTACGTGGCCGACGAGATGGAGAACACCACGCACATGCGCCGGGTGATCTACGACCGCTACTACGAGCACTGGCGGTTTTTCCGGCCCGCCGACCGGGATACCACTTTGTACGGAACCGACCCGCACTCGCGGGAGCACGACGACGCGGAGGGCAGTTCTGCCGCGGCCTCGGACGACGGGCCGATCGACATAAATGACCTGTTCGCGGGCGAGGCGACCAGTCACCACCCGCTGCGCAGCCAGTTCGAGCACCAGCGGACGCTGGCCTCGGGGTCCCAGCTGTTCCCAGACGCGGAGGAGGAGTCAAAATCCGACCCGGACTCAGCCGCAAGCTACAAGGTGGACGCCGAACAAGCGTAGCGAAGACTAGACATGGGGAGTAATGTCTTGATAGATACGACGAGCTAATATGGGAACACGAACAGCGGATCTGATGTTAACATCCGTAGTTCTTTCGCTTTTCTTGGTCAGGTAACTTGTACTTACTCCGCTGGAACTGCGGCTTCCGTTGTCGACGTGTGGTCGATGCGCGCCTAGAACGACCTTTGTAGCTCCCCGTAGTGAAGAAGAAATAGGTTGATTAGAAAACTTCTGCTCTGAGCAGGTTCTTATTGATACTTTGAGTCGGAAAAACATTTAAAGTGCTCCTGATCAGCTTGCGCGCTGCGGCATTACAGGTAGGCTGTTTATTTCCGGAATAATCATCGGGTTCGCGATAATTTCATGAACCACGCATCAGAAGCGCAAAGAACGAACTACACACGTCTCTCTCGGTCAACATCAATCAAGAGGCGGAAGCTTTGCCAACGTTCTATCGTATCTGTACTTCGCGTAGTTTCTACTCATAAAGGACTAGTATCGTTTTGTAGAAGACATCGCCACATGGAATCGTACGGCGCGCACTGATGTGAGCGAGAAACCACTTACTTGCGTCCCTCATGCGGCAAGTCGTGGAAATTGCGATTGCAATAAAATCGGTCCACCTCTCGTGCAACCACTATACCATCGTGCAACGACGTCTAGGCGATAATTCATCTTCATCCAAGGTGATCGTGAGAAAGAAGGATGCGTAGCAGTAGCAGAGTCGGTGTCAACATCATATCACCATCACGTGCAACATCGCTGATTCGTGCCAGCAGACATATTTGTAGAAATACTCGTGAAGCAAGAAGAAGAACGTGCTTGATATCGGTCGTGCGTGAAAATGCTATCCCTCTTTATCCATGCTCGTGTAGAAATAGCAATTGGTCATCAACACCGAAACATGAATAATACCATCCCAGGGAAGATATCATTATCTCACCTCAAAACCCAAACTGAAAAATCGCAAAACTGTTATTTTCAAAAAACGTGTCAACAACAAGTTTCGTGCCCGTGTGCATGTGACTTTGATATTCTGCACAGCACTTCATCCCAACACATTTTCCGAAATTCATTGTAACATCACCAGAGCTGCGGCACTGCTTTGTTCAAAATCCCGCTTTTTTTTGAATCCTGCATTGGCAAGTGTTAAGTATCCGCAAACATGGGGAATGCGTGTGGATGCGAGCCAGCCCCTGGGGCGAAGGATGTGAAGGCCACGGGGGAGATGAAGACGGTGACAAAAGTGTTGGAAGACGGATCCACTTACAAGGGGGAAACCAAGGATGGCATCGTCCGACACGGCAAGGGAACCTACACATACCCAGACGGCAAGACCAGCTACGAAGGCGACTGGATCGACGGCAAGGCACATGGGGTCGGCACCTTTAAGGACGGGGAGTCGGAGTATTCTCAAATTTGAAAATTGTTGTACTTATGTGCTCTTCGGTATTACTAGAATCTACCTGTCAAGAGTATATTTTTGGGACGCCTAGTGGTCCAACATTTACATTGCTGGCATTCGTATTCCGCTCGACCCGCAGGTACGTCGGACAGTGGGAGGACGACTTCAAGCACGGGCAGGGCACGGAGACCTGGGTGAACGACGGCAGCTCCTTCGTGGGGCAGTACAAGTACGGGAAGAAGGAGGGCCACGGCAAGTACACCTGGCACGACGGCAGCTACTACGAGGGCGCGTTTGTGGCCGACAACATCGAGGGGAACGGCACCTACTACTCCCATTCCTGCACCTTCACCGGCGCCTTCAAGGACAACGTCAAGCAGTATTCATTTTACATACTTGACCCTTTAGCTTTTCATTTTTTTTTCACCAAATGCATTTGCATTCCATTTAGCTACTTCGCATGGATAGGATTTTTTTATCTTTATTAAAAAGCAAAAAAAGCAAAATCCATCTGGCTTCTAGAGTCTTGTGGGGTCAGAAGCAGGATCATGTTGATGGTGCAAAGCCTTGCAGGGGACGAGAGATTTCGTAAAAGAACAGCACTTCAGACTAATCATAGGACGGTCAAGATGTTGATCCTTGTCCGATGCAACAGTTCCTGTGTATAAAGCGCCGCATAGTAAAAATTTGAATTTTGTATTCTAGTAAGTTTGCCACCCTGAAGTAGATCACGCTAGACCTCACCCTGTATAGACCGCTGCCTCCGATGAAGGAGGACTTTATCAAAACGTACGGATTCGTAAATCGAAAAGAATGAACAATCCTGATCAACAAAAACTGCAGTGGCTACGGACGGTACGAGTGGTCGGATGGCAAAGTGTACGAAGGCTACTTTTTCAAGGATCGCAAGCACGGCACGGGCACCATGACCTGGCCAGACGGTTACGCCTACATTGGACCCTGGGAGGAGGGAGTCCAGCACGGCAAGGGAGTGATCAAGGAGCCCGATGGCACCGAGGAAAAGTGCGAGTTCGAGCGCGGCACGCAGATCGCATAAAAAGAAGTACTGATAAAGAAACCCTTCTTCAAGAATAAAAATAGGAAAGTCGTGGCAGCACAACTAGTACAACCGACGCTTTGACGTAAACACGAAGACTTTTGAAGAAGTATAGTCGATCTGCAAGAACTACGTGATCAGGCTCAAGGTGATCAAAACCGTACAGTACATAATTTCGATTTTTTGAAACTCATTTTCAACATGTAAAAGCGGCCATAGTCGAGTTTGTCAAGGCTACAGTATTATTATTCGCCGCCGTGTTTTTGCGTTTTTTTCTCGTAGTTCACGTACACTCTTTATTTTCAAGCACAGCCTGGCTGAAGGTCGTAAATGGTCAAAAGAAGAACTACTTTGTGGCCACTCGTCGTCCTTAAAAGGCCCACGCCAAGAAGTGCAAAGCTCGCATGCCTTTTTAGTTTTTTTCACTTTTGTATCATATTTCAACACCATTATTATATTTCAACATTTCAACACACGCTCACATATTTTTAACACGTCAACATGCATATAATCACTGCAAGTAAGTACTTATGACCTTCCGTGTGAAGGCTCAGGGAGCAGTCCTATCGAAATACCTTCTTCGAAGCAGGCGAACTAAATGGAAAAATACGGGGGACTATGTACAACTACAGAACACACACGAGAACAACTTCGTATTGCGGGATCAGTTGAAGTAGACTCGACAGATCATAATTTTTTATGATGTGTTAGTACGCTGCATCCTTTTCATCGCTGCGCTGCGCGAGGTATCCCCGAGCTGCGGTCTGCGATGGAAATATCTTCGGGGCAGCACGTCCTCTCACGAGGAGCACGCAATATGGATAGATAGCCTCTAAAATAACTCACATAAATCAGCGTTTTTTGTTCGCAACCAAATGCCATTACCTCACCCCCTGTAATTTCCACCTAGAACAACCTTTAGAAAATAACCACGCTCAGTTATTGCGATTCTGTGTGACACCAATTTTGTTGGGTATCAAAAGCAACATAGTACTACACTCTGAAATCAACCTAGTACATCACCTCACTGCACACAAAAATATTCCTGTGTCGCCTTTGCGCGATTATACATTTATTTCTTGGACGTTTGTAATTGATTCTCGGACAGAGTCCTCGCCTCTGGGAACGAAAGATGGGAGGCATTTTACTGTGTGTTTCTGTATGCTGTGAAAGAAAGCGTCGTGGTTTGGAGTCATTCCAGGCGGAGAAATAAAAGAAAAGGACGCAAATCGAAAACTTGTCGTCGGTCGGCACTAGCTCTTGCGAAGTAGGATGAAGACGAGATTCAAAATTTCGGTCCTCTCAAAGATCATAATCAGAACAAGATCAGCATCAGCTCAGCTGCGAAATTACTTGTTTTTCCGTTGTGGTCAGATCAAGACGGGAACAATGATCAACATACTGAAAAAAAAAGTTGTCTTTTCTGTTGTATACCCGTCGGTAACGAAATAGATCCACCCGTGGTACCGTGAAAGATTCTGCCGGTGACTGAGATGTTGATCATATTACTGGATGTGGATCGTTTGATACTGCAAGTCCCCTCGCGACCGATCACTAATGCGATCAACAGCAACAAACTCCTTATAAGTAATGGAACAGGTGGAACAGGAAAATCTCGGAAACGCACACTGTGGACCTATCGGTGAAACGACGACGCCACTCGGTAAGAAATTAGCAACGCCATGACATGACGAGAGCGATACACTATCAAAAGAGGCGTTCTTCACAGAATGACTACACTAAAGCACGAACATCAGGCCCCTGATTATCCTAGTGATTCGCCCCACAATAATCAAGTCTTGAACTACCAGGAAACCAATCGCGATTTTATTTCTACAGCGCCGGCGCTCACAGCTCGGGACCACACACACCTTTATTTTCCAAAACACTTCGACGTAGGTAGGAACTACTTCTGCGTTGTCCGACGCGCTGTTTTCTTCTCTATGCACTCACTTTGATGTGTAAGGATTTTCGAAGATAGAAAACTCTTCCGCTTAAAGATCAACTGACACTTGTAAGTACCTGCTTCGTCGATTTCCATTTTTCTGACTTAAAGTATAATACGCTACTTTCCATCTATCTTCTAGACGGCAAAAAAAGAAAAAGATGGTGCGTTTGCTCCGCGGGACCAGCGCTGCTGTCGCTTCTCTGCTGCTTGTTGTTGTTCCGGTGTTCCTGCAACATCTGTCGTTGCCTGTTGTAAAGGCTGTGCAGCTGCGAGCAGCGAGTTCTTCTGCATCTGCAGGTGCAGGGTCGTCTGCTTCTGGCCTCAGCGCTGGCCGCCAGTCCGCCGCACCGGGGAACAGGTTACGCACCAGTCTCAGGAGTCGAGGCGGAGTTGTCCCCGGCGGCAACGGGGACCAAGCGCGGGAGGTTCAGATAGCAAATGGGGGAAGATCTCGTTCACAAGACCAGCCCGCTGGGGGAGGACACCGGCAGAACGGGAACCAAGCTGCACAGTTTCGACCGCGCGCGGTTCAGGACGGTGGTGACCCTCCGTCCTGTCCCTACCTCTGGCCGATCGAGAAGGAAGTTGCAGAGGTATCCAGAGTAAAAACGCCACCCACGACGCCCCATAGTCAAAGTGGGGATGTTGCTACACAGACGCGGCCCCATAGTCAATGTTGCTACACAGTATATTAAGCAAGGTTAGGCAATTCTTGCACAGGACAAGTTTGGATTCGCGACGTAGTCGTTGTTTAGCTAGTGCGGCCGTGATGTCTCAAATCGATCACACAATCCTGATTCTAGCATGTCACGTTCCGAAACAACAGTAGAAAATGCCCCTCGCGGGGCTGCGCATGAGAGATATCCTGAGCGTGCAAAAAGATATCTGGGGTGAGGACGTTTTTTCTCAGGATAAGAGGCAAAGGAAGCTATTCGTGTTTGCGAGGCTCGCGCGGCTGAATGGAGAGAGGAATGCCGCTCATCTGTCCAGTCCTCAGGCGAAATTTTCGTGGGAGGTTGTGTCGCAGGGCTGAGCTGTTTAGCCGCCGGTGCCTGTTTGGGGCCGGGGGCGGCAGCCGCGGCAGGAGTGGCCGCGCCGGCCGTTGTCGGCGCCTCCAGCTGCGCTTCTGCGAGGTTTGCTTTCGATGCTGCGGATGCGTTCCTGGGCGTGGCTCGTATGGAACAAAAGGCGCATGCTTGTCGTCGATGGCTAGGTATTTTAGAAGCCGACCTTGCGCGCGCGAAGCGGCAAGTGCGTGACTACCCGTACCTGGGTCGACTAACGGAAGCGGGGGCTGTTCAGGAGAGGGAAAGGCAACGAAGCGAAAGGAGAAGGGCTGTGATTCGAAGCTTACGTCGAAACGTGCCGAACAACTAGACTATATGTAAAACCCAGTTACAAACGCACGTCTAGTTTCGCAGTAGTCTTACTGTCTTCTCCATGACCACTCAAAAAAAATTTCTGATAAAAAGAAAAAAGTACGCCGTTAATTTGTATTTTTACACTCTGGCTTTGTCGTCCCACGCGGACGCGAAGGCGACCAGCAGGGAAAAGGATCCTTTTCCGCGGAAGGTCTCCCGGTGATGTAGGGCAAGTCCTGAAGAGGACAAAGAAACCGCGGCGGAGGAAACGAAGAGCAGTCTCCTAGCCATTTCCAATCCTGTTGTTAGGAGCTCCTCATCAGATCCTTTATTATCGATTTCTACAGTTCTCTGTTCGCTCCGGCTACAGTGACCTACTCAAACTTCAGTTTTGATTTTGCATTGCAATGTAAAAAAAAAGTTTATTGATTTTTGATTGTGCTTATCATAGTGTTGTTAAATGCTACAACGGCCTATTTTTTCCTCTATGAAGGGTTGACTTTTGTTACGTGGGAGCAAGGCTAGCAAGTACAACGGCAAAAAAGAGGCACACTGTAGCTGTTTTGACGAAAAGTGGTACTATCAATTGCACTCCAATTGATTTTTTGGCAAGAATTCGTATTAAATCACATGAGCAGGTCGCTCATAGTACATACATTCATACTTCTGCTCATACCGACAACAGGGGAAGTGTGCTCGCCCGCCCGAAAGCCGTTCGGGCGCCCAGGGCGTCATGGAAGGCCCCACACAGTGGTACCGCCGGGACAAGTAAGACTTGTTAGCAGCTCCCAACATTTGCTGTACGCGCCGGGTATGAACCTTCACTATTCACACTGGCCACTTACCCAAGGTGTCTGGAAAATGCAAATGCCGCGCCCTCCCATAGGCCGGCCAAGATGCCTCAATCCGTAGAGGTGTCTTGAAAAACCTAACCTCAGTAGTTTTGTTTGCAAGGTCCGTAAAAAAATAACGACCTCGACTGAGGGGAAGCCAGCGACAGCGGGGACGACGCAAGATGTTCTGAAATCTGACAACTGCTAGGAAAAGCCGTACCTCGGCGAAGATGTTGGCTGCTTGCCGTTTAGCAGCGGACCCGGCTTCTTTAGCACAGTGCGTGCAATTTCTCGGGTCGATGACTTCTCTGTCATCGGGGTCGACGACGGCTTCGCAGATCCTGAAATACGCGAGGATAGTGAGGGCTAGCGGTGGGGAGCCGTGGCCGGTCACCTTTCGGCATCTAGAGAACTTTATCGCGGTCTGTTTGACGACCGCCTACAAAACGTTCGACGATGATGTGAGCCTGGTCTTGAAAACAGCCAGGAAGCGGGGGGAAGTATCGCTGAACGAAGTCGAAGAAAGTTTTGTGTGGTCCCTCCTTGCGAGTTTGCGACGGAAGGGAGTTTTCAACCACACCCAGAAAGCCCCGCTATTCCGCTCGAATATTATGAAACTGGTCAACGCTGTCGACCGGGCACAGCTTTTGCTGGTTTTCCTTTTTGGGCTTCGCAAATCGGAGGCCCAGGAAGTCAACAAGAGCATCCGGATCCTTTGGGGCGTCAAGTCGATCGGGCTTGACTTGCGGGGTGCTGTGCTGAAAAGCAACAGCGTGCAGGCAATTCGGGTGCGTTGCACCTGCGAGAAGGGTAAAGTAGTGCTCTCCATCATTTCTCAGTAGAACTCTTTTCGACCATCATGCCCGGGGATAATGAAATTGTGCCTGCTCCGGCGGCAGCGGGGGAGCAGATCGATGGGGAGATTTTAGCGGGCTTCGCTCGGGTCATCAACAAAGTTGTCAAGACGGCCGATGAGGAGAACAAGGATGTGGGGATGGTTCTTTTGCAAAAAGGCCTCTGCACTGATGCGCTGGCCGGGGCTGAAAAGTTCGCGGCTTTGGTGAAGCTGGTCCGCCGCCGGGGTTGCGGCTCGTTTACGGCGAAAGAGCTGAAGGACGCTGTTCAGCTGGCCGCCGCGATTTTAGTTGTGGCGAAGAAAAAGATCGCCTTCGCCAACAGCTGGGGTTTGGGCTTGTTCATCCGGTTCTCGGGTTCCCCCCACGCTATCGCCGATCTGAATAAGTCCATCAAGGAGTTAAACTCCTTGGTGGTTGAAAACGAGTACGAAGAGGAGGACGCCGCAGCCGCGGCGGACGAAGATACTATCGAGGAGTGTGCTCTTCGCTGCTGGACTTACTTATCTACTTGCTTGTTTAAGGACATGGAGACCCTGCAAAACGCCCGGGGCGGGGATGGCAAGGACAAACGTGACGCGGGTTTGAAACGTTTCAAACCCTCTGGGAGTGGGATTTGTTTGCAGTTTCTCAAGGAGGGGACTTGCCGCTTCGGCTCCTCTTGTAAATTCAACCACAACCCCCCCGAGTCGGTGGACGCGATCCGCAAACATTGCGAAAAAATGGGCTGGGGGAATGTCGACGCCGCGGCGGCGTGGAAAATCCATAGTAAGAAGTAGAGGGGGGTTTAGTTGTTACCGTAGCGTGTCCGCCCGTACACACCCGACCGGGGCCGGGGGTCGCCCCTTTCCCAGGGACGCTGTGGATTTCTGTTTGTAGGACCTACTACTCTACTTGGTGCGATATAGATTTTTCTTTGCGTTCCGTCACCTTGGGTTCCGCCTAATGGCTCGATGTTCGATATTTGCGTTTGGGTTAGGTCGTCGCGTCGCACCTCTCCGTGGGGGCGGGCTTGGTTTTCCCAAATTCAGCTCCAGTCTCGTCTGAACTGGGCGGGTTCTTTGGGATCGTCGTTGCGTGGCGTCTCCTGTGGGGTTAGCCCACCACTTGTTGTTGGGTGCTTGCAGACCTCCTTACCGAGAGGAGATCAACACCGAAGACGATCATCCAAAGTTGATCCACCTGTTGCTACTTGTGTCATAAAATAACGACCTCGACTGAGGGGAAGCCAGCGACAGCGGGGACGACGCAAGATGTTCTGAAATCACTCGTACTGGCGATCGTGCTCCGCCGCCTCCGCCGCGGCAACGGCGAGCGCCGTGTTGCGGTCCCGGAGGAGGCGGAGAATTTCCGAGATCGTTTGCCGCCTGTCCCGAAGAAGCTCCTGGTCGAGCTGAGATAGTGTTTGTTGTTCTTGAACACCTCCGGCCGAATTTGTACTGCTAACGCTTGACCGCCCGGCTGTTCCTGCAGTTCCAGACCCCGCAGGAGCTACTGCCCAGGGGTTTTTCTGTCCTTTCGCGAAAGAGACCACACCGGCGTGGATCTCATTCAAGGAATCGACCACTTGGTCCAAGTGCTGTGCATCGGAGGACCCTCGCTCAAGAACATCTCCCGGTGCGGCCTGGTTAGCGGCGCTGGCTCGGAGGCCCTTGTCAGAGGCGATGGAGGTTTTGGAAAGCGTGGAACTACCGGGAGCAATGGCGGCAGCGGGCAGCTGGCCAGTAGCTTGCTCCTCAGGTGGTCTTTCTGCTTTCTCCGCACCAGTGTCCTGTAGTTGTTCCTCCTCATCTTCCTCCGGAAGAGCGGGCATAAGGCTGATCGGCTGCTTCATACTCATATTACCTCCCATCATCTCCGAAGAACTACCGGGACCACCACCGTCGAAGGCGGAGGATGGAAACGGGTTGGCCGCCGACAGTGGAACTCCTGCCATCATGTTGCCGTAATCGTCCAACATATTACCGTGGTCGTGGATCTCGAACTTCTGTTGCTGTAAGCGAAACGCGTCTAACGTCAGTGGGGAAGAAACGTCCGAAAAGTGGTATTTCGCGTCCAATGCATTCCGGAAGCACCGCAGCGCCTGCTGGCCCTGCTGCATGGTTTTCATGCGCTTTTTCCACAGATTCTTGTCCCGGTCCGAAAACAAGCCCTCGACTTTGGTATCTTTCGACCAAGGAGCATGCTCGTCAGCGCAGGACTTGTAGTTCAGAGGATACCCAGTCGCAACATTATTCAGCTCGTCGACTTCCGCCTGCTTCAAATTCGACTGAGGGGAAGCCAGCGACAGCGGGGACGACGCAAGATGTTCTGAAATCTGACACACTGTGGTGCCTGCACCACCATGCACAAGAGATCCCTACCGTGGTGTCTTCCGTTGTAGATCATCTTCCCTTTTTGCGTCTCCCGCGGAAGTTCGTCCCTCCCCGACCTGGAGCTCGTCCGTTGTAGATCGTCCCTCCCGCGTTTCTTCGTCATTCCCCGACCTGGAGCTCGTCAATACGCCGTACCAGCGACGCAGGGGGTGCTGCGGCAGATCACCGTGGACCCCGGGAAACGCCGGCCGCTACCGCGAGCTGGAACCCCCGACGGCAGGACAGGACGCGGCACCACAGTGTCGTCCTGCACCCCCCCCGCGATGATGTCAGGTCCCATTCCGGTGATCCTGGGGGGGCAACTGGGTAAGCGCCTGGGGGCACGAGAGGACCGCTGGAAAGAAACCACACCACAGTCTCCCTTAGCCGAGGGTGGTATACTGCCAAAAAGAAATAGGCCTGTGCTCTCCTTTAAGAAGACAGCTTTCAACAACGTCTTTATGCCTGAGCAATCTTTTGGTACAAAAAAGCTTGACTATAGCCCTATTCGGAAGTTCCCTGCTCTTCGTGAGCAACTTGTTAAGACGAGCCGAACTGTGACATGGCCAAAGATCTTGTGTGTTCATCACGGTCCTGCCACGACTAGGATAAAGAAACCCTGAAGATGAATACACAATGTGAAAGAACCAACTGAGAGGCAATCGGTGCACATCGACCCCCACGCATTTTTGTACCTACCGTACACATCTTCACAGCAGGCACGATGAAGTCCACCAGGAGCTTCATTTCTTGAGAGTAAAGTACAACTTTTCGTTCCTTCTACTGCAGATTGTGGAGTAGTACATCACGAAATCCTTGAGCGATAGGTATCTAATTAGGCAGCGCTGGAGAGGTTTTGTTTTCCTGAGAGCATGAGCATGGCGGTCGGCGGTCGCTTATGGTCTTCTGTATCGAACCGGAAGATTTTTGCCCCGGAGAAAGGAAGAGCGCACCATCGAGGGCTTAAGTAGTCACTGTGACTTTTCGAGAGGTTTTCGTGAAGCGCATCGGAACTGAACGTGCTAAAGAAGTTGTACCCCTGAAAAGCACCAGCCACCGTAGTACTGATAGATTTCAATGGCTCTTGCTGCACTCTCTTCAGTACACAACGATATCGATAAATACACTTCGTGGGTCTGTCAAAACTTCCACACTACGACAGGGCATCAACATCATCGTATTGACATAATTATTCGTGTGAAATAAATCGAGCGTCCCGATAGAAATCATGGGCCCGAGATTCCAATGGAATATTCCGCCAAAACTACCCCTCTTTCTAGAAAGACCACTTCTAAATGAAATTAAAATGTAGGGTACTTTTTTTTTTGACAACATAATGGTTTGAAGCGATGGTTTTGGAGGAGGCTCTATCCTGCGTAAAAACGTCTTCACCCCAGAGTAAAGATGCGAGGAACTCTGCGTACAAAAATCAACAAGTTTTGGCTGATGTTGCGCATGACAAGTTTGGGCTCGTCGTAGGGCAAGAGTCCGATGTTTAACCAGAATCGATCAGCTCATCCTGATTTTAGCATGACAAACTCACTCCCGGGCAACATCAGAATACGGAGCTTCCCATGGGGCTGCGTATGAGAAACGTCTCTAGGATTGCAGATTTGCATGACAAATTCGGGGTGGGGAGGTTTTTGCTCGGGATACGCTTTTATTCAGAAGTGCCGCGAGGCCTTCAACACATTCGATGCCGAGTATGACAAGAAAACAGAGCGTCAGGGTCAAAGACATCAAGAAGTAATTGCATCATATGTACGTTCTGCTTCTGTTGATGTTGTGTATCAGGAAATTGTACGCTTCGTGCTAGGACGTGGACGAGGAATAGTGAATGCACATCAACTCCTGCCTGCATGTTGTCCTGATCCTGACGTATTTGCAATGCATAAAGCTGGGTCGGGGACTATCGACACACAAGGTACTACAGACGGCTGCTTTTTTTTTTTCTTTTCGTGCCCTGGAGAACGAAGTTCTTGCAGTAAACGTAAAGTTTGCATGGTTACCACGGTCTGTTTCTAGAATGAAGAAAATCGAAATACCGCTAAACAGAGATGAAGCTTCTGCTGGAGTCAATTGGCGAGTCACTCACAGAAGAGGAGTATCTCACAGAAGATTTTTACCAGTAGCGTAGCACAAACTTTTTGTCATGCGTAAAAAAAGGAAAAGCATGATTGGGTCATTTTGCGCAAGACAGGTATGGTTTGGTTGAAACAAATTTCGTGTTCGATCATAATGGGCAAAAATGTAATCATGGTGGTAAGCTATATTTCGTTTTCGACACTAGACGCATGACAACAGAAGTGTGCTATGCTAGTAGCGGTTTTTGTTGGTATACGGAGCTCTTTCGGTTTATGGCGGACGTCGACGAGGACGGGACAGGAGAAATTGGTACAGTCACTAGAGTTTTATATATTCTTGTACATGGAAATCTTTCCAGCACTCACAGGTTCAGTTGTGTTTGTGATGCAAAACAGTTGATCGAAAACCAAATCCAAATCGTCTTCAGTGTTGATTGATCACAAACCATGGCAACACCACACAGAATTTGCGGAATTCCTGCGAGCATTCGAGAAGCAGAGGGGATATGAAATGCAAATAGGTCGGCGGGGTCTGGAAGATTGCAAGACTTGTCATGCTTCGCTGATAAGACTAAGAGTCAAAAGCCTGCTGTCATGAGCGTCGCGAGACAGTGCCCTATGCTTGTCGGGTAACTAGTACAGTGCGATGATCTGATGTCATGCGCTTTTCACAAGTAGACGTAAAGTTGCCCAAGAACTTGTCATGTATGGCTCCCTGCTGTTGGGACTCCAGTCGGCCTCGCTGCCATTACACATCAGCATCACAAGAACTTTCCAGACCTCCCAGACACACTTGCGTTTGATAAGGGAGTCAATGTAGCGATTGAGGACGAATTGGACACAATTGACGCGTTCGTGGCACTCGGTATAGCTGCAATTCTTATAATCATCCTTGTGCATAGTAGGTGGAACTGAACAAAGGAGAAATGGAGGGTGAAGATAAATGAAAAATTTTTGATGCTGGTGCTGACGCGTTGTATAAATACACAAGTTGTACTTGTAGCATCTGCTACTTTTGTGTTCATCTTCATGCATGCATGATCGATGCTGTGGGCAATATCGGTATTTTGTACTAGCTTGAAAAATAAATGAACTCTCCAGGCGGAAACGAGGACAAGTCTGGGTTCGTCGAGCAGAAGAGGCTTATCAAATGTAAAAATGTCTGGGTCTGGAAGAATGCAACTTGTCATGCAGGTTTTTCATGACAATCGAGGTCTGGAATGCGGGACCTAGCATGACAGAGTCTGAGACGTCTCTGCCATGCCTATCCTGCATGAGAAACTTCCTCCAAACTTGGTCGAAACTGGACAGCTTTTGGCACTCGTGCAACACAGATTTCTGCATGATTCGATTTTAGCATGACAAGTTGCATTCTTCCAGACCCAGACATTTTTACATTTGATAAGGCTGGTGGCCGTCGTAAAAGAGGAGTTCGGTATGACCATCAATACGCGGGAAAAAAACTGTGTCAATCTCAATGTTTTTGATGACCGTTCCGCAACACAAATCACACTGTCGCATAGTTAGTGGAAATATGCCTGTGAAGATGTTGTTGCGTCATGATTCATGTGTACAGCTAAGCAGGGGAAATAAAAAGCACCACCACCTGAATGGGCCGAGCTTGTTGTCGAGCATGATAAAAAAATGTATCAAGGAACAACTTCCGCAGTGCAAGTTGAGACTGATTTGCAGTTTTTTCCCTGCGATAGTCCAAATCGACCGATTAGTGGACGAGCTCGACAAGGATGGGGACGGAAAACTGTCTATCCTCAGTAAAGATACCCCTCCACCCCAGACTTGTCATGCAAATCTGGATGCCTAGATGTAATGCGAATGTAGTTTCTCATGCGCAGCACCACAAGGAGCATTTTCTTTTTCAGGTTGTGTTTTGGATTTTGTCATGTCATCATTGGGACAAGGCGGTCGATTTGTAATTCGACTGCACAACTCTCTAGATACGATTACACTTCGAAGTCAACAAGCCTGGTGTTATGCGCAACGTACAAAGCTTGGTGGTTTGTATAGCAAAATCCCCATTATCCACTTGAGTCTAGAAGGGTCGTGGGGAGGTTTTTTCTCAGGATGCTGGCCTACGACGAATTTGCGGCACTGTTTATCTAAGAGGGAGAAGACAACCTCGAAACAGTCGTCCAACAGAAAATTTACAGTACTCTGATTATGCGAAAGTTGCTTAGATGAACATCTTCGATTTCCTCTCACTGAATATGCAAACGTTAAACCTATCTATCAAACAAACAACGGTAAATATGATCCAACGGTATCACAGACAGGCGAGTTGTAGTAGTACTATCCTACGAACAGTACGATAAAAAAAGTGTGCGTTGCACTACCCCGCAAAACTAAGCACGACATCTCTTGCGCAAACGCTTTCTCTGCCTGAACGAACTTGTAGGGTCCACCCGCACGGCCAGAAGAACTTTTGCTCCTGCCCCTCTTCAACAACTAGGACACCAGAAATAATTCAGTTGTGTGCTCCCTGTACATACTACGAACTAGTATAGCTACTTCTTCTGGGTAATACTACAACGAAGAACTATTGTGAACGCTTCGGGAGGTGGAAGCAGGTCGCACTAGGTGGCGGTTCTGGTTTTCCTGCAACTACAGTGTTCAGCTTGTTACTCTCGGAGAGACAATATGATGCAAAAGAAGAAGCCGCCTGTTGATTTTCTCAACGCCCTTAGCACGGATGCTGCTTGAGAGAAGAGTAGATAAGTACATGGCAAAGGCAAAAGGCGAGCGCAACGTCAGAAGTACAAACGGAATAATGAGCGTTGGCTTTTAGAAGTATTTGAACACTTACAAGCGGACGAGGCGTTAGCGTTGCCCATGTTGAATATTACGCGGCGCCAAATATTAAGCGAAATTTAGCTGTGGTAGTTTCATTGGCTCACCAGACTTCTGGTGTAGTCTCATTCCTTATCTCACGCGGCCGCAGTAGAAAACCATGTTGCTTCGCCTCCAAGAGCCCGAGGTGGGATCCACCCTGCGGGTGCGAGTCGCGGAGGTGTGTCCTAGATTGCGGTGGAAGAGGTTGGAGTTGATACGGATTGCAAATACCCCTGGAACAAGTCTGGAAAGTTGTAATGCTAGAAGTACATGAATGAAAAGCTGACTCCAGTACGCAGCCACACATGATAATTTTCGTAGTGCACAATTCGCATCAGAAATCCCGTTTTTCCCTGACAAAGAGACAGCGTACTGCATAGCATTGCATCCATCACAACGCTCGGGGGTACTTACTAGTATTCGGATCCAGCATTACCGGTCTTGCAATCTTCCAGACCCAGGCTGCATATTTGCACTTGATAATTGAGTGTCGGAGACTACGACGCACCGGTAGAGATAGAAAATACTGCGGCGAGCTCTTCGACAGCAGGTATGCGTATGTATGATTTGTATTGTACCTCGTCCATCAATAGATTCAGCAGTCGAATGGAAAGAACGCTGGGAGAAAGTTTAACGTAATATGCGGCATGCTGTATTACTATTACATTTACAACAAGAGCAGTGATTTTTCTTCTACATGTTTGTCGTGCTCGTGCCCCCTTTACTTAGATAAATGTAGGTCTTCTAAAATAAAATCATGTGAAAGGTCGCTACGAATTCCGGTGTCGTCCAGAGGATCAGTTGAGAATCAAGATCGAAGTGGAGGAAACCGACGACGAAGCAGGGTCTTCAACCGGCAGCAGAGCGTCGAAAAACAGTTTGTTTTCGTGCTGTTTTTCCCCTTCCTCAAGAGCCCGGAGCGGAGCCCTAGCGAATGCGAGCAGGACAGCCGGCGCGGGGACGACAAGCAAGAACGCCGGTAGCAGCAGCGGCGCGGGGTCGTGCTACTTGGAAGGATGCGCGGTGGCCGTGGTGGCGGAGCAGCTCCCCGTGACGCATACCATTTCGCTGCAGAAAATGTCGGATCACGCCGGTCGTGGCGGAGGTAGATTTTTATTGTTGCTTGTCTGTCGTGCAACTCAGGAGTACTTTTGTACGTACACTAACAAGATGAAGATCATCATGCTGCAGGTGCAGCAGATTTTAGAATTTAATACGCTGTTGAGGTCGTGTTCGTGATATGTAAAAGAGAAATTATGGTGAATATTGAAACAGTCTCGCCAGCCGCAGCATTGGCGTCCTCCCCTCTGACGAAAAGCCCTGTTAACAACGCCTCCTGCACGAGCTTGCTCCGCAGCACCAGCAAAAATCAAGCCTACGTGAAGATTGAGCTGGCTTGGGCCAAGGACCTGTTCTCCGTTATGTCGGGAAAAATAAACTGTGTCGGTCTACTACCATAAACCTTTGCACAGTCTTCAGCAAGCGAACAAAGTTGCGAAGCATGGTTATACAGCTCATAGTACTTCTCAAGCAGAGATGCTGAAAGCGGCAGAAAAAATTATACACACGTATATCAATGACTCTGACTTGCTGTACGTACGTCGAACAGGACAGAATTTTTTTTGAGACTGAAACAGTAGTTTTTTCTTGCGATATCCGTTCCCGAGTACGTGATCGGAGCCTGCGCGACCACGGGGGACGCAGTGGGCACTGGAAAAGTGGCTTCCTCTTTGGCGAAGTTGCTGCAGGATGTAGCCAGCAGTGGGGAAAGCAGTGTATCAAATGCAATTGTAAGTGTGTCTGGGTCTGAAAGTAGATGAAAACAGACCTTTTCCATGCAATTTTTGTGTGCAAAAAGTAAGAACAAACTTCGCGGAGGCGTCATGTTCTAAGACAGCATGAAAATGGATGCCTTCTCCTAGACCAAAAAATCGCGCATCATGATCTCCTGGCGGCTATGCAATACAGGTTTTTATTGCCTGTTCGACAATCCGTATCACAACGTTCCAGACCCAGAAAAAATATTTGCAATGCATACAGTGTCCGGGACAACAACATAGACGCTGGCGGAGGGTCCTGCCGTGCCACGAACTAAAGGCCGTCTACCGTGCCACGAACTAAGGGCCCGGGTCCTTGTGAAGGATGTATCTAATAGCATCATCTTCAAAGCTTATTTTTATAATTCCACTTTTCGTTTTCTTCTAATTCTATTGCACCAAATTGATGTACCCCGCACGCTCGCGTGTCTAGTGAAGACGGTACATTACCGTGAAAAGGACAACATGAAGTTTCAAGCAGCAGCGCTAAGCTTGCTCTTTCGCCGTGAAGGTTCGCTTTATTTACAAGTTTCACGTTTCGAACTCAATACGATACTATGACGACGCTGTCGTGCCACACCCGTTTTTGACGACATGGCAGAATTCATGGCTGAGATTCTGAAAATGACGCGGCTTGATGGATAGTGACGGCATGTTATGACACACTCACACTCGTCAATGGGTGATCTTCTCGTGTGAAGGTTTCTGAGGACAACAAACATGAAACGAACAAGCATCGAAATCTGTATTTTTGAAAAGGATCATGATGATTTTTCTTCCACCTCGGCCGGCCCTGGTCCCTCGAGGTCTTCCGGTGACAGTTGTCTTGTTGATTTCGGATTGATAAGAACGTTTGTTCCTCTCTTGTTATTCGCATGCTTGGCATGCGGACGTCGAGAAATTGCGAAACAAAATGGCATTTGAAAATTGGCCCTGAGGTGGTCTTGTCTTCTTCCCAAACCAGTCTAGAGTGCCACTTCGGGCTTTAGAGCTTTCTTTTTCGGAGTCTAATTGAGCGAGCGTGGCGCCACTGCAAAGCTGCCAGCCTTTTGCTGCGTTGAGATGAAGGGGCTTTCGTTTCTTCATCAATCAAAATCAATAGTTCATCTTTTCGCAGTTTTATAATGTTGGCGGTCTAGTATTCATTCTCTACTTTGCAGCGACGATGTTTATTTTGGTGAATTTTAGCAGCGACAGAGCATAGGAAAGATGAAGCGTTGCAAACTGTTTATCATTTCATGATGTAGCTCACGCAACTTGAGCTTGACGTTGACCTGCTCCGCAAGCGCCCAAGCAGAACATGGCGGGCGGCGGGAGCGAGCCCGCGGCAGCCGAGGATGTCTTGGGGTTTATGTCTCCCATGTCAGAAGTATCCTCCGAGTTCTTGTGCACAACTACCTACTACTCCCCCTCATCGTGCAAGAGAAATGGTGGGAAAGAAGCCGCTTGAGCATGAAAAATGCACAGCCACAAGATTCGACATCAAATTCGTCCTGTTGCATCCGCTTCATCTTCCGCGAAACTAGGAGTCTGTCATGCATGGTTGCGGCGAGAGGGAACAATAACAAAGGATGGAATGGGTGTTTGGCATGAGAAATGAGAATGAGAATGAATAAATTGAGTTCGTTGTCCACTGTCATAGAAAGCGAGCTCTGTTTTATCGTAAGGAAATATCCCCCCTCCCCATATTGAAAACACATTCGTCTGAAAATTTCTGATGCAGATTTGAGGTCACACATCCTGTCTGTCTTGCAAGAAGGCAAAGCCAGAGAGTCCGCCGCATTATGCCGGCGGTTTGTGATGCTGTTGGGCTTACAGAGCCGACATCTGTCATGCTAGTCCCCTACGTCAAAACCTCTCGACCCAGGCTCGGCATATGCCTGCAGTCCTCTGCAGCAAGACAGACTTGATTTGTGTACGCAAATCCAGCATCAGAAACTTCGCATCTTATGGGGAGGGGGGATTTTTCCTTTTGATATGTTTCCGCGTCTCCCGGAGTCGACGGCGAAGAAACAGACGACAGCCACTCCCTTATCCCGTGTAAAAACATCCCCACCCCAGAGTTGTCATGCAATTCTGCATGCCAAAAAAGTTTCTCATGCGGAGCCCTAGGAGAAGCGATTTCTATTCGTGTTTTGGAATTTGTGATGCTAGAATCAGCATGCTAGGATAGATCTGTGATGCTTCTAAACTAGCGAAATAGGATTACACTACGAGGACAAACTTGTCATGCCAAACAACCAAAGCTGGTTGATTTGTCTAGCAGATTTCCCATCTTGACTCTGGTGTGGGGACGCTTTTAATCAGGATATCCCTATCTGCTATGGTACTTGTAAACACGTACGACCCATCTTCCCGTATTCAAGACGCCGGCTTTGCGTACAACAAGAGTCAAGAGCTTGTGGCTTATGTGCGTGACAACTAACTTCGGGCTCATAGTGTAGTAGTTGTGGTTAGTACGCCTGGTTGTGCATTCCTTCGCAGCACATCAAATCCACTTCGTTAAGATTGATCCTGGGTATTAGAGCATGACAAATTTGTTTCAACCAGCTTTGTAAAGAGAAAATGTTCCTCATGGATTTTTCTTGGTAATGGAGATTTGCATGACAAATAAATATGGGAAGATTGGTACATTTTTACTCTGGGTATCTGCCGAGATCGACGCGGCACTCGCCCGTGCCGGGGACGGAGCCGGCTTTCTCGGATACGCATTGCAAATATGTCCGGGTCGGGAAGATTCATTGCAACTTGTCATGACATTCAATATTTGAGAATCGCGCAAAAATCTGTGTTGCATGAACGCCAAATGTTTCCCCTTCTTGCCACACAAAAAGCGAATTTCTCATGCGTGATAAGAAGCTGGTGCACAATCTGTGACCACGCTTTCTGGGTGCATTCCAGACCATCTTCGTTCTCCACGAGATGCATGACAAACCTTGCACTCTTCCCGACCCAGACATCTTTGCCATGCATATCGGAGGGAAGAGTGCAAAAAGTCCGGCCGCTGCGAAAAGTACCGCTATGTTTTTTGACGTGGTAGATTAAGAATGAAATAGCGTTATTTACAACCTCGTTGACGAGAAGTCTATCCGTATCTAGTAAAGGAAGCAAGAGAAAAACCCCAGTTTCTTAGACGATTAAATGCAAAAAAAAAAAAAACTTGCAGAACTCTCGGAGCTGAACTTCGAGCTGACGTTGAAACCGGAAGAATATGCCCGGGGAAAAAGCCAGCGTACCACATTTGCATAAGCAAAAATGAACTACATTACTTTCTTTTTGCATGGCCTACACGAAACCATACTCTGGGGGTACCCATGACAGATTTCTTTACTACCTTTCGGATGTACAAATGTGCAGCCCTGCAGCTAGCTTTTTTCTTCGGGATAAAGGAGCCATTTTGAAAAGCGAAGTCGACAAGGCGGCTTTCGAGGTGCAGCTGGAGCATGTATCCAGGAAAAAAGCTGCGGTAGTGTAACTTTCTTGGGGTGACAGCATCACAAATTCGCTCTGCATGAGAGAGAAAACCTGTTACGCATGGCTAGAACGTGAAGAAAACCAAAACACACACAAGAACAGGACCACTTCGTGGTTGTCTGGCATGACAAGTGTAACTGTGTTGCATTTTGTTCATCTGCATCACAGACTTACACTAACACAGTTTTTTTCTTGCATAGCATGCGAGATGGATGCACAAGCAGGAACTGGAGCGGGAGCGAAAACAGAGCCAGGAGGTATCCGAGTGCACCGAACTCTCCAACCCCCTCATTTGTCATGCGAACACGCAATTTCAGTCATTCTCATTGCATATGCATTGCAGCCATAGCTTGCGTTACAAGCTGCAGCTGCATCCTAAGAACAGTACTACAATCGGAGTCCTCTAAATTTGCCATGCGAATAAAGCAGCTAGAGTTCTGCCCTTGTCTGTGTTGCTGTTCCTCGTGGGCTTTAGGTTGGGAGTCGAGTTGTGCACTCTCATACGAGGCTTTGGCCGTGCTGAAGCAGGAAATGGACCGCAAACTGCTCACGCACTACGAAATGGCAAGTATGTCTTGGTCGGGAAGTAGAGTGAAACTTGTCTTGCGTGTTGGCAAATAGAGCTTGGTGTAAATGTTCAAGAATGAAATTTGTAAAGCGGGCTAATACAGTGGCGCACGGGCATGCGAAAGCACAAGGTTCAAGAAACTTGTCATGCGCGGCTAGTCTGGTAACCAAATGCGTGCGCGCGCGCGCGCAGAGCGCGCGCCGGCCCACGAAGCCGGCGCGCGCGCTCTGCGCGCTTGCGACATTGCTTAGCAAACGCAGCGCGAAGGCAGTTGCCGTTACCATATAGGGCAACCGCCGGGAGCCGTGAAGGTCAGGGAAATGGCCAGAAATGAAGCGGGAGAAGGGAAAAAAAGCGGACCAGATGGGAAAATGGCCAGGAGGTCAAAAATGTCGCAAAAATGGCAGAAACCAAGCGGGAGAAGGTGAAAAAAGAGCATTTTTGCGGTTTGGCCCACTTGATATCTGGAAAAGAGACGGACTATTTTTTGCTCCGGCCGCTGGCCAGCTGCGTTGGAGAAGCAGGCCCGCGACCTGTTCGGAAGCCTTGGGCCGCTTCGTAAAAAGAAAAAGTTTGAAAAAAATGGCAAAAATTTGCTTCATAACGTGGGTGGAAGCAATCGTCGGATTTTGTCCAGATCACCCGGGCCACTTGGAAAATGGAAAAAGAGAAAAAAATGCGCAAAAGCGCAATCCCTCCGCAGGCTCCAAAATTGCCAGCCAGCTGCGGTCGGTGAAAATGTGCAGGTCGCCCGGGCCACTTGAAAACCAGAAAAAAGAGCGAAAATTAAAAAAAATCAAGAACCCTCGGCAGGCTTAGAAACTGGCCACCAAGGGCGGTCCGGCGGGCGCGCGCTTGCGCCGTACCATCGCGATTGGGAAAAAAAAACCGCACTAGAAGCGGGCGGGGGTATGTCACAAAATCCCCATTTGCCCTGGGTTGTGAGCAGAAAAGCGGCATCTTCTCCGGGTCTGAAATGGCCGACTTTGGTGGCCCAGCCCGGGTTCTTTGGTTTGCGGTTTTCCACATACCTTCTTGGCCAGGAGGCCAGTTTGTCATGCAGGGGGCTAGAAAGGATGCCCCGCTGCGAAGGTGGATGGCCACATACCTTCTTGGCCAGGAGGCCAGTTTGTCATGCAGGGGGCTAGAAAGGATGCCCCGCTGCGAAATAGCAAACCGGATTTCGCCTTCAATGCTTATCGCAGGAGCCTGCGGGCCGCCGCGGGCGACGGTAGTTGTCCGCGGCCCTTCTCCTGCGATAAGCTTTGAATGCGAATCCGGAAGCCTCCGATGACCCGCGATAGATGGCGAGATTTACTTTCAACCTATGCGCACTAAAACTAGCAGCGTCGACTGACATCCCACCCGGCCGCGGCCATGTTCTGGAAGCGACACATGTGGACCCTAGTCTACGTGTTGATAAGGTGCGTCCGAAGCTGCTCCAGAGTGCGGGCATCAGCGGGCCGCAGTTTGCGGTCGCGGCCCTAAAGGGCCGCGAGCACAACTGCGGCCCGCGACCCAAGAAGAAGAAGTGGGATTCTAATTAAAAGAAATGGTGGTGGCAGCCGCGCGGCGAAAGCGCGGCCCGCAGGGCCGCGCTTTCGCCGCGCGGCTGGTTTGGCTTTCGCGCTGGTTAGATTTTCGCGCACGCATTTGGTTACCAATATCGCCCTCCGGGCGCGATCTTCATACAACACAACTTAGATGCGTCTTTCTCATCCGCAGTGAAGCAGCACAAGTTTTCCGACCCAGAAGTAGTCATATTTGCAATGCATACGCACTACGACATGGCGAAGGATTTGCAGGCAATGAAGGCCTCGCTCGGGGACTTTTCTTTAAGTAAGTAGCTCGGCTCATCATTGGTTTTAACGTCTTTCCCATGCTGCTGGCTAGTGTTATTGGTAGTCCCGCTGTGAACCAACAACAAAGAACGCAGATTTCAAAAACCACTACTTACATGCAGAAAGAAACAGGATGCACATGGTACCAGTAGGCCACAAAGCTCTCAGGTATGAAAGACACTAACAGTAGTTATTGTTGAATGGCACAACTATAAAGAAGTTGTATAAAAAACATCACCACTACATCTACACGCGACAGGTGAAAAAAACTACGAAGAGCTTCGAACACGGAAGGAGGAGGCGCTGAGTCTCCGCGAGTACGTGTTGTTTCGCGTGTACGAGGGGAAAAAGTCGATGCAGCAGCGGTTGAGGCTGCTGGAGCAGGAGAAGGAGACTGCGGTCTCCGAGGGAATGCAGCTGCAATTGCGTCTGGAGCGAGCGGTATCGATGAAGATTCCATGAATAGATTTTGTGTCCACCTCGTGGACAAACCGAACCAAATTCACAGAGAAGATGTTGACATTCCTTTTCGAAAATACCGTACACCTACAGGAAGCCGCCGTGAAGCGGCTGGAGTATCAAGTGCAATCGTGTCTGGGTCTGGAAGAAAGCTGATCTTGAAGGTCCTTATTTCTATGATCGAAAGTCAGCATGACAAAGTCTACTTTTTCGAGACCCAGATCGATAAATTTGCACTCGATATGAAGCAGGCCAAGACAAATTCCTCGTCCGACTACGAGCGGCTGCAAGCGTACTGAAAGAAAAAAGTGTGTTTTAGTCAGTGTATGTCTCTGCTCATGTCGGAGATGCAAGACAGCTTACACTAAGCATGCATCTCGTTGTGCATGATTGTAGGGATAGGGTACTACACTAAAGGCACATTTTTTCTTTGATAAAGCGGAGTCCCGGGCGCAGATCGCGAGGTTGACGGACGAATTGAACGAGCTGCAGCGGACCCGGGACAGCGTGGACGCGCGGGGCCGAGACTTGCAGAAGATGGAGCAAACCAACTGGCGGCTGGAGGACGAAAATAGGCAGTTGAAAGAGAACGCCAGAAGGAGCGAGGAGAGAGAAACGAACTTGAAGACCGACAATGTGAAGCTGCTGGACATCCGACACGACCTGGATCTGAAGTGCACGATGTTTTCGCAGCAGGAACTTACCTACCAGAAACAAATTACGAGTCTGGAGACCACGAACGAGCAGCTGCGCAACACAACCGAAGAATTGGAACGAAAGGTCACGAGTTTGCAGGAGAAAAAGCGGCTCTTAGTGCAGCAAGTGGAAGCGACGGCAAGTAAAGACACCTTCGACTTGCAGGAGCGCATCGACGCCGAGGTGAACCGGCTGCGCCAGCTATCATATGCAAAAACGTCCCCACCCCATAGTCAAGTTGAGAACGTAGCAACACAAATGCAGAAGTCTTGGGAGCCACGCATGACAAGTTGCGGTCCGTAGTGTAGTCCATATTAGCAAGGGCAGCCGCATAACAAATCTATCTGCCTATCTTGTTTGCAGCATTACAAATGCCAAAACACGATTGGACGCGCCTCCCTTGGGGACGCGCATTACAAATGTTCCTGCAATTGCAAATCTGCATGACAACTATGGGGCGGGGACGTTTTTACAAATAATACCAGCAGATGGACGCGGACACGGGGAAGATAAAGCAAAACCTCATGGAGTATTCCGAGTAAAAACGTCCCCACCCGCCCATGGGAGTTTGTCATGCTAGAATCACGATGATCTGATCAACTTGTGATGCGGCTTTAGTACACCAGCTGTACTTACACGATAATTACACTGTAACCCAAAACTTGTCATGCGTAGCAGCCAAATCGCATCGATTTGTGTAGCGAAATGCCCATGTTGCCTCCGGGTAGTTGGGGACGCTTTTACACACGATATGGAGCTCCACGCGAAGGAGTGCGCGATCCTGAAGGAGAGGCTGGAGTACATCGGTGGCGAGAAGGAGAAGCTGTCCGAGAAGTTATCGTGTGGAAAAAAAACTGATTTAGTACCCATATTTAGTGCTACTACTACTTACGTAATACTTACGCCATGTCAGTCAACATGGTAATTTTGCAGCACAAAGCAAGACCTTTTGGCTGTTGCGCATGACTACAAATTTGGACTCGCAGCGTCAAGATCGTGATGAGCTAGTTCTGCTGCTGCTGCTCTCATTGTGAATCGAATATTTATATGCTTCTCAATCTCATGGCGTCCCAGCACGCGCAGCGCCTATCACTTCGAGTGACAGCACTAGCATGCTTGAAAGCCGGGAGACTGACACCCCGGGCATGCAGATTTGTCTGGCACGGGTAAAAATATCATGTGGCGTTTGCGCACGATAGAAGCTGATCCAAGAGGAACACGTGAAGGAGCAGCTGCAAGTGGCTTTGGCGAACACCCGGCAGCAGCTGTCTACGGAAATCGCGGAGCTGAAGGGGGTGATATGCATCGCAAATATGTCTGGGTCGGGAAAGACTGGGAATTGTGATGCTAGCTGTCGATCACACAAAAATCTGTATTGCATGAGAGGCAAAACAAAGGCACTCAGTTGCCACTCAAAGAGGGCATTTCTCATGCAGAATTAGGCACGAGCAAACCTTTGCAAAAGCTCAAAGCTGTGATGCTAGCGAATGCATCAGAGGCATCGGAGGCCATCATGTACAACTTGCATGACAAACTCCCCAATAAATCTTCGAGACCCAGTAGACATATTTGCATTTGATAGGTGAGCCGGCTGCGCAACTTCGAGGTGGAGAAGTACTCGCTGAGTTACGAGGAGACCCTATCCTGAGGAAAAACGTCCCCACACCAGAGTCAAGATGAGAACTCTGCAACACAAATCCAGAAATCTTGGGATTTACGCATGACAGGTTTGGGCTCCCAATGTAGTCGAGTTTGGATAGCGCAGTGGCATCACAGATCGATCATCTTATCCTGATTAGAGCATCACAAGTTCTTCCCGAATAGCATTAGAAGAAAATGATCGCCCTCATGGGCATGCGCAGGAGAAACATTTTAGGTATGCAGTTTTGCATTACAACTCTGGGGGTGGGGACGACGTTTTTGCAGACGATAAACCCTGCAGTCCCTGACGAAGGCGTCCGAGGAAAACGGAATTTTGCGGGAGAAAGTGGACCTACTGAAAAAGGAATACTACGAGCTGGAAAACCGGTTGCAGAAGCAGTTCGCCGCGACGGAAGCAGAGAACGTGTCGCTGAAGGAGCAGCTGAAGTGCTACACCGACATGGAGCGGGAGCTCTCCGGGGCGCTGCGGGATATCAGCAGCCACCGATCGGACCAGAATCCGGTTCCGAGTTCCGTGGAGGACGCGCTCATCCTGGGCACCACGCTGGCCGGCGCCCCCAGCCAGGCACGCAAGCGGATCCAGGAGTCGCTCGTGCTGGCGCAGCAGCTGCAGCGCAAGGGGAAGGAGGTGGCGGAGTTGAAGGGGCTGCTCGCGGCGGAAAAGGACCGGGTGCACCAGCTCGAGAAGGCGCGCACCTTATTACAATGAAAAATGCCCCCACCCCCAAAGTTGCAATAATTTGTGATGCGAAGTTTCCAAATGAAAACTTTTTGTCATGCATGAAAGGAGTACGAATCAACCTCTCTGATGCAGAGCCTAGGCGTATATCGCATCGCTTGCATGACAAGCGCCGCTTTTGCTGGGGTCTTTTGCAATACAAATTCTTGCTATTCACGATCGGACATCTGTGATGCTGGTAGATGCAAGAGGGCGAATGTTTCATTTGGAAAGGTTTGCAATACAGATGCTCTCAAGATGGGTGGTGGTGCCATTTTTCATTGTGATACACCTTGGCGGAGCAGGCCGCGGAGTGGCGAGACGAACCGAGGCAGTACTTGGTGCAAACGCTGCGGGACAAGGAGGCGGAAGTCATAGACTTGAAGCGGTCGCAGGACGTCTTGGAACGGGAATACGAAAATTTGAAAACCAAGCACTTGGACCTGCAGGAGAGGAGTACTGTTTAGTTTTTCCATATTGTTGTTCGGAGCGTCGTACTTATTGGCTTTGAAAAGGGTAGTTCTACAACAACTCGTTGTTTATCGTTTCGATTTTCACGACCTACGATTTTCAGTTGTGTTTTACAGGCCGACACTATCGCACAAAATGATCGCAAATTCATAAAACTTTCCTTCCACAAGGTGCTGAACTCGAGACGGATTTGAAATCCATCCTCACCCAGCGCGAGCAGCTGGAGTACCTGAAGGCAGCTACCCCGGACTTCACCGGCACCAGGGGTGCTAACAAACTCGGCTCCACGACTCTGAGCCACAACGCGACGCTACCGCCGCGGCTCGCTTGGATTGACTCTCTGCGAAATCGCGCGGACAGTGCGGGGCATTAGGAGGCCTCATCGTGTTGTTTCACGAGATGAGACAAGAGCTTCGAATCATGGGATCAGTCCGTCCGTGCGGACGGATGGGCTTTTTGACTTCGGGCCGCAAGTTGCTACTGTTCCAAACCAGAAGCATATTGAAAGCAAGAGGAAGAAATTAGAACCTAGCACTATCGTAGTTCCAGTAAAAATAATTCCAAACAGAATCACCAAGCTCGCGGCACGGTGTGCGGTTAAAAGAAGATAAATGCAAAATGGGCCCCGTTGACGTTCTCGCATGTGACGTCTTCAGTGGGCCCGGGAAGTCGCAGAAATAGTCTCCCTTGCAGGGGGCTGCAGCGCTATTTCAAGTATGAACGTCGCGCAAAGTAATGAACCGGATTGATGTTGTATGCCTGATGGTTTTTTTCAAATGAACCGAGCTACTTTTTTGTCGTTACGCGCAACGACCAAAAAGCACCCAAAGACAAAGTTTAGAAGCGTTCTCGCACGTATTGGCCAGCGCCTGCAGCTGCCCAACTGACTTGTGACTGCGTGCGGCGCTGTGATCGTATGTTCGTACAACATCTGTAAGCTGTAATAAATAAACCTGAACTGGCTGCTATTCGTATGATCCTGCTCCCTCGTAGTTGTGGTTCGTTTCCTAGCTATTCGTCTCCCTGGGGAAAATAGCTATTCGTCATCGCAAAGCTACGTAGAACATTTCACGATATTCGTATGACGCGTCTCCGGACGCCATCGGGCTTCACACCTGACTACTCCGCCCCGGCGGATACGTCTATAGGAGTCTGATTTTCCGAAATCTTTTTCCGGCATCGGGCTTGTTGGCTTTGTGTTCTTGCTGGTCCTGTCTCAGGTTCCCGCTAAGACTACATCGCCTTCAAGCTGTCTCGGAGGGGACGTCACGATCTCAACCTTCTCCCCTCCTTGCGCTGCAAGTTGGGTCGAGTCGGTTGTGTGCCATCCGTGGTAGCTTTTTCGTGTGTGATTTATGATAAATCTCCGGAGCCCTCTCGTACAGTTCAGACGTCTCTCTTCGCGCGTATATGTCGATTCGAGACCGACAAGAGTTTCTCGCCGGGGTGTTCGAACCCGCCGGGCGCAGGGCCTTTGCACGCCCATCTCGCCATTAGATGGCACTGACATTGATCACATGTATGAGCACCGTTCCTGCGCACGTCGCCACCATCACAGGGTGAGAACTTGTTCCATGCAACCTTTTTTGGATCCTTTTCATAGTCATCTGATGAAAGAGAACTACTGCTGGAAAACATGACCTTATCTCGTGCAGAAGACTTCTCAATGTCGGTTTTGCGCGTTGACGTCACACATGAAATAGTGGCAGTCTGAATTCCTGACAAAGATGAAAAGTGAAGTAGACTTCAGTCGTGCGAAGTGGTATATTATCGGTGAAATTAAAATTGAAGAAACGCTAACAGCAAACGTCCAACTCTGAAAGTAACTCGGTTTCGTGCAACATCAGATACAAGCTCGTACATATTACTCTGACAGAATCTGTTTCTCGTCGAACACTCGCACTTTTCAGTCGAAGATTATTTGTGATTCGTCTTCCAAACAATGAATTTATTTCTTCCGCAGCTTTTGCCTACCCCGGTTTTTGTTTTATGTCCCTCATCCACACCCATTCCCAGAAAGTTTCAATCAATAGGCTCGCATCTCCTGTTCGAGGAGGAGTGCCATAACTTGTGCATGCCACATTTTGATTTTTTTATTTCTACTGGTTTGGCTTTTTCATCTTTGTTACTAGTTCACGAGAAATCTTCTCTTAATACCCTTAAGTAATTTATTTACCCTTGAGTTGTTCATACTCATCTCTCGGAACAACATCTGCTTTCCAGCGCTTGGCGTTGGCTTTCCGACCACCTTCAACCTGATCTAGTCCGATCGCAAGGCAATTAATATCAACCACCAAAAGACTCAGATAGGTAGGTATGCCGTACTCGGACTCTTCCAGCGACGACGAGGCCGCCATGGCCCGGCTGGCGACTTTGGCGCGCATGGCCGAGGAGGACGAGAACGGGCCGCAACAGGAAGAGGCCGTGGAGTCCAGCGAGGAGGAGGAAGAGGAGGAGGAGCCAGAGGAAATTGACCCGGAGGTGCTGGCCTTCGAGGCTCGTAAGGCGGCCAAGAGCGGGTTCGGAAAAGGGGGCGAGGACGAGGACTACACGTTGGAGAGAGACGGCGTGGTGCGGTATTGCGAGGAAAAATCCCGCCTCCCCATATCGAAAAGGAAACTTGTGATGCTGGATTTGCGTACACAAATCGACTTGCATTGCTAGAATGCCAAGAGACGCAGTTGTGGCCTGAACTGCAGGAAGTTTGTCATGCTGTTTTCCACTTCCAGTTGCCTCCTCTCATGCTGAAAGTGCAAGGCTTTCCCACGCCAGCCAGCACTACAGTCCGCATCTTTTGCCTTCTAGCATGAAAACGTGACTTGTGGTAGCAAATCATGCTACACAAATCTCCGTTTTAGTATGGAGTGGGGGCTTTTTTCACTTTGATGTGCGGCATCTGGCCCGCCCGCATTTGGAATACTGGACCAAGCAGCAGCGACAGGAGGAGGCGGACGCTGAGGAGCGGTTAAAGTGGATGAAGGCGGAGGAAGAGGTATCGTGTGGAAAAACGTTTCCACCTCATAGACAGGTTGGGAAATCTGCTAGACAAATCACGAATTTTTGGCTGTTGCGCATGACATCGAATTTGGACTCGTTGCAAGAGTATGTAGTCGTGTATAGTTCGCGTAACGGCATCACAGTAGCATATAAACATGCTGATTTCAGGATCACACATCTCGTCCCAACGCCACAACTCGAAAATGGTTCTCATGGTCCTCCCCATGAGAAACATTTTACATGCAGATTTGCATATACAGCTCTGGGGTGGACACATTTTTACACTGGGATAACACGCAATGGAGCGCGGGGACGCGGACGTGATCGCGAAGGTCCGGGCAAGGGAGCGGAAGCTGATGCTGGAGAACGCGAAGAACACGATGGCGCGGCGCGCCGCGGAGCGGACGAAGCTAGGGCAGCAGCTGGGCATGGAAATCGTGACGGAACGACAACGGAAACGGCGTGCGGACCTGCGGAAGGAGCAGCGGCACGCGCAGGCGAAGCGGGACACCTTCGTGAAACAGGTGAAGACCGGACTGTACGAGTTTTTCTTCGGGTGGACGCGGGTGATTACCGAGCCCACGGAGAAAACCCGGCACGCGGCGCAGTCCACCTGGGAAAATTTGCCGAACTACTACGCCGTGCAGGTCGAGATGGGGTTGATCGATGAAAAAGAGAAAATGCAGATCGAGCACGACATCGAGGTGGAGCAGAACGTGTTGCAACGGGTGAAATTAAACGAGGACAAGTCGGACAAGCTGCACCACAAGATCCTGCCCTTCACCGCACCCGTGGTGTCCTCCGATAACACCTACGAACCGAACAACCGGTTGGTGAACCTGAAAGCGCAGCACTTCACGGCCGAGCCGCCCAAGTTGTCGCTGCCGCAGTGGCCGAAGCACACGCGGTATCAAATGCAAATATGTCTGGGTCTGGAAGGATGCAACTTGTGATGCTACCTTTTAACTCTACATAAAATCTGTATTGCATGAACAGCAAAAGAGGTGTAATTTGTGCTACGCGGAGAGGGCATTTCTCATGCGGAATGAGCATCAGAAAACCCTCGCAAAATCTCTGATGCTAGGGCATGCATCACAGACCTCATGGGTCATGCAAAATCTGCATGACAAACTCCTGCATTCTTCCGGACCCAGACATTTTTGCAATCCATACGCGCATGGTGAAGACCCCGGAATTAGCGAAGCAGACGGAGGAGATCCGGTTTTTCAAAAAGTACGAGGAAAGAAACAAGTATTTATCCAAAGTCGACGTCGCGCAAGTGCCGCCCTACTTGCCGGAAAGCTCGAAGATTTTGTATAGCAACGCGCCGACGACGTATACCACGTTTCTGGTGAACCCCGCCGACGACGCGTACCACAAGGAAGCGTGGATCCGCCGCGTGTCTCGGAAGCACGAGGGTTTTTTCTACTGGGTAAACACCGTAACGGGCGAAACGAAGTGGGACGACGGAAAGTTTCCGCTGAAGGACGACAAGTACTTCGAGGCCACACCGTGGCAGGAATACGGGAAAAAGGAGAAGCAGAAGAAGCAGGACAAGATTGACGCGGAGAACCGGCGAATCCGCCTGGAAAAAGAGGCGGAAGAGGAGCGGCTACGCGTCATTGAAACGGAACGGATCTTGGCCGAGTCCCGCGCGGAGATGGAGGAGAAGGCACCGAAATCATCGGAAAGTTCCAGACCACGGAGCAGGAATAGGAAGAAGAAAAAAGGGGCAAAGAACAATTCATCTTCCGAGGATGACAGCGACGATAATGATGTCTCGGGGGGAAAACAAGTGGTGACCATGAATAGGGGGCGGCCGGGCAACGACGACAGTGAAGATGAGAGTGATTGAGCAGAAGTCTTCACTTTATAGATAGAGGCTACTTGCTTAGGATGTCGGTGTTCGCAAACTACACGATTCATTGTTGTGTCTGTTTTCTCGAATGATTGGAGTCGTTTGACTATGTCGAGCCAACATCTTCACAACTACACGATGCGCACTAATGCTCTTGGGAAAAATAAAAAAGTCAATTGGAATTGGATGCGGAATTGGTGCATCTTCATCGCAAATATTTTTGAGGTGGTTCATTGTTCTGGCACAATATGCCGCCCGGCGGCTCAAGGGTTGGACCGGACTGCGCGCACGACGGGAAAGCACACATAAAAGCGGGACCACGATCGGGAAGAGAGAGCAAAGAAAATTTCAAAGAGTGTGCAGAGGACTGCTGCTAACCGAGTGGAAAACCTGTAAGATCTCTGTAGTCAACTTGTGTCCTCTCCAATCGTAGTTGCTTCTTCTCACGGGGCTGCTTCCCTATCTTGGCTCACGTCGTACACGTAGTTCATTAGGAGATCGGTCGCTGCTATAGCGTGAGCGAGAAGAAAAGGTTGCCGAAGAAAGGAGCAGGGGTAAAAGGTGGTACGGAATAAAGTCAACGAAAGTATTAAAAAAAATCCACACAATATTAAGAAGTCAAATCTTACGGCGCGCGCCGCTGGCGACACAGAAAAATAGAGGCGTCACCGCCCCAGCCCCGTGCGCCGTCAACGAACCCTGCGGAAGGAGCATTTTTGAATAATTCACTGGCACCACGCACGGCAACGAGGTTGTCACGCAGTGTTTTCCTTCAGCTTCACCAGTGTTTTTTGGATCGCTTTGATGGTCATCGGAACGAAGAAGGAGAAGATGATAAACCACACGACCGTGTCCTCCTCCACCTTCATTTTGACATGCCTCCTCGCAGTCCTAACAATTGTTTCTCCGGCCAGTGCTATGTTGGCGACCAGCGGTCTGCAGGGGCAGCAGAAGTTCCATACTTCTGGGCCTTTTTCCACGAGAAGTCATGGTGGTAACAGTGCCTTAATGCAACACTTCCAGCACCGAAGGGAGGTGGCGGAACTGTGGGGATTGCCGAAACTCGTGTGGGTCATCTATGGCGTTCTCAACTGTTACATTCTCAACTGTTGCATGAATTTGTGATGCAAGAATGGCAAAACTGAAAGGGGGAAGATTGCGCCTTTTGCATGACAGATTTGGCGTAGATTATCAGCCTCTTTGGCCCTTCGGGAATTTGTCATGCGAAGCAGCTTAATCATGTCGATTGCGATTCTGATTGGAACTTTGCATGACAAATCATGTAACAGTTCAGAATGTAACGTTTGAGAACGCCAGATCATCCTAGCGGACGTCGTCGCCATGATCTTGTTCATTGTCGCCATACCGGTCGTGCTGAATTGCGTATTAATTCTGTGTACTTAGAGTTTTGTCTGTCCGGTATAATTCAGATCTTAGTTGTAGAAAACAAAATATAAAGATGTAGACCCAAAGTCAAATAAACTTGTAGGTCTAAGTACTGCCATTGCCTTGTGTGCATTTTGAGCATCGTGACACAGATGTTAAGTTTACCGAACGCATATTTATACAACTACATCAGGCAAAACGGCGGCGGCCGCTGTTTCGATGAAGCTAGTTGTTTTTTCCAGGGACCGGAGGTGAGCAAGGGACGGGAAACCAGCCGGCGATCGCGGACATTACGCTACAGACGGCAAAAGAGTCACCTACTACTTCGCACGGTGCTGCAGAACAAAGCGTGATAGGCAGTCGGCACTAGCAGAGAACGAAATGACCATGTGGAAATTTCCAGAACCGCTCTCGCCGGCCAAAGTCGGTAAGACTTTCGATATTCCTATGCAAGAACAAAATATAATACAGAGAAATCTACCTAGAGATGAAAAAAGCGGAAAATAACAGATTACTTCTCCGACCAACGCCAAAACTCTGTTACGATTCTTTTATGCCCAAGAACAAGATTCATTTTTCTAAATGTCTTCACAGCTGCGCGACGAATAATGCAGAACGCGCGTGCAGCAGCCCCGCCCCCGTCGTGTGAGATACTTACTTCAGGTGCCTGAGCCATGTGAAGATATACCTGCAATAACTCTTGCGCGAAAAGAAAATGATATGCTGAAACTTTTCCAAGTTGAGACGAATTATCGATGACGATTCGATTGACCAGGTGGCTATTCACCTTGCCACGCAGCGACCTACCAGTAGCTCTTTCACTTTGCGGATGGCGTTCTTGTTAATTCCGGATGGCGGTAGTCTCGTAGTCTTTCAGTTCTGACGAGTCTTCGTTCGCTGTTTCTGTTATGCAAAGGAAAAAATGTTACAGATTTTGTGCTGGTGCAGTCGAAGCAAGACAGATCAGGTAGATCGCCCCTGGCACACTTTTTTCTTGCTGCATATGTGCGTCTATTTTTAATTGCGAGGACATTACTTAGTACTTAATATATATCGATCCTGTAGTGTTTGTTCCTTTGCAGACGATGAACGTGAAAACCAAAATCGTATCCCCACACACCACAAGGAAGACCGTTATGATCTTGAATTTGCTTTTCACCGAGCTACGTTCACCCCGCGCGAGCGCCGCAGATACCTCGTTAGAATGATTCTTGTAGCCGCTGCTGCACTCCGTGCGAGTCCAATGAAAATAACAATTACTGACTTATGCTACGAGATACCCTTCGCATGATTACCCCCATGGTAGGTTCTTGCTCGTGCATGAAGCTTTTTCGTACAAAACCGAGAAGTAGACACTGCTTTCCTCGTTCACGACATGGATTCAATGTCTGCGCACTTCGTGGTGTGAGTATTGTTCTAAAATAATTTTTGCAGGCTCCACATCGGAGTAGTTGTAGTAGTACGTGCTCAACGGCATTGCAAGGCACAGTAATCTCAATAAATATTTGTCCTCGTCTACCGTCGTCGTTCTGGTCGTAAACATCTGGCAGATGAAATCGTCCCCTATCGTTGTACACCGAGCCGTCGCCTACAGAAAAACTGACTCAATAGCCCATAGGGCTTTTTGACATTCGTTTTCGTGGTGTAGTCTAATACGTGTCGTTCTAGTTGTTCGGGATCTAGCGCAGCAGAAATCGATCCCACAAGAACCGTCTGATTTTGAGTTTAAAGAAATATGGTTTGTGGTACGACAAGCAGGAAACTTTTTTGTTCTTCCGCGCCCTCGGGGACGTCGAAAGAGATAGAAAGCAAGCAAACACAACGCAAAGTCAACCATCTCGAAGAGGATTTTACAACCACGACATCGCCGGTCGTGTAGTAAGTAAGTAGTTGTAAAGCAAATCAGCGACAAATCGTAGCGGAGAAAAAATATACTACAGCAAGCGCTTCGCCTGCGACACCAAGAACAAATCCAAAATCATGCCGATCCAGAAGTCTTCCATTGCGTTTGCGCGTGTCGCAACGACTGCCACCCTGGCGGTCCCCCACGGGGGGGGGGGGGGGGTATTTTCGGCGCGAAACTTGGTCCCGCTGCCGCCACGCATGAATGGGCCGGAAGCGAGACTTCCCCTTCTTCCGGATTCGCCAAAGTGGACCGCGTTGTATGGGCTGTGAATTGTACTAGTCTGGGTCTGGAGGAGTTTTGCAACACGATCACGAACTGTAAGTAGTGCTTAGATCGCAACGCCTTGACCTTGAGCTCTCACCTCTGTCATATGTTCTTGTGCATAAGCACGGCGGTGCTTATTTGTCCTGGTGAAAAGTGAATTGTGAAGAGCAGCGCATTGTTACACTAACCGCTTTTCGGCATCAGTTGTCTGTCGTTATGCTTGGCAGCCTTTATGACGACGTCACCATCCACGAATTAGCATCCATCACAGGTTTCCAGAACCAGACCCGGCTGGCCTTATTGTCTTGCATACGTGCGTCGTGCCGCCGCGAGCAAGAAGGTGATGGCCACGTCGGCGGCTTCGCGCGTGGACAAGAAGAAGTCGAAGGCAAGCCGAACCAGCGCGGATGGTTCCGCGAGTGGTGCAAATGTCCCCGGCGCCCCCACGGCGCAAACCACTTCGACTTCCTCAACGACAGCTCCAACTCAGCAGCGAGATTTGCTCGACGTGGTGTTGGATAATAAGCTGATGGCGCCTTTGCAGATGTTATAGGTAGTCATGTGCTCCTAGTGGTGGTCTGCTTCTACTATTAATCTTTCACTCGCAGAAGTTTTTTTTCAAAAGATTTTCTGCGTTCAACATATCGTATCCACGTCGGTGAGTCCTTTCGTCCTTGTTGACAAAGAAGTAGTAGCTGCCTAGTTCTACAAGAAGTGGTCTGCCTCTTCTAAATCTTTCATCGCACGCAGTTTGCTACGAACATACAAATACATATTTTACCGCGCTTTTTTTTTTCAGTATTTTTACGGAGTTTTTGACCACGGAAGCGTAACGGTACAAAACGACACAAACTTCTTGGATATACAATTTACTCGCACCCTTTATTTCATCTCAGCTCCCTCTCCATGCTACCACGACAGGGACAGTTCGAGCGTCCACCTCTGTGCTACCACGAGAGATACTAGAGCACTTTCAATCATATCGCCCGCCTTATCCAGGCTCGTGGTCGTACCACAAGGGAAGCCATTCTCGTCTGTGGGTAAGATGACCAAGAACCTCCCGACCCGTGGAGGCGTGATCTACTTATCTTAATATGAATCGTTTTCGCCTACCCAAAGAAGTAAAGGAAACCTTAAATCTTACCCGAGCGAGCCTTATCCAGGCTGCCGAGATAAAAAGTCCCAGCGCCAACAAGAACAGTTTAAATGTTGCGCCGTGAGTCTGGTCATCAAGCAGGATTACTTAGGAAGAAGCAAGGCACTTAAGCGGTTCTCCTCGGTGTCAGTCACAGCCCCACCAGGAAATCCTTGTAGTTGTAAACCGATTTTTCACTGCTCAGTGCCTTATCCAGGCTAGTGCCACATGTAGAAACAACATACTTATGCAATGCGAATGTGTCTGGCTCTGGAGGGTGGCCTGGAAAGTTGCAAGATTTGGCATGCTTGGCGGAAATAAGCAGTCGCAAGAAACAAGCCATTACGCCCGTGAAGATGCAGGGCCATTTCTTTATCTCGCAAAAATTTGATTTGTCAGCGCGGTCTTTGTCGTTACGCTAGGCGTAGTACGCCCTCAAAAATGGCCAGCGTGCGGGCCTTCATATTGGAACATGCTTGCGGTCGAGTTTTTTGATATTATTTGCAACTATCCATAAGACCCAGACATATTTGCATTCGACACAGCAGCAAGCGCGACACGACGTCGGCCTGTGGTAGACTACAATTCTAGTCGCTGCGAGGATGCGAAGTTGGAATTCGCTGTGCTTGGGTAATCCTCTGTCCGGAAATGCGCGCCGAGAAAAAAAACAGGTACTTCATAGATACAGTGCTGCTGTAGGATCGGCGTGGGTCATTTTGTGCCGTGGAGTTGTCACTCTCACCCCTGACTTAGTTGCTGCGATGCATGAGAAAGTATCGTGCGGAAAACTACAACTACGCAAAACTATTGCAGAGCATTGATGTCTTCTTTTTGTCCTGCTGATCTGCCAGGGCCAAGCAATGCGATCGACACAAGAAGACAATCCAAGTGGAAGCGTTCTCACGTGCGAAGTAACACTCTCTGCGAAGTTGGCAATGCATGGAAGGCATTTTTGTACTGTTGTACAGTACTATGCCATCTAGTTATTCACAAATCTGTGACTGTGATGCACAGACGACATACAAGGCTCGCGCGGGTCTCTCGTGCCGCATTTATAAAATAGATGAAGAAACCACGAAACAACACCTCTACAGGTAATCATAGCTCGCCGTGCCTCTCGACGTGCGTCTTGACTAGGACCAGCGCAATCGACAGAAGAAGGTCAACATTGAAGTACAGTAGAAACATCCTTTGCGAAGTTGGCAACGACTGGAAGGTATCTATAATTTTTGTCCTCTTGTTGGCTAGGTGTGGACTTTGCTATGCATATGAAATTGTCAAAAAATAATTTGCCTACTTACTGTGGTATGTAATTATACTTATACAGATGAAACAAGGGACGACCAGCACACTGGGGGTTTAGTGGTGCATAAACAAACTGAATGAAGTCACTTTATATAAAACACCGTCACAGGAGGTACCGTCTCACGATGCCTGTTTTATTCTGCTCCTGCCACCATCAACAGCGCAAGAAGCTTCTGGAGAACAAGTCAGGCAGGTTCAGGTATTGTGCCGCGAGTCTGGTCATCAAGCAGGATGAGAAATTAATACGGGGCACACGACAATTCTTATACGCAGCTCTACATTAGTATTCGCAGGACTGCACGAGGAGGACTAAGATGAATCAGCCAGGATATAGTAGTGCGCGAAGTTTTGTTATTGTTTTTGTTGGACCTGTACGACGCAACTTCTTTTAAGTTTTTCCCGGGGAAGATCATACATACGGGCGGAAGTCCGCCACTTTTGTCGTTTGCTGTTCTTACACGAACGACAAGCCCCCTGTACGTTGTTCTTCGAGGAAGATCATCTTTTTGATGTTCGTGTGAACTGTTGCGACTTTTCATCTTCGGAATGTAGACTATGTGTTTGCCACAACTCGTAGATCACATGCTTCATCGTGAGAAATGTGACTGCAATGTCTTGTGCCATAATCTTAATTCGCAGCTCAGATGTGGCAATCTCAAGATCTTGTGACGGCTAAAGTCGCGGCGATTTTGTCCTGGATCAAGAGCAGGTGAGGAAGGGACAGGAAGCCAGCCGGTGATCGCGGACATAACGCTACAGACGGCAAAAGTGTCACCTACTACTTCGCACGTTGCGGAACAAAGCGTGATGGGCAGTCGGCACTAGCAGAGAACGAAATGAGCATGTGGAAATTTCCAGAACAGCCCTCGCCGGCCAAAGTCGGTCGGAGCAAAGACCTGCGATGAATCTATCGGACTGATAACGCAGTGTCCTCTCGTCAGATTCTCATGCAAATGCATTTGAGCAGGAGCACAGCAGCTCCACACACTTTTGAACTTTGTTAGCCCGGCAAGTCTGACATGCCTGCTTTTTTTCATCGTCCTCGCTCTGATATGCCTTTCGAAATCGTCGCTCGCTTGTTGATAGGCGAGATGTATGACGACAACATCCAGTTTCTCGAGATTCGGATGCACATTCGCACCTTTTCGTTCGATCGCGGTCACTATAAGCACCTCGCTACAAGATAGAAGTAAACCATCATAAATAATCGTTTTCTCGTCGCGCTTGTGTTTAGCAATGGATTTCCGGTTTGAAACATAAAAAAAGTTTACGAGAGGTACTTACCCTACAGCCCAAGCGGTGTCTGTTGCTTGTCGTGATTTCTGTTTCAAGAAGATCGTACATAACGAACAAACATCTTTTTCTCCAGAAACAAGAAAGAAGCTCAGACATCGCACCAGCAAAAATGAAGCTCCTTCACCACCAGCATTTCCTCTACACCAGTTTCGCCGAACAGGACGCGGAGAATGATCCGGGCAAGCCCTTCGGCTCGGTCGCTCCGGGCGAAGCCCAGTCAGCGCAGTCGGTGCCGAGTCACATCGACGTCGTATCCCAGGAAAAAAGTTGTACACTTACACATTGTGTTGCAGGCATAGCAAGACAGACAAGCTGCGATGCATAAAAGCCTTGTTTCACACGTGTTTTCCCGTACTATTTCTGCAATATCTCCTCGTGCAGAGAAATTTGTGTTGCTAAATTGACAACAAATTACGTGTAACTGTAACACTTTTTTCGTGTGATACGTCGCGGACTACAACTACCTTTCCGGGGTGGAAAAGGGTTTCGCGGGGAACCGCAACGGCATCCCGACCTACAGCGCGATTCGCCCCGACCAGCTGGACCAGCTGAACCGCCGGGCGCAGCACAGTCACGAGCTGGTGGTCCGGGATTTGCGGAAGCTCCGCGCCGTGGTGGCCGATTCGTTTGAACAGGAGCAGATTATCCGAATGGCGAAGAAAAAAGCCGATTACTTTTTGAAGTTTGCAAAGCTGCAAGCGCGGAAGCAGGACGCAATTACGACTCTCGCCCGGCGGCTGATCGGCATGAAGGAGCAGGTCGAGGAGGCAGAGGCCGCGATGGTTCCCGGGGGAGAGGAAAGTGCAAGTGGTTCTCCAGAGGACAGAGGCATACTAGACGAGGAAGCGCTGAAAGAGGAGGAAAAGCAGCTGGAGTTTGAGATTCAGGATTTACGGACGGTGCCGAAACCGGAGCCACCGCCCTTGGATTTACTGAAAGCCCATACACTGGATACCTTCTTCCGATAGCGTGGTTAGGTTTATAAGTCCGAGACGTTTCGAAGAAAAAAGCCGAAGTGTAAGAATGCCAATCGCATAAGATCATTCATCAAGAGCATGGTCCTGCTGGCCTGGTGTTCTTGCTGCACAAGTCGTGGACAGAAATGGAAGTTCTTGATGCAGTGCGTTCTTTTAAGTAGCTGTCACGGCAGATGACGTTCGGCGAAGGGTTTTGTGTACTTATACGCTTGGTGCTTCAAGAACATCTAGATGTAGCTGCATGGGCACCAAAGCGAATTCGAGTCACTGACATGAGCATACAACTAGAGCGAAAAGGAGTGGTGAGATGATTTTAGCAGGATTTCTGCTGAAACCTTTCTGTTGTCGAGAGCAATGTATGAATTACGACACCGCTTTTGAAACGACGAGTCGATCTTGTGTTACTCACAGTACTCACATTACTACCTTACAACTTTTTCCGAAAAAAAATAGAAATGCTGCGTCCCTGCTCCCGCTTTCGGTCTCTCGCGAAGACCGCCATGACGCCCCTCCTGCCCAGTGTAGTCCTCATGTTTCTTTACGACCAGATTGCCGACACTTTTGTCCATGCCGAGTCCGCGCTCTCGCAGGCCAAGAAGACGCACACACTGAAGCTGGAGCGGGTGTCCGCGAGCATGCGGGAGCGACGCCAATTGACGGAGCTGCGGTACTATGAATTGCAAATATGTCTGGGTCTGGAAGGTGGTAACTTGTCATGGTAAACTTGAAGCATACAAAAATCTGTGCTGCATGAGTGCCAAAAGCTGTCCACTTTCGATCAAGTTGGGAGGGAGTTTCTCATGCAGGATAGGCATGGCAGAGACCTCGCAGACTCTGTCATGCGAAGTCCCGCACTCCAGACCTCATGGGTCATGGAAAATCTGCATGACAAGTTTACACTCTTCCAGACCCAGACATTTTTGCACTTGATAGGTACAAGCAGCACCTGGGTTCCACTTCCACTTCAACGACCGCGAGCCAGGCGGCGCGGCAGGTCCACGCGTCCGAGTACTTCGGGCGGATCCAGATCGGGAATCCGCCCCAGGAATTCCTGATGGTGTTCGATACCGGGAGCGGAAATTTGGTCGTGCCGAGCCACGAGTGCACGGACAGTGCCTGCGTGAAGCACGCCCGGTTTGACGCGCGGAAGAGCAAGACGGTGAAGCAGATCGCCTACGCGGACGACCCGGAAAAAGAGGCCACGGTGGGCATGGACCGCGACGTCGTCACCATCACGTTCGGCACCGGCGAGATGAGCGGCGTGTTTTTGGAGGACAAAGTCTGTGTCGGCCACATCTGCCCGAGGACGCACTTCGTCGCGGCCACACAGGAAAGCGACGAGCCATTTTCCCTCGTGCCGTTCGACGGTAATTATCTATGATTTCCTCGATTTGTGCAGATGTCATTTTGATGATGTCTATCTCTATCTAACTGAAACTGGTTTATATTATCGTGTTTGTGTGTGATCATGATTCTCTTCATCTTCCACAATGATTTGTGAAGGTGACGGAGCAGCAAAGCAGTGCCTCTCGTGAAGGTACTTGCCACATGTCTATCTTTTACACATCAATCACTTCTAGGTATTTTCGGCCTCTCGCTGCCGGAGATGAGCGAAGGGCGTTCCTTTAACGTGGTCGACCGCATGATACAGGAGCAAATGTTGAAGCACAATCTTTTCTCCGTCTACCTGGGCCACACCGCGGCGGAGGAAGAGGATGATGAAAACGTAAACGAGCATAGTAGAAACAAAACTGTCGCCACTGCTCTGACCGCGCCGGCCACGAGTTCATCAACCGAAAACGAGATCACTTTCGGGGAGTACCGCCCCGAGCGCATGGCGAGCCCGTTGATCTGGGTGCCCGTCACGCAACCGGGGTACTGGCAGGTCGAGATTTCGGACCTGACCATCGACAACAAGCCGCTGAAGCTGTGCGGCGAGCGCCACTACGGATGCCAGGTAGCGGTGGACACGGGCACCAGTCTGATGGCCGGGCCAAGCTACATCGTGAACCAGCTGGTAGTATGCATTGCAAATATGTCTGGGTCTGGAAGATTCTGAGACTTGTCATGCGGGTTTTGCATGAGCCATGAGGTCTATGATGCATGCCCTAGCATAACAGATTTTTTGAGGGCTTTTTGATGCCTATTCCGCATGACAAATGCCCTCTCCGCGTAGCAAAAATTACATTCGTTCCCCTTGTTGCTCATGCAATGCAGATTTTTTTGGAAGCCACATGCAGCATCACAAGTTGCATTCTTCCAGACCCAGACATTTTTACATTTGATAGGTAGAAAAACTCGACGTTGCGGGAGACTGCTCGAATTTTCACTCCCTGCCGGACTTGGGCTTCGTCCTGAACAACCACATTTTGAACTTGAAACCCGAAGACTACGTGGAACGTACTACTTGATTGCACGGCGATTTGTACTACCGGGAAAAATGGTGTTGTGCAACAGAATAGACTTACTGCTCTCGTCAGATTCATCAATTCTTGCCACCGCAGCCAGAACCGCGGGAATGGAAATCGAAACTCCAACAAACACTTACTTATAAAAATTTAACAGGTCACCCGCTCGAGGGCTGCTCCGTCGCGCTGATGGCCATGGACGTGCCGCCACCGAAAGGACCGCTGTTTGTGTTTGGCGACCCGTTCCTGCGAAAGTACTACACGGTCTTCGATCGCGCAAACCTGCGGGTCGGGTTCGCGCTGTCGGCGCGGAGCGGCGAGAAGGTCGGAGACAGGGGAATTATTTCCGCTCTCGGAAGTAAGAAAGTAGAAACGTTGAAAAAATTGTCCAACAAGGCGAGCAAAGACGAAAGGACAGAAGATCAGCTGTTGGATGAACAATCATCCTCGAAACGCGAGCAGGAGGTAGAGGATAGGGAAGGAAACGACGAGGATTTCCGATCACATTTGATGCAGGTCGAAGGCGTCGATTACAGCAGCGATCTCCACCATGCCAAAACCACAGCACTAACAGCGGATGTCTCATCAGCGGGAACAAGAAGTCATGGCAACCAACAGCGAAAAGAACAGACGGCGAAGCAGCGGAAACCGGTTCGGAGGCTCAATGTGTACCGAAATCGGAAAGCCGGCAGTGTGAAAAGGTAGCAGAAGGGGGGCTGACAAAGGTCGTTGAAGATCTTGATCTGGTGAAGAGCATGGTTTTTCTTTTCCCTAAAATGAACCGTTTTCCACTTGGTACTGAGAATAACATCCGCCCGATGTATTCTTTTCCGGAGTTTTTTAACCAAATGAAAGATTACGGCACGGGTTGTGGTAGACGGGTAATGGGAGAGTACCTGTTGATCAGGAGAGTGGTCTTTTGTTCCATTAGTGCCACCAGTAGAGCGCTGAGTGCTGATGAGTGCGTTGGTCCGATTCCTGGAGTGCTGGCGAGTCCGTGCAAGCGCGTTTGCGTAAGCAATGGTTTGGGTGTTGATCTTAGTTGAGTGCGTTGGCCCAGTGCCTTGAGTTGGTCGGCCCAATGTTTTGAGTATCTGGGACCAGCGTTTTGAGTGTGTGAATGCGGTGGTCAACTGCTTTGAGTGTTGTTTCAAGCGTCTTACTTACCTTGAAATTCGGGTACTTAAGAATCGGCGTTTTTCCGCTCAATCCGCCCTCAGTTCCACATATAAGTACTTGACTCTTTCGCCGCTCTTGAACGAAAGATAGAGCCGAAGGAGCATGAACGTAGGCGCGCCCCGACGGGGCAGCTTGCATTGCGTAGGCCTGGGGCCGCCGATGGACGGACGACGCGCCGGGGGCTCTGGTATAGCGGATCTTATCTACCGCAGCATTTTGATATTAATTGAATTTATTGCTTGCTTCTCGACGTTTTGTTATATTTATAAACCTTTGCTAGTCTGGAAGATGCCTCTGCACTGAGTTTGGTGCTCTGTCCGTGTGATGCTTCGGGAGTTTGAGTTCGACGCTATCAATCTGTCAAATGAAAAATCGAAACAAATTAATCAGGGCCGAGCGCGGTATAATTGGGGGCCCATACCGGAGGGGGTTGGTCGCCTGCTGCTTCTGGTGCGCCGACGGTCTCCAAGCGCATTAGGACAAGCCTGAGCGTGGCCCCTATAGCTTGCTCTTTGATGCGCAGGCCGATCCGCAGCCGCAACCTTGCTGCGGTTGTGAGATGGCTCTACACTCGCAAGGCCCTCCAGATTAGCGGCGCCAATCGGGGAGGCCTGTCCACCCGCTGGGGCTTGTTTCGAAAGGCGGAGCGAGACAACAAGCCTCTGGCGTTATGAGATCAAATTCGTGCGGGCGTGTACTTCTATGAAAGTAAGACATTGGCATGCGCAAGGACGTTGGCATGTTGTTCCTTGCAATCGTGCGCGTCAGTCACCTCGGACGCATTGCCTTGTGGTTATCAAAAGCCTGATATTTTTCCGATACAGGCTTGGAACTCCCGGGTTTTCATGTTGTTTTTCGCAGACTCTTCCCTGTACCGCATCGGGACTGCGTTTCGCCCTGTATTGCTACGTTTATGTATCATTGCATAGAAGCATAGATAGAGATGTTCTTCTTCATGATTTATTTTGCAGTCCTAAACGAATTTGGGTTGCATACCTTCGGCTGGTGCGAGTACTGGTTGCCCATTTGGGACGATTGCGCGGACTGCCGGCGCGGCGCCGTGTAGCGCGCCCGGCAGTGCGCAGAGCCACCCGGCGGGCTTTGTTCTGCGCCCGGTATGAAAATGGCGGCGCCGGTGGGGCGGAAGCCTACCAAAGCGGCCGGGGGCCCCGCTAACTAGGGCGCGGCAGAGTTTGTTGCCGGTCCCCGCTGTTGCATTCCAGCTCACAGAGCCGGCCCCCGCCCGGCTCCCAGCGGCCCAACGGGCCCCGGTGAACCTCACGTAGATGCGTACGGCGCATTGTACGCGCACGCAATTCGCGCGCAGACTTTGCGCGCGCCGCGGACGCACGCTGCGTGCGTACGCCTTGACGTACCTTGGCCGGGGGCCCGCCGCCACGCGTATTGATGTATGTCTATGCTTTTCTGCGCTTTTGAAGGCGAAGAACACGAGTGCCTCAAGGCCATCAGGCAGGTCGCTGTAGTCTTGTCTGCGAGCTGCAAACTGAAACTTCGTGCTTGGCAAGTAATGAAGTGCTTCTCTATGATGTTCGTGTAGTTGCTACCTGTGTCACATTTGAGCATGAGCGTTCCTGAATGTGTCTGGAAATCGCAGAAAGATTTGCTTGAGTTGCACAGGCTGAATCACAAGGGCGGTGCGGAGATTGAGGGATGAGGCTCAACTTTTTTTTTTCCGCGCCTCCAGCCATTCGTATCCACTTGAGTTCCACAAACATTCCTTAAATCTGCCTCTTTCACCGCCCGCACTCCAAAGGGAGCCTTAATCGGCAAGCAACGGCACCGCAGGCGAGGCTTGTGCATCATCTCGTCCGACGAGAAACAAACTCTAATCTCGCCGCGCCGCCTCGATCAAAGAGGCAAGTAAGATGGCGTCCCCTTCCCCGGCCTCTCCCGCGAAAGACCAGCAGCCACCTCCGACCCCCGCACACCAACACCACCCGGGCGGCTCGGACAGTGAATCGGAGGGCGAATACGAGTACGGCTGGGACTTTTACTACGAGCAGCAGGTGGAGGAGAACGCCTCGCTCCTCAACGCCGATGCGGCGCAGGCCTCCAAAGCGTCGCTCACGAACACGGCGAGCACCAGTGCGCGGTCGGAGCAGCAGCGGTTCAGCTTCAGCTTGTCGAATTCTCTGCAGTTGCTCGGCGGCCAGTTTTCCCAATCCAAGCCGGGGACCACCGTGCGCGTCTCCGTCCGCCGCAAGATCTGGACGTTTTTGGAAACCGACCCGTATTATCAAATGCAAAAATGTCTGGGTCTGGAAGATTCTGAAACTTGTCATGCAGGTTTTGCATGACCCAGGACGTCTGTAATGCACGCCCTAGCATCACAGATTTTTAGAGGGCTTCCTGATGCCTACTCCGCATGACAAACGCCCTCCCCGCGTAGCACAAACTAGACTCCTCTTGCTGGTCATGCAATACAGATTTTTTTAGGGTCCAAAGTTAGCATCACAAGTTCCAACCTTCCAGACCCAGACATTTTTGCATTTGATACGTATTTGAACGCCTTTCTGCTCGCGGTCATTGCAGTGTCCACCATCGCGTTCTGTCTGGAGACCGTGCAGAAGTTCAAGAAATACCAGGCGGAGTTTTTGTTTCTGGAGTCTTTTGTCGTGGTGGTGTTTTCCGCCGAGATTATTACGCGGTACATTGCGGCCCCGATATGCATTTTGCAAATATCGATCTGGTTCTGGAAACTTGAAGATGTGATGTGGAGCTGTGAAGAAGAAGAGCTAGAAGGAACAGTCGCGAGGGTAGCCAAGCATGACAAGCCCCTTTCGGAGCGCTCTGTTACGCCTGGCGCGCATGACAAGAGAACGCATGTGCACAATTTTGTCGGTCCTGCAATACAGAATTTTTTCCAGGAGCGCCAGACGAGCATGACAAGTTCATCCCCTTTTCCAGACCCAGACACGATTATTTGCATTTGATACCGGATGAGTACGAGCAAGTTCTTTTCCATGCCGATGAACTGGGTGGATCTGATCTCCATCCTGCCCTTTTTCCTCGAGCAGGGCTGCAAGCTGTACGAGCACTTCTTCTACACCGATGTGCAAGAGCCGAACCATAACTTGACGGTCGTGCGGTGCTTGCGGCTGGCAAGGTTGTTCAAGTTCGGCCGATACTCCAGCGAAATGAGCTTGGTGACGGGTATCGATCTTTTTTAAGGGATGAAAAACTCGGTTGCTTTTGGTTCGTTTGAAATCTAATGTGGATCTTCCCGCTGGGTATTGAATTGCTATTGTTCGGCAGTAGAACTACAACTACTACGCAAAAAACAAAAACTTTGAAAAACCAACCCCTCAGGCGCCTTCCTGCGGTCCTCTGTGTCCTTCATGATGTTGGGCTTTATGCTTTCCATTGCTTTGGTGGTTTTTTTATCAAATGCAAAAGTGTCTGGGTCTGGAAGGATGCGAGATCTGTGATGCAGTTTCTGCCTGACCCGGATCGTCTGGCATGCACGACGTAGCATCACAGATTTCGAGCAGGTCCTCCAATGCCTAATACGCATGACAAATCCCCTCTTTCGATAACAAAAAATGGGGCCTTTTGCTGGGCATGCATGACAGAAGAACTTATCATGATGTAGAATCTGCATCACAAATTGGAATCCTTCCAGACGGAGACATATTTGCAATGCATATTTTTCCACGCTGCTCTACCTGGTGGAGCAGGGCGACTGGGACTCGGAGCTGGGGTATGGATTGTAAAAATGTCTGGAAACTTGTGATGCTGGGCGGCGTATCATGAAGAGGCCACAGGTGCTGGCTCAGCATGACAAGAAGCTTTTGAGCTTCTAGGTGCTATGCGTATTCTGCATGACAAGCTGCGTTTCTGCATGACAGCAAAGTGGGGCTCTTGGGTAACGTGCGTGACAGATTTAAGACTCATGCCAGACAAGCATGACAAACATGCACTCTTCCAAACCCAGACATATTTGCATTTGATATGGGGTGTCACACCCGCGCAAAACTCGGCATCGAGGGGGACTTTCTGAAGACGGAGTGCAGCCCCTTTGCCAGTATTCCGAAGGCGTTTTGGTGGGCGATTACGACGATGACCACGGTCGGGTACGGGGACACGTTTCCGGTGACGCCAGTAGGTGAGGAGTTGTTCGTGAGCTCTTGTGTTTTGTTCGTGCTTGATTTGAAGTGCGGTTTTGGATGACAAACTTATTCGAATTCACGATGATAGATCATGTTCGTCATTTGTATCAAAATGAGGTAAATTGATCGGCGGCTGCGCGATGGTGTGTGGCATTCTGTCCGTTGCCCTCCCGACCACCGTCCTAGGCGTGCAGTTTGGGGACAGTTTATCCAAGAAAAAAACTGTGTAAGTGTAACTTTTTTGCAAGAACAGCATCACACAATTGTTTTGCATGACAGAAGACTTGTCATGCGTAGCTAGTACGCTAAAACACGTACTAAAGTAGCCTCTGATCGATGCATATGCGGCGTGACAGGTGTAATTGTATTGCAACATCTGCAAGAGCAAGACAAAGTTACACTTACACAGTTTTTTTCTTTTATACAGTTACGCCGAGATTCAGGAAGAACGAGAGCGGGGTATCGGGAGAAAAAACGACCCCACCACAGAATCACAACTCGGGAAGTCTGCAAAAAGTCTTGCGAGTCACACAGGACAAGTAGCGTAGTAGAGGTTCCCGTTAGGAAGGACAGCCGGATGACAAGGCCACCAACTGCCTATCCTTGTATTATCAAAAGCCCAAATCATGGCATGAATTTATCATTATGTCTCGCATGGAGATCATGCGCATTGCAAAAGTTCCTGTAGAAGATGATCATGCAAATGATCAGCATGAGATTTTTTTTGTCGGGTGCAACGTTTTTCCACAGGATACGGGAAAAGATCTCCTTACTGCTCCCCTCCGACGACCACCGACAGGAGGAGCTAGGCCGCCAAATCGCGCAGTTTCAGGAATTACGAAAATCGATCTCGGAGATACGGACGAAAGTGGAGCCCCTGGCGGCCAAACTGGTAGAGAAGGAGGAGCAGGCGAGCTTCATCACCACCCTGCAGTTTTTCGACTCTGCGGTGGAAAATAGCACGGCAAATCTGGAGCAGCATCTGATGAATCTGCGGAACCGGCAGCTGCTCAACAGCAGGAGCGGAAGCTTGTCCAGACTGGGAACGGGGGCGACTGTACCGGGTGGGACGCGGGGGGTGTAAGTAGTGAATAAGTACCGCGTCCTCTGAAGATCACCATACCCATAACGGTCCTGTAAGTTGCTTTTCTTCTTCTTTTCAGCAGTCTGTCTCACGACGCACTGACACACCCGAAAAAGTCTTGGTTTCTTGCTTTCTGGAATTTTGTTTCACGGGGTCTTAGACTCATTTGCGAGTCAACGAGCTCCAGTGTTGTTGTTTTGCGGTGTTGTGTAGTTCCAGGCGTCGTGTTGTAGAATACGAATTTTTCCTACCAGTAACTACAGTAGTCGCTGTGTATATGTACTATCATTTCCACCAAATTTATTCCTTTCTCGGAACAAACATTTTTCTGTATGGTTCTATAAAAATTTGGATCCTGTGCAGTTCTTGCCACAGTCGTTTCAGAAAGCACGGACGAGTTCTTCATTTCTGGATACTCCCGGCGTAGAAAGAGCAACAAGATGTTGGAAGAACAACAGCAATTTTTTTTTCCTTACAAAGAAATTCTTATTCTATCCGGTTGGGCAGATAAATGGTAGAAAAGAGACATCAGAAGAACTTTCGCAACAAAGATTTCCAACCTGTAGTCCTCGCGTGTGTAGCCGCAAGTGACCTGAGTCGCGAGTTCTCGTCTTGCGGCGCAGTTTTGCTGTTGACGTCGCACCGCTCAACTTACTTTTCCCATTGAATTTGTCAAAGATCTTCAATACGCTGGTAGTTTCAGCCGGTAGCAAAAACTCGATAGATGGATTGTTGGCATCGATCTCTTTTTAGCATCGTCCTTAGCTGCGATCAGATCCCTCAAAAGACCAAGAAGGTATGCAAAGAAGAAGATCTCGTCGTCCCGCCCATTGGCTCAAGACTGACGACATAACGTTCTAAGGATTTGTTTCTGCCTGCTGAAGCAGCTTGTGCTTGCGTCACATGCTCTGGATCTCGATAATCTGAGTTTTCAAAAAGAAATTTTTACGGATCTTTGTAGGTTAGATAAAATTCCGATCTGACTTTGATTCAGTTCATACGCTCTTTTCCATCTGTTTAACCCCAGTGACGCGACATCAAAGTTACTATTTTACTCGTGTAGTTTCACTTGTATCACTTTGGTCTTCGATAGTTGAACTTTGAAACTACACTGACTGTGTTGCATTTATTCCCTCTGCATAATATTTCTATCTTACGAAGTAAATATTGCGTTTATTATTTGGTAAAAATACAATAAAATTAAAATGACTGGCGTGGACGAGAATGGGTTGGCAATCCAGGATTTGGCAAAATTGGACGTGACAACGTTGACGCCACTCTCCAGGGAAGTAATCGCCAGACAAGCAACAATCAACGTCGGAACGATCGGGCATGTGGCGCACGGTAAGATTGATACTGAAATCTGATTATTGTATGAATCAGCTTTGTTGACATGCCGATATCATGTGCATGAGTTATGACACGCGAAGGACAACGAAAAGCAAAAGTTCCAATTCTCTCACGATATCACAGGCAAGTCAACCGTCGTAAAAGCTCTGACCGGTCTGTCCACGATTCGACACAAGTCGGAAAAGGAGCGTAACATCACGATCAAGCTCGGGTACGCAAACGCAAAACTGTACAAAACCGACGATGTGGAGGACCCCGCTTACCAATACTGCTCGATGGGCTCCGCACAGCCGGACGAGTGGAAGGGAACGCTAAACATAGGTGAGGCGGTATTACAATGAAAAATGCCCCCACCCCCGAACTTGGGATCATTTGTATTGCAAACCTTTCCAAATGAAACATTTGCCCTCTTGCATCTATCAGCATCACAGATTTCCGATCGTGAATAGCAAAAATTTGCATTGCAAAAAATCCCAGCAAGAGCGGCGCTTGTCATGCAAGCGATGCGACACACGCCTAGAATCTGCATCAGAAAGGTTCGTACTCCCTTCATGCATGGCAAAAAAGTTTTCATTTGGAAACTTTGCATCACAAATTTTTGCAACTTTGGGAGTGGGGGCATTTTTCCTTTCAATAGGCGGAAGACCGGGAAGTCACCTGGAAGCTGCAGCGACACATCTCCTTCGTGGATTGCCCAGGGCACGATATTTTGATGGCAACCATGTTGAACGGAGCGGCAGTCATGGACGCGGCGCTCTTGCTCGTCAGTAGCAACGAGGTATACTAATGACACAAAATTTATTTCACCGCGGTTTTGTATCGTTTTTAGAAGATGAGGCGAAATAAATCAACCCCCTTTTTGCTATTGCAGCTTGCATGGCAGATCGTTGCTGCAGCTTCGTGTGCAACTTGATGAGAAACTTAAACAAAACTTCATCTTTAGCCCTGCCCACAACCACAAACACTGGAGCACTTGGCAGCCGTGGAAATCATGAAGCTCAAGCACATTATCATCCTTCAGGTAAGCTGGATAAAAAATGTTTAATCATATGCAGTGCGACGTGGCCTGGTCTTTCCGCCCGAATTTTTCACCTGTAATTTCCTTTTGGTCGGGCAACTTGATGAAAAATGAATGTATGGAGTTGAAAAGATAAAAGAGAAATAAAACACGCATAATTACAGAACAAAGTGGAGCTGATCAAGGCAGAGGCAGCTCGGGCACAACACAAGGACATCAAAGAATTCGTGGAGGGCACCGTCGCAGAGGACGCACCCATCATCCCAATATCAGCGGTAATTATGTTTTTCCGACATTTAGATTTATTTAAGACCACATAAGCATGACGTTGACAAGAATGGATGTCGAGGTACTCATTGTGTTAGCGCCGAGCTCAGATCGAAACAAAAAAAACCAACATCAGGTCCTGAAATACAACATGGACCTGGTCGCGCAGTACCTGTGCACGCAGATCCCCATCCCCCCGAGAGATTTCCAGTCCGTTCCCTCCATGATTGTCATCCGCTCCTTTGACGTGAATAAACCGGGTGAGGAGATCGAGAAGCTCAAGGGCGGCGTCGCGGGGGGCAGCATCCTGCGGGGCGTGCTGAAAATGCACCAGGAAATCGAGTTCCGACCGGGCGTCATAACAAAGACCAAGGACGGCCCGGTGTGCAAACCGTTAAAATCACACGTCACCCGGTTGCAGTCGGAGAACAACGAATTGCAATACGCGGTGCCAGGAGGTCTGATCGCCGTGGGAACGAAGTTGGACCCAACACTCACAAGAGCAGACCACTTGCTGGGAAACGTATACTCTTTATACATTGCAAATGCAAATTTTTATGTGTCTGGGTCCCTGGATTTGTGATGCGGGATGTGAAGGACTAGAAAATCTGTGATGCATGGAGAGGAGTGCTAGCGCTCTTCTCTGTCGCGCAGGCGGGAGCCGCTTTGTCATGCAAATCACGAATGAATTTTATCCAAACTTTAACTTATAAATTTCAGATGCTCGGGGTACCAGGAAACATGCCGCAGATTTTCGTCGAGGTCGAAATCAAGTACTACCTTCTCAAGCGCCTCCTCGGTGTCAAGGTCAAGGAGGGAGAAAGCAACAAAGTCAAGGTACAGTTTCAGTTGTAGTGCTGGATTTTTTTCTTCTAGATTCTATAACAAATAAGCACTATTTTTCAAAATATTCGTCAACCTGAATGATCATTCAGTGGCATCATTCCCCTTCCTGTCGCTACATGGAGGTGGAAAGAAATTTTTCCACACAACTGTTCATTGTACAAAACCACAGAAACTGTCCACGGGTGAGATCCTGATGGTGAACGTGGGCAGCACAGCCGTTGGTGGCCGCATTCTGGGTATGAAGGACAGCAAGAAAGCGGAGGACAAAAAGGACGCGGTGGACAAGGCAAAGATCGAACTGACTAACCCGGTGTGCGCACAACCCGGTGACAAAGTTGCGCTCAGCCGAAGAATCGAGAAGCACTGGCGATTGGTGGGCTGGGGTACCATTCTGAAGGGAAGCACCTTGAAGGTGGAGTAGGGAAGTTTTATTCCTTCTGCTGGTGGAGAGATATCTTCGTAAAAATCTCACGACTTTACTACGTTCATTTTTGCCGAAGAGCAAAAAGATGAAAGAAGGTTGAACAATCGCAATCATCGCCTCAGTGTCACAAAAATAGTAGATCCTCTTTTGCATACTCCATGCGTAAGATGATCTCCAAAAAATCTCACTCTGTGTCATAGATTAAACGCAAGATGAACTTTTTACCAAGGGATCATACGGGTAAGTAGTTAAAGCACACAATCGGAACAAGATGAAATCACGAAGAAGGCAGAGGAGTTTGTGATTTCGAAAGAACCCAAAACGCACTGACGGCTCACCTCTACTGCTCCCGGTCTCTGCAAAACGAAAATGGCGCGAGCTCGCCTCTCGCGCTTGCATAAAAAATTCTAAGATATGCACCGGAATGAACCGGAAAGACCCGCCGAGCTCTTTTACCTCAAAGGCAGCTCGAAGCTGTTTTGCAACAGTGTTTTTTCTTTTGGAATGTCGTTTTTTTTGTGTCTGGCTCTGAATTTGATATAGCATTAGAGATTGGTAGTACGTGCTACTTACATGATCTACGTTCGTAGCGTCAGCATGTGTCTTCGTGTCTGATCCAGTCTGCCTTTGACGGCATAGACCTATCTCCCGTCGTGTAAAGATGCAAGAGCAAATCGTACTACAAGCAAGTCGTGTGAAAGGATTTCGTGTGTTTTTTTTCGTATAACCGAACCTAATCAAGTCTTATTTGGACTTGTAGCCTCTGACGTGGTAGTCGCAAGTCTCGTTCTTGTCGTCCCTTCAACATGCGCGAATCAAACGGATCCACAAATTCGTTGTCGTTCTATCGTTCTTCTTGCGTCCGGAATATGATTGACGCGATAGCGCTCCGGTCTGATCACACTTCTTCACAAGGACGAGTGTCGCAGGATTTATTTTCCCTTCTTTCAGTACCTTCGCACGATTTTTTTTTTTCCACCGCGTAAAGTACAACATTGTGAAATCTGATCTGTAGTTTCTCCCCCTATTTAAAAAACGACGTTCGCCGGAACAAGATGGCATTGGGAACAAGCATCGGCGTGGTAAACATGGTCCCTCAAGAATACCGACTTCTCCGGAAGTGCAGCAAGCCAGGGAAGAACTACTTTTTGTTGGGATGCTCGATCCTACTTGTCTCCCCCGAGGTGCAAGTCGACGGCAAGCTGCTCTTGAAGAAAGGTCGTCGTAGCACCGCCGCAGAAGCTACTAGTGCTCGTACGCGGCAACAAACAAGTCTGCTACAAAAACAAAACCAGAAAGAAGCGAAAGAGCAGCCGGCGTACAACAGTCCAACCGGAGGATGCTGTGCCGGGCTTTTTGGAGGTGCAAATAACCGAGTTCCTGCGGTCGCGGTCGATGGCGTGATTTCTGCGGGCGGGAGTGGTGTGGGAGTAGGTAAAGGGCTGCTGAATGCTCCGGGCGCGGTCCCGCCTCGGGGAACAAACCAAAATGGAAGTAGGACAACCACTACCGACATCTACAACCTCCGGCAGCTGGAGAACTCCTTTACCAACCCCCTGTCGGATAAATTTTTCCCCGCCGGTGTATCCAAGGTTGAAACCTCGGACAGCAACCCGAAGCGGTTCGAAGTCATCGAATCGAAACTCATCGTGTCCTCGAGGAGCTACTCCGCGTCCAGTGGGACAACGCGGGGACGGGGGCGTCGTTCCACGACTTCAAGACGCACGCGGTGGTAAACCGGAATTTTCAGGATTACTCCGCCGCCGAAGGGAACGGAAATTGGAAGATGAAGACGATTCAGAAAGGCGGGACCAGTGCATCAAGTGCTGACAATAACACGAACCTGTGGAAACTCGAAACGCGGTTTTTGAAGTTCCACTACGACCCTTCAAAAGTTCGCTCCCCGCTGGAAACCGACTGGACGAAGGGGCTGGTTTTGCTGCAGAGAGAACCCGACGTGGAAGGGGAGGAGCGGATTGTGTATGGAAACTGGTCCCCTCAAAACCCCTACGCCGGGTCCCTGCTCGGCACCATCAAGACCGGGGAAAACTTCCCGCCCGGCACGGGCGCGAAGTACAACGAGCGCATGCTGTTGAACTGCGCGGAGGAAAAGAAAAAGCTGCTGCAGCAGGGCAACGAGTGGGTGTTCGCCTGCGGCCAGGGCCAGGGGCCGGGGTGCGAGGACCTGAAGGCGATGCACTGCGTGATGGGGGTTCTCAGCCGCGGCGAAAACGGCGGGTCCGGCATCGCCGTTGTCGATGACAGCGACATGCCGGTTTACAAGGATAAACAAAACTGGAACCAGCACGAAAAAGCCCCGGGCCTGGCAACCTCCAACGCGGTCTACTTCAACGGGGACTACAACCCGGACCAGTTCACCCTCGAGGGGAACAAGGACTACTACTTTTTCGCCTTCGGGTCTGAGCGAAATGCGTACAAGAAATCCCTTCTCGCCTTCCGGGAACTGTCCGGACCGCAGCCGCTGGTGCCCCGTTACAATTTTGGCTACTGGCTGAGCTACTGGCAGTGGGCGACCATGCGGACGGTAGGGAATGAAGGCGGGCTGCCGTTCAAAGCGCCCTGGTCCATCCCCTTCACGCTAGAAATGTTCGACCAGGTGCTGAAGAACATGTTTCAGGCCCTGGGGATGCCCATCGACGTGTACGTGCTGGACATGCAGTGGATCAACATCAATGGCGGGGCTGACCTAGCAGGACCGCGGGACCGCCTGGGAAGCGACCTCGGGTTGAAAACGAACCCGTACTGGGGGGCGTACAAACCCGACCCCGAGATGGGGGACTTGGAGACATGGCACAACCGCTGGACGGACAACGACACGGGCGGGTTGCAGATCTCCTACAACGTGCACCCGCACGTCGGGGCGCTGCGAGATCTTTGGATGGACGAGACCAAATACGAAAAGATCGTGACCGAAATCGGGTGCGACCGGTCGATCGGCGGGTGTTTCTGGGGGCACCACGCGGAAAACACGAAATTTGTAAACATGCTGGACGACGTGGCCATGCCGATCCAGATATCGTATGTAAAAACGTACCCACACCAGAGGCAGGATGGGGATTTTGCAACACAAACCTAGGAGCTTTGTGAGTCACGCATGACAAGTTGCACTCTGCAGTGTAGTGCAGGTTAGCAAGTGCAGCCGCGTCACAGATTCATCTGCTCATCCTGTTCACAGCATCACAAATTCCAAAACACGACTGAGAATGGTTCTCATGGGGATGCGCATTACAAATCTTCCTGTCTTTGCAAATCTGCATTACAACTCTGGTGTGGGTACGTTTTTACTCAGGACGCCAGAAGTCCTGGATTCCCTGGTGGGACTGGCAGAGCGGGGACTACATCCGCATTTCCGTATGAGTTGCAAAAGTATCCGATACTTGTATAAATGCATTACAAATTATTTCCTCAGCATGAGAAATAAAATTTGCAATGCGGATTTACCTCAAAAAAAAGATTTGCAATGCATGATTGCAATACGAGTATCAGATACTTTTGCACAGGATATTCCGCCAATGCGAACAACAACGAGTGTCGCCAAGTCGGCGACAAGTGGCCCTGCGGAGAGTACGAAACCAAGAATTGGTTTCCACTTCACTCTATCGCCCGCGTGACCTACGACGGCCCCGCGCGGCGCCAGGAGGACCGGCGCGGGCTGCAGATGACGCGGTTCAGCGGGTACGGGGCGCAGCGGTACCCGTTAGGGTTCGTGGGGGACCAGGACAAAAACTGGGAGGCGCTGGCCTTCTCCCCCTACTGGACGGTGACGGCGAGCAACGCGGCCTACGGCTACTGGACGCACGACCTGATCTGCTGCGACTGGAGCGATCCGGACCGGTACCAGAGCTGGGAGAAGTACCTGCGCTGGTTTCAGTATGGAAGCGTCAGGATTGAAATCCTCAAAGTTGAAATAATTTCTCATGCACAAATTGCAAGGCATGAAGTGCCTCTCTTGCAGGGGTTGCAAATGAGGCCGATTGTAAGCCTGTTTCGGGTTTGGAATAAAGCTGCTAAAGTAGCATGACAAAAGGCGCCTTCTGTCCCTAAACAGCATGACAAACTGGTTTTCGACGGTGCCGAAATTTGTCATACGCCGCTGGGAAATTGGGCTTCCAGCTGGTATCGATTTTATGCATTACAACTTTGACGATTTCAATCCTGACACTCCCATATCCAGTTCGGCGCGCTGACCGGGAATATGCGGACCCACGACAAGGGCTCCGGTGCGAAGAGGCAAGACGGCGACATGGGCGCGCACATGCTGTTGTGGGACTGGCCTTTCCCGGTCATGAACGCCGCGAAGCAGCTGTTGATCTGGCGCACCATGTTGATCCCGTACTTGTACACCACCGCCTACATCGCGACCTACACGAACGTGAGCCCGATGCGCCCGATCTACTACGACTGGCCGGAGTTCGAGCAGAGCTACACGGAGGTAGACCGGGACGATTTCGAGGAGGTGGTCCCCTTCTCCTACATGCTGGGCCACGGGTTGTTGACAAACCCGGTTGTGAAGTCCAACGGGGCCAACCCGAGTGCGGATTACGACGTCCCGCGCGAAGCCGGGTATTCGCACGACCGGGTCAAGCGCGCGCAATTCTGGGTCTACAACGTGAACCAGTGGCCCTTCTGGCTGCCGCCCGCACGGGATCTGTCCATTGTCGGGCGTACTAGCGAGGGCATGGGTAGTACTTCAGTTGAGGAGCAGGCTTCTCTTGACGTTCAGGAAGGGAATGCTAGTGGTGGTGCTGAAGCAGCTACAGCAGGCTCTCGCCGTCTACTACTTCCACCTGGAGATGAGCAGCTGCGGAAAAGCGGTCCAGTGTTTTGGTATGATCTCATGCAGGGCCGGACCATGTTTTCGAAGTCGAACAGTGCAGCATCGACCGGGGACCAGCTGACGAACAAAAACATGTACCTAATCGACGAATTTCCGCTGTTTCAACTCTCTTCCGTGGTGATCCCGTTGAATATCCGGAAATTCATCATCGGCGGCGCCACCCGGGAGAAGTACATGCAGGGTCTCATTTGGCAAGTCGTCGCGCCCGGGGCGCGCTTTTTTACACCGCCGGCTAACAGCGACAATGATCGTGCTTCTAGTCCTATCGTCCAGCGCGGCCTGGTCAAGGATGACGCCTACGGTTTGACACCGGACTATGTGAACGGGAAAAATCTGGAAATCAGCTGTGTGGTCCTCTGGCAGTCCCGAACGGAAGTGTACGTCTTCTTGAAGGAGGACCGGAGCGCAGATTTGATGATGTTAAATGCAGACGATAAAACATCAAACTCGCTCGTCTCCCAAGACGACCGACGATTTTCCCTGTTTTTGCACAACTTCGCGGGCACAGTGGTGGACGCTTCCTTTGCGAAAAACCCGGATGCGATCGCGGGCGTCGACTTTCCGAACGGGGTGGCCGATGCGTTTGCCGCGTTGGATAGAAGTACAACTTCTAGTACCTCTGCGGACGCAGCAAGTAGTAGAACTACTACGCAGCCAATCTTACTCGACGAGTTACAACCCACCTTCCTGCGCCCAAAAGACGAGGACACGCCGAGCAGCAGTAATGTGGACGGCGACGTGCAGACGCTCGGGCTCCGGACGGTGACCGCGTGTGTTTTGTCCTGCACGCGGATCCAGAACATCCGGCTCGGGGTTACGAAGTTGGTTTTGGAAGAAAAGATCGCGGAGCCACTGCTCCAGGGACTGCGGGGGGCAGACCGGAAAGTGGGCCGCGCGCGCGGAAAGCGGGAGGTGATCAACGCGGAGCCGGGGGGTGGAATTAACATTCCGGAGTGGAAGGACGGGAAAATCACGAGTTTGGAGCGGACGGTCCGGGATTTTTGGGACGACGCAAAGTCCGCGATGGGAAGGGTGGACAAGGACCAGGATTACGTCACTTACGCGCTGTTCGAAACTGCCACGCAGCTGAACACGGAGGAGTTATTGTGAACTGGAAAGAAGCTGCAGCTGTTCTTGTTGTGGTGCTGCGGTCGTGTTGACATTCACAAAAGTTGTCGTTTCGAATGTACAGTAAACCACCTTTTCAGTTTCTACACACATGACGTACATGCACATTTCAGATTTCTATTTTGCCCACTAATTTTGCTGAGTTTATTTTGCTACCCTTGTCTCGTCCCCCAGGTCAGTACTAAGGCCCCAAGTTGTAGTATTTCGACTTCTCGTTTTCGATTTGAATTACATTTTGAAGCACATAATACATAGCTTATGTTTCCGTACACTGTTTTCTCACGACATTGATCTTCGTTACTTTCTTCTCGCGGTTGCGAGACCCTCTCCCGCTCTGTGAGCAACGCAATGCACGCCCCATTCAATTGCCACCTGCCCGTCTTCTACTTTTTGCAGCAACCCTGTCGATGAAGTAAGATCGATGACCAAATTTACCTCCCAGTTATTTTTGAGACAGGACTGTGGTTTTCGTTTTTTGCGTGTTTTCGTTTCATGTCGTGATGAAGACGTCGTGGCAGATCGTGAAACATCAAATCGTGCTGCCAAGTTTTCGTATGCGGTTTTAACATCGTGTCAATTTCATAGCTCGTACTGATAGATGATGCTAAAGTTTTCGTTCATTCTGTATTGTCGTTCCAGGTCTAACCTCCTTCGTAATACCATCGTGCTTCCTGAACTGCATTCATTTGCAGCTGGCAAGTATTGAAGGGAAATACCATCACTTCACTAACTGTTACACTTTAGTCAGTTCCTGTTACTACATGTACAACTACTAGTATGCCTTTTGTAGGGCATGAGCTAAAAGTAATAAACACCTACCTTGTGGTTTGCGGTTACCACGACTGAACTCGTCACCCCCCTTTTTCTGACGTACTATCAAAGTTTATACCTACAACTACCACAAACAACATTCATCCGCTGAGACTGCAAATCCGCAACATGGATATCAAATCTCTCGTTCGCACCTCCCGGCTGTTCGCGCTCTTAGCGACGGCCACTCTGGTCAACAAGAACCATGTCACAGCTAGGAAAGCCGCTTCTCTGCGAGGCCGAATGGCGAGAAGCGGTAGTGCGATGGAAATAAGAACATCTGCGAAGACCGGAAAGAGTAGTGCTTCTACGAGCAATAGCAAAAAAAGTGCTCGACAAGAAGAAAATCATGCGGCGCAGCACACAGCAGCACAAAACCAAAAGTCATCGAGCACGCTCACTAAGGTCAATTTGCTACAGAAGCAGAAGATGAGAAAAAACAAAGCAGGAACACAGAACCTTCATCTCGCGGCGACCAGGCAGGAAGAGCAAAAAGCTGGCAGAACATCAAGTCGTGCAACAACATCAAAGCAAATCCTTGGTTTGAACGACGAAGGCAGCTGCAACCTGATTGCGCTTGGCATGGAGTACGCGGACGATTTAATTCCCTTTCTGACGGATGCCCACCGGTACAGATTGTTGAAGGCGCTGAAACAAAGCATGTCAACGACCCCGGGTACAAGTACAACGAGCAATGGAGATGATGTTGAGAATTGTATGAAAACTGAATTGGAAGATTTGAAACGAAAGGGAGAGGAACAAATCAAGACCGAGAACGACGACCGAACTGCGAGCAGCGAGGATCTGGCGAACGACATGCGGGATTTCCTGTTTTCGGTTGACACGGTCGCATCAGCGGGGGTCGGCGCATCAGCGGGTGATACTTCTATCCGCTCCCGGTACTCCGCGCTCCAAATCCTGTTCGTGGACAGTGGCGAAGCGGGCGGATTGACGGACGTGTCCGCCACCACGGACAGTGGCGCCGCGCACAATTTCGCGTGCAATCCGAAGCGCGTGTTGCTCAGTACGGACCTGCTGGAGCGACTCCAGACCGCGACGCTTGAGTCCGACACCGCCGGCTTTTGGGCGGCGCTGCAGATCGACCAGGTCAAGGCTTCCCCGGACTCCACCTGCGTCACGATCGAAGACGCCCTCCGGTTCGGGCGGCACGCCCGGAAGGTGACGGTGGAAGAGATGGCGGAACAGTACGTCGACTGGACCACCGCCGCGCCCCCGGAGGCGCTGGTGATCGTTCTGAAACTGGGGCAGATGCACTTTTTGCGGAACGAAGTGCCGTTACTGGGCTTCGAAGACAGCCACCTGATGCTTCTCTCCGACCCTTTGGAATCGAAGTCGCAAGCGGTGGTTTCCGGCGGGATCACGTTGCCGGACACGGGGAAGTTTGCGGACTGGCTCAGGGTTGACAACGAGAACACGGTCACGGACGAAGTGATCGCCTTGTCGGGCCTGGTCCCGATGAAGGCGGATTTGTTCCGGGACCGGTCGGATGCGACCGAAAACCAGGAAGGCGACAACATCGCGACCCCCGAGCCCGACCCGGACGCGCCGGACGGGCCCATCGCGATCCCGAGCATCCGGGTGTTGAACGCCAACAAAATTCTTTCGCTGGACTACGAGCCAGGGCGGCGGTTCATTCCCGCGCGGTTCCCCAACCTGATGCCGGACGACGGGGTCCCCTGCGAGCCGGCGATTCACGGCGAATTGGCTTGCGTGCTGAATGCCGACCGGTGGACCGGAAGGGTCCTTCCGACGGAATTTCTATCGGTTTTCGACCAGAACGCGGCGCCCCAGGGGTCGGACGAGGAGGATTTGAGACTCGAGTACGCCGCGCCAGGGGATCTGGGCGGCGGGACAGACAACTGCGCGGCGGACTTTTCCTTTTTCGCCTACTCGGGCGACGGGAAGTGCCGCCACTACAGCCCGGCCGGTGGGTTTTTCTGCTCCGCGCACCAAACGGGGGCGTATCTGGGGGAAATCGACCAGGACGGGCCCTGGGACCCGAAGACGGCCCAATTCCGCATTGAAGAGCTTCTCGACAGTTTTGTCCAGGATTTCAAGTCGGGAACCTGGCCCGACCGGGTGTTGGACGACCTCAGAGGTGCGACGATCAGTGTGATGCACAGCCAAGGGTACGGAAACATGCTGAAGGGCGTGAAAAAAGCGAAGTGGGTTGCGGGACAAAGCACCAAGTCGTTGATCGAACTGACCCTGAGCAGAATTTCGCCGCAGCTGGCCCGCGGCTGGGAACGGGTAGACAAAGCGACCGGCGAACTCGCCGTCGGGAGGCGGTTTTCCCTGGCGGGTTCGAAACTCTTTCTCGATGCGAACCGCGAGTGGTTCTTCGACAAGTACTATCAAATGTAAAAATGTCTGGGTCTGGAAGGATCCAAACTTGTCATGCTATCTTTGGATTCTAAAAAAATCTGTATTGCATGACCAGGAAGAGGAGCCCAGACTGTGCTACGTGGAGAGGGCATTTGTAATGCGGAATAGGCATCAGGAAGCCTCTCTGTGATGCTAGGTCGTGCGTTACAGACATTCTGGGTCATGCAAAACACGCATGACAAGTCAAGCATCATGTAAAAAGTAGAAGCAGATACTTCAACAGCCGCGCAGCTAGCGGGGGGGTGACTCCTGTGGTCCCCCCCCACCGGCTGTGCTTTTTCCAAAACATCCAGGAAAACCGTGTCGCGGTTCTTTTTTTTTCCAGCAAGTGGCTGGTGGGGGCGTAATATAGGATAAGGAAGTATGTAGGTCGTGAATGTAGAAAAGACTAAGAAGAGCCGTGCTGGTAAGGTAGAAAACCGGAACTACTTCGATACATAAATGGGGTCGTAGTTGGGTATAGTATTTTTTGGCTGAGATAAAAAGAAAACATCATGAACAACGAACGCGGAATCGGAGACAACGCGGCAAAGCGGGGGCAGGGGCGCGGCCTGCCAGCGAGGACACGGCAAGGGAATCGGGACAAATGGCCAGGGGCTCAAGACAAGTGCCAATGAGGGGAGCCGCGCGCACCGTTCGAGCTACAGGAGGACGAGGAGGACTAGGCCAACGTGTGGAGCGGAGGGGGAGAGCGGGGAGGACTAGGCCAACGTGTGGAGGACCAGGGATACGCGTGTGGAGCGGAGGGAGAGAACGGCTGCGAAGCGAGAACAAGTTGCTGGGGCAGGCGACAAGTTTAAATTTGGTACAAAAAAAAACAGCACTCAGATACCCGCGCCATCTGCTTAACTGTGTGAAATATTGTGTCGGCCCGGTCCTGCTTGGTCGCAGGCCGGTGTTCGTGAGATCAGATTTCACATGTTAAGTAACGCACACCGGCGCCTAGCTTAAAAAAATGATGAATTTACATGAAGATGGGGCCTAATCAAAAAAAAAAAACACGCATGACAAGTCTCAGAATCTTCCAGAGCCAGACATTTTTGCAGTTGATAAGTACGAGCGCAAGCTGTGGCTGGCGTTTGGGAAAAAGGGAGACAAATACGACAGTGCGGAAGAAGTGGCGGGGAAAATGAAAGCAGACGGAAACAAACCGCCAGCGGATTTCGACTCGGGGTTGATTGCGGCGAGACTGGGCGTGTTGTTCCGGGTGGACAATGCGACCAACGTGTTTTTCAGCGGTATCCGGTTTCGCGACACCGATGTTACCTGGGACGAGATGCGGGGCGTGCCCAGCGGCGGCGACTCCAGTCTGCAGCACTCCGGGGCCATTCATTTGAAAGAGTCAACGAACTTCAACCTGAAACACTCCGAAGTCACGAATGTCGATGGGAACGGGATTCTACTCGAGGGGTATGATAGTGCACAACTCCCCCTCCCCCTTATTTGTATAGCATGAGCGGCAATACAAGCATCAGTAAGAATGCCGGTTTTCCATGACAGATCTGCACTGGAGTGTAGTGCTATTTGGGCTACCAGAACTTGTCATGCAAACAGCGCCACGAGGCAAGGGGTGGATTGGGCATTTTGCATGACAAATGAGGGGGAGGGGGAGTTGTGCACTGTCATAAGGGGCGAAACGAAAACACCAACATCCAGTTCAACGAGTTCTCTTTCATCGGGGACCACGCGATCGCTTTGTGGGGGAAATTCTCGACCAAAAACGGAGAGGAAGTTTTCCCCGGGAGTCCTCTGTGCGACAACCGGGAGGGCTTTTCCCCCGCGCCCTGTGCGACGCGGAATTCGGTGCCGGTTGACACAAAAATCACAAACAACGTGATTTTCAACGTCGGGTTTCACACCAAGCACGCCTCCGGGATTTTCCAAGCCGTGTCCGCGAAGTCGGTGGTGAGGCAGAATGTGTTGTTTAACGCGCCGCGAACGCTGATCAACCACGAGGACAACGCGATCGGGGGCTCGGTGTTGGAACAGAATTTGCTTGCCAACGCGGTCCGGGAAACCGAGCAAATCGGGGTCTACAACACGTTTGGACGGGTGTTTCTGAACTACGAGCCGAAGGAGTTCGGGTTTTTATCTTCTTCGAGTACTTCTACGGGTGCAAATGGCGAGGAGAGCAACTTGTTCGCGTACGACGCGGAGTCCGGGCCGACGCCGGTCCCGATGCGGTCTTTGGTCCGGAACAATTTTGTCTTCAACGGGAATTACGGGGTCGCGGGCATTGACAACAACGACGGGAGTGCGTATCACCAGGTGGAGAACAACGTTCTCGTGAATTCCGGCGGACTGAAACTGCTAAATGGCCACGACAAACGGTGGCGGGGCAACCTGCTGTTCCCGAAAAGAAGCGTCGGTTTAGTTGTCCCCGAGGTGGCAGCTGTTGGAGTTGAAACGAAACCCGACGTGAAGCTAATTCCCTGTGTCGGCGGGGGCCCTAGTACTATTGATCCACTCCGCTCGACTGCTGGTTCTGACGGAGCATTAATACCGAGCGACTGCGCAAAGGCGGACTCGAAACACCGGTCGTCGTTTGTGGAGAATCTGTGCGTGACCGACAATGTCGAACGAGACGCTGGGCTGTTGGGACATCAAGATCCTGGGACGACCACGACGGGACGTGAAAACGCAATTCAATCCGTCGATGTCGGGTCGTCGGACCAGGTCTGCGATTATTTTCATAGCACGACAGGAACAAATTCAGATTCTTCATTTTGCGGCAAGAACCAGTATGACACTGTGCGGACCAAGATCCAGATCGGGGCTCTCGAGGTCCACACGTCGGCCGCGACGGAAGGAATTCGGGCGGCGGGGGCCCAGAGCTCGCTGAACGCGGTTCCGGTCGTCGACGTCGCAGCGGGAACCGCCGCTGGCCAGTATTGCAATGAAAAATGCCCCCACCCCATATGAAAACGCAAATTTGTGATGCAGATTTGTGGTCACGAATCACCTTTATCATGCTACAAGGGAAATAAAGATGCGGACTGTAGTACTGGGTTGCGTGGGAAAGCTTTGCATATTCAGCATGAGAGGAGGCAGCTGGAAGTGAAAAACAGCATGACAAATCGCCTGCAAACGAGGCCATAGCTGCGGCCCTTGGCTGTGTAGCAATACAAGTCGATTTGTGTACTCAAATACAGCATCACAAATTTCGTTTTCGAAATGGGGAAGGGGGATTTTTCCTTTTGATAGCCAGACGGACGGGGCGAGTGGCTACGCCGTGCCCGAAAATTCAGACTCGGACGGTGGTGGGCAGGCCGTCGGGGTGGCGCCGAACGAGGCGCCGAAGGATGAAGCGGGGGAGGACGAGCAGGGGTGTTGTAGGTGAAAAAATTGTTTTTTTGGTTTTCGCAGCTTGAAGTTGCGGTCAATTGATTTTTCGGGTAATAGTATTTTGCTTCGATCAAGTTCAAGATCATTTGAATTTCAAGGAAGTAATGTATGCCCCTCAGCAAGCATATCCTGTTTCAAGAATGATATTTGTTCCCAACCCTTGAGAATATATCACCCCAAGACAAAGTCAAAGCATATCCTGTCTCATCTGGTCTACCCAACACCTTATTTGCTTACTACCCGATTTTGATTTTCTGCGTCGATTAGATACTCACTTGTTGAAGGAGATGGATGCCTTTGCAACTTCGAGTACTATATGAACCGCTGCAACCCCTATGACAAACACAAAACGCCAGACTTTTTTGATTTTGAGAATCCCGCTGATCGTTTCATATTCATATGACCAGTGGCCGTGGCCGCATTAGTTTCTGCAAGAAGTCACCTGGTCTATTTCAGTTGTTCAGAAGTGGTTATGAAGCCGTAAAATCGTTTTCATCAGAATTATGCGCACGACGCAGTGTAATAAAAATCGGAACGCAGCTTGCGCTTGGCTGTGAATCAATTCGGTTGCCTTCGTCTGTCAGCCTTCGCTTCGATCGGTCTGCTGTCGAAAAATTTCGTTCGGACGTACGGCACGTGATACCTTCGTGAACTCGTTTGGAACAAAAGAAACTCTAACTTTTTTGCGAAATCGTACGTCGCATCGTAATTTTTCCAAGGCATGACACAATCAATTTCACACGAAGAAGTACTCGTGTTCCATTGTTTCGCATTTTCAACCCGCAATTCCATGTCCCCCCCTTTGCCCCTTCGTGTTTGCCCATTAAATTTGATGACTCTGTTTCGTAAAAATTTTCGCATCTTCGCTCACTCCATTTTAGGGAATCGAATCGGAAAAGTTTTTTCCAAAACAAACCACCAAACTCTCAAAATGGCGAAGATGATGAAGATGATGAAGGCCGCCGAGCCGGCCCCGGCGATGAAGAAGATGATGAAGATGTCCATGAAGATGAAGATGATGTCCATGAAGAAGAAGTAAGCACGCAGCTGCTACTTCGGGATGACATTAATCTGAGAAGTCTTATGGAAAATAAGCAAGTAGTCTAGCGCTCCTGGTTGTGGTGTATCTCTACAGTGGTCGAGCGCATGCTAGACGTAAATACTTTTCTTGATGGCACGGATCTCATTTATGTAGGTACGCTACAGAATGTTTAAAGTGACCTTGGGAAAAGAATAAGAAAATGTAAAATTACTTAGTACAAGTCGACGCCTTCTTCTGCGAAGAGGTCGTGTGTGCTTGCAGTGGCTTTTGCCAAGTACCACTTGTTGTGCCTGGTTTGCGTGGCATCCCCAAATCGTTGTCGTACAGTCGTTAGAGCAGGAGGCAGGTTGGATGGAATGAATCTGCAATTCGGTTGGCTATGGACTTTTATGTCGTCTGTGATCTCGTTTCGTTCGGTTTTTCGGAGATTTTCGTTCGGACATGAAGATTTGACGTTCATCTTCCAGCAGTGCAGTGCTGTTTGAAAGCTCGTTCTGCTTCTGACGAAGAAACGGTTTGCCAAAAAAAATCTCCGAAATTCCATCTCTACCTGCAGCACTGCGATTCAGTTCTTTATTCCCAAAGAACCCTTTTTGAAGACACGTATTCAAGTACTACTCAACCTTGAACTAGATCCCCCCTTCGCTTAAACTCTATCATGACGTCATTTCCAACTTCTTGAATTTCGATTTTTAAATTTCGAAGACCGAAAGCATTTTTTACTTTTGTCCACGGTTCTCATCAAAACAACTGTAACGCAAAATAATCTTCTTCGTTTACACGAAACACCCACCTAAGTATGAAATAAACCACTTATACTTCATTTTCACAAAACTGTTTTCCCACGAGTTTCGACGTACTCACATCAATTTTCCACTCAATCATCATGCAAGGAGCTGCTGCTACATCTTCGAAATCGGTGGGCTTTTTAACCACCAAACGGGGTTCTTTTATCTCTTGCAGGGGGGTGTGGATGGCACGTGCGGGCGTGATTGCCCTATTGAACCTCGTGCCGGGTGGCTGGACTGGCGAGTTGTGCCTTCCGGTGCTGGGAAAGAAGAGGGCGAAGAAGAACCAGAAGCAGGCGGTCTCTAGCGCTTGGGACGAGGCCCTCATGAACGGTGGGGGCGGAACTTCCCTGTCAGCCTGTATCCCATACAGAAAAGTAGTCATGTAGCACCCATAGTACCAAGAAAAAATCAGTAGACTTTGGCTGATGCACAGGAAATGCTGAATCGCAAGAGGGACAAAGATCTGTCATGCGGTCAAAGCATACTGGAGATTCATTGTATGTAATGCGGAGGAGTAACGACCAGGGAGTCCAGAAGATTTGTGACACTGAACACAGGAAGGCTGTTCAACTGTATCATTGCAAAGAGAATCTAATATCATTGTGCTATGTGTAGTGTGTGTTGTTCTGTAGGATAGCTTTGTCCCGACGAAAGCCAGCCGGCCGTGATATTAATCGTCATGCAGCCGAATCGGGAACCAAAGCGAAAAAGCAGCACCAGCAACGTGGGTCGTCGAACGAAAAGGAACCGGGTGTGCCTGCTGGCGTCCAACACGAGCATCCAACGGAGCATGACGGGCTCGAGCAGCCGAGTGCGATAAACACCTCCAGTGAAGACGACACGACCATGAATTTTCTCCCTGCCGATGATTCCTCCGCCTCGTACCTGGAGAAGGCCGCGGCACCCGCTACAACTACAGCTGGGTCCCAGCGACGACCCGCAGATATGAAACCGCAATGCTCCCCTTCTCCCTCATTTTTTTTTTATGTGGAAAGTGAAAATAATTATACGACCAACAAGTGCAACTGCAAACTGCAAGTAATCACCACCTCTATTCTTTTTCTTTACCTTCTGATCGTGATCCGTTGTGCATGAAAACGAGGAAGAAGGAAGCCCTTCTTGTCGTGCAGAAGCTTGTGTTGTTATCGCCAAACCAGTTATGTGACGTTGCAGTATGCACCTGTAGTTCCTGCATGTCAAGAAACAGCAACTCGAGGAGAAGGACGAGTTGTGCACGCTGATACGACAATCACGACGTCGGCTGTTCTCTGATACTCAGCCGCTGAGTATGAACAACGGGGAACAAAGTGAAGAGACCGCAGATTCCACTGCGGTAGTACCGGACACTACTTCTACTACACGATCAGCGGAGAAGATGAAACGCGACCCCGCGGGGGGCTGTTCTTCGTTCCCGGGGTGCGGCGAGGACGAGGATGAGGAGAAGGACAAGGAACACCAAGCAGCAGCAGCAGAGCAGGTTGAGCAGCAGCGGCAGGAGCTCCAGAAGCAGCTACAGGAGGAAGAGGCGAAAGTGCGGGCACACTACGAGAAGGAGAGGGAGAGGCTGTACAGCACGTTCTATAAATGGCGAGACGCGGAGGAGGGCCGGGAGCAGGAGCGGGGGCGAGAAATAAACGCTTATGAGCAAAGGCTGCATATCACACAGAGAGAAGCTAGAAATAGCATAGCACATTTAATGCAAGAAGGAATCGACAAATTCTATTCATTGCTAAACTGAAGTTTTTGTTTCATGTGCGGGCCCAGGAGAGCGCCGCGGGGTTTAGGCTCTGCAATGCAGAAGATTTTTTTCTTCGCGCTACCCATATGATATGCTAGCTTTTTTTGTTTTTCTCCGTGATAATGTGAGATCAACAAGCCGCGTCCAACGGGGCACTACAGCGTGTGCAATCGGAACTGCAACAGGCCAAAGCGCAATTATTGAACCAGCGCCAGCAGTCAGTCAGCGTGGACGATCTGAAAGTGACGCAGCGTCGGGAGCTAGCGTTACAGAAGACACAACTAGATGAAAAAATCGCGGACGAAAACAGAATGTATCGGGATTCACTTGCCGCTCTGGAAGACCCAGAAATGAAGGACGTAAGGAAAGACACAGCGCTCGCCTTGCTCGAAAATGCGATTAAGAAGCAAGAAGACGAGAACAAAAAGCTCCGGGACGAGCAACTGGGGCTCATTGCCGAGCTCCACGCGCTTCAGGAAAGCAAACAGTCGGCAGTTCGGAAGCTGTACGAGGAGCAGCGCACGGAACTGGACAAGCAAAATGCCGACAACCAGAAGCTCTGGGACCAGTTCGAGCAGCAGCGCCTCGCCAGCCAACAGGCCTGGGACGCCAAGAAGAAGCAGCTCGAAGAGCGGATCCGGGCGAAGGATGCCATAATCCGGGAGCTGCTGCAGCCGAATCCGGCTCCGCCAGCATCCATTCCCGCTGCAGCTGCGCAGACGCCAAACCGTCCGGCTCCGCGCGAGGCTGCTCCCAGCCAAGCAATGCATTCACAACCAGGGAGGAAGAGGATGAATGGTTCGGAGGGCCCGGGACAGATTGGTCAGCATTCTTCGTTCTTGGGGTGCAGCGAGGACGAGGATGAGGAGGAGAAGGACAAGAAAGAGAAACACGAACCGGGTTCGCAAGCGACGCAAGCGTCCCAGCAGGTTCTTGCGGCGCAACAGGCAGCAGAGCGAGAGGAGCAGCTGCAGAAGCAGCTACAGGAAGAAGAGGCGAAAATGCGGGCACACTACGAGCAAGAAAAGGACAGGCTGTACAGCACGTACGACGAATGGCAAGAAAAGGAGAAAGGCCGGGAGCAGGAGCGGCAGCGAGAAAAAGAGCAGCACGACCGGGAGCTGGAAGCGGCAACGAACAAAATCAAGCTGGACGGGCGCGAATTTCACGAACTAATGACTGAGTACCAAAAAGTCCTTGAGCAGGTCAAGGGGCTGAGGACCGAGAAGGCACGGCTCGAGGGGAAGGTCGGTGAAAAGGACCACCAAATCTTCCTGGCGTTGAAGCAGCAACGAGACGCCGACCAGGAGTTGAGGACGCAGTTCGAGGGGCAGCTCCGTAAAAAGGACGAGCAAATCCAGAAGCTTGAGCAGCAGCAGCGTCAGCCACAAACGGTTCCGCCAGCATCCCCCGCACAGCAGCGTCAGCCACAAACGGTTCCGCCAGCACCCCGCGCGGCTGGGCCCTTCCCATCAATGGATCGCACACAAGGAATGTTGTGGGGAGGTCTTCCTGGAGACCAGGGGGGGCAGGCGACAACGATTAACCCGGCCCCCCTGCAGCGGGGCCAGGGGGCTCCTCAGCAACGACAGCGCTTTGGAGGTGCTCCTATTTCAGAACCCGGCTCGAATCGTGGGGGGCAACCGCCGATGCAACCCGGGGCCAACGGTCAAGGACCAAGGACCGGATTTTCTCTTTAGGCCGGTGCGTAAGGCGCCAAGTCAAGACGTTCACTGCACCCGCTGACCATCTGAACGAAAAACTACGACTGCTTGCTTGCTGGCTTTATCCTTCCTTATTCTTCAACGCGCTTTTTTCTCCGTGTCTCATCCCATGCTCCACCCCAAATTTTACACTAAGAACGAAAACACAAGTACAGCTACAGCAGTGTGCTAGGTTCTTCACATACATTTTTACTGTGCGATGCGCCAATATTTCTCTAACTACTTACAACAAGCGTGACCGATTTTTCAAAAGTAAGTACGTCGCAGCTCCCGTGCCGGTGGACGATCCAAAATCGAAAAAGTAAAACAGCCTGCTCTCCAGGCCTCCAAAACTGTTTCTGTCTGCCTACCCTCCACGCGCTTTGTTCTCCAGGTCTCATCCCATGCTAGATCCCACACTAGGACCGAACACACAGTAGTAAGATATTGGTGTGCTAGTTTTTATATATACGTTTGTATAACATTTTCATTTTTTACTTGCGCAATTTCGCTGTATATTGCTACAACAAGCGCCACCGAAAGTATAAGTAAGTTAGTACGTTGCAGCTCCCCCCGTGCCGGTGGACGATCCAAAATCGAGCTTGTAGTGGCTTTTGCGAAGTGCCACTTGTGCTTGGTTTACGTAGCATTCCCAAATGGTTGTCGTTACAGTCGTTAGAGCAGAAGGCAGGTTGGATGGAATGAGTCTGCAATTCGGTTGCCAACGGACTTTATGTCGTCTGTAATCTCGTTTCGTTCGGTTTTGCTGAGATTTTCGTTCGGCCTTGATTTGACGTTCCTCCAGCAGTGCAGTCGTGTTTGAAATGACGAAGAGACGGCTTGCCAGAATAACTTAAACTTCCGAAATGCCATCTCCACCTACAGCACTGCGGTTCAGTCCTTTATTCCCAAAGAACCCTTCTTCGAAACACGTATTACAGTACTAAGTAAACAACTTCGAACTACTAGATCCCCCCTCCGCTCAAACTGCATCAACACGTCATTTTCAACTTCTTGAACTTCGATTTTTAAATTTCAAAGACCGAAAGGATTTTTTTACTTTTGTCCACTTTTCTAATCAAAACTGTAACGCAAAGTAAGCCCTTGATCTTCTTTGTTTACACAAATCAACCACCACCTATGAATCAAACCCCTTAATAACCTCTCCTTCACATCAAAACTGTTTTTCCACGATTTCCGACGTACTCACAAGTTTCCACTCGATCAACATGCAAGGAGCTGCTGCTATGTCTTCGAAATCGGTGGGTTTTTTATCCACCAAACGGGGTTCTTGTATCTCTTGCAGAGGCGTGTGGACTGCATGGGCGGGCGTAATTTCCCTAGTGAACCTCGTGCCGCGCAGCTGGACTGGCGAGTTATGCCTTCCAGTGCTGGGAAAGAAGAGGGCGAAGAAGAACCAGAAGCAGGCGGTCTCTAGCGTTTGGGACGAGGCACTCATGAACGGTGGCGGCGGAACTTCCTTGTCAGCTTTTATCCCATAGATACAGAAAAGTAGTGTAACACCCATAGATGAAGCACCAGAAAAAGTAAGTAGACTTTTGCTGCAGTAGTTTTTCTGGCACAAAAAATGCAGATCTGCAAGTAGAGACACACAGACTCGTCATGCGGCGAAACAATGGAGATTGTCATTGTTGTATGTCAGGCGGATGAGTAACGGCCAGAGAGGTATCAACTAGAAGATTTGTGATGCTGAACCCAGGAAGGTTGCTCAACTGCAACAGCATCACAAATGTTTTCCGATATGGTACTACGTGCGCTGTGCTTTTCTGTAGGATAGCTTTGTCGCGACGAAAGCCAGCCGGCCGCGATCACGCAGCCGACTCGGGAATCAAAGCGAAAAAGCAGCACCAGCAACGTGGGAGGTCGAACGACAAGGAATCCGCTGTGCCTGGCGGCGCTCAAACCAAGCATGACGGGTCCGAGTTGCCCAGTGCGATAAACACCTCCGGTGAGGACGACACGACCATGAATTTTCTCCCTGCCGATGATTCCCTGCCTGCTTCGTCACTGGAAAAGGCGGCAACCGCTACAGCTGGGACCCAGCAACGACCTGGAGATATGAGACTGCAATGCTGCTCCCCTTCTCCTTCATCTTGTTGTGGAAAGTGAAATAAGTATACTTGATTGAACGACGAAGACGAACTGGTGCATGTCACGACCTCTATTCTTTACCTTCTGATCGTGATCCGTTGTCGTGCATGAAAACGAGCCCTTCTTGTCGTGCAGAAGCTGGTGTCCTTATCGCCAAACCAGTTATGTATGATGTGACATTGCAGTATACACCTGGAGTTGCATGTCAGGAAACAGTAACTCGGGGAGAGGGAGGACGAGTTGTGCACGCTGATACGACAACCAGGACGTCGGCTGAGTACGAACAACGGGGAACAAAGTGAAGAGGCCGCACCATTCACTGCGGTTCCAGGAACTACTTCTACACGACAAGCGGAGATGAAACGCGACTCCGCGGGGGGCTGTTCTTCGTTCCTGGGGTGCAGCGAGGACGAGGAGAAGGACAAGGAACACCAACCGGGTTCGCAAGCGACGCAAGCGTCCCAGCAGGTTGTGGCGCAGCAGGCAGCAGAGCGGGATGCGCAGCTGCAGAAGCAGCTACAGGACGAAGAGGCGAAAATTCGGGCACACTACGAGCAAGAGAGCAACAAGCTGCACAGCTCGTACAACAAATGGCAAGAAGAGGAGAAGGGCCGGGAGGAGGAGCGGCAGCGAGAAAAAGCCCAGTACGACCAGGATCTGGAGGCGGAAAAGAAGAAAAGCGAACAGTACGCGACCCGGAATCGGGACCTAACTACTGAGAACCAAAAACTCCTTGGCATGCTCAGGCATACCCAAGAAGCCGTGGACCAGGCCAAGGGGGTGAAGGTGAAGGAGCAAGAAATCGTGGCGTTGAAGAAGGAGCAAGACGCCGAGAGGACGCGTTTCGAGGCGCGGCAGCAGCGAGACGCGAACATTATCCAGGCGTTGCAGCACGACCTGCAGCAGCTGCAGCCGCCGCCGCAGCAGCAGCAGCAGCACCAACAACCCGCGGCTGGGCTTTTCGCAGACGCGGGGCTTGCTTGGCAGCAGGTGGCAGCGATGCATCTCCCCGGGATGGACGCGGGCCAGGGTCCTCCTCTACAACCGCCGGGGGACGACGTGGGACGCGCAAGACGCCGGGAGTGGGTTTAGGCTGGTGCTTAAGGGGGCGCCAAGTGGAGACGTTCACTACACCAGCTGAGTTCCTGAATGAATGACCTCGACTGCTTGCTTGCTTGCTGGCTTTATCCTTCCTTACTGTTAAGCGCGCTTTTTTCTCCATGTCTCATCCCATACTCCCTCCGAAATTTCACACTCAGAACGAAAATACAATTACAGCAGTGTGCTAGTTTCTTTACATTTTTACTTTGCGACGCGCAATATTTCTGTAAGAGTAAGCATTTTTCTAACTACAACAAGCGTGACCAATTTCTCAAAAGTATAAGTACGTTGCAGCTCCTCCCGTGCCGGTGGACGATCCAAAATCGATAAAGTAAAAAAGCCTGCTCCCCATGCCTCAAAAACTGGTCCCTCATCCACGATGAACAGCCAGCTTCTTCGCGATGGCACTCATCTGAGTCATACGGAATAAATATATAAAAACAAGGCTAGCGCTCTTGGTTGTGGTTTACCTCCGCAGTGGTCGAGCGCGTGCTCTCAAAGGTAGTTGTACAGTAGTTGCACGAAACTCATTTTTCATCAAGGCGCGCTAAAGAATGTTTCAAATGACCCAGACAAATAAAGAAAAAAAAACCGGAAAGTTCTCGCTTTCGATGTGCCGCTTGTGGCTGTATCTTTCTTGTTCAGTCCTACCTTCGTACAAGTAGCAGACCGAATCGGTCGAGTTTTTCTCCGGTTATGAAACCAGAACTATTGATTGTCGTGCTTTTTGGATTCGGTTTGGTTTTTTCCAGGATTTTTATTTTTTGCTACCTCGAAGTCGAACTTCAGTCTTTGTCTTCAAGATCGGTACTACTACCATATATTTGTCGTTCTCTGTGAGTCTCACACGACTTGTTACCTCTGTCGGTCCGTACACCTTTTTATGCGTCCTTTTTCAATCTCGTGCGCCGACTAATCGGTATGCAAAGAATTATACTCCGGACGCGGCAAAAAAATCGTTCATCATCTTTTCGTCCAAACAAAACTGCTCGACATTGAAGAAATCGTTTCCATAAATGGCGCAACAGGAACCCATTTGATTGCCCCCCTTTCGAGTTCTGACCCCCACAACCAAAATGATACCTGTAAAAATCCCGTTCCTTTGAATTCCACCAAATATGCTACTTTACAACTACATTACGCAATACCCGCTTTCCATTAAGTACTTCCTCTCTGTTTAATGCGCCGCTCTGAATTCGATACTGCCTTTATGTTGCACGCACGTGACGAAACATTCATATTGCAAATGTTGTAAATTTATCATTTGAGTCAGGGTCGCCGAGAAAAACAACCCCGGCGCAGGAGGCAATTACGAGGAGCCGCTGGGTGGACGTCGACCACACTATGCGGCGCCTGCGTCACGAGCCGCAGGCGCGCATTGTCGTGCAGGTGCTGAATGACGAGGTGCCTAACGTGGAGTCTGCGAATGGGGTCTACGAAATCGACCTGCTCAACTACTTTGACGACATCGAGCGCTTTCGCAACCGCGACAAACGGTTCCCCTCCTTCTGCCGCCCGTTCGTCGGGGAGATCGAGGAGCAACCCGATTTCGATCGACATCATAGTCAGCGCGGTGGAGTTGTCACGTCCTCTGGAGCAGTCGCGTTACATCAAATACCACCTCATCAGCAGCAGCCGCATGCCCCGGCGCACAGAAATAGCGGTGGTGGCAAAAACGGCGACCGACTCCCGCACGCGCGAAACCAGGCCGCGGGCTTTCGGGGCCGGGACATATCCGAGGCGGACGTCAGTATTGTTGAGGTGTTTGAACACAAGTCGCCGGCCATTTCTACTTTCCGCCACGACGACTACACTTTCAACAGTTTGCACATGGCGGGATTAGTACAGCAACCCGGGGCGCCGGGTGGTAATATGCACAACAACAGCAGCACCTTAGGTGGAGTAGGACCGCTGCTGGACAACGACGGGCGCAGCACGATCAGCGACACGTCGTCCGTGGTGAACACGAATTTCGTCCGGGAACTGCCAACCCGCCCGTTTTTGGATTTGCCCGCGCCGCCACGAACGAAGCGGAAACTGAAACTCCCCAACCCGGGCGGGGCGTTCGGGAGCCACGCGTCCAGAAACGCGAGGCATCCGGGGACGAGTCCGAGCAACACGGCCGTCGGGTTCATCGAGGCGGTGGACGAAGAGGAGGTGGAGGGTGAGAATTTTGGAAGCAGTACTACCGCTAGCCACGGAGGTCCTCTTCGGGGAACTACAACTACGTCCCACCAGATGCGATACGTGGGATCTGACGGGTACGTGTACAGTTCGCGGGCGAGCTACTTGCTGGAGACCTTGACTCCAGAGGAGACGAAGTACGTGATCTCGCTGGAACTCGGCTACAAAGTCTGGAAATCCGGTTTCATACCCACGCATTTAATGGAACTGATCGCGGTGACCGACCAGTCCGCGCTGCACGCGGCCGAGTTTCGCAGCAAAGCAGCGAGCAACCCCCACCGAACCGTCGGCCGGGGGTCCAGTTCGCGCATGCGGGTGAAAGAGATCGTTGGAACCACCACTTCGGGTGGTGCTGGGACGAACAATAAAGACCATAGCATTCCGTCCAGAGGACAACAACATCAAGCGTCGAAACTGAAGTCTTCAAGTCAACAAGCGCCAAAATCAAACACGAATCCGAAGCATCAATTCAATCCCCCGGTGTACGGGTCTAACGTGGGGGAGGAGACCGCTCGGGTGCGGAGAATGCTGGGACCGGAATTCCTGGGATCTTCGACGTCCCAGCAACCACAGCCGTCGAATACAACAATTCCGGAGCAGTCAGAGCTCGAGTCACCGCCCTCGTTGATCTCCAATAGCAACGTCACTTTCTCTCGAACCTACGAACAACAGCTGGAGAAGCAACAGAAATCGGTGTCGGAACTTTTGGAGTACGCAAGAGCGACGAGATGGAACGCGCTAGGAAAACTGGGGATCTCGCAGTCCGGCGTGCTCGAGACCAACGACTCGGCGTACCCGATCTTTCAGGAGGGAGTCAGAGCCGTTTGCGATAAGGACGGAGACCAGTTGGTCGTGTTCGTTGCGGAGCAGGCGGTTATGTCGGTAATAGTACAACAACAGCAACAGACGAGCAACGGGAATAATATGCTGACGTCGCACAGCATCGACGAGAACTTAACGCAGAACTTTTTCACCAACAACACGTCGAATCTCGGGTTTTTGGATTTCACGGGCGACGTGCCGAACTGCAAGTCCTGGCGGTTCGACCTGTCGTCCGAGGACAGCACGCGGCACGCGCTGCGCATGCTGGAGTTTCTGGCCCGGCACCCGCGACTGGAACAAGGACAGATTTTCCTGGGCAACAGTACCGCGCGGTCGTTGCTGCCCGAGGCGAAGCTGATGGGCCACACGCTGTACCGGCAGGAGGACCGGGACGAGGTGGTCTTCTCGGACGACGAGGAGGACCAGACGACCATGCTCACGCTGCGCCCCAAAGCGAAAAAAGCGGGGAAGATCGTGAGCAGGTCGGTCGCCAGTTTGGAGGTGATTCTGTTTGTCTCCTTACCCAGATACTACAGCAAAGGGGAGATGATGATGGGGAAAAATACCAACGCTCCTGGAAATGTTGTAAACAGTGTTAGCCAACATCCCCACAACAAATCCACGCCGATTCAGAAGGAACTGCTGAAGACCGTCCGGTCGCTGCAGCACGCGCGGGAGATTGTGTACGGCATGAGCGACAGTGATTTGAATGCAGTGGACCGCAAGGGGAACAACTTGATCCTGAAGGCCTGGCAGACGCTGACCCAGTTCCCGCAGCGGCAAGAAGTGATCACGCAGGCGGTTTTGGAGCAGTGCCCGCGGTTCAAATTGGTTTCCAACGTGGATTCGGAAGACGGAAAAACCCTGCTGCACATCGCGGTCGCGAACGGGTGGGGGGAGGTGGTCATGCGCTTACTCTCCGGCGCGAAGCACGACTGGGCGATGACGAGCAACTTTGTGACCCCGCAGTTCCCCCCGGTGTTTCTCTCCCAAACCCGCGACGTGTTCGACAAACGGGGGAACAGCTGCTTTCTCGACGCCATCGAGCACAACGACGGCCGGATGGTGGCTCTGCTCTTGAAGTTCGCCATGGAAGCGCCGGAACGGAAGCACGGGTGGCGCACGATTCCGACCAGTCCCCCGGAACAGGTGGACGCAGAAGTGCTCAAACTGCAGATGAAACATCAGCTGACGAATACAAGCGGCGATCTCCACTCCGAGATCAGTTCCGTGGACGTGGCCAACATCGACCGGTACTACCACAAGAAGAAGCTGCAGGACATCAACGCGGCGGCGGACTTATCCTGTGCAAAAGTATCGTACTAGTATAGATTGCATGACAAATTGAAATTCCCTCAGCATGAGAAATATAATTTGCAATGCGGATTTACCTTGAGAAAAAAATTTGTAATGCAGGATTGCAATTAGAATTACTACGAGTGCGATACTTTTGCAGTTCATAGGACTACCACGGGGAGGTCTCGGACTTAGAGGACTCGCAGAACCGCGACAGTCAGGGCCACCCGATCGAGTTCCCTTTGCTGGAGCACGCGGCCCGGAGCGGTCACAGCGCGCTGATGCACGCGATCTACAAGCGCCGCGAGGGCGTGGTGCTGAAGATTCTGACGGAGATTTGCCTCCTGATCAAGCGCTGCTCGGTCAACAACTGGCAGTACAACGGCGTGAGGGTGGTCGCGAAGGAGCACAGCCGGTATTCCCCCGAATACTGTCCCCCGGGGTCCGCGAGCTTCCCCTCCGGCGGTGGACTTGTCAATGCCGTCGGAAGTGGAGCTGGTGGTCCTCACAGCGTCAATATCGGACCGTCAATTGTTCCGCAGTACTCCCGCGTGCCGCCGAACGGGGGGCCAGAGACTTTATACAACGACACGCTGCAGAATGAGCGGTCGTACAAGTGGCCGAATTTGAACGAGCGGTCGCAACACGAGAGGGCCATGCGGGAACAGAACAAAAACGGTCAGCGAGGTAGTAGCTTTGGCAACAACAACTACCCGGGTGGAGCACATCAACGAAGACAGAAGCACAGCGACGAGCTGTACAACATGTCGCCGGGGCAACTGGCGCACAACTCGGTCCAGTCCGGCCCGCAGCACGTGGTCACGAGTCACCCCGTGTTTGAACACAACCGACGGGTGTACAAGAAAAACCCGATCACCGGGAAGTTGGTCCCGTTAAATCAAAGCTCTCTCGTCACCTCCGCGGTGCTGCAGGTCACAGAACCCGGGTTCGATGACCCGCGGGTGACCGAAGATTTCTCGGAGTTGCTCGTCTGTCCGAAAGAGACCGATCCCGCGGTGTACCGGAAATTGCTCTTTGATCTACTGAATTTCCGCGACCAGGACGGCCGGACGTTGTTGTCCGCGGCGTGCTCCATGGGACTCACACGGATTGTCGAGGTGTTACTTGGCGAATTGGACGAGTCCCGCAGCTACAACAGCAACGGAGGAGTGATACTGTCCAACGCGCTCGCGGCCGCAGCGGGAGGAGACAAGAATGATGATCTTCAGGGTGGAAACCATGACCACAGTAACATCAAAATTCGGTTGACGTCGCTGCTCCGGCCCTGCGGGTTTCTGTTCACGGATGATAATGTGAATGCCGTGGATTTGTTCGGGAAAAACGCGTTGCACTACGCGATTGCGCGGAAAGAGTACGAGATCTGCAACCTCTTGTTCTTCTCCCGCCGGTTTCGAGCCTACAATGACCCGGAGATCGCCCGGTTTTTCGCGGAGCGGCACCACAAGGACATCGTCCCGCTGATTCCGCGATTGCTGGCGAACCTGGAGAAGAGAGCGCTGCAGCAGCACAAGGAGGAGAGGAAAGCGCGGGAGAGGATGTTCAAACAGCAGGTGTTCGGCGCTCCTGGAGGTGGCGGCGGGGTAGAGAAAAGTAGAACTACTTCTACTCGGAATTATCCAAATTCACCTTCCCGAAATCCGCCGCAGCAGCTCTCCAATCATGGCGGATCGACGAGCAGCAGCCACGGAGGGCTGATTGAGCACATTGGAAGTAGACGCGTTGGGCCGCCGGCTGAATACATCGGAGACGACGAGGACGAGGACGACGAACGGCTCGACGAGGACGATGGTGAAATGAGTCCGAATGATGATGAAAACAATTACGATGAGATCGTCGCGGAAGATAGCGACGCGTTTCTGGAAGAATTGAACCGCCCGGTAGAGGAAACAAGGAACAAATCTCGGAGGTCTTCGGGGACGACGAGTAGAAAAAGCAATTCTAGAAATAAACAACAAGAAAGCATGTTGCATTCCGTCCCGCAGAACAACTTCCACCAGGCCCGGCCCGCGAACCCCGCGCAGCCGGGGCAGCGCCCGCGCCCGCCCGTCATGGCGGACTTTGCGCCCGCGCAAGGGGCAGGGCCCACAGAAAGTAACAAGCCGGGACCTCCCCAAGACGATGATGAGCAGATTACCTCCGCTCCGGTTTCCCCTATTGCGAAACGGCAGGAGGACGATTTCCGGAAGATGCTCACCCCGAAGGGCGGCAGCAACCATCGGGTGTTCAAAGGCGGTGAAATTCTCGACCCGCCGACAAGTAGAAGAAACTACACGCGCGATAGAGCAGAAGATGAAAGTGCTCCCTTCGAGCCGATCCAGGTGCTCCATGGCGACGATCTGGAGGTGGATCCCGCAGGGTCCACTTCCTCCGGTTCCAACTCCGGGCGGAGACCACACGACCATGGCGCTTCTGCAAGAGGGCGCCGGAGGAACAACAACAATCTCACCCCGGTGCGGGAAAAATCTTCAAGGGGCGAACAAATTATACGGGGGCAGAGGCACGAACACGTGGAGTTCGGGGCCACGCGGTCGTCCGTGGACCCGCGCGAAATCACGGAGATTGTCGACGACTACGATGATCATGCCCATGACGGTGAGGGCCGGGGGCGAAGAGGATCCCATCATCGGCGACCGAGTTCTGGCGATAGAGCAGAGCATCATAGGGAAAGACACGGCTCCTCATCGCATCATCACCATCACCACCACCACCACTCTTCTAGGACTCGAACCGGAACACGGTCCCGTACGCACGAGCACGATCTTCCACCAGAAGCTCCTTCTACAACCGGCCCAGACGGCGTAGAGCAGGCTGCTACAATTACCCGTGATAGCGCCAGCTCTCCACCCACGAACAGACACCACAACCCAGCGCAGCAGACGACCAGTAGTTCCAATGCGGACCAAACCTCGTCTAGCTTGACGCTGCCGGCGAGTAGCACGACCGTGTCGATGGACCGGACGTTTAGTGAGCTAAACGTAAATAATAACGGGAATAGCAGTAACGCGTTTCATCCAGAACAATCGCATATGGCCGGGGTGCTTGAGGGCGAAGAGTTTATGGGTCTGGAACAAGTAGGTGGGGATAATAATAGTACAACCAAAGCAACTTCTTCGAGACAGTCCCCCTCGACGACCAGAAACAACAACAAAACTGGTCCTTCTTCCAGTTTGGATTACGGGAAGGAGCTCACGAAGCAGTGGCAGAACCGCTTGGACCGTCGGCCGAGCCAGGATCTGGACAAATACCGGGACTACGAATTGACCATGGGATCGCCGAAATCGCGCGCAACCAGACAGAAAATTGCGCAGGACGAAGCGGAAAGATTGGAGCTGGAACGGAGGGAACGGGAGCAAATGGGCTTGGAGGATGGGGATTTGGAACAAGTCGAGGGGGATCACCACCACGAGATTCCAGCTTCTCGTCCAAGAATATCAACTTCAAGAACACGGCATAGAAGGAGTAGAAAAATTTCCGATGATGTCGAAGATAGTACACACTTGCTCGACGAGCATTCCGTCGACAGAGACTCCTATTGCCTGGAAGGCAGTCACTGCGCCGGCTTCCCGCTCGAGTCGCCCATCGCCCGGATGCACATAGATTTAGGCCGTGAGGAACAGGAGCAAGACAGAAGGAAAAAGAGCCAACAAAGGAGAAATAAGTCGGTGGAAAATTATGAGCGTGAAAACGCCGACGCCGACGACGACTTTTTCGAGCCGCGGATCGAGCACCACCCGATTTTCCAGCGGAAGAGAGACGTGGTTGCCGCAGTGAGAGAGGAGGAAAAGCAGCTTTTCGACCAAAAGTTCGAGCAGGCCGGGTGGAGCAAGTTTGAGGGGGAGTACCGGAAGGCGCACTCGGCGTTGAACGTGCGGATCCCGAGAAGCTCCGCGGACTACGACGAGATCTACCGCATCGACTACGGCGGGGACGTGGTGGAACGGAAGAGCAGCAACCGCATCACCCAGGAGGAAGAGGATCTCGCGAACGGCTACGACGAGGCTGTGGTGTGTTTTACTAACTCCGATGAAAAGGTGAGCAGAAGAGGGCATCATCAGGGTGTAGCAGCTCAACAACATTATCCCCAGAAGATGTCTGAAGGCTTCCTCCGCGCGAAGCAGCAATCGTCTACTTCGCAGCAAATGATGAGCAATGGTCTACTGCTTCAGAATTACGACGCGATGGCGACGTTGAATGAGGAAGACTATGGCAACGATGTTTTGATCGCTAAGAACATGAAACTGAAGAAACTGGTCCCGTATGACAAGAGGAGCGACCAGGTGCACTTGCAGGAAAAGCTAATAGAAAAGCAGCGACTCCGAGCGGCGCAGGAGTTTCTTTCTCCTTCTTTATCCCAACAGGAGAAGGATCTTCTGCTGCCGGTAAGAACCTCCAGGGAGGGCCACGATGATGACCGATTTCAACAGACCTACGACACCGGCGTTTCCTTCCGGTCCTCCTTCAACCGCAGCGGAAGCTCCTCGATGTCGGCGGGGAAGGTGGATGATCAAGACCCCAGTGCGACGACCTCTGCGTCGGTTCGGTTCGCGGATACAAATCAGGGTTTTGCCTCATTTTCCAGTCCCCGCGGGCAAGTGATCCCCGCCGCAAACCCGTTCACCTGCAACCCGAGCGGGTACCAGTACTTGGGGAAAAAGGACGGGCGCGAGTACTACCTGTCCACCTTGAACGACGACCGGGACTACATCATTGCCTCGAGCACCAAGGTATCAAGTGCAAAAATGTCTGGGTCTGGAAGAGTCATGCTGTTTCTGCATGACACAGAAGGTCTGGCATGGAAGCTCTAGCATCACAGGTTTCGAGAAGCTTCCGCAATGCCGAACCAGCATGACAAGTCCCCCACTTTGGTGACAGAAAGTGGGCAGCTTTTGCTACCTATGCATGAGAGATTTTTGTGTGTTCTGAAATGCGCATCACAGGTTACATCCTTTCAGACCCAGACATTTTTGCACTTGATACAAGCCGACCGACGTTGACGCGTACGGGAACAGGTTGGCGGAAGCAACAGAAAACGCGAATAGCATCCGGTACCAGCAGCCACCTACTTCCCCTGGTGTAGTAGCCCGAGGGAATAAAAGTGGTAACAACAGAGCAACAGGTACTTCTAACAGTGCCGAGGTCCTCGGCACATCAGCGCCGAAGGAGCGGACTTTTCTGTTGAAAGCGCATTTAGAGTCTAACGCGTGGGAAGGGAAGAGGTTCTTGGCAAAGGTGAAAGACACGCCAGTAGACCGGTTCGCGGATGAGGAAATTCTTGACGTTGTGCCTGACACGTTGAGGAGTGAGGATCATGGGGGTCTGCTACATAAAGAACAGAGAATATTAGGCTTTTCCGGAGGTAGATCTACTTCGTCACCGACAGCGGCGGGGGGTCAACATCAAATACAGCAGCAGCAGCAGCAAAGCCATTCTCCTTTCGCCGTGTCGAAACAGCTGCAGGCCGCGCTGGGCATGGTCCCCGGAGGAGTGAACTACTCTTCCAGAACAGCACCTCACCAGAAGCACGCGTTGCAAATCACCCAGGCGGACAACATTAAGGCTCTTCTGCACGACGAGTGCGCCCACGTGGAGCGCGCTCTGGCGATCTTGAATAACCCGGACGCGTGGGTGGACCCCAGGTATTCGAGCGAACTTTACAAGAAGGCTCTCGAACAACCCGTCGAGATGTACAGCAGGGCCCACATTGCGGACTACGACGACGACGACTACGCGATGTCCGACGGGGATGCGAATAGCAGTCCGAAGGTGACGAAGCAGTTCGGGAAATACGAGGATTTTGAGGACCCGATGTTTGATAACCTGTTCCAAGACGCCGCGATCGCCCGCACAAGAACCACTTCCAGCCGGGGACAGCACTTCTCTCCGAAGAATTCGTCCGTAAAACAGAAGCAGAAGAACAAGCAAGTGTCGAAGAAACAGGTTCTCCTCGGGGAGTCCCGCTGGCAATACTACGAACCCAACCCGGCCGCGCAGATGAAGTGGCGGCGGCACCCGGACACGGGAAAATTGGTCCCGTTACTGCCGTTCCAGGACGGGTTTGCGGAGGGGGAAAGCAGTTATGTGGATTTGTTTACAGAGAACGGAACGGAGCTGGACAGAATAAGCCCAGAGCAGCACAAGCAGATGCAGAGAAGTTTGTTAGAGGAAAACATCTCCAAGCAAATCAACTGGTTCGCGATGCAAAAGTACGCGCTGAAGCACTCACCAACCATGGAAAACGTGCACGCGATCGAGAAAAGGTTGAAGTTAAAGCAGGACAAGCAGGCGCTAGCGCAGGAAAGGAGCGACTGGGAACAGAAATTACGGGAGAAGGACGAGGAACGAAAGGGAAAGTTAATCGTCACGCAGCAACACCAAATGCTGGGGCAGAAAAGTATAATTTATTTAGCTTGCGTTCATCTTTTGATTTGAAGGTTTGCATCTGCTTCTGGAATTTCTTTCAACATTATCAATGGCATGAGAGGACGACCCGCGGGGCGGTCCATTTTTTACGCATGAGAAGTTCTTTGTTGCGTTCTTTTGATAAACATAATCGTCCTATGTGTTGACCTTAACCTTATTCCTGAGCAAACCTACGCCTACGTCCTGAATTTGAAACAAAATCTTCCAACAGGTGAGCGAAGTTTCGGCGTGGTGCCCACCCACACTCTCCCCGACGCGTTTACCGAGGCGACCTCCACGGGTGCTCCGGACACAAGGAAGGAGGCAGAGGAAAAGTACCGACTGACGGAGGCCAATGTCGTTTCGAAATACGGTGTCGAAAGCCTGGGGAAGCACGTTGGTGGAACAGAGGACGCCGGTTTTGACAAGCCAAAACAACCAGAAGTACTTTTTTCTCACCTGCAAGATTTTTGAAGATGTTGTCGTCTATGACTGCATGATGAACTACAACACCTTGCGAAGAAAATAAGCTAAGCACTCCACTGTAGCAGGCACGTGTATCAATAATGCAGAAACTTCTTGATTCCTCGGAAACTACAATATCCTTATCTCAATAAAATAATCAGGTCTCCACCCTGTCTCGCAACATCGCGAAGCTGTCCCACCGGATTGGCAAGTCGAGTCCGTATTTCAAGGAAAACGAACCGAAGGAAAAAGTGCTAAAGAAGTCCGCCACGCAGGTGATCATGGAGAAAATGGAGCAACAGAGGAAGATCGAGGAAGCCAAGCCGCAGGTGGAGTACAAGACGGAGAAGTTTAACTTCACACTGGCGCTCGCGGGCAAAGTGATCAGCACCACGCAAACCCTCACCACGGAAATCACCGGCACGGCGGCGCCGGGGGTTGCCGGAGCGAGCAGTGTTCCTGGATCTTCACCCTTGAAACAAGGATGAAGAGAGCCTTCATCATAGCCTTAGCATATTAGCTGTACATGTACAACACATTCGCATATGCAAATGTTGACCATGAAAGCATTCACTTACAGCAAAGCATCGCATGCAATGGAATTCATTTTTTTTTTTACGCCATACACATACACTACAGAAGAAAAGAACTCGATTGTACACTAGCATACTGTCCAAGACCTTCTAGGAAGATCCCTTGGAAAAAATACGAGAGATAACACTCTTGTAACCAACAAGCGCCTACCCCACGAACTTTTGCGACATTCTTTCTATTGCCTGCACGATACAATTTGAAACTCGTAGAGAATAACGGGAAAAGCAGTAGTAACTTGTGTTCTGTCGTAGTTCCTCGGCGTCAGGTGTAATTTTTAGCCCTACACCAACATCGTGAAGAACTAGAACTACGATCGGTTTTTGCTTCGGTTTTGTTTTTTGTGGTTTCTTCATTTTTCTTGAATGCTGCACGATGAGATTCAAATCCAAATGCATATGAGTGCGTTTTTTTTTTCAAATTTGTGTGCCGTACTGAAGGACGTCAAAGTAGTCAGTTAGTAGGTTTTATCAGACTCGTTTCATCGTGATTAAATAAAACGGATGCAGTCCTTGACGCCGCCTTTTTCATTTTGGTCCCTTATGTCTCCTACCCACGACAATTTTTGCTTTTCCGCAGGCATCAAACGTGTTTTTTTTTGAACATAATTTGGATTCGCACAGAAAACGGTAAAAATATCATGTTGCAAGCAGCTCGGGCGTTCGGGACAACTGGCGGCCGGGGTCGTGGCGGCCATGGCTATCTTTCACAAAAGTGGACGGGTCGTCTTCCTATTTCGCCCGTGGCCGCTCTGTACAACCAGCACAACTACAGGCCTTTTTCATCTTCTGAGCAATCGGGAGGAGGCTCTAGTAGTAGTTCAGCATCTACTTCGTCAGGTTCGAGCACCACGACACGTCGTCCGCCGAAGATGCAGACCAAGCGGTCGAGTCAGGACCTGATTCGCGCCGTGTCCGAATCGCGCGAAAGCATCCAGCAGTACATTGCGGAGCAGAACGCCCTCCGCGCGGAGACGGACGAGAAGGCCAAGGCCCGGCTGTCCGCCAAGTTCCAGCGCGACTGGACGGAAAAGTGGGGCCGCCGTCCCTTTCAAGTCGTCGCACTGACCTGGACTTCCGGCGCGGCCGCACTCGTGTCCCTGGCCGGCTGGACGCCACTGCACTTGGTGCCGCCGTTTGTGTTCGCGTATATCGGGGTCCGAGACATGTACTCGCACCGAACCATGCAAAGGAACTTCCCCGGGCTCGTGTGGATCCGGTATTGAGTTGTGGACTAGCTGCTGGATAAGTTTTAGCAATAGCAATCTGTAGTTGTGATTTTTCTTTCCCAATCCCACTCTCGAAACTCCTTGGCATCTTCTTCACGTACTACTGCCTGGGCTGCAGTAGACAGATGCTCATCACAAAGGAAAACAATTCATCCACAAACTTCCAGGTATTTCTTCGAATCCATCCGACCGGAAATCCGCCAGTACTTTGTGGAATCCGACCACGAGATGACGCCCTTCGCCCGGAAACACCGCAGCCTGGTGTACCAGCGGGCGAAGACCCGTGGGGAGTCGAACCCCTTCGGGACGCTAAACGACATCTACGCGAGCGGGTACGAGTGGGTGAACCACAGTAATCTCGGTGCGCAGCATTTGGACACGAGAGTCGTCGGTCGGACGGTGATCGGGGAAAACGCGAGAGATGTGGAGCCCTACTCCGTGTCCCGGCTAAACATCAGCGGCATGAGCTACGGCGCGCTCTCCTCCGCCGCGGTGCAGGCGTTGAACAAGGGCGCGAAGATGGGCAACTTCTACCACAACACTGGGGAGGGCAGTATCAGTGACCATCACCGGTTGTATGGCGCGGACGTCGTGTGGAACGTGGGGACTGGGTATTTTGGCTGCCGCGATCTGGCCACCGGCAGGTTCAGCGAGGAAAAGTTTCTGGACTCGTTGGCGAAAACCCCGGGCGTGCGGATGATCGAGCTGAAATTGTCCCAGGGGGCCAAGCCCGGGCACGGCGGGATCATGCCGGCCGCGAAGCTGACGGCCGAGATCGCCGCGATCCGCGGCGTGAAGATGGGCGAGGACTGCGTGTCGCCCCCGTGGCACGCGGAGTTCGTCGGACCGACGGGATTGGTGCAGTTCCTGATGAAGCTGAGAAAATTGTCGAAAAAACCGACCGGTTTCAAACTCTGCGTCGGCAACCGGGTGGAGGCCGCCGCCATCGTGAAGGCGCTGCAGCTATGCCTTGCAAATATGTCTGGGTCTGGAAGGATACAACTTGTGATGTTACGTCTGGACTCTGCATAAAATCTGTATTGCGTGAAGAGCAAAATAGGCCCAATTTTTGCTACGCAGAGAGGGCATTTCTCATGCTGTATGATCATCAGAAAGCCCCCCTCGCAGAATCTGTGATGCTAAGGCATGCATCACAGACATCATGGGTCATGGAAAATATGCATGACAGGCCTGGCAATCTTCCAGACCCAGACATTTTTGCAGCTCATAACAGCTGGAGTTCGCGAAGGGCAACCAGCCGATCGACTTTGTCACCATTGACGGCGGCGAGGGGGGCACCGGTGCGGCGCCGGTGGAATTCTCCGACCGGGTCGGGGCGCCTTTGCGGGACGGCCTGATTTTCATGGACGACTTGCTCACTGGCGCGGGGATCCGGGATGACGTGAAGATCATCGCCAGCGGGAAAATCATGGACGGCTTTTCCATGATTCGGGCACTGTCCCTGGGTGCGGACTATGAACTGCAAAAGTATCGTACTCGTATAAATGCATGACAAATTTCCTCAGCATGAGAGATAAAATTTGTAATGCGGATTTACCTAAAAAAAAGAATTTGTAATGCATGATTGCAATTATACGAGTACGATACTTTTGCACAGGATACGGACGTGTGTAACTCCGCGCGGGGGTTCATGATGTCGCTCGGCTGCATTCAGGCCTTGAAGTGCAACACCAACCACTGTATCAGCTGCAAATATGTCTGGGTCTGAAAGGGTGCAACTTGTCATGTTTAGTCTGTATCATGCAAAAATCTGTGTTGCATGATTACCAAAAAGTGTCCATTTCTGACCAATCTGAGAGTGAGTTTCTCATGCAGGATAGGCATGATACAGATCTCACAGAATCTGTCATGCTAGATCCTGCATTCCAGACCTCATGTGTCGTTTTGAACCTGCATGAGAAGCCTTGTACTCTTCCAGACCCAGACATATTTGCATCTGATACACTGCCCCACTGGCATCACGACGAGCGACCCAACGCTGATCGCCGGATTGGACATTCCGACGAAGGTATCCCACGAAAATAAAACTGTTTCACTGTGGTGATTTTATCGCTTTGGTTTTCTATGATGTGCAAGATCTGCATCACAAGTTTCTTACGCATGACACGGAAGATTTGCCATGCGTGCATTTCCCATATGGAAAAACACGGTTAAAACTCCAATGTTCTCCTATGCAGGTGTAGCAAGACAAACACTTTGGTGCTTCGTTCTCTGCGTCATAAGTTCACAGCGAAACAGTTTTTCCTTGCGATAGAAGGCGGAACGGGTCCGCGCCTACCACGAGAACACGCTGCTCTCCTTCACGGAGTTGCTCGGGGCGACGGGCTGTAGTGATCCCGACCAGCTGCGACGGGTGCACATCATGCGGCGCGGGGTAAGCATGAAGGTGGAAACTTATGCGGAGATCTACCCGGAGTTGGAGAGTGGTTGTTTGCTTGAGGGTGCTGGACCAAAGCAGTTGCAGTACTTCTGGGACTCGGCGGAACTGTTCGGGGGTTTGTCACCGCCGATCGATTCTGAGAACGGGGAGGAGGTCCTGGAGGACGCAGCGAGCCTGCGGAGTTACGCCGAACGGGCTTACAGTCACATGCCGTGACGAGCAGGTGTAGTATTGGAGGTTGCGAGGGTCGTGGGGTGGTTTTTTCAGGGTATGGGTTTGTAGAATTTTTTGATTGCAGTGGTCTAGTTCTCGTCTTTACAGTTTGAATAGTTTCATGATTTGTGTAGTTCAGGATCGCACTTGATGATGTTCCTGAGCGAAGTGTAGAATACGAGCTGGAAAATGAAAAGAATTCTTTCGCGTAGAAAAATGTGTACCTAAATCAGATGCTTTGGCGTTTATAGTTTTTTTTGTGGTAGGATGCCTGCAATGTTAGACAGCATCGGAGCATCAGCACTGATGGTTGGTTTGCGAATTACTGCGTTTTCCCTATGTTCTTTTGCGTTGCAATGCCTGGCATTTTCGCTTCCTACCAGTCGAGTAGCTTGATTTGTTGTCCGAAACAGCTCGAAATGCTGGGGCCCACTTCGCAAATTTCGGTCTGGCGCGTCAGCGATGTCGGGTTTAATAAACTTTAAAACTAGTTGTAGTTGGGCTGAAGTCGGTGAAAAATTAGAATGAGCGCCTGCCTGTGAGCACTGTCGGTCATCTGATACTCAGTCTAATTTCGGTTGTCGTGTGGTAGAATCTCGGCGTGCTGCCTGTCTAGCGGAAGCGCTATTTGTACTCCTTTTCGCCTTGGCGCATTTGGAGAAAAGTACTTGCAAGAAGAGCACAAGTCGTGTGTGCGAAAAACAGGAAAAGCCTAAGGAGCCCCCGCCTCCAGCTTCGTTCAGTAGCTTTTCTGACATAACTCAGGTTTGGTTGTAAAAGTACTAGAGAAAGTAGAAAGCAAAAGTCCTCGCCGCGCTCCTACGTTAGGGCAACACTTCGAGCACGAAGGAAGTGCGCTCCTTGCCAATGAAGACCAACAAAATGCTCGCCACGGCCGCGACCTTCCTGGTTCTTGCCGGCGAAAAATACTCCGGCGGTTATTTTTCTCCGTTGGGAGTGGCGGGAGTGAGCGTGTCCACTCTGGTGCACAACACGAAGAAGAAGCAAGAGCTCAGTGACGCGCCCGATGGTGGAAATGGGCCAGCGGGTGCTGGGGAGAAAACTACGAAAGAAGCTGCTGGTGCTGGTGAGAAAACTACGAAAGAAGCTGGTGGCGAAGAAGCTGCTGGTGAGATGAAAATATACGAAAATGGGCTCTGAGCCTGTGCAGGTGACGGACTGCAGGGACTTGGATGAGAAGGTCGGGTTGTTCAAAAAGATTGTTTATCCTGAGCTTTGTTGGCTTGATATGTATGCCGACATCCGGAAGAAGGCGCAGGAATGCGAGCGCGCAGTTGACAATCAGGGGAACCAATGCTACTTGTGGATAGCCCAAGGCGGCGACGCCACCGATCTATCAAATGTAAAAATGTCTGGGTCTGGAAGAATGCAAGATTTGTGATGCAGGTTTTCCATGACCCATGAGGTCTGGAATGCGAGACCCAGCATGACAGATTTTGTGAGGTCTCTATCATGCCTTTCCTGCATGAGAAACTCCCTCGCAACTTGGTCAAAGGCGGACAGCTCTTGGTACTCACGCAACACAGATTTTTGCATCATTCAGATTTAGCATGACAAGTTCTAACCTTCCAGACCCAGACACTTTTACATTTGATACGATCTGCGCTGCCGCAAAACAGGGGAGGACACGGGTTTGGGTTCGATTGCGATCATCTCAAAAGTAAAAATGTCTGGGTCCTCTGGAAACTTGTGATGCTAGGTGGCGTCTCATGATGAGGCTACAAATGCTGGCTCAGCATGACAAGTTTCTGAGCTCCTCGGTGTTGCCTATTCTGCATAACAAACTGCGCTTCTCCAGGTCCCGGCGTGGTGCTGGGACCCCACGGTGCTGGCCACGTGGGAAGTTCATCCTATCTGCTGGAAGACGGGACTTCCAGCATAAGGCTGGCCGAGCACATCAGTTATGAGTGGCAGTAGTGCTGCGGGCACATAAATAAAATTGCCGGGGGGCACGTCTCGTCTCAAAGATGTTGAAAAGCTGAGAGGAAGCGCACAGCACCCGATCATGGTGCTTCGAGTCCGAACCGTCTGGAAAGGAACAACAAAACAAGGATCCTACTCTTCTGGTAGATTCCAAGCTACAGCTACATGATGCCTTACGCCGAAGACTGAAAGAGCCTATTAGTTCGCATACTATCTACTTTACTTTGACTTTGAGCTACGTCTGCCGTGCTAAACATATTCTCGACAACATGATATAAAGTATGGACTCGGCACAATTTTAATCAAGAAAAACGCAACCAAGTTATCTTTCATACGCCTATCGAGACGCAATGGAGGCGTCACCTTCGTTGCGCCAGTAGTAGCTACTTCTAGCTGCACCTCGTCCGAGGAAATCGAAGCGTCTTCATTTTGGGCTTCCTTGATTTCACTGTAATCAGTAGTACTAGAGACATCGTTTACAATTTTTGAAGTTTGGCATCAAGTTCGCAAGCGCGGCGGAACCATTGTATTTTGAAGCTTTGCGAACAAGATGAATTGCAAACAAAATTTTGAACTCTCGCGATTCTCTTTCTTTTCTAGCCAGCGTAGGGGCTTGCGTTGCTTACAACCGACTGGATTTATTGAGACATAGAAAGATGGAAATAACCCACCGGACTTTCATCGCGACAGGATGTACTATATTGGTCACAAAATGAAAATGATCTTCAAGCATTGCCATCGGCAGCCGATGGCCATCCTTGAAGATCGATCCTGAAACTGAAAGTAGCTGCGCACATCCGCTGAACCTGAAAGTAGAACTATGAAGATCCTGCCTACTTGAGAAGTTGTGTTTGTTTCTACGCCCTTCCATGGTTGTTGGCGCCACGTCATCGAGAGTCTGATGTGCAAAGAGTGAGTTTTCGGACCCATCACACTATGAACAAGGTTGAGCTGAATTAGATGCAAGTAGAGATGATCCAAACTCAGTATTAGTTGTCCTTCAGAAGTTATAAGAACTCGTTTGCGTAGCCGTATGAAAATCCGCTGGCAAGAGCAGTAGACATCAAACCATCTTGTTTATTTGTTTTGCGGGATCGATAGAAGAACAAAGCATTATCATAATGACATCCTCCTGCAAGAACCCACACAGCCTGAAGCCCCCAACAGCCTACGGGATCGACATGAACGTGGTGAAATCCTTTTTCGAGGAGAAAATCCCTTCTAAATACACCGACTTTCCCCGCAGGAACTACCGGCCCCAGCAGGAAGTGAAATCAAAATCCGGAACTTCTGCCACTGCGGGCTTTTTTTCGCGACAGCAGGCGGGCGGCTCCTCCTCCAGCAGCGCCACGACGACCACGTCACAGGCTGGGGCGAGCGGCGTGGCCGGGTCTTCGTCCAAGCCGCTGGCGTCGCCTAATGCGAAGAATTACGTGAAGGCGGAATTCACGCCTAGTCCCAGCCCGCGGACGGACGACGAAAAGGAAACTGCTAATTTGTCGATCTCCAAACCGTCGAGCGCCGCGAGTTTTGTCTTCTCCCCGCAATCTGGGCTGTCGCCGGCGAGTGTGACGAGGTCACCAAGGACGATGGGTGGCGCGCTGGGGTTCAACCAAGCTTCTACTACAGGAGCACGGGACGGCAGTAAGACTTCTTCCCTCGCGTCGAACCCGTTCGCTTCGCCAGCGGGCGGAACGACTGCACAGCCGAGAGGTTCATCCGTGTCGCGGACCGCTTCGCCCTTCACGCCGCGCATGGTGACGATGTCGCCTGAAGTGATGGTTTTGCAGCAATTGCAGAAAGACTTGTCCAAGTGGCATTTGTACCACGAAATGCGGGTATAGTCGGATTTTTTCAGTTCGGAATACCGAATGATAGCTCTTCGCATGCTGTTGTGTGCATTACAAATCGTATTCTTCATGATCACTCGCACATAATAGAAATTCCAACATTATCATCTACAACCCCAGACACGCGGCCTGACCGTGAACGAGAACCAGCTTCCGACTGTGAACGAGCTCGGGGGACAGAATCGGTTGATGGACATGATGAAGAAAGCGTATTGGGACGTGTGCAAAGAGCAGTTACTAGCCGCGGGTGATGATCAAGACCCTGCGTCCGACAGCACTTCCACCGCCGCAAAGAGCACCGGCTTCGACAAGGTTGTCGAGCAGCTGGAGCAGATCATCCACCGCATGGCGAAGTACTTCGAGCGCTCGCCGACGCGGAAACAGAAGTTCCTCCAGGAGGGGGTGGACATTGCTCTGGTGAAGCAAATGATCCGGAACCGCGCTTACGACGCCGAGGCGTTTGGACAAACCTTGCGCCAGCTGGTCTACATGCTATCGCAGCTCGAATCCCCGCACCAAGCGGGAGAGACGAGACGGCACTTTTTTGAAAACGAGGAAACGAAGGTGTTTGAGGTTATACTAGGCGGGAATTCAAATTCATTCAGTGATAAATCATCTACCACTGCTGCACAGACCGCTCAGGTGAGTGAATCCGGTTCATCTTCCACGACTGTTGGGGTCCTGCAGGCGATCGCGACCGACCGCCTCCGGTTCGCGACGGCGGTGGTAGACGCGCTGCGGTACGTGCAACACAAGTTGGACGTGCTGCAGAGCGAAACGGAGAACTTTTACCTCTCCATGCTGCCCCAGGAGGAACGGTTGAAGCTCGAGAAAAACCAGTTCTGGACCATGGTCGCGAAATACCACGGGCACGCCTGGATGCAGGACAAAGCCATGATCGAGTACTTGGCGCAGCAGAAAATAAATTCGTCGCCCACGAAAACGGTGATAACTACAGCATCTACTACGAAAAATGCAGACGAAGGAACAAATTCATCCACAACAACCGGATCGCCCACAAAAGAACCCACTTTCGAGACCCCAGCGCAGCTTCTAGACTACTTGATCGATCAGCTGCTCGCGAAGAACACGCCGGTGACGGACGACGACCTGTTCCTCCCCCTGCGCGTGTCCATGAAACAAATCCATGCCTTGCAGGATTCGTTGCAGTTGTGCTGTCTGCTCGGCGTCGTGGCGTTGACCGTCGTTCCGGTGCTTTCTAGTGGTACTTCTCCTGGCAGTGGTGCGGGAGCTGCAACAGCCACCGCCAGTACAACAACCAGCGCAGGAGCAGGTGGAACCCAAAAATCCTTCACGAAGCAGGAGCTGGATCTGTTTTTCACCGACGTACGGCATTCGTTGATGAAGCAGGACCTTGGCCGCAGTGGTTTTTTCGGGGATCTGGAGACGGGTTTGCTGAGGCTGGTCGAGAAGAAGGAGGGACAAGCGTTTGACAAATCAGTCATCAAGCCGAAGATCGACCAGATCGTCGCACAGCTGGAGACCATCACCGCGAAAGGCAGCGGCGCACCGATTTACCAGGTTTTATTCGCGAGAATTCGGACCGCACTACTCACTTCAACTGCTTCAGGTGCGGTAGGAAATGAAGGTGAGACAATGGTAAAAACTGCGGATGAAGGAGCGTCACCTGCAAATCGAAGTAGTTGTGCAGATGAGCGTGGTCTGCGTGTCACCAGTGCGGTTTCCTCCGCGAAAAAGGTGACTCCGCTGACCGTGAACGCCCCCGCCGGGAAACAGCCGCAGCATCCCGGACAGCAAGCCTCGTCTGCGGCGCCGTCCGCTTCCGCGGCCTCTTCCCGGGGCGGCGTAACCAGGCCTGCGGGCGCGGAGGTCATGGCTGCAGCGCCGGTTTCAGGGAGTGGGGAGGTCGCGGGGGAGCCCACGGTATTGATTTAAGTAAACTTGTTTCCTCTTTTGTTTGTATGAAACTGAATAACAAGGACAGTTTCGAGCTATCTTTTGACTGCGCGCTGTTCTACTTAGTTCCACCGGTGGACGCACAAAAATCGCAAAATTTCGAATCCGTGTCCATTTCCAGGCCTTCTTTCCTCTTCGGCCGTTTACGCGCGACAGCTCGCTGGGCGACAAGCCGTGGTATTTGTGCTTCGCGGCGACGGCGCTGCGCGAGGTGGAAATCGGGATTGCGGAGTGTGTGGGACGGAGTTGGCTCTGCTACGAGCAGTACTACAAGTATCCACCGAAGGAGTTGCGAAATCTCGAAATCCTTCAGCAACAGGCAAGTAGAACAGCATCGTCTTCGCCGCATAGGACGGCTTGAGCAGGAAGGCGTTTCTTACGCAAGAAACGAGTGGGCAATCAAAAGGACGTATGCTCTACCGAAATTTGACGAAACACGAACATTCCGGCTACTTGAAAGAGTTCCGCGCCGTCGTGTTTTTCAACATACGAGTAGTTCAAATTCATGCATGATTTGTTGGCTTCGATTCTCGATGTAGTAATCAGGCACTAGTACCAAACCACCACACTCTTGTGTAATCGGTTCTCAACACAAGCAAACGGTTCATTCGGTCTGACGAATTCCGAAAGACGAGGTCTGTTTTGATCCAACAGCAGCATCTTTACTGCATCACGACGCAAGAACATCTCACCTAACCTGAGTTTTTTCGAGTTCCTTGTGATAGATACATCAGAAAACGCTCCTTTAGTAGGAAGTTCACGTTCAAATCCAATTCATTGCCATTTTGTTAGGAGGAGCATCACAGTGGCCTTTCCTATTCGGCGCACCGCGCGAAAGGAGTTGATCGACTTGAACTGCGATACTGAAGATACTACTAACTTTTACACATTATTCCAGTACTAGCTTGCCCTTCACTTCTCTACTTTTTTGAGAACACCAGCAGCACGTAAGGGAAAAAATGACCACGAAAACGCTGCTGACGCTGGGCTTCGTACTGCACGCTTTTGCGGAGATTGTCTTCGCGACGTGGTTCATCCTGGACCCCATCGGCATGGCCAAAGCGCGCGGAAACACCCCGTCGCCGGAATTCACGAGGAGCTTGGGCATCCACATTGGTTGCCTCGGCCTGTTGGGCGTTCTGTTCCTCCCCGATGTTTTCAAGTTCAAAAAAGGAGCGACTGCATCCACCGGAACAAATTCGAGCAGCTCTACCAGCATTATATCGCGGGTTACGGCGGCGTTTCTGTTTTTTCACGGTGTCACGTTGCTGCGAGTTTATTTCTCGGCGAAGTACAACTCCAGTAGTGCTGCGACCTCCATGCTATCCGTGATTCTGGCCACGATACAGAGCCCCGTGGTGATGCTGCACCTACCGATCTTTTTGTTCTTGCTCGCCGGAGCGATCTGGACCTTGGAGATGTTTGGAAAGCGAAAATCGCAAACAACATTCGCGCCTATCTCCGAGTTCCGCAGCTTGATGTTCAAAACGACCGAGGCCGTCGTGCACTTGAATCAGAATCCCGTCCCATTATATCTGTACGTCGTTTACCTTCCGCACATTGTCCTCCTCCTGGGCGATGCGTACGTGCAACTTTTCCAGCCGGGTTTCGCTCCGGGGATCAGCAAGGTCGCACCGTCTCCGGATTCTCAGCCCCCGCTGGGGGTCGCGCTGGCGACCCTTGGACTGGTCGCGGTGCTGTTTTTACCGGCTATTTTTGTCCTCGCGCGGCAGCAGGAGGACGGTGAGGAGGCAAAGGAAAACCAAAAAAGCCTTTCAAAACTGAATTTCCTCTCTATGTTCTACCACTTCGCCATGGATCTGAAATTGGCAATTCAGGACGGACAAGATTTGAAGATTCTCGAATTCCGGTTTCTGAGCCACTTCCTGCTCGGTCTCGGCTTTGCCTGGTACGTGTATGAATCGGTGGTGAAGAGTAGAGGCCGGATGTTGAGCAGCGCGGGAGGCAAGGCGCGGAGTAAATCTTCGGGGAAAAAGAGAGGCAGAAGTGCTGCGTCAGCAGGTCGCAAAAATTCGCGGTCGGCGAGCGGGAAGAAGAAAAAGTAGTGTTTGCGCATCAACACCCATGCGCAGGTAGATCATGGTGCAAGGACTGCGGGCCCGACTGCCGCATTTGCACCGTAAAAATAGAGTTAAAGAAAAATACAATTCTTGCGTTTCTAGGGCTGTTTTGATAAATTTGCAAAAGATTTGGTTTTTCTTGAAAGAATTCAACCTGGATCAAGGCCTTACAATGGAGAGTACGATACGTAAGTGGTGTAACTGTAAGATGATAATTATTAAACTTAAAGCGTATTTTGCTGCGCTCCATCTCCATGTCGTCATTTGAAACGGCTTTGATGTTGTATGATGAAAACGCCGGTACCTGAGTGTGATTTAAATGAGCACCTTCCATGCTATTCTTAGTACAACCAGGGCTGAGCTGCAAACAAGGCCGAGGATTGCAGGTCGACGAAGATATGATGTTCGTAAATCTTCTAGTGAAAAATCGCGGGGAGCGAGTTTGACGAGGAGGTCAACCTTAGCTATATCTCGAGAGACGGATCTTCGTGATCGATGGTTTGATGAGAGGTTGGGGATTAAAGAAGTCGTATCATTGTTGCTCGGAGAGACCACCTTCACGTTCTATCTCAAGCTCGTGTGGTTCGTGAGAGCATGAAGAGACTCGTTGTGGATATGATAACTTTGAGTTGTAGTTTCTACTTCGCGACATCGTGTCTGGTAGTTCCATGCAGCATGGCAAGTTTGCGGAATTCGAATACGAAACTTTTATTTCCCACTGTAACTCTATCTCTGCGTCTGCGATAGAGTTGGAGAAAATCGTATACGGGAACAAAAGGTCGATTCTTTTTTTGAAAGAAATAGAGCGTTCTCTACTACTTCTCGCGGCTACTACAGCTCCAGCGCACTCCCCTCAACGCCCGAGATTGCGCGGCTACTGCATTCGCGCGCACGATCGGAGGTGATACTTAGCAACCTGGTGACGGACGTTAGCGGGACGATTCGTGGGTTACCTGCAACACGTTCAACCGGGCGGTCGGAGTTTTAGCTAGTTCCAGGGCCAGCTTTTCTACTACACAGGAGAGGTAGACACAACTCGTCCATAATTAGTTCCTGATCGGCGCCGAAAGAACTTCGTTACAAGTGTTCTCCGCTCTGTTCGCCGAGGCGGCGTCGCAATCAGGGCGATCAGCGGAAGGACGAAAAGGTGAGGGCAACAGCACCGTGCGAGCGACAATCAGGTGTAGTGCTGTCGTGTGTTGGCAGGAAAGAGAGCGCGACAGGAGCAAGAACCGGGAAAACAAAGCGATAAACGTCGTCTTGCAAAACGCTTGAGCAGCCGCGTGTTGATCTGCCTGGACCTCGACATCTCGCCACGACATCTTGTACGAAAAGCAGAACTAGGGTCCTGCTTTTTTTACGACGCAGAAGTCGCGCAGGTAAAGTGCATCGATCTGCGTCGTCGTGCGGGGAAGCGGAGCAGCAAGCTTGGTCGAAGAAGAAGTACTTCCACCAAAAGGCGCGTCTCGCTACGACCACTTTCTTCTCTTGAGGAGCGGCAAAGACGGCTAAAGCAGGAGGAACCGCGGTTGGAGTGGAGCGAGCGTGAAAGAACAGTGCTGGACCGTAACCGAATTATTTCACGCGGCTCCTGCAGGTCGTGCTCGCCCGAACGGGAACGCGTACAGTCGCCGACTGCAATTTTATTTGCAACGAGTACCACGAAGACGAGGACCAGGTGAACTTTCTCTGAAAAAACACTTTTACTCCGGACGTTTCTTTCCGTTGCAGCTAGTGGCAGGGAAAACGAAATAAAGCAACAACAAACCCACTACCACCATGGAGGAGCCAATCGATAGTCAGGCGGAGGAGGAAGAGGAGGAGAAGGAGACGAGGTCACAGCAGCTCGCACGACTGAACCCACTGCTGTTGGAGGCAAGCAGGAAAAATGTCACCTCGGAAATACTCTCGCTCATCGAGGAGATGGCGGACCCATGCGTCGAAGATTCAAATCAGTACTAAGTGATGTTTTTTTAGTTCAGACTACCTGAATGATCTTGATGATGATAAGCTCAGTTCAGAGAAGAAAGTAAAAACGCTTTCCCTGTACTAAGAACAAACCAACCGCAACTACAGGTGGTCACCACTAATGTGGGCGTCGAACCACGGTAACGAACCAGTAGTGCGGTCGCTGCTCGAGCAAAACTGCCACGCCACTTACCAGCAGAGCGCGCACACGCGAAGAAAATGCACGCCGCTCCACTGGGCCGCGTTCCGCGGTCACCTCAAGGTGTGCTGGCTGTTGCTGAAGCAGAAAATATCGCCCCTGGAGGTGGACGCGTTGGGGAATACGGTGCTGCACCAGGCGGCGGCGGGAGGCTCACTCGAGGTCACCAGCGCCATTCTCAGCCAGGGAGCAGACGTAGGAGTTTGTTTCGCACAGGCTTGAATTCTCTTTCTCATTTCAGGCGTGATGAAGATGACTCTCGAATTAATATTCCAAGGAAGAAGAAGATGAGCGAATTTCAACAGCTGGGTGGACTTTACTTCGCAGAGGAACTTACTAGATTAATCTACCAGGTCTTCAAATTGAACAAACGGGGGCACACGCCTTTCGACATGTGCACGGTGGTCCCGGTGCAAAAACTCCTGAAGCACTGCATGATGGCGCCCACGTGTCACATCTCCGGGCGGGGCTTTTCCTCGACCGTATTACGCTTCCTCTGCTCCTGGACACACGTGTTAGTCTGCCGCGAAGCATGCAGCCGGATGTGGGCGTTTGAAAACCCAACGAAAACGGAGCGGGAGCAGCCGATGACACTGGCCAAGGACGCCAAGGACATAGTCGACCACGCAGAGATGCTCTTGGAGAAGAGCACCGCCAGCGGAAAATTAGAAGACGTATTTTCGTATTTGTAGCAGAAGTTGTATACTTGAATTGAATGGGTATGGGTATGGGATCGAAGTACTCTCTGCATGCAAGAATGCCAATGCTTTCCGTTCAACAACATCGTCTGTCGGTCTTGGCAAAATCCTGTAACCATAGCCGCAACATCTTCCCCAGGTAATAGCCGCACTAGACAACGCAGAAGGCAAGCCCGTGGACTGCAAGATAAAGCAAACGGCAAAGAAGCTGCGACAAAAGCTCGAAAGCACAATAAGACTAAAGGAGGCCATGGCAAACAAAAGCATCATCAAGAATGACGGTATAATTGATTCGCTCGGGTTTGTCTTTGTGATGTGGGCATAACTGCTGCTTCGATTCATTTGACTCTTAATAGAGAAACGCACACCAGTTCTTGTAGCGGTACATGGTATAACGTCGACTTACATGACACGACATGAATCCAACATACTACACAACAGTCGCGGAAATCATAGAAGCAGACGCACTGGTGATGGCAGCCGAGAACCTCGCCCGCGCCATTCAGGATGCCATCCGAAGGAGAGTAGAGAAGCCGCTGACGGACGAAGCTGCGAATTTGCGAAGGCGACTGCTGTGCGAGGCGAGCTTGACCAGATACTTTCGTGCAACACGTATTGAACCTTTGAGTGCTTTTGCACTTTGCTGACGCAGTTTAGAAAACATGAGATGATTCATTTTTCCAGGAAAATAAAGCAAAAACGGGACAAAAAACCAAAACAGCAAAATTAACCGTCGGCTACATCCGGTATTTTCAAGAGTTGATAGACACGTGCGAGCGGGAAGCCGGGAACAAGCACTTGCTGACGCTCTCAACTGCCATGAGAAAAAGGTGCGAATTTATTTGCGGTTTCGCTGGTGCATAGCGTTTGGCTGTGGTCATGACATGATTTTGCGCAGATTTTTTGTGGTGCATGAGCATGACAAAGTACAGTATTACCACGAACACTTTGAACTAATCAGGATATCGGCGGAGCGAGAAATGACCCTGAAGTTCGACGAAGTGGAGCATTTGTGCCTGCTGTCCAGTATCACCGAAGTACCACCGGAGGACAAGAAATATCCGAGTTGGATTGAAGGTATGGATACGGGTCTTTTTGTATGCTGGAAATGAAACGTGCATGCCAGGTCTACTACTTTCTTACAACACTGACTTCGTCGCAAGAATGAGTACAATTATCGGGGCAACTGAAGTGGACAAAATTCTTCTATTCTCAGATGTGGAAGTTTTCTCTGGCTTCCAGGAGCAGTACGTGAAGGACGTCGAGTACGGGCGGGAAACCGAATCCTCCCCGGAGCTCATCGAGAAGTGCGAGAAACAGCTGGCGATTCTGGAGGACCTGCTCATCGAACAGCGGCAGATCTTGGAGGAGGTGAACTTGAAAAAGAAGAAGGGGAAGAAGAGCAAAAAGTGAAACTACAACCATCGTCAGAGGATTTCTTTGATGTGTCTCCTCGCTTCTTCACCTCATTCATCACATTCTTCCGTCGCATTACTTCTCCACTGTCGTATTGTCACAAAAGTCACAATTCTAAGTCTAATCGAAAGCAAACGAAACTGGTGAATACAATAGCCACGAAAATAAAAGCAATTCTCTTTGCAAAGGAATTTTACGCTGAAGTCACACTAGAAAGCAAAAGTCACAATTGGCTGGCCGCCCGATAAGATGATTTATTTTCACTTGTATGTAATAACAGAGCAGACGCGGGAGCAGAGAACACAATCGCTGTAAGAACTTGCGCTTTGTAGAAATTGAAATTAAGATATCAGTAACCGCACTGGTTCAAACAATAGCTAGGTTTTGCCGATGCAAACCGCATGCCCAACTAAGTGTTCTTTCGGCCGTGCTGAGGCGCAATAAGGCGATCCATTTTACAGTGAGGACGGGACGACGTTGAGGGGGCGGCTTCTTCCCAGCCTACTTGTACACAAAACGAGATGAGTTAAGAGCCACTCAGGGGTGGAGCTTGGTCTTTGCGTCTGGAGTACTACTTCCATACTCAAAATTGATGAGCACGTGGAGTTTACTTTCTGACTGCCTTTGAACCGGTCATGGTTCTTGCAATGAAATTCAAGGTACAATAAAAAACGACTATATTAGGGGCGAGAACTCATCGTGTTCCTACGCAACGGAACGTGAAGAGGTGGCATGACAGTGCCTGCAAGGGAGGCACTATGTACTACCACGACCCGGAAACTAAATGGGCAGCTTCACGATTAATAAAAGATGATCCTGCGTTTTAGTTGTCGCTGAAGCTGCAAAGCCTCTCTGCTTCTGGTGGATCAGAAGTCACGCTTTCCTTTTCCTGCGCCGCAGACCACCGAGCGCGGCAGCAAGGGTTTTTCCTGGCACAACGAGCTAGCGGCCAACATGACGCGGAAAAACAAGCAGGCTCTGCTCCTGCTGGGCGCGCAGCCTGCCATGGCGATCCACAAGGAGATGTTTACCACCAACGCGGTCTGCAGTGCGCAGTATTATTTTGAAAGCGATTATTTGTTTCAGTGAAAATGAAATTTTGTTTGTCTGTGCTGATGGTGAACAATCTCTTAGCCCATAATCGTTTTCCGTCTTCACACACAACTATTCTAGTAAACGGAATCGAACTTCTATCAGGCACTGCATCAATCCGGTTTTCCCGGGTCTGGAGGACACCTACTTGAACGCCAAGAAGAAGTGGAGCTGCCAGATGCTGGAAGATGCCGCCGAGGGGGGCCTGGATTTTTGCAGCGGCGTCGTGAATTACAACCCCTCGCTACCCGTCCCCGCCACCTCAAAATCCGTGGCGGAGCTCGTGAAGCAGCAGGAACAGGAGGCCATGACCACGTTCTTCCTCCATTTGAACGCCATGGGGCTCGAGGCGTGGGACCACAGTCGACCCATGGACAGTATCGATCCCTGCATCCAGTCGGTCTGGCGGATGGCGTGTTACACCCACTTCCCGAAAGCACAGGTATACTACGAGGCTGGTTCTTTGATGCTGCTGGTTTCGTCGAGAAAATCAAGATTTTTTTTGTGATTTTTGCGTTTCTTCTTCGAGCATGAGAAGTAGAAGTTCACGTATTTGAATGATGCCTCGTCTGCATGACAAACATCAAGAACTCAAGAAAATCACGTTCTTCATCCTACTTCCCTACAGCAAGACTGCCAAAAGGATCAAGAAGTGGACTACGTCCGGCCCTGCCGCTCCTCTTGCTCGAACTACGTGAATTTCTGCGGTGTCACCTGCTGCGACGAGTCCGTTGCTTGCGTTTTCGAGCACAGCAAGGACATCGGCAACAACGAGGTCATCCAGACCGTCGGCTACAGTCCGCACGACGGACCGTCCATGTTCTGCACGGGGAGTGCCAGCGGCAAGTGGAGTACAAGTAGCACGGCGTTTTTGGTCGGTCTTTTTGCTCTCTACCTCTTCTCCAGCTTCGGATTGGATGGTGGGAGCGGGAAAGCGAAAGCTTCATCTTCTTCCAGCAGACGAAGTTCAACAACGACCTCGCGTGCTGCTGGTTTTCATCGCTGGATGAACTTTTTCGCAACCTCGATTTTTTCGGGAGCGCTGTTCGGGCAGAATAGTTCGCAGATGAATCTAGTTTCCGCAGTGTCCACGACCAGCCTGAGCAATCGAGGTGTTCTTGCCCCGGCCGCGCAAGAGGAGACAGTGGCAGGAGTTGTAGCCAGTAGTACTGCGTCAACATCTTCATCGTCGTCGGGAGCAGGAGTAGAGGAGCAGCAAACAAACCAAAGGAAAGTGATACAACAAGAACTCGGCGCAGCAGCAGCTTCATCTGGCAAGGGTTTGTTGAACAAACTAGAAGCTGATCAGGATACTACAACTGCCTCCTCCACCGCGGCTGTAGTAAGTGGAGCGCAGCGCGAAGTGCCAGGTATTAAACTGTCTCTCTTGCAAACCGGGATATCTGCGGTCTCCAGAACGGCAGGGATTGCAGCGAGCAGCAGTAGTTTGGGCGAAGAAGGGGCACCAGCAGCTCCAGGTGTGCCTGCGACCCAGCAAAATCTCCAAGTCGAGAATAGTAATCTTCTTCTTGCCACGTCGACCGCTGCAGAGAAGCGAGCCAGCACTCAAATAACCTCGCCAGTAGTGTCATCGACCGACGTCGCGGGGGGAAACGGAAAGAAGGAGGAATCAGCAACAGCATCTTCGAGCACCAGGGGTGAACAAAGTGGTGAAGCGCAAGAACATCTTCAAGAATCGCAGCAGCTTTCGCTGATGCAAACCGGAACCTCCATGCGGAAGAGCGGGAATATCATGGGGGAACACACGGTGGGCAGCTGGCGCGCGAAGGAGGATTACCTGATCAAGTACTCCTACATTCTATGACAGTGCACAACTCCCCCTCCCCCTCATTTGTATAGCATGAACGGCAATACAAGCATCAGCAAGCGTGCCGGTTTTGCATGACAAATTTGCACTGGATTGTAAGTAGTACTGTTTGGGCTACCAGAACTTGTCATGCAAACAGTGCCAAGAGGCACAAAGTGGATGGGGTATTTTGCATAACAAATGAGGGGGAGGGGGAGCTGTGCGCTGGCATACATTCCCCCGGGCGCCAGCGCGGCCCAGGCCCAGCTGAACAGTTGCGGGGACGCAAATCTAGCGCAAACCCTGCAATGCTCGGGACGCGGGGTTTGCAAGCCCTTCAACCCGGACAATATCCAGAATCCGACCAGCTTTTGCGAGTGCGATCGCGACTACGCAGGTAGTTAGAAGCTTGTCTTTTGTAGTACGTTTTTGCGGCGCTGTTTTGACGAGTTGTGAAGCGTTATTTATTATTCTGAAAATAGAATCGTATTTTGATTTTCAAGTAAAACCAAATGAACCCAGATCCGGAGTGTCGCACGAGAAGAAAGTCGCAAGTGGTCGCGTACGTGCTCAGCCTGTTTCTCGGTTTCCTGGGAGTGGACAAGTTTTACCTCGGGTACCCCATTGCCGGGGCCACCAAGCTCATCAGTCTGGGCGGCTTCGGTTTCTGGTGGGTAGCTGACATCGTGCACGTCGGAGCAGTATCAACTGTAAAAGTGTCTGGGTCTGGAAGAATGCAACTTGTGATGCTGCATTTGGATTCCAAAAAAAATCTGTATTGCATGAGTACCAAAGGAAGTGCCATTTTTGCTACGCTGAGAAGGCATTTGTCATGCGGAATACGCATCAAGAAGCCCTCAAAAAATCTGTATTGCTAGGGTATGCATCACAGACATCATGGCTCATGCAAAACGTGCATGACAAGTGTCAGAATCTTCCAGACCCAGACACTTTTACATTTGATAAGCAGCCCCAGTCTATGCGAGGGAGTACAGAATAAGACTAAAAGATTTGGTTTTGGGTGTGTACTTTCTGTCTATCATAGATTGGTGCCAAAAGCTGCGTGTTGTGCACCATTTTGTTTATCCTATTGGAGGTGATCTACAGATGCCGATGCTGATGCATTGAGTCGACTTGTATGTAAATGAACTTCTTCAGTTACCGTGTGGCGGCCAACCTTCCGCACTGGGCGTTTGTGGTGTCCAGCGTGCTGTTTTTCTCCATTCTCGGCTTCGTGATTGCGGGCTGCGTGACCGCCAGCCACCTGCGGGGCAAGCGACGCGCTGCGATGCTGTACCAGGCGCAGGAGGACGCGCAGAGCGGGGACTTCGTGGCCAGCCTGCCCGCGATGAAGAGCCGCCACTTCACCAACCCGACGGCGCCCCAGCCGCAGGTGGCGTTTCCCGGGGCGTGATTGTCAGTACCAAACGAGGGAGGAAGGAGGTCTGCAAAGGGGTTAGTACTATTCCGCGGGAAGAAGTTCTTGTAGGTGACATCAAAGAGATGACTTTGTCGACAAGCCGAACCTGTACAAATTTTACGTCGACGTCGTAACCGTGATTCACCTTTTCTTCTCGCTCTTTACTGCAGGAGCCTCGAAAACTTATAATTGGGGCGGAGAAGTTTCTCGACCTTATGTTGCTGAAACCAAAAAAGGAAAAGAAACCACAAACACATTTCACTGTTTATTTTTTCTCAACTCTTATTTTCGTATAACTCGTAACCGTATATTGTCCTCAAGTGTCTACGTTTCAAAAATACAAGCTGGTTGTCGTGTCACAATTCGTAACAGAGCAAAGCCTATTCCAGGTTTCGGAGAATTTTTTTTCTTCAAAAAATGACACGGAATGAATGTTTTTCTTTTTCAAAAAAAAAAAAGCAAACAAATGCGACACTGCGCACGTTGCAGCTGGTTTGAGGTGGAAGTGCAGCCGGGTAGCTGCAGATTTTGCGGCCGCGCTTGGTACAGACATGACGTGCAGCATATCCTCTATCGAGAGGTCTTGAGAGAGCAGGAGCGGCGAATGACAAACATATATAAGTTCCAATAAAAACGTTACATAAATAAATTTTGCAACCAAGAGCACTCATGTTGTTCTCTGCAAAAATTTCTGTGCTCCTGTTGCAGAATTTGACTGGTAGGGAACAAGAGGAAGAACACGTCGAGCAGAACCGCAAGTAAAAGCTCGCTGTATTACATCGTCCGCCCACCAATTCCTAATCCTACGACAGAAGAACTATGACCGCGGAAAGCTTTCTTCCGCCGAGCGCCGTACTCGGCACGGCACCTGGCGCGCACAACTCCGACGAAGACCACTTTCAGTACGACTCTGTGACCTTGCAGCTCGACAAAGTTGAGTTCCACCCAGATTTTCTCGCCGCGCAGACGTCCACTTCTCTGTCGGAGCATTTCTCGTGGGCCATGTACGACGCCAGTAGTATCACATCAACGACATCATCCAACTGCTTCCTCTCCCCTCGTCCCGTGGAGCTGAATGTGAAGCTGACCGTGCAGAAAATCGTCCAGAAAACGGCCCACGTCGTGTTTATTTCTGCGTCTAGCAATAGTAGAATCACGCAACAGAGTCAAACTTCCGCATCCGTGCCACGGCGCTGCTTTGGGACCGTCAGTTTTGATGCAAACAGTGCACAGCAGGACATTCAACTGAATGAAGATTTCAGTATCGGGGAAGAGGTTTTCGCGATGTACGGAGATCACACAGCAAACCGGTTTTTCCGCGCGCAAATCTCCCGCATTCGACAAGGTAAGGACTCGAGCAGTGATGTCCATTTTGACATCCAGTGGCTGCGGCCGCGGCACCACACACCGAAAACGGCGACAGGGACGAATTTGTCCTTTGCGGAGCAGGAACTGGAGACATCTGCACCGGATCCACTTGACTACGTCATGAACCACCGAGAACTGGACGACACGGTTTTCATGGTAAATCTCCCCAGGACGAAGCTGAAGCGGCTGGACGCTTCGAGTAATTCTCACGCGTGCGGCATGGTCAGGTTTAACGTGATCACCGGGGCCCCGAGGTCGGGCCGGGTATCGCGCGGCGCAGCGAGCTTTCCGACGACTGGCGGCCTTGTTGCCGGTAATTATTACGCAGAAATTTGTGCTGTTGGTTTTTCTTTTTCATGCTGTTGTCAATGTTCTTTTGAACGACAACGATAGTTCAAAAAGATTTTTTTCAAGAACGTTTATCTATGATTAGTTGAAACAGTTTGGATGATATTCCATTTTTTTTGACGACCGTACACGACTCTACACCAGGTTCGACCGAGTTTTCGCGCCGACATGGAGCAGTTCAACCTGGAGGAGCTGCTTCCACAAACAGCATGCGGGTTTCTCCGTCCTCCTCGCCAAACCAGCAAAGCAGTACGACTTCCAGTGTCGGAGTACAGCAATTCAAAAGTTCCTTCTCGACCACAACGTCCCAAGCTGCACCCTCCAGCATTGGCGCCGATCGGTCGTACGACTCCGCACCAGGGGTTCAGCATCACAGCAACTCCTCTGGCACCGAATCAGGAGAGCACGGCGCCAACCACGGGAGCAACTTCGTGACCCCGTCGAGTAGTAAAGACGCCGCTGCTCCTCCAGCCTGTTTCGCGCACGGAGACGCGAAACAGCAGGCCGGGGTGCTGCGCTACGTGTATGATGGAGAGCATGACGACCAAGCACAATTTTTGCCACGACTCTTACCGTCCCCGGAAAATGGAGAGTCTTCATCTGCAGGCGGTTTATACCCCGGAAAAACGTCGTCGAGTTCTTCTTCTTTACTGAAAACCAACGCGTCGCTGCGAGGGCCACCACCCGGGTGGACGACCATGAACAATAAGAATAAACAATCTTCCTCCAAAACCAAAACCAAACCCTTCACACACTTGGGTCGTAGAGTATGGCGTTCTCAAACGTTACATTCTCAGTTGTTACATGGATTTGTCATGCAGAACTACCACCATCAACCACAAGATCAAGCTGCTTCGCATGACAAATTTGAGAAGGGCTAAACAGCAGCTAAATCTGCGCGGGATTTGTAATGCAATTTTTGCAATCTTCTAACTTGTACTTTTGCCATTCTTGCATGACAAATTTCCCGTAACAGTTGAGAATGTAACGTTTGAGAACGCCATATAGAGCGAACTTTGACGAGCTGAAAGCGCTGGCGTTGCTCCGTGCCGGCGACGCAGTGCCGCACGAGGACCTCCGGGAGGCGCTTGCGTGGACGTATCAAATGCAAATATGTCTGGGTCTGGAAAGTTGGAACTTGTAATGCTGGCCTTGCATTCCTGTGAAATCTGTATTGCATGACCACAAAAATGGCAGCCTCTCATGTCATACAAAAATGCAGGTTCTCATGCGGAGTTCGTATCGGATGAAAGCGTTGTGCAGACTTGTAATGCAGCTTTCCGGCATGAGGAAGTGTTTTCATCGTGCACATTTTAGCATCACAAATTTCCAGACGCAGACATATTTGGACTTGATAGGACGCTGCGCACGCTGATTTCGGTGCGGGAGAATCACGATGCGCAGTTGGCGGAACTGGAAAACAAGCAGCGGGAACTGTTCGGACGGTTAGGGAGATATGAGACGGAATACGGCACGAGTTCTGCTCTTCCTATCCCCTACTACGACAGCGCCAGCACACCGAAACAGCAAAAAGGTGGGGCACTTGTTCTAACCTCGCAGAACAACAACCCGCAATTCTTCTCAACGACAGGAGGACCACCACCACCACCACATGTAACAGCTTCCCAGCAACCTCCTGCTGCGAGCAAGTACCTTTTTCAAAGCAGGGCAGCGGCCGGTAGTACAGCAACCACTACCACGTCGAGCAAGCCAGCGACACCGACAAGCAACTTAGCAAGTGCGGGACACCAGCACCAGCAGTTTCAGAGCCAATTTCAACTGCGAACGAGTAGTAGCCGCTTCGGTGGCCCGACTTCATCTGGGGTTCTTGCCGGTGCGGAAGCCTCAAGTGTGGTCAACTATCAAGCGGTATCAAATGCAAAAATGTCTGGGTCTGGAAGATTCTGACACTTGTCACGCACGTTTTGCATGAGCCATGATGTCTGTGATGCATACCCTAGCAATACAGATTTTCTGCGGGCTTCTTGATGCCTATTCCGCATGACAAATGCCTTCTCAGCGTAGCAAAAATTGTATTCCCTTTGGTACTCATGCAATGCAGATTTTTTTGGAATCCAAATGCAGCATCACAGGTTGCATTCTTCCAGACCCAGACATTTTTACATTTGATAAGCGGGGGGAACTGCTGCTCACCAGCCCCAGGCAGTGCAGCTGTTTTACCAGACGCCGGCTTCCTCGGCGGGTTCCAGCAAGGAGACAAATGCTTCAACTTCTGGCCATCAGGGAAACAACAGTGCCTCATCCCAATTCACAACTATCTCCGGGGACTTGCTTCGTGAGCAACTGTACAGTGCGATGAGCAGTTCAACATCTTCTTCGGGTACAACGTCTCAGCGGCACCAGCAGGCCCAGCAGCCTCTACCGTTGAACCTGAACGCTGGTTCTACCGTGAACATCGCCGGGGCCAAGCCGAGCTCCTTCAGTGCACCCGCGTCGAAGGAAACCACGACGACGACCGGGCCGAATGGGAACTTGATCATAACCACCACTATGCATTGCAAATATAATGTCTGGATCCGTGGGAACTTGTGATGCAAGTCTGCGAGTGATGGGCGCGCTTGAATATGCAGCCACGCATGACAAATTTTTAAAGCTGCAGCTTTGTGTTGCGTATTCCCCACGGCAAAGTGCGTTTTTGCATGACAGGCAAGAGGTACTACTCGTGCGCGTGCATCACAGACCTCAGAGTCATGCCATCCAAGCATGACAAAAAATCTTGCAATCTTCCCGACCCAGACATGTTTGCACTTGATAACCACGACCGTGCGGGAACCGCAGAACCCCTCGGTGTCTTGGAACCAAATCTTTCAATCCACAGCTCCTTCTGGGGCCGCTGGCGGGGTGGGACCTGCAACAGCGGAGCACCTGGTGTGAGAGGGCTAGCACGGTGCTACGGAGTTTGAGATGATAGTGAGAACCTCTACTTCCTTGTAGGACCATTTTTTACAGATTTTACAAACATAAATCAACCTCTGTACTATTGATTCACTTTGCTTATGCTTCTGAAAATGTACTACAGATGAAAAAATATGAGCAATTTTTTCGTGCACGAGCAGTATGTCTTTATTTCACCGCCTGCCTTTGTGAGAAAGAGATACATCACGACTATGCTATATCTAGCCGCTTGCAGCTTGTACTAAAAATTGCATTTGTTGGTCTTTGCTACTACAACATCCCGTGTCGCAGCACAACAACCTCCCATGTGTGGATGGCGAGCGTGGTCCTAGCTGTTTTGGCATAGCCAAGCAATCCTGCTTCTCCTGTTCATTTTTGCAATCGAGATCTATCTTGATCTGAACATTCTATCTTTTTGCAAATTTGTTCTTGTCTGATAACACGCAGGGACCTCATACTCTTTTGTTTGAATCTTTCATTGCATGATCAACATCGGGAATACAGAAAAAATCTGAAGATGTCGATGTCTCGAATTGCCCTAAACGTGGAGAAGTGCAAAAAGGCGTGGGACCGGTTTCGGTTTCTGCTCGCACTGATTTTCGCCGCCCTTTGGGCGTCCATTGGACTCTTTTGCTACGGCTACCTGACGCCCGTCACCGTCCGACTCGCAGCGGGGGGTGGTCGACACGGTAGTAGTCCGAACTACGACCATGCTTCGAGTACAACGTCTACGGCCAGAACTTCGCAAGGGCATGCGACCGTACGTGCGGAAGTAGGTGCTTTGTCTGAGCAAACATTTACCCAGTCGCAGTCTTCAACTTCAGGGTCGTCTAGTACCCGAGGAAGAGGAGCAGGTGCTGGTAGATCTATTGCTTCCCCGCAGCTGGCGGTTCCAGGAGAGTCAGCCGGCACCAGCTCCATGATCGACAATCGTGTTGCAGTAACATCACCATCAGAAGTACAATCAAATTTTGCCTCCATTCACTATCACCCTTGGCTGTCCCGGCAAGCTCAGCCGGACCGCAATGCAGACGGGATTTTCGTGATGCTCGGTCCCACGTTTCTACTCGTCAGCTGGTTTTTCGTCAAATTTTGCTATTTCCAGTACCACGACCTACCGGCACGTGGGGTCCTCATTTCCCTCGTGCTCCTCGGTTTCGTGCTCGTCATCTATTGGACCGCGCTGATCCAAATTCACGTGAACCTTCGGGTGCATGCGGAGAAATACGGACAAGAGGTCTCAACGGTAATTGCGGAAAGAATAGCGAGCGCGCAGTTGCACTGGCAGCAGGTTGTAGCGCCTGCTCTGTCGGTGCTTGTTTCTTTTGCGACAAATAGTACTGGTGCCACTGACGGAGCTACTACAGGTGGTGAAGTACTAGTAGATTCTACTGCGTCAACCGAACTTGGGCCTTCGTCGGTTGGCGCAATTATATCAACGTCCGCGAGGACGATGGCGACCGCGGCAGACCCAGGACGAGGAGCCCAGCACTCCACGTCCCGTACAACTAACGGCGCGCTTTTTGGCATGGGCTTGGACTGTGTCATGATCCCGGAGAGGTGTACTAGCGCCGGCGGGGTAGCTGCCGCATTTGTTCCCTCTACTTCTCGGAGCGATTTTCAGGATCGACTACAGGAAGCTTTATCCTGCTGTCGTGCGAGTGGAGAGCACGAAGATCTGGCTTCGGGTACTAGAAGTTCCACTGCGGATCTTCATGTAGGAACACAACCAGGACAAGAACCCGACAGCGAGAGCCCAGGGGCCGCCGACAGGGCTTTATTGCCAGGATCTTCGGAGATAGAAGCGGCTGGAGCCTGCGTCACCCCACCGCCAGCCGCTCCGGCTAGAACGAAGTCGCCTGTTTTGGTGCTGCGCAGCCACGAGGAACCACCTAGAACAAGGCAAAGTAGAAGTAGAACAATGTCTACTAGTAGTACTACAACTTCTGACGTGAGGACCACCTCCAGCAGCATCAGTCAAAATCCTTCACTCCAGAACCAGCAGCTCCATTGCAAGATCGAAAAGATTCTCTTCTGGTTGCAACTGCTACTTCTACTTTTACTTTTCGTCGCCCTCCCCGTTCTCGCCTACCAGTACGAAAACCAGGTGGAAAAAATCCTGCAAGAGACGGGGATGACGAGGGAATACTTGAAACTGAACAGCCGGTACAACACGCTTCTCAAGTTTGACGCTTTGGGCCTCCAGGACGAAGAGGACCGGCCGCGCTGTCCCCAGGCGCTCGCGGACCAGTTTGTGAGCAACGAAATGCGGTACCGGAAGCACGGGCCGGTGTCGAACAAGACCCGGGCGCGGCCGGACGATTGGAATGGGAATCAAAGACACGTGGACGACCATGAAGTGCGTCGAATCGTGGATTTTTGGAACGAAAGAAGGGAGGAGGAGATCATGGACCGGGAAGGGATAGGGGGTTGGGATGAAGAACTTGACGAACTGGAAGATGTGGTAGCTCCAGTTGTGAACAACAAGTTCGATAATTAAACCCGAGCCGGTGCCGTGACTGGTTCTTGACACGACCAGGTGTCAAAATCTACTTGTTCCCGTCTGGGATTATTTTTACAGCATTTAAGAAAAAATTCAAATGAACGTAGTGAAAATACTAATCTGATCGCTGCCTGTGTGGAGCTCGCCCAGTCTGCCGCTATGACTATCGATGGCACGATGTGTCGGCACACCTAGAACTCAAACTTTGTCGCAACGAAATGTACGATCAGCTGTTTAGCAAGAACCTGCTGTACGTGCAGTAGCACACGTCACGAACCTTCAGAAACTTATAGTATTCGCCGAAACAATAACAACCGATAAAGTTATAAGTCGAAAATAGAAGACCGATGAATTTTGTTCGAAACAGACTCCCTACAACTGGTGTTATTGATCTGCGCGTGATTATGAAAACGGATCAACTATACACATATTTTTCCCGAGCAAGGTCACCTCTACTAGTATCGGCACTGAGTTACTTTCCCTCGTCATGCAAAGATTTTAGTGTTGATCTTAGATCTTTCTCGACCTTGAGCATCTTCTTCTTCACGAACAGCAGCGACCGTTGCCGGCAACATTGAGTAAACATGATAGTTTCACCGCCCAAATAGTACGTACTTACAGCAGTATATGCGCTTTAAATGTTTTTCCCATTTTAGTTCTGAAGATCCGCTCCCCTCACGACGACCCTCAGTAGCTATAAGTAGAAAGTTTTCTTTTCGTTTTCCCATTCCCCACCTGGCGATCATACTAGATCACGACCAGTGCTAGCGACAGCAAGTTGATTTTCCTTTCCTCAAAATGGCCACCAGCGCGGACGCGTTCCTGGCGGACCTGGAGGATTTAGAGGAGGATTTTGGTTTTGACAACCAGCAGCAGTGGAACCAGGACGACTACTATGAGGATGACGACAAAAACAAGGAAGAAGAGGACGCCGACAAGGAAAAGGAGAGCGTCCACATTTCGCAACTTCTACAAAAACCGGAATTCCTGCAAACAATCACCGATGTGAACGTTTCCCGGGACAAATTGCTCAACCCCGACGCCCCGCCCGCAAAACCATTCCGCCCCGTGACCGCACCGCCGCCCGGTGCCGCCGGCATAGATCATATGGAGGATGAAGACGAGGTATCAAATGCAAAAATGTCTGGGTCTGGAAACTTGTAATGCTGTGTTGGGAATAGTGAATGCTCTGTAATGCACAGCCAAGCATGAGAAATATCTGCGCCTCTTTGTGTTGCGTTTCTCGCATGAGAAACTGCGTTTTTGCATGACAGGCAAACGGGTCTCTTCTTGGACACGCATCACAAACTTTTTTGTCATGCCAGACAAGCATGACAAATCTTGCAATCATCCAGACCCAGACATTTTTACATTTGATACGAGGACGAGGACATGGACGCCCCGCTGCCCGAGACGCTTCTCCCCCCGGAGGATGACGATAATCTTGTTCCCGGTAAGAACCAGACCGGCGGGGGCAGTAGCAGCAGTTCGAGCACGGCGCTAGCCAGCAACCCAGAGTTGGACAAAACGTTCACGGATTCCGATCCGGAGTACCAGTTGGTTTCGAAATGTAACGCACTGGTGAAGGAGATTGACGACGAATTGATTCTGCTCTACACCGAGGTGAAATCCATGTTTCAGAACAAGTTTCCGCAGCTAGAAAACATTCTCGTCCATCCGTTGGATTACCTGCAAGTGGTGCAGCGGGTATGTGAGCACATCAAGCAGGAAGAGATTGCCGATGTGGATTTAGCGAAGATCGATTTCACGGACATACTACCCAACCAACTGATCATGACGATGACGATCACGGCGACGCACTCGAAATCAACACCGCTGGAGCCGCATCAGTTGGAGCGGGTATAGAGTTTAGAATAGCTTTCGTTTACTCTTTAGATGGACTTCTGCTGCATAAAGGTTTTTCTTGCCTTCAATCAGAATGGTGGGAGAAGATTTATGCCTGTTCCTATTATTTTTTAACTCATTTACATTTTCATCGTGAGTTTCTGAAATGCAAATGACCCACTGTTCCGTTCAGGCCGCCGTGGGTTGCCAGGAGGCCCTCCTTTTGAAGGACCACCAGTCGAGCATATTGCTGTACCTGGAGAGCCGGATGAGCATTTTCTGCCCGAACTTGGCCACCCTTTTGTCCGCGAGCCTGGCCGCGAAGGTGGTCACCGCGGCGGGCGGGCTGAAGGCGCTGAGCCAAATGCCTGCGCAGAACATCATGCTCGTGGGGCAGGTGAAACGCAACATGCTGGGTATGGCCGGCCACAGCAACAACGGAATCCTGTACCAAAGCGACATTATCATGATGGCCAAGCCAGAACACAAAAATCGGGCGGTCAGGTATATTTTTTTTTCGCCGCGAACGCGATTTATTCTTACAGGGCGCAACGATTTCTGGCCGTCAACAATTGAAAGGCACAAATCAAAAACCATCAAGTCGAAAAATTCCATCACCATTCAAAGGAAAAATCGAAATCGCATCTTCACAGACTCGTCGCCGGCAAGACCGCGATCGCGGCCCGGTGCGACTGGCACCGCACGAGCCAGCTGGGCGAGACGGGCGCAATATCGCACGAAAAAACTGTTTCACTGTCGTGATGATCTTGCAAGATCTGCATCACAAGTTTGTTTACACATGACACAGAAAATTTGCCATGCGGGCTTCCCAAGGGAAAACACGCTGAAAAATCCAATGTCTTGCAGGTGTCGCAACACAAATCGTTCTGTGCTCCATTCTCTGCATCACAAGTTCACAGTGAAACAGTTTTTTCTTGCGATACGCAACCCTGCGGGAGAGCATCCAGAAGGCCATGGCGAAGCACGCGATGCCGCCCCCGGCGAAGCAGAAGAAGGCACTGCCCAAGCCCGACGACGTGTTGTCGAAAAAACGGGGCGGGAAGCGGCACCGCGCGCTGAAGGAAAAGTACGGGCAGAGCGAGATGGCGAAGCAGATGAACCGCGTCAAATTTGGGGAGCAAGAGGAGGAAATTGACCAGGAGCACATGGGCTTCGGGCTGGGCATGATCCAAATCACCTCGACCAAGGGCAAAAACCAAGACTACGTCGGCGGAGGACTCACGACTGGTATTGTAATCATGTGTGACAGTAGTTTTTTTCTACGTGAAATGTAGTTGTTCAAGCGGACGACGAAAAGTAAACGTTAACGTTTTCTTTCGTGCTTTCATCCTTGGTGATGCTTGCAATTGCATTTCAATGGCTTTCGTTACTAGTGTTCCATGAAACTTCTAAGGAAAGAACACAACCCAAACCAGGCAAAGTTCGGGCCGCGAAGATGAAGGACCGGGGAGGTCACGTCCACCCGGCCGGCCGGCCGGCCGGACCGTGACCGGGGGTAGATCATGTCCCGCGGCTGCTATCCGGGCGCGGGCTGCGCCAGATGTTAGTTTTGCAAGCAGAGCCGCTCCGGCTCCACCCGCAGTGCCTATAATCGAAAGCGTGGCTGGGCCTCAGGCTCCTGCAAAATAGCTAGCGTTGATGCGGGGGCGGATTTTATTTATGCAGTAGCTACTGTAGCGAGACACCGCTGGCAACCGCTCGAAACACCCTGCCCACCCACCCCACCCCAACCCAACCCTCACTCACACGGCTGCGACTCCCCCGCCCCCGTCCGTTTCCCCGACTTTGCTTGCGCGCAAACGGAGAAAAGGGGCTGGGGACAGGAATGCACTGCCACTTCGTGGCGCTGCCACTTGGATCCGCCTGAGCTCGGACGACGCGCCGCATATTGAGACCTGTGGCTCTCAGGCGCAGTGACCTGAACCCTAGCACTGAACGACTTTGGCTCAAGGTACAGCGCCACGACCTCCTGGTGCCCCCATGCCCTTTTCACTCTTCGCGCGAAGGGTGAAAAGGGGCCGGGGGTGAGAAGTCAAGGCGCTGAGCAATGAGCCAAAAATGTCGCGACGCAGACTTCGCGTCTTTGCCACAGTCATAGGTCCGCGTCAATATCATGCAGCACGCCCATGGGCGTCAGCAGGTCGGATGCGTTGTATATTGAGCCCAGAACGAAGTCGTGGCTCCGAGGTTTAGTGAGCCGCACTCTAGTACCACTGGACGACTTTGGCTCAAGGCACAATGCCGCGACTCCATCCTCCCAATCCCTTCTCACCCTTCGTGCGCGCGAGGGGTAAAAAGGGACGGAGGGTAGCAAGTCACGGCGTTGCGCCCTCGATGCAGACTTCAGGTCACTGCTACATGTACTCGTTGCAGCAGGTCCATCTCTATGGGCATTCGCTCGCCTTCGGGCGCATTACATATTAAGGCCTGGGGCTCCAAGGTGCCGCGAGGTGCATTCTGCCACTGCACGCCTTTGGCTCAAGGTGCAGTGCCGTCACCTCCTACCCCCACGAGCGACTGGCCCCAGGATGTGGGTCGACCAGGGACAACCCCCGGTCACGGTCCGGCCGCCCGGCCGGCCGGGCGGACGTGACCGGCCCGGTCACGTCGAGATTCTATGTTAGCTTATTCTAAGGAAAGAACACAATCCAAACCAGGCAAAGTTCGGGCCGCGAAGATGAAGGAACAGCAGCGAGCGCAGGCGGCAATGAAGCGACAACGGCTGGCAGCAGGGGCCGGCGCACGGGAAAGTGGCATGAGCAGTTCCTTGGCGTTCACACCGGTGCAGGGAATCGAGTTAGTGAATCCAAACGTACAAGCCAAGACCATCAACCCCGCGGACCGCTACTTCGCGCAGTCGGCAAACTTCCAAGCCCTCGACAACGTGAAGAAGTGACTGGCTACTTCTCGCCTGTGCGTGGAGTTGTTCTTTGGTGCATGGTGGTTGATGACAATATCATTGCGACACCTGAAATACTGAAAGTCAGCGACCATAATGTACTTGAAATAAATGGACCGTCCCGCGTTGGCCGTTGCCGCGGCGCGAAATAAACCATGGGTATTATGATGACGAAGAAACACAAGAAAGGAACAAGTGAGGACGTAGAGTATAAATGTGAATTTACCGACGTCGGAATGAGCATTCACCTGGCTGAAGAAACTCGCTGCAGGTCTTTGAATCAGATTGGCAACTCGTGTGTTCTCGATCACCATTGCGGAAAAGGGTCGAACTTCTGTGCCAGGAGCGCTGAGCGTCCTTTGTACCGGAAGGGGTATCTAGCAGCGTCCTTTTTACCCGGAGGGGAGTCCGCGCCGCCTTCCTATGCGGCGCCGCCCTCGCGGATGCGGCGCACCTGCCGGCCCAAGACACCGCGCGCGCCCACTCTATTCCGACGGCCCGGGCGGTGTGGCAGGGCGGGGCGTTTCGCTCGCTGGAAAACATGCAGCAGGCGGTCGCCCGGCACTTCGGCGCGCCGTGTTCCTCGCATGCGCGGGGGGCTGCGCGTTCTGAATGTTACGAGCTAGCGCAGGGCTTTGGCGTTCGGCTCCGTAACGGCGGCACTTTGGGCGACCGCAGGGACTGGCACCACCAAGATCGCGGCGCCCTTCGCGGATATGTTCCGGCCTTTCTGGGAGCCGTGTGGTGGCAGCCTTTGCGCCCGACGAGCTGCCGGAGAATCCTGCACGCCGCCGCCACCAGTTCGGGCTAGGCACGGAAGGGCCGCAAGGCTGCGGCCGGCAGGCTTCGCCGCCGATTGCGACGCCGCTAGGGCGGGCGCGCGTTGTGGCGCAGTTGCGGCCAAAAGGCGCGCCGCGCCTGCGGCGCTGCCCCTTGGCCTGGGCCTGCGAGGTGGGCAAGGATTCAAGGGGGGCCCCAGGACTCCCGAAGGGCCGCCGGGTGGCGCGATGAGCCAGCCGAATTGGGTTGGGAAATCTATCGAGCCCGCCTCGCATGCAGAATCGTATTTGTCCATACCTTTACCGGGAAAACCGAATGGAACGCTGTGCCGCCAGGAGTAAGGATAAGAGGTCCACGATGCGCAAAGCTCTCCAACTGCGAGGCGACACAGGCACCCAGGTACGTGATGAAGGCGATCCGGGATGGCGACGATGCAAAAAGAAGTGCCCGATGCCACCCGCCGAGATTTTTATTTTTCATTCGTAGCACCGAGCTCGCCGGCCAATGTGGCGCAGTTCATGACTGAGCGGGAAGCAGGGCCGGCGCCGGGGGCGGCGCCAGAACGAAGGACGACAAAAATATCTGACGGAAAAAGCTGCGCGGGGTTGCGCATGAAGCTAGTAAGCTCTTGGGGCGCGCCGTGCCTGCAGAGCGCGCGCGGGCGGCGGTGCCTAGGCGCGTGGGCTTTTTGCTCATTGCGTGGGCCGCGCTGCGTCGGCGGCCGGCGGGCCGGAACATGGCCGCGCCCGCCCGCCGACCCCATGCCAGAGTGCATCGGGCCTGCCGACCACTTCGAACAGCTGCGACACCTCGCGCCCTGGGAAAACATGCCCGGCCGAGTTTCTCCACGAAGTCAGTGCCGCGCGCCGCTTTCGGTAGGGCCTTGCCGCCTGCTGTCGTTCGCCGGGCCGCGCCTTCGTGCGGCCGGCAAGTTCCGTTGCTGGGCCGACCGCCCGCGGCGGCCGGCGGGAGGCCGGGGGCTTCTGTTATTTCGCCCCCCGCCCCGCCACCTTTGTTGCCAAAAGCGGGCGCGAGGCAAAGGCGTAGGCCGGGCGGCTTGGCATTTTTCTGGCAGGGCTGGCGGGCCTGCCCGGTGCCCGTACGCCTATGGCCCGCGCCCCGCGCTTGGTGGCTAGCTGCAGTGTTGGTTGCAGGCAGGCTTCGTCGCCTGTGTGGTCAATCATACATACATTGCCAAGCAGGCCGGCGCGCGAGAACAAGTAAGAAGTGGGCTGGATCCTTCGATCATGCGCCGCGCCGCCAGCTGCGGGCAGCTGGCGCAGCGAGGTCGTCCGGACGGGGTGCACCTGCCTCAAGTGATTTTGAGAAATTCAAGCCGTCTGGCCCCTGGCGAGATGAGAATCAAATCGAAGCGCCCGCCGGATCTCTGGCGAACACGAAGCCGCCGAGCGCACAGGAGTGGCATTTTTACGGATCTATTGTTCGAACCAGCGGTGGGAGTGAGAGTCTAACACCCTGAATTCTTCAGAAGAGCGCAGGGAAGGAGTGGTCCCGAGCGTACTTATATAAAGTAGATGTTGATGGGATAGAGCACAGCGGAGTTGTTGTTCGTCGAGGGTCCCTTTCAAGGGAGGTTCTTGTTCCGGACTGGCTTTCAGAAATTAAAAGCACACACGTGATCATGTCGGTTGCAGATGACGGCGGCGGTGAAGCGCCGAATCATTCTCCGCCCAAGCGACGCCAGGGAATGGAGCTCGTTTTGCTTCGTTGACTCTGATGTCTCTGGAGGTCTAGAAAATAAAAAGCGACCGCGTTCAGGTTCACAACTTGCGCCGACCACACGTCCTCGGCACACAAGACCTCCCCCTCGGGGCTTCATCGCCGCGCATTAACGACCTCACCCCCGGCCGCCCCTGCGTCAGCATGGCGGCGCCAAGTGGAGCCGGCGATAGTACCGGCACCGCGAGCGGAACGAACAATATGAAGGCGGACGAGCGCACGAAGCTGTTGCTGCTGACGGGCGACTACTACCTGAACAAGGGCTCGGTGTTCGTGCCGAACGCGCGAATTCGGCTCAACTTCGTTCCCATCGTGCTCAGTACCATTCTCCCGTGGACGCTGTTTGTCGTGCTGCTGACCATCTCCATCTTCCGCTTCCGACACGACTACGGGCATCTGTGCGACTACATTTGGGTGGTGGTGTGTGGCGTCCTGCTGCTGGCATACACCTACCTGTTCTTCAAAGAGTTGCACTCCGTCGACCCACGATGGACCCGCGCGAGTTGTCTGCACCTGTTTATTATGGTATATACAGAAAAATGACTTACTAGCGAGCACGAGCTTGACAGAAAATCCAGAGATATCAATTTTGTAGATTTCAATTTGTTAAATAGAATCGTGCAGCTACTCAAGAACTGTCGGACCATGTCTCGGATCTCCTGCAAGCTCGCACCCGTCTTGCGTGCATGCCAGCATGACCTGACGCCGTAATTACGCCTAAGTACTTCGTGGCTCAACACCGACGCCCTCCTCCTTGGATATTACATGGAATTGAGCTTCAAATTGCACAAAAAAAAACAGATAAACATCTGCTTAACCGCGTCGTACCTACTGTACTCCGAGTACTTCGAACCGTATTACGACGTGCTAGACCTGAAAACCTACCCAACACTGGACGTGTCCAAGACAAACGGTATGAATATAGATGCAGGAGCTGTTGTAGTACGAACAACATTCATAGTACAAGTAGTCGGGCGATTTCTATATGCAAGCTAGTAGATGTAGGACTGAGGACGGACCGCGGAGTTCATCAAGGGAATTTATTATTTTTCGCATTGAATTTCCATCCTGCTAGGTAAGGACGTGATGGATGCGGGGATGATTTATTTCAGCCAGGGCACCAAGATCGACTTCACCCGCACGTGGCACTTCAAGCACAAATCCGTGTACTGCGTCGCCCCTTTGGTGAAGCAGATCACGCCGACCGCACCCATCTTGTCCGAGACCGGGTCGCTCGACTTCTGGGTCACGGGGAAGGACTGCTGCTCCACCTCCAGCTCCGATTTCCGTTGTCCCGGTTACGACAACGCGAAAGCGCGAGCCGGGATCCGCATCCTGCACCCGGACGCCGACATCGACTACTACCGCTTGGCGGTGCAGCAGGCGGAGACGCAGTACGGTTTTCTCTCCACCTACCCAATTTTCGTGGAGTGGACGGAAGACCCAGTGTACGACTTGGAGGACCGGAAATCCACGGGGCTGGCGCTCTACTTCGTCTTACTCTTCTCCGCTTTGTTCCTGCAGCTGTTTCTCGTCTGCCTCTGCACCGTCCGGTTTTCGCTGATCGGAAGGAGAAAGGCAGGAACGGGCACGAATTAGGATAGCAGGGTGCAGACGTCGTGTTGTTTATAATTTTTCGTGGCATGCAGCTTGCATTTGCATTTCTTGCACAGAGGACGGCGAGGTCGTAAGCACACCAGCACCGAACACGTAAACTCTCCAAGAAGACCACAGTCCACACCATGCACAGACTAAGGATAATAATTTTCAGCATTGCAGCTGCTTCTGCTGAGTAGCTGTAGCTCCCTTCACATTTACTCGGAGCTGTTGCTACTGCTCATCTCCCGGATCACTTCCGATATCAAAACCTCTACCGCCCAACAGCATGGCGATGCTGTGCCACAGAACATCGCTTTTTTTTCGGCTTCGCGCATAGATATTGATTCCTTTTCCTCGCATTCATCTTTCGACAGCTTAATTGTCGTCAGTCTACTTCGCGTTCACTCGTTGAATATAGTAGATTTGTCGCTGCTGCCAGCTGCATCTTCATCATCGCAGAGTGGGTTATTTGACAGGAAAACGATATTGATTGACACGGAAGGCGGGAGTCCGTTGTTCTTCTCGGAGTTAGGCGATACTACTAACTTCGTCGTCGTACAATTGGAATTTGGTTCGCAAGTACTAGATGATCGCCGAGGAGTGTAGTGTCTAGGAGTGGTTGAGATCATAGAAGAAGCTCTCGTGTTCGTCTCGCTCGTCTTCAATGTATGATTCTCAGAGCTCCTCATTCGTTGCATAGATATGGCTTCATCAACCGTTCCCTTTGCAAGAATTCCTCCGCGTCTTGCGTGGTTTTCTCGGTGGCGAACTACATCTTGTGCACATCTCATTCATCATTGAAAAACAAAATTCGCATAAAAAAAATTCATCTCGCAGCAAGATGCCTGGTCGTCGTTGTATCTAGGCTCCACAGAACAACATCAAAAGATGATGGAGCCTCCGCGACCGCCGAGTCGCAGTCGCATTCGGCTCAACCGGCTAGACACGGCCCCCGAAGTGTCGTTTTACCGCACCTTTCACAACCACTTCAGCGAACAGAAGGAGAATGCGGCGGAATGTATATATACTTGTTGCAAAATAATTTGTTGTAAATCAATGTGATGCAACCGGCGCATCACGGCAGATGAAAAAGAAAAAGAATGCCAAAATAATACTTGATCTTGACTAAATCCTGGGGAGCTATCTTCATGCTTAACAAGAAATTCTTGAGTGCTTCTTGTTCGTTATTCCTCGTTCCTAACATCTTATTAGCGTCGTCCAGCGGTGGTCACCAGGGTCGGGATAAGCAGGACCGGGTTTCCTCGCGGAACAACATGCAGTACCCGTCGTTAATGAACCAGACGATGTCCGGAAAGCGGTTCGTCCTGCGCCCCCTGGTGAGCGGGAACGGGCCCGGATTGGCGGACCATGGGTTTTACCTGCCCGGAGGCACCACGGCGACCGGCATGCCGATGTCGGATCCGCACAACCAGCTTTCGTCTAGCAGCAGCTGCCGGGAGTTGCCGAGCTTCCAGCGCCCGGTCAGTCGCGGCGAGCAGAGGCCAGTCAGTCGTGGGCGGGGCGGGATCAGCACCAACGATCAGGACGGGCTGAACAACACGACGTGCGGACAGGGCGGACCGCCAGGGAGCAACTCGTCCTGCAGTCCGACCATGTTTCATCCTGCGGGCGGGAACAATACTAATACTGTCGGCGGAATAATAAATGGTTCCTCGTCTGCGGGCTCTTGTGGCATAACTACCGGCGTAGCAGGCCTAGACCACCACGGCGGGCCGGCGACATCGATACCGTCCAGCTCGGGCACAACTAGCGGCATAGGCGGTCCCAGCGGTCCTTCCTCCAGTACTAGCAACGGCCTGAGTCGGTGTAGCAGCACGCGGCAACTCGGCGTGTCGTCGCGAAGTGGCGGCGTTGTGCCGGGCCAGTCGGGCAGCTGTCACGTGGTCGGGCACCAGATGACGAGCTGCGCGTCCGAGGTGACACTGGGCACCAGCTCGAAAAGCAGCAGCTCCTGCGGAATCGTAGTGGGCGCGGGCGGGGACTGCATTCCACGCGTGCGGTCTCTGGAATCCTTCGACGAAAGGAGAGAAATCACGCGTGACTACAAGAAGCACCGCGTAGAAAGACCCTCGGACCAAATTCGACCGTCAAGCAGGCAGCAGAACACCAGACCAAACAGCAGATGTGGTAATTATATTCTTTCGATTCGGAATCATGATGAAGATGATGTTCATGTTTAGTTTTCTGCATGGATGATGAAACGATGATAAAGCAGAAGCGGCGTCATCGAGATTTGCATTGGCTCGCCCCCGTCGCCTGCTTACTTGCCCGATTTATTTACTGCTGAGTCTACATGCCGATGCGAAGTCGAAGAAGCACAAGCACTATGACGATATCGTACACACTTCCAAGCAAAAAATACAGGTTTGACGAGCAGCCACTCCGGTCTGATTTTACCTTCTATCTCAACAACGCGGTCGAAGTCGAGTAAGGACTCGCATATTTTCCTGGACTGAAGGGCAGTTGTATAGAAGGGAGAGGTCTGATTTGAATACGGGATGGGCATGCTGATGGAGGTCTGCTGGGGAAGGGGATTTTTCCTAAGGTGGTTCCAGTGGATCATAGATAGGTACTATAGGCACTATCCTTTCGAGGATGTTGCACTTCCTTCTTGCGCAAGGAAAAGTAACAGAAACCTTTACTACAGTACATCAAAAACGAGGAACCAGAATTAATTAATTTACACGACTTTGACTTGTTAGTCTTGACTGACCGATTGATTTGATGCAATTACGACAGTATGATCTTCGATGATTACAGCTTCTGTGCTTGAATGGTACGACTCAAATGACACTCGTTTCTCTCTCGTCCTTGTAAAATCTTTTACTTTCCAAATGAACTTGAGCTTTTCTGTTCACCGGTTTATCCTACACTACCAGGCTACTTCACTATGGCTGATAATGCATATCGAAACTGTCCTAAGCTTAAGCAAGAGATCATTGAGATAGTACAATAATTGAAGACCCGTAGAAGTATTTTCTGCAAATTACCCTAAGAAAGGTCGTGGATAATGAAAAATCCTAAAAGCAGCTCTGCGTCTGATGTTTTGTAGTAATTAGCTGCAGACGAGTAGCTCCTTATCCTGTACAGCTAAGTGCGTCGACCCGGTGACAAAACTGCACGAAGAAGTGTCAGCGGAACATCAACCCCTACCAACTAAACTCCAACTAATGTACTGAAGTAGACCACACCAAAAATTGAAAGAGAAGACCTCGTCGTCCGCTGGTCGGTCATTGCAGGTGCTACCGGTCGCGGATACCTTCGGTGTCCGACGCCGTAGATAGGGTTCCATCTTTACTTTTTTTTTTCCTTGTCGAGGACACAATCCAGCTGTTGATCCTGCTCATTCCTTTTGTTCTTCTTGCAAACACGGTTTTCGTACTGTAAGTATGTGTGTGTAGTTTTGTTCCCCAGCATGGTACCAGTGCGTTTTTGTCTAAGAATCTTGCGCTACATCGTTTTTCCCGTGACCTCGCTCGTCTGTCAGCACCATGATAAGTAGAGTGGGAAGTGTCCCCCGGCCCCGGCGCTCTTTTGCTGTCTTCTTTGTGTAAAGTTGAATTGAGCGGATTTTGTGCTCCTTTCTTACCCCAACCAAGACAGGATGTCGAAGAAACAGAAAAAATCCACCACCGCCGAACCCCCGGAGCCAACGCCAAACCCGTCCCCCGCTGGTACAAAGAAGCAAGATATCGACGACGTCGTCCCTAAAGTCGCTGCGACAGGTACAACAAGAAATAGGGATAAGACCAGCACCCGGGTTGTGAAGTGCGACACCTGGGTAGTGAACGCGTTCACGACCCGGACGTTTGCAGGTAACCCGGCCGCGGTGGTGGTGTTTGACTACGATTATATGGAGGAATTCCACTGGGATTGGCGAATCGATCACGACGGGGAAGTCTCCGTGCCACATCCAACCGAAACGCCAAATTGGTTTTTGCACGTTGCCGCACAGATGAAGCACAGTGAAACGGCTTTCGTCTGGCCCATGAACAAATTATCCGACCACAACGAGGACAAGGCCGAGGGCTGCCCTGGAGGTTCTTTTATCCGGCACGACACAAGAAAGATGAACCCGGACGACAAGTTCTGTTTTCGCATTCGGTGGTGGACCCCGACTAATGAAGTCGACTTGTGCGGCCACGCGACCTTGGCCTCGGCCCACGTGCTTTTCCGACACGTTTTGCAGCGAGAACTACCCACATCCAGTTCAGAAACGGCCTTTCCGCGGAGACCAGAAAAGATTCACTTCTTCTACGAGAAAAGGGCGCAGTGGGCGGAGGTTGTACCGGCGAATATTGAGAGATATTTTCACGATAGCGCAGCTGCAGGTGGTTCAACACTAGTATCGCCACATAAACTAGCAGCATCTAGTACACCGGGGCCTCGTTCGTTCGCCACGAATGCTTTGAAACTACAGCTCCCTTGCGACTACCCGTTGAAGGTTCTCATCCACAGAATAAACGATAAAGCAGTACTAGACCGAAGCCTCTACGACATGGAGCCGATCATCGGAACAACGCACGAGATGAAGAACAAGCTGGACGCGGATTGCGGCGCCGCGGTCTGCACCGAAAAGCTCGCGGAATTGCTGTATCTGATCGCGGAAGAGATTCTGCAGTCGATAGTGCGAGGATCAAGAACAGAGTTCTTCAAGGATAGTTGTACTTCTTCTGTCGTGAACCTGTACTTCAGTGCAAATACGAAGAAGTTGTTTATAGAGCTCAACAGCATCGGGAATTGCGCCGATGGAACTACATCTTCTGACAACACGCACTTAGCATCATCGCTCGCGACTATGGGGGAGGTGAGCAGCGAAACCATGGAAAAATGGGTCCAACTAACGCAAAAGCAAAGCTTGGAAACGATGATGTGCGGAACAAAGACAACATCCCTTGCAAACCCTGGCGCGGACCCTGTTTCCACCGCAAAGACCGACGCGACCATCCATTTTGTTCAGAAATGTGTCCGCGGGGTTTGTTTTTTTCAGAAAATAACAACATTTTCTTCTTCCCGAGTAGATGACAGCACGGTTGATCCGATATCAGCATACCACACACGGTATTTCTCCCCTTGGAACGGAATCGGCGAGGACCCGGCCAACGGAAGCTCGCACGCGTCCTTAGCGCCGTTATGGACTACAACAACATCAAGAACGGCACGAGGTTCAACTGCAGCAACGACAAAAGCGGCAACGCGTGGTCCAATCAAGTTTCTCTCCCAGATCAAGAGCCAGCGGGGTGCGGAAATGATCGTGTCCGTGGGTCCCAAGCCCGGCTGCCGAGCGGATAGCGTCAACCCGGCCGACTTGGCGACCTACATTGAGGGGGAAGCCAGGACGGTGCTGACGGGGTCTATGGAGTTCGATTTCGGCCCTTCTGTTTGGGCGAGCGCGAACAAGTAGAACGACTGGCTTGTAATCAGACAAGAATACATGAATAAAAGGCTTCGGGAATAGCAAGCTACTGACAACCTTCGTGGCGCACGGCGATGCTGTCGAAAGGAACGGATAAAAGTATTTGTTCGGAATAAAAGATATCGATATATGTACAAGAGGTAGAGGGCATAGATAGTAAGTGAGTATCCGGATGGCAAAGAAAAACCAACCTGCAATTCGTGTGGAACTAATGCCCGCGGGCACAAGCGCCGGTTTCCATCCTCTGCAATCGTCAGCATCTCTCGATCACTCGAATCGCAGTCTCGTTGAGTCGCTTCACTCGCCGTTGGAATACATGAATGTCGTCGCAAGTACAAGTACCCTTCGTGAGGGAGTTGTAAGGTTTGACAACTTCTGTAGTTACTTTCGCTGCTAGATCGATGGACTGATCGAAGAAAGAGTTTCGTTTCGCTTTCATCGTCGAGTGGCGGATCATCGTGTCGTGACTCATCGTGCTTTATTTCGATTTCGTCGTCGTCGTCGGCATACTAGTATGATTAAGAAAAAACTCCTCGTTGATTCATTGGCCCGAAAGTGACTGCGCACTGGGTCTATCAATCCAATTATGACGCTTTTTCTCGACGCACCAATGAATAATGAATTTAGATTTGTGTAGGTGTAGCTAGTCAGAGAAAAGGGAGAAGACAGAGCCTGCTGTATTGTCGCGCATGCTGTGATACGGAAGACCAAAGCAAGCTTCCACGAAGGCAGAAAGTAGAAGTACTCTTGTTACTGACTATTGCAAATGATGCGTACTGCTCGACGCAGCCACGTCACCCACGCGCTATTGTAGTTGCGGCGACAAAGACAAACGAACATTGAGGAGTTGTACGGGCCGCGTTTTCACATCCGATCTTGTTGTCTCTAGTACAAAAATTGCGTGAAAATCGTCGTGTTAACCCGCAACGAAAAGTGGAAGTACCAGAAGTAGTTTCTGTTGCATCTTCTTCGACCGGCGGAAAAATGGGGAAGAAAGAATTCATATTACAATGAAAAATGCCCCCTCCCCATATCAAAACGGATAGCTGTGATGCAGATTTGTGGTCACAAATCAGCTTTGTGATGCTAGAAGGCAAGAGATGCGGACTGTAGTGCTGTCTAGCGTGGGAAAGCCTTGCAGCTCCAGGATGACAGGAGGCAACTGGAAGTGGGAAACAGCATGACAGATTGCCTGCAATTTAGGCCGCAGCTTCGTCTCTTGGCCATCTAGCAATACAAGTTGATTTGTGTACTCAAATACAGCATCACAAATTCGCGCATCTTCCGTTTCCGATATGGGGTAGGGGCTTTTTTCACTTTGATAATTCAGCAAGGACTACTTCGCCAAGGGGCAGACGGAGACGGCGAGTCGGTTTGATATCAAATGTAAAAATGTCTGGGTCTGGAAGAATGCAACTTGTCATGCTGATTTTGGATTCTAAAAAAATCTGTATTGCATGAGCAGCAAAGAGAGTCCAAATTTTGCAGCACGGAAAGAGCATTTGTCATGCGGAATAGGCATCAGGAAGCCCTCTAAAAATCTGTGATGCTAGGGCATGCGTCACAGACTTGAGGAGTCATGCAAAATGTGCATGACAAACCCGGCAATCTTCCAGACCCAGACATTTTTACACTTGATATTTGACTTCATCAAGCAATTTGTGGTGATAAAACTGGTCTGTACCGGCGTCTACGTCTGGGGCATGATGAGCACCACCTGGCACCAGTCTCCGTTCAAAACTCCCTTTACTCACACAGCAAGGGTACTATCAAGTCGATCGAAAAATTTTTCATCGTCCAATGCTGAAACGATAGCACCCAATCCTACTACGTTCGTACATAGATGGATGCGTAAAATAAATAGGATGGAATTTTTTCAAATACAAATGATCACCAAGGGAAGCAAACAAAAAACAAATCCTTTCAACAGTTGCAGTACGGCCCGCTGTTTGGCGAGATGCGGGTGATTTGCAAGAGTGAGCTGTCTCAGCAGATTGACCAGATGCGGCCCGGATTCAAGAAGAACCTGGCGGATATTCTCACGGGGAAAGATATGGGTGTGTCAGGATCGAAATCGACAACGTTGAAATATTAATTTGTGATGCATAAAACGGATACCAATTGGCGCCAAGTTTCCAAGTAGCGCATGACAAATTTGGGTAGAACCTAAATCCAGTTTGCCATGTTGTTTGGGTAAGGGCGACGCCTTTTGTCATGCTACTTTAGCAGCTCGATTACGATTTCTACACCTCAACAGGCTTACAGTCTGCCTGTGTTGCCTATTCTGCAAGGCAGGCATTTTGTGGGGTGCATTTTATGCATGACAAACTTTTCCAACTTTGACGATTTCGATTCTGACGCTTCCATAAAAGACTTCAGCAAAATGGCGATTTTTACAGACAACCCGAAAGGCCTGAACCTTGGGGAGATGCGGGAGGTGTTTTGCGGAGAGGTCTTTCAGCACCTAAAGGGCGGAAGTCTAATCTCGGTCTACCAGAGCACGCAGGCAGCCTTAGGACTACTCCCCGGGTTCGGGAACTGGCTCGGGAAGGAACTGCAAAGGGACGTCGGATGGCTGCTGATAATAGGAAGTATTTGAAATACTTTCGTTTTTCTTTTCTGCAGCATTTATTGTTATTCAGAAGGTAGAAATGAATCGAAAGTCGTTTTGCATACGTTTAATCTACCAAAAAAAATCTTTCACCAAACAGTGTTTTTCTGTGGGATGCTTTGCGTCCACTTTTTCCTGCTGTTTCTGGGGTTCTGCATGCTGCAAGTGTACTGGAAAACAAGACCATCGCCGACCATCCGAATCTGGGGCTGTCGGATGATTCCCGCAGCCACCTACCTAGTCACCGTCGGGCATTTGGCCTACATCTTCCTCCCAGTGAATAGTTTCACGCTCGCCGAGAAATACACCACCATCATGACCGCAGGGCTTTACCAGTACATACTTCTATCTCAGATTTGTTTTTGATATTTGGGACAATTCGCTTTTCTTTTTGTTCCGACCACCTTGTAATAATGAAGGATCGCAGGTACAGGTAGAAATGATTTTGGGTGAAGTAGTAGAGAAGCTAAGCAGAAGATGCAGATGCACATCATCGAATTACAATTACAGGTTCTTCACCGGCGGGAAGATGACGAACGAAGCGTTTTTTCTGGACTGCGGCAAGGCGTTTCTGTACGTGACCACGGCGATTTTGGTGGATATCTTCTTCAGCACCTGGTTCGTCTACTCTTTTCCGCTCCACCCCAAGGAGCGCAAGGACGAGAAGCTGCGGGGGGAGGACGCGCAGCTGGACGCCATGGAGAGAGCTTACGACAACGCGTACCAAGTCGACGAGGCACACGACGGCGACTATTTCGACGACCCGCTCGCGGAGTTTGAAAACATGCAGGGCGACTACGGCGGGGCCACCGCGCACAAGCACTTCAACAAAAAAAGCTAGGCAAAAATATTTGGAAAAAGAATGAAAACTCTACTCACTGTACTAAAAAAAATGAAATTAAGACTGCCTTACTTGTAATTTCAACTTGACCGCCACCGCTTCGTTTTTAAATTGCAACATCCGAGATGATCGATATTTGACATGAGGATCAAGTACGACCTAAGTAATGTCCATAGACCGCCACGACTTGTTGTCCAAATTGAATCCATATCTATCATGTACGATACTAGGGATCTTTTCGAAATTAGCAAAACTACACTTTGTACAAATAATATCTTCAAACAAAGTATTATTCCTCGCCTACGGCTTCTTGTACCATAATGCTGCAGTGATATTAAACCGTAAAGCATGCTTTTGCTAGTGCTTCCAGACTGTAAAAACGGTTGCACGACCCTGTACAAAAAGATGCTTTAAGAAGTTGCACGAGAGCGCACAAATGAGGAAGTCCACCCAGCTAGAAAGTATTACACGGGGGACGTCGAAGATGTCTCGCAATAAATCAGGATCACCTTCGTGTTTGATCAAGGTCTCGTGAGCAGGCTGCACAAAGGTTCTGAATGATCTCCGATCCCGAAGATACGGCTGGAAGTAGATTCAATATTGATACTTGATGCAATCGAATAGAGAATTCGAAATAGATATCAATCGAATAGAGAATTTCAATATTGATAAGGATGATTGAAATTGATGCAGATGCTTGCAGGCTGGGCGATGAAATGCATATATTGCAGGGAAAACGCGTTCCCACCTTCGGCAAGACAGCAAGAAGCAAAGAAAGATATTGTTTACTATATGAAGATTGCTAACGAAAAATGCAGGGTGTTTTTCCGGGAACGAAGTCTAGACTCATTCGATGATCGCCAGAATTTGCTGGTCCTTCCCGTCATCAAACTCAATTATGTGTTTCTCGCTAGTGGAGCTACGAATGCACGTAGGAAGCTAAATTAAATACGGTCAAAATAATGACGGCAGCGGCACCGGCGCAGCGCATCGAGTCTTCGCAAGATGACTCTGACGCCATGTTGCGTGCTGGTCGTGTCCGTGTCCCAATCAATTCAACCGAGGATGAAGCCAGCAGCTTCTTGAAAGCCGTGAAGGAGATGGATCCGCTACAAGTAACAAAGCTCAGCAAAAGAGCCCCATCGACGATGACCGGTGACTGCGGCTCGTTTCAGGTTGAGTTTTTGACGATCAAAAACAACGTCCGCTGGACCGTGGTTCTCGGACACAAGGACCACGATGAAACGAGTGCTGGAAATCAGGCTTCGGGCGCGGCCGATGTTGAAGCAGCAGCAACAAGAGACGCAGGACAGCACCTCCAGGAGGAATCAACCGCTGTGCAGACCATCGAGGGCGGCGGGGTTGCTGGGGAGCGGATTTCACCCGAGTGTCGGTTTTTTTTCGAACAGGGAAATTTGTCATGGCTGAAGCCGAAGAGCAAAAGCGGGGACGAGGACAACCACAAAACGGACGGCCGCAACACGACCACCTCGTCGTACTACGAGAAAATCATCGAGCTGGGCTGCGGACACGGGGGCTTGGCCGCCTGGGCCGCGGCGGTTTTGAAAACCGACAATAGAACTAAAGAGAATGTGCAGAAGAAAAGGGGACGTGAAAAGCATCGTGATGGGAACAACGATGTAGATGAGACCGAGTCCGATGCAAATGAGGTTGAGGACGAGCAGCTGCCCAAGAACATCAACACTAGCGCCGAGATGAAAACTTCTACACTAAAAACCACCGTCATAGCCACGGACCTGGCCGAGTTCCTGTCCCGTGCGGAAGCGACGAGGGACGCGAATGAGAATTCAACGCTGTTTGGTCCAGAACCTGATGCAGAAGTGGACTTCGAGACGCGCCCTTTAGCATTTGGGTCCATAGACGACATCCGGGCAATTGTGTGCAGTGGGGTCGTCTCAAAAATAGAAGAAATTCCACCTGTAGAAGACGCAGAAGAAGGCGAGGACGACGAGGAAAAGCTACGGAGTGCAATATCAATTCCAAGAACTTCTACGCGACCATCGACCCGGCAGCAGCAACCGATGCTCCTCCTCGGTGCCGGAATCACCTACTGGGAATGCCTTTTCGCCCCTCTAGCGGAAACGATGGAGCAGTTTTTCGCTTTGCGCCACCACGAAGAAGACACCGCCCTGATCAGCTACTTCCGGCGCAACTGGAGTGGCTGCGAGAAGCGGTTTTGGACCAAGATTCTGCCCCGGGTGTGCGACGTGGAAATTTTGACCCAAGGGAAATTGGTAGGAGAAAAGGACGCCAGGATCTTTGCGCCGCTTTGTACCAGAGGCGAATTTGAGGGCGAGGACGACTGGAATGTGCGGATTTATCGGCTGCGACGGAAAGCACAAGCAGGGAAGCAGCCGAATAAGCATGATTGTTATGGGGTTAAATTATCCGGCGAACGCGAAGAACATGAGGCAAGATCTGGCAAGAAGAACTACGGGATGAAGGACAAAATAAATGTGTTGACAAACGAGGAGAAACGCAAGGCCGCAGCACTCGCCGCAAAAATTGCGAAGGAGCAAGCAAAAATGGGTAAAAAAGATGGTTGTACTACAGGTATCTCAACTGTGCTTGTGGATCTCAACGTTGAGACCTCACAGCTCAACGTTGAGAAATATATCTCAACGACCAGCAGTGGTTTAGGGTTTCGGGTTTAGGATTTGGGGTTTAGGTCGTCGGGCAGGGCAGCCGCCGCCGGCCGGCCGGCCGGCCGGCGGCGGCTGCCCTGCCCGACGACTCTCTGGTCGCTCTCCTGCGATCTTCATTGTTGCCCGGCCCGTTTTGCGCGCCCCGTTGGCTTGTGTGCATTGTGTCTCACTATGCGCGCAGCCTCTGTGCGTTTTTCTAACTATCTATGAGCCCGCTCGCCGGCATTCGTGTTGGCGGGACCTCTGAGAGGTTTGTGGCCCGGGCTTGATGCGCACCTTCACGCCACGGAGTTCTTCTGTGCGCAGACCGTTGAGACCAGTCGTTGAGCTCTTCGCGAATCCGTTGAGGCGTCTCAAAGCGTTGGGGCGCAACCGTTGAGATTCACTCGTTGAGATTCCTGTATAACAACCAAAAAAGATGGTTCTACTTCCGCTGCTGCTGACTGTGGGGGTGGTGGCGGGGGAAAGAAGAAAAAAGACAAGAAGAAGTGACGACTAAGTATTTTCAATAAAGACGACATCGAATTTTCCAATCTTGTCCTTGTTCCCCATTCGTATTATCCGGGATATAACTACTTTTCTCAAACCCCGCCCTATAGCGCATTCGGAATGGCACACTATGTATGAACAAGCGACAGAAACGAACGACAATCTCAGCACTCGAATCCAGAGGTACGGACGAAATGTCGGCCACCACGAGGCCGAGGCAAGCGTCTCTTGTTTATCGAGAGGCTTCGGCGCCACAGGTGTTCTACCCCTTCGCAAATACCTTCCTTTCGCTCTCAATCGGAAAAAATCAGTGATATTAAAGTATGGCGGTCGCTCGTATCGGTCTGTCTCGTGTTCTTTACGTGTGTGACGCAGGGCCGCGAGTGTTGACTTTAGTCAGGACTTTGGTCCTTCATGACAGCAAAGGGTCATGATACTCTCGTGCGGTTAACATTTGAAAAGTTCAAAAACAAAAAGAAAGAGTACACCATGTCGTGAACAAGCGCAGAATCAAGACAGAACGCCTAACACCATGTTTCGTCGTGCTTTCCCCACCCTCCGTTGGTGCTCGTCCAACCCGCAAAACAGCATGACGATGCGGGACCCGCGGATCCACGACAGCACGTACGACAAGGTCCTGAAGCCGCCCTTTTTCAAGCACCGACGGATGTCGCACCCGTACTTCTGCTCGGATTTCTCCAAGGGAAAAAGGAAACTGGTACTCCGCATAGAGTACGATTGGCGGAGGTTCGCGAGGGAGGCGAGGGAACTGAAGACGGTACTGCACCGGCTGTTTGTTGAGAAGAGAAGAATACGAAACGGAATTGATAACGGGTCTTCTTCCGAGTCAGAGTCCCAGCTCGCTCAGGATGAAGGCAACTATCAAATGCAAAAATGTCTGGCTCTGGAAGGTTGGACTTGGAACTTGTGATGCTCACCTCGGACTCTAAAAAAATCTGTATAATTGTATGACCAGCAAGAGGAGTCTAGTCTGTGCTACGCGGGAAGGTATTTGTCATGCGGAGTAGGCATCAGGAAGCCCTCTAAAAATCTGTGATGCGAGGTCGTGCATTACAGACCTCCTGGGTCATGGAAAATATGCATGACAAACCCAGCAACATTCCAGACCCAGACACTTTCGCATTTGATAGTAACAGACTTTCTGCAACGAGAACCGCGAGGACTATGTCGAGTAGCTTCGATCTGGTTGAAATCGAGGCGTCCGGAGTGCCGGTTGGAGAGCAGGAAGTACGAGTGTCGGTTGCGGGTGAGAATATGACCGTCTTGCACCACGGGGAATTCAAAAGTGTACTGACGGAAGCAGGGTTGAGAAATCTGCACGCACGCGTTGTGAGGAGTTTCGATATCAGCTGCTGACAAAATGTAGGAGTACTGCGTGTAGTAACTGCGTCTCGTTGTCGGAAAGGTGCGTGCGCTTGAGCTTGTCTTGCTCTTGCGATTGACACTTTCATCGCATATCATATGACGCAGACCAGTCTGCCCTTTTTATCGCAATCAATCTGTAAGAACGTAAGTGTTGCTGCCTTCGCCGTTCGTTGTTCTGGTTGTCGTCGAGAAGAAAATGCTTCAAAAACAGAAACAAACCTAAAGATTGCGTCGCTCTGCGCTCGCATGTAGTTCGTCATCTTAAGTCATTGATTGAAAATTTTTCGTGTTGTGAGCAACACAAAGGGACGAAAAGTCGTACTTATCGTAGTACTAAAAACTGCTAGATGGCAGAAAAAGGAATTCGTGAACGATTGTGACGCAAAACCGCTTCAACAAAAACTGTACTTGTATAAATATGCTTCAGCTTGATATATGCTTTATTCGTCGTCACGGCGTTTATTTCAAAATTCCCACAATTTTTGAAATCAAAACCGGCAAAGTTTTTTCTTTCAAGCAAGGGGAAGCGAATAACTGTATAGCAAGGGAAAAATAAGAATAAGTAGCAATACATCTTTGTTTCACCATCACCAAGGCTGCATAGCGCATCAACTTCACCTCTCAGCTACACACAAATCCAACAAAATCATGCCTGCTCCACGTAACAGCACGAACGGCCGCGATTCCGTCTCCGGACGGCAGTCCACCAAGCCGGCGTCTGCGAAGAGGCGATCTCAAGGTATATATAATCCCGTTGCATAATCCTGCTATTAAACCTCAAAAAGTATAAGGAAATCTGGAAGTCCATGGAACGAATAAGTAATCCTCTCCTACAAGTTCATGAGCCAATCTTGAAAGTGAGTATAATACCATAATAAAACGCCACCAGCCCCCGACCGTGTTTCGCAAGAAGCTGACTTGGCGAAGAAGATGGGGCTTGAGAGACCCATATGAAATGCAAAAGCATCGCACTAGTAGTAATCGCATTAATACAAGTTTTCTCAGCATGACAAATGCAATTTCTCATGCTGATTTACCTTGAAAAAGAGATTTGTCATGCATAAATGCGATTACTACGAGTACGATACTTTTGCACAGGATAACCCACCGCTTATGCTGTTGTGGACACCAACGTGATTGGCGGGCGTCGGTCCGCCATGCTGGACAAATACAAGGAGGGCGAGCTGGAATCCCTGTTCATCGACAAGGTCAAAGAACGGGACATTGAGTGGGTACTGTATTAGACCTTTTTGATGTTTTCTGAATCGAAGTGAAGTTCTATTCCTTTTCCTCCGATGCAATTGCAATCGGAAAAAATCCAAAGCAGCATGGTACAGGCAAAATAAACTACGAAGGATTTTTACTAGAGGAGCAGAAGCTTGGGCTTGGCGCATAGCAAAGGACTTCGAGCCGCACAATAAGGTGTTAACAAGACTAAAACAATTTATGTTTATCAGGTGAAGCACACGCTTTCCCAGTGCGGGCGGGAGCTGTTCCTGAGTCCCTACGCTGGGGGGATCATCAAAACGTCGATCCTGTACGCTGCTGAGTCCGCCGACGAAAACCTGTGCAAGTTGCTCGTGCGGTATGGCGGTAAGGAGTTACTACTGGTGAAGAACTTCAAGGGTCGGGACGCACGGTACTTTGCGGAGAAGAACGGCATCGACATTGGAAAACTCTCCACGGAAGCAACAGTGGATTGCTGGAACCTGAACACTTTGAACGGGCTGCAAGGTGCGAAGCGCGCTTCGGAAAAGCTGAGCGGATCGTCGCCGACACAGACGGTGTCCACCGGCCCGAGCGAGCTGCTCTCCGGACCAGCTTCGCCAGCGGTGTAACACGCATACTTTGTAGTGTAACTCCTGTACTGCTAGTGTTTCAACATCTAAATTTGAGATTGATACGATAGTTAGAGTGTGTTGACGTCGAGTTGCAGCACTTGCAGAATTTACTTTATTCCAAGAAGTTCACTCGAAGTAAAATTTGATTTTGTATGATTGGGTCGTGTTGCTTTGAATCGAAAATAGTTTGGCTTACACATCACAGCAAAATTTTTGTGATTTATTCAGAAAACCGATTTTTCGCCGCTTTGGGTGGTTGAATTTTGGGAGATTTTCTTGTTTTTTTGTAACCTGTAGATTAAATTGCCCCACCCTTTGCTGGTTCGGTTTACTATACGAGGTCGTACTCTTATTTTTCAATGCACCCGGAAAACTGCACTTTCCATTATCTGTTTCAAAAAGCGCCACTCGTTACGGTGACCTCCTGACGTTTTTTTACATTAGGTCGATTGGACCAAATACACATGGCTACATAGAGACACAATTTGCTCGGCAACATTCATAGCTTTGCCCTTTTCAAACCTGGCAAAAGCACAAGGTCGATTTTCATTTTTCTCACATGTTATCAAAACACACTAACGCTGTCTAACCGAGCCAGCGCACAACTGGGGCTGCGTCGAGGAGCCGGCTCTTGCACTTCAATTAAGATCGGGATGGTGTTTCCCTTTCCTCCCGCCAATAAACTACGTCTAGTACACTGCCTTGCCGACTGGTCCTCGTTTCGAAATTCGCTCGAAAGATATTCGCAAAGAGTCGTCGTTGCGCTGCTTAAACGCGTCGAAAAAAAAATCGTGAACAAGAATAGAGAAGGTCTAGAGCTCGCTGAATCGTTACTCCCCGAATCGTTGTCGTCTCGGATAATTTTGTCGCTGTCATGGTTCATCTTCTTTCGCGATCCCCAACTCGAGTTTGAGGACGGTGAAGAAGTTAGTTCTCCTCACTACAAAAGGTTCAAAAAGTAGACTTCGCACAGCTCGCCTGGTCCCCATCTAAAATTGTACTTTTCACTCACGAGCACAGGGATTTGTACGAGTATAACTGTAACAAAAAAGCTAGTTCTCAGTCGAGGTTTACTTTTTATCAGCGTTTTTTTTATTTTTTGAGTACAGGTAGTGGCCCACTATAGCTCTCTTTCGTCTTTTCTCTTTCCACTAGTCCGTCCAGCTCTATCTATCTATCTCTCACTGGGGGTCTGTTGAGTTTCTCTCCAAAAAACTGTTGCACCGCCGCACCAACGAGTGCGAGCATACCGAACGGTAATATTCTGATCTGATCTGCTGTCAAGATCAAATATTCTCGATCCCGTTACTTTTCGTTGATCAGCACTTATTTCACAGAAAAGAAATAAGAACCGCAAAGTCAAAATGTCACTCCCCGCCACTCGTCCGCGTTTTGGTTTCGCGCACGCGCGCCGTGATTTCCCAGCAGCAGCGACCACAGGAGCACCTCCACTACAGGGAAAAAATGTAGTCGCAGCACCGACAGCACAGAGCGATGATTTTTCTACCAGTAGTATAACAACTGCTACAACTGTTCTTCCGAGCAAGAACATCCTGGGTCAGCCGCAGGAGACCGCGGCTGCGAAGGTGCGCAAGCTGCTAGGCGACGAAGTGGAGGATGATGCAGCTGTTTTGGACCTGAATAGCATCCGGACGCAGCTTTCCGCCGGATCCGCAGGAGAAGCTTCAGTGGCGAAGACGACCGGATCTTCGAAGAACACTACTGCAGCTACACCCGGAGGGGCAGCAGTGTCGTGTTCCTTGGCGGGAATAAAAAACGTACAGCAAGAACTCTCCAAGAAGAATACGCCGACACGAAGACAGACCAACTTCAGTCCCATCTTCACACCACCGGGAATAAACAAGCAGAACAAGCAGCAGCTAAAAAATGCGTCGCCGAGTCGTGGGGACACAGAACCGAAAGTGGTTAGAAGTACTTCACCAGGCCAAGTTGGCACGGGAGGCGGTGCAGGAAAAGTCGTACAAGTTGCACCACACGACCAGCAAAGTGAACACCAGCGAAAGCTGCTGCACAAAATAAACAACGAGGACCCGCCTACGAAAAATAGCACCACCATCGTGCCAGCACCCCCGAAATTCGGGTTCGCGCACGCCTACCGCGGACAACAACAGGCGACCACAAAGAAATCAACCTCCACGCCGCCGCCTTTGACAAGAAACAAGGCATTCATCTCGCCTGGAACAAGGAACAACTTCAATGCTGCGACATCGGGTGCTGGTGGTTCTTCCGCGGGGATAGCTAGTACATCATCCGGTGCGGGACATTGTACTACTGCAGCTTCGATGACGAATAAAAACACGACCAGCGCTTTAGATGATCACACTTCCGCTCGGAGCCCGCAGATGAACATCAAGGGAACTGCCGACCAGAGGGAACATTTTCAAATGCACAGAACGAATTGGGATCGAAATTACAACACACCGGACGCTAGCAGCAGCGGTGGACACTATGTTGCACGTCCGTATGAGATGAACAATAACTCTGCTTTATTCAACAGCGCTGGAAGAACTTCCCCTACAACGTCTGGCGCGACAACAGTCCCAGCTCCAGGCACAAACTACTGCTCCTACGTGCATAATCAAGCAGAGCTGCAACTTCTTCACGACAGCGAGCGGCATCCGCATCGGCCACAGGGAAGGAGAAATACAAGTACCAGAGCACCTCCAGACCATGAACATCGTGCACCATATGACATGGACAATCGAACCCCCCAGTTGTACTCGGCTGGCGCGCGGCAATTCCTGGACAATGATTTACACGTGGATATCCTGAGCAAAAACGTCCCCACCCCATAGTCAATGAATTTGATAAATCTGCAACACAAATCGCCAAGCTTTGGGAGTTGTGCATGACAAATTTCCGTCTGTAGTATAGTGGTGCTTAGCAAGGCAAGCCGCATGAGAAAGCCAATTTCTCATCCAGTTTACAGCATTACAAATGCCAAATCGCGATTAGAAATGCCTCTCATGGGGATGCGCATTACAAATGTTCGTCTCATTGCGCATTTGTATGGGGTGGGGACGTTTTTACACGGGATAGTGGAAGAAGAATCTGTCATCTCCTGCACAAGCCGCTCGACCTCCCGTGCGCCCTCAAACGCCAGTTCAGTGGTTCGCAGAAGTCGAGCGGTCAATAGTATTGGTACCGGAGTTGACGTCAATAATTACCCGGTCTTGCACCAAGGCGGCTACTATGACGGGACCACAGCGCCGGAGTACAGTGACGGTTACGCTTCCCCCAATCATGCGCCGCGTTCGTCGCAGCGCGGCGGGAAAATGTCGCACCACCAGATACGGTACAGCAATGGCATGCAGCCGCCACCAAGAATGGTCCGGCGCGTCGTGAATCCTGGCGGGGTCGTAGAACACCAGCTGCAGCAAAGAGTTATCGTGAAGAAAAAGCGCGGAGTGAACGGACCCGGTGCGGGAAGGGAGAGTGGACACAATTACCAGGGTAGCAAAGCGAGGCGGCAGAAGGGCTTGCAGGCATCGCAGGAGGCGGTGGGGGCGACAAGGTACTTAATCTTATCAGGGGATTTTTGTTTATTTCGCTGTTCTACTTGGATAAGGACACTGGTCCGTCTCGTACTGGATGGCGAAGATTATAACAGGCACTTTCTGGTGTGACTGTGTAGTGCACAAGTTGTAGCACGGCTGCATCCTTGAAACACAGGAGTTTTTCGCATGTATGATTTTTACACGACTACACTCAGGGCTCGGCGGTTGGTGCAGTTCCTGTTTCTGCTGCTGATTCTGGGGTTAGTTGTGGACCCGACGTTTTTTGGGCTATTCCCCTCGAACGAAGAGCCGCCAGGCGCGTCAAGAAACTTGAACGTCGCATCGGGACCCGAAGGAGTTGTGTGGAAAAATAAGAAAAAGAAGAGAAAACGTGGCCCAGCTGCACCGGCGGCAAACGCGAAGGTGGGGCCGCAAGGGGAGGGCGACAGCAGCAGTGTCCTCGCGGAAGATGGTGCGGGAGAGGAAAATTTACAGGGGGCAGCAGCAGCTGCTTCCCGACAACGCAGCAGCCGAGCGTCGGCAGGAAGGACGGGGAAAAAATCGTCTAGAAGGAAAAGTATACAGAGAATTTTTTGTTGTTTTCGTTTTTGGATGGGAAAATAAGCGGAAGATCACTCATGCTCATTCTGTTATGCGCAAGACCAAGATGAAAAACTAAAAAAAAAACAGAGCGGTCCAGCAAGTCCAAGAGGTCCGCAGCAGCTCAGCCCCCGCCAGCGACCGCTGCTGTAGAGGAACACGCAACGCCCAACGCGTTTTCCGCATTGGAAATGCCACCCGTGGCCGTGTCAACGCATCAGTCGCACGAACACGCGTACAACGTGAGGGACGACGATATCGACGACTTTCACAGCACGGAGGACGACGACCAGGAGGAGTTGCCGCGACCCACTTGGCGTTTCCGCGGTTCGCACGCGGCCGCTGCGGAGATCAAGAGGAAATCCGCGTCCTCTGGTACAAGTGGGAAAATAAACAATATTGTTCCTACCGCCATCAAAAAATCCTCCAAGTTCCAGCAGTTTTCCTCCTGGCTGCAGACGAAAATGCGGATGACGAGTACCATATCAAGTGCAAAAATGTCTGGGTCTGGAAACTTGTAATGCTGCGTTGGGAACAGTGAATGCTCTCTAATGCACCAACAAGCATGAGAAATATCTGCGCTTCTTCGTGTTGCGTTTTTCATTGCATGACAGGCAAAAGGGTCTTTTCTTGGACACGCATCACAAACTTTTTGGTCATGCCAGACAAGCATGACAAAACTCGCAATCTTCCAGACCCAGACATTTTTGCATTTGATATACCAGTCTCATCTCTTCCGCCTACACGAACCACGCCAAGAGCAATGACCAACCCGGGAAAAAAATAATCTCCAATCGCGTTATCGCCCGCGACCTCGACGCCCCCGCGCCCTCCCGGCACGCGGCGTTCGCGCGGACTTATGTCGGGGTGGGCTTGGCGAAAACTTACCGGTATTTTGTCGGCACCTACCCGACGGCCACTCGCGTGTTCCACCTGTATTTAGCGATCATCTTCGCAACGCTGACCGCAATTACCGGGCTGCTGGTGAATCTGGTGTACATGCAGGGCTTTGTCATCGACAGTCATCGGCTGGTGTCCGCTACTGCGGTGCAGCGAGTTCTTGACCACAGTTCTTCTGGTGCGACTGGCGAAGATAAGGAAGAAGGAGCGGAAGACGGATTAGAAGTAGAGAAAATGAAGAAAAAAGTGGGGTTTGCAAATGCAAATGCAAGTACCACCACCTCGCCTGTTTTATCTCCAGCCGGGAAGAAAATCTCCGCACTTTTCACGTGGTGGAACTCGTTCTTCCAAACCAGCTTGTTCACCAGGAAGGAGCTCTACGAAGAGGAGGAGCTCTCCAGCTCCTGTTCTGAAGATGACGACGAAGCTGCTACCTCTAGCGACACTGGCGGTGAAGAGGGGAGTGAACACGATATAATCGGCACGACTGTCAGTAGAAATCATCATGTAGAGCACTCCTATAAAAATCCCCGAAGAGGACGAGAACGATCTGGGGTGCAGGATCAACATGGCTCGCACGTACAGATTCTTGACGAGACCAGCCATTTGTACACGGCGATTCGCAAGTATAATCCGAATGTGAACTACAAGGGAAGTAGTAGCGGCGGGGGCAAAAATTATTCTAACAAACTGCAAAAGAAGAATCACGCGGCCCAGAAGATGAACAGCAACTCCACGAACGACAAATTCCTCTACTACGACTCACTAAACGATTGTGGTGGCGATAATTACCGGATTTTCAGTCTGATGCCGCAAACGAAGGCAACGACCGTGGAAGACGTGGTGAAAATGTCGGGAAGTAATACTAGAAGTTCGAGGATGAAAACCGATACCGAAGTTTCTGCAGGTCCTCGTGCTGACCTCCACGCTAGAAGTGTTTTACACGACGAGGAGGATGACGAGGAGGTGGAATTCGAGGCGCCACCAGTGGAGACAGCAAGTGTTTCGTCCCGGAATTACGGAACGAACAAGAGAGGCAGGAACAACTCGAGCAGCAGTAGAGCTTCGTTTCAACAAAGGCTACAGGAGGCGAACCAAAGGAGGACCCAGGCGATGTATGAGAGCAGCGTGAAGGTATAGTTGGAGCAAGGAAATGTCGGAAATTCAAATTTTTCTTGAGGTCATGATTTTCAGCCACTGTTGTTGTACGAATTAATGTGAATTCTACCAAATAAAAGTAGAAACAGAAAGAAGTCTGAGTAAACCAAAAATCAGATGAGCCAGTGGGTGGTGCAGAAGCAAAACAGTCCGCAACGCCAAGCTGCGCCGCAATACCTTTCTCAACAGCAGTTATCCACAGCTTCAATCGGTGGCGGTACTACAACTTCTCGGAACAACTACTTGCGGTTTCCCAGCAGCACAGACGAAAGAGCTTCATCTACCTCCCTAATCCGTGACCAGTTACCCGAGGTGTCGTTGGATGTGTCAGCGAGACTCCGTGGCAGCACTACTTCTACCCCGGGCGTGCAACAGATAATAAAACCGGTTCTTCCTCTCACGACGGATGACCTGAATATTAAAGACCACCCGGAGTATGAAAACCAAAACCACTTGTTGTATCGTCGACCACATGAGAACATCAAAATCGTCGCTCCGTGGAACCGAACAACCGTAATGAACGTCGCTCCCTCGTTATGACAGTGCACAACTCCCCCTCCCCCTCATTTGTCATGCAAAATTCCAAATCCACCCTTTGTCTGTTAACACTGTTTGCATGACAGATTCCGGAATCCAAAACAGCACTACAGTCCTCCAGGAGTTTGTCATGCAAAAGCTGCATCTTTGCCAGCACTTGTGTTGCCGTTCATGCAAAACAAATGAGGGGGAGGGGGAGTTGTGCACTCGCATACTCGTCGTCGAAGGAGCTCACGGCGTCGGAAGCCGAGGGGAGGTCTTCGAAGGAGCCCGCGTTGTCGGAAGCAAGTCAGGGATCGTCGTCCACGACGGTGATGCGAAGCAGCGAGGAACCTGCGAGCAGTTTCACGAGCGCGGCAGAAGATTTGGCGTAAGCTGTAGATACGAAAAATATGAACAATAAAACTAAAAGCAAATAACAAACTATAACTTCGTGTATCAGAGTATCCAAATGTCTACTACCTCAGAAGAAAATTATATAGTGTCGCAACCTGTAATTGTAAATCCAAGATGCTCGCATTTATTGTACCAGTGTTACTGTAAAATACTACGTAAACTTCAGAAATAAAGGCTACTACCTTTACTCACTGACAGATGAAAAATTATTTATCCAGTAGACATTGATTTGGCCTGTATGTAATAAAATGAAATCTCTTCGCCATCGAGAAGTATCGCACGCACTTTTGTACGCCGGCGGAATGGTTCGGTCCGTGGTGAGGCCCGGGGGCACAATAGCTGTGTTCAACAAAAGCCCCGCACTGGTTATGTCCGTGCTGAGGCCCGCGGGCACAATAGCTGAAGTTCCCCCCCCTCCCAAACAAGATGGCAAACCAGCGGGCCACCCACAACACCCCCCCCCGCCCAACGAACCACCAATGCGGGCGGCCCGGAAGCCAGGCGCACCGCACGTGGGCGGCTCCCTGCCTGCCCGCGGCCAAAAGCGGGCGGAGTAGGCCAGCAAGGCAACCGGCCCTAAGCCCCAAAGGCTAGGGCAGGCCGCCTCTTTTCCCCAAAGCTGAAACCATCCAAACGGGCGTGACGGTGGGGCCTCCCCAAGCTTTCCCCTTCCCGGGAGTCAGGTAACTACGAAGGCGGAGGCCCATTCCGGACCTGTTAGGGCGGGAGTGGGGGCCCCCTTCGAGCTGCGGGCGGGCCGGGAGGCGGGGGCCCCCCTGTGGGGAGGATACCCAGCGGGCGGGAGGGCGGGAGCCGGGGACGGGGGCCCCCCTGTGGGGAGGATACCCAGCGGGCGAAAGGCCGGGAGGCGGGGGCCCCCTGTTTTCCCCGACGGTATGCTCGACGCAAAAATAGCAACCTTCAGCGTGCCGCCGTGTTAAAAAGTCTGGGCCTCAGCGCGTGCCGGTCTCAAAATTATTTATCCAGGAGATTGATTTGGCCTGTAACAAAATGAAATCTCTTCGCCATCGAGAAATATCGCACGCACTTTTGTATGCTTCATTTCTACACATAGCACGCAAGACAGACCAGCTCTGTCATGCCAGATAATCATAGAAGCCTCGGCTCATAAGTGTTTTCCCGTAGGATATCTGCATTACATCATGCAGAGAAATTTGTGTTGCTGAATTGACTACACATGTGTAACTGTAACACTTTTTTCGTTGGATATTCCTCGTCGTCGAAGGAGCTCACGGTGTCGGAAGCCGAGGGGAGGTCTTCGAAGGAGCCCGCTTTGTCGGAAGCAAGTCAGGGAACAGCATCCACGACGGTGATGCGAAGCAGCGAGGAACCAACGAGCAGCTTCACGAGCGCGGCAGAAGATTGGGCGTAAGCTGTAGTTTCGAAACATCAAAATTAATAATGAAAAAACAGAAAAAAACTTAAAGTAAGTACTTCGTTCTTGTATCTGTTGTACCAATCAGACTGTCAAAATGCCTACTTTAGAAGAAAATTCGTGGCCCACATTGTAAATCCAAGATGCTCGCATGTTAATGTAAAATACTACTTACGTAAAGTTTTAGGTTTCACAGAAAATAATCCAGCGGACACTATTTTGGCCTGTAACAAAATGAAATCTCTTCGCCAGCGAGAAGTATCGCACGCACTTTTGTACGCTTCACTTCTGGATGATAAAATTAAAAAAATAAATAACGCAACTACATGAGAAATTTAGATATGTACGATATCGGCGAGAGAAAGCGACGCTGGCAACTGTTTGTAATTCGAAGTGTAAATGAAGTCGACTATAAACCGATCATCTCTTTCGGGATGATTAGCGTCTCTATTTCGCCTAGCTGGCAATGCGTTGTGTTGATTCTTTTGGTCCACACTTTTTTCATCTGTCTCATTCTGTTTTTTGGGTTTTTTTTCGCGAGAGATGATCATGATAGGATAAGCGGCAGCGTTCTTTTTTGTCTTGCTCTTTCTATGTCCCGCCTCAACGTGCCGTTTTTTTGTCTTGTCGTTTTTTTTTTTTCCGAGACGAGAACTCATTACATTTGCTTTTGCAGCTAAAACCATGCAGAAGAGAGGTGGGAATCATCGAACACAAGAAAAACAGAGAAAAACTCAAGAATTATTGAAAAAGTCAATATTCTACAGAAAAAGTAAAAAAAAACAGAGAAAAGGAGAAAATAAAGAAAAGAAAATAGAAAAAAAGTAGGGCCCGGAGTTTTCTAATGATTCGCCACAAGCCGCACGCTGAAGCGCGACTTTTTCAATGAAAACTGCGAAAATCATAAGAAAAGTCAAAAAATCATAGAAAAAGTCAAACGCGAATCGATCCGCCTCACTTGCCAAGCTAACGCGTCGGCGTGTGCGCGCGCGCAGCGCGCGAAAATTTTTTTTTCAGCCAGCCGCTGGGGACCCGGCCCGAGAAAAAGTTTGCGCACCCCGAGACCGAGGCGCGCGCGCGCGCAGTTTTTTTTTCAGACACCCTTCCGACAGTTGAAACCAAAAAAACTTCCGCCCCCAGCGCCAAGGAAGAAAGGCTGGCGTCTGCAACACGCGGCGCGCGATCGGAATTTTTGTGGCCGGCCCGCCCCTGACTGCCGGACACAAAAAACTTTCCGCGCCAATCCCCGACCCAGGCGCCTGCGCGCGCACAGCGCGCGGAAATTTTTTTTTTCCAGACCGCCCCCGATTGCCGGGCGCGCGCAGAACTTTCCATCCGCGCCCTGAGGCCGGCGCGCCCGCGCGCTCTTAGCTAGGCCGGGGCCGTAGGTGAATAAATATTTTTCCAGCAAGGCCCCGACCGGAGGGCGATAAAAAAAATTGCCAACACCCTCAGCCTAAGGCCTCTGCGGGCGCCACAAAAAGGCCTGCCTCGCGCACTTTATTCACGCGGCCACGATTGCCAAGCACGACGAAAAGTTGCAGCGAGCGGGCGTCCTTAGGCCAAGGCGTGCGAGCGCGCGCAGCGCGCGAAATTTTTTTTGCCCGAAAACCGATGGCCGGGCGCGTAAGTAACAAGACTTCCGCGCCCTCGGGCTAAGGTTTGCGCGGGCGCGCGCGGCGCGTGGCAAGGATTTTCTTCCGGCAAGCCCCCGACTTCTCGAGAAGGAAAAAGCGCTCCGCGCTCTGCCACCGAAATCTCTTCGCCATCGAGAAATATCGCACGCACTTTTGTATGCTTCACTTCTAGAAAATGTAGATGATAAAATTAAAGTAACGCAACATCAGAAATATGTACGATATCGGCGAATAAAGCGAAGCTGGTAAATGGTTGTAATGTGAAGTGTAAATGGAACGACCGACAACTATGACCGCTTATCACATTCACAGTCAGTGTGTTCATTTCGTCCAGCCTGCGGGACGTTGTGTTGGTATTTTTTTTCTACGTATGACATTCCATTTTTTTTTTGTCTCAGTTTCTTTGTTTTGTTTGCTTTGTTTTTTTTTCCGCGAGAGATGATAGAGGATTTTGCCGCTTTTTTTTTTTGTCTCGCTTTTTGCTTTTGAGCCGCACCACCCGTTTTTTGTCCGAGACGAGGACTTATTGCATTCGCTTTTTCATCATGATTACCTAAACGCATGCAGCTGACCATTCCAACAAGATAAAGAACGCATAGCGCCGTCAGGAACAAATTTCTAAACTAGACGACCTCGTCGTCCTGCGCAACTCCACCGAGAAAGATCCGGAAGCCTCGTGAAGAGAAGATCTTCCTATTCTATCGCGCTTGACCTCCATTCAAGAAAAAAACCGAAAACCATGAACCGCGTCGAGTCAAAGAAGCGCGACATCGCGGCGAAGCGACAGAGTTTGACAGGAACGGCAACATCCACCACGTCCACTGCCGCTTCCTCTTCGTCGAACGCGACTTCTTTGTCGCGGAATTACAGTAAGGAATCCATCTCGCGCGCGCGCTCGAAATCAACGCAGATGGACGTTGGCGACATGCACTCGCGGCAAAATTCGAAGGAGCCACCGCGGTGCAGTTCGAAGTTGCGAAAATTGGGCTTCAAAGACCTGAACGAGTACGAGGAAGGGGAGCTGGAGCGGGACTTCGTCGACAAAGTTCAGCAGGGCGACGACTCCTGGGTGCTCAACTGCCTCGCCGCGGTCGGCCGCCCGATCCTGTTTTCCGAGTGGGCCGGGGGGGTGTCCCGAACTTGCATTCTCTACGCCGCGAAACAGGGAGATCAGGAGGTACAGGGCGTGGCCCCGAGTTGTCTACCTTTGTGACGAGAATGAAGAGTAGAATATTTTATACTTCAAACACTTCTGCTTTGCGGATTCTTACACCGGACGAAAATGAGAAATTTGAAGACAACGAATACGAGCAAAAACTACAATCAAAAATCTCGTCCACTTCTAGATGTGCAAGATTCTTCTCGCCTACGGCGGCAAGGAGCTGCTGAAAGTCAAGGATTTGAAGGGCCGAGACGGCGAGTACTACGCGAAACTGCACGGCATCGACCTGCTCGACCTGATGCAGAATACCAGCCGGATCGACTGCTGGAACCACAAGGCACTCCGGACCCTGGGCCGCTCGCTATCGAAACAGAAGGAGGACGAAAAAAAGGGCGGGGGGAGCCCCTTGCAGGGGAAGACGTTGTATCAAATGCAAAAGTGTCTGGGTCTGGAAGATTGCAACTTGTCATGCTGTTTTTGGACTCTGAAAAAATTTGCATTGCATGACCAGCAAGAGGAGGTTAGTTTGTGCTACGCGGGGAGGGCAGTTGTCATGCGGAGTAGGCATCAGGAAGCCCTCTAAAAATCTGCGATGCTAGCTCGTGCATTACAGACATCCTGGGTCATGCAAAATATGGATAACAAACCCGGCAACATTCCAGACCCAGACACTTTTGCAGTTGATACGTTGCTGCAGCTGTGCGAGCACAGCTACGAGGAGCTGGAAGAGGAGGAGCAAATGAAAAAAAAAGCATCGAAGAAGTAAGGAAAATATAGGGATAAAAAGTAAATTAAAAACAGCTTGTTTTTGTCATGTAGGGTAGTTAGGAACAATGGAATGATCGATTCTTGTACACCTGGGATTGTTCCTGGTCCTGCGTAGTTAACTACATTGAATAAATACCACCTGTATACCACTCAATTGGAAAAATCACAATCACAATAGCATTCTTGCTTCTATTTTTATGTACAATTCTTTTGGTGGCAGTTCCGATGGTCTGCCTTATGGTGTAATGGGAGAAGTCGATTATTGATATCGTTATGCTTGTATGCACAACGCTATTTGCAGCTTTCGTCGAAAATGCGTTTTTTTTCTTGTGCTACGACATGAATGTATTCACAAAGAAACCCACAGGAAATCTGTACAATTCTTTTGGAAAGGCAATGGAAAAGGAAGATAAGAAAACCGAAAGCGACTTTTATCATGTCTTTGCCGTGTTACTATGCTTACAACCACACACTCGTCTGTGTCCAAATCTTTTCGCAAAAAAAACGAGAGTCGTTGGCTTTGAGTTAAGTACAAGGAAATGGCGATTGACGAGAGTTTGAGTTAAGTACAGCGACAAGCTGAAAATGTGGTTGTCATTCGACTTCTCGCAGTGTGCTTGCACTTGCTTTTAAAGATGAATACTACGTGTGTCGACCTTATATTAAGCTTTGACCCGTGCAAGAACTTTGTCGTCGAAGTAAGAGGGCGCATCAGAGAGCAAACGCAAGAATTCAGTCACTTTCACTTGGTCAGATACGGGTGTAAAAAGATGTCCTCCGCAACTTCAACTTCCCGAATTCCCTCCCAGTCCTCTGCCAGCACGACGACAGCGTCGTCGCCGGCCACTACGGATGTTGAATCCTCCTCTGCACAGGAACAACAGCAAGAACCCGGCTCTCGAGGACATCCTTCACAACGGCCCGAGCGGGTGATGACCAATAACAAGCAACGTTCTACCAGTAAAAAATCGGCAAATAAACAACTTTCCTCAACGCCGCAGAATAAGCAGCGGTTGGTGTTGAAAAATCCGGACGGCTCGCTTGTCGCTGGGTTTTCCCTATCAAATGCAAAAATGTCTGGGGCTGGGAGGAATTAAACTTCTCATGCGCATTTCGCAACACACACAAATCTCTCATGCATAGGCAGCAAAAGTTGCCCATTCTCTGTCACGAAAATGGGACATTTCTCATGCGGATTAGGCATTGCGGAACCTTATCGATGCCTGTGATGCTAAGGCCTCCATGCCACACCTTCTGAGGCATGCAAAAACAGCATGAGAAAAATCTGCACTCATTCAGACCCAGACATATTTGCAATGCATATTCCCAATCCTACGTGGAGCCGAAGCCCCCCGCTTCGCCCGCAAACCACGTGCCCGCGTGGCTGGACTATCAAATGCAAATATGTCTGGGTCTGGAAGGTTGCAACTTGTGATGCTGTTTCTGCGTTCTAAAAAAATCTGTATTGCGTGACCAGCAAGAGGAGTCCAGTTTGTGCTACATGAAGACGGCGTCTCTCATGCGGAATAAGCATCAGGAAGCACCGTAAAAGTCTGTGATGCTAGGTTATGCATTACAGGCGTCATGGGTCATCTAAAATTTAGGACAAGAGCAGACAGTAAGAATATCAAAACAAGATGAAAAATGCACGCATACACGCGCACTGCTTAACTGTGTGAAAGGTGTCGGCCCTGTTTGACCTGCTGCGGCAGGCAGGTGAATTCGTAGAACTGCTTCACATGTTAAGTAACGCACACCGGCCTCCTAGTTTTAGTGATGAATTTATATGCGCCAACATTAGTGAAAAATTTATATGCGCAGCGGCTTACTGCGCAGCGTCGGTTCGTGCACGTGTGTCGCTCTTCGTTCGTTGTCTCCAGGAGCTTGATCGTAAATTCGTGCGCTCCTCCTGCTTTATAAAATTCGATCTTCCCATCTGCCCCCGTTTTCCCACGTAGATTTAGATCTCTACCCTTTTATATCTTCTGTCGTTTAGTTTTGTTGTTTTGCCTGACTTGCCTTCTTAGCGCTAGCCCGCGCATCCCGCGTTCTTGCAGGGGCAGCTGTCTTTTTTTCCGCCTTGCCAGCGGATTTTGTCGCGGGGAAGAAAGCACTCTGGGTTCAACGGTCCCCGCCCCCCCTCGTCGTGGGTTCAACGGCCCCCATCCCTAAAGAGACCACTTAGAAATAATTCTACAGTAGATTGCAAATTTTACAGCGGTCGCCCGTTTTGCATCGGCCGAGGCTGCACACGCGTCCGGAGTATTTTTCACTGACGTCCCTCGGCTTGGGTCATATGATGTTCTTCGTCAGGTCGCGCAGCCTCTATTAATGCGATTCGGGTCGGCTGCGCCCTATGGCTAGTATCTGTGATCCAGCTCGGCCATATATTTCGGGTTTCGACCCGAATAGCGCGCACTAGGCGCAACTATCTCTTTATACAGTGGTCTCTCCCTATCTTTACTATCTTTCAGTGCAGCGGCTTACTGCACTTATCGCCCTACGGAGACTGTGATCTGACCTCCCTCTACCTCCCCTGGTGGACGTCTGCCGCGGCTTACGGCTCTGGACGTTAACTAGGATCGAGTGCGTTGTGCGGGTTTAGGGTTTTGAATATTTAATTTTGTATCTCCCACTGCTGCATGCACCCTGCTGCAGAACTTGTGATGCAAAACAACCTCCGGGTTGTTCCCGCGCTTCAGGAGTAGTTCTGTTGCGTGCGGGCAGCAGAAGATGAGTAATGCTGTTGGTTTAGGGGGTTGAAAATGTTTGTGCATGTGTAATGCAAAAGATGAAAAAGATTCGCGCGTGGGAGCGCATTTTTAAGCACAACGGGCGGGTGCCGTTCCCGCCGTCACACAATCACATACAATACAATACAATACAACAGAGCGGGGCCCAATCAAAAAAAAAAAATTTGCATGACAAGTCTTGAATTCTTCCAGACCCAGACATTTTTGCATTCCATATGGACGGGGGCGTTGCAAATGAGTTGGAGTACATCTACACGAAGCACGAGCAGCTCTTTCTCGGGTTGCTGATCGTGCAGTTCCTGATCGAGATCGTGTTTACGGGACTGTAAGCGATATTTTCCTTTCTTGCGTTTTAGCTTTGTTCTGATACAGTTAAGTACAGAATTTGGGTTAGGATCTGGTGAGTACAGAATTTGTGTTGGTGGTAATAAATCCGCCGGCATCGGCATCCGATATTTCTCATGCGTGATGCTGAAATGCGTATGCAACTGCAAGGAAAAAAATAATTTGTGATGCGAAAATCTCATACATACAATCCTTACTACATCACCAGGTACATCTACTATGGCAATGAATTGATCGAGGAGATGACGATCATTTATTCGCACTTGATCGGGAAGAACAACGTAGTCCGGCTCTACACCCTGACCGTCATCGTCGAACTGGTCTACATATGAAATGCAAATATGTCTGGGTCTGCATGAGTACAAGGTTTGTCATGCATATTTTCCATGAGTCATGATGTCTGTGATGCATGCCTAGCATCACGATCACAGATTCTGCGGGAGCTTTCTGATGCTCCTACCGCATGAGAAATGCCCTCTTTGCGTAGCAACAACTGGACTTCTTTTCCTGTTCATGCAAGACAGATCTCATGTTGAATCCAAAGGCAGCATCACAAGTTGCACCCTTCCAGACCCAGTCATTTTTACATATGATACTACAGCTCGTTTTACTACCTCCTCGGCGGCATGGCGTTGTGGAAGGGGAAAGCGGTTCTGTTCGAGCGGTTCGCGTCCTTCGCGCTGTTCGGCTGCCTGCAGTCGGTGTTCCTCGCGTTCGCAAACAAATTCAACCTGATCTGCTTCCTCTTCCGGTTACTGGCCTACATCTACGCGCGGTTTCTCCGCAACTACCTGCGGTCGGTGGCGATCTTGCAGGAGCCGTCGAGAAGAGCTGGTATCGAGGAGGACAGTCCGGAGCGGGGGAGGGTGGCCGGCGGGGGGATACCGTGAGCTGCAGGAGAGGAAATTGCAGGACAGTAGCAGAACTTGATTATTGCTTCTTGGTCGTGGCCGCGGGTGGATGGACGTGGGCTGCCGGAAGATGAAGTTTCATGGAGCTTCTAGAGCTTTTAGCAGAGCTTCAAGTTTTTACTGGCGAACAAATGCCGCGTGGTCGGGGTGCGGACGCTGTGTTCCGGAACAGCCAGACAAGTGCATCAGTCACCTCTCTTCTGATCAAGAAGAGGTGCGACTGCGGTCGGCGGGTAGGGAGGTAGAATCTCCAGGGACCACACTCACGACCGGGACTGCAGCGACGCACGGGATTACAAAAACAGCGAGAGTGCTGCCTGGTGCTCAGCCTGACAGGCGACTTTATTACAGCGACAGTAGGTTGAATTCTCTGGTGGACTTCGCCGCTGGTGATGCGTGTGAAACATGACAGGCGCTGCACGATGAATATTTTTTTTCCGAGAATGAAGCGAGAAACAGAAAGAAGATAGACGAACTCTGAGTTTCAGTTTTCCAATGCACGAAGTTTGTTTCAAATGTTGAATTGTTGTTGAACAAGTATCGATAGAGGCTTCGTACCACGCAAGCACTTCGTGGACTTGCGAAAGACAGAGCGATTCGTCGGTGATCTTTTTTCACATGCCTGTTCGTCTTGGAAAGATCCCTTGTCGTTTGGAAGGTGTTTGCAAAATTACGGCGAAGAAGATGATTGTAGCGGGAACGGAAAATCTCAATGAGCGTTTCCGCAGACGAAATGATGAGCCAAGAGCGAAATGCAGTCTTCTGTTGGTGGAACGTATTGAGAGACTCTTTTCCTCCGGGATAGCGAGAATGTGATGGTGGAAAAGCTGCTCGCCGAGAGACGACTTAGGTTGATTATCCACGTCTGCAGCGACTTCTATGGTTTTTCTTATTTTTTTCGGAAGCCGGACGATAAGGATAAGAATGCAATTTCTTCGGGCGACAACTCGATAGGTAGGCGGCCTAATCGATCGCCCGATCTGCGCCCCAATTTGGAGGCTTTGGCAGAGATGTGCTTGCCCCGCTGATTTGATGGCTCCCCCCATCGCCAAAAAAAGCTGGGAGCACGCGGGCGCAGTCGGAAAACGCATACACCGGCGACACCCCGCAAGCGTGCAAGCCCAGCGCGCTGGTTTGTCGTTGTTCCCGGTGAACAGGCCGCGCGATAGGTGTGCGCGGCCCGCCCGGCTCTTGGAAGCCATAGCGCGGCGAGATTGACACCCGGTCGCGGCGGCCGGACGTTTGACGGACCGACCCGCTGGCGCGCTGGTGGGGCCGCCGGCCCGACTCGCGCCCGCGGCCGGCGCTGCGTTGCGCCGGCCGCTAGTTGCCTGGCGCAGCGCTTTGCGCCTGTCCTCGGCCCGCGCGCGGGCGCGCTCGCCTATCCTTGGACAGCGCGCGCAGGTGGCGCACACAATGCAAGCAGTTTGCCAGGGCCGGGCGGGCGCACTCTCTCTCTTGGGCCGGCCGGCGCCGGGGTGTTATCTGGCTCGCGCTGCCCCATCGGTCGCACAGCAGCTGCGCGCCCCGGTTGACGCCGGCGGGTTTAGTCCTCGATGAAAAGAAACGCTCCCCGCTTTAGAGATGCGCGCCTGTCTGTGTCCTTTCCAGGTGGGAATCAATTTCCGAAAGAAAGGCCGGCGCGTCCGCAATTTTGTGTTTGAGATGCCTGATGTTCGTCTTGCTGTGTGAGTTCGTTGGCAGGGGAAGCTATGTGTGCAGGACCGTGCGCCGAGCCCGAGGGGCCGTAGACATACAGAAACAGAGTAGTTGAGCTGCATGTCCAGGAGTCGTTGAGAGTATGAACGTGGTAGAGCCAGCTCAAAGGAGCTTGTTATCCGCTCTTTCTATCTGTCTGAACTTTTCTTGTCGTGTCACGGGCGCGGCTCGCAGTGTCTACCTTTGTCGGAGGCGGAGTGGCGTTGCAAAAGTTGCCTCTACAACTTCAACATCATCTCAGAGGATTTGCATTGATTCGGTGTTTATTGTTATCTTCGAAAACTTTGAGAGTGAGAGAGGCTAGTTTCAGTTGCAGTAATCAGGATTCGCTGACCTTTGCCGTTTTCGTCTTCCGCGCTTGAGTTCTGTTATTACCGGAACGCGCCGAATCACCTCCAGCTCCGCCACGACGTGGACAATCACCACACTCACATTTATCGTGTGGCTTTTCGGTTGGGGGCTGTGTCGGGAGCGGGGCAGAGCAGTTCGAGTGCTGAATCCGGAGCGCGCGCGAAATGCCCGAGGAGTATTGGCGCCCGCGAATCGCTATCCAGTGCAAACTTGTCTGGGTCTGGAAAGATGGAACTTGTCATGCTACCTCTGCGGGCTACATAAAATCTGTATTGCGTGCTGAACGCGCTAGAAGTCCAGTTTCGGCAACGTGGAGAGGGCGTTTCTCATGCAGTATGAGCATCAGAAAGCTCATCTCGCAGAATCTGTATTGCTATGGCATGCATCGCAGGCACCCTGGGTCCCAGAACATATGCATGACAAACTTGGCACTTTTCCAGACCCAGACACATTTGCATTCGATAAGAGTCCCTGGGGAACCATAACAAACACAGGCCCAGTTCGTGACCCGGGTGGCGTAGGCCCAGCGCAAATGAAGTATCAAGTGCAAACGTTCCTGGTTCTGGAAGCAGAGCAAGACTTGCGTCGACGTTGTCCTGTGCGTGGGTTCTACAAGATCTGTCTTGCATGTGCAGCAGCATGCGTCCAACCCTTGGTGCGCGAAGATGGTGTTTGTATTGCGGGATAGGCATCAAGACGTCCTCGAGAAATCTGCGGCGCTAGGGCGTACATCGCAGACATGGTCATGGCTCACGCAAAACCACGTCGTGCGTGACAACTTTGCCTCCTGCTTCCAGACCAAGACATATTTGCGGTTGATAATCGTGTCCGGTCTACGAGCCAAACGCGCTGCCAGCTCCATGGACCAGCTCCGCGAGGCGGATGCCCGCCCCGCCAGAGAAAAGCGCCGACGCCTTGCAGCGGCGCCGACTTTCTTCCGGTGTGCTTGTGGGGCCCGCGCGCGACAGCCGGGCGGCCGCCCGCTGGGCGCGCGGGGGGGCGTGGCCCGGTCGCCTATGCGATGCGCGCCCGTGCAGCCCCAGGGCGATGAACGCCGGCGGCCGGACAAGCCCTGTACTTTCTCGGGCGCGAACGCTCCGTGTCCGTATTCACCCGGCGGACGCGGTTTTGTGTTGGTTGCAGTTCCGCCGGGCAGGACGCCTCGCCCGCGGGGGTCCGCCAGCGTGTTGGCCTGTGCGTGGGCGGCCCCTGCCGGACGGTTTTTCGCATGCAGTTGCTTGCCCCGCGGCATAGATTGGTGCCTTGTGTCAGACGGTTGTCGCATGTTGTTGATTATTCAGTATTCTCATTCTTATGCCGACGTTGCGTTGTGTTGGCAGTGGATTCACCACTTGTGCGCAGCGCTCGCCGTGGACGATGGGCTCGCACGCTTGCCGAGCCCTCATCTTACATCGGAGTCGTATTTTGGGGCCTCCGGCTACGTTGTAATTCCGATAAAGAGCGAGTACCGGAGGCGAAACATTTTTTTTTGTACATACATACGATACGCCGTTTTTTGATATCTGAGCGACAGGTGCATGAGTCGTTGTTTATTTTGTTGAGGTGAGCGTGAGTATCTATTCCCATTCTATATCCGTTCGTCCCAAACTTCGGTTCGTTTCTTTTGTAACGGCGTGTGCCTATTTTATTGAGAGTGTACATCTTCATCTATGTGGTTGCGTAATGATGAGCTGCTTTCGCGAATTCCGAAAATAGAGTGGAGGCAAAAAGGCGAGTGATATAAATCTTCTCGAAAAAAAGGCAACAGTTTCCTAGCTTCTCATGAAGACGAGTAGAATGAGCAAAAAGTTTAGGTGAAAAGGTTTGAAAAACGAACTCGAGGAATTCCTTGAGAGCAATCCGTTTGTAGTACTAGAAGACCGGTGGTGGTGAGACGAAATCAAAAGAGTAAGTACCGTCCCTCCTGTTGCGTACATTCTTGTAGTTGTAATTGTCTCAACACTGGCACTCCAAAATAAACGCACTCCGCCAACACGACAGTAAGAGCTTTCTTGTCACCTGTAGTCTGCCACGATGAACAACTTCGCCCAACAACAGCCGTGGGTAACTCCAATCGATCTCGTGAACGCGGACGACCTCTTCGCGAAATCGCCGAAAGTCGGGGACATTAACTTGTACCCCAACAGCGCTCCCACTACGCACGGTCGAAATTCGCCCGCTTTTCGGGGGCGGGGCTTGACGCCACTGCCCGGACGCGGCGATCCTGCACCGGGCATTGAGAACGGGAATGTGCAAGTAGAGGCCTCGTCGTCCAGCTACAATGCCGGCGGACGTTCCATGAGCCACGTCCCTCCGCCGCCTCTACCGAAACAAAGGGCTATTACTGGTTCGACCTTTGTGCCATCTGCGTTTCCAGGACCTTCGGTTCCGGGAGTGCCCCACGCTGGCGGAAAGGTATTTATTTTTCAGAAGCAGCTGTATATTTTTCCAAGTGGAAGAATGATGGATGGACCATTCAGTGAATGTAAACGTGCATTAATCCCAGCATCACCAAAAGCATATTGCTACTTTCATTCAGGAGCACGAAACAAATGACGATAAAGAGGAAATTCATACTTTTCACGTAAAAAATAGAAATACAAATCGACCACCAGGCTGCCGCATCGGCATCGTCACAGGGTACTAATCCTCCGTCGTCGGCGGCTGCTTCCAGTGGGACTTCTATCGTCAAGAATCCTTTCGAGACCTATGCCGCTGGCGGTATGGCGGCTGTGCTGGGACCGGTACGACGGAAGTCTTCAAAGCGGATAGATTGCCCACTCCAGGGCAATGTGGTTGCAGTGACTCGGACTGGCCCGTCCAGTCCTTCGTCGCCGACGTTTTCCGACAGCATATCCCCCATGGACACCAGCGTTGGAGTGGGCGCTCGACTGGCGGCGCCGCGTATTCGTGTGCCATCGCTTTTGAGCGTGAACGAACTGGGTCAGGGCGCGGACGACGGAGCGGCTCACGGAAGCAGCTCTCCAGTCTTGGAATCCGTCGCACATGTATGTGTCAAGCATTTTTTGAGTTTTTTGAGATGAGTTTTCTATTTCTTGTTTTGCATTGGCATTCTGTAATATTGTAGTTCGAATAAATAGTCATCTTCTTTGTAGAAAAGAATGAATGCGCACACCAGAAGATAAAGTACCCTGATAGTACTGAAAAATCAAACTACAGAGCCTCGGTATGCCGCCCAGCAAATTACCAGGAGTGCGTTTCAGCAAGCCAGACAGTCCGATCTTAAGTGCCAACCTGCTGCATCCGCAGGACACGACGCAGCTGTTGCGAAGGCAGGAGGGAGACCGTGGTGACGACGGGACGATGCACGACGATGAAATCCTTCCGTTCCACGATTTCAAAGACAAGTTGTTCAACGAAGGTAATGTTCCCCGGGAGTATTTCGAGCCCCTCTTCGCTGACACAATTCTGCGACACCCGAGCCTGGAGGAGGTGTCCACTATAATGCAGAAACACTGTATAAAAGATATTTTTTTAAAGTTTCAGTTAATGAACCTCTACCGTAGTCAGCCCGACGTGGACTTGCCCTACAGCGAAGCCCACACTTTTGTTTTTCTACTGGTTTCCATACGAAGTCACGCATGCATAGAAGCACAAAGGATGAGCTCCTTGGCATCGAAGGCGAGTATGGCAGTTGTCATTTTTCTATCGCTCATACCAAAAACTTCTTCAGATTTGTACCCGCGGAGCGCCGGGGGATTTCTCTCGTTTCGCGACTTCGAGCTGTATCTGAAGACAATGTTCCCGAAGCAGCATTTGCGTCCGGGTAAAATGGAAAAGCAGATTAACCTTTTTTGGCAGAAGAAGAATCTGCACGACTCGGCAGCGGTTATCAAGAATGTCGGAGAGCAGATTTTAAGCCACAACGAGAAGAAACTAAATGGAGTGATTGTCGCAGAAGCAGAGGGACGGAAGGCGATTCTTGGCGACGCGCAAGCCAAGCACGGCGTTCTTCTACAGTCGCAGGCCGAGGCGACGTTGCACCTCGAAAACCACGCCACGACACAGCGTCACGGCATCGTGAATCACATCAATGCGCAAACCCAGGGGCTGACGACGCACATCAACGCGCAAACCCAGGGGCTGACGAACCACATGTCTACGCAATCTCAAGGCATCAAGGATCACATCCAGGGTCACATCGACACCCAGAACGTGGGGATGATGACAGCGATCACGGCGCAGAACCAAGAACTGTACAACCACTCCCGCGATTTAAACACGCAGCAGATGGACCTCGTTAAGGAGGAAAACCTGAAGCAAACCGAGCAGATCGAGGGGTTCACAACGGCGCAAACAGAGCAGATTCAGGAATTCATCAAAGAGCAGCTCCGGAAGCAACAGGAAGCAGACAAAACCCGGCAGGAGGCGGCGGACAAGAGGTTTCTGCAGGAGGTCACAACCACAATCGAAACGACCGGCAAGAAGTCGGTAGCCGCAATTTCCACCCTGCAGAAGAGCGTGGATACCATGAAAAACCAGTCGGAAAACTACCAGAAGGAGCGCTTGCAGTTCATGAAAAAGACCGGTCCCGGTGCGATCGGCGCCACACCGTACGGTGCTGGTGGAACAGGTGTGCCGCGCAGCTCGAACAACAAGCCTGATGCACTGAAGGGTGCTAGTACAACGCGTCCGGTTGGGCCAGGCTTGCAGCCGCCACCAGGTAATTACGGAGTTTAGTATAATCCTTGTTTTTGAGTAATGATGTGTAAAGCCACGTGTACACGTTCTCGTTCATAAAGTTTAAAAAAATTATCAAAACAGGGCGGCAGATGGCGTCTCTGAATCCAACCGCCCACCAACCGTTGGTCGCGCCCCAGCAGCAGTACATTCCTGACGGGTTTTCTTCGAATACTAGCAGCGCCTTCATCTTGACCCGCCCAAGCTTGAAGCAGAGAATCATGCAGGTGCGAAATCCGGGCCATGGTTCTGCGGAACAGCAAACGGTGGAATATTACGGGTCGCTGGGCGAAGCCGGAGCTGGCAACGCTGCTTTGCAGCACGGAGAGGGCGTTCCAGGTCATCACCGGACTTTTCAGGGAAGAAGTTGATTCATTGGAATCTGTAGTTGTCACTTGTTGCGAGGAAGATATCAGTCAACAGGAGGATCGAGCCGAGTTTGCGTTTCTTGACGGGGAGCATGACGTGTCAAGCTCAAGTACTTATCAAAATACAGTAAAATAAGGTGCGCCACCAGACGAGGAGAAATATAATCGAAGCATGCCAATATCAATAAAAAGCTCTTCTCACGGTCGCCTCAGTCCCACTTAATTTTACGCACCATCAAGTTTTGCAGATGGAGATTTTTTAGTTTACAGATACAAGAATCCTGATGAATTTGTTGCGGCTTTCGCCTGCCGCCACAACCAAGCAGTCAACAATGTACAGTTGTGAATTTGTACGATTTTGATTTTCTTTATTTTGGCCGCTATTGATATCCATGTGCATGTCCTCAGGCGTGGAGGCTGACCCGCGGCTCGATGCAGAGCACTTTGATTTTGATTAATTTTTGTCGAGTTTTTTTACAATGAGTGTAAATGTATGATCCTCGTCGTGTCGAAGGATGGTGAGCAATGATTAAAACACTGCAGAAAAAAGAAAAACATGCGTGATAATGAAATCAACCCTTCAGTCAGCTTCACAAAAAATTTTGCAAAAAACATCGACCGGCCAGGGAACTTTCTTTGTCTCTTTTCAAGAAGTAAAAAGAACTAAAAACTCGACTCTCAGTCAACATAACCCCCAAGCCTCTACGAGAGTGGCCGCGAGCTGAACCCCGAATCGCCAAGCAATGGCAGGGTCCCGGACCCGAGTTCTGCTTCGTTCATCCAACTAATCGCACTTCTATAGCTACACTTCTAGGTGGAAGGTCAAGGTAGAATTAAAACGAAACAATTTTGAACTTCGTGTTTCGTCGTAGAGCTTTCGTTTGCCAAGAAACCCATCGGTATCTGAATCTCAAGGTCATCGTCTTCTGCAACAAAAGTAGAAGAGTTCCACACGCATTGTCATTTTCACTTCTTGATGCTACAGTCACCATTCCGATACATACTTTTAGTTCTCAGTGTGTTTCTAGCGCCAATTTGTCGTGGTCGTTGCATCCGTGTGGCCAAATCCACATGTTAAGTGCGGACTTTTTGTCTCCTTAATAGTCTTTGCCATTTGATGCATTGTGATTTCTGCCCCAATCGTTGAACAACTCTAAGTCGTCAAGAGGCCTTCTTCACGTCGAGCAAATCTATTAAGCCGTAACGTCAAGCGAAAGTAGAAACACTAAAAGAAGCAAATTGGTATCCTCATCAAATTGGCTTTTTTCCCTATCGTCATGAGCCCGAATAGAAATAAATTCAAACTCCGTCGTGACTCAGCCAGGATCAGTATCATCGTTGCTATCGTCAGCTAGACATGCAAACTTGCGATTGAACGAAGTGCATTGCTTAGAACGTCTCGTAAATGTATGCAGGCCTTTCAGATCGTGTCCGTACAAGGCAAACAGAAACCTCAGATTTTTTCGATCTTCATTTTTTGGCTTTTTTCTTGCCTTCTGCGATCGCATTTTTCTACTGAATTCGTATTCGTTCACATTGGATTGAATAGATGGAGTCTCTGGTTTCAGTGTCTGTGAATCATGCGCAAAATCGTATCTTTCTTTGAATCGAACAAGACAGCAGGTACGCGCAATCTTGCCATGTTTTTTTTGGGGGAGGGAAATGTAGAGCAACAGGAATAAAAGTCAAAGCTTTTATTGTGTTTCCGTCGGATTTATTCGTTTGGCACGCTTTTCAAAGAAGGTGCTTTTCTTGCTTGTAGTAATTTACTTCAGTATGAGTAATTAATTTCTACTGTCTGTGTAGTCTGTCAGAGTAGTAGATATTGTTGTTCTAGATGCTTATTTCCTGAATTAAGAAATCCATGAACAAAATGTATTCCTCCATCCTCCACGTCCACTGAGTTCATCTTCGTTTTTGCTTGCTGAGACCGTCGGACGGCACGCGGAACAGACGCAAGGGCCAGCGGGCACAGTAGAAGGTTGTAGGGAGATGTTTTATTTCCGATTTGCTTCTCTTTTTGCATCCTCCTGTTCGTTGTTACTCTGCACGCCCCTACCGGCGCGGGGCAGAATGGTGTGCCACCGATCGGTGGTGACCCTCATGCCCCGCACAGGCTTACTTATCCGGTGTGCCGCTGATCGGCGGTGACCTGCTTCTGGCTTTCAGCGCGCGCTTTTTCGCGCAGCGCGAATTTGGCGGGGCAGAATGGTGTGCCACCGATCGGTGGTGACCCTCATGCCCCGCACAGGCTTACTTATCCGGTGTGCCGCCGATCGGCGGTGACCTGCTTCTGGCTTTCAGTGCGCGCTTTTTCGCGCAGCGCAACTCCGGTGTGGCAGAGTGGTGTGCCACCGATCGGTGGTGACCCTCATGCCCCGCACAGGCTTACTTATCCGGTGTGCCGCCGATCGGCGGTGACCTGCTTCTGGCTTTCAGTGCGCGCTTTTTCGCGCAGCGCAACTCCGGTGTGGCAGAGTGGTGTGCCACCGATCGGTGGTGACCCTCATGCCCCGCACAGGCTTACTTATCCGGTGTGCCGCCGATCGGCGGTGACCTGCTTCTGGCTTTCAGTGCGCGCTTTTTCGCGCAGCGCAACTCCGGTGTGGCAGAGTGGTGTGCCACCGATCGGTGGTGACCCTCATGCCCCGCACAGGCTTACTTATCCGGTGTGCCGCCGATCGGCGGTGACCTGCTTCTGGCTTTCAGTGCGCGCTTTTTCGCGCAGCGCAACTCCGGTGTGGCAGAGTGGTGTGCCACCGATCGGTGGTGACCCTCATGCCCCGCACAGGCTTACTTATCCGGTGTGCCGCCGATCGGCGGTGACCTGCTTCTGGCTTTCAGTGCGCGCTTTTTCGCGCAGCGCAACTCCGGTGTGGCAGAGTGGTGTGCCACCGATCGGTGGTGACCCTCATGCCCCGCACAGGCTTACTTATCCGGTGTGCCGCCGATCGGCGGTGACCTGCTTCTGGCTTTCAGTGCGCGCTTTTTCGCGCAGCGCAACTCCGGTGTGGCAGAGTGGTGTGCCACCGATCGGTGGTGACCCTCATGCCCCGCACAGGCTTACTTATCCGGTGTGCCGCCGATCGGCGGTGACCTGCTTCTGGCTTTCAGTGCGCGCTTTTTCGCGCAGCGCAACTCCGGTGTGGCAGAGTGGTGTGCCACCGATCGGTGGTGACCCTCATGCCCCGCACAGGCTTACTTATCCGGTGTGCCGCCGATCGGCGGTGACCTGCTTCTGGCTTTCAGTGCGCGCTTTTTCGCGCAGCGCAACTCCGGTGTGGCAGAGTGGTGTGCCACCGATCGGTGGTGACCCTCATGCCCCGCACAGGCTTACTTATCCGGTGTGCCGCCGATCGGCGGTGACCTGCTTCTGGCTTTCAGTGCGCGCTTTTTCGCGCAGCGCAACTCCGGTGTGGCAGAGTGGTGTGCCACCGATCGGTGGTGACCCTCATGCCCCGCACAGGCTTACTTATCCGGTGTGCCGCCGATCGGCGGTGACCTGCTTCTGGCTTTCAGTGCGCGCTTTTTCGCGCAGCGCAACTCCGGTGTGGCAGAGTGGTGTGCCACCGATCGGTGGTGACCCTCATGCCCCGCACAGGCTTACTTATCCGGTGTGCCGCCGATCGGCGGTGACCTGCTTCTGGCTTTCAGTGCGCGCTTTTTCGCGCAGCGCAACTCCGGTGTGGCAGAGTGGTGTGCCACCGATCGGTGGTGACCCTCATGCCCCGCACAGGCTTACTTATCCGGTGTGCCGCCGATCGGCGGTGACCTGCTTCTGGCTTTCAGTGCGCGCTTTTTCGCGCAGCGCAACTCCGGTGTGGCAGAGTGGTGTGCCACCGATCGGTGGTGACCCTCATGCCCCGCACAGGCTTACTTATCCGGTGTGCCGCCGATCGGCGGTGACCTGCTTCTGGCTTTCAGTGCGCGCTTTTTCGCGCAGCGCAACTCCGGTGTGGCAGAGTGGTGTGCCACCGATCGGTGGTGACCCTCATGCCCCGCACAGGCTTACTTATCCGGTGTGCCGCCGATCGGCGGTGACCTGCTTCTGGCTTTCAGTGCGCGCTTTTTCGCGCAGCGCAACTCCGGTGTGGCAGAGTGGTGTGCCACCGATCGGTGGTGACCCTCATGCCCCGCACAGGCTTACTTATCCGGTGTGCCGCCGATCGGCGGTGACCTGCTTCTGGCTTTCAGTGCGCGCTTTTTCGCGCAGCGCAACTCCGGTGTGGCAGAGTGGTGTGCCACCGATCGGTGGTGACCCTCATGCCCCGCACAGGCTTACTTATCCGGTGTGCCGCCGATCGGCGGTGACCTGCTTCTGGCTTTCAGTGCGCGCTTTTTCGCGCAGCGCAACTCCGGTGTGGCAGAGTGGTGTGCCACCGATCGGTGGTGACCCTCATGCCCCGCACAGGCTTACTTATCCGGTGTGCCGCCGATCGGCGGTGACCTGCTTCTGGCTTTCAGTGCGCGCTTTTTCGCGCAGCGCAACTCCGGTGTGGCAGAGTGGTGTGCCACCGATCGGTGGTGACCCTCATGCCCCGCACAGGCTTACTTATCCGGTGTGCCGCCGATCGGCGGTGACCTGCTTCTGGCTTTCAGTGCGCGCTTTTTCGCGCAGCGCAACTCCGGTGTGGCAGAGTGGTGTGCCACCGATCGGTGGTGACCCTCATGCCCCGCACAGGCTTACTTATCCGGTGTGCCGCCGATCGGCGGTGACCTGCTTCTGGCTTTCAGTGCGCGCTTTTTCGCGCAGCGCAACTCCGGTGTGGCAGAGTGGTGTGCCACCGATCGGTGGTGACCCTCATGCCCCGCACAGGCTTACTTATCCGGTGTGCCGCCGATCGGCGGTGACCTTCTTCTGGCTTTCAGTGCGCGCTTTTTCTCGCAGCGCAAATTCAACGGGGCAGAGTGGTGTGCCACCGATCGGTGGTGACCCTCATGCCCCGCACAGGCTTACTTATCCGGTGTGCCGCCGATCGGCGGTGACCTTCTTCTGGCTTTCAGTGCGCGATTTTTCGCGCAGCGCAAATTTGGCGGGGCAGAGTGGTGTGCCACCGATCGGTGGCGACCCTCTTGCCCCGCCCCGTCTTTTCGGGCGCGCCATCGCAAGTGAGTGGGTTTTGCGACTCGGAATGGAAACACCGGAACGACGGCAGCCGGCTGATGGATCTAAGCGTTTTCAGTGCGGGTGTTGGACGCGCAGCAGCACCGTTGGGATGTTGGGTACTTCGTTGCTTTGTGTTATTGACCTTGATTGTTGCCGTTGCGATGGTAGGGGGAATTCAATGAGAAAGACAAGGAAGTACCCGCAAAACAACATATCGATTGGTCAGGATTTTTACGACACATTCCTGGAGGACGAGATGTGGGGCCACCATCGTGTCCGTACACCACTACTGAGGATAAACTTGGGCCGGACGGCGCATCTTCGTCAGTTCATTGCGGTTGTTGCGGGTGCTGATTGTTTTTCTGATCACTGGCATGAATAGAGAATGATATCCTGTTTGATCTCATCGTATGAATTTACCAACATCAAGTACGTAGTAGACCAAGAGAATATATCGTCGTGTAGAATGGACACTACTCTGACAACAAAACATCGATTCAGGATTTGAAATAGTGGAAGAAGGAGATATTGCGGTTTACCGAACCCTCTCGCCTCCACAAACAAAACGGGCAACCCAATCTCGATGCCCCGGAGGCCGAACCGTCGCGCAATGCAGCATCGCCGGTGCTTTCTGTTTTAAAGATCGAGATTTTATTCTAGTTTGCAGAAATGATATCATATCCATGACCTTGTACCACGAAGTCAACACGATCAGCATGTCCAACTAGAGCGTGAACTACCTCCAACCCAACATATCGATTCAGGATTTGTACCGCCAGTGGGGCTGACGCTAAGGACAAGAGACCCACCCGGCGCCCCTTCATTGTTGGTCCCCCCGCAATCCTGTTGAAGAAGCCGATTCGAAGACGCCAGTTGCCTCCTCTCCGAGTCGTCGGCACTACAGGCGTTTTTCGTAGACCCTTTTCTCTACGCTGGTGTGATGTGTTGCAGGCTTGGATGAGAGCGGAGACTACCTTGTCAACAAAAACTTGATACAGGATTTGTACCAGGACCAGAACGGCGAGATGTTGCCCGATGTCGAACCCGGAAACCCTTGCCGAGAAGTGCGGATGACATCATCTACCGATCGACACCGGTGCTCTTTATCGTTGTTTTTTTTTTCGGGATATGGAAAAAATTAAGATATGCATGCGAGTTGTGTAGAACCATAGAGATTAGAACGCATGCTACCTGCAAAACAACACATCTATTCAGGATTGGCACCTCCAGACGGGACAGCCAAATCGCTGCTGAACCTGATTATCACCAAAAGCGTTAAGCCACCCGGCGAGAAACATCCTCCACGGTGTCAAGCTGCATGGCCTGCGAAATATTCGGGCCGCGGTACTTTTGGTCTATTTTCAGTACTATCGTTCTTTTTCATGCAGGAGCAGCAGCGCATGCGCAGTAGCCGACGAGAGCATGTACTACCTGCAACTCAACACATCTATTCAGGATTTGTACCAGCCAAACAAGCAGAGCCTCCCGATTTTGTCCAACAAACAGAAATAAATACGAACCAAGAAGCCGTGCATTCCGCATCTGATTCGGCGGTACTAGCCATTTTTTTTCCATGCAGAATCTAGTTTTGACAACCTGCAACCACATGTCTCAATCTGCTGCTCCATTTAGAATCAGAGCTACCTGCCAATCAAAATATCGATTCAGGATTTGAACCTGCCGGATTCGCGGACATATCAAGAAGCTCTGCGCGATTTGTCCTGCTTTCGAACAAGATCAAGTCCGGACCAGGTCTCCGCGACGCGGGGTTTGAGAGCTGTCCAACCAAGAACGGTGTTGTTTATCTTTTTTCCAGTATTCAGCATCATGGAAGTCGTTTGTCATGGATGAAAAGCATGAAAAGTCGCATATCCCAGTGCTGCTTCGCTTAGAACGGCCACTACGTGTTGTTCGACACATCGATTCAGGTTTTGCACCAGCGGAATCCACAGTTCACACTGCCCCCGTTGCTCCTTCTCGCTCATGATCCCTCCGGCCGGTTGGTTTGAATTCGAGGCCATTTTCACGACCGAAAAACAGCGATACCATACAGGAGGTGCTTTTTGTTGCCTTTTGCTCGTCTATCTCTCTTGTACTTACATCATCGTTTTTTCGAGCTTGCGTGATCAATACAAACTGCTTACATGTACCCGAAAACAAATTGTCAGGGACGGCTGCTGAAACTGCCGGCGGGTCCTTGTACGGGGAAGTTAGCGAAATGGCCGGCTTCACCGAGGTACTCTGCTTTGTTTTCTTCATGACAACATGGTGCTATCTTCGTAGTCCGATGTTTGTATCATCTCAATGTTCATGATAAGAGCAAAAACTACTGGCAAAACAAAACACCTATCCAGGATTTGTACTCGAGGAACCCCCTGCGGACTCGCTTCTTGCATCCAGTATGGTACAGTTTATCGCCGGCGCTGCATGACGATCGCGTGAGGCTCTAACATCCGACCAATGAAGCTGCAGCCAACGTGTGGACTTCTAACCTTCGGGAACCCAGGTCCGCGTTATCGTGTTGTGTTTTCGTAGTTGCCGCTTCTGCAGCTTCAGTTGTAGTTTCAATGGCGTCGACACATAGTAGCAGCACACACCAGGAATTTTCTACTCTTGCAGTATCCACCAAATATTTTACCAATCAGGGGCGCCGTGTGCAGATAAATTTTGAGGAGCAGGAGGCGTTTGCTGCAAAATGCGTGTGAAGCCGGCCACATCACACGACGACCCTGGCAAAAGCGGATTCACGTTCTCACGCACGAAGACTCGTCTCCACGAACGAAACCGCCCAGGTTCTCTGTCTCGTTTGGTGGTTTCCGCCTCCGTGCAATCAATCTGTTGTAGTGTGATGATGTTGTCTCCCAATGTCACCGTGCGAATTATGAACGTCTGTCTCCCGCGAGTATCATGCGCGCAAAACAACACGACACTCAGGACCAGCAACACGAAGGAATACAGTCTGGTGCGGTACAAGACAGGGCTAGCAGAGGACGCATCGGGGCAGCAGTTGTTCCTATTTTACCTCATCGGACGGCTGAAGACCAGCAGGTTCTGTATCGTTGTTGTTTGCGCATTGATTGTAGCTGCTGCCATGATTTTTATCCGCTATTTCTTGCATACATTCATTTTTTCAAAACTTCTCAAACCTCTGAGCAGTATACCGAACTCGTGTACATTTCAGGTCTCGTGCGGGCTCGTCGTTGTCTCGAGGTGTCTCTGTGGTGCGTGAGACGCGGTGGTAGCGGACGCGCCTTCTTCGAGGGTAGTTTTGGGGCGAAGTAGCTGCAAAGAAAACTGGCGACCCGTCCCGTCTGTTGACCCGAACCCGATCGAATAGTCCGGAAAGCCGGTTCGCGTGCAGGGCGAGCGTGTAGGTATCTTATTGCATAGTTGAAGAAAATTTTTTTTGAATTCGTTTTCGTAGATTGACGTGAACGTGTACTACTAGGACATTATACCTCTAAATGACAGCCTCATGATTTTTCCGCTGCAGCTTCCGGAATCAATTATCAAAGTATGGTCTAGAATGTCTTCTTAGGCTGGTGATAATCGATCAAACAAGAGAGGACGCAGATGAAAATTGCGCTCTATCTTTCCTTTTTATCATTATCGCAGATGATAGGGTTCCCGGGTTTAGGTTCGTTTAGGGTTTCTATCTTGATCTTATCCAACAACATCCTCCCATCGACGACCCGATAGAAATGAAGAGGAATAGCCTCACCTTTACGCTGGCGGCAGCACTTCTGCATGTGACCTATGACTAGAACAAAAGTAGAGATCCCACACGGCAAAAACATGCATGAGCAGGTAAATGTGAAAAATGATCGCCATCTTAATATGCAGGTTAAGCCACTTCGTTGGAGAAAGCAGTAGCGCCACAAACCAGACACTAATCTCCAACCTTACTACTTCGTGTCGCTTCCCCGTTTTTTTTTCCAGCGACGTCCGTGTGATGGTGTCTCTTCAAAGAACTTAAGAGTTAGCAGGCTGTCGCGTATGCCGACCTAGTAGTCTCCGCTATGTAAAGTTTCAAGTCTTTTAGAAAGCATACCTGTGGCTAGCACACCCCAAAGAAATATATCCTGATGATATGATGTGCTACCACCTGAATTTTCCATAAATGCGACCCCCCCCCTCCCGCGCTCCCCGCCCAGCCCTTTTCCGAAGAAAATGTCCGTTTCCACCAAGTCGGCCCGCTCCGCCTTCACGCACGAATTTCCCCATTGGGAAGACCACCCCCTGGACGCCTTTCCGAACACCCGGCTAAACAGTTTGATCGAGGAGTGGTGCTGGCAGGAAAAAGTCGGCTCCTGGGTGTTCAACTGCAATGCTAAGAGCAAAAATGGACCAGAAACTTCTACAGCCTCAACGCCAAAAATTCGCCTGGACAACGACGCGCTGCTGTACATTTGCAAGTACCTGTTCGTGCGGAAATTGAAAATCTGTAAACGGTACCCCCGGAACTTCGCCGAATTTGAGGACTTGCGGAAAAAGTCGTACTTTTTCGCGAACGCGGACAAATGCCAGCCGACGCCGATTGTCGGTATAGAAACAGCGTACTTTGATTCCTAAGTGTAACAATGTGCGAAGATGACGTGGCACCACTTCGAGTACCGACGCGGCGAGAAGTTTCCTACACAGCCTATAGTGCCATATGTGCGTCGAAAAATGTCAGGAAGACAAGTACACGTCGAAAAATTCACTTTACTTAGGTTCCCGGAGCAAGCATCACCTGCAGTTTGGCCAGAACCTAAAATACATCGCTGGACAGGCGAACGTATCCACTGCAAAAGCAACATCGCACTCATAGTAAATGCACCGCGCAAACTACAATTTCGCCAAAGTAGAAACTCGAACTTGCCATGCAAAATCAGATAGCAAAAGCAAAATCTTTCTGTCATGCATGTTAGCACGACCACGAGCAGTGCGATACTTTTGCAGTGGATAGAGCGACTGGGTTTTCTTTACGGGGGATTATAGTCAAGTCGTGTTCTTCGAGGACTTCAAATTTGAGGACAACGATGTGGGCGATCTCGGCATGTGCCACCTGGCGGACTTTTTGGTCATGTCCAACGTTTTGGTCCGGAACTTGCGGTTTTTCAAAAACAAAGTCGGGGAGCTCGGCGCGGTCGCCATGGCGGGGTATCTGCAAAAGGCGCCAGTGCACGAGTTCCACGCATCCCACAATTTCATCCCCCGCCTTGGGTGCATGGCGTTGGTTGTTGCCGCCGCTAGTAACCCACACTACCCGCTTTGCTTCCCGGAATACTACAAGTGGCAATTGCAGCAAGGCAGGGGCAGCAGCAGCAGGAGTTCCTACCAGCGTTACACCAACCAGACCGACCACGCCTGGCAGACCATGCGGGAAGACGGGCCGCAGCCGCGGCCGTTGTGGATGCGTTTGGAGTCGAACATCATCGAGGGGTGGACGGAGATGCGCACCATGGAAGCGGAGCGGGCGTTCCACCAGCACTGCAAGTTCGCTCATTTACTCGACCCCCGCGCCGCCATCTGCCCGGAATTCTTGACGGAGTTGCGCGCGGCACGGTCGCGGGAGGACGACCTGATTTGCGAAATCCGGGACAAGCAAAACACCTCCTGCACGCCGAGGTTCTGCATCGGGAGTTGTCGAAGGGGGTACTGCGACCAAAAGGGAGCCTCGAAAGACGGGGTGCTGAAGCGGGGGAAAGTGGTGGATTTGGGGCAGGGACTGGGAAAAATCAACATGATGTGGTACAAAATGCCGAAAATGCACATTTGCTACATGAACAGCAGCAAAATGGAACTTGAAAACCGGAAAAAAATCGCGCCGCCCATCGCAAAGGTATACGTATTTTTTTTTCGTAAGATTGAGTGATTGAGATTGTTGGACTTCGATCGCGATCGCAATCATGGCTTTTACAGGCAGAAACACAAGAACGAATGATTTTTTTGTTTGTGCGATTGTATCATCACAATTTATTTTCCCAGGTTCCTTACGAAGGTCAGTTGTACCGGCACGGCTTCACGTTTTTTATGCAGCACGTTTACCAGCGGCACAACCTACCGGCTCCGAAAACCCTACAGCTCGCACTGGAACTCCCTTTAGATATTTCTCGGCGGTACTACCCGGACCTGACGCACGACGGGACCAGCGGCGCGGGCAGCCCGCGGGTGTTGGATTTGAATGTGGCCGCAGCAGCGGCCGCGATATCGTCTACTACGACTCCGCAGACGCCGGCTGGTACGGGGACAGCTTCACCTGGCGGTGTAGTAGTCAACGCCGGGGGCAAGCAAGACGTCGAGAGCAGTGGTGCTTCGGCTCCGATTGCCGGCGCACCACAGCTTGAGCAGCGAACGGAGACGTTTGTTGAAACACCCCCGGCGGCCAACAAGGCCACCGCTGCTTCCTCCTCCTCCGCAAATAAACCCGCTTGGAACATGGCTTTGCTGTACCAAAAACGACCTGGAAGTAAAGACGCCGCAGCCGCGGCGCAGCAAGAAGAACTGCAGATGCAGAACGAGGAGAAAGGTCCTCGTGCAGAAAGTAGCGTGGAAGAAGATAAAAAGGAAGCACATTTTCAGCCGGTGAAGGACCAAGGGAGAGCAACCTCAGGAACTGCTTTGGGTGAAGTTGCAGGTGCAGGAGTAATCCAAAAGGAACAACTATCTAAACCTAAAAGGAAGGTTCCCATCAAAAATCCGCTCGAAACTTCATCAGACGACGAGTTGTCCCCGAATGACGTAGGCCTAAGAACCCCGCCGAACAAAGACGAAAAAAAGAAGCACAAGTGGCACGATGACACTGAGAACTACAATTTTGACTCCGACGAAAGCTTGGACTGGGGACGAGACCCGAATAGGAACAAGTCGAGTAAACCTCTTTCCCCCGATACAATACCGAACAAGCGAAATAAAGAGCAGCAGGAGGGTCCGCTTGTACTAGATGCTGCAGAGCTGAAAAAGTGGAATTTGAATGTGGGCGAGAAAATAGAGCGGCCTGCTCCAATGAGTACAGCCGGGGCAGTCACGACGAAAGTTGTAACTAGTCCATCTACAACCCGGCCTGGCTTTAGCGAGCAGCGTCCGGAAGGCGTGGCTCCGACATTCAACATGCAGCAGGGAGGGAGCAGCAGCAGCAGGGCGCGACCGCCGCAAAACGAACTACAATCTCCGCCGCAGTTCAATAGGCAGCAAGGAGGGAGCAGCAGCAGCAGCAGAAATCCTCCTCCTTTGGCACAACAGCAATCGCACAACTACATAGAAGTAGAAGAGGCGAAACAGCCCTCCCGAGGCCCACCTTTATTGACGAAGGAACAGTTCGAGAAAAGGGACGAGTTGCTGGCCAAGCACCGAGAAAGGGTGGAGCAGTCACGGAGATTGGGGACTACAGATCAACAGGGTTCAATATTTCAGAGTCAACAAGAAGAACGGATACGGACAGCACAAGCAGGCCTACAGCAAAACCGGCCCGCCACCGGAGGATCAACCACGAGTAGATCTGGCTCTACTACTAGAAAACCACCGGTACTGTCATCAGCATTTGAACCTCCATCGAGAAATATCAAAAATACACAGGGTCAAAAACAAAAACCACGAGCACAACGACCACGATTGTCCGAAGAAGAAAAAAAACAGCGCCTTGTAGATCTACAGCAGCGAATGCAAGCCTACAGAAAAAATATCCAAGACGCAACGAAATACCACCCGCAGAACATGTTTGGCTGCTGCAACCGGGACGATTTGAATGACCCGGAGATGCCCCGAACCCGGGATGCACTCGCGAGAGAGGTGGAGGAGGCCGAAAAAAAGAACCTTACCGATCAGAAGAAGAAACTCTTAAATAACATCCGCGCGCAGCTCTTGACGCAGGTGCGGGAGAAGCGGTACTCGGCGCTGGATTTGCAGCGAGCGCAAGGGATGGCGATGAAGATGTTCGTGGAGAAATTGACGGCCGTTTTGAAAGCAGACCAGCATTTCAACGAACATTGGGATCGCTGGTTCTCCTGGATCTGTGAACATTTCTGGACCGAACTTCGGAGAATATCGCAGGAAACCTCCGGCACGAACTCCTTCGCGGGGCGCGGGTTTCAACCTTTCCGCACACTGGAATTGCTAGAATGGGAGCTCGCGGAGCGGATCGGTACATAGTACTTACCTACAACGGTAGTAGATTGCATTTTGCAGCTGGCTCTATGTATGAGTGTATCAGTATGTGAATGTAAGTACCTATTTCGCGTCTGCTTTTGGTTACATATTAATTTCTACAGTCGGCGCGGTTGTTTTTTTAGCATCACAAAACTACTGCAACATTTGACTTGAACAAAATCATACAATCAGGTCTTTGTTTGAATCTGGATGTGGTTCCCGGTTCGGAAAGGGAGCGGATTTTTATGCCAGACATGGCGGAGAAATCGAAAAGACAGTGGATTGTGGTGACGAAGGGCTACACCGACCGCCAGAAAGGCCGCTGGATCAAGGTGCCCAACATTCCGAAAATTTGGCGGCACGTTTGGCACCACGCGGGAAACTTGAAACGCATGGCGAAGCTCGTTGCTCCACCAAAAGAGAACAAGGACGACCCAAACAAGAAGAACCCCAATATTAGCCCTGGCGGCCCGGATCAACGAACAAAAACGCAAAGTACACCGGAAAGATACAAAGCGGCCAAGGCCAACGAACTTATCCACGCGTTTGACGACCCAGGACTCCGCATCCTGCAGCAGCACCGGCTTCAAAAGACCCCACTGTTCCTCGGCATGGCCTCGCTTTCCAGTCCGTTGCAAGACTTGCTGTTGTGCGAGCGGGTATTTAGTGCGTGGGAAAAGAGAAAGATAGACTTGAGGAACTTTGAAGACCTGCAGGAAAACGTGTTTTGCCAGAAAATTTCGGATTTTTTCCTCACCTACCTGCTAAAAGTGGAAGCGGTTTACTACCAGAAACTCACCCACTTCGCGCGGTTTAGAATCGAAAATAACGACCAGAAGATGATGACGTTGTTCGCGGAGAAGCACGACCTCGACGTGCCAGAATATTTGAACAGCTTCGACGCGGAGAACGAGTTCCGAGTGCTGTTCAATGACGAAGACTACATCTACAAGCGGCTCTGTTCCTTCGAAAAATCCGTTTGTCTCAAGAACGGGTTGGATTTAACAATCGGGAGTTCCGTTTTGTCCCCTCACTACCACTATCAAAAGTAAAAAAAAATGTCTGGGTCTGGAAACTTGTGATGCTGGGTGGCGTCTCATGATGAGGCTACAGATGCTGGCTCAGCGTGACAAGTTTCTGAGCTCCTAGGTGTTGCCTATTCTGCATGACAAACTGCGCTTCTGCATCACAGAAAAGCGGAGCTCTTGGGTAACGTGCATGACAGATTTAAGAGTCATGTCAGACAAGCATGACAAACGTGAATTCTTCCAGACCCAGACACTTTTACAGTTGATAACCACGTGGAGGCAGTGGAAAACTACGCGGTGCGCGCGGCGATTCTGTTTCGGATATCAAATGTAAAAATGTCTGGGTCTGGAAGATTGCCAGGTTTGTCATGCACGTTTTGCATGACTCCTGAACTGATGTCTGTGATGCATGCCCTAGCATAACAGATTTTGTGAGGGCTTCCTGATGCCTATACCGCATGACAAATGCTCTTTCCGTGTGGCAAAACTTGGACTCTCTTTGCTGCTCATGCCATACAGATTTTTTTACAATCCAAAATCAGCATGACAAGTTGGATTCTTCCAGACCCAGACATTTTTACAGTTGATATCGGAAGTTTCTGAATTCTTGGCTGAAACTGTTGGAGGAGTTTGTCGTGCAGAATCCGGTATCCTGTGCAGAAGTATCGTACTCGTAGTAATCCTATTCATGCATTACAGATTTTTTTCTCAAGTTAAATCCGCATGACAAATTCCATTTCTAATGCTAAGAAAATTTGTAATGCAGTTTATACTAGTACGATGCTTTTGCACAGGATATCCGGGCAAATTACCGGGAAGAAACAAAACCAGGCTGCACCACCCGGTGGGGCTGTTTGACGCGAAGATGTTTTTGTCGCATGAGACGCTGGAAAAGATAGCACAGCTTTTTCGAAGATTGCTCGTGTTGGAGATAAAGGGGCGTCCTGAAAAACAGGGGCTGGAACAAAACCGCCGAGATGAGACTGACGCCAAAAGTGGTTTTGCAGGAATACGCGGGGTGGAGCAACAGGATAAGGATAAAAAAGCTGCCGCTGCTTCCAGCAAAAGGGCTTCTCCCAAGTTTGACGACGGGGACACCGACCCGAACGGCACTAACCGTGGGATGGATCCTACTTCAGCGACACAGTCCGCCGCCGCGCGAAGACCCCGTCCCCCTCTCCGCGTGCAGTATGAAAAGGCGAAAAAAGTGGAGCAGCAAGCGGGGGAGGTGTGTTTGCAACGTGGCGTCCTCACTGAGGAGAACCTGCAGGATTTGCACCGGGCCTGGGTCGCGAAAAACAAGGCGCGCCGGGACGTCGTCGCTCTACTTGCGCGGTGGAGTGGGTCGTCGTCGGGGTCCAAGATGGATGTTGGCGGCACAAAAGGGCCAGAACGTCAAGAACCATGTCCGAAAATCGCGCAAAGGAACTATTGGCACGCTATCGAGACGGGAAACGCATACCAACGCCTATTTCAGTGGGTCCAGAGACAGGCCCCGGTGTACGCCGCAAAGCGGAGACGCTTCGAGCAGGTAGAATTTATGATATGGAGATCTATTTTTATACCATTTCGTATTTTTATCATGTTATAGAACGTCAACGTAGGCACCATGACGTGAGAATGGTTATGCCACTGACGAATGAACAAAAAAATCAAAATGAAATCGCAGGTCTGCGACGAAATTGATGCGGTAAAAGAAGAGTTCATTGACGTGATCCTCGAAGCGCAAACGTACGACTTTGGCTTTACCATTCCCACTGTCCCACGCTGGGAGCACTATAGCACAAAAAGGAATAAAAATGATGCTGGCAACAGCACAACTTCTAGAAGTACTACTACACCAAGGCCGGTCGTGCCGCCGTTTTGCGTTGCGGAACTCTTTGCGAAGGTGGAAAAGTCGGAACTGGACAAAACCCTTTTGGATGCCATCAAGGACTTGTTTCAAGACGTCCAGCGGGTAAAGCAGGCACGAGGCATGTACGAAGCGGAAATAGTGAAACTAAAGAACAAGTTTCATTTTTCGCAGGAACTACCACTACTTCCAAAAAGCACGACTGCTCAGAACAAGACGAGCACGCCGGTGTTGGAGAAAGAAGTAGAAAAAGGGACTGCTTGTAGTTCATCTACAAATTCAAATTCGCTCCTCGCTCCACCGAGAATACTCCGGGCCGAAGGACCACTTTCCTCAGAGGCGGAAACCGAGCTGTTAAAAACCGTGAAGTTGGAATCTCCACTGGCGTTTCCCCTCGGATGTTTGGACGGCCGAGGCGAAGCTGTGACGGACGCCGGAGATCAGCAGCAGGATTTGATCGCCATGAACAAGAAAGCGCTGGATTTAGCGGCAAATCTCCCGTTTTTATTTCTTCCGAAACTTGGGACGCCGATGGCGATTTCGTGCGGAGAAAACGACGGATTCGTGGCGGATAGCTGTTCAGAGTTTATTATTCCGCAAATGATCAACGTTGTCGCACAAGAACAGGGGAATAAGCGCGGTCTTTATGATCCGAACAAAAACTACAGCAATAACAATAAAATTATTTCGGAGACGCAGAAACGGCTTCTGGAGACCCAGGGCTACCGCAAAGTTATGTTTGCCGAAGATCCAGCAAGTTCTAGTAATACAACTGAAGAAGGAGAAAAAGCTGAGTCAGAACCTGAACCGAAACCGAGCGGGACGACGAGGGATAGTGCAACAACGAAACAGAAGCCTCCCGTCGAGTGCTTTCTTCACGAACAAGCCCCGAATTTGTGGCCGAACCTCTGTATCCGAACGGACGAAGAAACTGGGGAAGAGTACTTTGAGGCCGACCCGCCCGTGGATCAGCCGGACGGGAGCCGGTCGCTCGCGCCGGTCCGCGGTAACCAGCTGCGCAAAGACATGACGGAAAAAGAAATCGAAAAGATGTTCTTTGACCGCGGGTTTTTTACACTGCCGCCCATGACAAATTCTAGAAGCTCATTGTCGATGAAAATGATGAAGAAAATCTTAACGAAAGAAGACCACGAAATGCGACTCCAGGCATTTTCGTTGCAGCAAAAGAATTCTAGCACACCGGAAAAATTGTCGGCGGAACGGAAGGAAATCATGCGAAAGTTGATCGGGGTGAGCAAAATTTTTCCGCGGTGGATACTTGAGAACATCCCGAAAGTAAAAGCCCGCTGGGAGGAGAAGCGGGAGATCTTCGAGAAGGTGACACAACAAAATTTGCAGTACCAAAAATCTTTGGCAGCGGAGCAGAAAAGCGAAGTAGAAAAACAAAATGACGCAAATAGTTCCGACAACAAAGAGGACGAGGACAGCAGGATGAAAAAAGCCCCGCTCTTCACACACAAGTCCCTCAATCCGGAGTTGGAGCGGCCTGCGCAGCATCTGTACCCAAACCACACTTTCGTGAAGCTGGAACCGACTTTGGTCGACTTTTTGCTTTCTGCGAGCAATAAATCGACCGAGGAGAAGGAGATGAGAGAGCGGCAAAAACTATTAACGGAAACAGCAGCGGTCACACCCCACCAGCCGCACGAGGTACTAGGAACAACTACACAACAAACAGAAGTTCTGCCAGCAGCTTCAGTTGGTGTACAAGAACTAGCAGACATCTTAACCGAACCAAATTGGACGGGCGTGCCAGATTGCTCCAGCGAAAGCGACTTGGAAGGAAGAGAATGGGACGAGGACAGAGCAGATTCGCCGGATACGTTCTTCACCAGCAGCGACGCCAGCAGCATCTAGCTCGTGCTCGGTCACGGTCACGGCCGGTGAAGATTTTTCTTGAGCACCATCTTGGTAAACGTAAAGACAAGCGAGTCCTTGTGTACAACTTGTTCGTACCTGAACCCTTTACGTAGCGAAGAAAACGTCGAGACGAGAAAAGGATACAAGAACGAGTCTAGCCCTAGAAGTGCCTACATTATATCCACCCCATATCGATAAAGTTCCACAACGGACGACGACGACGACCTGTATAAAGAAAAATTTTGCCAGTAACACCAGTAGCGACATTTTGCTTTCACGACGAAAAACCAAAGTAGACATGTGTTTCGACTTCATCCCCATCCGTATCGACAGAAGACGTAATTTATGATTTTTGCATGTTGCACTTGCTTCCGCACCTTCTCGTCTTCGAAACGGTTCTCTTTCATATCCTCGGTTTTACAGTACAATAGAAATTCAAGTATCCATTTCATCTTACCTTGCTATTCCTTGTAGCAGGCAGGCTGCTGTTTCGCCTACCATTCCTACTTCGGTATATCCCGTCTTCAGGGAAGCTTCGTTTGATCTCGAGTAAAACATTCAAACTGTGTTTTCTCCTGAAGCAGTGTTTGTTTTGTTGTTTACTTCTTCATTTTACGACGGCTCTACTTCTGCTTGTTGTGCTTTCCGTTCGGTTTGTTTCGGACAACTCCGACTTTCCTGTGCGTGTCGTGTTCGGCTGGCACCATGCTGCGCTTTTCCCCGACATAACCGCAGCCTCTACAAAGCATACGCAAGCCGTCGAATCACGACCTAACCCTGAGAGATGATACTTTCTGAATCTGCTCCGACATAACACGGCAAGTGGTCAGCACAACGCGGAGTTGACCTCCACCGCGAGAAATGGACCTTTCCCGAAAAAGCAGCCAAAAGATAGCCGGCACAAGCAATCATGAGTCTGATTGTGGTATTAAGTACTTGAGCAGGAGGTTTTGATACTTCATAGTGCGACTTGGGTTTTATTTTCCTCCTCCCTTTCTCCTCTGTCTCTGTGCTGCGGCCTCCTGCAATACATAGCCCGAGCTATGGAAGTTCCTACTTGCAGATTTTTTGGTTTCTTTCCGTGAAAGAACCACGAGAGTGTTGAGGCACCGTCGTTTCAGGCTGAGAGCTACGGCCGCAACATCTTTTTTCAAAAGATGGCAGCAGTCACCGCGAACACTGCTCCCACCTCCACGAAGCCGGCCGCGGCACTGGTGCCGCAGGTCGGCGGACAGACACAGACGCACCAGCAACCGAGCGCGGCGGCCAACATCGGTGCGCCGCAAGTTGTAGGCACATCCATCGGACCCGGCGCGCACGTGCGCAGGAACCAGCTGCAGACAATTTCGCCCGCCATGCAGTACCGCAGTACTACGCACAACCGCGTGGGCAGCGCCATGACGCGCCGGTTGTCGCCCACCGCGCTGGTACAACTGAGCCCGCGGAGCTTCGGGATCCGCAGTGCCGTTATCGGTAGTGCTGCGACGGCGAGAACGACTACAACGGCGGCGGGGTTGCAGAGCCAAATGAACGCCGCCGGCGGAGGAGCTTCCACAGCAGGTAGCCTCTGTATGACTGTTTCGGTTTTTTTCGAAGTCTTGAACAAACCAAGAAACTTAGAGTGCCCTGAGGCTGAATCTGAAATAAAGGTATAGAAACAGCAAAAGCAGGTAACGAACCGTCGGCAATATTAAAGGAGAACACCACGACGACGACGTCCACAGCCATGCCGGCTGGCACGACAGCACCCCCTAGTACAACTACGACCTCGTCGGGGTTGCTGCACACCAAATCCACGAAACATCTGTACGGTGGCAACCAGCTCGGGCTGCCACCTTCTGCGCGGTTTCGCTCCATGTCGCCCACCGGGTTGCTGCGTGCCGGGTTGGGACCCACAAACACCAGCAATTTCACATTTCAACCTACCGCTTTGTCGAAACCCACGACTACCGCTGGTACAACAACGACGGACCACGCGCAAATAAAGGCTGCGACCGTTGCGAGGATCGCCAACGCCGCGCGGCCGCCCAGCGGAACCAGTAGTGGTGCAGCTCCTGCGACGGCGACGACGAGCGGAGCAGGTGTAGCAAATGCCGCAGGAACTGGAGGTATTAAAACGGGGAACAAGAGTACTGTTTCGTCTACTGCAGGAACGCCAATGGGGGAAACAGTGAACAACCCCTATCAAATGTAAAAATGTCTGGGTCTGGAAGATTCTGACACTTGTCATGCACGTTTTGCATGAGCCATGACGTCTGTGATGCATACCCTAGCAATACAGATTTCTTGAGGGCTTCTTGATGCCTATTCCGCATGGCAAATGCCTGCTCAGCGTAGCAAAAATTGCATTCCCTTTGGTACTCATGCAATACAGATTTTTTTGGAATCTAAATGCAGCATCACAAGTTGCATTCTTCCAGACCCAGACATTTTTACATTTGATAACCCCGGTGTGTTGACGACGGCGACGTCCACCACGACTGAGCAGCTGCGCCAACTGATTGGCGCGCCACCGTCATCATCCTCTGCCACCCGGTTACTCAAAGACGGCTCGCTGGAACGAAGAAACTTCCAGTTCAAAACGCAAGCGATGTATCCGCTGCAAAAGTAATTTATATTGCACTCATAGTAATTGTATTCTGCGATTGTCACAGACACAGTCAGTGAAGATGTTGACAATTCTCACACTTGTTTACCAACGTGGTTCAGAACTGAACTTTTCTGTTTGAAAAATATACAAACATATTTGTAGTGCAATTACTACCGGAAGAGCAAGAGGTACAAAAATACTCTTGCAAAAATGCATACGATGCTGCAAGGCGGAGCAACCACCTCGTCCAAAGCAGCGAACCACAGCCGGCGGCAGTCTTTCTCGGTTGCCAGCGTCGAGCACTGGAAGCAGCAAGGGACGGCTGGTGTTGCTTCGACTAAAAAGTTAACACCGACAGAACAACTACAGGGTGGAGCTGCTGCAGGTGTACCCCTAGTGCCCGCGGGATCTACTGCAAGTTCGACATCGGGAAATAAAGGAGGTGCTGTTGAGCAACAAGACAAAACGTCAGAACAACATCAAACACCCGCGGCGACAAGCAGGAACAGCAGCAGGGCCAGCGCTCTTATAGCCGCGGCGGCGAACGCCACAGCAAAGTTTTTCTCTCCGCAAAGCCGAGCGGGCTTTAATATCGCACGAGCTAGCGCGGCAAGTGCAACTGGATCTGGAACAATTGCCGCTGCTGGAAAAATTACCGCTGGCGAAACTTCTACTTCCGGAACGGCGACTGGTGGGACGAGCACGCGCGCGGCCTCGTCTAGTTCCTCTAGTTCCACCGCAGCTGCAGGAGAACAAGGGGACAATAGTACGAAGTCGCAACCTGCCCACTCCGTGGACGCCTTGGTGGCGCAGGCGGTGCAAAAGGTGGACTCCCGGGTCGGCTCAAAAACGGGCAGTGGCTCCGCGGGGGTCAGTCCGCAACACGCAAACAGTGCTCGGACGTCGAGTGGGCAGCTGCTCCGGGGCGCGGCCATCACCAATTCCGGCCTGTTCGGCAAAAATACCAGCTCGGCCTCCTCTCTCCTTCAGTTTCACAGCCCCACCGGGCCGACGGGGCCCGATAACATTAGCACAGGTGGACCACTTCTACAAGCCGGAACAAGTGCAGGTGCCCCGACCCGTGGGAGACAGCCGTTTGGCATTCGGAACCAGAGCCCGCGGGGCGGCATCGGGAAGTTTTCGGTCTCCCCGGAGAAGTTTGTGTCTCTGTCGCCCTTCAAGCACGGGTTTCTCGGCTTTGGCGTCAGTCCCCGCGGCCCCCAGAGTCGAACGTCGGCAGCTGGGTCCCCGGGCATGGACGGAAAAAATTTGGGCAGCGCTGGTGCTGCCGTGGTAGCCGCAGCGGTTGCAGGAAGTGGAAGTGGAAGTGCATCGTCTTCTTCCAGTGCGACCGGAGCACCACAAAACACGACCCCCGCGACAACTGGTGTTAAAAATAGTACCGGAGCTGCTCCTGCAGGGGGCCCCGCAGTGGGCAACCCGATCCCACCGCTGCACCCCTCGAGTTTGACCTCGCCTGCAGACAGTGCTCTGCCGCAGATCGCGCTGGAGTCCAAGTTCGCGGCCACGCAAAACTTCTATGAAGAGAGTGCACCGCAGCTCCTCCTCGTCCCCTTGATTTGTGATGCTAAGCAAACGAATCCCAAATCCATTCGCTGCCTCGTGGCACTGTTTGCATGACAAGACATTCCGGAAGCACAACCAGTACTACATAATTCGGTGCGTATATATCGTTCGGCGCGTATTGAGTTTCTGTTTGTCAGGCACGTTAACGACGTGTGCTGGCGATTCTATTGCTGTTCATACCACGGAAGAGATGAAATGGGACTCACTGCGGGTGCAGCTGTGCACTTGCATATCTTGCCCCGCGGAGGAAACCACCCACAGGAGCCGCAGTCGGCGCGTCTGCCGGGGGCGCCTGTGGTGACGCAGCACTCATCGCGGAGTGGGCACCCGGTCGTGAAGCCTGGTGGCGCGTCAGCGCAGTACCGAACCTCTTCCCACAGTGCGACCGGCAATCCAAGCGGGTCCTCCTTTATGCAGAAGCAACAGTCGAGCGCAACGCTCGGGGGAGCTGCCCACCGGGCCATCGGAACAAGCAGGGGGCCTTCGCAGCCGATTGTGGGCACGCGCCGCAGCCCGATTCAGCAGGCACGGATTCTGGGGGCACAGCCGGCGCGAGGGCCCAGCCCGATTGCCAGCATACAATTGAAGGGCCTGGGATTCGGGTTGAGGAGCAACAGTCCGGGGGTGGCCTGGTAAATACTATGTGAAGGAGGATCAAATCATACAGAAACAGAAACTACCACTTTTGGTTTTCAATATGCCACTAAACATAACAGAGAAATTCTTCCGGAATGGTGACCACACACTGGGAGAACGTTGTCAGACTTTAGTTCTAAAAATTATCAGGACCACCGGTAGCGGCGCGAAGCCTCACCTGCAGGCCTCGGAAAATAAAGCGCTGTACAGCTCGCGGCAGAATTTGCTGCAGCAAATCGACATCGAGGCGACGAGCGTGGAAATCCTTCGCGGCGGGGGCAGTAGTGGTAATAGTGCGGGACCTGCTGCTCCGGGAGATCATGGTACCACTAAAACTGCAGCACCCGCAGCTAGTATCATGGCTGCGACCCCCGTGGGTGACCAGGCCGTCGGGCAGAACAAGTATCAGACGCCGGATGGCAAAGGCCTGATGAGCAACAGCATGGCCAGCACCCCGGCGGAGCAGAGCTGTCCGCCAAGTGCCATGGTGGTCGAGAAATTGGTATATATTAGTACTCTGAATGTATACCGACATAAGTGCTGTCCGCTTAGTGCAATCTGTATGTTGAAGCTTTGCCATAGTACTACTGCAACTGCACTGTCACTGACTCTGCAATTGAGGTTATGCCTGAGCAGCTCTGCAAAAGTGCGAGAACTTTGCTTTTTGTACATGCAGTTGCACCCGACCGAGTATATTAAATGGCACTAATATCGGTATCAAAACTAAAACAGCAAGGAATGGTCGAGGCTGTATCCGATTGTTCGCAAAAGTCCACGCCGGCGATGCAGCGTGGGGTCATTGCGCCGGTGAACGTTGCTGCGTCGGAGGTGGTCGTGAACGTGGAGCAGCCTACTTCTAGCAGCTCTGCCACCTCAGCTGGTGTCGTGCAACGGCCACAAGAAACGAGTCGAGAAGCTGCGGCCCAAAAGTCATCTTCCGGCTCCTGCAACTCCGAAAGCGAGCAAGAGGCTTCGAGCACGACAAAAGGCGGCCCGAACAGCACCGGGTTTCTGCAGCAGTTTCCGCCGGCGTTACCCCTGCCTCCGAGCGGTGGACCGCAGCCATCTGCGGACGGCTTGTCTTCGGCCTCGGGCTCGAAGCCGTCAACCTCGCGAAGCACTGTCGCAGGAGTAGAGGGTGGAAATAACAGTGCTACAGGTGGCGTATCTGCTGGGACTACATCAATGTCGTCAGCAACTACCAGAATGGCCTCATCTTCCCGGCAGCAGCTCTTAAGCAGGCCCCAGCTGACAAAACGAAGTCTGAACAAGGCGCCGTCAGCGTCGAAGATAAAGGTAGACTTGTTTATGTAACTTGGTAGATTATTTCAGTTTGAGAGCAACCTTTGTCTTCTTCCTGTAGACGGGTCTGCTTTTCGTGTTGCGGCGCATGAGGACGTCGACCCGAGAATTTTGGAGCATTTCTGTGAGTTTTGTCTTTGCATGTCGAGTAGTTTCAGAACAGCAAACCTACAAGAGAGCCGGCACATGATGTTACAGGCACAAGTAGACGCAGTAGGCGGGTTCCGGCTCTCGCCAGAATCTATGCAGCGGGGCATCGTCGTGCAGCCACAAAGCCGTCTGGTGGACGCAAGAGGCGGGTACACAACTTATTACACTTCTTAGTTCATTAAGTGTGCTGCTGTACGGAAAAATCACAGGTGCTGTATGTACTCTCTTGTTTGGCGTGATTTTGGTGGAAGATAAAACAACACTTTCACTCCAGACCGCCCCTGCTGGACACCAGCAAGTCCTCGTCGGGCTTCAAAACTACTACCGGCATCAAGCCCCTGGCACAGCCCCAGATCGGTCTCGTTCCGCAATCTTCCCCCCAGCATAAACCCACGTCCACCCCTCCCCCGACTGGACACAAGTACAGCGTACGGGCGGGCGTGGTTGTTGCAGGGCACTGGGCAGCCAGCCGAATCCAGCGCTGGTGGCGACTGCTGGTGTTTCACTCGAGGTTCTACAGCCACGGGCGGAATGTATCAATACTACGGTGTACCTGTTTCGCGATGACTGAACTTGGCCGCTTTTCAATTCATTTTGGCATGATGAAGTCATCTCGGGAGTTCTTTAGATGAGTGTTTTGCACGAGCTGCGTGGCGACTAGAACAAGAGCCGCATGACGAGATGAACATGAAAATAGAAGTACCAGTACCAAAAATGTTATAAATTTATTATCAGGTGCTCAAGTGGATCGGGTCGCTCGAATGGCTGATGAAGCAAAACATGCTGTACGGCACCGAGATTGCGGAACAAGAGGACTTTGACTACTGGGACCGGGCGTTTCACAGCTCGGCGCTGGATAGCGAAGTAGACCCGTGGGGGAATAAGCGATTACGGGAGCACCTGAACAAGATGTGGTACGGGTCGGAGCAGGGACCAGCGGTAACTGCAGGCCAGCAGCAGCAAGTGGTGCAGGTTGTGACTTCTCAGCAGCAAGATAGCATTGCTCAACAGCATGATTTGCAGCAGTACAACGACCACGCCTATCTTCCCAATGCCACCGGTCAGCAACAAGCAGTCACGCAGCAAGAAGTCCTGCCAGCTGGTCAACAGTATTTTTATCCCAGCGGTGGACCCGTGGCAGGAGCCGTCCCCGTCGGGCAGCAAAGTGTGCTGCAACTCGAACAGCAGCAGTACGCACCACAGTACCAGCAGGTGGTGAATCAGGACCAAATTCCCTGCCAATAAAGACGGCAGTTTAATACTATACATATACAGTTAGTATATCATCTGCGATTGCAAAATTTAAATTTTGTTGTTTTCGCCTTGCCACTGCCAGTGCTGTCTTCTTTCGCTGGGTCTTTAGGAAGATAGCATTGGGATAAAGATGATTATCGAGTCTTGAGAGAGATTTTGCTTTGGGATTATATTATCATCTCCTGTGGCTGCGGCGCCCCAGAGTAGTGCTTACAAAGTTTAGGCACTGCCGCGTAAGTGCGGTCGGGGAGGACCGAGAGAGGCAAAACCAAAATGCAGTAGTACATATTAATTGAAATGAGGACGTCCCTCGGTGGGTGTGATGACGACCCCCGCCTATGCGGGCTGTTATTCTCGCCACTGTGATACTGACTCTTTAAAATCTCGAGCCGACGAGGACGAAAAAGCTACTCACGAGAGTCGGAGCGTTGTTGTAGTCCTTCTCGATGTTCTTTCGGCGCGTTGTCGGTATTAAGTGGTACTATGTATTTGCATTGTCCAAAATCTCTGCTGCGAGGCTGAGTCTGTCAGCGCAAAGAGAACATCTTCACAATGATCTCGAAAGGCAAACTTGTGTGCAGTTCAAGTTCTGGCGGGGCGTGACCCAAGGTCGCACAAATTTAAAGAATTTAGATCCGTTCTGCTTCTGCACAACACATCAGAACAAGGAAGGTCAATTTGAAATATGATCCTGAAAGGAAGTTCTTAAGCACTTGATCCTAAGCAGACGCCATATGGATGAAGTGCTACAACTATCTACACCTAAAGATATTGGGAATAAAGACTCCCTGCAGTATCATGATGATAGAATGACCTAAACCTAATTCTCCACTGAGCCACCGCTCTGACGAGAAAACCTCAACTCCGTATTCGTACTGTCTGAAAAGAAGGAGACTTCAAGTAGTAAGGCGGATGCTGTGGCTGTGCGCTGTGGCATGCTTGAGCTTGCCATGCGGTTTAGAAATAATTGTTCCTGCAGCTGCGTGTCTTTTCGAAATGATGATAAACCTCAACCATAGAATCACTCCACTCCGATGTTTGGTGACGATTCAACTGTACACATCATGCACTACCATCTGACACAGACACAAACGCTGTATTGCTCAAGGTACTTGGGATGAAATTTTGTCATGCTTCTATCGAACGTAAGCACAACTACATGGCCAACATCCTGATGAGAAACCTCAACCATAGAATCACTCCACTCCGATGTTTGGTGACGATTCCTTGTACACATCATGCACTACCATCTGAATCAAAGCTTGTATTGCGCAATGTCCTTGGGATAAAATTTTGTCATGCTTCTATCGAACATAAGGTAGGCATCTATATCCTGATGAGAAACCTCAACCATAGAATCACTCCACTCCGATGTTTGGTGACGATTCCTTGTACACATCATGCACTACCATCTGAAGCAAAAGTATGTAAGCGCCGAAAAAGGTTAATCAGACCATGCACAATATACATCCCTCGGAAAGATCAAAGCAGTATTTCGTGGGCACAGCAGGTGGTCAAACAATGAGGACACCATGCGCAAGCGCAACGCATAGGACAGGAGTCGAGATCCAGATCACTCCACCCACGCTTTCTAAAAATCCAAGAAAAAATTTAAAGATCAACTCGCGCGGGGAACGGAAATCTAAAGAGATCAATGTCTGTTGCATCATGCTTCTAAATCTAAATCTAACTTCACCTGAATCTAAAGATCCGATCTGCTGGTGGGAAGATGTTGTTGACAGCAGAAAGAAGCTGAGCTCTATTGAACATGGCCGATCAAAATATAGCTTTGCTTTGCCTGATCTGCTCCGAAGCGGGGCTACACTAGTTCCTCAAATATAGCCGCTGCATAGAACAAGTAGTGCTTGTTCCGACGCCAACTGTTTCTATTCCAATTTACAATCTCACAGGGACGAGAATCGTAGTCAGATTTTCACAAAACCGACTGAAAATGGTCCACGTCTACAACGAAGCCACCAAGACCTTCTACCAGGTCCACCAGAAGAAGGTTGCCCAGCGACCGGCCAGGGAGGTGGGCAAGCGCCAGAAGAACACGGAATACATGAAGAAGCTCTTGGTATACTTGATATCGTCTTTTGGTTTTGTTTATTTCTTGCTTTGCTTTTGGCCGAAAATTATACGTACCAATGGAATTTGGATTTATTTTGGGCGCAAGCAGCCTTCTGCAGGGCTAATGTGTACTACGATGAAGGGCGATTGGAGGATTTTTTAAAATGCAAATCTTGAATTCCACCAAAAATTTTTCCCTAAATCCTAAAACAGGCTCTGGAGGCCGCGCACCCGGTGAAGTGCATTTACACGGACAAGAAGGAGTAAAAAGTCAGACGAGGACGACGCAAAATGGAGCATAGAACCACTCTGAAAACAACAACCCTCGCTGCCAGATGACTTTAATTTGTGGCGCCGAACAGCACTTGTGCAGCGCGGAAAAATGTTGAGAAGATTCTGACTACGATTTAAAAATCTGACAGCAATTATTTTTGCTGGGATGGTTTCCGCTGAAGTCCTTGCCGACGGCTTGGGAAAACGCTGCGGATCATGTTGCCTTCACAGAGAAGAGTGTTCCGGTCGTTTTGCGTAGCATTGTAGCACTAGGCTTTCCATCGTTGTTGCTACGATCTGAGATGGTGTCGAACGTAGTAGACCACCTCTCTTGCGAAACACACCATCGGTGCCGAGACCACCTCTCTTGCAAAGCACATCCATGCACGCTTTAGAAGAGCGACCGTGGCGAAGATGGATCAAAAGCAACAGTTCGGTTCGTGCGAACAGCAACACAGAGGATTGAAAATCGCGATTTAGATTGACAGAAAAGGAATAATAATCAGTCGGTTCTGCTTCGTACTTCAGCTTGCTTCCTAGCAGCTGACCTCAATGAACAAATGCAACTTCGGTTGATGAAACAGAAGGGCTACGACTCTCTGGTGTAACAGAAATACTCGGTCCTTCGAGCACGTGCTGCACCTTCCTCGTGCGCAATCACAACAAGTTTAGGCGAACTCGTGCACAGCAATTTCGTTCTCATCAACATTCGTTCGTCCCCTTCTGTCGTGGCGCAGTGACGCCCTCGCGAGAACAGTTTTAGACGCGATAGAAGGTAGACAAGTACTGATTGAGATTCTTCGATTCATCTTTAACTTTATCGTATGGAAGAAAAAGTTAGCTCTGGTGCACAATAACAATCGGATATACAGGGCCTGTAAGATAATCCATACGCGACCCTGCAGGCGCGGCCTGCACCCCAAGCACTTTTTAAGCTATTGAATACACGTTTTCTAGCTCTTTCATCTTCACTTTCCACTATAAGCACTTTTATTCTTGGACGGCACGCCGCGGGCGTCGTCCGTTGTGATTTTCGTGTCAACATCATCCCGTGCTGTGTTGTATATCAACATACGTCTTTAAAATCCAAAAGTAGTACGTACTCTCGCACGATTTCTGTATTGCTTACTTAGTTGATAACCACAACCTCACACAACATGGCGTACCAGCCCTACATTGGCATGGGTGGCTCCGACTACTACGGAGGCGACCCAAACTACGCCGCGTGGGCGGGGTCCGACGCGGCCAAGGAGCAGTTTGGGGAGACGGTTGCCACCTCCGGGGCCGGGTCCTCGGACCACACCATTACCGTCAAGGTCCAGGGCGGCGGGTTCCTGGCCCAGACCAAGGGCGGCCTGGACACCGGGGTTGGGGGGCGCTACGTCGACTACAACTCGGACGGCTACATTTTCAATGAGGCGGGGGTCGATGCCATGGGCAACGTCGTCGCGCAGAAGCAGCACGGCGGCGGCGGGGGTTACTACGACCAGAACGGGCAGTGGGTCCAGACCGGCGATGGCGGGAGCGGGAGCGGCGGCTACGTAGACGAAAATGGGCAGTGGGTCTACACGCCGGGGGGCAACGAGGAGGACCAGGCCGCCTACAACTTTAGTCGCAAGAAGATTGACGTGAGTGTGCAGGGCTACAGCCACGACGACCTCGTGGACGACGGCCGGAACCACATGGTGGGCGGGGGCGGGAGATTCGGGGGAGCAGGAGGTGGAGGTGGGCATCACCACCACGGAGGCAGCGGTGGGGGCTCGGGATCATATGGTAGTTCCGGGGGAGCAGGGTATAGTAACTCCGGCGGTGGAGGCGGTTCGTACGGTGCTAACGGTTCGTACGGAGGTGGTGGCGGAGGGTATAACTCGGACGCCGAGTCAGCGAGCTCCTCCTCTTCCGAAGACTTGGGGCAAAGAGGCGGAAAACTGATCCAATACGCGATGGAAGTGCCGACGCCGATAGGGAAAGCGAAAGTTTTGGTTTTTGAAGACTGGACCGTGGACTTCGACGATGACGAGTGCTGGTGAGGTTTATTTTGCAGTGACTAAATGATGCGACGCGCTTTCGATTATTGTTCTTCTACCTAGTCGTGCACATGCTCGTGGGGGACTTCTCACTCTCGACGTCACTGATAGTTGTATAGCAAAAATTTTAGAAATACTGCGAACCACAATAGAGAAAACCAAATCGTAATAACCTCGTTTATTTTCTACACAGGAACCTCGGCGACACGACGCGCACGTGCGTGAAGCCGACCGGCACGTGGAAGGGGGAGTCTCCGCAGGACTTTACCTGCACGCACGGCCAGGCGTGGAACCTGGTGTGGGGGTCCGACCCGAAGACCGGCAAGCAGGTGCCCGTGTTGACCATCGGCGGATTGGAATTTCGCGACGGCTACATCCCGGGCAGTCAAAACGCGTCTAATTGGGAAAACGGGAAGAGCAGCTCGGGCGGCGGGGGGATCGGCGGCTGGTTCCATAATCTGATGTCCGGCGACAGTATCATGGGCGGGTCGAGTTCGACGACAAGCAAGGGGAAGGGAAAAAGGAGTGGCAGTAGTTCCGCTTTCGCAGCCGAGGGCGACTGGGGCGAAGTAGACGGCACCGCCGGCCGCGGGCGGGGCAGGACCGGGATCTCCGGGCACTGCATCTACGGCATCTGCCCCCCGCAGAACATCAAGACGGTGCGAAAGATCGGGATGCAGGCTCACGCCCACGCACTCGACATGGATAAGCACCAACAGCAACAGGCCGCGAAAATGGCGGAGCACCAGAAACAGATGCAGAAGGTGGCCAACCGACAGGAAGAGCAGCGGGCCGCGAACGCCATGCGGCTGCAGGCCGACAAGTGGAAGCTGCAGCAGCACAAGGCGGAGTTGCAGGCAGAAACCGCGATGAAGCAAAACATGATGCGGGCGGAGTTGAACGCCGTGCGTATGGACAAGCAGAACGAGCTCGCGCAGATGCAGGGCCGCGCGGATATGAAGATGATAGAGATGGCGCAGGCCAACCACGAGACGAAGATGAAGGCGAAGCTGGACATGGAGGCCGCGCAGATGTCCGCGGACTTGCTCGCGGCGCAGCAGGACACCATCAACCTGCAAAACGAGATGGAGACGAAGCTGACCCTGGAGCAAAAGCGCGCCGAGGCGATGTCGATGAAGGCCCGGCAGCGCATGAAGGACGGCCGCAGCCGCGGGGGCGTGAGAGACGGCCCCGGCGGATCCGGCGTGGGTGCGCGCGGCGGCGGTCGGGGGGTCCGCGGAGCGAGCGGCGGCCGCGGGGTCGGTGGCATTGGTGGCCGCGGCGTCGGGGCCTACGCGACCGGGGGCGGCGGCGTTCGGACGCCCTTCGACTGCGCGAAATACGTGCCGGCGAAAGAAAGGTAAGAATTTGATAAAAACAGAAGTTGGTGGCTTCGATTTTTGCTCTCTTTCGTTCGTGCATCTGTTGTTGTAAGAACAGCCCCTGGATTTACATGTAGTGATGATGAAGGATGAAGATGATGGTCAATGTTTTGTTTTCTACCCTCAAGAAATAGTGCGCGATTTGTAGTTTGAGTATCGTTAGCACTCTGACATGCATTCACGTAACTGCTGATTTAACATCGTTCACCTCGATGTCGATGTGGAGCAACCAGAGTTTGTTGTCGAAGTGATAAATTGTGAAATCTATCAAAACTGCAAAAATGATGATGAACAGGGACCAGATGCGCATTTGGCACTTTGGTTTGGTGGATGTCAACATGGGCACTTACATGAGCAATAAGTGGCAGCGAAAGTACGTGGTGGTCCGCGACATGCTGTTTGAGATTTACGACTCCCCTACGGCCCAAGTCCCCATCGCCACCTACCCGTTTACCCCCGATAGCAAGTTCTCCAGCTTCAAGTCGGACACCTGCAGCACGGAGGGAAGGATGCTGTCCCGCACCCGGAGTTACGGCTTCGAGTTTGACACGCGGCACTTCCTGGGCATGGTACATGTCGATTGCCACGACATGAAAAATCTCACCGAGTGGATGCACAAAATGGAAGACTGCCGGGCGCACCAGCGGCAGGCGGCACAATCACTCGCGGAAACGGTGAACGCAATCAACGAAATTTACAACGAAGCCGGCTGATAAAGAGCACCAACTACTTACTGTTTTTGCGAAAAGAAGTTTTATCGGTTTAGTTTCATTTAATTCCCATTCCTCGTGCGACCTGATGCTGAAGTTGATAGAGAAGTAGATTAAGGCGATAGTAGTTCGATGTCCAGCAGACAAAGACCTTGCGCAAGCGAGTTGTCGACGACTAGCGTCATCAGCAAAGGCAACAGAAGAAGGCCTGGAAGTGGGCTTTCAAACGTCCAATCTATCTTTCTAGTTATCGGAACTGCAAACAAGTTTATTCCAAATCAATGGTCTGCCGCGGTACAATTTTTTTCCCCGCGGTCTTTCCTATCTAGCAACGAACAAGAAAGGCGGCTGCACCCGAGGCGGAGTCGTCGAAAGATGACTGTTGTTCTTGGCTTGGGAGTGAAGAGGGCACGAAAGAAAGCCAGGAGTTTCAATATCTACAGCTTACTGAGATCAAAGATTGAGAAACTGTACTAGAGCGGAGCGAGGAGCGACACTTAGCTTAGCGGTAACATAGCTTGTGCGCTTGTGGTGCACCAATAAAAGAAGGTCCTTTTTTATCATCTGTTACAACATGCTGCCAGCCTTATTAAATCGTGCTCGTGGTATTCCTGATTTCGGAGAAAGAACGTGAGTTGTATAATCGTATAATCGATGTAAATGAACACCACGATCAGTCCACGATCGTTGTGAAAGAAGGATGCTGAACGATGCCCCGAGGACTGGTCGGAGCGAAAGCAGCAGCAGTTTCTCTTCGTTCTCTTCGAAAAATAACGAGGTCAACTTGCGAAATCACGCACCGCCGGATGAAGTGGGGGAACAAGAGACGAGAAGAAAAAATGTCGTGCAAGACGGTAGTAACTACAACTCTTCCTCGTCTGTCGAGTCATCGTCGTCGTCATCGTTTTCTAGACGGGAAAAGAACTCGACGCCGCCGTCTAGCGGGCCTCGTGGAAGAAGTCAGACTAGCACTAGAGGAGCGTCGCCTGCCGATATTAATGCGACTGCAACAAAATCCCTAAAAGACGACCTGGTCCGCACGAAGACGGGGAATCTGGTGAGCAAAAACGCGGTGCTGTATGGGGCCCAAAACATCGAGCTAAAGGGCACCGGGTGCTACATCGGAAGCAACGTGACGCTGCGCGGGGATCTGGCGATGCTGCGGCTGGGCGAGTATTGCTTAATACACGGGGCGGCTCCTCGTGGTGGATCCACGACAAGAAATTCTATTGAGCAGGAAGATATTTCGGCGACCAGGAAAACGAAAACCACCGCGTCGACGACGACGACGATAATTCGGCCCAGCAGGAAGTTTTTCCAGCACGTTTACGTCGCTTTGAAGATCGGGGACTTTGTGCGGATCGGGCCGAACAGCGTCGTGCAAGCGGCGTCCATCGGGAGCTACGTCAGCGTGGGGCGGAACGTGGTGATTGGTAACAGGTTATTCTCCGGAAAGTATCACCGATACTCGTTCTTTACGAGGAGAAATTCCAGTCTGGCAATGTTGGCATGGCAAATCATCTGCTTCTTGCACCTGAATGTTCATCTGCATGACAAATGTCAGCTGAGTTAGCCCTTGTCGATCAAACATGCATCATCACGATACTTTTCCAACCTGCATACAGAGCGGTTATCCACTCGTACTGCGTGATAGAGGACGACACGGTCATTCCCGATAACGAGGTAATCCCGCCGTTCTCCATCGTGTCTGGCGCGCCCATGAAGCTCCGGGCCGAGCTCCGGGAGACGTTCGCAAGCGAGCTGGCGACGACGTTGAAAGAAGAGTATCAGGGGTTTTTGACGGGTATGACGACGAAGACAGCGGCGGGGGAGGAAGATGTGGATGAACTGGGCGCACGGCCGGATGGCTAGAACGAGCTGGCAGGTAGTTTATTCTTCCGCTAAACGACAACGACTGCCACTGCAACAACGCGATGCAGTCGTGTGCATTGTTTCGTGTCGTCTGGAGGAGTTGGTTGTGGTTGCTTTTTAGCCTCACACGACCAGACCAGGCGAATGGGAATCACCAATTCGCAAAAACACCAGCGCGAATCATGATCGTCGTGTGACAACTGCATGGGAGGAGGACGCCTTGCAAGTTTGTTTTGACTGTTCGGCGTGCAGTTCGGTAAAAAAAAGCTCCTAGCTGGAACTGGAACGCGGATATGCCACTCACGCACGCACGAAGGGATAAAAAGGAAAGTTCTACTACGTGATCACGAATCTTCGGCTTGAGGCTGTCTTCGATCTTGCCACCTGTCTTCCTCCTTGAAAGCCGCAAGACTACAATTCACAAGAGGTGAAGATCTGCGTACTTCGGCACGGCTCGTCAGCACAAAAAGAGATCATTTTCATCTGGACCAAAGAGAAAAGCTTTTCTTGCATCAAGACTTGAATCTGAATCGTCCTCGTCGTGAATCTGAATTTATTTCCTTCTACCGAAACTAAAAATGGTCTACGCGGTTCTCATCCACGGTGTGGAAGGTCGTCTGTTTTTCAGCCTGTTTTACTCTGCCGAGGGGAATGACAGCCGCAAGAAGACGAGGCAGCAGACCATCATGCGGCGGATTTTAGCGGAGCACTTGTTTCAAAAACACACGGACAGCAACTTCGTCTCATCTTCGACTAGCAGTTCCTTCGGCGGAATGTTAAATGGCGGAGGAAGTGGCTCGTCGTCCAGCGGAACTTCCAGCTCTTCCTCCACCGCAGCTTCCAGCGCGTACAGCCCGGTTTTCGAGTTGCTCTGCGGCGGGCCGGATGGACTGGCGGTGAAGGAGGGAAACAAAAGCAGCAGCACGTTGCTGAACAAAACGACAAATTTGTTTGGGGAATGGATTATGGATTGCAAAAATGTCTGGGTCTGGAAGATTGCCAGATGCAGATTTTCCATAACCCATGAGGTCTGGTATGTAGGACATAGCATGACAGATTCTGCGGGACCTTTCTAATGCCTCTCCTGCATGAGAAACTGCCTCTCGATTAGGTCAAAAGTGCACAACTTTTGGCAATCATGCAACACAGTTTTTTGCCTGATTCAGATTTAGCATGACAAGTTGCAATCATCCAGACCCAAACATTTTTGCATTTGATATGGATCGGAAACAAGAAGGATAATGCAATGTTGCACCACGGAGGTCCTCTTTCACTAGACCCGGCTGCATTCAGTGCTATGCACGGAGTAGTAGATAAAAACGCAGTGGATCCAGCAAGAATTACACATGGAAACACTGCGGACCCGCATCTGCTGGGCCACGTGCCGGGCTATCTGCAGAACAAGAGCACCAACTACTACGCTTCGAGCCTGTTCGGTGGCGGCAGTTCTTCGGCCTCCAAAACCTTCGGGAACAATGTGCAGAGTGGGTACAACAATTACACGGCCTCGCGCAACAAGAAGAACGCTGCCAACGCGAACAACGTCACAGAGGGCGTGGTGCGGATGGGAGGCAGCGTTTCCGGGATTTTTGAGCAGAGCAAGATGCTGTTCTGGAAGCAGGTGAACGGTATCTTCTTCACGATTTTGTGTGAACCACTGGAAAACACGCTACTCGCGACGAACTTCCTGGAACTGCTGATCACAGAATTGCACCGCCACTTCGAAATAGAGCTGAAGCTGGGCGGGAGCGGGAATTATGACAAGAAAAATAAGAATTACACCGACAGAAATAATGCCATGACTGCCGCAGGAGATCACCATCCGCTGCTGGAGGACCATCTTCATGGGGGAGGGAATGACCACGGCCGGGTGGCCAGTAATGGCGGAAACAATTACGGGAGCACACTCGCGGATCGGATTCTAGACAAACCAGACGAAGTTCTGATGATTCTGCACTACATGCTCCCCGGAGGACAGCTGCAATTCATAACCTACAATCTGTACGCGTTTTTAAGGACAAACATAGCGGACTCACTGAGCAACTGAGATGAAATGTATTTCTGTGATAATCGCTTTCGTGATAGATTTTGCTGGTGCTCACTTGTTGTTGTTGATCAAAATTTGAAACGAAGCCACTTCTCATGATGAAGCAAACGCACGCGCGCCGAAGATCGAAATTAAGTACTGACAAAACGCATGCTGAACTGCAGCAAAGAGAAAGACTTAAGCAGCTAAATCATGATGAACACTTCAACTATCATCTTTCGGGTCTGAAACTACACCGAATGAAGATACGTTACTTTACTTTCGTTCTGCTGACGATAAAGGAATTACTTTACTTTCGTTCTGCTCGGCCAGGGCCTTCCGTTGTACCTCGACCGCCATATTTATTTATCGCAAACGAAGCAGATGATCCGTGAAAGTGAAGTAGAAACACAAAAAAGGAAAAGGATCCTCCAGTGGTTTCGAAGATCAGGTCTTGTTCAAACAAAAGGTCATCTCCCTCCACGTGCAACATCCAAAAAGATAGAGATCATGATGAGAGGATCCACAAGCACGAGCAGAAAGTCGAGTTGATAGAATGGTTCAACTCAAGGAATAAACGATCTTCTGGTTCGGAGTAACCTCGCGAAGCTAGCACTGTCGTGCCTATTCTTCAAACAGCGAATCCAACGGGTACAAGTAGGCTGAAGAGTAGTTCTTGTTGTTTTCCGGTACATCACTACAACATAGCGGCGCAAGTACGTTTGTAGAGGCGTTAATCTTCTTCTTCTACAGTAGAGTTTGTCGTCGTACAAATACCATATTTAAATTTTTTAGAAGCTTCTCTCAGGCCGACCTTCTTCTCGTTTCGCTTTCGAAAAAATGGTAAAAAAGAGCATGAAACGAAAGCAGGCCTCTTCTGCAGGAGACCACAGCGCGGGTGGCAACAAAAATGCGAAAGCATCATCATCCTCCGCCGCCAGCACTGCCGCGGAACCAGCACAGCAAATGGAGCATCTTTTGTCCGGTCCGGCGCTGAAACAGGCCAAGAAAATTTCCATCGCTAAAATTAACGGTCCGGACGAGGGAAAGTTGCTCCTCCCGCGAAACGCGGAGGATAAGAAGCAGGGCGAGCGGGTGGTGGTCGTGCTGGAAAAGTGTTTTTTGGAGCTAGTGCAGATCCGGAAGGGGACGTACGAATTGCTCAATTCCGACGACCACAAGACCTTACTGATGAAAAACGAAAAGCGCAGGAACGACCTGGCGGAAGCACGCCCGGACATTACGCACCAGTGTTTGATGACGCTTCTGGATTCGCCGCTGAATAAAAAAGGTAGACGTTATTTTGTCCGTGCAAGACAGATTTACGTTTGCCACCTGAGCCAGCATGTTGACAACATACTCCATTTTTTATATTTTTTCTTGCAAAATAGAACAACTTGATGTAATGCTGCTCGCATTGGTGCGATATATAGCATTAGCATTGCACCAACCACCATGAAAACCTTAACAGGCAAGCTGCTGATCTACCTGCACACAGCGCAGAATGTGTTGATTGAAGTGCACCCGAGCCTGCGTGTCCCCCGAACGTTCAAGCGATTTTGCGGGCTCATGGTGGAGCTGTTGCAGAAAAACAAAATCAGAGCCGCGCAAACAAACGAGATCCTGATGAAGGTGCGATGAGTCCTTATTTTTTTTTTCGCAACTTCCTGATGGATCGTCCTGTTTGAAGATGCAGACGAAAGATTTGTTGATAGGGCATACACTAGTTTCTGATTGTGTTTTGCATTATTGTTGGCAATGGGAGACTTCGACAGCCATATAGATTCGGAATAGATTCCAAATAGATTTGAGATAGATGGTTTCTGTTTTCCGAAAAAGCGTCTGCAGTTCTGCAGCACGCGATCGAATGGAGAATAAAAACAGTCACCGAAGTCGCGAGCTGGGCGAAAAATGAGAACAATTCTGACCAAAATTTCCCGGGCCGATGAGAAGTGGCCACAAGGTGCCTGCCCTAGCCCGAGAAAGTGGCCAGGTGAAGGGGGTAATCTTGCAGCGCAAGCGCCGCGCTATGCTTTTAGTTGGGCCTAGACTCTCGGACCAAGTAAGAGCATACCCTGGCGCCTGGGAAAAAGATTGCTCTGGCCCGCAAAAGTTGGCACAGGCGCCACGGCATTCTTTTGCCGGGGCTGCCAGGTTTTAAGGCCAGGCACTGTCACAGAGGTGCGCATGTGATGCGAAATTCTCCTGGCCCGAGAAAGTGGCCAGATCGATGATGGAGGAGCGTGGTGTTTCTGATGCGAAAATGTTCTGGCCCGAGAAAGTGGCCAGATAAGGGGGGGGTGATCTTGAAGTACAAGCAGCACGCTGTGCTCTTACCTGGGCCTCTCGACTTTGAGGCCAGGTAAGAGCATAGCATGGCGCTTGGAAGGAAAAAAGGCCCCGTCGGCCCAAACAAAGTTGGCCCAAACACCACGGCACTCTGTTCCCTGGCCTTCCAAGTTTTGGGGCCTTCCAAGTTTTGGGGCCTATGCAGACGAAAGATTTGTTGATAGGGCATACACTATTTATTGTGTTTTGCATATTGCATTGTTGTGGTCAACTCGTTTATTATTTCCAAAAACCCCATCACAGGTTATCTCCAACCCGATTGACAAGTACCTTCCACCGGGCGGGCGCAAAGTCGGTCTTTCTGTGACGGGCAAGTCCGTGAACGTTCGCGACTACTGTAAAATGCTGGTGGACGAGCAGAGACCAAATAAACCACTAGGAGGAGCTTCTGATGCAGGAGCACGAGAAGCTGCAGCAGGAAGTAGTGCTAAAGGCTCATCACCGTCCACCTCTAGCAGCAGTTCAACAGCGCCATATGCAGGTGCGCAACAGGTAGTTGCAGCTACGACAGCACATCAGCAGCAACCAGGTCATCTACCTTGTGCTGAGGAAGAGGAGCAGCCAACCCTGGATGTGAAACAAACCGCGTTTCTGCCGATCACGTTCGTGATTGGGGCGGTGGCCCACTGTGACCCGGCGAGCGAAAGCAATTTCGGCCTGGATTACACGACGGAAAAGATAAGTATTTCCCCGTTTGGGCTCAGTGCGAGTTGTGTATGCAGCAAGCTTTGCCACGAGTTTGAACACTTGTGGAATGTTTGATAGTACAGATGAGCCTCGATGGCGGATACGAGTTGTAGTAAACGACAATGCTTATGATTGCAGTGCGGTATGTGCCTTGGTACAATTACAATGACCGAGGATGGAAGAATAAAAATCTATCGAGGTGAAAATTCTTATTCTGATGCAGTAATGCTGGGAGCCGCTGCTGCATTTGTTTTTGCGTTCCTTCACAGGCGTCTCCTGCAAGTCTGCAGCTTCCGTTCCTGGATGAATTTTCGTGCGGCGTGGTTGGGTCTTTTCGAAGATGAGAGCTGCAAAAATATTGTTGATTTGCTTCTGAGAGACAGATGACATCAAAACCATGCAAAAACCGTCTTGCAAAAAAGAACAATTTTCCCGACATAGATTTAGATAGACGAAAGAATTGATAAGTACAACTTCGACCAGCGTAGACAAGGTCAGCGAGTCTAGCTTGATGTGTCCTAGTACAAGCGTCGTGACAAAGTAAGCGATCATAGTACAATCATAATCAAGTCGTTTTAAGTGTACCAAGTGAGATACAAGAAAGGAATTTTTTTGTGCACGACCTCCTTCCTTTATCAACATTCCTCAAATCTAAAGAGTCAAGAGCCAAAGTTTCAGGTTTATAAGATTAAGCGTATCAAAATCAAATGCCCTCGACGCCAACGGACAGTTCATTCTTGCGACAGCAAGTCGTGCAAGACACACCGACTTTTGGGGTGCCAGGTCGTGGTGGCGATACAGGAAGGAAGGGCAGTACGAGTAGCGCCACTGGTTTTCATCCAAAGAGTGGCACATCTTCTACCGCTGCGTCATTTGTCAAAACAGCAGCATCTTCGGCAAGCGACGCGGCTACAACAGGAACTACACCCGGAACAAGAAGTGCTGTCCCCTTCGCGGCCCCCGCACTTGTTCCTGCGGCCGAGACTTTTTCAAAAATGTCTGTGTCAGCCTCGTCGGCTACGGCTTCATCAGCTGCGGAAAGCAGAAGTACCATGATGAACATAGCGGCCAAAGAACCGCCCGTAGTTGCGGCCGAACCCGCGTTCGAGCGGGACACGGATGAAACAGAAGAGATGACGGCGGACGAGGTGTGGCGAAAAGTCCTGATGCCCAACGCGGCGTCGGCACCACTAGCGTTTGCTGCGGGCTACGACCAACGTAGAAATAATGATAGACGGTTCCTTGTTCAAATGTTTGAATTTCGCATCTATTTCTATACAGAAGCACCAAGATTTTGATGTTCCAGAAAAAGATGCTCGCATTCATTTTCGCTGTGTTTTTGTGTTGACGGTTCTTGGCCTGATAAATTTTTCCAAGAAATTGATTCCTATACAGGTCTGTTCGACGGCTGGGTCAAGCAGCCCTCGCCGTGCTGCGGTGCCGCGTCCGTTGCGGGCGCCTGGAATGCGCTGCGGAACGTGCACCGTTCGGGGGACAACTATCAAAAGGAAAAATCCCCCCACCCCATACTCAAACTAGAAATTTGTGATGCAGATTTGTGGTCACAAATCAGCTTTGTCATGCTAGAAGGGAAAAGATGCGGACTGTAGTGCTGGTTGGCGTGGGAAAGCCTTGCACCTTCAGCATGACAGGGGGCAGCTGGAAGTGGGAAACAGCATGACAAATTGCCAGCAAACGAGGCCAGAGCTGCGTCTCTTGGCCTTCTAGCATTACAAGTCGATTTGTGTACTCAAATACTCGACCCGGCTTTCACTAGGGGGAGCATTCGTACACTTTGTGCCCTCCGGGACTATGCCTCTGCTTCCGTCTAAACTGAGGGGTCCACTTATCCCTCTCGGTATTCGGTCGCAGGGAAGGGTTGCCGGGGTCTCCCTCGCATCGGTTCTCGATGTCGGGTGTGAGTTTGTGACTGCGGGGGCAGTGGTTGGCTTAGGTGTGTGGAGTACATCTGAAAAGAGGCTCCCATTCCTTCTTCCAGGTAGCGATCCTAGATCGCTGCCATGCGGAGCCACCCCCGTATTTCACCCCCAGGGGGTTGTGGACCTGGCAAAACCGATGAGTTCGGGCTGCTGACTGTTCCACCTCTTCCGAGAGCGATCATGTTACGCCTCACGCCTCAAATACAGCATCACAAGTTTCGTTTTCGATGTGGGGAGGGGGGATTTTTCGTTTTGATAACAACGCGAAGGACTTCCGCAAGCTCTCCGATGTGCTGGCGAAGTACTGCGACGCGTTGGCGAGAGGGAGACGGAAGCGGTTGGATCGCATTCTCGACGGGTATTTGCGGTGTGTCCTGCCCTCCGGGGAGGAGATTGCGAAGATGGGGGACTACTTCTTGGCGAAAATTCAGCAGCACAACTTTCTCGGCGAGGAGTACGAGCAGCAAGAGTGGCAGCGGAGAAACATCTCGCATCTGGAGCTGCATGCGGGCGGTGGTGGGGACAACATCGCGACTTGTGCGACTGAAAAGAACTTGTCCAGTACCGCTCTCTTAGCTGCAGCGAACATCGAGTCTTCAATGGATATTGCGGTCGAGAAGATGGAGAAGTGTAGTAATAATTTTTCGGGGGCACCAACATCTAGAACCACTTCGGCACTAGCAGTTCCAAAGATTGTGCAGAAGAACAATCCACCTGCTCTCCCGGTGGGCAAGGACATGACGGACGCCGAAAAGAAGGAGCTGCCGGTCTCGAAATATTTCAAGACGGAGGAGAAGTTATGAACTGCAAAAACATCGTACTAGTATAAATTGCAATACAAATTAGCTCAGCATTACAAACTTTGTAATGCGGATTTTCTTTAACAAAAAGATTTGTATTATGCATAAACGCAATTAGTACGAGTACGATACTTTTGCACAGGATAGAAGTTTCCGATGTTACTGTACCTAGAGAAATTCATCGAGGACTACCTGTTTCAAGTTGAGCAACGCACCTGGATCGGGACCAAGAAGAGTATTTATTGCGTATGTTGTTGTTTGTCATGCAAGACACAACACGTGATGAGGTATATTTCTCATGCAGGACGCACAGAACAAATACGACATTTTATCAAAAAACAGAAAACAAGCCCGTCGACCCTGAGAAAACCCCTGTCGAGGGTGTTACCAAAACCGCCGCGAAAGACGCGTTGAAAGCGGTGTGTGAAGCACAAGTTGCGCTCCGCTGCACAGTGGCGACAGACGAAAAAAATTCTAGTCCAACTGCCGGGGAGAACAACATTTCGTCGTCCGAGGAAACCACTGCAGTGACGGCGTCGAGCGGCTCGAGTTCGCGCACCTCCAGTAAGGAGTCAACCACAAATGCAGTTCCGACGCCATATTTCACGCCCTACTCGGACTTGAGTTCGGCCAGTTCGTCCGGCGAGGAGGGGGGCTTGGACCTGGGCGCCGTGCGGGTGGACCTGCTCACCGGGCATCCAGCGCTGCTGCCGAGCGGGCGGGGTTTGAATGTGGAAACGACCGCCGTGCAAAAGGACTATAACGAGATGAAGATGAGCTACCCTAGTGGTGGTGATACAACATCGCTGGCGACCACTTTTCAGAACGGGTTGGGAAATCGAACCATTTCCGCGGCGCTGGCAACCGCGAGTGCGTCTCTGCGCGGTGGACAGAGTGGCAAACCGGCGAGCGGAGTTGTACAACTTCTTGATGCACCCACCCCAGCGCACTCTCCCGCGGATGAAGAGGTATCAGATAAAACTACTAGCGCGCCGGCGGCGGTGGACGAACAGAAGCAAGCGGGCCAAGCTGGTACCGAATCCGAAAGGAAGCAGGAGACAATCACACCACCAGGAACAACTGCCGCTGCTGCAGACAACACTTCATCTACAACTCTGCAGCCCAACACTATCAACCCTTCCCAATACGAGGGGATTCTGTGGTCGGCGTTTCTGGAGCTCTCCCAGGAGGAGCGATTCGCCACCGAGCTGGGTGAACTGTACACGAAAAAGCGGGCGGTCGCGCGCCTCACGCAGTACTTACCCGGCACCGCGGAAATCGGCAACTGGGGCATTCTCAAGGCGTGCAAAAGAACGGGGCTGGATTATCAAAGTGAAAAAAACTGCTTCCTCCCATTAACATTATTGAAACGGAAATTTCTGTTGCTGGATTTGTGTACACAAATCAGAGCTGTATAATTGCAGCATGTGCTTGTAGGCATTTTCTAAACCTGATTAGGTATGCAAAAGGCTAGCACTCAGGAATGACAGACAGCTTTGCAGTAGCCAAAAAAGCATGACCGCTTGGCTGGGGAATGCGCCGCACGGCGTCCATTTGCCTCATATGAAGGACAAAGCTGATGCTGATTTGTGGTCACAATCACAAATCAGCGTCAAACTCGATATGGGAAGGGGGGATTTTTTTATCACAATATAGTTGCGAAAGTAATCGCGAACCGGCGGTCGATTCTGGGTGGGAAAGCAGTTTTATGGAAGTGCACAGCCTCCCCTGTATTTGTCATCCAAAATCCCAAATCCAGGCTGTGCCTCTTGGCACTGTTTGCATGACAAATTCTGGTGTGCTGCACTTCTGTTTAGCATGACAAGTTCTGGTAGTTCAAATAGCACCAATACACTCCCGCGCAAATTTGTCATGCGAAACCGGCATTCTTGCTGATGCTTGTAATGCCACTCATGCTACACAAATGAGGAGGAGGGGCGGTTGTGTACTCTCATAACAATCCGCGCCCGGCGAGGAGAAGCGAAAGGAGGATTTGTGGAACCTGCTGAAATATCCTGTGCAAAAGTATCGTACTCGTATTGCAGTCATGCATTACAAATTTGCCTTCAAACGTAAATCCGCATTACAAATTCTATTTCTCATGCAGTAATCCGCCGAACAGTCCCAGTACCCCCCGAGTAGCCCCCCCAACTACTCACCCGAGCCCATGATCCCACCTGTGCTTCGCACCAACTTTGGATCGGCTCAACATTCGCTTCCGGGGGGTGCAATTTGGTATCTAACCGACATTGTGCCAAGAGGAGGGCCTCCTCGGAACCGCCTGGCGAAAGCCTGCCATGGGTTTCACTATCCACGGGTGGTGTTGCGGGTATTCCTGGCGAAAGCCAAAAACCGGCAGAAAACGGGCCACGGCAGTGCTCTCGCTGGACATTACCAACATTTGTCCGGGCAGGGCCGTCCTCTTGCCGGACACAACCAACATCTGTCCGAAACAGCCTAGGGCCAAGACGACACCGTGAGGACGACCACAGGGGGTTCGTCTCAATGATGATGATGATGCTGAGGAAATTTGTAATGCATTTATACTTACGAGTACGATACTTTTGCAGTCCATATGAAAGCGAACATCGGGCAACCGCAGACGGTTCTGCTGTTTCACCTCACCAACCATTACGCGTTGCTTTACTGTTGGCGCGAGTACTTCTGCCTGAAACCGCCGGGGGAAGAGAAGAATAAAGCAGCGCTCGTAGTAGGCGGAGAACAAGAAGAAGAGAAACTAAGTACAACTACACCAACAACGGGAGACGTCGTTTCTGTTGCTCCGGAAGGACGAGGAAACTATACAGGAGCAGTAGACCTACGACCTGCAACCACCACCACACGTCCTGCGGAAGAAGATGTCGAAAGTAGTAAAGGACTCGAAACCGCTAGCAGTGCTTCTGCTTCTTCCTCCGCATCGAAAAACGTTGGGACGGGTGATGTTCCTGTCAGCAGTTCTTCATCAAAACAGGACCCAGCCGTCGTGGTGGTAGTGCCCAAAACTTCTTCCACCTCTGCCAATTGTTCTACTTCCGCCGCCGCGCCGAAGCGTTCCGCCACGCCACCGCCGAAGGTGACACCGAGGGGGAGTGTGAAAAAGAAGAAGACGACAGGCGCGGCCTCTCGTGCAGGTGGAATCACTTCTGGTGCCAAGCAGAACACGACATCGACGACCTCTTCTACTTCGCCAAACAATCAATCGGGTGCTGCAGCTGCGGAGATGAGCGAGGGGAAAAAAACTTCATCAGCGACCAAACCATCTTCCTCTGCGAACAATACTAAAGCCGGTGCATCAACATCTTCTGTCCCACCGCCGGTCCCGTCGAATTACCAACACGTGCGGGAGATCTACACCGCCCGGAAGGGGCAGCGCCCCACCGCGTGGCTGTCGTTGGATGAGGTGTACTATGAACTGCAAAAGTATCGTACTCGTATAAATGCATTACAAATTTCCTCAGCGTGAGAAATAAAATTTGTAATGCTGATGTACCTTAAGAAAAAGATTTGCAATGCATTACTGCAATGCGAGTCGTGCGATACTTTTGCACAGGATATGTACAAAATTCTGGTTGGGTGGTCCGGGTACGCCATCATGAAGGTCACGCTGAAGCCTACGAATTGCAAAAATGTCTGGGTCTGGAAGATTGCAACTTGTCATGCTGTTTTTGGATTCTAAAAAAATTTGTATTGCATGACCAGCAAGAGGGGTGCAATTTGTACTACACGGACAGGGCATTTCTCATGCGAAAGGTGCATCAGGTTCAGGAAGCCTTCTAAAAGTCTGCGATGCTAGGTCATGCATTACAGGCATCATGGGTCACGGGAAATATGCATGGCAAATCTTGCATTCTTCCAGAGCCAGACCCAGACATATTTGCACTTGATAAAGCCGGAAAACGACCCGTTCGCCTCCGAACAAAGCAACGACGAAGAGGATGAAGCGGACGTGTGTCAATGAGTCGATGTGGTGGTACAACTCCTCTTTGTATTTGGTCGTCGTGGTGTCCTCCTCCTCCGCAATCAAACTCGGGGAGCACTTTTTACAAAATTTAAATCGTTTTTCTATGTTTGTTGTAGCTCGTTGTGTAGATGAAGATGATGGAAACGAAGAAAGGCGTCCTCCTCTTCGAGATGCTATGTATAAACTTGTGCCATCCGACAATAGGATAGCCAATTTCATCATCCACGTTAGATTTGTTGCAGTTTTGGTGCTGTCGAGCGTCCGACCACTTTTTTGAACAATTTGAGTATTGATTTTTTTTTTTGACCATCGTTCCATTTTACTTACTTTGTTTTTTGCGCTTTTCAACAAATCATGTTGAGATTTTCTACTCTCTGATTTCGGCCGTGTCCACTCTTTTGGCAAAAATAAAACGACTTAACCGCGACAAAGTCGACATCACGTTGCTGCTGTTTCAGAACATTTTTCGAACTGACGACTTTTTTCGAAATTTTTTGTTTCCAAACAACTAAAAACAAGCACTGCAGCCACTGCTGGCTCGATTGCACCATCACCCGGAGACCATACCGGTGCCTGCTTCGCTGCGTGTGGGCCCAGCGCTGGATGGTTTTGCTGCTTTGACCGACGTCTGTTCCATCTGTTTGTAGCAGTCTGGGACCAACTTGGCAGGACGATGTCATTTTCTCATGGGGATCCACTTTCGCAGTGGCATCGGACTTCTTTGCGCAAGACAGGCATCGATCGCACCATCTTCGTAAGTAGCCGCCTCGCAACCACTAGGAGTCTCTCTGTTGTTCGCAAAGTGTAGTAGGATCTGCTGCTCGGGTGCACTATCAAGGTTGACACACGCGGCGGCGGTGTTGCAATTATTGGCTGATTTTCTGCAAGGAAAGAATAAAGATCTACCGTGTTTGTAGTAGTTCTCAATCTGCGCCATGACGACGTCCTCGAGTACTGTCTTTGAGCCGCCACCGCGCACGCTCGGTGCGGGGCAAATGGTGGTTTCGCCGAGTCGCCAGCTCGCATTGTCGACCATGGATGAACAGCAGCAGCAGCAGAACTTGGAGCTCGCTGCTATAGGTGGGGCCTATATTAACCATTACGACGGAGCCGGAGAAGTAGGACCACAACAGAAGAAACCTTCTGTGGTTATGCAGGTCGGGCAGAGTGCAGCAGTAGCAGCGTCGAGCTCCTCGTCCAGAGCTGCGCAACATCAAGGTGATTTCGCGGTGCAGCGTATCACAGACGGGCAAACCAGAATGATGCGGGTAAGTGGTACAACCACGCCCAGCAGCTCGTCGTCCGCTATTGGGAGGAAAAATCCCTCCTCCCCGTATCGAAACTAAGTTTCTGATGCTGAATTTGCGTACACAAATCAGATTTGTCTTGCAGAAAGTGCTTGGCGGAATTTTCTGAGCCTGTTTGGGTCCGCAGAAGGCTAGCAATCCCGCTTGGCAAACAGGTTTGCAGTAGCCGAAAGCGCATGACAGACTTACTCTGGAAGGCGTTAAATGGCTCGTCCTATGACGCTATATGCAAGACAAAGATGATTTGTGACCACAAATCTGCATCACAAATCTCCGTTTTGATATGGGGAGGGGGGATGTTTCATTTTGATATTTGCAGTACCGTCTTCACGGGAAGCGGTTTTTTCGGATCACGGACAACATCAGGTATACGTTCTTGATATCCCGTGCAAAAGTATCGTACTCGTATAAATGCAAGTCTTGCATTACAAATCTTGCTTTTCAGGTAAATCCGCATTACAAATTTTATTTCTCATGCTGAGGAAATTTGTAATGCCTACTTTATACGAGTACGGTACTGCATACTGGAAAATTTTTGATGCGATTCTTGTGGTGACACAACAGGTTTTCATTTTTGCTAGAACAAGATGAAGCCGACTCACCGCCACCATGAACAAATGAAAAACATTTTAAGTACATATGCGATACCACATCCAACGAAATCGAAATGTAACTGAATAAAGAACTAAGAAATAATCACAAGCTTCCGATGTTGAACGCGGCAGCTTCGAGCAAGTACGCAGTGGGGGCGCAAGATCGAGCGGCAACCGCAGATAATCTTCCGCCTCCGTACAACTTCCAACCGGGGTCCAGAATGGTCCAAGAAAGCAGCGCCACCACGACCACTCTCCCCGGCGGTGCTGGTGCGACCAGTCCTGCGTCGTCCGGGACCGCGGCGCAAGAGCAGCGGCAAATCTGGATCGAGCACGCCCGCGTGGTGGCGGCGGGCACCATTGTGTACTGTGGTTTCTTCGCGTTACTCTCGCTCATCGTTGGGATTTCGGACGACAGCGTGGCGCTGATCGGGTTGGCAGTGGAGTTCTCCCTGGACGCGATCACCAGTTTTTTGGTGCTCTGGCGGTTCAAGCGGGGCAAGCAGCGGAATTTCACGTCGCAGTACGCCGAGGCCGATTTCCAGGCGCAGCGCGACCGTTTACGGGAAAAAAATTCCGGGATCGGCATTGGCATCGTGTTTCTAACCTCCGTATGAACTGCAAAAATGTCTGGGTCTGGAAGAATCCGAACTTGTGATCCGCATCTCAGAACACAGAAAAACCTGTCATGCGTAGGTAGCAAAACCTGCTCGCTTTCTGTCACCAAAATGGGGGATTTGTCATGCGGATTCGGCATTGCGGAAGCTTCTCGAAAACTGTGATGCTAGAGCTTCCATTCCAGACCTTCTGTGTCATGCAAAATCAGCATGAGTCTTCCAGACCCAGACACTTTTGCAGTTGATACTCCGCCCTGTTCCTGTTCTGCATGGCGATCTGGAAACTGGCCAGCTGGGACAACCGCGGCACGCACGGGGACGCAAACCGGTCCACTTCGTTTTATGCATAATTGCAAATATGTCTGGGTCTGGAAGACCACCGATTTCTCATGCTAGTCTGGCATGACAGGGAGCTCTGTATTGCGCGACCGCGAACGCCTTGTCTTGTTTGTCATGAGAAAATGCTGTTTCTCATGCGGAATACGCAACACAGAATCACGAAAGAGTCTGTGATGCTTGGCGTTGCATTACAGTGTACTATACTATTCGCTGACATGCATCACAAGTTTCCAGACCCACACATATTTGCACTTAAAACGTTTTACTCGGAGGCCATCGCTTGGCCGTGTGCGATCGTGTTCAGCGTCTTAGCCGCGGTCAAAAGGCAGCTGGCGCTGGATTTGGGCAGCAGCGTACTGTATGAAGGTACCGCTTACATTCATAGGAATTTTCATGTCATGCTAGGAATTCATCTTTGCATCTTGATTTGATTCGCATGTTGACCACCTCGTCGGTCCCGCTCGCTGTCTCACATGGTTGGGTCCTCCATAACTGCTACGCGTGCGTATTGGCTGCTTGCTTTAACTACACAGAATAAACCACTACTACAGACGCCTTGAGCAGTTTCCTCGGCGCCGTACTGTCCGGGGTCGTGATAGTCGCCGGGTTCCTGGAGCGCCTCCACGTGCCGGGCGCCTGGCGCGCGGACGCCATCGCGGGTTTCTTCATTGCCGCGGCCCTGGGCTACGAGGGACAAAGGGCACTGCGCGCGAACTTGGACGGGAGTGGCGATGAACAGCACCAAATGATGCAGGAGCTACCTTAAAGATGGAAGGAGAAGTCATGCGCAGGAACGACTCTAAGTTCAACACTGTATCATGGTATCAACCGTGACTCCACGCACCTCCTTCTCGGTTCTGAATATGCGGAAGAACAACTTTCTTCGAACGCTCAATCGATGACTGCGGGTAAAGCTAAATGCGCACGACTTTTATCAAACGTCGCCTGGCGCGTTTTCATCGGTCCCACTCCGTGGTCCCCCACTCTCTGTCTGACTGTTCGAACGGTCGTGCAACGTTCGGCAGTACTGCTGCACGGAACTGAAGTTGCGTCGGTTCTCGATATGGTTAGCTCGTAAAGCTTTTGGAAATCGGTTCGTTCTGAGCACAGCTACAGCGAGAGCCGCATAACGCAGAAAATCACTCAATCACGTGTGGGTGAACTACGAAGGCATTCGTGTAGACGTGTCGTTCATGGCATAAGAAGTGATGAAGCAAGCTTCGTACTCGGTGTGTGTCCAGTCGTGATGAACGTCGAATGTACGTCGTCCGTCTTTATGCATCTATCTACTAATAAGTACGTGCAGCAAGTTTATTTCATCTGTGCAACTTCAAGCGGGGCCTTGCTGCCCTCTGGGATTTTGCGTTGCAATATGTAAAGCAAATTACGCTCGGTACGCAGGTTAGGAGTAGGACACTTACTTCATTCGGTCTCGTGCGTTCTGAAGGTCTCGTGCGTTCTGAAGGTCACGTGCGATCTGAAGGTCACGTGCGTTCTGAAGCTAACAAATTCGTTCGGTTGCTCGTCAGCAATTCAGTACCTTCCTGAAGGCGGTAGCGCAATTCTTTCGCAATGAAGGAAGGAACGAAAAAGAGAGAAGAATAGCATAAGCCTGATTTCGCCAGAGTTGTGCGTGGGCTCTCACCTGAGTAACAATCTTGATTATTGCTGGGATGCGCACAGCCGCATCCGCGCGGGCCCATCACGATTTGATACGAATGGAAAGAACAGCAACAGAAGAGCAGCTGCAACCTCGAGCAGAATGATGAATAAGCCGCCCCCCTCTTGCAAGTAAAGAACGTAAACCCCTGTTGAAAAAAATCAAGAACCAAAAGTCCCAAACTCAATCTGAAATTCTAAGCGAGCTTATCAGTATCACGATCAGACCAGTAACGCAACGCCATAGCTCGGGGTCTTCTCCTGTCCCTCGTCCTGTGGATGTAGTTTTTCATTTTCCCTGTGTCTCTTCTCACTCTGCTACCGTGTTTTGTTTTATTTGGCAAAGCAAAAGTTCGCACTTATCCTCTTGCCAATTATTTGCGTCAATCCTGTTTTTCATCGCAGGAACAGTGGCTAATTTCGTCCTCAGTGCAGTAGTTTTGCCGAATTGAGATTCAGCAGCGTTTGCTTCCGCTTTGTCGGCAGCAGGAGGATACTTACACGAACATCATAGAAGACCCACCGCTGCAGAGGAGGATTTGAAGCGGACGCACTGAGGGAGGTAGGTACAACCAGCGACAGCGGCCCGAAATCTTCGGCGGCCTGGCACGATAGAAGAACTACAGCAGCTGCGTGTGGATAATTTTAAGACTCCGACGTGGGCATTCGCTTTGTGTTTGTTCTTTTTGGACCGACTCTGAACAGGCATGGGCAACAGCTTGGAAAGGTAGGCCGGGTCACGCCCTTCAAGTTGAAATCACACCCCTTAAGGTACCGGCATCATGCCCCTCAAGCTTCGGGGCGTAGGGTTCGGGGCTCGGAGCTCGGGGCTCGGGGCTTAATAGGGCCGCCGGGGCCAGCCGTCGCGATTGCCGGCCCCGACCATTCCTTTGCTGCACCCCCCCGTCGCCAAGCGGGGGCGAGGCTTCCCCTGACCCCCCGGGGGGGGCGCGCCTGCTTTCCCCGTCTTATCTATGTATATGCTTCCCGCTTAGGCCTTCGCCTTCCCTTCCGTCCGAGTGTTTCTGGCGGGCGCACTTCGTAAGTCGCCCCGAGGAGGCGTCGCGCCGCTCGTGCTCTAAAGCTCCAGGCGCCTTTCCAGCTACTTCGTTTGGAGGATGGCCACCCGGCGGTTCTGGTGTCTCCGGTTCCGGAGCATGGCTACCGGGAGAGCCCCCCGCCCCGAAGGACTCGGGGCGGGGAATACCTACGCCGACTCCTTATCGGACGGGCTGGCTCCGGGGCGGGGCCACGCGCGCGCCTAGCGCGCGGGCCCGTCTGACCGGGGCCCTGGCCCCACGCACTCCTGAACCCCCGGAACCTTCAGGGGGGTGGCCCTTCCTTGGGGGCGTGGTCCGGCCGATCCGAGTACTTGGTACTACAAGGAACAACAGTGTCGGTGCACGGAAAATGGAGGATACGGGTATTGGTTTTCCAAATACCTTGGGGAGACCACGCCCGACGATAACGACCAGTACCAGTGTAGCATTTATTGCAGTGTCACTGGTGGGTACCATGGGGGGTCCAGCGATTCATTGCTGCTCGGGCTCACCTCGCGATTGGAAACCATCTTCAGAGAACAGGGGGGCAGCAAGTTCGGTTGGTGTGCTCAAGTCAACTCACAAGGGCCTCGACAGGCCACTGCGAAGATGAAAGAGTTGGTTTATAACAATCCGGACGTGGATCGGGACGCCAAACTACGATCCGGACATTTTTTTGAACGCTCTAGCCGGTTTTTTCGATTCACACCTTCAACAATTGTGCGACCCACGGCTGCGACAGTTCTTTGAAAAGGTGCAAATTCAGAATTTGCACTATTTCAATGAACAACGTTTTCGAAAATTTCCAATTCCAAAATTTGAAAACGTAGCGAAAGTGATGCTGCGCTTGTCTCTTGGGAAGTACAACTCGTTGGGGGAGGCAAACGGGGAGATACGCGATATGTTTGGATTGATATGAGGGTCTCAGATGTGAAATTTGAAAAAACCGAAAAAAAAAACTAGCTAATTTAGGTAATTTATCACTTATCTCATGAACTAGCTAGGTCAGGTAGGGCGGTCTCGTGGTCTCCGGCTGCGGACGCAGCCGGAGACCTCGAAACCGCTCCACCTTAACTAGCTACTGAACTACTTACATGATTATTTATGCATCGAAACTAGCTAGTTTCTTTTTTGGAAAAATTTGAAACTTCACATCTGACGACCTCATAAAGCACTATTAAGATTAACAGCGACGTGTCTCACGCTGTAGAAGCAAACCTCGTCGCGCAGTTGATGACTATCCAGGTAAACCAGGCGTATACGGATTGGGCGAGCAGCTGGACGCACGCCGTCGCCCCCGCCGGGGGGCGACCCCATTCCTCCTTTCTTGAAGAAGGAGCTACGCAGACGCAGCATTCGCACGCAGCACTGCGTGGTGGACCCGAAGCAGCGACAGGGTCAGCACCTTTTGCTGACGAAGTCTCGACAACTCCCGTGCCCCCTCGTGACTCTCTGGCTTCGCCGACCGTCTCTCCCGCCACGCTTGCCGGACGAACAATGGACGACGGCGTCCTCTGGTCTGAGATGCAAACGTCCCCCAGTACGGGTCTTGGGATCGAAACACCGCCGAGTACTGCTGGAGAAAACAGCCCGTTGTCAAGCGGACAGCTGAATGCTGTTGCGGAGATGCCGGGCGATGTGAGCAGTGGCAGCGGGAGTCCTGGTGCGCAGAACGGCCTTTTTCGTGTGGTGTCACCAGAAATTTCGCACGCTCCTCCCGCTGCTGACGGGCCTGGAAATTGCCCAGACGACCACCCCCGGAGCAGTTCTGGGGAAACAGCTGCCGCGTCTTCCAGCAGTATCACCTCGAGCCAGCAACGCCCATGCTCCAATGACGAGAAAACGACCAGCACCACCCGCGATGGCGACCAGAATTTTCGCGGCAACCTACGTGGAACTGCGATGAAGCAGGAGATCGCGAACGTGAAGGAGCTGCCAGCTTGTGACGGCGTGCGTAGCGCCGAGAGCCACAAGCTCGGTTTCGCGGTTTCGAAATCCTCTGCGTGGGCACAGGAGGGCGATGCACTCTCCGCCTTTTTACTAGCGTCGGTTGCTCTGACGGCGCTTATCGGGCTGGCCTGCAACTTCGGTCTATTTCGCCGATGCAACTTCTTTTGTTGCGCGCGCGCGACGCGCGGTCTCAACTGGCGGAAAAAGGAGCACCTGCGAGCCTCGTCGCCCCTCCGCCCTGATGCCGCGTCGCCGTCTTCAGAGCATGGCGAAGCCAGATCGAAAAGTACCGCGGACCAAGGGCACTCAGATGCCGCTTCTTGCGAACGTCATCCTGAACCAGAGGGACGAGGTGTCACCTTCCCCGGGCATCTTGAGCATCAGAGTTGCACGGATGGCACAACTTCAGAAACCCATGCGCTTCTGAATTCCTGACGGAACAAGGGCAGCGAAGATGACGTGTGGCCTTTTTCGTTTTTATTAATTTCACCTTTCATTCACATTCAGTTTCAGATTCAGCATCTTTTCCGTTTTTTAAAAATTTTTGTTTAATCATTGCCTATCAGTTGTATCAGATATAATGGATATATAACGAAGGTGTACACGGTTCACTTTTCGGCAGTGGTAGATCTCCACTTCACTTCGAGTTTTCCAAAGCATGACCCTTGAGGCAAGAACGTAAAGCCAGACGAAACAGCAAATCTTGATTTTTCAAATAAAGAAGAAGAGCTCTTGTCTTCCAAACAAATTCTGTCTTTCTGGTTTGAGAAGTGCGGAGGGAGGCACAACAGCGCAGGTTTGAGGTTCTATCTTTTCCCCCATGTCGTACAACGCTACTAGAGCTATTCATTGCGCGCTCACTTTTCGAAACAAGTGAAGCTCCCGGCTGTGCTTTCTGCTAGTGGCGATACTGATGCCAAGAGTAGTAGTAGCACTTGGGCTGCTAGTCGCTTGTGTAATTGTACAGCACTGACTACGTGATAGTGCATGCTAAAGTTCGCGCAGCAATAGTAGTAATACAATACGGCTACGCTGCAGCCCCGTAGCTTTTCAGACCCAGTATATCAAAGCAGTGCCCCCGCGAGCTATTTTAGTTTTACAAAGAGCGTTTTCATTTCAATAAAAGAAGAGACCTACTGTAAAGAGCGTTTTTATTCATTTTTTGATTTTTATCTGCGTGTTCATACATATTAACATTAAGTATTTCGATTGTTTTTATTTGGCTGCAAGGCTCTCGTCTCCCGGGTAAAAAACGTGGATACCTCGAAGAGCTCCCCCCGGAGTGCAGCTAGTATAGTTGACATCAGCAGCGCCAGTACTACAACTCCAGAGGAGAGGCATTCGCATGAACCACGATAGGGTGCACAATGAACAGGTAGTGCCGCAGCTCCTGCCTGTCTCAGAATTCGGAAAAATGCTAAAGTGCACGGCCGCAGGTTCATGCAGGTGGGAGTTTAGTCTTTTCAGTCGCAGCAGTTCTCGGGGTGGGTGGTGATTTCGCGGCTGCGCTGCAGTTTCATCTTCGACAAGTAGAAGACTACAGAGCCTCCAGCGAAAGCATCAAACAAGGTCAAGACTATAGAAGTGACCTCCTTGAAAATAAAAGACAGCTCACCACTGCCCAAGCAACAATAGCAAGACCGCCCTCTGATGGATGCTACACGAGAAGAGTGAGGACGAACAAAGAGGCGACACTGAAGAGTATACGCTACAGTGTAAATGCTTCATGGAACGAAATGTTTTGCACCCGCCCCCCCCCCCTTAGGGGATCCCAGGAGATGCTGAGAAGTACTTATGACTAACGAAAAGAAAGCAAGGCAAAAAGAGGTCGCTCTTCGCGACGAAATGTGTATACGCTATCGCATCAGCCGACGTGATGTTCTCGTTCCACCACGTACTTGATTACTTACTCCGTAGCGAAGGCGCAAAGGAACTTTCTGCGACCGGCTAGTCGATTATCTGCTTCAATAGTTCTGCTGCTTCGTCACCGTTACCGTCACCGTCAATAGACACAGGATCTGTCCCGGCAGTGGACCTCAAGCACGACTGCTCGACGTAGCAGCTACAAGCAAATGATGTTGCTTGCATTTTGCAAGGTCAGGGTCACGAAATCTAGAGCGAAACACGACGAGCTCAGAAGTACGGTGTCTTCACACGGACCGTGATTCATTGTGTCAGACCTAGTATCGGAAATTTATTAACAAGTCCTCTTGGTTGCCACTGGTACTGTACTAGAAAGATGTACAAGATTTATGTCAAATGTCGGGATTAAAAACAATTAACCGTGCACTTTCCGTCCACAACATTTTCGACGCTTGGAAAGATAAGTAGACGTATTTAATTGACTGGATCTTCAGCTTCAGGTCGACTTACGTTTCAGTCCTTAAATTTTTTGGATCAGTGTTTTTATCATCTACAAGCAGCGACGACAAACGCAATCCAGTTCTCTAGTCGAAGTCGACGACCAACACGCTTTACCTACACATCGGCAGCTTGTTGAACAGGAAACTTCATCACATTAAATCTACCATAGAAAAATGGGCCTGTCCTTCGAAGAAGCAGCTGAGAAGGTGAAGACCTTCAAAAAGAACCCGGGCAACGACGTGAAATTGGAGCTCTATGCCTGGTTCAAGCAGGTAAGTTAGAAGTGGTGAATCTGTGATGCATATTAAACATTGAAAATGCAATTGACGGACATTGTTTTTCCAACGTCAACGTGCATGACAAGAATAAAGCTCGGATGATTTTATCATAAGGTAAAAGACGGCGACTGCAAGGGCGACCGACCGGGGATGTTTTCTATGGAAGCCCTATGGATTGCAAAAGTGTCTGGGTCTGGAAGATTCTAAACTTGTAATGCTGTCACTGGATTCTAAAAAAAATTGTATTGCATGACCCGCAAGAGGACTCCTGCTTGTGCTAGGCGGAGAGGGCATTTCTCTTGCGGTAGAGGCATCACGAATTGTTCTAAAAATCAGTGATGCATGCTAGGGCATGCATCACGGACATCATGGGACATTCAAAACATGCATGACAAACCTGGCAATCTCCCAGACCCAGACATTTTTGCAGTTGATAAGCCCGGGCAAAGTACGACGCGTGGGCGAAGTGTATCGCAAGAAAAAATCCCCCCTCCCCATATCGAAAAGAGAATCCGTCATGCTGATTTGTGACCACAAATCAGCTTTGTTTTGCGTACACGGCAAACGGCAGCCATGTGGCGCATTGTGCAGCCACTCTGTCATGCGTTTTCGCATATGTCAGACTTGTTTCTCATGCGCAGCTGCTAGTAGCCGGATGCGTACCCAAATGGGCTTAGAGCATGTAGTCGACAAGCTCGTCTTGCTACAGTACAAAGCTCATTTGTGTACGCAAATCCAGCAACACAAATTGTCTTTTGAGTATGGAATGGGGGCTTTTTTCATTTTGATAAAGTGCACGGGTATGTCTCCCGACGACGCGAAGGCAAAATACATCGCGAAAGTAGAGGAGCTGATGGCGAAGGAGTGAGGAAATTCAGGCCTGATTATATTAGACGGGACTTCTTCCGGTTCCGCATGATAGATTATACCTTGGAGTTCGACTGCGTGTTTTACTTTTACAAGACCCAACGTGAAACGCCATCAAAAACCGCTTTGCTTCCAAAGTACCACAAACTTCGATCCAAAACGCGCACCCTTTTTTGCATCAGCGACATACTAGAATAAGACTCAGCGATGTCAGGAGGACACAACATTGCCGCAGTCATTTAGATGTCGCATGGCAACCCCGGGAAAAGAAATAATCTGGATATAACGGAGGAGGTGTTCTGGTCCTGCCTTTGGCCCTGCGTGCTGCCACGTCAGTTCCCCTCGTGCGAACAGTCAAATCTTATGTCGGCAGAAGAAGATCTAGATCTTGGTTGAGCTAAAAAGATCCAAAACCAGAGAAAGTAAAACAGATCGAGCTCCCTTCCCAAGGGCTTTTTTCAAGATTTTTTTGCAAGAAACGATCAATTTCTCCTAACTGATGTCACGTGCCGTGCCATCGAGAGGATCGTGAGTCCCTCCTGCGAAACGGATGACTCTATTGCCGCGTATTTGGGTCACTGCGATCTGGTTCTACTTTTTGCGTCGCAGCTTTCTTTTGATTTCTGTGGTTTTTTGAAGCCAAGCCGGATCATTGACATTGAGATTGATCTTGATCGCACCCCCATCATGATTGTAACGTGAAAAAACGGAGAACGTCGGGCTCGACGCCTTTCCGTAATAGGTCGAAGGAAACGAAAGCGAAAAGGTCCGGAAGTCGTTAGTATTCAAGCTCCCCCGTGAACAAAACGTGACCACGATCGCTTCCCATCCGTGTTGCTGTTGAAAACGTGCCAGCTCCCCAGTAGTTCGCGTTCCGTATTGGATCCTCTGACCCGGAGTCCCACTAAGATGCAATTATCGGCGCTTTTAGTTGTGAAGAGCGTGCCTCTGCACCGACATAATTACAAGAAAGTATGGCAATGGTATTGATTTCCTGTCAGGTCTGTCATCCATCGGGATTGGAGTGGAGAAAGGAGTCATGTGTTTGTTTGTTCGTGGCAAGTGCAAGTCTTCATTTTCCCAACTATCCCTCGTGTGTAATAATTCCACCGTGTATTAAGTAGCGGCTCTACTAGAAGTACCGTCTCAATAAATGAAACAGAAGATAATTTGAAGAAAAAGCTCAAGCATCAAGTATTGTTAGATCACTTTTCCTAATTCGTGTTCCCCAAGAGCAGACCTCTTGCTATTCACGAACAAAAGATCATCATTCTCACTTCTCTTTCCCGTCGTGTACTACTCTCTTGCGGCCTCGTTCGTGGTCACTGAAGGTTCTGCCTAGGAACTCGCAATATTAAAGAAAAAAGATAAAGAACCGTCGGACCGAATTCGGCATCCGAGTTCTTGACCTCTTGATGTCGATCAAATCAATAATTGATCACCTGCATGGATGTTCTATGCTACTAGAAGTTTTGAAATAAGAAGCAGTTCTTGAACACCACAATTGGATTTGAAACTATTTGCCACCCTAAAAGTAAAATCATTTTGAAAAAAAAATATGTTTCCGTGAAGTGCTTTGGTATTTTGCCTCCTCTCTTCGTTTTTGATTTTGAATCGACCTACCACCACGACGACCCCGGGATCAAAAATGTGTAGTGTTGTGTCGCACTCGAACTTCTACCCGCTGGTGGCTGAGCATCTAGACGAGCCGCAGGAGCACTTCGTGACCCACGACCTGTCCGGCGGTTGTTCCATCGGAGCTGCGGGCCCTGATTGCTGCGAGGTCACGATGCAGTGATTTTTGCTCACGCGAAACAAACGGATGTGGAGGACGAGTAGCTCGGCAAGCCGCGCCTTTTTGATGTGGATGAGACCATTCCCACACCAAGAACTCAGAGCCGCATAAAGACCGAACTGACTACGAACACGCATCAACATACGACGACCTGCGGGAATATCCAACCGTTTTCTTGACCACACTTTCCTTCCCAAGGACGAAAAACCAGCCGCCGAATTTCATCTTTTTTCGCACGAAGAACGAAACATTAAGCTACTAGCAACTCCGCGGGCAAACGGCGCGTACAACATCAACAAATAGCTTCCCTCGTGGTCTTCTTGACTTTTGTAGTTGTTGAGCCCCTACTTAGCCGACGTGCGCTCTTTGCAGGACCTTTTTACAAGGTTTTGCGAAGAGTGTCGCCGACAACATTGAAGCTTTCTAGGATAGATGCAGACGTTGCTCGAGGGAGGTCGACGTGGGGACGAGCAAGTTGTGGAAGACGAGATTCTTCCTAGCAAGAAAAAGGATACAGTGCTTACGGGTACCAACATCGTCACCACATCAACTACTACAATCGACGACGGAACATCAAGACACCTGGTGGAAATATCAAGAGCAGACCAAACCGAAACCTCGGAAAGCAGCAGCACCAGCACAACTACTGCACCGGTTGTATTACCATTGCCGGTCGCGCAGCCGAAGCAAACCAGCTGCATAAAATCTGTCGGCCCATCAATCTCTACAACGAGCCCCTCCCCAAAAGCGGCGCAACAAATCATCCCGATTCTCGGCACAAATGACAGTCTTCTGGTCACCGACACGACGCATCTTCGGAGAAATAAGGTGCCTGCTGTAGGTGGAGTTCCGGGGGTCGTGAAGGTTCTTCCTCCTGTTGTTGGAACAGCTACAGAAGGAGTTACGGCGTGCACTTCGATTCCGAGCGCGAGTACGACCAGTCCAGGTGGTGGTGCTAATACCGCTGCTGCGGCGAAGAGTCCGTTGACCGGAGCTGGTGAGGCCGCCCCGGCGGCTGTAGCACTAGGAGGCTGCAGCTACACAGCAGCTGCGAGCGACAGTGCTAGTGTTATTAAAAGCGCCTCCAAAACCGCTCAAGTTATTTCGCCCGGCACAAACACCTCTGCGACACGAAAGATCATTCCGGTGCCGCCGAAAGCCTCTTGCGGCATTGTCGTTGGGAACAATTTATCTCGTGCAAAATTACTTGATTGTGTCTATTGCGCTCGTATTGATTGTAAGCATTTGCATGCTAACCACACGGACCCCACACAACTACTTCCTAACGTGAGTCAGCTGCAGTACTTCCTGAAAAAATACATGTGAGAGTTTCGAGTTCGAGTAGCATCAAGTAAACGATAAAAATTTTGCAATGCATAAAACCCCTTTACCGCGAGCGTGACGGCGACGAGCGGCGGCGTACCGAAAAGCTTGCTAAAGACTGCGGCAGCTTCAAGCGGGGGTGATCATATTAAAGGCGCAAGTAGCAATTCTAACTGTTCCACTACGGCAACTACCTCGTACAAGAACACGACAGCTGGCCCAGGACCAAACAATCCGCACAGCACTCCGTCTCTCGTTTCCGAGGCCCCGACGTCCAACACCGTGTCGCCGAATTTAACCCCCCTGCCCGCCTCTCTTTCCGATCTTAACAACTGCTGCGGGGGCTCGGGCGCGAGCGGCACGGAGGGTGACCTGGAAATCAGCGAATTCGAATTACTCGGCCGCCATATCGCGAGGAAAAATCCCCCCTCCCCTTACTGAAAAGGTATCTTTTTGGAAATTTGCGATGCTGATTTGTGGTCACAAATCGTGTCTGTCTTGCAAGAAGGCAATCCGAGAAGGCCCCCCGCATTATGCCAGAGCGGTTTGTGATGCTGTTAGGCCTACAGCGTGGACTTTTGTCATGCTGTGTGCCTATGTCAAAACCTCTCCACTCAGGCTTGATATGGGCCTGCAGTCCTCTACCGCAAGACGCGGCTGATTTGTGTACGCAAGTCCAGCATCAGAAAGGTCGTTCTGATATGGGGAGGGGGTTCTTTTCCTCGTGATACGCCAGGTATCCTCATCATCCGAGGATTTGATACTGCCTGAACTCGAGGACGAGGAATTGGACGGGATCAGTCTGGGCACCGGACAGGAGCAGCACGAGGAGCCAGAACGAGGAGGACCTGGTGGTCATCTTCAAGTAGAACAGTTTCATCTCCCTATCGGAGATAACGCTGGGTGTACGAGTACAATTACCCCGGAGGTTTCATCTCAGGCAGTACAACCAAATCTGAAAGTAAAGCCTTCTTCGCCTCCGCTCGTCGCGGCGCACCGGATATTGTAAGGAAAAATCCCCCCTCCCCATAGATATCGAAAAGAAACAGAAAGTTTGTGATGCTGATTGTCAACCACAAATCGTAATCGACTTGTATTGCTAGAAGGCCAAGAGACGTAGCTGTTCCCTCTTTTGCAGACAATTTGTGATGCTGTTTCCCGTTTCCAGTTGCTTCCTGTCATGTTGAAGACGCAACAAGGCTTTTCCAATTCCACGCCAGCCAGTACTACGGTCCGCATCTCTTTCCTTCTAGTATGACCCTGCGATTTGTAATCACAAATCATGCTACACAGATCCGCTTTTGAGTTTGGGGAGGGGGCGGGATTTTTCCTCACAATACCGGACGGTAATTATCCAGAAGGAAAAAGTCATCCTCGACGGCACCCCGGCAGCGCGGTCGGACGGCACTACCCAGGGAGGACGCGCCGCGGGCTGGCAATGTCTGCGGTGCCGGAACTTTAACTCCACCACGGTCGGTAGCTGTCTCAAGTGCGAGCTGGCGCGGGAGCGATCGCAGTGGCAGTGCAAAAGCTGTAGCACCTGGGTGGCCAACGAATATGGCGATGGGACCATTGGATGTTCAGTTTATTATAGGGCGGCTACTAGTGTTTGTGATGAGAATGAGATACAGATATATGTACGTGCCATGTTGTACTTTCACCTCCGGAATGAAAATAAAACACGTCTTGTACGAGTTCTCGCGCACCTAGCTCTTGCAACAATTACCAACCGTAGTAGCTCTGGACATCAATTTTCCGCGTGCATAGCCCCGACCCCCGGTGCCCATTGTGCTCTATGTGGGACGGTTCGCGCGAACCAGATGCAAAGCGGATCTGCGTCGGCCCCGGAGCGCATCGGGTAGGGTTTCTTGTTTTATTTGGGAGCAATTTCGTATCGAAACTTTCCGTGAGAAGTGCGATCGATATCGCTTTGAAAATAAATGCGAAGCAATGTGTAGGATGTTGTGCATTTTTTTAAACATTTTCATCTTGATGTTTATTTTGCTTTTTTCTCATTCCGCTTCCGCAGAACCCGCCTCCTTCGGCGTCGCACCTGGTACCACACCCCCCGCCCCACTCGAGCAGCGGGCCCGCAGCTCTCGGGCACCACCAGAGCAATCCACACCTAACGAGCGCCAATGCGACGCAGCTCGGCTCCGGGCTCGGTCAACCGCACGGGGTCAACCAATGTTCTTCGGTCAACAGCACGCTGCTGGCCGGTGGCGGCAAAGGCGGCGGGAAGCTTCGCAAGCCGCCGCAATCGTGGCACTGTATGCAAGAAAAAAACTGTGTAAGTGTAACTCTGATTCTGTAATGCAGAACATGCAAGAGAGTTACGCCTGTCATGCCAGACAACCATGAAGTCCTCTTTCTTTGTGTGTTTTCCCTTACAAACCACGCATGACAGGTTTTCTCTGTCATGTCCGCAAATTTGTGATGCTGTCAGCCAAAGAAGGTATACACTAACACAGTTCTTTTCTTGGATACACTGCGTGGAGTGCTACTACGACAACTGGGAGCAGCGGACGACCTGCAATAAGTGCTTGAAACCGCGAAAGGAGTGCGAGGGCCCAGACCTGGGCGTGAAACGGAAGTTGCCGGACCCCAGCAAGGCGTTGCTGCAGATTTCCGCCGAGTTCGCCGCCGGGCTGTCGCCCGGCCCGCAGGACGGCCTGCAAAGCGGGACCAGCTCGGGAGCGAACCGCACGCCGCCGCACCAAACGTCGACCAGTGCTGGGGCAGGTGGTGGTGAAAGCAGCGGCGGGCCGCAGGACCATTCCACGGGTGGTGGAGGTGGGCAAATGAACACCACCAGCACGACCAAAGGAGGACCAGGAACTACTTCTGCCCACCCAAATAGTAAACCGCCGCTCGAGTTCCCGGAAATTCCGGAGTTGGGGTATGGCTTGCTCAGTTGGAACAATGATCTCCACTGGAACAATAGTTTGTGATGCAAAATTATAGAAGATAATGCGCATCCGCATGAACATGGCCTGTCCAGTAAGTAGCTCTCTGGGTAGACGTGCTCAGCATGATATTGATATTGGCGATAAATCTATGACACTCCAGAGCCAGCATTGAAATCCGCACATACATTTTTACCTTATTGCAAAACTGGACCTACTTGTACTTTGCCATTCCGCGGCTTCCTTTACTACCTTGTTCCGGTTGAGATCGTTCCCGTTCTTTACTAGGGCATATGGGGATAAAGAGCGCGAGCAGGTGCAAGAATGAAATGATCTTATCTCGCGCTTTGCCGACTCCGCAGTTGCCGCCAGTCAACGAGCAACATCTTCCGGGTGGTGTGCCGCACTCGAAATCGCACCTTCAGGGAGCGAAAATGGGAGCTGGTACTGCGAGTAGTTGTTTTCTCATGAAGGTGAATTGCTATCGCTGAGGATGGCTCGTCAAGCACAAGCAGAAGTATTGAGTACAATTAACGGAGGCGGGTAGTTTCCGCATCCATCATGCATGATTAGATAGGAAAGAAAAAAGAAAAACCCCGATGAACAAACTGATTAAAGATAAAGACGCAAAAATTATTTCAGGCGGTTCTTTCCACGGTACCGACCACGGTAGTTCTTTGGAGCACGGAGGGCCACCGCACCCCGCACCGCCTTTTCAGGCGAGCTCCAAAGGGGCTGGTCACCACCACCACCATCCGGCGCATCACCACCAGAGGCCCGGCATGAACGGAATGGTAGACCAGCGCACGTATGGCGCGTCCGGCAAGGGAGGGCCGCACAACCACCATGTAGTTGGTCAACACCTTCATCCGCATCATCCACAACATAGCACGGGGAACAGCACAGGAGGGGGAGGTCCACCAGGTGTAGGAGTTCCGCCAATCGGTGCAAATCCAAATGCAGCGGCAATGAGGCAAGATCAACACCATCTTTCGGGCACTAGCACACAGCACCAGCACGTGGTCCCAGGCGCTGGTGGGCCTCCGCAGGGGGGAAGTAACAACCACGGTACGGTGAACAAGGGAGGTCCTGCAGGAAGTATGCATTGCACAAGCATCGTACTAGTATGAGTTGCATTTTTACAATCGGCTGAGCATGACAACGATATATGAAATGTGGAACTACTTACTTAATGCGTGACTGCAATTAAGTGCTTTTAGTTTTACTACGAGTACGACTACGATATACTTTTGCAATGCATAGGAGGCGGCGCACCTGCGACGACACAAAGCTCCTCCGCGTCCTCTTCCTCCACACTGCAGGGCCTGGCCGGCTTGCTCGGGTCGAAGTTTCAGTTCGCTGACTTGGAGCGCGCGTACGCGAGTTCGCGGGAGCTGCGCGAGACCGCGGCTTCGCTATCAAATGCAAAAATGTCTGGGTCTGGAAGGTTGGAACTTGTGATGCTAACTGTGGACTCTAAAAAGATCTGTATTGCATGACCAGCAAGGGAGGCCACGTTTCTGCTACGCGGGGAGGGCATTTGTCATGCGGAGTAGGCATCAGGATCAGGAAGCCCTCTAAAAATCTGTGATGCTAGGTCGTGCAAAATATGCATGACAAGTCTCAGAATCCTCCAGACCCCGACACTTTTGCATTTGATAATCGCAGGGAATCTACAACGTGGAGCAGCTGCACTCCACTCTGATGACCATCCTCGCACAGAAACGGGAAAAAGAGCAGCGGACCCCGCCGCTGCGGGCCAGTGCAAATAAAACCTCCACCGCGACAGCACAATCTTCGCAGTCGGCCGTGAAGGGTAAGCTTATGATGCAGTCCCTAAAAAGAGATGAAAAGAAAAAAATTATCTCGGAAGAAGATGTGTGGTATTACGATAGGCAATTCTGATTTGGGCCCTTCATTGTCATTCGCTTGATTTGTTCGATTTCGTTCACATTTTTATGAGTGGCTTTGTTGTAGTCTTCCCGCCCACGACACAACTAAGGTAACGGCCCACCGCCCAACTTTCCACCAACGGTGCAGACCTTGCGCATGACGGACACGGGGCAGGTAATACCGCTGCAGCAGTGGAATAAAAAGATGATGGAAGACGTGGACTCGTTGAACACCCTTTTCAGCGACACGCCAGGTACAAAGTGCTGCATGTTAAAGGGCTTGTTGCTTTTGATCAGCATCTTCAACAATGTTGTTTATAGAAATGAAAAATTATCCAGGCTCATCTAAATAAATCTTTTGCTCATCTCAGTTCGTCTCCGTTTCTATTGGAGGGTTGTACTAGCCAAAAAAGATCCGCGCATAGTATAGTTTCTATGAATCTTTTCAGGTGGTGCGAGTGCGCCGGGGGCGGCGGCGGGCGCTGCAGCCACAGCAGCTACATCGAAGACTGGCGAGGAAGTAGAAAAAGTGATGTACGAGGCTATTCTGGCCAAGCTGAAAGAGCAGAAGCAGGTAGAAGTTCTTTGTGTGATTCTTGTAAAGGACAAAAAATTCAAATTCCGTTATTCTGAATTGAACATCTGCGAATATGTCGTCCCACAACTGCAAGAACCGGATTTGCTGCTTCTAAACTACTACTCAAATCTTCGTCTTCCTATCAGGATGAAGACGATTATGACTTCGATTCTTTTGACCCGGACCCGTTTATCAAGTGCAAAAATGTCTAGGTCTGGAAGAGTGCCAGGTTCTTTGTCATGCATGTTTTGCATGGCGATGTGAAAGTGCCTTTAATGCATGACCCAGCATCACAGATTTTGCGAGGGCTTTCTGATGCGTATTCCGCATGAGAAGTGCCTGTCGTCCGTGTAGCAGAAACTGGACTCCTTGTTTTGCTGCTCATGCAATACAGATTTTTTTGGAATCCGAAGACAGCATCACAAGTTTGTCTTCTTCCAGACCCAGACATATTTGCAATCCATACCGTTCCTCAAATCGCCGAATCGTCCGGTCAAGCTGGAGAACCACCCGCAGTTGCAGCAGTACGGCATCTATACAGTGCAAAAGTATAAATCGTATCAACACTCGTACAAGTTGTACAACTAGTGCATGACAAATTCAAATGCCCTTTCTGTGTCTCCGCCAAACAATAATTGAATCAATACCAACCACTCGCCCGTTTTTCTTTTTCATCATCTACATCATGCTGCGTGTAGTCACACAATTTCTACGTAAGAACGTGGTACTTTTGCGATGCATAGCCTCACGGGCGGGGAGCTGAGCACCTTCTTGAAGTTCTGGAGTATGAGCTCGAATGCGGAATCTGAGGTATGCTTTGTATTTGTACCGTTCAAAAAATACACGTACTAGTTGCGACAACGTTAACGTTCCGGTTTCTGTAATGATGAGGAAGATTTGATTTTGAACTGCATCTATGTATCCCGCACTACAAGGCCTCGAACTACTTACTTGCTATGAAAAGTATCTTTGGTGGTCTTGTATGTTGGTACCCGTCAAAAGTAAATGCGAACAAAATGTTCGTTCTTCGTCCCTTCCAGATCTGCCCCCGTTATCACGAGCTGGAGTGCGGCGTGTGGATTTGTGCTAGCTGCTACGGAAGTGCACAAGAACTCGCTCTTCCCTGACACTACACACAACAGCAATATTAAGATTAACGCAGTTCTTTTTGCAACACAAATACAAGCTGACACATGAACTGCAGCAGAAGTACTACAGTAATCGGGCTACTACACATGCAGAAACTGGTAAAGGGCAACAAACTATGAACAATTTGGTATTAATTATGCATGAGCATGACAAACGAAGGGGACGAAGCGAAGGCGTTGTGTCGAGGCATAGCTGCGACAAAGCCAACACGCACCAGGACCGAATTTGTACGCAATGCGACGAGATCCGCGAGTCTACACAGTGGTTCTGCCGACACAGCTGCACTTGGCAAAATAACGACGTGCTGGAGTGCACTTCCTGCATACGAGGGTGCACAACTCCCCCTCCCCTTCATTTGTAATGCAAAACACCAAACTCACACCTTACCCTTAGCCCTACTCGTTTGCGCACAAACAGTACTACAATCCGCGCGCTGATTTCTCATGCGGGAGCCGCTTTTCTGCTGTTGGCTGTATTGCAGTTCATGGTATACGAATGAGGGCGAGGGGGAGTTGTGCACTCGCATACTGCAAAAAACCCCGAGCTCGGTGCGAAGCGACACCGGAAATGGAAATCTTCAGGATTTTCGGGTACTGTGAGTCACGTAGAAAATTATTTTCACCATCGCATACGATTATAGGCGGCCCTTACAACGAGATGGAGGGAATGTTACAGCCAGCGAGCTCCTACTGCACCACTAACGTACTTTTCTTACCCCTGCTACGACTTCTCACGTGGTCCTGTAGTCTTTTGCAGCACCGCGAAGAGGTAAAAATAGGATGAAAATGTTGATCACAGATACAAGCACCAAGAGACCGATGAGGGCACGACTTACGAGGACCTGGTACATGGGATGGTCTGTGTATCAGATTGTTCCGTCAACACATCACCCGTTCTGACTCTCGTCTCTACTCAGTTGTCATGCAAAATGCAAAATGTAGCATGCAGTAGCGTCCTTCGCTGTTTAACATTTTTCGCATGGCAAGTTGTTCAGGATCCGGAGCCGGAGACATTAACACCACAGTCCGTGCGTGGGTTACAAATTGTTGTCATGCAGCAGGACCTCTATTCCATTTTCATCTGCCATTCATTGCTTGTGTTGCTGTTGTTCATGCAAACTGCGAATGAGGGGACGACACCAGGCGGGGCGATTGTGCATTGGGATACTGTGTCGCAAAGCGGATCCTGAAGCGCTACACAATAATGGAGGAGAAGGAGCGAACCGCATCCGCATCCGGGAACACCGAACGGGCAGCTGCGTGATAGCGAACCGCATGATTCGTATCTAGGAAGAACACCGAGCGGTCGGCTGCGTCGTGAACTCGATAAATCGACTGAAACTTAAGATTTCGGAAAAATGGGGAGTATGTCACAAGCGGAGAACTCGCTTCTTGATGATGTCTATTCGCACTTTTTTTCAACATCAACATAGATACCTACTTTACACAGGAGCTTTTCAGTTCTCCTGATGTATACAAGAGGTGCTAGTTTACTAAATTTTTCTCTTTATTTTCCACTATTTTTTTACCAAAGCTGTATTCTTGTGGTGGGTCGGTCGTGTAAATCACAATATTTTTCACCATCTCTCGGGATTTATTTTTTTTTGGTTTTCCTTTTCACTTTCACTTTACTACTTCTCACTTTCTCAGGTCTATCATTTCATTTTCAGTTGCGTTGTGTCGTGATTTTCTTTTTTTCTTTTACTTGTCCCAGCTGCAGGCTGGCGTGGGCAAGGAATGTTGCGGAAGGACTGCGTAGCTGGCCATATAATCACGCTGCTACGGAAAATTGTTATTTGTTTTCGGCGGCTCTAACTCCGAACTCTTGAACTTGATGGGTGTTTTAGATCATGATCTTTCTTCGTCTAGTATGGCCCTCTATTCGAGTCGATTCTCGATACTTCGTACCACCTTTATTTGGCGACAGTTAGTTCCTGTTCGCGACGAGAGCAAGGTACGGAATATTTTTAAGAAAATGTGCTTCTCGATGATAGATACAAGCCGACCCCTTCATCGTATTGACGTTTCCCAACTAGAGACAAGATTTTTGTGATGTTTTAGCTCTATTCTGGCTTTTGTTTTTAGTTTTACTCAACAGATCTCGACATTTTTTTTTACAACGAGGGCTCCTCCCGGGGCATCAGTTTTCATCATCTTGAAGCGGCCCTGCGGCCGCCCTAAACTAAGTAATATACAAGTAGCACTTTTTCATTTGGTGCCTTGCCTGTTTTGGTTTTCAATTGATGGTTTAAATGAGAAAAATGTTCTTCATGACCTTTAAGAAAGCTTGGGCGTAACAAGTATTTTCACCACAAGAAGAAACTGAAGAACGAGGCAGCTTCGTGCGATCGATGGGAGATCTGCTCATTCAAGCATGAGTCGATTCATGGTCAGCATGAACGAACGAAGCTGCTGATCGAGGAAACTTTTTTTGACTGCCAAAACGTGAATCCACTTCCGGTACTGTTTTTGTTTCATATTATTTTTGTCGACCAAATGTTCTTCCATTGGACACGTACTTCTACCGTGTGGATACAAAATGCGGCATCATTTCTGTTTCAGTTGTGGCCTCTTGTTCAGTCTGTGCTACTTACGCAGCTAAGCCAAAAATGAGAAACAAAAGTATTGTTCTATGAATGTTGGAAACTTTTAATATGGATCAAATATAAAATTCTGTTCATCTTTGTCTACCTCCTCGCGCGCACGAGCCAAAAATGCGCGTGCGTCTGTATGATCGCACACAAATTATAGAAATGCAAAGTTAATAAGATCAACCACCTCCGGAGATCTATCTTGCTTCGGACTCTTGTCGTTCGGTGATTGGTGGCGCGGTCCTGAAGATAAAAGTAAGTGGAATGAAAATATTAAAGTCATCATTCAGCTTGGTATGATATTTTAGGTATTAGTTCAACATCGGTCAAAGCGCAAGCACAGAGTGTAGTCACAACTCCTCGGAAAATTAACAAATCAATGTGAATGTGTCGGTTTAAAGATATTTTTATTGTTTGTCGATCAAATCAAAATCGTGGTGTAATATGTCCAGATAGCAAGGTTCAAGTCTGTACCGATTGATCACGTCACTGACTGCCTCACACGGGCACGGCAGCAAAAAATGCAGAGATCATATATCAAAATCCGGCTCGTACAAGTACTAGTACACCACCAGAAGGGACTGAGTTCCTCAGAGTTCTATTTGTTATGCACATGATGCACCCATAACCAACCGGAATGTTGACAGGCATTAACACTTGAATAAAACACGAGGTCTCTCGAGTTCCGACTGCAGCGCTCTACTCAGTCATACTTGTTTTGCGTACACGATATATTACACATCTTCACCGAGTCTAGTGCAAGGCACACAACGACGTTTTGAATCTAACTTGAGTTATTTGCAGATCTTCTTCGCTCATGCTCATCTACATCTTACTTCCGATAGATCGCCTACGCCTCGATTACTTTTTCCTGCAGATTTGTTTGTACCAGGAATAATTGCGGATTGCAGAAGAGGAGGCTTTTGTTCAAATTTTGGTTTGTTTGTTTGTTTGTGGTTACTTATGCAGGAAGGTGGTGCCGCTGCCAACTACCACGCGAATCTACTTGCATTCTTTTCGCATTTTTTTTTACAAGAAAAACAAAAATAAAAATACTTACAGGCTAGTCGGGTTTGAGATAAACAAAACGGAAACCTTAAAAACTTACGCAATTTGCTAGTTACTTACTAAAAAGACGAGAGTAAAGGATCGGGACCTGTGATTTTTACCGGCGACCTGATAAAGAAATAATTTTTTTTGTGGCGTAAGTAATTTCAAAACAAGTAAATTGAGTTGTTCAAATACAAGAAATTGTCCGTTTGCTACCACCAGTCTGACGTCTAAAAGGTGAACCGTTGAAAGTAGTATAGAAACTGAGTAGCATAAGCATCCTTGCCTGCTCTCGAATTACTTTGACACTTTTATTTCGAGATCGAAGTAGCAATCTTTTTTTTGTTAACTCATCAAAAAGCCAGCATAACCAATACAGATCCCTAGGATGTTGAAGCGTGACGGCCGTTGGGGTTCTTGCACGTTTTCTTGTGGTGCGCCGCTTCTCAACTCGATGCGAGTGGCCGCGACTGCCCTTCTGTTCTTCCTTGTGGCCGAGGACCTCAATACCAGTCGATCCGGAGGTATACTATCTCCTGTTCGTGGGCTCCGGGTGAAACCACGACGCCAGACCACGAGGACCCCAAATGCTGACGGTGGCGACAGGTCTGTTGCAATTGGGAAGGAGGTGAAGTGGTTTTGCGACAAATGGAAGCTGTTCGCTAAAATCGCAGACTTTGGGTGGACGCGCCACGACATCACTGGGTCGCACCATAAATTCGTGAAGACGGGACGGTCGCCGATCATCGTGGCCGTGCACGACAAACAGGGAATCCGCAGCGATGTTGCCCGGAACGTCCTGAAAAACTTGCGCGCCCGGGAGCTAGAGTACGAGACTCGCCAGGCCGCGGGCGTAGGTGAGCCGGAGGAACAGGCAGAACATGCGGGTCCGCAGCACGACAGCGGGCGCGGTCTGCGGAAAGAGGAACGGAAAGCCATGATGGAGCAGCTGCGACAGTTGATGGCGCGTGGCGCCCTGGAGAAGGAAGTAGGAGCAGTGGCGTCCGTAGCCGACCCGGACGCGCTTGCGAGAGTGCGGGCAGAAGCCGTACGAGCTAAACAGGACGTAGAAAAAAAGAAGAAACAAGAGCTGGAAAAATGGTTGGAGTTTGTGCAAAATTTGATGAATGAGCAACGACGGTTCACAACGGCGCTGTACGTCCTCGTGCACTACCTTGGTGGCAAGCGGGACTTTTTTGCGAAAAAGAGGGATGATTCTCCTGGGGGGGAGCTAGATTTTTTCGTAAGCCAGTCTTGGGAGGAGAAACTGAAGAAGGGACCCACCAGGAAGTTGTCCTTTCAGGGATTACACATTTCGCTAGCTCCTCCACAGGGGGCTATGTGTTCACTAGGGAAAGCACATTCCTCAGGAGAATCAATGTGTGTAATCCCCTGTGAACACAATGTGTCCCCTGTAATTCCCCCAGGAGGGAAAGCACATTCCTCAGGGGATGATTCTCCTGGGGGGAAATGTGTTCGTACAATCCTGAAAGATGAACAAAACCATGCAAGAACAGAGCCAAAACTATGCAGACAAATTCTGTTCAGCGAAATTTCGCTCTTCCAAATTATATTCAATCCAGCTCGTTTCCTGCTTCGATTTTCAATCCAGCTCGTTTCCTGTATAAAAGCGGTTTTTGATGGAGCTCCCTCGCGGTCGTGGTTCCTGTTTCTTGAAACAACCAAGGCAAACAGGCTTGCAAGCTGAGCTCTTTGACGTAAAAAACCGCTGTAGCTGCTTTAGTTGCCGACAGATTTTGGCGTCTGATTACTGTCTATCAACGAATAAACTGCCAGCCTAAGAGAACACTCGTGACCTCACTACATTTGCTAGGGACGTTCATCGTTTTACTTTGCTATCAATTCAGATGACCATGACTTTCAGTATCCTCGGTTCCTGCTCGCCATAGAACTTGTTGAAGGCCGCTTCCAAGGAGCATGGCAGAGTTTCAGACTGTTTTTGCTATGCTGACCTGTTTTTTCTACGAACTGATGTTCCAGCTTCTACTTTCGCGGTTTTGCTTTTCGGACAACTCGAGTCGTATTTACATGCTGTTGCTAAAGATAAAGTTCTTCAAACTTCTGCCGCTAGCTTCTGAATTTGGATTTGCCGATTCCGCCCTCGCGACCAACTTCTTCTACCTCCCAATGAACGCCGCCAGGCTCGCCCAGATTCTCCGAGTGATTTATCCCACGAAAAGAGTGTTACAGTTACACATTTGTTGTCAATTCAGCAACACAAGTTTCTCTGCATGAGAGAGAAAACTTGTACTAGTATAAATTGCATTACAAATTCGCTCAGCATTAGAAATGAAACTTGTAATGCCGTTTTCCCTTAAGAGAGAGATTTGTCATGCAATGCAGCAATTACTACGAGTACGATACTTTTGCAGTTCATACCACGAGGTACTGGACGATTCGCTCCTGGGTTGCCATGCAGGCGTAGTGTATCCACAGTAAATTTCCCGTACACGTACAAATGCGGTTCCCGCATGACAAAACTTGGCTTCGATCCTAGTTTAGCATGACAAGTCTTACGCTCCAAATTGGTAAAATTTGTGATGCATCTTGTACATCTACGGGAAATTTGTATTGCATATAGTGCACGAGGGTTTTACGCGAAGTTTTCTCGAAAATGACGTTCCTATCCACAGAAAAAAACGCATGCCATCCCCATCCATTTTTTGGATGACAGCCACGCCATCTTATGTATGTCTCGCATGACAAATTGGATGGGGATGGGTTTTTTTCTTTGGATAGTTCTCCTGATCGTCGTACAGATTTTTTCGTAAGCCAGTCTTGGGAGGAGAATCTGAAGAAGGGGCCACCCCAGCTGGATGCAAAGGAAACGATGGTCGGCGATGATGAAGCAGCAATGCGCAAGAGTCTGGCAGTGCTACACGGCGGGGACCACCACGGCAGCGTGCGCAGCAGCACACTTCTTCCCGACCTATTTCAACACTATCCCGAGTTGCTTGCCGTCCGCGATTTTTTTCTGTTTGAGGTGTTGTTCTCACAGGGAATCTCACTCAGCACGGAGCTTACGCACGTCATGGAAGGTCTGCATTTCCAAATTACGGGCGAGACAGGCGTGGTTCAGCCACTTTACGCGAGCGGGATTGTTACAACCCCATCTGGTGGCCGCGTTGCAGCAGCCAAAAGCGGGGGGGTGTTTGAGTTTGTCCTAACCGAAGAGCCGGAGGTGGAATTGGTAGAGCAGTGGACCGCTTATAATGTTCGTGCAGCCGACAGCGCCAGTGATGACGAGGATGAAGCCGGCAGCGGATCGGATTCTTCTGGAAGCAGGTCGCGCAGTGCTGCGGGGGCCATTCAAGACTTGGCTGGTGTTGTGTCGCCGATGTCCAGACTGGGTGTGAGCATGATAGATGACGCGGACCGAGTTAAACAGCTCACGGAAAAGTATGAGAAGACAGTTTTCGCTCTCCTCGGGGCGCTGCACAAGGCGCAATCCAGAACGGGCAGGTTTGAATCCTGGAAAATTGACGAAGCGGAGCAGCGCTACTATGGCAAAGCCGCCGTGCGCATCCAAAATGATTTGATGGAGCGGGTGTTTCAGCTCTGTTACAACTCCATAATGGTCGCAAACCTCGACGAGATCAGCAAAGGGCCGCAAGACGAGGAGCAACGATCCGAGACACGGCTTCTTATGGAAGAATGGCTCACCGAGCGCTTGAGATTCGTAATCAAGTTGTTTGAGCCATTGCCAGCATCCGGTGGGAAGGCCTTGTTGCAGCTCGACAAAGCGGATCTGGTCGAAGTTTATCCTCGGATATTTCGGGATGTACTGCGGCACTACGTCGTCCAAGGCTTCGAGAACCTGCTGGATAGCCAGCCAGACCTTACGAGCGCATGGAAGAAGCAGGGGGACGTTACGAGGCAGAGAAACTCGTATCTGCGTGCTGTGAAGAAAGTCTGGCAGGAGAAGATCAAGCCTGCGTTTGACCGGCTCGACGTCTGGCAGGCAGTGGAGGAGAAGGTCTTGCCTAAGTACCCGACGACGAGGGAAGAAGCATTACGTGGCCAGGACGTGGTGCCCAGCCAAGCAGGGCAGCATTTGTTTAACCTGCGCAAACCGCTGCGCGAGTGGTACGAAATGAGCACGAAGTCGCGAAACAATGGGGGCTACGAGTTCCTGCAGCCTGTTAGTGCCGTTAACCTGGGACATAGCGAGCGCGGCATCATAGGTATGGACTGTGTTTTTCCTGGCTGGGCGGAGCAAAGTCTGCTGCCTGCGCTAAGAGGGTACGCGGAAAGCTTCGTCCTCCCGTACGTGACAGCGCTGCGGCACGTCAAGCCCGGCGTGATGAATGCCGACCACGAGGGCGGGTGGTACCTTTTGGGCCGACACGTGCAACCTGCGGCGGTCATGGTCGCGCACGGCCTAGGTCCTGACTGGTATAAGATCGACGGCGAAGTTCTCCCGAACGTGGTCACGTTCCGCGTATCTTGGTATGTCCTCCTTGTCGAGGAAGCACTGTATGGAGCTTTCATGAAAACCAGGAACGCTGTTGAGTTTCCCGCTTCTGAGGTTGCCCTGTTCCAGCAACTGTATTTTTCCTACGTTATGCGGGCCATGTACCTCGTCGAAAGGACGTGGGCACAGCAAGATGCTGTGGAAGGGGCCGGCAGTCGCGGCCGCGGCGCGTCCTCCACTTCTACTTCTACCCCCGAAGTCAGCTTGGCGCGCGTCTTCGGTCACGCGGCGCGCCTGCGCCGCGCGCTGGTGTTCTCTTTTTCTGAGGGAGTTCCGGCGGACTTCCAGGCCGGGCCGCTATTCAGTGCAAATGTGTAGTCTACTGGGTCCTCTGAGGGATTGCAAGACCATCTGCCATGCAGGAAGCTTCAAATGGGCGCCGCTGTGAAGCCCAGGAATGCGAGCCGTAGTATGTATGATCACAGGTTTTGATGTTGAGAAGACTCCGCAACCCCATGTTCGGGTTGTTCGCAAAGGAGGTGGTTTTATAATTCTCTGCTCACGCAGACGCTATATTTTTTGTGACGCCCAGGCCCAGAAGACTAATAGCATGACAACCTCGCGCGCGGACTCTTCCACGCCCAGTAGAGATATATTTGCAATGCATAGCCGCCCGCATCGGCCCAATCAATGGAAGGCAGCCGGACCACCGGGAGCGACCTTGTGGGCGATGGCTCGCGCGATGTTTTTTTGCAGGACGAAGAAAGTTCGGGGAAGGCAGGAATGCTCGCGACGCTTTCTTACTACATGGAGGGGGCAGGAACTACGCGCGGGGGCGGGCCGACAAGTCCGCAGCATTTTCAGAATGCCCTCACAGTGTGGAACTCACTCCAGAGGCGGCGTGAAGATGGAAAGGTCCAAGTTACCCTCACGCCTCAAGCCCTCGAAGCGTTAGGATCTACTTATGTGCATGATTCCAGTGACCACCTCCCGGGAGACCACGAGCATGGAAATGACATGAACATCGAAAGGATGGGATTCGCCTTGCAGATGTCCGCTGCTGAAGCGGAGGCTGCCGCTGCGGACTTTGTCGCGATCTATCAGAAGTGGTCGGAGCTGTATTTGGTGGCCCTGCTGGGGGTGGGTGGCCCCTCGCCCGATGTTCCGATGCACCGGGGCGAGTTCGGGCTAGTCTTCTGGAGGTTTCTCACAAAAGTGGTGAGCGACAAGCTGCAGCAATCAAGGTCACCCGTGGCCGACGAGTTACGACGAGCGCTCAAAAATGCCAGGGAGATAAAGGCGACCCTGCAGGAGTGGCAGGAGAACCAACAAGGGACCTCCACGTTCGTGGCGCGCTTCCGCGATGACCGGCCCTTCCTGTATGGTGTAACGGATAGCGCCGTGGCTCTGAGAGACGGCCTCCTGAAATTCATAGATGAGGTATTCTCGTACTTCTCGGGCGGAACAAATAAACCCCTCTGGCCGGATGCGTCCACGGTTTCAGATTTGGTGTGGTTCGATGAAGATTATCCCGAGCAAAAAGCCTACCTCTTGGAAGTGATCGAGAGGCATACAGCAAGCCAAGTAAAAAAAAACGCGAAGCAAGGGCGGAAAACCCGTGCAAAAAAGAGAAGAAGGCGGCCGGCAGCCAAGCAACAAAAGAAGAAGACAGGCGGACGGAACGGCGGAAATGGAAGGCGGTGATGAAGGTAGCAGTGTATGTTTGGGAAGGAAGAACGAAAGGAAGCACGGAAAAGCCTCGCTGTTGTAATATGCTGTACTCCGCCTGCAGCAGCTGCGTGCTTATACAATATTTTGTCTTTACAAGAATTTGAACATACTTGCTACATGCGATTTTACTTAAGCTGACGCAAATTTTGTGTATGTTCGAACCTTTCGTGTGTTTAGCTTAGCATCGGCCCGTGCGTAGAATTGCAAGCTAGCAAGCGTCTGTGCATCTGAACGCCAAAAATCGACTTTTACCTTTACGAAGAAGTAAAATACTTCTCCTGAAGGCGCAGGCCTATCAGCGCACTAGTAGTTTTAAGCAGAGACTCTAGTATAGCCTTTGCGCACCGTCGAAAGAACTCGGCCGCCAGCGCAAGGAGAAGCAGACTCTTGCAGGCGCTGCCCGAAAAAAGTGGCTTCGTCTTCTGCAAAATTTCAGCTTCGGAGCAGAAGACACGCAAAGACAAACTTGCACTGTAGTGTGCGATCAGTTTTTTTGAAAGGTTTTCTGTGAAAGGTTTTTGTGAAAGGTTTTTTTTTTGGTAGGTTTGGTAGGTGTAAGCTCAACAAAAAATAAAGCTGAAGAGGTGTTTCAGTTACCTTGCTTTAAGTAGGAAAGGTTCCCCAGGATTCCCTCCGGTTCTGTTGTCTGCTGAAGAAAGGAAGAAATCTTGAACAAAACGCGAACTACACTTCTCATTTCATGGCCGATCCTGGAGCTGCGAGTGCGTGGCTTCAGTTTCGAGTCCGAGTTCGGAGGCAGATAGACGCCCTTCGCTCTTAGAGATGGTCTTAGAGTAGCTTTCATGTCCATTTCGTTTTTTCACCCGATCATGCGATGCTTCATCCAACAATCAAAATAATGTCAGACCGAGGAAGGGTGGCACGGGGCTTCGGTCACGTGTTGCCCTTCCTCACGCCAACCCGGGAAGAGGACAACCGCAGGGGCTGCTGATGTTCAGCCACGAAAACCTGCACTGGGCGAAGTTGTGCCTGCTGCTGCCGCAGCAGGCTGGAAGCACGTACGTAGATACGCGCCTCAGTACGTCTGAAATACCGAAGAAAACCTAGTTTACCGCCTGTTCACAGGCACCCTCGATCACACTAACTAACACGTACTGAGGCTAGGCTCGACCGGGTGAGTAGGTATGCCTTTGCAGGCTTAGAAACCGCCCAAGATCTCCCATATCGCCCCCTGTAGATCTAAAATTTTGTATACAACGAGGCGAAGACCATGGATTACGGTGGAGACCCACGGCACTAGAGTATCTATGTATGACCCGGCGCGTGCAAGAGTTGATCAGAAGCAGGGGTAGTAGTGTAGTTTTTGCTGTTCAGTAGCTGAAGGGACCATACAAACAGTAATAAGAGTCTAACAGAACCACAGACGCCGTGGTACGAGAACAAAGAAAGAGATCGGCCCTGTAAATCCAAAAAAAAAAATGTGTCTTTCCATAAGTTCCAACTCTGCAGCGCGGGATTCAGGCATGCCCTAAAGTTAACAAGTGTAATCAGCACGGGTTTGGGGTTTTTACTTACATAGTGGCGTCGGTAGAAGAAAAAAATAATTTACAGATCATTTTTGTAAGCAACTTGTATATAGCTCAGGGTTTAGGGCAAAGGCGTGTTCTCACGTCAGAGAGGCGACCACACTGCTCCTTCCTAGTCGTGTGCCAGGCTGCGAACAGATGTAAACCCGCTCCTGTCTATCGAGGGATTGAGTAAGAGGCAACGCCAATCACCACCTATCTAAAGCTAAAAAGCTCGATCATTCCAAGTCCAAGTCCACTATCTCTATAACAACAACACCCTTTAGAAAGTTCGATGCCCTCTACTACACTCTAGTGCTTGCGTCGTGTCTCCCTCCGAGTCCGAAAGTCGTTAAGGCGTTTGTCACGCCTCGATGATGTAGTCGAGGCAAGTTGCTAATTCATCTGATGTTTGCCTTCATTGAACGCAACAAAAGCAAAACGAAGTACTCAGCTAAGGTCCGAAAGATTCTGCGCAGATGACTACACGAAGAAGCGAGCTATTTGGACGATCGGAATCCGAACGCCAAGAAATTGAAACTCACTACAACGACGGTCGAGCTTCTTAATGATGACTTGCTTCGCGCCAAATGGAAAGCGCATAACATTTATATACTAATGCGTACAGGTCGTGACAGGAGGAATAACCAGCAGCAATTACAAAAGCGAAACAAAAAGGGCACGTCCCTACCTCTAGTGATTGATAGTAAGCAGCTCGCATGCATGTTCTCCGTCGTGTGGGTGCCGTTGTGATGTGTGAATCTGTCGTCTTCGTTTGCTTTAGTGAGCACAAAGCGTCTCGTCCGGAAGCCTAACAAGCACAGCTGCCACCGTATTTCTATTCTGTTGCTGGTATGTTGTGGTGTCGGTCATTTTGTGTTTCAGTTGGAGGGCATCTTCTCCCATGAGTGCGTACCCACAAGAACCTATGGAGTGCTGCTGCTTCTTCGAGCGACAGCGAGAAAACTACGAAAAACCAAATTTTACTCAAATCATGAGCGGCGCCTGGTGTGCAGCCCGTTTTTGTCTTTTTCGCTTTTGAGCACTGCGTGCAGATGTGTCCCTTGAGAGCGCTTAAGTACCTATACATAGATACAGACTTCTCTGGATAGAAGAAGTCCACGCCAAGCCAACTTGTTTGGGGTCTCCTGGTCCTTGAAAGAAGCTCATCCTCGTCTGAGATTATTAGAGCCACCTGGTGTCCTCGAGCGAAGAAAACAAGAACCGATACGATTTTATTACTGCTGGGCGGATGAGTGCTGCTGCCCCTGCCGCTAAAGCGGGATCTGAACGGGGTCGCGGCGGTTTGCGTGGCGGCACCTGGGCTACTGCGCGGTCTACCAAGTCGTTTTTCTATCCGTCCGCATTGAAGAAGGAGAAGGAGAGCCTCTTGCACTCCATCTTCCACCCAGGGGGAAGTACCAGCTCGGGCCGGGACTCCCGGTCGTCCAATCGGTCTTCCAGCTCGTTCCGCACGCAGCGGTCCACCTCTATTGAAAGGGAAAACCCCCCTCCCCATATCAGAACGGAAATTTGTGATGCTGATTTGTAGTTACATACAAATCGTCTTTGTCTTGCCTATCGGGTAAAAATAGGAGCCATTTGGAGGATCATTCCAAAGCCAGTCTGTCATGCGCTTTCGACTACTGCAAACCTGTTTGCCATGCGTAACTGCTACCATCCTTCTGCATACCCAAACAGGCTCAGCAAATGCCGCCAAGCACTTTCTGCAAGAGAAATCTGATTTGTGTACGCAAATCCAGCAGCAGAAACTTCGTTTTGATATGAGGCGGTTGGATTTTTCCGCACAATAACCTCCAGTGCATACCTGGAGGACCCGTCCGCCCTCCGCGGCCCGGTGGGCAGCACCAGCTCCTCCGGGAGGTCCTCTCGGGGCTCCTGGTTCAATAAATTTACCCGGTCCAAAAGCCTGACCTCCTCCCGTTCCTCGCGCAACAGCTTCGGGGACTTCTCCTTTGGCGGCAACGTATGAACTGCAAATATGTCTGCGTCTGGAAGAATGCAAAACTTGTACTTGTCATGCACATTTTGCATGACCCATGCTGTCTGTGATGCATGCCCTAGCATTACAGACTCTTTGGCGGCTTTCTGATGCGTATACTGCATGACTCTGCGTAGCACAAAGTCGGCTTCTCTTGCTGGTCATGCAACACATACTTTTTTAGAATCCGAAAACAGCATTAGATAGAAGTTGCATCCTTCCAGACCCAGACATCTTTGCATTTGATACAGCGTGTCCAAGAACGAGGGTGGAGCACCAGGAGGTGCCTTCATTATGGTGTTCTCAACTGTTACATTCTCAAGTGTTACATGAACTTGTGATGCAAGAACTGGAAAAGTGCAAGGGGGAAGGTTGCACCTGTAGCATTACAAATTCCGCACAGATTTAGATGCGGTTTAGGTCTTCGCAAATTTGTCATGCGGAGCAGCTTGGTCGTGAGGATGATGATGGTGCTTTTGCATGACAAATCCGTGTAACAGTTGAGAATGTAGCAATTGAGAATCCCATATTCATCCCGCCGCCTCTGTAAAAAGGAGCTCCTTCCCCCGCGGGGGAAGATAGAAAGGGACGACCGCAGTCGTAGTCGACGTTTCACATCATCAACTATGGGTTGAATTATAGCGAAGTACAGAAAACAGACCGGATTTTTTTCAAGAAGAGCTTCGCTACATTATATTATAGAACGCTTTATAGAATAGGGAATAGGGAGAGATAGGGAGAGTAGGGAGATAGGGAGAGTCCCCCTAAAAGGGGGCAGCAAAAACAAAACCAAACTGATCGCAAACAGCATGGCACGGCCACGACAACATCTTTCGAAATCTGGGGTGGAAATGCTTCCGAGTACCCCCCTCCTCGGCGGCTCCTCCCGGGGTCGGGGAGGCGCGGAACCTTCCCTGAGGGGATTTATCCTCTTGCGGGCCCGTAAGGCTCAGGTCTTGCTCCTCAGCTGGCGAAGGCGGAAAGGTAAAGTGGCCATTTCAAATTTCCTTCGATGAGGGAAAGTTGAAGTGGCCATTTCAAATTTTCCTCGATGGGGAAAGTTGAAATGGGCAACTCGATTTTCCTTCGATGAGGGAAAGTTGAAGTGGCCACTTCAAATTTCCTTCGATGATTCAACGGGCGCGCGGTGCTCGTTCGCCTTCGAATCGATGCAACGCGCGCGCGTGCATGAATGCGCGCGCGAAATTTTTTTTGGTTCTACGGCTTACCAAAACGGAGCATACCATCGCGATTCAAGGGGAATTAGGTTTACCACGGCTCTCCCTATTGACCTATTCTCCCTATTCCGCTCTCCCTATTCCCTCGATTCACAACAGTCATATATATTATAACGAGGAAAACGAACCTGTACATAAGACCTCCACGCAAGGTGCTGGACTACATCAAAGCTACTACGATCACCAGCAGTCCATCCACGGTATTACAGGCCCAATTTCACGAAATTGGAAGACATAGAACACATCAATCGACGGATTTCTACGGCCTACCACCGAACCCGCAACAAGAAGCTGTGAATGAAACGACCAACAGCGGCGAAGGTGGAGTGATTGAAAATCGCAGTAGACCCAAACGGGCTCCTGCGGCAAAAAAATCTTTTCTGATGTATTAAAAAGCTCGAACAAGAGCGAAGCCGAAGCCGAAACATCTTCGACTGTTGTAGAAAAAAGCGAGCACAACTTTTTCGAGGAACAATTTTCATCATCAACATCCGGTCTTTTTTGATACAGACGACAAGTTTTAGTACGCCACGTTGGAGTTCGTCCGGACTTCTACAACTACACACGACATCTACTACTACACCAGCATCAGCAACGCTGCGAGGACAAAATTTTTGTTGAATAGTTGTACCGATGAACTAGAAGAGGGGGAGCCAGGGGACACTTCCAGCAGCCAGTGGTATATTAAACACCACCACCTGGTCGTGCCACGGCCAGTTCCACGTACGGCGAACTTTTGAATACGGCACATCGTCTCCGATTCTTTTCCCCACCTCCGCTCCTGTACGTTTCTCTAGAGTAAGGCTAAGGCTGCACAACATATCAAATGCAAAAATGTCTGGGTCTGGAAGATTCTGGGATTTGTGATGCATATTTTGTATGAGGTATGATGCATGTAATGCATGATCTAGCATCACAGATTTTTAGAGGGCTTTCTGATGCCCATCCTGCATGAGAAATGCCCTCTCCGCGTAACACAACCTGGGCTCCTATTGCTGGTCACGCAATCCAGATTTTTTGGGATTCCAAAGACAGCATGACAAGTTGCAATCTTCCAGACCCAGACATTTTTACATTTCATACAACAAGGTGCAGCACTATGTCGGTCTCTGGCGCCTCCATGACCGACCACCACGATGGTGTGGGGTATCAAATGCAAAAATGTCTGGGTCTGGAAGATTTCGAGATTTGTCATGCTAGTCTAGCATGACTCTGCACTCTGTATTGCGTGGCCACCAAGAGGTCCTCTTGCCTGTCATGTAAAAGCGCAGTTTGTCATGCGAAATACGCAGCACAGAAACACGAAAAAACTTGTCATGCTTACCGGCGCATTACAGAGCACTTTATTGTTCACGGACTTGCGTCACAAGTTTCCAGACCCAGACATTTTTACAGTTGATATGGGGGGCGGTTTAACGACGATCGTCGAGCTCGACTTCGCGATCCTCTCCGCGCTACTTGGTCCGGAGTGGCGCGAACAGCGGTTGCAGCACTTGGATTTCAGTGATCCGGCGTTCGCCCTGGAAACGCTGAAGATCAAGGAGCACGAGGAGGACAAGGCGTTTGCGCCCTTGCTGCGGTCCAAGGTGATTTCGATCGACCTCACGAAGAACAAGCTCACATCCCTGTTGCAGCTCCGCGGGGAATATCAAATGCAAAAATGTCTGGGTCTGGAAGATTGCGAGACTTGTCATGCTGATCTGGCATGGCCCTTAAATCTGTATTGCGTGGCCACAAACAGCCTCTCTCGCCTGTCATGCAAAAACACAGTTTCTCATGCGGAAGACGCAGCACAGAAGCACCAAAAAACTTGTCATGCTTGGCGGCGCATTACAGTGCATTTGCTATTGACTGTCTTGCATCACAAGTTTCCAGACCCAGACATTTTTGCATTTGATAGGGAAGATTTCCCGTCCTTGAAAATTTTCCGCTGCAAGTCGAACGAACTGCTCTCGGAGAACGTCCTACTCGCCCTGCCCCGGCTAAAGGAGCTGTATCTCGGGCGGAACCAACTGACATCCATCCCGGCGCTGGCCGGGCTGCCCAGTTTGGAGATCTTGATTCTGAATCACAACCGCATCCAAACCGAACTGTTCGGGAAGGATTTGGCCAAGGGCGGGAAGGAGTTGCGGAAAATCGATCTTCGGGGGAACCTATGCATTGCAAAAGTATCGTACTCGTACTGATTGCGTTTATGCATTACAAATCTCTTTATCAAGGCAAATCCGCATTACAAATTCAATTTGTAATGCTAAGAGAATTTGTAATGCAATTTATACTAGTACGATAGGATACAGATACTTTTGCACAGGATAGAACCAGATCGCCAACAACCCGAACAACTTTCTAAAGTCTCTGATCCGGTTAGCGTCTTTATCGAACCTGAACATGTTCAAAATTGCGGAGAACCCATTCTGCGGCCTGTTCCCCGAGTACCAAGCGGTGCTGTATGGGTTTCTCTGCTCCGCGGGCATCAATTTGCGGCAGCTGGACCGCATTCAGGTCGCGGGAGAGAAGGACACGCACATGTTGGAGGTGTACGAGCAACTGGTTACCACGGTCTACATATTAAAAGGAAATATTAAAGTCCCCCCTCTCCATATAAAAACGAAACTTCTGATGGATTTGCGTACACAAATCAGATTTGTCTTGCAGTAGAGGACTGCAGGCATGCACTAAGCCTGAGGAGCGGCGAGGTTTTGACATTGGCGCCCAGCATGGCAAACGTTTACGCTGTTGTAGGACCAACAGCGTCACAAATCGCCCGCATAGTGCTATCTAATGCAGCGGAGCCATTGCCTCGGCCTTCTACTTCTTGCAAGACAGCCACGATGGCCACAAATCAGCATTGCAAATTTTCAGAGCCGTGTCATTGCGATATGGGGCGGGGGGATTTTCCCTCACGATACTACATCGAAGACAGCGCGTATGGAGAGAAAAAAGTTTGTCACAGTCACTAACTTGCAGGTTTTGCATTACAACTTTTCTCAGCATCACAACTTCTCCTTGTATTGCAGAAACACTAGGGAAATCCCTTATGAAGTGTGGCTGTGATGCATTTTGACGCATGACAGACAATTTTGTATTGCAAAAATGCCCATGAGTGATCGTGACGAACTTTTTTCTTTTGATAGCGCGACCATGAAGGAGTATTTGTTTGACGCGAAGCTGATATCCCCGAACTCCGGAAAATATCCTGTGCAAAAGTATCGTACTCGTATTGCAATCATGCATTACAAATTTTTTTCTCAAGGTAAATCCGCATTACAAATTTTATTTCTCATGCTGAGGAAATTTGTATATGCATTTATACGAATACGAAACTTTTGCAGTTCATAGAAAAGTCACTTTTGACACGGACCTTCCGAACTATCACGGTGTAGCAGGAGGGGGTGGTCTACTTCAAGACCCCCAACATGGCGTTCTCAACGAGGAGGTCCACGTCATGGCTGGGGATTTGTTACTGCTCGATGGCAAGCTCGCGGGCTCTATGCTGTGCAAAAGTATCGTACTCGTATAAATGTAGGTCTTGCATTACAAATTTCTTTGTCAAGGCAAATCAGCATCTTCATGCTGACAAAATTTG